TTATTGCGAAGCCGGAGTAAGCCATTGCTTAGCGGATTTGGTATATAATCGTGCCGTGCGCCAGTAGTCTAAAAAATCAAGTTCCTTTGGCAATTACAATGTGGGAACTTGGAAGCTTCCAATTCCAACCACAGCTCTTCTTCATCACGCCTTCCATCGTCGGCATCGTCGGCATCGTGCCAATACTCTTCGATCTGGCATTTGTCCTGTGCAGATATGTGAGCAGCCCAGGTCAGTCGCCCTCCTGCCCACCAAGGACCGGAACCCAGCGCTCCTCTTCTACCTCCGAGACTTCGCCTTGATCATCCCGGATGCATGGTTTTCTGCATATCGCTTGATTACGATTGCACCATCGGCCTCATCTTTGCTCTGCCAATGGCCGATATCTCATGATCTGGATGACTGTCCCGTCTTGCAAGGGCAAACGAAGAAGAAGTTCCGGATGCACAAAGCAAATCCCGGTCCAAGGGCATGCACAATGACCAAACCCCGAATTGATTGCGACAACACCGAACTTCGTAACATCGTATGGCAGCACATACCAGCTTATCTCGGGGTCTGGTATATTCGTCGTACACGAAGTATACTCTAGCAGATCATACGACAACTCGAAAGTCAGGCATCTACACCCGAAAATGTTACGATAGCATTGTCGGCCTAGATGCATCATCACTGCATTGACGATGAGTAGCACCGAGCTGTACGCGGTTTCGGAAGTGTATGGTGAACAATAACGATGGTAAGTCAGATATATAAACCTCGTTCGTCAGGACGATGGACAGGACCATCACACTCAATCATCACAACTTCCAACTGCAATATAATCATTCTTTGATATATCAATCACCTCCAACATGGTCGCTACCATCAAGAAGTACAAGGCTGCCGCCGTCAATGCCGAGCCTGGCTGGCTCAATCTTGAGCTCTCAGTTCAAAAGACCATTCACTGGATCAACGAGGCTGGTCAGAATGGCTGCAAGCTGATTGCCTTCCCTGAGCTCTGTATGTATGTCCTTTACCATGACACTTGCACGCTCTCTAATAAGTTCGAACAGGGATCCCTGGCTACCCTTACTGGATGTGGCGTGTCAACTACCAAGAGTCATTGCCTCTTCTGAAGAAGTACCGCGAGAACAGTCTTCCCAGTGACAGTCCTGAGATGCACCGTATTCGTGCAGCTGCAAAGGAGAACCAGATCTTCGTTTCTCTTGGTTACTCTGAAGTTGATCTGAACTCGCTTTACACTACTCAAGTCTTGGTCTCACCAACCGGTGATATCTTGAACCACCGCCGCAAGATCCGCGCTACTCATGTCGAGAGACTTGTCTTTGGAGATGGTGTGTAACATGACATTACAAGAACTGAAGACAGATCACTGATGAAGATATGGCAGGCACCGGCGACACCACCGAGTCGGTCGTCGACACAGAGATCGGTCGCATCGGCCAACTCAACTGCTGGGGTATGTGTTCGATCCCTTGCCATCGATTTCTGCATAGACTGACTCGATACAGAAAACATGAACCCCTTCCTCAAGTCCTACGCTGTCAGCAAAGGCGAACAAGTCCACATCGCCGGCTGGCCACTCTACCCTCACGCCACAACCCTTAAATACCCCGATCCCTACACCAACATCTCCGATGCGAACGCCGATATCGTTACTCCCGCCTACGCCATCGAGACTGGCTCCTTCACTCTTGCTCCTTTCCAGATGATTTCCAAGGAGGGCGTTGATTTGCAGACACCTCCTGGCAAGGAACGCGAAGACCACAGAATCTACAATGGAAACACCAGAATCTATGGTCCTGATGGTCAGTTGCTGATCGCCAAGCCCAGTGACGACTTTGAGGGTTTGGTGTATGTTGACATTGATCTTGACGAGACGCATTTGAGCAAGGCTTTGAATGACTTCGTAAGTGCCTCCGTCAATCCAGTCTTTGCGCTGGTTGATAATGATGCTAATATATGTGAGCAACAGGGCGGTCATTACATGCGTCCCGACCTTCTTCGCCTCGTCGTTGACACCGACCGCAAGAGTCTGGTCAATAGAGTTGATGGAAGCGGCAAGTTCATCGTTGAGAAGACAGTTGATCGCGTGGGTTTGAGCACTCCTTTCAAGGACTTGCCTATTGCCCAGAAGAGTGAGAGCAACTCCGTTGTTGCCCAAGATCAAGAGTAAGGAGTGACTGTAGCCATGCTAGCTGTAGCTTAGGTTGAGCAATATCTCCACTCTAGAAATTCTACTCCGTTCGTTGAGATATGCATATCACGTTCACCGTTCGATCGAGTATCATCCATGAGCAGTCTAAGTAGTGATTTGCAACATTCGATTGCTGGTTCAATCTCCACCCAATCTAAATCGCAAGACTTCAGCTGCAAACACATCATCTCTGTCTTGCGTGCCTAAGACCTTCTTCTTGCCAATCTTTCTCGTAAGCTCATTCAATGCGTTTGTTAGCCCCATGAGCAGTTTTCGAAGCCCATCCCTCTGTTCCCACAACAACTGCTCATCATTCATATCCAGGTGGACAGAAAGGACAAGACCAAATATATCTTCAATGCACTTCCTTAACTTGTCGTGGCGAGAGCGCAAGAAGAGGCGAGAGCGAATGGTATCAAGCATATCGTTGTGCTTGTCGCGCAAATGCGAGATTCCGAAAGTCACTCGTTGGCCAAAAATTCCTTCTTCGTCTTCAAGCGCCAGATCTGCTTCTAACTTGTCAAGCATGCGTTGAAACTCTTTCCAAGGACCAGCAACACCAATGTCGAAGAAGTAAGATGCGAGTCCGGATACACAACTCCAAGCCTCGTGAGCAAAAGCTTGTAATGCAGATGAACTAGGCTTTTGTCGTGCGGTGCTCCGTAGCAAAGTGACAAAATGCAACATTCTGAGCATACCCAGCAAGATGCGGAAACAATCATCATATTTCGCCATTGCATTATCGTCAAAAATCACATTCAACGGCGTAGAAGCTTCATATCTCAACCGCAGAAAGTCAAGCGCATGGATACTGTTAGCATCCAGACATTTCTCAATCTCGGCATCATTGAGTTCGCGGATAGCAAAAGAGAGATTGCCGGGTATGTCGTTAGAACCATATGCTTCAGATAACACACCCATCAAGCCGAGCCGCAACTCTGAAGATGCTGGTGGCCATTGTTTGGAACGATTATCTAGACGTAACCCACGTGCATTGGTGTCGGAAGTGAATAATGCAGTTGTGAGACGCTGGACGAAGAGGCCATTTCCTAGAAGGTGGAAGGAGTGATTCAAGGCGAGGTTGTCGCGCAGAGAAAATTGTCGAAGAAGAAGACGTAGGAGGGTGCCATTTAGGAGGCGGCTTTGAACGCCAAGGTATGGTTTTAGATGATTTAGTGTTGTCCTCTCAAGATGTCGCAGGTCGAGACTTGAGCTCTCCTTGTTGCTCTCGGTCTCGAGCATCTTCGCGACCAGAAGACGAATGCCAACTGCGTCAGCCGTATTTGCAGGCGCTTCAGAAAATCGAGTTCCCACATTCTCGAAATAGGTCTGCTGACCTTCGTCAAGACTCCATGGCAACTGCTCTGATGTGAGGTGACATGGTTGCTGCTGAGCATCTGCGTCACGCGGCTTTAGGTCTTCCTTGCTATACTTAGACATAGCAAATAGAAGGTCCTGTTGGTACTTATTCGCCTTCTCAACAATCCGTTCAAAGTCAACAGATGTTTGGGATAGCTCCAGTTCGGAACTACCAACACCCCAAGAAGCAGGAGACAACAGAGGATGATCAGGTGCAGCGTCTTTCAACATAGCAATGCCAGTCATGACTTCTGTAATCTGTGCATTGTCTTCAGAAGAAATATGAGCACTATTCTCAAATATATCGTCCTGGACGGGCAAGTCGAAGTGTTGATGTGTCAGACCGGTCTTCTGACAGATGGCTTGAAGCCATGGCTGAGAGACTTGATTCAATATCTCGGCGTGAAGGTCCTGAAATTGAGAACAAGCGTTGGTGAAACAATCGATAGTGTCATGACAGGCAGATAGGAAAGCAGTATCGGTGTTCGCTCCTGAGGTGGCGTTGATCAGATGTCTCATCTCGCTCAGTAGAACAGCGGGGGTGTCGAAGTAAGCGAGGAGCTGTAGGAAAGACGTGGCAGCCAGGACTCGGTCGGACAAGTTTTGATCGAGAGCTTCTAGCACAGCCTGTACAGTGGTCGCAAGTGCAACGCGGGCAGCCAAGGGGTGTTTGTTGGTATATGAAGACTGGACAAATTGTCTCAAGTCGACAAAAGCACAGCCAACAGCCGTCAATTGATGAAGTAGACTTTGATAGGCAGTGCTGCTCAAACCAGACAAGCGCGCATTATCAATAGTTGGCACAAATGTCTTGTCGTCTTTCTTCCATTGGAACAGGGTGGACGACCTGCCTAGGCCCAGGAGAGCCAGGGATTTTAGCGTGAAAGCAGATCGAAGGACGTTGGTGTTATCAGGCTGGAGGGCATCGAATGCGCGGGGACCAGCATCGGAAAGGTACGAGATGGGTGACTCGGTATAGCCGTCGTGGGCAAAGGCTTCCCATGTACGCAAAGAGGCATGCTGAACAGGGGTAGTGAGGTCAAGCTTCCACAAGTCGTCAAGTTCGTTGGAGTGGCTTGTCGTAGATGTCTCGAGGTCAATGGCGGTGGGAGCTTGATGGGGCTCTTGGTTGGGGTAAAGGTCGTCGAGCTTGCCGAATTCGAAGTCGTCCAGGTGTGGCAGTTGCAATTCGGCATCGAAATGGTGGTTGATCAAGGGCAGTTCTGGTTCCTCGTGAGCGAATCATTTCATGTGACAGGTAGTGCGTCATGCTCACCGAACTGCGTGTCGGTGATGAGAGTCTCTCCAGGCGCATCAGACAGACTGAAGGCAGATGGGCGCCAGAAGTCGGGCACGTCGAAAGGACCATGCTCGCCGTCCATGCCATGGGTCGTGGTTGGTCGTCGTCTTGATCTTGTCGTATTGATGCCGTCTCGGAACCACCTGACGCGACTTCCCGACGCGTGCCAATGAGACATCCCACATCCAATTGCACCACATCCACTACCACCAACCTTTTGCCATGTCCTTTCTTTCTCTTGGTATATCGCTATTGACCCGACCAAACCTTGGACTATTCGCGCATTCCTTGCCATCATGTGCCGCCATCGCTCCGTTTTCGACAACCATAATTTGCCATACAGCAAAAGCTGACCTATATCGCTATCGCTACCACACCGATCCTGAATCCCGAAAGGCTGAGAAGTTGCGCTCCAGAAATCGGGAGAGATCTAGGCGATACCGTCCTGCCGAATTGCAACGACACGTCCTTCTGTACAAAGAGAGTTCTGCTTATCGTCGTATACGTGGCCTAGCTAGATTCATTTTTTATCACGACAAATCCGGCGCGCTCGACAAGAATTGGTCGTGGAGAAGCCATGCTCCCGTCATATATAACACCCGTGTTGATCAACACTGTACAGCTCGCGACAGAGAGCGCTATTTGGCTCTCTGGTGAAAGGAGAAAATTAGCACCTCACCCACAGACGAATCTCGATACATGTGTAATGCTTGTTTTGCAAGTGATCCTGACCGTATCATGCCTGAGAAACATCCTGCCAAACTGCCTGGCTTTTTCACAGACACTGACGACAAGAGAGACGATTCGTGAAATATTGCCATTCCGCTTTCTTTGCTCGATTGGATCTACGCCCACTTTCCAAGCACACTCATCAGCACTAGTCCGGCAATCAAACTGATGGCAGCTGGTACGACGTGTCTTATGGGTGCTTTGCTCAATTCTCCATGCATCCAATCATGCGCCAGCATCTCCACCAAACCTACATAAAGCAGGATTCCAGCACTTAATGCATCTAAAGTGCCGATCGCAATGATGGTTGAGGGATCGTTACCATTGAATTGATTCAGCACACCAATACCAATCGCCATTCCAATCGGTGTGACAATGGCAAAGGCTGTAGCCATGAGGAGTTTCTCCACCATCCGGACCTGGAGATCACTAATGCGGGAGCCAAGTGCGAGGCCTTCAAACATTTGGTGGAAGACGATCACAATGAAGAGAGTGATGAACCCTGAGTCACCAGCAACGACAAGCGTGAGACCAATCACTAGAGCTTGTAAGCACGAAATCGCGGACCTTCGCAGCAGGCCACTTACGCAGCGAGTGGAAGATGATGCCAGCTTCCATGATGTTGACTTTAAGTTTCTGCAAAGCAGGAGATTGTGTATGAGCGTCTCCAGAGTGTATGAGGTGGTGTGAGACCGGTGCTGCATTGGTTTTGACTCTCTTCGGGTCATGATCCTGGTCAGGAATTGGAGATGCAGAAGTGGCATGCTTCGACAGACGCCAAAGGAAAACTCTGGCCCCAACATACTCAGGAACGAAGGAAAGGACAATACCCGCCATCACGATTGCTGCAGTCGTGGCTTCATATTTGAGACCACCCAAGCAGTGATTTGCGAACATGAGTTCTGCATGGGTGAAGAGCTGAGGATCATCAGAATCTGAGCTGATCGAGTATGGCTATTGAACTTACATGAACAAGCGCAGTCGAGATGATGACGCCAGTCCCAAACTGCTTGATGATAGACATGGCAACACCACCATTCTTGAATCGGCCGAGCGAGAGGAAGATTGGTCCGAAGACACCAATGGATGCCGTGGCAAGGATGGCAAAGACGAGACCAATACGGAGAGGGATGTTGTAGTCCCGGTTGACGGCTTCACAAGTGCCTTCGACAGTGTTGCCATTCTGATCGACACAATGCCTCATGCATGTCAGATCATATTACAGCTGTAAAGTGAGATCTGAAACTTACTCGACACCTGCATGAAAATGGCAACTGACTCCATCAGCCGAAACTTCTCCAGCTGGTTCTTCTCCGTCTGCCGTCTGTGCTTGAGCAAGAACCTCGCTACCGGCAGGCGACATGCAGAATCTGTCATCGTCAGATGCGGCATGTCAGTGGTGTAAAGCGGAACTTACAGCTGTGACCCATGAGCATGACAACCCGTGTACTGAGTCGGCAGTTCTCCTGTCGCGGTCGCAGGAATCTTCATGAGGTATTCTGTAGCGCTAGGGCCCATGCAGAATTGCTGGGTTTCGTGCATATGGCAACCACTGAGTGCTGTCACTTTGGGTGTTTCAACAGAATCGGTCACTGCGGCTGAAGTCACTGCTGGAGAAGTTGTACCGCTTGCATGCTCATGAGAAGCTCCATCGTGAGCATCCTCGGCAATTACCTCGACTTCTTCACCTTGGGGATCGAAACAGAACCTAGCCATGTTAGCTAGTTGCTTACGAGCTGACTGTTCGGTTAACTTACATTTCAGCTCCGTGGGCATGACATCCAGTGTATTCTGATGGCAGTTCTTCGGTAGCCGTGGCAGTAGTCAAGACTTCGTACTCTGCTTCACCGGCGAAACAGAATTGAGTGGACTCGTGCATATGACAACCTGTAATGGCAGTGGGAATAGCAGACGTATCGACGAGTGTTGTGCTAGGGGCCACCGTCGTTGAAGGTGCTACTGTTGCTGCACTGCTCAGAGTTGTCCACGGCACTGTGGTGCCATCACGCAAGCAGTTCCTGAGAATTGGTTAGCCTATGTTTTCATTTTGTCGAGATAGACCTACACTACGCCGCTTTGAGTAGTGCATGCTGTCAGAGACAATGTTCGTAGTGACTGTGCATGCACGAGCGCAGCCCCGATAGGTAGTAGAAGTAGAGAACCACGCATCTTGATTCAACAAGTAAGTCTTGCAGATTGCTTGATCACGATTCCTCTCACACGACGACTCATGCATCTTTATATCCAACCCAGTCTCGGAGACACCCACCTACCGTACGGATAAAATCTTCACTATGCATGCTAGACGACACTCCACTGTGCCCACGTAAACTTGGCAAAAAACGTGATGACCACATCTTCTTACCATCTTCGGGCGGTCAAATCCTCCACCAAGACCTACAAAGCATACCAAGAGCCTTGGAAAAGCCATCTTGCACGCGTTGAGCAACAGTTCTGCTGCAATCCAAGGCATACACTGCCTCACTGTTGAGAAGCAAAGTGATGCTTGGCTACCTTGATGGTCAATGCCAAGGTATGCGTTTTGCAAGACCTCGAGCTGGGTGGAGAAACCACCGACACCGCTACATACTGATATCACTTGGCAGACAGGCATGTCTGGACTGTTTGTGAAGCCACATTGTAATGGTTTGGTCTTGGTATAGACATGTGCTTGCTCAACATCGGCCATGGCCAGCTTTTTTCACCTGAGTTGGCTCGATATATCGACCACTCGGGTGTTTCTAGGCATTTAGGATGCAGAGAGAGTATCCGAAGGTGGCTACGGTAAATTTGCAAAATTCTCGTCAATGGTCTGCTATGGTCAATGCCCGGGAAAGGATGTAGACATATAAAGCGTCAAGGTAGGTGCAACTCGTTTGAAAGAAGTCATCAAGCATAGCTCCTTCCTCAGCACTTTCAAAGCTTCTTCTTTTTCTCCGCTCTTGGAAACATGCGTTCTCAACTCCTCATCACCACAGCACTTGCAGCAACCACGCTCGCCACCCCCATCCTCAACCCCCGAGACCTCACCACCATAACCCTCTCCCTCCCAACCGCAACATCCTACCCCCAACCCGCCACCACAATCCAAGGATTTCCCATCCACTCCTCCTGCAACGGCACCGAAAGGAACCAACTCGAAAAAGCACTCGGCGACACTATCAAGCTTGCTCAACAAGCTGCTCAGCATATCTATACTCATGGTAATGGGTCTGCGCTGTATACAAAGTATTTTGGTACAGCTGCTACTGCGGAAGTTATTGGATGGTATGAAAAGTTGGTTCATGGGGATCATGAGGGTGTGATGTTTAGGTGTGATGATGTGGATGGAAATTGTCATCAAGAAGGTATGTTCCTCTTACACCTTGTACTCACATGTGGATACTGATAGCTACATTGCTTTAGGCTGGGGCGGCCACTGGCGCGGCGAAAACGCAACAGACGAAACAGTCATTTGTCCTCTGTCCTACACCTCACGCCAACCCCTCGAAGCCTTATGTGGAAATGGCTACACCGTCGCCAACGGCAAACTAGCAACCTACTTTGCAGCCGATTTGATGCACCGTCTCTACCACACAACCAAAATTGGCGAAGGCGCTGCTGAGCACTACGCAGATACTTATACCGAGTGCCTCGAATTGTCCAAGGAGAATCCTGCAGAAGCTGTTCGCAATACTCACACTTTGCAGTATTTTGCTTTGGATGTGTATGCTATGGAGGTTGCTTTGCCTGGCGAGGGATGTACTGGTAAGCCGGATGAGGAAGAGAGTGGTGATTCTCATGCTGCTGCTCCTGCCTCATCTGCTCCCTCGTCTAGCGTTGCTTCTACCGCTGCAACTACTGCTGCTAGCTCCACTGCTACCCAAAACGCTTCCAAAACCACGAGCGCAGGAACTGTAAGTTTTTAGCCCATAATAACCAACACAGACATAATCAGTGTATGTATAGACTGACACTATTATGAACAGGAATGTCACACTCATGCTGGTGGCGAGGTGCACTGTGCTGACGTCGCTCCTACCGAAACAGCCTCCAAGACCACCAGCGCTGGAACTGTAAGTTATCACCTTCCTTACCTTTCATAGTGACGAGAACGCGATACTGACTCTTTGATTCTAGGAATGCCACACTCATGCTGATGGTGTGGTTCACTGTGCCTAAGCTTAGCTTAAACCCAAAGTCATTGCAGGGAATGCTGGAGACAGACAAAAGATACAAGATTCGGACTAATGATCGAACATTTAGTGATGCTACCTAGCTGTTTTCGGTATGAGCATGCTGGACGAGCAGGCAAACAAACCGAGCGAGCAAGTTGAGGGAGCTTGTTGTGTGACCCGGTTGTGTGAGCTGCTTGGCTTGTTCGACCGCGTGAGTGATTTTGCGGCCTATAGTAAAACAACCATCAAAGATTTTCTTACACTGCTCATACCAATTTTTTCGAACTTGACTTTGATATCGTTGCTTCCCTTTGCGAGTACACAAGATACCTTTGCTCAGATGCAGAATGATGGTCACTTCACAGAGGTCACTGCTCGAGATACCAACCGTACAAGGCTGTCCGCTCTTAGAAAAGCTACCAATCGAGTTACGCTACATGATCTGTGATCATGTCTTCGCAGACCGCGCCGAGATGTGACTGCTCACCCGCTCATGCTAGTGTGCAAGCAAATACAAGCAGAGGCCATCGACGCAGCTACACTGATCCTAGGACCGAGGATCCAGATGTGCATGGGCGTCAATACCAAATCCGTCGTACATTGGGTCCAATACCGCTTCGAGGAAGACGAACCCTTGCGTTATCTTCAGAAAGCCCGCGCTTCTGGTCGCCCTGAGTGGTGGGGATACCATGCTTTCGGTAGATACTTCTTCGGTCCCCAACTCTCACGTCGCATGCGGACGATCTGGATTCGTTGGGAATCCACGAACACGCTGTTTGCGATTGTATTTCGGCCTGGATGCCTATCGCCTGAGGTCGTCTTGCGATCCTCGGGTAGGCTCGCCGCGACCAGAACACGCGTAACACCCGAAGACGCATATAAGATGTTCCAGGCTTTGGCTGAGAAGTGGCGATCTCATAACTCAGGTTGGTCGCTGGACTGGATTGAGACCTGTATCAAGGATCTGAGAAAGGGGTGGGAGGGTCTACGAGAAGAGGCTAGGTGGATGATGTTGCGCGAACGAGAATGCTTAGACACTTGGTGAGCCCATCTAGATAGACTCCTGATCAAAGCCATGAATCAATAGTACGACTATCGAAAGACAGAAGTCAGATCGAAACCCGATTGTGTCCGGAGAGAGTGCCTTCCCCTTCCATATTGGTTGTGGCCAGATTTATTCTGTGGAGGATCATTGTTAACAGAAACTATCGTGCATTTCGACAGCTATCCAATTAGCATTGCTGCAAGAAGGAAGCGGTTTCTGTCTTTATCCAGGTCGCTTGGGTTTCTGTTTACTCTGGTTCTTTGCCAATGTCAATCGGATACTTGTCACCTTTGTCACTCTTGTTGCCTTTGCCGTTCACAAATATCACGAGCATATGATCGAAACCATTTCTGATGAAGGCAAACGATCACAGAGAAGATGTAGAGGGATGTGGCAGTACAGTCACCGCCTTTGCAGGCTTGGCGTTTGCTTCCTGCCAAAAAGGTTGTTCTTAGGAGTCATGCTCCGTGGAAGATGGCGAGTGTCATGATCTTTCTGACCATTCCAAATAGCATGAGTAATAAGAAAGGCTCTTCAACACTGATCAGCTCGAACAAGATGGGCTCAGACTGAGCTGAGTCTGCGAGAGGCAGCTGTAAAGAGGCCAGTTTCGAAGTGCTGGTCGCCGAGAGCGAACACCCATCTTGCATCGCTATCGTGATGGTCTGGCTGATCGTCCACAGTATGTGGGTCAAGCAGTAGAACATCATCGTGCTACTAGGAGTAGGTCACTCTTCTACGCACGAGACCAGCCAAGACACGCCGAGCTGCCCAATCCTTCGTATTCCCGAAATGACTCTTCGGACATAACTTGTGGTTCAGTCTTCTCGACAACCTTGTTGCAACAAAACTTTTGCAGAGCGCGCGAAAGGACAAGCAAATTCAATCGAACCATACACTCGATGTAAGTTAGATGTTTTGATGCCTAGCAGCACTACATCATGGTTATAAAACTGACTTGATCAGGGACCCAGCACAGAATGCTCGGACGCCTGCCCAGACCCTAGTTACAGCATACCTTTCCTATTCTTTGCTTGCCGTCTCATGTATACGCCTATATGCCCTGTGGAGCAACAATCTTGCCACACGATTCGACGTGCTCATCTGCCTCTGCGCTTCCAGCCAGGTTCTTGCAGAGATACTTCGAAAAGCAACCACAGAGACCAAGCTGCCTCATGAGTTAGTAGATCTGGACACCGACGGCGAACATGCCTCAACCCAGCCTGATACGGAAATGTCCCCATCCACTCTCAGATCTATTGCAGCTTTTCTTGAAAAGAGAAAAGCAACTGCTGAAGTGATAGCCATTGCTGCTATCCTCCGAGTTTCTTGGAATCCCCTTGACAGAAGCAACCCGCTGTATGGCTGGACATCTGTCTTTGCTGGCTGTTTTGCTGGTGTTGCTCAGCTTTACATTCGAGAACGCATGCAGAAGGAGTATTGCTCGGTTGAGGACTGGGTAGTCTGTTATGTTGGGATGTGGATAGCATTTCTTGCATGAAGTATTGCTATGGATTCAGAGGCAGAGACGACACTGGTCGCGCCTCGAAAAGCTATGATTCTGCCTAGCCATTTGGCTGTTTGGCCTCTGGAGATAAGAGAAGAGTATAAAGGAGGAAAAAGGAAAAAAATTGAAATAAAAATTAATCTTATCGTTCGCCAAACCTCATGCCATCCGAAGCTAAAGATGCCGTTCATTTTCGCGCTGACTATCGAGAGCCGCGACTGATCTCGGAATAGTCATTGTATTGTGATGCAGACATTTACATTCGAGAGCGGTAATCGATCCTGTTATAGCCTTCCCCAAGAAATGAAAGCTCGTGTTTGACCGTTGTGACAGTTGCCTTTTCCGGCATCTGCCTTATACAGAGCTTCGAATTACACCTTCCATATTCATGATCTCATGTCGCATCTGACTGCTATACAATCTCTGAAATTTTGAGTATTAACATTACTGTTACTTACGAAATCCTCCTTCATGGAAAATACAATGACAGTAGCAAAAACTGGCATCCCGGCATAACAGCCGAATCTCCATTCTCCAAAATCACATCCAACGGCCAAAAATTCCGAAAGCTCAGCGAACGGTTGTATGGATCACAACAAAAACGGCTCAAGCTCGAGAAGAGTCCAAATACACGATTAGCCATGATACTTATCTCTCGAGTGGACCCATGCTCTTCGAGCTTCTTTGATCTCCAGGCCAACTTGATATATACGCAATATGAGTGATTCTCGCTATCGTGAGCTGAATTCTGAAGAGTCGAAGCGATCGTTTGAGACGACAAGCTCCGAGATGTTTCTGCAGCCTCCAAGGAAGCCGCTTTTGACGATGAGCGTAGGCACACACCAAAACCCGCAATGGGCATGCACAAGGCTGACGGTATAATAGTGGTTCAACAACAGACTCGTCATTATGATATCTTCAATTCTCATAGTGTTCAGCTTCCTTGAAGCTCTATGGCATCAGCCATCATTCATCTATGGATCCAAACCATACCGTATTGCCAAAGTATCCATGTTGTATGGTAACAACAAATTATATGAAAGAGCTCTGGAATCTCACACGCGACACGGAGAGAAATGGGGTTATCCAACATACATCAAGCGACAAAACGAATACTGTGGTTACTGGAACAAGCCAACCTTCATGATCCAACAAGTGGCACAAGAACTCGCCAAGCCAGAGCATGAGAGAGCAGAATGGTTGATGTGCGCACCTCTACTTCAATATCTCAATAAGAATATCACACTAATCGTCAACACAGGTGGGTCGACGCAGACTCCATAGTTCTCAACCCAAACATCCCAGCCGACATCTTCCTTCCGCCTCGTGAGTTCTCCCACATCAACATCGTCGCGGCACGCGACATTCAAGGCCTGAACACCGGTGTCTTCTTCGTCCGCGTACACCCTTGGACAATCTCAATGTTTGTAGATGGCATGGCCTTCCCCCTCTGCAACCCCAAGATCGAGCTAGGAAACGATGCCGACCAAGCCGCCATGGCCCGCACAGTCGAAAAATCCAGCGGAGGCCCTGATGGCTACGGTTTCAAACGTGGCATTGTCTACTTGCCTAAGAAACTGTTTAATAGCTATGAGTTGCCTGGATATATGAGGGATGGCAGAAAAGATGTGCTGAGAAACTTCACTGGATTTGTTTCACCACACGCTTTCGAAGGTCAAAAGGGAGATTTCCTCGTTCACCTGCCTGGACTTTTTGGAGATCGTGAGCCTTTAATGTCGGATTGGTTGGATATGGTTGAGAACCGTCAGGAGGATTGGGCTGTTCCTTTGGAAGAGACATCATACCTCAAAGACACACAGGCGTTCTGGAAACTGTATGGTGAGGCAGTTGCTACCATCAAGGAGGCCTTGAACAGAGACACTATCGACAAAGACATGAGAGATGCAGTTGGACAGCTCAGAGACGCATTGAGTGAGGAAGCCGACGATTCGAACAAGATTGTCGAATACATGAACGACCTGAAGCAGCTTCTTCACCCGGCGATTTTTTCTGAAGAATGATCAACAATATTGACATTAGCTTGGGCCTTACTGAATCAGGACAAGATGATAGGGGCTGGAAGAACTTTCATTTCAGCCACCACGGCCCACAAACCTGTTCAGCGCGCTGGCACTACCAGATTTACGACGAAGATTCTTTGTTCTCCGAGAGCAGAGCAGATATCGCGCCAATCGAGAAGCAGGAGCAAGCCGCCATATCCTAAGACGGAGACAGCGTCGACGTAGCGGGCAGTTGACACACAGTCACTCAAGACCCAAAGCTCTCTTCTTTCTCAGATGCAACTCCGTCCAACCATCCTTCAAATCCTTGATAAAGGCCTCGATCCACTCGCCTGAGCACACCGCTTCCTGGTTTTGTCACTTATTGACTTTTCGCAAACACATACACAACGCTTGTAAGCCGATGTTGGAGGACGACCAGCCGGCTTTGACGGAGAATTCGGGTGCCGCGCCGTCCCTGAATATAATGTCTATCTCAATCCAGTCACCCATCTTGATCTCCAGTATCAGGTGGCGCACCCTCGGCACCATCTGCATACCGAGTTCACTTCTCCGGAACGACTTCCACGGCTGATACGGACTCTTTGCATCCCTCCTCGACTTCGCTTTCACCGATCTCGTCTCAGGAAGCAAAATAGAAGTATTGTTAGTGCCCTGGATGGTGATTACCGGTCCTGTTCGATGTCTGCGATGATGGGTGATACATGCCATGTAAAAGGTCGCTCGAGGTCCGACGTTGCGTGCAAAAGCTTCTGTCGTCTCTTCTCGCAAGGCCCTCGATACTCGCATGAGTGGGTGGGGTAGTCTGACCTCGGAGTCGTCTGAGAAGACTGGGTCATAGATCATGTCTCGTACCTCTCGTGGGGCTTTGTTAAAGGGGGCGTTCTGTTGTTCATTCCTCGATCGGAGCTGAGACCTTGCTCGCTGTCGAATCGTGACAAGCATTTTGACATCCTGTCGAAGAAAACTTGGTCCACAGGTGTGGTAGCGTAGAGTGGAGGAACAGTAGTGTAGAATAGAGAAATTCATACATTCTGCGAGAGCCTGGATACTCTTAGATGGCTCAAAAGCCCGCCACGTGGAGCAGGCAGACAAGTTGCTTAAGCACGATCAGGCTGCAACAAGATCCGGAACAATTGAGGAAGTGGAGGCTGAATTTAGGCAGGCTGTAGAATATGAAATTTCGAAAAGAGAGCGTCGGTTGATGTGGGTTTATAGATCCTGAGATGACTCTTAAGGCACCGCCACGCAAGATTCAATTGCAACTTGCTCGATCCTGCTTGGCCTCGTGGTGAGCTTTCAGCTACGATTGAGGTGTGACGGAATGCGGATTGTCGGCCTAGTGAGTTGAATGGTCAGCGGAATACCTGACTAGCACCATGCCAACTCTGTACGAGGAATACAGCGAAAAGACACCAAATCACATAAGGGGTCGTGTGGTCGTTTGTAGAAGCAAAAACAAATCTGTTGTTTTTCGTATCATATTATTTTTCCGCAGGCCACCAGGGCCTATACGTAGATTACCACTTGGCTTCCTTGGAGGCCAGGAAGTCGTTCAAGATCTTCACAATGTTCTCGAGGCTGCTCAACCAAGCACCAAGCTCTTTCTCAACACGAGCCTGGTCGTCACCAAGCTTGGCGTAGAAGTCCTTGCGGTAGGGAGTTGCGCTCATGGCGGCGCTGAAAATAGGCTTGATCATGAAGCTGTGGTGCTTGCTGAGGGTGTTGCCGTAGGCAGAGCGGAACGAGACACTGACTTCCTCTCCGGAGTTGGTCAGGTTCTGGCGAAGAGCCTGGGAGGTGAAGTCGAGGGCACTGTGTCTTGGTCAGTACACAGAGCCACTGGTGTTTCTCCAAGGGACGACATACCGGTTCAACCAGACAAGACCTTCTGTTGCGGTGTGCTTCTTGGTTGCGAGCTCGCTGCGAACGAGGTCTTGGAGGGTCTCTGAGTCGACGGGAGCAGCAAGTTGACGGTCACGGATTTTCTATGGCAGATGAGCGGTTGAGTATACTAGTCGTGGGCATGAATAATACCTTGATGTTGCCGGTCATATCTGACTTGACGGGCTTGAAGGCGGTTGAACCGAGAACATCTGGCCTAATTAGAAGTTGACAGCAACAAGGTTTGGGTGAGCATACCAAAGAGAGTGGTCAAGCTCTCGCAAGCCTCAAGGAACTGAGTAGTGGCAATCTTGCCATTCTCGACAGGGACATCGGTGAAGCTACGCTTCAGGGTGTCGAAGAAGGTACCGCCGGGAGGGAATGCTGCCATTGTGTGTATTGTGGTTGTTGTAGAGGATTGACTGTCAGGACGGAGAAGGAGACGAGTACAAGAAGGGGCGATGTTGGTCAGGAGGTTTCGAGATTGGAAGCTACAGCCAGACTTGAATAGATTGAGGGGTTCGTTTCAACAACCAAGCACCGCCCCTGCCTCGTCACCCCTCTATTCAGCGGTGTGAGGCTTCCTTGGCACGTAAATATGTGGGGTAGCTTGTATCTTGACATGAGGGGCAAGGTTGCTAAAGACTCTCATCCTGTATTAGAATGTTGCGGTGTATACTAATCTAATGCAACTGGTTTGGGAGACGTCTTTCATGTCCTCAGGTGGTTCGCCAAAGCGATATCGCGAGCCCTCTCATCACTATTGATCGCAGACCGAGCCAATAGACTACTCCTTTGCATATCCCATAGCTTTGCGCCACCAAGCATATACACCACGGTCTTGCAGCTGTTTACCAAAATCGCTCACCGTATCCGTCTCATACAGACCAGGTCTTACTTGTGATTCCTTGGTGGGCTGATTCTCATGCTGGACAGCCGCTGGACGAGCGACTAGCTGATAGTCCTTGTAACGGAGATTCTATTCTCAAGTCAGTCGTATGGTCATAGGTAAATACACTTGGAGTTTAGACATACATGAACAGATTCAACCCATTGCCTGACACCATTCTCTTCTCCTTCAACATACATGAGGCCAGGCGAGCTTCCGCTCCTCAACAGAGCAAAGACATTTGTGGCATCGGCAGCTTGCTTGAGCTTGGTCACCTTCTTTCTCGAAGTTATGTGATGCGTGCGAATTAGAGCATTGAACATGAAAGTGACTGAGGTGTGGTTTGACAACGTGAATGAGGTGAAACGCAGAGATGAAACTCTCACACGCGACTGCCTGACTCGTTTAAACTTTCCTCTAGAGTGAAAGCATCTGGCGCATTCTAGAAGCTTTGGTCGTCACAATCACATGCAACCTTTACTCTTCGTTACACAACAACCACTTCACATTCCTTTCAGCTATCAACACAACACATCATGGATCAAGCAAAACTTGGAGCGGAAGCACTCAGCGCAGGTAACTATGCCGAGGCTATCAAACAATACACGGCCGCCCTTGCAGTCTCACCAACATCGCCCGACTACCTTATCAAACGATCTACCGCGTATCAGAGAAGCAGCCCGCCGGACTACGACTCTGCCCTCGCCGATGCCAACAAGGCTGTCCTCGACGCACAAAAGAGAGGAAAACGCGAACTCATCCTTCAGGGTCAGCTGCGACGAGCAATAGCACTCTTTGGCCTTGAGCGTTACCCAGATTCGAAATTCTGCTTCGAGGTCGTCAAACGTATGGACTCAAAAGAGAAGACATTGCCTATCTGGGAGAATAAGATCGCAACAAAGATGGCTGCCATGGATGGAGCAAAGGATGTGACTATCAAGGAGACACCCGATGAGGAAGAGGTGAAGAACGACAAGGCTGACTCAACACCCACACCGACTGCCGCTGCTACACCTGCACAACCCGCTGCAGTGGCCCAAACCCCCGCCGACAAGATTCGTCACGACTGGTATCAAAACAACGACAAGGTCTACTTCACTCTGCTTGCAAAGGGCGTTCCCAAGGACAAGGCCACAATCGACATACAGCCCCGCTCTCTCACCATCTCCTTCCCTCTGCAAACCTCTTCCGACTACGACTTTTCGCTCGAACCTCTCTTCGCTGAGATCGATCCTTCAGCTTCTACATTCTCCATCATGTCCACAAAAGTCGAAGTCGTACTCAAGAAGTCACAGCCCGGTCAGAAGTGGCCATCACTCGAGGGCACTGAGTCCCCAACCGAGGCCGCAAAGTCCACGCCATCAGTCGCTTCAGCGCCCATTCAATCGTCTAGTACCGCACAGAAAGCTCCTTCTTACCCTACCTCCTCTCGCAGTGGGCCTAAGGACTGGGACAAGCTCGCCTCAGAAGCCCTAGCCAAGCCCAAGACCGGCGACTCAAAATCTGGAAGCAAGATGGAAGAAGAGGATGATGATGAAGGTGGTGACCCAGTCAACGGCTTCTTCAAGAAGCTCTACGCTGGTGCTGACGCAGATACCCGCCGTGCCATGATGAAGTCGTTCAGTGAGAGCAATGGTACTGCTTTAAGCACGAACTGGGAAGAGGTCAAAAAAGGCAAGGTCGAGACGAGTCCTCCTGAAGGTCTTGAGGCTAAAAAGTGGTGAGCTTGGGGCGCGGTCGACTTTGAGAGATGATCTCTTTCCACAGATATCTGTCATAATAATCTTCAGGGTTTCAGGGTTTATCTTTAAGCGAAGCAGTGCCGAGGATCAGGCATATAGCAAGGTGCTATGGAGTCAGTAATCACTTTCTCGTCTAGCGGCATTTCGGTTTCGATAGCATCAGTCCAATCTCAATTCGGTTCGAGTCAGTTTGTACGGTTCTTATAGCGAAAGGAGAGAAGGTGTCTTGAGTGGTCTCGTCAAAAAGAGTGGTATGGCTGCTCCATAGTGAGAGAGAAGGGGTATCTATATATGCTACGCTACGCTATGCTAGTCAAAGAGAGGAGAAAGTAACAGGATCTTTTTTGGACACATCTTAAAAGAAGTCATCAAAATCGAAACCGTCTCCATCACCACCGTCAGAACCTCCTTGGTTGCCCCAAGGATCATCCTGTTGCTGTGGCTGCTGAGCCCAGGGATTTTGTTCACCCGAAGGGCTTTGCTCGCCCCAGGTAGCTCCTTGTGATTGACCAATGTTGCCGTCGTTTTGGTACGGATCAACAGGGGCTTGAGGGCTTGCGTCGTCGGGTTGTTGGTTTCCCCAGCCGCGATGCATAGCTTCTGATCCGGCGATTGTGCCTGCACCAACGGCTCCTGCTCCCATGGCCTCTGTACCAGCACCTCTCGCGACACCACCCATAGCTCCTGCAGCACCTTCTGCAGCACCGACTTCGCCGGCTGCACCCCCGGCTGCACCACCCTCTGCTGCGCCACCCATGCCAGGGAACCAAAGCGGGAAGAAGCCACCACCACCCACATGACCGCTATGCCTCGAGAAATAGTCGAAATCAATACTAACAGCCGTAGCAAGCATAACAGCCCTCTGATCCAACGTCATAGCCATCTGCTCCTGACTCCCGTCCTCCAAAGCCACAGAATCCATTCTCAAAGCATAAACACCAGTATCCGTAAAAATTTCTCTTGCAAAACCGCCAAAGTTACGGTTTACACTGCCGATCTTCTTGTCGTCTGCGTCTTTGAGGGAGAAGTCCCAGGAGAGGAAGGGTTCGTTGACGTAGGCGAATTGTTGCATGCCGGCTTCGATGGCTTGTTCGGAGGTGTTTTCTGTGACTGTGAGGGCTTTGGAAGAAGTGTTGGGAGAGTCCCCGGAGGTGAGTTTTGGTGTTGAGTCGGACGGGGCAGCGATGGAGCGGTAGTTGAAGAGGTTGTATTTGCGGCGGAGGGGAGCCCATTGTTGTTGTGCTTCGCCGATGATGCGCATGTCATTGAGAGGAAGTGGTGAGATCTGCGCTGCGGAGGTTTGGTTGATGGTTGATTGGACAGAAGTGCCTTGTAAGGAATCTGACTGGGTATATTCGCCTGGAGTAGTTGGGTCATAAATACGAATGCGTGACGAGATCCATGAGAAAGGTCGATGAATACGCAAAATTTCCCTCTCGCTGTTGTCGAAAATGTGGCAGGTAAAACTACGGTGGGTCTTTGCCATCTGTCGTACTAGCATGCTTCCCATTCCGTGGTCCTGCTCAGCCATGTATCCGATTGTTTCTCCTCGACCATTCATGATGACGTATCTGTTGGCTTGCTCGAATCCAAGGAAGACATTCATCATTTCGATCTGTCGCTGAATGACCAGCGAGCTGTTGTTGAGCAGATGCCAGGCTGGATGACTTGCTGTGAGTACACCATTTGGGTCGTCTGGAATGGTCACAGGTGCGACGAGATCCGAGGACTGATTCTCGGCGAGAGCTGTGGCTACAAGAGCATTTTTTGACGGTTCTTCTGGTGTTTGCTGAGGTTGCTCGTCTGGTTTGTTTTGCTGATTTGGCTGTTGTGAGGACTGGTGGCGGCTATTTGCAGATAACGGAGATGCTCTTGATGGGCGAGGCGTCATTCGAGATGGCGTTCGTGACTTGTTGAGGATACTGCGTGGGCCTCGTGGGGCTCTAGAGGACGATACATAGCGTCGAGCCGCTCGCGATAGCAATACCTGGGGTCGTATTCCTGGCATGATTGTTGTATGAGTCTAAGAAACAGCTCGAAGAATGACGATGGTTTGTTCTCGGGCCAGGGCTTAACTCCGTTTCGGTTCGTCTTGCCGAACGCTCGAAGCTTTGGCCATATCAAGAATAATTGGCAGTCATGTCGTTCTCGTTCATACTCATGTGCAGCATCAACTACAATTATTTCTGTGACGACTTTTGCGAATCAGGGATTGCAAAACAAAATTAACATCCTGGTAAGTCCACGTCAATCTCTGTCATACACACTTCAAGTCGCTCCAACAAGTAAGAGAATTCCGCCAGTCGTGGAAAGAAAGAAGGAAAAAGATTGGCCCAGCACATAATTGCTAGCATCATGCTAATGTCAATTCTCCATCAACAATGTTTTTTCGGGGTCAACAGGTACTCCATTTTTTGTCATGTTGTCTTCATTGTTTGTTGCAAGTCACGAATTCATCTAACAGAGACGATAGAATTCACAATCTTGGTAGCCAACTTGATTGCTACATCCATAGGCAAGATGGCTGGCTCAGAGCCTGGCGCAAAGACAGGCTCGAGGCTCGATGTACCAACACCAAAAGATCAGGCCTCGAAAGATTCATCCGTACAAGACAAGCCTAAACCTGTCAGGACACGGCCACAAAAGCCCAATTACTTCTTGATACATTCAAAACCTTTACCTCTAGAGACACATCCTCTTCCAGCTTTTGTACCACAAAACCCTCTTTCTCTTCTCCGAATCGCCTACATCTATCTTTCGCAGCTTATTTGTAGACCATCTTCACACAGGGAGGTGCCCATTACTGGCATTTTCAGCTCTGAGACACGGTCTGTTCATATCACGGATCATGCCTCTGTTCGTGCTCTGTGGGAGATGGGTTTCTTTGGCAAAGGTACAATGTCAAGAAGTGAGCCAAGTTGGCTAGACAGAGAGAAAGCCCGACTGAAGGCGAGCAAACATGGTGGTGGTACTGCCGAAGAGAACACCAGAAAAAGAAGAGAAGAGAGAAAGCTGTTCAAGCTTGAAAGAGCCAGAGCAGAAGCTGAGCAGATTGAAGAAACTCTACGAAGGGAACGAGAAGCGCTAGAAGCTGCAAAGGGAGCAAAGGATGCGGAAAAGGCTACTGAAATCGCCATCTCTCATGTCTTTCCCTGGATGCAACAGCAGGACAGCGATGCAGAGTTCAAGGAGGAAACTAAGGCTGTGTCTGCAGAAGATACGAAACCTCAAGAACCAGCAACGAATATCGTGGAGGTGCCTGTCCTTCCCACAGGCACTACTATTCACACAACTGGTATACCTGAAGATACTGCTATCGTCCAACCCGAAGAAGATGCACCAATCACAAACCAAGAGCATCTTCAGCTAAATCTTGAGGAATCCTTCTTCTTGTCCTACGCCCTGGGCAGCCTTCGAATTCTCGATTCCAACACAAAGCAGCCTCTCTCCACACCCTCCTTACTGACTCTCTTCCGACAACACTCACACTTTCCCATGGCACAGACTGCCGCCTTACGTTCAGACGACCCTTTTTTGCTCAACTATGTTGTATACCATCACTATCGCTCTCTGGGCTGGGTCGTCCGACCTGGTGTGAAATTCTCCTGCGACTTTCTGCTCTACAACCGTGGTCCGGTGTTTTCTCACGCCGAGTTTGCTCTGATTATTATCCCTGAATATGCAGAGGGAAGCGTGGAAGCGGCCGAAGGAAAAGGCAAAATGGGTTGGTGGTGGATGCACTGTGTGAATCGCGTGCAAAGCCAGGTCAAGAAGAGTTTGGTCATTGTTTATGTCAAGGTGCCAAAAGAGTTACCGAGCACTCAGGGAGGGGAAATGGATATTGGAAGACTTCTGAGAGGATATGAGACCAGGGAGTTTGTGGTCAGAAGATGGTTGGCCAACAGAAGTCGTGATTGAGCGTCGTTGGGTCCTGTAAATGGCAAGAACTTGGTTGGAAAGCATGCTGGCTCCTTCTTCATGGCATCGTATCTAGTATATCTGATCCACTTCAGGCATCACTCCTGGATCAACTCATCACCATCAACATAGATCATCAACCATGTCTTTCTATCCAACCACAGATGGTTCAGTTGTGGAACTTGACGTGCTTGCTTTGGAAATCAGGCGTAAGAGGTCGAACTCCTCTCCATGTTGATCCGTAAATTGACCATTATCAACCAGGCGCCTGGCTCGATCTGCATACTGGGAATCTCTCTGGTTCTCGAGCCTGTTACATTGGGACAGAGGAGTGGCAGGGCTCTCACAGGGCCTTCCTCGTCCAGCGGCCAGAACAGTCTGTACCAACCTTCGGATCGAGATGGCGACCGACTACGAAAAGGGCAATGGAAGAACTCTTGGACATCGTCGCAACTGCCACGAATGGTACAGGTCGTTGACAAAGTACTCTGTCGACGCTCAATACAAAACACATCCTGTTCGGTAACAACTTCCATCGTCAGCATTCAGGGTCTACCGACTTCCATTACCGCACCGCCTCCACATCACCAACACCACCAAACACCTTCAAGATCAACAGTCACAAGCGCAACAATATTTTCGCACTCACTACACCACATCGTTCAATCAGCACACCATGACAACCTCGGTCGCATCAAAACGCCTATTTCAAGAATACAAGCATCTCACCCAAGACCCGCCAGATGGCATCACCGCCGGCCCCGTTGAAGAAGACGACCTCTTTGTATGGGAAGCATTGATTGAAGGACCCGAAGGCACTCCCTACGAAGGCGGCATCTTTCCCGCTGAGCTCAAGTTTCCCAAAGATTATCCTCTTATGCCGCCAACCATGAAGTTCCTTACCGATATCTGGCATCCTAATGGTATGTCCTCTCTCTGCTCACTACCGATTGAGGAAACATTGCGCTGACTTTAAGTACAGTCTATCCCAACGGCGTTGTCTGTATCTCTATCCTTCATCCTCCTGGCGACGACCCCAACCACTACGAACACGCCTCCGAACGCTGGAGCCCTATCCAGAGCGTTGAAAAGATCCTTATCAGTGTTATGAGTATGTTGGCCGAGCCCAATGACGAATCGCCTGCCAACGTCGATGCTGCAAGAATGTGGAGGGAAAGAAGAGCCGAGTTTGAGAAGAAGGTCAAGCAAGACGTCAGAAGATCGTTGGGACTTTGAGAGGGGGAACGAACCAAGAGCATCATTTGCATACAGCGTGGGCGTTTAACGGATTATGGCTTTAACATGAGGGAAACAAGGAAGAAAGAGCATGTGGACCGCAACGGGTCAAGCAGCAGAATACACAACATTCTCTTCTGCATCCGAAAATTCGTGTGAATTATAATGACAAGATGCGCTGCCCGAGAGGAGACTGGAAATCGCACGAGGAAACGACTGGAGAATGCTATGTCCTAAATCATGTCGCTCTCATCCTAGGCCTCGAATTGCACCACGCCGTACTTCGACTTCAACAGCGTCCATCATATCTGACCAAGTAGGTCTGGACCTTCAACTCAATATTCCCGACAGGTTTTTGCTCAGACAGCTTCATCCATACCTAGCTCTGAGATGTCCTTGTAGGCTAAACTTTCAAGCTGGTGAGAAGAATCCCGTGCTTTACCTTAGGTAAGCTCAGGAAACTCGTGACCTTCCCAACCTAGTATAAAATATCTCTCCTTCTCCCTTCTCTTCTTCTCCTTTACATCATCACTCGCTCTCATTTTCTCAGGTGGAGCGCCATGGGCGACAAGAGTATCTTGGCATTTGCCTTGGTACTCACATCGCCTGTGGCCAGAGCTAAGTCCCCCTTGCCTAATTGCTTCTCTCGATACACATGCTGACTACACTCATTATCGTTTTACAGGAAGAGGAGCTCTCTTCGGAGGCTCCAGCGTTCGGTTGCGTTCAAATTTTCTTTATCTTTTCTTCTTTTGAGGAGAATATGAGGTATACTTCGCTCAAGAGAAGTGCCTCTGAAGCAATTTTTCGGCAGTTTGTCCTTCGTTGGTATGATCTGGCTTAAAAGCTGGGTACTGAAGAAGGTGGTGGGTTGGTTTTGTGGTGCGTGTGATTGGTGTTTCGGTTTATGTTTTTGGTTGCCCCTGAAGCTTCATGTTTTGTTGCTGTCGCTGTGGGTGTGGCGAGGCTGCCACTGGGTATCTCGCTCATACTGTCGCAAACTTGATATCGCACGTTCCTCAAGATATCTAGATGTGTTTGTTTCGACAAATGTCTCTATTTTTTTCCTTTCTTTTTGCTGCTCGCTTCTGGCTTGCTCGGATCTTTAGCATAACCACCCTTTACGAAAGCGTCTCTCGCAGCAGAGTTGATCAATCTGAACCGATCGGGACCCAAATGCACACCACCATACCATCTCGTGACCACAACCATGACATCCCAGATATCGATCAGTTGCATAAGATGCAATAACCTCCCACCCGCAGCCGTCTCTCCATCATCATCGCAATCCTGGAATGCAGTCTCGTTGGGTCCATGAATGCGCCATGCCGTGATGTTATGTGTAGCTTTGGCGACTTTTTTGTCTGTTGCAAGCAAGTGTGCTAGATAAGACTTTGCCTCTGCTGGCGAAGACACCTTAGCAGCTCTAGCAACAAACACTGATTTCTTCTCTGTAATAACGTCCGAGAGAACCCACGGCGGTTCCTTGTCCAAGAGCAAGTCTAAAGACTGCATTTCGTCAGAGGGATCTTGGGTATGGCTTTCGTCGGCTTCAGAGGCGTTTTGCTGACCTCTCCTTTGAGCATCTTGTTGCTCTTGATACCCTTGATTTTTGCTGGTTTCTTCGTTGTACTGCTGAAGTCTCTGAGTGACTTCTTCCATGACATCGAATATGCATGGGGAACCTGGTTGATAGACTTGTGCCAGCACATCACGGGCAATGTCGACGGCAATGGTGCCTTGGCCTTTTGCAACATTTTCGCCCACGGATTGTGTGCCCAGAATAGAAGGAGGTGCATCTGGATAGTCTGGAGGGAACTCTAAGCGTAGTGATATGTTTGCTTCTTCGGGTAGTTCTAGAGAGCAGATTGTTGGATCTCGAGATAGGACTACCAGTGTAGCGTCGGAGTATATTGCGTTTATTGCTTGACACTCGTCTTCGAGAGCTGAGTCCATTAGATGATCTGTCTTTGGAGATTACTGCATAGAGCAGAAGGTTTCTTTTGATACTGCAGGGTATTATGAGTAATAGCATACAACACAATTTTGTATTGGACATACTTTTCAGGGGTCTTAGAGAATTGAGATTGGACAACGAAGAGTCGTTTGAGAGTTATCACTAAAAGAAAGACTATAGAATTATGATAACTACTGAGTCAAAATGGTCGGGCTACCCAAGGATGCCTCAAAGATACAGCAATGCCAAGACGATGCAGAACGTCACGCTTTCGCGAACCCATTCAGGACTTTCTGCTCCTGCATACCACATCATCACCACTACATCTCTGGTCTTTGCGGAAACCTGATTGGGAGTCCGTCTGTCAAGAGCAATCGTCTTAACACATCGCGTGGTGGACATACATTCCACCGTCAACCTTGTACTTTCGCGCCTCGCCGACCCACCGAGCTCACGCGCAGTCACTTTTTTGCGCCAGTACCCTCAAGTAACAGTCTGGTTGAGACAACCCGAAAAGAATAGCGAGAATGTTTGCAGCACTACCAAAGCCAAAATACACTGGTGAAGAGGAGGAGCAAAGACAGTCCGTGGGTCCTCGAATCATTGGCGCCGACCAGGCAGCATCACAACAACTGCAAATCGCCAAGCGCAGCGGTATCCCTCCCTACGGCCAACGCAACAACTGGCGTCCTCGCGGGAACGAAGACTTTGGAGATGGAGGTGCCTACCCAGAAGTTGCGGTTGCTCAGTACCCTCTGGATATGGGTAGAAAGCATGCTTCGTCGTCGAATGCTCTGACTTTGAGTGTCAATGCTGAGGGTCAGGTTGATTATACTGCTATTGCTAAGCGTGGTCATGCTGAGAACAGAATCGTGCATGCTTCGTTCAAGGATCTGATTCCGCTTAGACATCAAGCAAATGCTGGCGAAATCTCACTTGCGCGTCCGGATGAAGAGACGGTGGCAGAGACGAAACGAAAGACAGAGGCAGCACTGGCAACTCTGGTCGCTGGCGCGAGTGCAGCACAGCGTCCCAAGAATGTCAAGGGTGTGGAAAAGAGAGAAGCATCATACGTCCGCTACACACCAGCCAACCAAATGGGACAAGACAACTCCAAGAAAGGCGACCGTATCATGAAAATCATGTCCCGCCAGATCGACCCTATGGAACCTCCCAAGTTCAAAGCAAAGAAGATTCCCGGAAGACCCCCATCACCTCCTCCGCCAGTCATGCACTCTCCACCTCGTAAACTCACCGCCGAAGACCAAGAAGCCTGGCGCATTCCTCCCACAGTGTCAAACTGGAAGAACCCCAAGGGTTACACAGTACCTCTTGACAAGAGATTGGCAGCAGACGGTAGAGGTCTCCAAGACGTAACCATCAACGACAAATTCGCCTCCTTTGCCGAAGCCCTTCAAACCGCCGACCGTCACGCCCGCGAAGAAGTGAAGTCCAGAGCACTAATGCAACAACGCCTCGCCGAGAAGGAAAAAGAACAAAAAGAGGAAAACCTACGTTTACTCGCTCAGAAAGCTCGCGAAGAGAAAGCTGCTGCTGCTACAAGAAAACTTTCTACTCGTGATGATTCTCGCAGTAGAAGCAGAAGCAGAAGTGTTGACAGTTACTCCTCACGCTCACGCTCCCGCACCCCTTCAGAGGATGAAACCGAACACGACCGCCGCGAACGCGAACGCCTACGCGCCGAACGCCGCCGCGACGCCCAAAGAGAAATGCGCCAAAAGAACATGGGCCACGAGCGCCGCATGCAAGCCCTCGCACGCGCCCAAAACCGCGACATCAGTGAAAAAGTCGCACTCGGACTTGCAAAACCCACTCAGAGCAAAGAAACAATGTACGACTCGCGCCTCTTCAACCAATCGTCAGGGTTTGCAGCTGGATTCAACGAAGACAATGCATACGACAAACCTCTTTTCGCCGATCGCGAAGCTTTAAATTCAATCTATCGTCCACAATTAGATGCAGACGATGGCGATGATGGAGGAGAAACGTTGGAAGCCATTCAGAAGACTTCAAGATTTGAGACTTTGGGGAGAGCGCCCAAGGAAGGCATGAAGAGTGCTAGAACTGCTGAGCAGAGAGAGGGACCAGTCATGTTTGAACGCGACAACGGCGATCCGTTTGGTGTGGAGCAGATGATTGCGGATGCGCAGAGTAAGAAGGGTGGGGATGCGGGAGGAAGTGGGCAGGGTGTCAAGAGATATGGACTCAATGAAGGTGGAGATCAGGATGAGCGTGGGAGTAAGAGGGCTAGGATTGATGATGATGATGACGAGTAGAGGCATTGAGAACCTAGTTCCTTCCAAGTCATCCAGCTTCATATTGAGAATTGTCTCGAACATCAAATCCTGACCGTCTCTACGCTTACTCCTTTTTCAGTCCAATGACATTCACATAGAAGAAAAGAAATGCATATCATTACGGACATTGAAATATACTCTGCTGGGCGCTGTGCTATTCTGTTGACAACCCATCTGAACTGGGACCCCCTGTATCTTATCTCCGAACCAAAGAAAAACTCCTCGCTTGCTCAACAAACATCATTCATCGTAACCAGAAAGGAAGAACGAAAAAGGAAAAATATGAGAGTTCACGTTGACCTCTCAAGCAGCAGGTATGGTAAATCTGCTGCGATCATCCGCGACCTTCTGCTTGAACATGCCCAAATCCTTCATGAGCTCCTCGATGTCAGCCTGCCATTCTGCGTGCTGTGAAGAGTACCCCTCGTCATCACTCTCCTCTTCCTCATCCTCGTCACTGTAGACCTCAATTGTCTCGACATCACAACCCTTTTCTTCCTCTGTAGGAGGTAGAACAATAGGATTCTTCAGTTCGCCAACAGCAAGAGCAAGATGTCTACGCAAAGAAGCGACTTCGTTTCTCAAGCGCTCGTTGATGGGACGAAGCTCTTCCAGCTCGGCGTTCAAAGCGCGAATCTTCACGTCGGCAACAGCACGAGATTCTTCCATTGCGCGTTGCATTTTTGTGACTTGGCGTTGGTAGTCTTCCAGTTCTTGACCTGCTCGGTCCGCCTCGTCGCGCTTGCGAGTAGTCGATGCGTTGACTGATAATTGGAGAAGACGAATCGTCTCTGCCATCTCCTTGATCTGGGCATCGCGTTCGGCGGCGGATACGGCGTCTTGGTTGACAGTTGCACGAGTACGAATGCGTTTGGCCTGGTCGGCGTAACGAAGTGTGGAAAGAGTCTCCTCGTAGTCTGTCGGCGAGATGCAGGCCACCATTGCCGTCTTTGAGTTGCCGCCCAGGCTGTCTTTCAACAACCAAGTAAGGACCGAATCGCGGTAAGGTACCACATCAGCACGACGCTTGGTCTGGTTTGAACGGGCACTGGGTCGTTGACGTTTGGGGTCTGCAAGGGCGGCGATGACGCGACCAAGGGTGGTAAGAGACTGGTTGATGTTTCCTCCCTCACGGAGACGTTGACCAGTTGCTTCTGTTCTGTTTGCTCGTTCTGAGCCAGCCAAATCAACAAGACGCATGCGAGCGGTGCGTTCAATGGTGCTATCAGTGGCGATATCGTGCTGGATCTGTTTGAGTGTAAGGGTGAAGACGGCGTGCGAACGCGATGATGTGTCATTCATCTTGGTAGCGGCTACCGTTCGGTTCAGATCGCCCATGTGCATGAGCCTCTGGATGTCACCGAACGACTTGACAGGGCTGTCGGTCAAATTCTGGACGTAGACACCTTCCGACTTGCTTTCGCGGATCTTTAGGTGGGTGGGAGGGTTGGTGCGAGGAGTGAGAAGGTCACGAACGTGCTCGTTGTAGATTTCGAAGTATGAAACATGGACGTTGTAGGTGATGTTGCCATTCTGCTCTTGCTCGATGCGTTGGAATAGATTCTCGCATGTTCGGGGTATCAAGCCAGGCTGGTCCTTGGTGCCCATCATGGTGTACGACTTTCCAGAACCAGTCTGGCCGTATGCGAAGATACACGTGTGGTATCCATCAAAGTTGTGGTCCAGAAAGTCTTCACCGAACGAAGCGTAGACATCTTGCTGGTGAGCGAAGTGTGGCATTGATTCGTCGTGGGAATAGAAGGACTTGTCGAAGACGAAACTCTTTTCTTCATAGACTTTGCGAGAGTTCGCATCGAGCGTATTTGCAGGAGGAGGGTGAATCGTCGTCTTTTGCGTGTTGGGGTCCATTTCAATGAGGCATGGCGCTTGTCGTTCGAGTTCTGTTGGAATTGTTAGCCAGTTGGCAGACAGATGAACCATGTTCTGTGCATACCTCGAGGCAAGAACTTGCGCACTCTGACAACAACCTTGACATTGCCTCCTTCTTCGCCTGCTAAATACGAAGGTCGCCCAGAAGCCATGCTGACTGTAGAATCTCTGGCGCGCAAGGATGGAGCCGAAGCCGTGGATATGTAAGAAATGTCGGGTGAGGATGCTGCGTGAGGGATATCCATCATGTTGACCGCTCCCTGATCCAAATGCTGTTCGAGTAATATCAAAAGTTCGACAACCGTTGACTGGAAACGGAGTCGATTGTGGGTGAACATCTGTCAATCATCAGTCCAAGCTTGAGCCTGCCTCCACAAGAAACTCCCCCAAGCATCAACAACTCGGCTGTTGCTACGACAATGCGGCACGGCGCGCTGATCTTGTTCTGCTGTCGAGAGTCACCCTCACCACGACAAAACAATCATCACGCTCCATCAATACTGTGTGCTAGACATGTCAAGCAGCTGGAGAGGTGATTTGTCGTTGGACGAAGTTCAATAACGGGTCATCTCGACATTCCATTGACCATCAACACAAGGAATGCTCAGCCTCGTGAACAGACGTCGACATCTCTTGCTCTGAAATCCTACTCGGACATGCTTGTTTGAGCCCGTATTTGGAGCGCCCAGACAACACAGATCACCGACCGGCGGTGTGTCTATCGTTTGCCTTGCGGGGCTCGCGACCTCAGGCCAGATCCATCAGACTTGCAATGCTGCTGCCTAACTAGATCCTGAGGTCAAGCTCTATCTCATCAATGTAGGGAATTGTAGCTTTTTTTCCTTTCCAATCATCCTCCTACAGTGATACTTCTTGACTAAAAGTTCATCATGCCACCGAGTACCAGGCGCGTAGAGCGTACCCTGCAAGCCGCCGACAACGACACAAATGTCACAAGCACAATCTCAACCAAGCCATTTCCCTTTCTCGAGCTTCCAGATACAGTCCGTCAACGTTTCTACGAACTCCAACTCGAGGCGCCGCGTAGATTTGTTCGTCTTTTCAGCAAATCTGGCCCTTTGCGTACCGATGGCAAAGTGACACCTGCAAAAGTCAGAATCAACATCATGTTCACCTGCCGACAAATCTACGAAGAGGCTATGCCAGTGCTGTACCGCGTCAACAATTTCTGCATTGCTCCCCTCTTATTTCGCTCAGATCCTGCCCAAGACGAGGACGATATGTTGCAGAGTGAGAAATGGATCCGGGCTATGCCTACCAAAGGGCGAAACCTCATCAACAAGCTTGAATTGTGGCTTCCAATATCCCCACCGGACAGAAATCGTGGTGTTTATTTTGGAAAATGGCAAAACATGCGAGTTATGTTTCCTGGTCTGAGGACTTTGACCCTTTTCTTCGATCTCAACAATCAACTTGATCGGACATGGTGGGCCATACCAGACCCTGACATGCGTGAAGCATTCTACCGGCGTTTCAAGGACAGTATGCCACAAGCCAGACAGACTTTTATTGATCTAAGAATGCTCAAGCCAAGTCTTGTACAGTGGCAGCCACTCATCGACACAATCAACAAGGTCTGGGATGTTTCTAAAGGCGAATCTGTGTACATAAGCCAAGACATACACCATGCGAATAAGCACGCAGAGCAGAAAACCATCTTGGACAAGGCATTACTGGATGAGTTTGGACCGAGGGCTGCTAGTCAACAAGGACTCAGTTACTGGCAGATTCGACAGAACCTGACCATCAACGAAAACTTATGCCTTACTGACGATGATACCGATGACGAGATAGGATGTTTCGATAAGTTTGACGTACAGAGGATCGTTGCAAGGAAACGCAAAAAGGCGGACATCGTGGAGCTTGGATTGTTTGACTTTGAAGAGGATGATGGTTCATGGTGGTGATTCAAGTAGAGCCCGCTAGTGAAGCTGCATACTGCATTCAGTGATCAGTCACTCTGTAACAATATTATTACCACCATAATCCAAGTGGAAGTGGTCTGATTAATCCACACAGCGTGCTTATCAGTCAAAGTTTTCTTCTAGAAGTGTGCGATAGTCAAAGATCGTAAGATCGTCGAGATAGATGTGGTCCAGACCTTGTCCTCGTGCTCGTGCTTTTATGATCCCAAAACGGACAATGCAGTTCTGGAAGATGAAGATCCTACTGAGTCTTGAGCGTGAAAATGGGTGTCCTCCAGCAGTACATTGGGATGATGTACTACCTCTGAAAACTCAAAGATCGGTCTTCTGCTTAAACACAATATATTCCCATGAACGGGGACATGTTTCATGGTGTTCAAATCGCAAACGAGACTCAGGCGGAGAATCGGAAGGTTGTGTCCCCGGACGAGGGTCCGCCAAAAGTTCCACTTAAAGACCCATGATCTAGAGCGACAGTTTTTTGATACCGAAGTTATGCCGCATCGATTCTAACAATTTTATTTGAAGGTCCCAGAATAAGAAGTAGATATATGCATACGCTCCGTGGCGCCCTGAGTCGCTCTTATATACGTTTGTCACCATCTTCAGGGCGTCGGTGGCGTTCATTTCATACCATGGTCGCTCCTTCTGTGTCTGTACCTTCGACGCTAGCGGATATTTTCCTTAGCAGGATTCCGGAAAGCGAACGCTACTCTGCCGTTCGGGACCTTGCCTCCAATATCGACAACAACACTCTTGGACTTGTCGCTGCTCTTGCTCATCAATGTCCAGATGAAGAGGCAAATGTTCACCTCAATGAGTTCTTGATCAGATCTATCGAACAGGATGATGCTTCCTCAGCCGCAGCTCTTTGTGTCGAATATCCAAGGATCCGAAATGCTTTGTTGCACTGGACAGATCGCGAACTCCACATTTGCTTCTCACAACTTCTTCGACAGCCAAAGAATGCTGAGTTCGTGGTGCCGGTTGATAAGGTCTTGATCGTGGACCCCTTTGTGTCACACTACGACCCTGAGCTTGGAGTCGATCGCCAATTGGACGAACTTGTCAAGACTACTATTTTATATCTGAGCTTCGCCAAACAATTGTTCAGGAGCCCAATTCTTGACAAATCTTTTGTCGTCTCAAGTCCAATAGTTTGTGCCATCTTTGGTCTTCTCGCTGCATCAAACCCAGAGATTGCAGCTGCAGCCAAAGATACCATTCTCGCCTTCCTGGCTTCATTCAAAGCTGGCACCTTCACATTTTCACACTTCAAATCGGACCCAGACGAGCTTGATAGGCATCTTTGGCAATGCATTAGAAACTTGCTTGATCATAGCGAGAGGAGCTCGTACAAGACCACCGCCTACACTATCTGGTTGAGATGGTTGGATCTGGACAGCCATGGATACTCGCGCCAGGTCGCTCTACAGAAAGACCCATACTGGAAGTATCTGCTCGGAACACTTGGTCAGTCATCTCAAGGAGATACCGAGCAAAGAAAAATCTGTCTTCATGTTCTCAAGAAGTCCATCTCTATTTCTCGTAACAACATTCGCGCCAATGATATGGAGTTGACTTTGGACGAGCAAGACAAGCCAGGTGAGTGACGTGTTATCATTCCCTAGCCCAGTTTATTTGGAGTCCGGAAACCGTGCTTCGACAATCTAAAACCACCGGGCTAGTATTATAAGCTGGACATGATGCTAACACCACAACAGGTTCTAAGATTGCTGAATCCCAATACGCAAGATTCTGTACTGTGTACGAAACTATTGTCATTGGCAGATATCTCAACCAGGCACTGGAGTGTGTACAGGACCTGGACCATCTTGCTTCTGCCGAAACTATGGTTCAAAAGTCATGGCTCTTTGCTCTTCTCGAATCAGCACTTTCTCCAGTCACCCAAGACAGTATGCGCAAGATGCTAGGAAACTGGCTCATGAGCACTGATATCAGATTGTTCAGCCATGCTGAAGAGTTTGCGACATTGTTGCAGAAATCATTCCTTCCTTGGGCCACTCAAGGTCCCTTGTTCACAGGAAGTGTTCAAGGAAAGACCAGAGATATGAGATGTGCTCATGGTACAAGACTTTCGAATTTCCTGGAACGACTGCTACAAGCTCATCTTGGCCGCGACGACGTTTACTCACGAAAGTGCATTGTCAACGCTGTGCTTGTGTATCTGGACACCAACAAGAACAAGATTGTCCCTGTTGCAGTGATCTATCTGCTCCAAGGTCTGGCCAAGGGTCTTCAAGGAGAATCTACTGCTTGTATGGAAGGTGAATCACTGGAATTGATTCTCAGTCTGTCTAGAATCACAGGCTATCCTGAGGTTGCGCGCGATGCTATGCTCGTACAATGCTACAAACTCTCTCAGTCAATCAGTCATGACGCGGAGACATACGGGGAGCACGGCACAGAGAAGTTAACTGCATCCGATGCCAAATTGGAGGTTCTGTCTAAGCAGATTGAAGCCTTCAAGATGAATGCACCCTCAAGGTTCGAGTCAGACGAGAAACGGTCCGCAAGATGGGCCTCGCTTGATGACTTCTTGGGTGAACTCGAAAACACGCAGCATACCAGCGTCCACGGTCCTGGACTACTGATGGCGTGTGAGTCGTTGACTTCTATTTTGGACAGAGCTGGCAGCGATCATCTAGATGCTCAAAAGCTGGACCGAGCCTTTGAAGCTGTCTGGGATGAAGTTGAGAGACAAGATTATCCTAGAGATGTTCTCATGTTCTTGCCACGTCTAGCACTGCATCCCGGCTGTGTCAGTCGCTGTCTGGAGAATGAACAATTGTGCGGCACAGTCTTGGAGGTCTTCACACAGCTCCAACGCCTGCAGAAGGGTAGAATCTATCTTTGGACGCCGATTATGATAGCTTACAGAACAGCCATGATCACATGTCCTGCTTCTGCTGAAAAGTTCGGTTTAGATGAGTTTGTCGTTCAGACTGCAAACAACCTTCCCGCTGCAAGGCTTGAATTCAAGCTGGAAGCTGCAGCTATTCAGTTGTTGACCGAGGACGGAGACATCCACCGTAGCTACAGCGACTACTACGGAGAGTATGAAGAAGTTGGACATGCTGCCTTCTTCGACCTCGTCAATCGCCTCAGCAACATCAATTCAGCCATGGTCAGTGAAATATATGACCGTCTGCTCAAGCCGTGGACAAAACAAAGACCTCCTGTCCCCATCGTCATGAAATGGAAGACCACCACGCAACTTCAAGTCATGCTCATGCTCTCTGAGCAACGTCTCCAGAACATCTCTGCTCAAGAAGCGGAAGACCAGCTCCGGGTGTTGTTGAGAGTGGTCGCCATTGAGCCACTTCCGAGATACCGTTTCTTGCTAGAATGGATCATCTCCCGCGTCATTCTTAACCATCCTTCCACAGGCGAGCTTGTTCTTGATGCACTGTCGTCGAAGGATCACCATTCGAACCCGAAATACCTTGGAACCCTCGTCAAAATTGCCTTGATGATTGCTTGTCAAGAGACCTGCTCTCCTGACTTTGCAGCAAGAGTAGCATACCGTCTTGTGGCTCTCTCGTCAAGCGCAAAGATTATCATCCGTCATGAAGCCCAATGGTCGTTCCCAATTCTGTGGGACTATGCCGAAAGCAGAGGCTGGACAGAAATTCAATCCAACCCTGCCTGTGCTGCCCTGAACGAGTACATCCGCAGTCTTGAAAGATTCTCGGAACCACCGCCAGCTAGAGAACTTGAACGTCTTGATCCCTCTGCTGACAACACACTCACAAACTTACTCCAGGGTAAGTACCTCCGTGTTGAACCGCCAGGTGAAGAATCTGTTGTGACTGGCGATTTCCAACGCCTGTGGGAGAAAGACACAACAACAAAATCAACATCCGAAGCCCTTCCTCTGGGTTCTCAGCCATCGATTCCAACACAAAATGGCACTCTTCCCGCTCAAGCGACACAAGAGCAATCCAAGGAATCAGCACGTACAGAAGCATTTGCTGCTCTCCAGACAAAAGGAACAGCATACCTCTCCGCTGACCTGTCCTCGTCCTCGGACTCATCATCCACTTCCACAACCCGACCAACCTCCCTTATCGTCGTCGGCTCTCTCGTCGACAACGCATACAACCTCGGCGGTCTCTCACGCATCAGCGAAATCTTCGGCGCAGAGGCAATGTACATTCAATCCCCGCAATCCGTCCTCGGCAACAAAGATTTCGTCTCTGTGGCTGTGGCCTCGCATAACCACCTCCCAATCCACGATTTACACGCTGACAACTTGTCTGCCTTTTTGACGGAAAAGAAGATGCAAGGATACACTGTTGTGGGTGTTGAGCAGACTGATCGTAGCGTGTTGCTGGGCTCTGAACAGTGCAAGTTGCCGGAAAAGACTTTGCTTATCATGGGAAGGGAAAGGGAAGGTGTGCCGGCGAATGTGCTGGGTGAGTGTGATATGCTGGTTGAGATCCCGCAGAAGGGCGTTACGAGGAGTATGAATGTGCAGACGGCGGCTGGTGTGGTGCTCTTTGAGTATGCTAGGCAGCATCAGGGATAATTTAAGCCATAACTCACATGAAATAAGAGTTCACGATTTGAGTAATCACATGTCATTTCCTCAAGGTGGTTTTTTCCGTTTGTGGTTCGATACAGAAGTAAGCAAAAGGTATGACTACCCTCCATCCAGGCAAGATCGATCGGCAATGCTAGCAAAGACAATCTTCACTGCCCTTCCCGAACCAACAAGAGAGAAAAAAAAAAAAAGGAAACAAAAGTAGAAAGCAGAAACCAGAAACAAGACTTCTCAAACGCTCAGCATCCTTCTGACTACTGCAAAGCTCTTTATTTCGTCTTTTCCCAATATTTAACATCTTCGAAAACAATCCATTGAAATGTCAGTCCCATTGAGCAGGACGTGATCATATCGAGGCTGTGAGGATCTTCTGATGAAGCTCGCCCCAACCAAGGTCCAGGCACACAAACTGCAGCGCTATACCCCCCGACTCCAAGGTCATCATATCTCTGGAAGAACATCCATGAAAAGGCACAATGAATTCTTGATCTGGCACCTTGGCCATTGAGAGCCCACAAGCTTATTCTTCAATCGATTGTATGTCGGGTGCAGGGATTGTAGCCACAGAAGTCACAGCTGTGAACTTGAAATTGGTGTTTGACCATCTGATCTCGACAGGAACGCGAATGGTATACTCTGTGAACTTCTGGGTTGGACTCGAGGGCTTTGAGTCGCAGCGAGGAAGATCCAGGATCTTGGGTTGAGTAGGCTGTGATCTGGTTCGAGCGAAGTACGGAGATGTGATTTTCTTAGGATTTCGAGAAGTGCCGCGGGACGTGGGAGTCTTTGGAGATTGTTGAGAAACAGGAGCTTCGAGGTTGTCCTCGATGCGTCGGCCCACTTGCTTTTCGAGAGTAGGTCTAGTTGGGTGCGATGATGTTGTTAGATTCACGAGCGAAGAGCTGCAGAAGCTCGAGTTCTTGGATGTCTGATCGAGCAGAGACGCAGCTTCCCGGATGTACAAGCCTGTGCTCTTGTCCGCGGTGTTCTTGTCAAACTGTGACAAGGATGGTGGTGCTAATTCACGCGAGTAAGCGCGGAAGACAGGTTGTTTCGACAGTTGGCGCGGGAAAGAAGTCACGCCGGTATCATCCTGAACCAGGCTCTGCTTGTCCATAGGGCGCTCTGGCGAATGCGATATGAACATTGACATTGAATGACGCGAGTTGGCGCGGGATGTACTTTGTTCCGACAGGGGGCCGGGGAGAGATGTCAAGCTGTTTCCGTTCTCTGGTAGGCCTGTTCGATCGTCTGTAAGGGATATCTGCGAACGAGATGGATAAACTGAGTCCAAAATGCGCGAATGGGCGCGGGAGTCTGACTGCACGGACAAGCGGCGAACGGGAGAGACTGAGCCATCTGCATTGACAGGCGGGCCTTGTTGGTCGTTGGCGGTGTGCCCCTGCGGTTTGGGTGTAGACACCTGGTCAAACAGGCGCAGATTCGGGCGAGAAGTAAGCTGCGTTAACAATTGGCGGGCGAGAGGTACAGAAAGATCTTGATCGTGCAAGTCTGTTTGTTCTTGTTTGATGAAACTGGCATTGTCAACGATCTCTGTCTCTGCGTCGAAAGCTTGCTGTGTCTCGTTGTTTTCGACATTGTTCGTGTCCTCGGATGTCTCTTGCTGCATGAAGGGGTGATCGTCGTTGAAAGGGTACTCGGCAACACCAGTTGTGCGAATTGCATTCTGAGGATCTCTTGCGTCTTCTTTGTTCCTTCCAGGCTTGTAACGCAAGTTTGGAAACTTCTTTAAGATGAGATAGACTCCAGTGAAGTACTCATGACTTCTGTCCAATGCTCTTTGTTCAATATCAAAGACATCGACCCAAGATTGCCAGTATTTCGCGACTGTGTGTTTGCCTAGAATGTTGACTTGTGCGGAGTTGTAGTAGCGACCACGAGCCAACCCTCTGCCCGTGGGATAGGCTTTGTACCAGACACTCTCGCCTGCATGGTTGTAGCCAAGAAGAAGGAAGTCTTTGACCCAGATGAAAGGATAGTGCTGAACAAAGGCAAGTGGAAGAAGTTCGCTGGCTTCGAGTCTCTTACCAGAGAGTTGGAGAAGAGCAGCTAGCTTTTCGTGAATAGCTTCTGATGGAGTCCAGTCGTGTAAGGCGCAGAGTCTGTCAAAGTTTGCACGGTGACTTTGTTTGACAATGGTTGTTGATAAGCGCGCACGTTTTGCGACAGGTGATGAGCTCATCGCCGCGTCCAGGGAGTGTTTGGGTGCCATGCTGTTTGTGGTCTAGGATCAAGATGACCATTCGGCGATGAGATTTGTAAATTGAGATCGCGCTCTAACGTGTGACGTGATCAGAGTGGATGGCAGAAATCCAATCAAGGGAAAGAGAGCGCACGGCCTCTCGCTGGAGATGTGAGTGAGGTCTCAATCGATGGTGGAATGAAGGATAGATAGTAGTGGATGGAGAAGAGGTGAGGAGCGCTTTGTGATCTGCGGCTTCCTACTTACGGTTGCAAAGTGAGAGTGAAAGCGAATGTTGGCTTAGCCCTTACGATTCCATCAAGGATTTTCCGTCTCCCAGGTTCTCTACCGTAGCCAAAAACTTCTGTGCAAAGGCAGAAGAATTCAAAGGTCTGGTGTGTCCATTAAGAACTCAGCTCTATCCACATACTCGGAGGACCTCGGTCACCGCACATAGATCCGGAGATACTTTCTGCAATTTGATAGCATAACCTCAACGATTCACATCAATCGGAACAGGGCATCTTTTCAGACCTACTCAGAAAAGAACCTCTAGACAGACCCTACGAAAATTAGTCACTGTCCGCGATCCGGAAGCCAATGTCCATGTGACTCCAACCGGTAGTAGTTTCCTCGCAGTGTTCGGCAATCCCTTCGGCTACCGCATCAGCCAGGTCAGCTGCAATTACGTCTCCAGAGGGTTCTTCTTCGTCGTTACTCAGTTGGGATACGGACATTGCAAGAGATTTATCAAGGGCCATCTGATCCACAGTATGACTCAGTACCGCTGGATCAGGCTCAAAGTTCATCTGCATCCACTCGTAGCATCTGAAGTTTGCTGGTCTAGCATTGGCTGTAGCTGCAGACGCTGGAAAGGAGTTTTGAAGAGTACGATCGGATGGTTTAAAGGGTTCGTCGTGAATGGCTTCGGGTATATTGTCAACCGCATGCTCGCCTGTTCCGTTCAGTATCTCACTGATCCTTTGCTTGTTATAACGCGCCACACAGGCTTGTCTTGATCGCTTGAAGCCATTCTCTTCCAGCCGTTTCTGGCAGATCCGGTGGCGATCACGCTTCAGACCATCATCTCCCGTCAATTCTTTCATGGAGCTCTGCAGAATCTCGTGCTCCTCCTTGGACCAACTTGACCGGCCAAAAACGCTGCACCTGACTTCAGGGTCAAATTTCTCGTACCATAGACTTTTGCAGGCCTTAGGAGTTCGTTCAAATCCTTTCTCCTTGAAGCTCTGCTCGCAGAATCCAAAACGCTCGTGTATGGGTACACCTTGAGCTTCTAATTCGCGCATTGTGTCTCGCACAATCTTGAATTCTCTCCTTGACATCTGCCAGCAGATTCTTCAGCATCGTCTCGTGCTCTTTGAATGATTTCTTAAGCGGTACCTCGCTGGTCTTGTAAGTGTCAACTTTGATGTTTATCAACGTTTGCTCCTTCTTAACAGTTGTAAATTCTTCCTTGACGTCTTCGGTAAGTTGCTCGTGTTGTTCCCGCATCACTACGAAACCTAGCTTTGGGTCTTCCTTGCAATGCATACAACATTTCCTAGAATGATGGTCCTCGAACTTCTTCCAGAGTTTCTCGAGTCCTGAGTCTAATCTAGCCTGCAATAACTCCATGAGCTGGCCAGAAAAATCCAAGACTTGGTCTTTTGGCTGCTCCGAGAGTACTAGCTGATTGTTCAAATCGGCCCTTGTCTCATCTTGGGCTGTCTGGTGATTTTCTTGCTGCTTTTGATGACTTGATGATTTTCGCTTCTTTTTATTTGGCTCTGGTTCATCATTCGGTGTTTCTACTTGATTTGATTGTGGTTTCCACAGTCCTTGCTGTTGAGGTCCGAACTTTGGCGTTGCTTGTTGTTTTGATCCACAAATTGGCGTCCTCTGATGTTGCTGCATCTGATGGTTTGGCGTCTGCTTCGACTTTCGCTTCCGCTTTTGCGATGCTGGTGTTCCAAGTCCTTGAGCCATGCTGATTCAAGTGTTCCAACAACGGCGGAGATGGAAGTCAAAGCTTCAAGTCGGACGAAGAAAGTTCCTGGCTGTCCTGTACGTCTATACCATACGTCTCCTGAGCTTGCGATGTGAGGTCAAGAGCTGCTCATCTTTCTCTTGCGGCGAATCCCGCAGCGGGCATATCTGAAGGCTCCATCTTGTGCCCATAGCTTCTCGATTGATATTAATTGTCGGCGATATGGTTTTTGATTGGAGTGTTATTCTTGGCAGTGAGGTTGAGTGAGAGAATGGATGTTGGAGAGAATTGCCATTGTGAGACACAGCAAGGCGGACGGGAAGTCGCATCCACTCTGCCTCGGGACAGTGCAGCCATCAACGCCGCTTCCTCTTCAGAACAAGAATATTGTACAAGCTATTTTACACATGTTCTAGATCATGTCTCTACTCAATCATATCCAGAAGTGCACCTCCCTTTGCCTGCTCAGCTCCTGAAAATATGTTCTGGACAACAGACCTCTGTCTCTCGTCCACTACGACTCCTCTGTCTTGCATTCTCTGCAGAACATCCCAGCATCTGCTGTCTGCGTTCTCTGCTAGAGATTTTGCCAGCAATTCAGCGGTACGTGGTCTAGGCATAAAGCCCAACTCTTCCATCTCGTCGAAATAACGGTATGCGTGATCCAATTTTTTATCTTGAACACAGATGACCACTAGACGATCGTAGACAAGAGCATCGGGTCGGACTCCTAAGGCCAACATCTCAGACACTAGGAACATTGCCAAATCGTAAGCCTGTTGAGCGATGGGTTTCGCTGCGCCGCGAAGAAGAATGTTGAATGTATCGAGAGTACTGTAGGAACGACTACGACGGATGGGTTTGCCATGTTTGTCCACAGCAGTGCGTTCAAAAAGATGCATGTGTTTGTACGCCACTAGGGCTTGCTCGAGTTGGTTTGTCTCGACATATCCTTCTATCAGCACATTCAATGCCGCGATAGGAATCTCTCGGCCGCTTTCGTGCAGAGACGTTATGATGTCAAAGGCGGTCGAGCAGTCAGAAGGATAACGAACGAGATGTGCCAGGATAGGGCGAGTAGACACAGAGCTCGGAGGGATCTTCACGCTTGCCATGATGGTGAGGACTGTGAAGGCGGCGTGAAGGTCAGGTGGGGAAGCAGACATGTAAGTAGTCAAGAGTTGGTCGTAGTGAATTTGCTTGAAGTTTGTGCTGCGCTTGCCCAGGACATGGAAAACAGAGGTCGCAAGAGCTGCGTCACCCTTGCGAGCAGCTGTAGTCAGGACATTCAGACACGTTCCTGAGGAGGGGATTAGATAACCTGGGACAACTTGGGTGTTCCAGACATATACGGTGCTACGATAGTGGAAGAAAGCTGCCGCGCGATCGAGCATGTGAGACCAGAGATTACGATTGATAATCCAGTCGTTGGCAGCAATACGGTCCTTGACTATCGTTAAGGCTTCGTCAAACTCATTCGTTTCCAGCATGGTATATACGGCAATGTCATAGAGCCAGCTTTGAATCGGCACATTGTCCTTGCGCATTTCTTCGAGATGATCAAGGCCCAGTTCGAGTTGACCCTCTCGGAATAAAGCAGCACCAACCCAGTGATAGCCTTCGGTATTCAGCTGCAGCCATTGGCGGCGCATGTATTGTAGAATATCCATTCGCATCAAGTAATCCATGTGAACGCTCAATACCTGCAGTACGTCGTGACAGATCTGTACGTTCATTTGTAGTCCTTCATCCTCCATTTCGGCCAGCAGACGAGCGACGCTTCTGGCAGATCCTTCGGATGGATGAACATTGGTGAGGATAGAAATGGAGTATAGGCGAAGGTTGGGGGTTTCGCGTCGCTCGCGCACTAAGTACTCGACCATCTGCATTGCCTCTCGGCTGTTGCCCTTGGACGCAGCGGCGTGCGCTAATTCATACAGGTCTGGTGTACTAATATTGGGATAGTCGGCTTTCTTGACGGTCGTCTTTGGTCGCATGGTTGTCTTTCGACTGGTTTTGAATTCCTTCGATTGTGTTTCCTCATCCAACGGAGCCCACACATTCATGACCGGAAGGCCACTGTTCTGTAGTTCCAGCGGTGCATCGACAGTGCCTTTGAAGCGAACGGGAGCCACAGTAGAGTTGCGGCGTGATGCTGCCGGTGAAGGTATTCGAGAAGCGGCGCATTGTAACGCTGGGCGACGAGAGCGGATCAAGGCATTTCGACTCGTTGATAGTGATACAGAACTGTATGAGGGACAGAGGCAATGCCAGAGCCCGTCGGCGATAAGTCTGGGTGTGGTAGAGGACATGTGCAGTTGAGAGCGCCCTTGGAAATTCTGAGAGACATTTTGAAGCCGCGCATGTGAACGCCCAGCCCGGCCAGCATTTAATCCATAATTACTCCTCCTTTAAAGAGCCAACAACAACCCTATCAATTTCAATCATCACTTCTTAATCTCTACTGCGGTGTAATGTACTTAGATTCAGGTCATGAACTCAGGTTGATGTCGTGATGTTATTTATTCTGGTTGCACGGCCTGTCTGCAAGCTGTGCATGGGTATTTTGTTCCCTCGTGATCCTTTGCTCTCAATGTCGATTCCGCGCTCAGTTGCGCTATCGCACATATCCGCATGTATCCTTCATGATCAGAGGCCCGCCGTTCTTGTCATGGCAGAACCAGGCTTGAGCTGTTGGCTTCTCTTTCGTCTTTCCTGGACATGCCTCTTCAACCACCACGACCACGACCGCCTCTTCCACGGCCACGACCTCCCCTACCACCACGATCTCCACGCCCGCTGTGGTCGCCTCTTCCGCCTTGACCGCCTCCGCGTCCTCCTCTAGCGGCTTGTTGGCTGGCTTGCTGGTCCTTGACGAGATCCACGATTTCATCTTCCATTCTCAGGTATTTGATCTGTCGCAATCCAATCAGCATCCTGTTGGCTGTATTTCTGAAGAGAACTCGAGTATAAACGCACGTTGTTTCCGCGAACATAGCATTCGGGTAGTCTGAAGAAGCGGTCGCCCTCAGGGCTCGTTTGAATGACTTCCTTCAGTGTGAGGTTCATGTATGTGTCGCAGCTGACCAGATGCCCGTTCAATGTTTCGCCATTCTTGAGTTCTACAAGCATAGGATGGCCTTGCGCCGCGGTGAGGAGACCGAGAGGGAGCTAGACAGTGACAAGTGGTCGTTAGTGGCCTGACTTGTGAGCAGGAGAGCTCTTTGCAGCTGGAAAAGTGCCTGATCACTCACCATTGTGAATGCGACAACACTCGATGTGTCAATGCGATATGAATATCTCAAAGCTAGTGTTTGCGCATGCTCTTGGTCGCGCAACCAGAGAGCAACAACGACGTCAAGCAGCACGGGATTTGCCGGCCCTTCAGTGAACGAGACAAGCATCAAGCTGATCTGCCGTCGAGCCCTAGAAGTTGCTCCGAAGACCGACTCCGAAGCTCCGTCTTCCTTCCAAATCCTTCGCCGAGCCTCTCTCTCCCTAACCTGGGGGCATCTGATAAACTGCTGCCTACAGGCTCTTTTTTGACAACTCGTCTTTCTGCTTCACCGTCACACCGGCGGTTTCTTCGACGAAACAACTCCGGGCTGGATAGGCCCATGTAGATATTCAATTTATTTGCAATTCTATCTATCCTTTCCGGCCATGTGTTCGATCAGCCTACTTTTGTTTGCTCTTGCCTTTACATGGACTCTTGTCTCGGCCGTTCCTTACCCCGTCTTACCCTCATTCTCTTCCTTCACCAAAGCCGCCAAAGAACCTATCCTTGGTAAGCTCTGTCCACGACATTCTCTCATGATGTAACTCCTACTTATAGACACATCTAGGCAGATTCGAAACAATAGCCGTCAAAGTCCCGTGTCTTAACTGTCCTGTATACGAAGATGACGTGGCCCTCGTAAGTATATACCCTTGCCAAGGACGCCATATACCTCGTTCGAGATGTAGTACGCGTATACCATCTAGTCTTGACTCTGACCTGTGCCTCAGGACTTTGAACTTCAATATCCACGTCTTGACTCTTCGACCAATCTTTGCGATGTCGACTTCACATTGAACGGACGCCCTATTGTCGTCGACCGCGCAAACCCAGCCCAAGCATCAACTCTGCACATACCTCGTGGTCTAGCTAACCAAAACTGGGAGGTTGATCTCGAAATTCAAGGTCTTTGTGATCCTCTCAAGGACGATTCTGTCTCTACCCAGCGCGCCCTCTACTTTAATGTCACCAAGGTTGCTCAGCAACCTCTGATCACTCCTGGCACATTTACTGTCGTCGTCGGTCAATCAGAGTCGGCACAAATTCTCATCGATTCAGAACTTGATGAACAAGCCGCCTGTGCCTCATCGTTGAAGAGTGTGATCAACGAGAATTCATCCATCCTATCAAAAATCGAAGCTATTCCGAACGACAATGACATCGAGTCGAAGGCTGATATTCTTACCGTCGAACAAGCCCTTCGTAATCGTCTCTACGAGCAGGCGACAAAGTTACAAAGGTTGAACCAACGCTGTCATAAATCTCTCACTGAAAGTCTATCCGATTGTCACGGAGATCTTTCTTGTATGAGCAAAGTCATGTGCCAACGTATACATGATACGACATACCAAAAGATCAAGGAGATTCAAGCAGCTCTTCAAGATTCTGTCATGGTGAGCAAGGATCGACAGGATCAATACGTCGCTGCCGATGAGAAAGACAACTGGAACTTCAACGTCAGCTCTGTGGACAACCTTCTCTCCGATATTCAGGATGGAAACTCTAAAAAGTACGGAAATCAGCATCCTTTAGTGCTTGCTCTGGAAATCCTCGCAGCGGCGATTGGTCTCACCGCTCTTTGTGCATTCCTCCGCCGTCGCTTCTGTTCCCTTCGTCGTCGCGTCGAACGTCTTTCGGACAAGGAAGAGCGTCGACGAGCTCGTCATTTCCGCTGTCTTGCCCGCAAGGAGGCTATGCGCAAGAAGTGGGCATCCTTCAAGCAAGTCTTCACGCGTTCGCCTCGCAATGGAGACTGTGAGGAGAAGCGTGCACTTGTCGTTGAAGCTGCGGGTGCATTGGTCGATGAATATGCAGAAGGATGTTCGCATCAAGTCAATGATCTAGAGATGGGCCACGCATTCGGGGACCTTCGAAACGCTCGCGAGTTTGTGGTCAATCTGGTTGGGAGAGCACGCAAATCATCAAACGCCGGATCTGGAACTACCGCTCCGCCCGAATATACCGAGGAGAAGTTGCCGGACTATATATCCACGCGTGACTACGCACCTTCAATCGCTAGCGCGAATTCTATGAACACTGGCATTACACCGGATAGCAGTATCATCATGACTCCTAGATGCAGCCGCGAGACGCTGCGCACAGGCACCGACTTCAGCACGGAATAAACGCGCCTCGATCTTCTACTTTTTCTTTTCTATGTAATTCTAGGGATGGCGATCAGCCGACAGATCGGATTTGGGGGTTGGGAAGGAGTTTTCTTGCTGGACAAGGAGTTGGACTATCCAGGGATGATGATCTGGAGAGGAATATTTGCTGGACACATATAATGGTGGGTGGTATGGATTAGGAAGAGCCGCTCTAATGCTGGCCACGATGGATAAATCATGCATATATATACAATTCGCGCTGCATCTGCGCTTTTCTCATTACGGAGTGCTTCCACTCGTCTTGTCCAATCGTCGCACGTTCTTCCCGATGACGTGCTCCTGATTTCCCTGTTCTATCCATGTCCCAACCAGTCCCATACTGATACCGTTGAAGCCCATCCCATACCAAATTCCTGCCTAAGAACTCAAACTCCCAAACTCACTGTCCGTCATCTCACTACTATCCTTGCCATCATCACCCCAAATATCCCTGCTCTGCATCTCCACCTCCCTCATCGCATCAGCAACCCCGTCCAACTTCCTAACCACCTCAGCAACACCTTCTTTCACGGCTGCAAAGTACTTATCACTCGCCTCTCTCCTTCTAGCCGCAGATGTCAGATCCAGTGTCGTGGCTGTAGATAGCTTTCGCTCATTCTGCTCTGCTTGTTTCTCTTGCTCTTTGTTGCTTTGATGTTTATCTTCTTTGTCTTTGGTGTTGCTGTTGTCTTTACTATTTCTTTGCGCTGTTGTGGTGTCTGGTGGTTTGACTTCTTTGGTTGGTAAAGTGGACGTATCTTCGGAATCTGTTTGGCCCCATGCGCGTGCGAGTTCTACTTGTGCTGCTCGCAATTCTTCTAGTGCTTTGGCATGCCCAGTGCCAAACACGTGTGCTGAAGACCCAGCGCTCAACTCGATATCGGAAAGGGTGGATTGGAGGGCTGCCCAATGGGCATCTAACACTGCAGTCCCCCTTCTCGGTCGTTGTCTCTTTACTTCCTCATCAATAGTCGTATTCGCCAACCCTACTCCCCCAGTCTTCTCCCCCGCCGTCCCATTGTCGTCAGGAACTTGCAACCCATCAGGCCTCGGCAACTGCTGCGACAAATTCGTATTCTGCCTACTCAAAGCCCCATCTCTTTGCGTATCCCTCCTCGACAAATTCGTATTCTGCCTTGACAAAGGATTGGCATTTTGTTGTCGTGACGCAGCAGTATTGGATCTCGACAACGAAGAAGAGTTTAGAGATGGTGAGGAAGGGTTTGGGATAGCGGAGGAAGGGACGTTGCGAGAGGTTTGTTGCGAGGTATCGGTATTTGCGCGTGTGAGAGAGACGTTGCTGGCGTTGTGGGAGGGTGGGCCGACGAATAGGGAGGGCGCTGGAAGGCGCTGGGAGGATTGTTTGGACATTTGGGGTTGTTGTATTAGGAGATCAGTGGTCGGAGATGCCAGAGTTGTGGTGATGCTCAATTTCCGGATGTAGGGGGTGTGACCCTGATGCTTTGCATGTGAAAATGACGTCTTTGATGGCGACGATATTGGTCGACAACGTATAGCAAAACGAGGGGATAGAGTCCTCCGGATTGTATTCTTGATGCTAATCTACAAGGTATACAGTACCAGCAAGCGTCCAAGTGGTCACTGTGAGGTTGAGAAGTAAGCTGGCTTCTCTGAGCAAATCCTTGGTCTCGATGCTATGAACTTTGGAGTCTTCATGTCGAGTCCACCACCTTACGATTTCGTAAATAGAGGCAAGAAATTGAATTGTCAAATTGCTGTTGTATTGGCGACGCTGTCGCAAGTATGGAACAAGAAAAGCTATCTACATATATAGACCAGTAAAATGCTTCAAGTCGTTCGATGTCATGATCCTTCCTTACAATCCCTGTTTTCGCAGAATCTCGAGTCCAGCCCAAAAAGAAAGCAAATGACCAACCCAAGCTTGGAAGTATATACACCGAAGAGAACGCCATGCCGAAGAATCAAATAAAAGACATCTATAAGTATATGGCAAGAAGAAGAGGTGAGATCAGTAGAGCAGTCGTCAATAGATTTGTCGTAGTAGACAATTGGACGGTGGAAATTGCTCCTGATTTGCTGGTGGTTGCAGCTTGCGAACCCTGATCTTGCTGAGGAGATCTTGTCGAGCTGATCGCTACAGTCTTGCTTGTAGCGCCGGATTCAGATCGGGATCCGGATGCACCTGAAGAGGATGACGAATCCTCTTCACTAGATGTTGTGCTGAATGCAGACACAGGCACAGTTGTAGAGCCTTGTTGCACGATCAATCCGTTAGAACCCATACTGACCACTTCGCCATGTGATAAGGTCACATCAGGGCCACCTCGCGAGATGACGGTGCCATCAATCGTCGCAATGCTGGAAACATCAGCAGCTTGGTATGCTGTGACGGCATTGCCATTGACGGTAAACACTATTGCAGATGTAGGGGTTGCGATTGCAGCAGCGGAAGTGCCATCGACAACGATAGCGCCACCTGACGCGAGACTGATACGAGAACCGTCCTCGAGTGTTTGGACAGGCCCACCGGCGGTAAGTGTGTGGGAACCAATGACAGCCTCGTTGGTCGATCCTGGCGGGCATGATGCGGTGACGGTCTTCGTGCCAACGACAAATACTATGACGTTGGGAGCAGCAGCAGATGCAGGCGCCACAGTCGAGTATCTTGCAACAGTAGAGCCAATCCTGACACCTTCGCTGTCAGCACTGACTACAGATCCGTCATCGAGTGTAGCTGCCGAGCCACCAGGTGTCAGTCTGGTCGAGCCAATCTCAACTACGCCTGATGACTCTTGCGAAAAGGTTTGGACTTTGTTTCCAACCGTGACAATGACAGCCTTAGTGATTACTGGCAAAGCAGTGATTGCAGATGCGCGATTTGTGATGGTAGTAGCCTCGGTGTTGATAACCAGCCCATTGGAGCCGGCACTAATAACACAATTGACCGGGAGTGTTGCGGCGGGTCCTCCGACCGACAGGGTGTTTGTGCCACAAACATAGACCGAGTTCGTCTGGGTGGCGGTATAGGTGAAAGTGCCTGCCGTGAAGATGTGGATATGAGGGTTGGCGGATGATGGCGAACTACCTTGTGGAGATCCGTCTTGTGCTTGTGGACTCTGAGTATTCTGTACTCCATTGGCAGTATTGGCGTTCTGGTTGCTCTGATCTCCCTGGGCGCCTTGTCCAGCTGTTTGTGTTGGATCCCAGTGCTGGCCCTGTCCGCCTTGAACGCCTTGTCCTCCGTTCTGCGACTGCCCTCCGTTTTGAGACTGTCCTCCATTTTGCGATTGCCCTCCTTGGGTGTTCTGTGCCCCATCTTGAGTCTGACCTCCCTGAGTGTTCTGGCCTCCCTGAGCGTTTTGATCTCCTTCAGAGTTCTGGCCGTTATCGTTGTTGTTGTTTCCATTTTGGCTGTTACCACCGTTGTCATTCTGATTTCCACCTTGTGTGTTTTGAGGGGCTTGAGTGTTCTGAGCACCATTCTGTGTTTGCGTATTCTGAGTATCCTGGTTGTGACCTGCAGTGTTCGCAGCCTGAGTTTGCCGAGCATCGTCATTTTTATCCTGTCCTTGGGTAGAGCTTGCTTGGTCGGTCGTGTGATCTGCGAGAGCAGTAGGTGTTGGCGTAGTAGGTGATGCACTCGAAGCTTCTGCAGCGGTAGTGGTGGTTGTTGATGCTGGTCCAAAAGCGACTGTAGGTGTCTCGACGGCAGTTCCAGGCTTGAGCGCATAAGGTGGATCGTAAAGTCCTCCATACCACATCTGACAACCTTCCCAAGCAGGGTCAAGCTTCCTAATGCCTGGAGGCATCGCCAGTTGAGGATTATATTGGTTTTCGTAGATGACGTTACAGCTATAGTCTCCGGGGTATTCACATCTCGCCTGTCCATTCCAAGCACTGTAGGGCACTGGCGAATTCAGATCGGCGTAGTTGAAGGGATAACCAGTGACTTTGTTTGTCGTGACGAAATACTGGTAGTGTGGTTGAGAGTACCGCAAACTTAACAGCTTTTCCGATGGTAAGGCGAGTATGGCATCAGTGACAGTTGTACCAATCTGGCTACTGCACCTATCCACAGCCCAGACCTTCTTGATCGAAATGTATGCTTGGCCATCACGAACGAATGTGCGCGTTCCCACGACAGCAGTCTCCAGAGGTGTACCAACACTATTCGTAGCTGAAGGGTCGACGCCTGTATAAGGCACGCCGTCATCACTGCCATAAGCTGTCAGGTTGGCGGCAGGAGTGGTAGCACACATGTCGCGTGACGCAGTGGTGGCTTCAGGGAAATACATCAGCTCAACCTCATCGCCAAATATTGTGCACAAACCACAACCATAGAAGCTTTTTGAGAAAGCGTCATCCGACATAGACTGACTGGAGTTTACGCAAGCTGGTAATGAGGGTGATGGCGTAATGGTTGGGAAGATGGCATCTATCGCACTGGTACCATTGGCAGCAGCGGTCCACGATGCGGATGCAGTACTGTAAGCTTGCCACAACCCGTCACAATCAGAAGGGTTGACACTGCAGGAGACGGAAGAGATAGGGAACATCCATCCTCCACTGACCGTCTCGGTGGAAGGTATTGCTGGCGCATTGGAAGTTCGAAAGGTGGTGCTTGCAGTAGCGATCGCGGGCGAGTAGTTTACGCGTGCGTGGCCATCGCAAAGAGTAGTGGCGTTTGCGTAATATGTAATCTGAGTCCATGAACTTCCTCCGATGGTGTAGGTCGTATTCGATGTGTAGCTGTGCTTGATCTCCCAGGAGTTGGAAGCCGAATTATAAGCAGAGATTGCGTTAGAACACGACGTCGCATACTGGGCGCCAGAGCCAGTAGATGCTATTGTTGGACTGATGTAGGTGATATCATCATAGCACCGGCCTCCATGTGAATAGCAGACAGTACTCTGCGGTAGTGTCGACAGGGATGAAGTAGTACTGACGGCGGAGGAAGTGTTCAGCTCAGCAGTGTTCATTGTGGTGTTAGTGTATGTCGGTGTTTGTCCTAGTGCGGCGAGAATGTATGAACCTAGCCCAGGAGCAACAGTGGTTGATGTTGTCTTGGGAGTGAGATTGACCGCCGAGAGATTTCCATTAGTTACTGCAAGATATGTGTTAGAATAAACAGAAGCAAGAACAAGGCCAAACCGCCACTTACAGGCTTCACATCTTACGAGGAAGGCTGTTAACACGAGAGCCACAGAATTTGGAAACATTCTGGCTTGAGGCCTTGACAGACCGACCGTTAAACTCTCACAAAACCAAGTCTCTCATGACAGCACGAGAGATGACCAGCAACAGCACAGAAGGCTGACAGTAGTTGGAGAGCGCAACAAGAAACAATGGGGTATGATCAGTATGAAGGAAAAGGAAAGGCAAAGGAAGGAAGTGGCTGTCGCAGGTTAACGAATTGCTGGGTCGGCGGCCTGTAGCGGCCGTGCGAACTCAAAAGGTGAACAACGATTCACCGTGCATTTTCGAGGCCAACTTTAAAAGCGCCATCATCTTTGGGGGCTTAGGACAATCGATTTTGATCGTCTGCTGCTCACCTTGCCTGAAACGCAAAACCTTGAAATCAAATCAGGGGCTGGCGGCCGAGACCAGGGTTGGGTTTAGTGGGGTTCACCTGGGTTTCTTTAACCACGTCATGCACGAAGCCGTTGAAGAAAAAGTCTGAGTCTGGTGGTCACTATGGACGAGGCGGGACAAATAGAATCTGAACAACGCTTTCGACATAACGTTTTAGGAGGTGGGTGGACAACGTTGTCTCACGATTAATCCCATGGGGTTCGCGGACTCTTGATACCTCTGATGAACACATTCAGAAGTAGGAGTTCGGAGTTGTAGTCGTGGTGATGGGGGCACTAGAATTGCTATATAAAGAAAGATCGACGTCCATGATCCACTCCCGAGGAGCGAGTCTTGGCTGTGGCCCGTGGGATCATTAGAAATGTTATGGCAGTTAATCCTAGCCGGAGTTGGGTGTGTTCTGTTCCTGTTTGCTCGCTCTGTCAACTCATGGATGTGCTTTCTCTAGTTGATGTCAAGCACCGAGATTGTTGCAATGCTGGGGTCTAAGAGACAGATACTCAAATAAGCCCTTCATTAGTCGATCAATATCTCGGCCACATTTCAATGATGCATTGGTTGCTTGAGGACTCATTACGTAGGACAAGCCTTTGTGAATACGAAAAGACTCGAAGTCAACTTGGCGATGCTGCATCTGTGAGAGCCAGCGAAACGCCAACAGACAGGTTAGGTTCGGCAGAGAGACGGCTCGGGTTGTGCTAGAGAGAGGAACTCTCGTATAGACAAAGCATCTTTGTAGAGCCCATCAGTAGACGGCTAAAATGCAACTGTAGTATTGCGACAAGATAGGTAAAAAGGGACTGGCAGTTGTGGAGGCTGAAGTAATAGAAGACGCCCAAGTGCTTGGCCCTGAAGGATGTCGGATGTCGGGTGGCGCGTTGGACATGTGGCTGTTGTAACTCGGAAAGGCGCTTACTCAGCTGGAGAACAGGTGGCGGCATGTATGGTCGACCCTGAAACTCGACATCATCCGAGCTGCTGCCATCAACTATTAGATAGCAACAGCATCAAGTCGCAAACATGAGATTCGGATTGATTGCTTCTCTCGCCCTGGTTGGCACTTCTGCCGCCTCGGCCGTCATCGACCTCATCCCCAAGAACTTCGACGACATCGTTCTCAAGTCTGGAAAGCCTGCTCTGGTCGAGTTCTTCGCTCCATGGTGCGGTCACTGCAAGAGCCTTGCCCCGGTCTACGAGGAGCTGGCTTCCTCGTTCGAATTCGCAAAGGACAAGGTCACCATCGCCAAGGTTGACGCTGATGCTCACAAGGAGCTCGGCCGTAGATTCGGTGTTCAAGGCTTCCCTACCCTCAAGTGGTTCGATGGAAAGAGCGACACTCCTGTGGACTACAACAGCGGCAGAGACCTCGAGAGTCTGTCTGCCTTCATCTCCGAGAAAACTGGCCTCAAGCAGAAGAAGAAGGCCGCCGTCCCCAGCAATGTTGAGATGTTGAACGACCAGACCTTCAAGACCGAGATTGGCGGTGACAAGGATGTCATTGTTGCCTTCACCGCCCCCTGGTGTGGACGTAAGCAGCGAATGCCACTCTCTGAGCAGGGCAAGTATGCTGACTTCTTTGCAGACTGCAAGACCCTTGCTCCCATCTGGGAAAAGCTCGCCAACGACTACGCCAACGAACCTACCGTCCTCGTCGCCAAGGTTGACGCTGAAGCTGAAAACGCAAAGGCTACTGCCCAGAAGCAGGGCATCAAGGGTTACCCTACCATCAAGTTCTTCCCCAAGGGTTCTACTGAGCCTATCGCCTACGAGGGTGGTCGTTCCGAGGATGCTCTTGTCAAGTACCTCAACGAGAAGGCCGGTACTCACCGTACTGTCGGTGGTGGTCTCGACATCACTGCTGGTACCATTGCCGCTCTTGACACCTTCGTTTCCAAGTACACTAGCGGCGGCGCTCTCGAGACCGTCCAGAAGGAGATTTTGGCTGCTTCCGAGAACATCAAGGATACCTACGCTCAGTACTACGTCAAGGTCTTCGATAAGCTCGCCCAGAACCCTGGCTACGTCGAGAAGGAGTCCAAGAGACTCAACAACCTGCTCAAGAAGGGCGGTCTCGCTCCCGAGAAGGTCGACGATCTGACCAAGCGCAGCAACATCCTCAGCAAGTTTGTTGCTAAGGTCCAGAGCGCCAAGGAGGAGCTGTAAATGAATGAGCCTTACTGAAGTCACGACAAAAAAAAGCATGCTAGTCATTAGAAGCCATGGGGTATCAAAATAAGATATATCTTAGTCATGAACACTTTTATCCCGACTTCATCTATGCTGTTGATAGTGACGAAGAGTTCTGCAAGATCATTGATCTGCAGCGGGAGCAGCAGGTGCAACAGGAGCAGGCGATCCTTGTCTCTTAGCAGGAATGCGAGTGTGACCGTTCTGTCCCTCAGGATGATCCTTCTCCCATTGTGCCAGCAAATCTGTAAGCTTGGGACCCCAGACATCCTCGCCCTTTTCCAGATCTTCAAACTCGAGCACGTTTCTGCCCAGCTCGAATTCACCTTGTCGTGATCTCTCCAATGCTGCCATGAGTCCAAGCGAGCCAACGGCTGCACCTAGGTCATGACATAGACTGCGAACGTAGAAGCCTGACGAGACAGTCATTCTTATACGGGCTGCGGGTGCTGGACATGGTTTCCTCTCTTCCGTCACAGCGTCTGTGTCGACTGTGGGTGCTTGATCCGCTGCCTCTGCTCCATCGCTCTTCATTTTCTTGGCCTCTGGCCCATCTGAACCCTCTCTTTTTCTCTTCAAGTCGTCGGTGTCGGGTTGTGCTCCCTGACCAGCAGTAGCCTGAGTCTCGACAGCGACTTGCGGCAATAGCTTGTCCACAGCCTTCTTCTCCTCGTCTTCAGCCTCCTTCTCGGGCCAATTGTACTTGTGTGTACCAGGCTCCAACCACTCAACCATGTCCAGTTGCGATACCGTGACAGCACGTTCTTGAATCTCGACAGGAACCTCCTTGCCTTCTCTGGCGTATTCGTAAAGTCTCTTGCCCTGCACTCTCAAAGCGGAGAAGATAGGAGGTCGCTGCATGATGTCGCCGCGGAACTTTTGAAGGGCTTCCTCAACCATGCTCTTGGTAATGTGCTGATAAGGAGCTTTCTTGACGACCTTGCCCTCAACGTCATAGGTATCACTTGCAGCGCCAAAGACGACAACAGTCTCATACACCTTTGTGCAGTCGAGGAAACCTTGCAATTTCTTGGTGCCACTGCCGACTCCTACAACCAAGACGCCAGTAGCCAGAGGATCGAGGGTTCCGCCATGACCGAGCTTGACTTGCACAGGTTGTCTCTGTTTGCGCGAACGCTTGCCGAAGTTTCTAGCAGCGTCGGCGTCGCGTTTGTTCTTTTCGGCTTGGATCCAGGGAGCGAATGTCTTGGAGGGGTTCAAGTGTTTTTGGAGATCGCGGAGAGCTTGGGCGGACGAGACAGCGATTGGCTTGTGAACGGCTGGCAAGGAATTGTGTCAGTCGATTGACAAGTGTGAATTTGTATGAGATGATTTACCGAAGACGCCCTCGATGACAGGAGTAGGTTCACTCATGATTTTGACAGACCTCCAGATGAAACTCTTTGCCATCTGCAGAGTGACGAGTGGGATGCAAGAAGACGAAATAATTATTCTCAAAAGTCGGGTCGCAGCTCTCCACTCTCCACCAAGGTCGGGCTTGGCGCAGCTGTGACGCGGGATCGCGCGTGCTCTTCGTGAGCTGGACTTTCCTCAAGAGTTGCGACTTCCTCGAGTTCTATGTATTGCTGGTCTACTAGTGCTATATACATCTTTCCGTCCTGAAGATGCCGTTCATCTCATCTACCAGCACATTGATACAAACATGACCAACGAGATTGCTGTACTGCGGCCACGAGACCCGGTGCAACTCAACTCGGACGACTGGCCAGAATTTGAATTGAAGCAAGCCTTCGTCTTCGATCCAGAAGACCCGAACAGAGCGCCCGTGAGCCTACTCCATGCTGGTCACTATCGTCCACTCTCAATCACCGGCAAACTCGAGCCACCAAATTCCCACAACGTCGATTCCTGGCTTGACAACTCAGTACATCGTGCCGTCCAAATCGAGCTCACAGACATCAAAGAGTTCTCGTATGGCGAGTACGGCGATGGATCATTGGATATATGGGCTGCTGGCAAGGCTGGCTGGTTCACAATCAAGCCGAGCAGAGCCTACAGGGAAATGTACACAGACATGACCCAGGCACTCAAGCTGCTGTACTTTATGGCCGACAGCTACAAAGCCTTGCGCAAATATGCTGATCTATCCGCTCCTTATTTCTTCCAGAAGGTGTGCCGTCTGATTCAACATCTCAAATTGGTGTTGACTTGTGATTTTAGTGCAGCGAGGCAGGCCTCGAAGGAAGCAAGGATGTTGCAGATGTCGCAGAAATGTTTACTAAGCATAGACATTTCCTGATCGCATCCATGTTGACCAACAAGGAGGGACTGCAGTGGCACCGTGTACCCCTCTACACGTGGTTCCAGGCCACGTTTCCTGTGAGTCAGATCACCCCTCTCTACAAAGCTATAGCTAACTCAAGCATCAGGACGACTTTCTTCTTGTCCAGTCGAGGATCAAACCACCACGATCAAAGCCGTCTTCACAAAAAAGTAATACACAATCTCCTGCCCAGTCGACCGCGAGCTCGAGAAGGAAGAAGGCGGCAGCAAAACAACGAAGCGCTACTCCCAAGTCTACCATCTCCATCCGCTCAGGTCGCTCGACTAGGTCCACCAGATCACAGTCGACGGTGACCGTGGAATCCTTGCCTATGGATCTCGACAAGACTCCAGAAAGAGATCCGATTCCCGAAATTGAATCATCAAGCAATCAGGCAGAAAGTCCTATCGATCAGGACATATCTTCAAGCAGCGATGAGGTTCCAAGGACTGGAGGAAAGGGCAAAGGCAAATCGGCTCTGAGACCAAGACCCAGCAAATTCGCTACACGAGCAAGTAACATTTCGATGAAATCTCGTTCTATCTCGCAGAACAGAACAGCAGCATCGCACCCCGAATCCGAACACGAAGCCATGTCAATCGACAGTCCTCCGAATGACACGGAATCTAGCGACAAACAGTCCGAGGATATAGCCGAAGACTCGGACGATGATGACGGAAATCGGACAGAGACGCGCGAGCCTTCCTTACCATTCCGTCTACAAGATGCAACAAATAATGGCGATGTTTGGCATTGCCCAGTGGACGGTTGCATGCACAAAACATACGCCGCCTCAGAGCCGAGCTCCCAGATCTTGATCAAGAGGCACTCAAAAACTCATGACTTTGACCATGACGAGAGAGTTCAATTGGTACGGCGCATGGAGGCGCCTTATCTGCCTGTAAACAGGCTGATAGACAAGGTCAGAGGAATGGCAGCATCAAGCAAGTTGCCACCACCTATCACTCAACGTTATTGACAAGTTGAGGTTTTGAATCTTGGGGATTGGGAGCTTGATTCATTGGCGTTTTTACTTGGGGGAAAGGAAGGACCTTTTTTGATGCTTTGCGATGATACCACGAGAGTAAGGACACGGACAAATATTGGCTGGGTGTAGATGCAGATTTAGACACACCAGAAGAGTGAAAATATTGGCTCCGGTTTTGATGACTTAGCATTTTCAATTTTGAGCTCGATGCTGTGCGAGGTTTGGGGGTATAATGTACTTTCTGTAAAACAACAATGACAAAACGAAATCAATCATTTCGATTCTTCATCTTGGGATCTGGCAGATGCTTGGATAGAAGCTTCGAGGTTGTCAAGACGTCTAGACATTTCATCCACTGTTTTTGAACAAAGTATTAGTATATTTCATACCTTGCAATAGATACCTAGGCACTCACTCTTTGTAAGCAGATCCGAAGATATGTTCGTGAACTTTGTAGATAGTTGGTTCAAGAGGTCATCGACGACGGTAGCCAGGTCTTCAGAGGAAGAAGCGTCTGGTGACTAGAATGACAGTGTCAGTAGAGTCATGTCACATTCATCGAGTGCTATTGACCAGAACTTGTTTACATTTGATGCTTCGGTGGTCTCGTGGTCTTTGTTGATGTTGAGGTCTGACATATTGAGGTTGATGCCTTTTCCTGTTTGGAGCTCAGACATCTACGACGGAAAGAGGTTGGAAGGCGATGTTAGAGCTAATGGATGGATGTTCCTGCATGCAAGAACAATCAGGGTGATGGTGGTTTCCTTGGAGATTTATGCACGCCTGAGCTTTTGGTTATGCAAGACAGCACAAAACCGAACCTTGCTTCTCCCCACATTTTGCGGCGTTTTGCCCTGTCCGATCTTTCGAGACTTTCGCGTCCCCAAGAGAAAAAAGTTCCCGAGCAGCAAGCAACCAGCTTTGCGAATCAATTTTTCCAAACCAACCAACACATACACAACAATGGCAAAAGGAAGCAAGTTGCTAGCCGCACTGGACCGCGAAAAGGGCGTCAACCACAAACTCGAGCGCCAAAAGAAACAGCAAAAAGCCGCCGAGAAGAGAAAGAGAGCAAGAGTTGAAGAACAGGAAGATGAGGCTGTGCTTGAGGATGCGATAAAGGAGGCTGAGGCGACCACTGCTGGAAAGAAGGATAAGAAGGGTGCTAAGCGCGCAAAGGTTGAGCAAGAGGACGAGGAGGAAGATGAGGAAGAGTGGGAGACTGATGATGAGGATAAGACGCATGCTGTATGTTTTTCGCGCTATCACTTGTGTGTACTATGGATGGTGATGCTGACTCTGCGCTAGAAAAACATTGCAAGGCTGGTCGAGGACGATTCTGAGGATGAGTCTGATTCAGAGGACGACATCAACGGTGATGCTGAACTAGACGAGGATGAAGACGAAGACGATGAGGAAGAGGATGAAGACATCGCGCTCTCAGATCTTGAATCCGTGGCTTCAGAGGACAAGGGCGACATTATCCCACACCAACGCCTTACCATCAACAACACCGCCGCCCTCCTACGCGCCGTAAAGTCCTTTGCCCTCTCCTCCAAGCTCCCCTTCTCCGAGAACCAAACCATTGTCAGCGATGCCCCCACCGAGATTCCCGACATCGACGACGACCTCAACCGTGAACTCGCCTTCTACAAGCAATCCCTGGATGCCGTGACCAAAGCCCGTGCTCTGCTCAAGAAAGAAGGTGTTCCTTTCTCTCGCCCTGCAGACTACTTTGCAGAAATGGTCAAGAGTGACGAACACATGGGCAAGATCAAGAGCAAGTTGATCGACGAGGCGGCAAGCAAAAAGGCCTCTGCCGAAGCACGAAGACAGAGAGATCTCAAGAAGTTTGGAAAGCAAGTCCAAGTTGCCAAGCTGCAGGAGAGAAGTCGCGAGAAGAAGGATACTCTGGACAAGATCCAGCTTCTCAAGAGAAGTATGCAATTTCCCCTTTCCCTTTTATAACAAGAAAAGCACAAGGCTAACCATATCCCAACGCAACAGAGAGAAAGGGCGAAGACATTGGCAACGCAAACGAAGACGACATGTTCGATGTCGCCCTCGAAGACGCCGCCGAAACAGAGAGAAAAGACAAGGCCGCCCGCAGAGCCGGTGGTGCCTCTGCTGGCAACAAGAACAACTTCAAGCGCGTCAAGCGTGACGAAAAGTACGGCTTTGGAGGCAAGAAGCGCTTCTCCAAGAGCAACGATGCAAAGTCATCGAGCGATATGAGTGGTTATTCGTCAAAGAAGATGAAGGGTGGAAAGAAGGCTCAAAGACCTGGCAAGAGCAGGCGTGCTAACAGAGCTTAAGATGTGAGAGGGAAAGGAGGAAAAGTAGTCTAGTCTTTGTGATATCACAATTAGCATTGGGTGGTTCGGGATTCTGTTTATATTGAGTAGCCACAAAAAGGGCGTTTATCTTCTGTTCATCTTCTCTGCATAAGATTGACTCGATGGGATTTCTTTCTCAAGCACACGCATTATGATCTCTAGCGCAGGGCTGCTAGATAGCAATTCAGAAGTGAGATATCTCAGAAATAAGCGTTTTGCAAGGAAAGATTGGATTGGAAGAATCGATGGCATTTTCATGAAGTTCCAGCCGCCGGCCACCAAAATATATTTGTACAAGGGATGAGAAGAAAGGGGCATTTTTTGATACAAGAGTTGGCAAGCAGCAATGATGCAGGCAAAAAGAAAGCGGTACCATTTACAGAGCGGGCTTGGCCTGCTGTTGTTGCTGCTGAGTGAGGAGCTATTTTGTTTCGTTAGCATAACTCCCTTTTTACTTTTGAATGTGTTGCAGGGTTTACCTCATTGGCACTCTGCTGCATCTTCATCTCTCTCTCCATCTCGGCCATCTGCTGCTCCTCTGCAAAAGCCAATGCCCACGGCACACCCAACAGCAACACACTGGTGCTGACAACCCACAGAGTCTTTCCGCCGTAGTTGAGTGTGGTCGACACCCAGGAAGAAGTTGTGGAAGAGATGTTGGAGATGGTCTTGCGGTATGTAGGGGGTACAATGTCCTTGAGGGCGGCGAGTCTGTCGGCAAAGCTTTCGTCGGGCATGTAGTCTTCCTCGTCGTCTGAGGCCTCGGACTCTGAGACATGCAAGTGTTAGCCTTTTGTCTTCTCATGTCTCTATCCTCTACTCTTGTGCTTTTGCGCCGGTAGTGGTGGTGGGGTATAGGTGTTTCGTACCATCGCTGGTGTCCCATTCGTCCTCGACTTGGGGGCCGGCCTGTTCTCTGTTGAACTCCTCGTCGAGAACCTCTTCAAGCTTGACCATTTTGACGGTGTTGTGTGTTTATGCGAAAGAGAGATAGGGTTGTGGTATGGTCGACAGTGCGAATCAACTTGTACTCTATTGCTGTCGCGGTCTTCGCGGCGTTGCAAGATTCTAGACGCAAAGCGTCATCCTCCGCCTGCCTTGATGCACGTGATCGTGTCCGAGTCGGAGGTTCGAAGCCTCTTGAATCTCAAGTCCACAACCAGATCAGTTCGTTTCTCGATAATCTTTCAGAAGGATCATGCCATTGTTGGGACCAGTGTTATCCAAATCGGACTTCCACAATTCAATTGTGTTCATTCGTCGGTTCTGCGCGTGGTAACAGCAGTCTTAGACGCACGTGACGAAGCAGTAGACCGACGGGAGCATTTGAACGTGGATGTGTAGCTAATTTGCAGATACATGCTGATAAGGACTATTTGTCTTGATACGAGTGATCCTATCTCACGGGTCTTGATATCTCAGTCTCTCTTTCGACTGCCGTTCTCATTTGGCCATTAAGGTTTATAGCACTAGAGCGAGCTCTCAGCCGCGTAGCGTTTCGTTTGATCACTCTTGGTCACTTTTCGTCTTTTCAACTTCGACTTTCTACTTCAGCGACTCGGCCGAGGTTCCTTCAGCGCGTCCATCGAGTCCTTTCACACCAGCGATACAAGATTTCTTTTCCGTCGTGTATCAACTGACTGCTTGGCCTTTGTGGTTTGGGACGCTGTTCGAGCGCGCGGGGTATCTGGTGATTGATACAGCCGACACAAAGCGCGGTTTGCCGTCCTGTACGTGGAATTGATCATGGATTCGATGGATGCGGCTGGAGTCGACAACAAACATAGTAGGACATATCAGGCATGTATACCGTGTCGGCGAAGAAAGGTAGATATGCGCATTGAATCGGCTCAATCTCTAGACATTCGTTGACACCACCAGGTCCGATGCGATCTCGGCCCAGTCGACAATCCTCATGACCCTCCGTGTGTTCGCTGTCGTCGCGAAGCAAAAGAATGTTTCTTCTCCGCTACGAGGAGGAAGAAGAGAGCGGCCGACTCTGGTACCGTTGGAGATGAAGTCGACCCCAATGACTACGAGATTAGAGGAGGACGCAAGAGGTTGAAGGAAGGCATTGCTGAATCGGTCGACTCGGATGCTCGCAGTGCACATTCGCCCGTACCTGTCGCTGCACCCTACATACCACGGCCCTTGACGCCTGGTGGTTCTATGGGTCGCCAACAACCTCTACGCCGACCACACTCGACCTCCCAAACCCCGTATCCAGGTGACGATGGAGACGATCATGTCAACAGTCATACTGCAGCTCTTTTGCAGACTGCCGAGCTACACAATGGTCACGATGCTCTGAATGTTCTGATAGAAGCTGCCACAGCAAATCACCGTACTGGAAGTGCTAGCGATGCTCGCCAACATGCTGCTTCATTACCAAGTCCTGCACAGGTAACGCTACCCAAGGCTTCAAAACCACCGCCTCTTGATGCCTCGATCGATCCTGCCATCATGCACCAACCACCTTCTACTGCTCGGCCTTCATCCTCGGCAGATTATGCTTCAGCCTATGCTGCATGGTCCCGCTTCAGGTTTGTACGCAACGGCTGGTTCACCATCAAGGAAGGTATGGACTATATTGAGTACTTCTATACGTACATGTCACCCTTAACACCAATCGCGCTGCCGGATTATCGCGGACCGGACAAACATGGAGCCTTGTTGGAGAATGAACCTATGCTTGCTGTCACTATGCTCATGATAGCATCACGGTACATGACACTGTCCGGACCCGGTGCTCAAAGTCGATCGCATTCCATCCATGCCAGACTTTGGCCTTTTGTTCAGCGCATCATTGACCGTATTGTCTGGGGTCGTGAACTGTCCGGCACCACACTGCAACCTGACGAGACACAACCCGGCTGTGATGTCAATCCTCTGTCTCGCAAGGGCCTCCTGACTTTGGGCACAGTTGAGAGCTTGTTGCTGTTGACAGAATGGCATCCGAGAATGATGCACTTCCCTGCAGATGAAGATGATACCCAACTCATGGCTCCTGTAGATCCAATGGCCTCCATTAACGAGAGCACAACCAATACCGACAAGGGACAAGGGGGTCACGCTCTGACTTCATGGCTCGAGCCGGTATTCCGAAGCGATCGCATGTGTTGGATTCTGCTCAACATGGCAATGACAGTAGCTTCACAAATTGGAGTGTTCGACCCAGACTGTTCAAGACATCTACAAGGTGTATCCCCAGAACAGCAGGAGATATATCAACGACGACGACTTCACATCAAGAGTGTGATCCTCGGCTACATCACTCAGACAAGTGGACGGATGGGTGTTACTGCCATGCTTCCTCAAGGATATGCCGAACCTTCTCTTAGCGAGTTGTACAACCCCAAGCGGTCGAGTTTCAAGGATACCAAGGACATTGTTCTTCATTTCTGGTTGCGTCTCGCTACACTAGTCAAGATCAACAACGAAGAGCTGTATGCAAACCGACAACAGACTCGTGATATCATCAAGACTGGCAAGTACAGAGAGTTGCTGCAACGTATCAAGCCATCCTTGGTGCAGTGGCGGAGGGAGTTCGAAGCGTACCGAAACGGTGAGTGATTACCTCGAATGAATAGACCTTGGCTGACTCAAATCACAGTCCCCATTCTTCTTCGTCATGTACTCATAATCGAGTATGAACATACTCGAGTGATTCTACATCAGCTCGCCCTCCAAGCTGTGGTGGAGAGATGTGCGAACAATAACACTGGCTCTGCTGGCAAGATCATCCCACCGAATGTGCTTGACCAGTGGTTCGGCAGCGACAGACAGCACGTGGACGAAGTGATGCAAGCTTGCCGTAATGTACTCCGAGTCGTCGTGGATGGTCTTGCTCCAGGCGGATATCTCAAACATGCCCCAGTACGAACGTTTTTCCGTATCGTATCTGTAACATTGGTCCTCGTCAAAGTAAGTCTCCTCTCAGCCTCTCCACGGACCTGCATCTTGCTGACATACCAACCTACAGACCTTCGCCTTCGGCGCCTTCGAAAATGAAATGGCACTATCCCTAAACCTCATGGACCGCACTGTAGAAGTAATGCGCAACCACGTCGTCGACGACGTACATCTCTCCAACCGCTTCTCCAACTTCTTAGAAGTAATAACCAATCGCCTGCGTCCCATGATCGTGCGCATGTCTCGCACTACCAACGGAACTTCCTCTTCTCACAACATTGCTTCTCGCGTTTCTTCGCGACCTCCTAGTCCTCAAGGCCACCAAAATAGGAGTACGGAACATATGCCTGCTTACCCTGTGGACCCCTACACAACCAACGACACCAGAGCAGATACCACTGCGCTCTACGGTATCCCAACCCAAACCTACGAATTCAGCGATAACAACAACACGTTTTCGATTATGCCGCCTCCGACAAACGTGCCCTCTCCGTCTCTTAACCCTATCAACCATCCCTCTTCCGATAACCACACAGACTATGGCTTTGGATACAGTGATGGCTTTGTAGGGGCGGCGGATGATGGGACGTATGATTGGCTTGCTTTGCCCTTGGACCCAATCTTACAGGCCGGAGGAGGAGATGTCACTGCTAATTGTTTCGGACCGGGCATTGGTGAATTTGATATGTTGGAGGTGCTTTTGGGGGGTGGGCAGGCGCAGGGTCATGGGAATGGAGACGGCATTGGTGGTGGGATTGGCCAGCATGGGCATTGAGGTTTTGGCGAATCGATGCGATTGATAGCTTGAAGAACAGCGGAACACGAATTGCAAAGGACGAAGTGACAAGAACCGACAAGAACTACTTCAATAATCACAGTTTTAGGTTGTATCAATTCGTGGATATCATGTATTGCCAATTTGTTTACTTCCCTTCGAACGCCAGTATATTATCTCCCCCTGATTCCCTTGTCTCGTTCTCATCAAATCTAGCAAGGCCCCATGAAGCTTGCCAACTGCGCCATCTGAGCTTGGTCAGCTCTCTGCTCAACACCCTCGCCTTCCTCCTCCAACAACTCATCAATCTTCTTCACACTCTTGATCTTCCAGAAGTCATTGACTCCATCCACGAATCTCTGACTGATAGGTTCAATCTCCTTGTCATCGCAAGCAGCAAAGCAAAGACGGAAGTACTTGTATCCATCTTTGGCGCGGATTTCGTCTGTAGGCGAGAAGATTAAGCCAGGAGACACAAGCACCAGATAAGGCTTTGTAGTCCAGAAGATCCAGAGAGCGCGGGAGAGTCGTGCGTGTGGTACTTTGGCAGCCAAAGGGTGTGTGGAGAAGTGCATCTTTAGCCAGACAAACATGCCACCCACAGGCCAGTCAAACGAATATGCAGTGGTGGTCTGGACTACTGCCCAGTCGTCGTCAGAGTCTAGCGAGAGATTGGACAGTGAGCTTCTGCGTCCCACTTTGACGAGTTCGCGGCCGGTGTCGAGGACGCGGCACATGTCGTTCATGCGGCGTTCATAGTTGCCGCGTAGACCTTCGAGCCAGCGGACCCAGCCTGCTGTGTTCCAGCCTTTGCCGTTGGCGGGGCCTTTGCCTGGGTCGATGTCGTCGGCTTGGGGGCCGATGATCAATTCGGCGATCATAGATTGGACAAATCCTGAGGGCTGTTGGGTGCTGGTCTCGGTCAAGCGCAGGATACGTTCAATCAAGGCGGGTTGACCTGTAATCCAGCCGAGACGGCATCCAGGAGCGACGGTCTTGGAGAAGGTGTCAAGACGAAGGACACGGCCATCGGTGTCGACGCTGATGTAAGAAGGAACGAGAGAGTCGAGGAAATCATAGCCTGAAGACTTCCACTTTGACGATTGTGGAGTAAAGACCTTCTCGGAATTGGTCGATGAAGGGAATTGCAGGTACCAGTATGGATCATCTTCCACAATGATAACATCGTACTTTGAGCACAGAGCATAGAGCTCACGACGACGCTGCAAAGACAAAACACCAGAGGTAGGGTTTTGGCCCATGGTGACAGTGTACATCAAGTGAGGTCTCTTTCCTTTCTTGTAATCCCAGTTCTCGAGCACGTCACGAAGACCACCGGGACCTTCAGGGAGCATACCCTCATCATCAATCTTGACAGGGGCAATGTTGAGGCCTCTAGGTCTGGCGCCTTGGATAGCGTTCATGTAGCAGAATTCTTCAACAAGCAGACCTTCACGGTCACGAACCCAATCCTTCTCTTCACTCCATTCATTGGTCAAGGCAGCGAGAGCTTTGGAGAAGCCGTCAGTGCTTCCACAGGTCAGGACAATCTCAGGGCCACCCTTGTAAGGACAATTAGGGTGCAGATTCTCTTGGGTGAATTGGCGGAGGAAGCTGTAAAGAGGGGGGTATCCTTGAGCTTGTCCGTATTGCAGAGCAGAGGCCAGATCAATCTTCTTGAGTGGGTTCTGCTCGTGTGAAGTGTGAGGGACCTTCAATGCTGACTGAGGTTGGTTGAGAGGGCTTCCATTCTTGAGGGACGAAGTGGCGGCCGAGGGAGGATCAACAGGCTTGTTGTCGGTAGGCTTCCATCTCTCTGGCAAGGCGACCTTTGCCTCTAGCGTGTCGAAAGGGAAGTAGTATTGGTTGGGTAGGCCACCAGCTAGTTGACCGATACCTGGGATAGCAAAGTACTTGTAGAACTGCTTGATTGAGCTAGGCTGTCTGCTCTTGGCATTGCGCGAGAGGTGGTGTGAGAGGTCCTTGGGCGGAGGGCGCGTATCCTTGGAATTTGTGGCCGACATTTTGATGTTTGAAAGAGCTCAGCAATGAAAGGGAAGAGAAGCTGAGAATACAACCTAAACCGCTCGGACTAGGGACAGAGAGATAGGCCGGCGGGTAGATGCATTCAATCGTGATAAACGGCTTTAGTCGGTCTTAAACGTCCTTTTGTCATCATCATTATCGGCACATCCGCACCTGCCTAAACCGTGTCGGCATCGCAAATGCAGCTGCCTTTTACACCGCTGATGTTTGGTGCTGCAATACAGAGAGCAATTTAGCACCTTTTCCTGTGAACGAAGATAGCTATAGTCTGCGCAGACAGGTAAGTGGTATGGTTGCCCTCAATGCTGCTTAGTGCGTCATAACCAAGATGGACAAAACGGAACCGAAGTTGCCGCCTTCCGAAACGTTTGCCCATCTTTTGGCAAGTCAGGTCGCATACTCTTAGCACACTGGCCATGAATCCCCCGACTTGGCATAGTGAGTTCTACGTTTATCTCTCTTCTTTATCTTGTCCTGCATACCTCTTTCCGCCTTGAAGACATCTCTATCCGGATCCAATAGCTAAGAGGAGGATCAAAAGTGGAGTTAGGCAATATCAATACGACAGTCATGCGTGACAATGACGACCAAGACGACCAGCTCGAGAGCTACCACGATGAGACTCCTTTAAGGACTTCCACTGAGGACCCGCTATTACGTGCAACCTCAGTCGACGACCCCGTAGACGACGATACACCACAACGATACCCATGGATGCAAAGAGTTAGCGACAACATACCGTCGCCGCTCAAGAGGGTATCAAATGCTGTTGTCAACTGGGCCAAGGGGCCTCAGCCTCCAAGAATATACAAGATCGAGCCATTCTTCCCGGCTGTACAGCACGCGCCTCTCAAGTTGTTGGATCGTTACGCTCCCAAACGTATGCAACGTTTCTGGCTTCTCTTCGTCTTTTACATCTGCTGGCTCCTCTCATTCGCTTTGATCCTACACAAATCATCATTTGCTGCCGATGTGAAAGACTATGGATCGCCGATAAGACTGGGTTGTACGGCAAGATACTGGCACGATGGGAATGGCTGTGGTATAAACGGAGACCAGTGCCGACCTTTTGCCAACTCATCTCTGGCCTTCCGCTGCCCTGCAGGATGTATCAAAACTCAAGTTCTGTTCCCTCATGCTGTTGGAGACCAGGAGGTTGTATACAAGCCCCTGGTTGTCGGTGGGCCCATGAATCGGAGTGAACCCATCTCAAGCACTGTTTATCGCGGCGACAGTTTCATTTGTGGCTCTGCCATCCATGCAGGCTTCATCAAGAGCGAACAGGGCGGATGCGGCGTCCTCAAACTCACCGGAGATCAACACTTCTTCCCCAGCGTAAAGCAAAATGGAATCGACAGTATTGGTTTCGAATCCTACTTCCCGCAATCTTTCCAGTTTGTAGAAGGTACACAATCTCAATGTCGGGACTTGAGATGGCCTCTGCTCGCCTTGTCCGTCTTCTTCACCGCCACGCTATCCTTGTTTACCACATCACCAGCCGTATTCTTCTGGTCTATTTTTGTTGGATTGTTCTTTCAGACAGGCCTCGCTTCCGATCCTCCAAATCTTACAGATTACTACTCCTTGATTTCCACCGCTCTTGGAAGATTCCTACCGGCCGCCTTCGTCATGGCAGTAATTTTCCGTTATGCCGTCCGTTACACTTTGACAGGCCTGACAGCCCAATTTGAAAAGACGATTCTTTGGCTAGGTGCAGCATGGGTCGGCGCACTGAACAACTATACTTTCGACCGCATTCCTATACAGCGCCTGACTCCTCACGATATCAAAGCTCAGCCTGGTGCCGTTCCAGCTCTCATCTCGATCGTGCTAATTATATTCTTCATCGCATTGGGTCAAGCCTATGCTTTCCGTGTTGAAGGTCGCATGCCTCGCTATCTGGTTGTATACGGCCTCTTTGTCCTGGCACTCCTACTCCTCCTTGCCGTACCAGGCATGAATCTGCGCATCCATCACTACATCCTTGCCATACTTTTACTTCCTGGCACGGCCTTCCAGAATCGCCCGAGTTTGTTCTATCAAGGCTTGCTCTGTGGACTTTTCATCAACGGCATCGCTCGATGGGGCTTCGATAGCATTCTCCAAACGCCAGGAGAATTGCTCTCTGATGCGCCGCAAAACACTCTGTTGCCTGACATCTCACCTCCCGTCTTGGGCACCAGCAACATTACCTTTACACTAGGCCCCGTTCCTCCAGTAGATACCAAGAAGGATACGCCATACTATGACGGTATCTCAGTCTTGGTGAACGATGTAGAGAGATTTAGAGGATATGCCGACTACGATGCTGAAGGATTGTGGAAGGACGATGGAACCAGAGAATGGACCTGGGAGAGACATGATGAGAGTTTGCCAGAGTATTTCAGATTTGCGTATATGGCTGGCAATGCGGTGGCTGATTATACCAAAGCTGGGACTTGGTTGGTCAATGGGACATGGGTGCCCATGAAGAGCGGACCGTCGTAGTTTTGGTACACTGCCTTGTCCTCGGGCTCGGCGAAGAAGTGCCACTCAACGTCCCTATATCTAATCCATAAAATCGAACGTGAAAGGTCACGCTAAGTTACCATAAGTCTTGTTCCCCCCTCATTCTCCGCGCTCCTTCTCCTCAACCCCAACACTTCTAACTCGAAACATTTTGTACTCACGGGTAAAATATCAGCGGATGTCGTCCGAGTGGCGTTCAAGCCTTTTGGCTAAGCAAACCACGATTGGCCATGCATTTGACAAGCCATGGTATCTGCAGTAAAAGGTGGGTCGTGGTTGCGACGGAAGTTGACCGAGCCACCAAAAACATCCTTACGGAAGTTGACCGAAGGATCCTTTCTCCCCACGATATCTCCACCATCGTTGCTTGGCTATGAACTGCCATGGCTCAGGCTCCCCATGGGGGAACCGAGGAACCGGGGCATGATATATATGGGTCGTGCCCTCTCTGTTTGAAATGTGTTTATTGAGCAGTGCTTCTTACTCCTTCATCTTCTCCTTAGTTGACTATCTTTCTCTGTTGTTCAATCATGACTGGAGATATGGACATTGTTGATATCCCAGGCTTTGAGCTCACGGCAGACGACTATGCCAGAAAGCAAAAGGCTCTTGTCCGCAAGATCGATTTTAGGCTCATGCCTTGTCTTTTGGGCATGATTGTGCTCAAGTAAGTCGTTTACCTCACTCCAATGCTTCCTCAATGCTTACAGTATCTCTAGCTACCTTGACCGCAATGCTCTTCCCAACGCGAGAATCCAAGGCATCGAGAAAGATCTAGGACTTAAAGGTGATCAATTCAATACAGCGATCTCTGTGCTGTTTGCTGGTTATATTGCACTGCAGATTCCTTCGAATATGCTGTTGACGAGAGTTCGCCCTTCTATCTACCTCGTAAGTCTCTTCTCTTGAAGAATAATAGAATCAATCGCTGATTTGTATAGCCTGTCTGCATGGCTCTCTGGGGTGTAGTCTCTGCTTGTACCGCTCTTGTACACGACTTTGATGGCTTGGTCGTTACAAGATTCTTCCTTGGATTCATGGAAGCGTTAGTAATGATCGATAACGACTGATGACCACTGGACTGATTTGTACTAGACCTTACTTCCCTGGCGCCCTGTTCTTGCTCTCTTCATGGTACACTCGTAGAGAGCTTGCCACCCGTACTGCAGTCCTGTACACTGGAAGTCTCTTGTCCAGCGGTTTTGGCGGCCTCGTCGGAGCCGGTGTCCAATATGGCTTGGACGGTGCTCGCGGTCTAGAGTCTTGGAGATGGTTGTTCATCATCGAGGGCTGTGTGACTGTGGCTTTTGCCTTGACTTGCATGTGAGCTTTCCATCTACCCGTCGAATAGGCCACCATGATACTGACTTTCCCCAGCATGATCCTGCCCGATTTCCCTCACACCACCAGATGGCTTTCCGAAGAAGAAAAAGCAATCGCCACATACAGACTTCGCGACCGCAACGGCAACGACGATGCAGAGAGAGGCTCGCTACTCTCAGGCGTCAGAATGGCAGTTACAGACTACAAAGTCTGGCTTCTTGCGTACGTCTGCCCTTCTCCCTCTTCCTTCATTGAAGCAATCTTCTAACTCAACCACAGCGGCATCGTCATCACCAAAACCTCCGCAGCAGCCGTTACCTCCTTCATCCCCACCCTGGTCAAAACCTTCGGCTACAACAAGATCAACTCTCTATTGCTTGTCGCTCCCCCCTACGTCTTTGCCGCTTTCTGCGCCATGGGCATTTCCATCTCCAGTGACCGTCGTCAAGAACGTTATGCCCATCTGGTTATCCCTCTGGCTTTTGGAATGATTGGATATATAATTGCTGCTGCAACTACGACACTGGCTCCGAGATATGTATCTCTGTTCTTGATGTTGGGAGGTGTGTATGGAGGGTTCAATGTGGCTATTGCGTGGATTTCGGCTACGTTGCCGCATCCGATGGAGAAGAGGGCTGCTGCTTTGGCTCTTACAAACGTAAGTTCCTCCCGCCTTATTCTACTGTTGACGGATTGGTGATTGACAAATGCATCAGATGGTCGGCAACTTTGCCCAAATCTACTCGCCTTATCTCTACGAGAAGAAAAGTGGTCCTCGCTACCTTCCTGCCATGGAAGCAAATACTGTCTTTGTCGCCGTGTCCATTATTCTGGCTACTATCCTGCGCTTCTGCCTCGTCCGCGAGAACAAGAAACTCGAGCAAGCAGAGATTGAGCAGATTAACCTCGATATGGGTGAGAAGAGCGCGGTCGAGCACATGGAGGTCTCACAAGTCAGCCCTGCGCCAGGGTTGAGTCCTGGATTCAGATATTTGCTTTAGAAAGCTTGAAAGTATTGGTTTCTGAGGCAGGTGGTGTAGTTTTGATGGTATGAATGAATCTTGATGAACATCTTATCCGCTCCTGATTCTGAAGTATGGACTTGATATGTATCACTGTTTTGTTGACGTGCTTGATCAACCTGCACTACAATAGTTCTATCAAATCTTGCCCTACATTAGACTGTGCATCGACTGATATTTCCACTCCCTCTTCCTTTGGGCTTGTCTCTTCTTCTTCTCGCTTCTCTTCTTGGTTGACTTTGTTCTCTTCTCTGTCTTTTTGGCTTGCATCATGTTCAGCCTTGGCCGCAGCAAAAATGCTGCGAACATTGTCCTGGTAAACTTCATAATCCTCCAACTTTTTGGCAATGAACGAGTCAACATCCTCACACCAAAGCCGCGGAAGCGGTTTGCCCTGAACGTGAGTCTCGAAATCTTCTTCGAAGAATCTCGGTTGCAGATGTTGTTCGAATATGCTAGGGAAGGCATTCGTAGAGCTCAGAGCCATCACATACCACAATCTGCCTGTTTCCCACTCTTGTCGTAGTCGTTGGCTGTAAGAGTGGTCTCGTGCTATTCTGTTCTCTTCTTGTTCCAGGATGTCGACAAAATCGTCGTATTGTTGCTTGTAGATCTCTAGTTCAGGGCCGCGAATTTGATCGACACCTTGATTTGTGAGCCAATACGGCACGTGTACCATTTGTACTGGGACAACAGGGGCAAAATCCAGGTCGATGATGCTTGTGATATTCCAGTCAGCATCGACAAAGATATTGCTTGCATGTAGATCAGGCAGAGAAAGAATGAATGGGCCGTTGCGGGACTCTTTGTTGAAGAAGTGAGGTAGAAGAGCTCGCAGATCAACCAAAGCTGTAAGCTGGTAGACGCCATCATCCATACTCAGAATAGAATTCATTTGATAAGTCATGCGTTGATCTTGATAGCTAAGAGTATCATGGACGAAAGAATCTGCTGAGGTGTATGTCGTATCCTAAACCTTCTTAGCTTCAAGACAGAAGGGCAGGGAAGGGCGCAGCGGAGGTAACAATGTAGTCTGTTGTATATATCCTCGTTTTCGATGGCGGTGAACTGAGCAGTGTCAGATTAACAGAGCATATGAAGTCGGTATATTGGGCTGAACACTTACAGTCTGAGACCCTGGAAAGCCCATCCCAAGAAGGCGAGGTAAGGGGATATTGGGACAATTCTCTCGCATCCAAATATAAGTAGCAGCCTCGTAACGAAGCTTCTCATCCATTGCTCCTGGCGCGAAGTCCTCGCCAATGTTGAAAGGCAAAGGGAAGCGAATGAGTGCTGTTTGTGGAAGATGAGGAAAACGTTCTCTATTGAGCTCGATGCCCAGACAGATATTGAAGGCTCCTTCAATCCAGGCAGACGGCTCGTCGAGGAAAAAATCAGATTCTGGTATGTGTAGATGACGTGAGACTAATTCTCGAATGTGGGATGAGGATGACTGCAGTTTCTGTCGGAACTTGTTAGATTCTCGTTCTTGGTGAAGTTTGGGAATGATATCGGTGTCGGTGTCCAATGCCTCTTGCTCGGTGATGAAGCCATGTTTTATCTGGATACACGGTCCTGTCATGATTTAGATCAAGCTCTCAAAAACCACAATATCAAATACCGATCGAGTTCTTATGTACAAGGAGTGGCAGTCTTCGAGCCTTAGCGTAAGTTTCAAAAGCAGGAAGACTCCCGAGTTGGCGTTTCGCTATGAGGATCAAGTGAATAATGAGATTGGTGATTTGATGAGTAGACAGGCGGTGCGAACAACACGTGAGCTACACGTAGGCGCCGACCACAAGTCCGAATATGGCAAGATTCTGTTTCGTGGTGGTACTGTGCAGTTTCATAGCCACCTGCACGATGTCCTTTTGGCACACTGGAAGGCAGTATAGCAGTGTAGAGGCACAGAAGCATAAAAACGAAATTTCCTCCTACTTTTCGCTATTGATTCTGGTTACAGAAAAGAACTAAATCAACCATCCAGACATCAAACATTACCCCCTTCCTCTACATCCTGCTCTTCTCCTCCGCTTTTCTCTTTCCATCTTCCGCACCACTCTCACACACCATTGCTATCAGTCAAGATGGGCGATACCTTGGGCGTCCATGGCTTGACGGTGCTGGCCACATCAGCTGAGCGAAGTCTTGAGTGACAATTGGGTATCATGCAGTGCCACATTGGTTCCTCAGTAGGGTATTGTTCAGCGATCGTGGAACTCATTGTTGCATCCTCAGCTTCATGGGTAGTCTTGGGAAGAGCTGGTACCCGCAAACAGTCCAGACCTGCACAAACTGTTCTCCAGGATTCGTGGGCCTTGGAAGAAGCCTTGGAGTGGGTCTTGGAGGCCTTGCTGGTCGAGATTCTGTCCGCACTACCAGTCCTGCTGGCATGGACTGTTCTGTACGAGATCGAATACGTTCCGTTCTGGGTAGGCAACACAGTAGTCGTGACGGTAACCTCGACGTATGTTGTTGCAGGAGCTGCCATTGACACTTCCCTGGCATCTAGTCCAACCGAGGCAACTTGGTCATCGTCACCATCGTGGTGCTTCTTCGAGGCTTTTTTAGCGTTCTCGATCGACTTGCTGTGAGCCTTGTCGGCGCTCTTGGCGGATAAGCTACGAGACTTGGCCTGAGCCTCCTGCTTGTAGTCACTTTGTTTCTCCATGGATTTGCTGTGGTGCTTGCTCCATCGGCTCATTCTCTTGCTCATAGCCTTGTCGGGTTTGCGGTACTTCTTGTAGTCGTGGTCGGGATCGTCATCGTCATCATCTCTGGCAGAGAGGTTCTCGACAATGTCATTGGCACCTTGGCTTGCAGCAGGCAACGCAGCAGGAAGTGTGATGAGCCAATTTCGATCAGGCATGGTCAGAGACTTTGAAGTTTTGTTGTGGTGAATCGTCCTGATTGATGTAGAGAAAGATGATGTGTTGTTCAGATCTCCAACAACAGCATCGGTGGGTTGGGGTTCAGGTGTATTGTGCGCGTACTTCGAGAGATCCGTGAGGTAAGGTGGCCAGTGAAGAGAACCAGTAACCTTGGTGGAAGCCGCGGGAGTCGTGCTCGAAAGCCTGCTATCACCCTCGGTGAGAGTCATAGTTGTAGACACCTCTGTGTAGCCAACAGTGACCACTTCGACCACCTCGCTCGTGGTGACGACGACCTCCTTCTTCGAAGAGTAAAAAGAGGATACGGAATGCGATGGAACAGCTGACTCAGTAGTCTTGGACGATCTGGTATGCGTTTTCGAAGATTTCGATCTCGTGTGCTTCTTGGAGGATCTCGAAGTGGTTGGCGAGGACGAGATAACGGTCTCAGTCAAAGTGTGTTTCGTAGGCCTGTGCGATCTGGTTGACGAAGCAGGCTTTGTGACATCATACAAAACAGTCTCTATCACGGTCTTGGTCTTGATGTATGATGGTGTAACCACGAGTACCCTGGTAGTGGGAACCATCTCAACGACCGTGGTGCGAACCCCATCGTCGGTAGCTGAACAATCTTCGGTAATGATTTGAGTCTCGGTTTTAGTCCTGATATCGTTCTTATCAGCCTTGTGAGTGCTGACAGAGACTTGATGGGACCCATGAGAAGTTGAACGTGAAGAGTTGTGGTGTCTTGAGTGGGTTTGGTCCACATGGAGGTTTGACATCCAGCTTGAGAACTGTATCAAGTCAGTAGTCGTATCATTGATAACTCAAGATCAGACAGACAAGGCTCTTGGGGTTTTGCTTAGTGTATTGCTCAACGGGAGCAGCGAGAACACCCATGCTACCCAAAAGGGTGAGTATAAAAATCAAAAAGAGATCCTTCATGATTGAGGGATGTCACGTTTGGGCAAGAGGTAGAAAGAGATGCGGAAACAGGTCTGGTTTTATAGCTGAGGTTGACTCTGCTTGATATTAACCTACGTTCAGTCAAAGTGTCCTGACCTTTCATTGTACGATGGTAAACCCTCTCAACACATTGGAGACTGGTGGTCCCATGCAGGCATAGTTGTTCACAACCAATAGATGTCCCTCGAGACTCTTCTCATCAGAGTACGAGAAACATGTGCAAGAATCACGCTTGGCTGGTAGAGAGTGGAAGAGTGTAACACCACCTCATGTTTGGTGGTGTTGATTGTGGGGCAAGGGTGGTGTTGAGAGAGCTAAAGTTAACTTGCTCAAGAATTATGCGGCTTTCCTCTGAAACGCAAAGAGAGCCTCATCCTTGGCAGCGAAGCTGGGTAGGGGAATCTGGCAAACTTTGTCGAACACGGGCATTTCTCTAGCGATCCAATCTGCGATGGTCTCTTTGGCAAAGGCTGTGTAGCCGTTTGAGTTTTGGGTACCTGCGCAGATGATGGTATCACCCTCTGCGAAACGTCAGTGAACTATTTTGACGAATTAGATGTTCGGACAGGACATACTGTATGCTCGGAGAATCTTGGATGTGAACTCGAGACCAACTTGAGGGTAGACCAGCAACAAGACCTGGTCCTTGCCGTCATTGTTCTTCTTGAGGTATTCGACACCATCGATCTGATTGGTGTCAGGCACCCATACAGTCCTCCACTCACTAATGCCATTATCGACGGGAACAACAGTCAAAGGCTTCTGCTTGTTGAAGACTCTCAGCATGTATGACCAGTAACCATTTCCGCTTCCTAAATCAATGACGGTTCGACCCTTGGCCAGCTGATAGATGATGGACAGCGACTCGTAAGAGGGACAGACGCAACCAAAGTGGTGATATAGGATTGGCAAAATGGCATGCGAGAAGCGGACCTTGCTCGTGGCAGCCTCGGGACCAGCCCATTCGAGGTTCTGACATGACCATGCCCAGACATCAAGGTAAGGGTTTGTGTGTTCCTTCTTCAGCTTAGATATGACGATTTTGCGATCGGGCGAAGGAGGTTGATATAGACTTTGAAGATGTTGGCCAACAGAGGCACGAATTGATTCCTTCTTTGCATTTGAAGCCAGGCCGACTAGGGCTTTTTGGGTGTTTGTTGTACTTTTGAAGATGCTGGTGTATGCAGCGATATCAACGGCAGGCGGTGGTGGTAGCTGGATGGCAGGTGATGTTGGTTTATGGGTCGGTACTCGTGGTGTCTTATGGCGGGCTTACTGGCTTGCCTTGGTCGTCTCTGTACCAGGCGTGTAATCCGCCCTGGCCGCCAAACTCGACATATGTCTGAGCTTGGAGCAGAGTAACTTCGGCGACGGCGGCGTACGTGTACGTATCGTCCTGAGGTAGACCGAAGGTGGTCAGGATGAACTTGCGGAAGTCATTGTCGTATGGTGCTGTGATTTCGCCCTTCTCCCAAGCGTCAAAGTATGCATCCGGGCTGAAACTCGTCGAATCTTCCGTCTGCGCTCTATCCGGGATAGTAGGCATTTTGAATCTGGCCCTTCGCTTGAGAGTTGGTCGACAATTGAGAATGGTTGAGTATATCCACTCTTTCACATGTCAACCTTGCAGCGCCTTGGCATGACGTTTGACATGTCTATAGACCTCGCTGCCACCAACCACTCTTAACTCTCTTCTCACGGTCTAAAATATAGATGTGCTGTAGGCTTCGGAAAGAAACACACGAATTCAATCAGTGATCACGATAAGGTCAAAGTTGTAAGCATCGTCAGGCAGAGTAAAATCCTTGACTGCATTTCCAAGTGACAGCAGCGCCGAAAAAGGCAGGAAGGATTCGGACTTCTAATCACGACATCGGTTTCGACAGGAGAAGCATTCTTCTTTGATCTTTTATGCTGCCGATCATTTGGTGCTACGCCCTACCAAGCAATATAATTGCCTAAACACCTCGCAGTCCTCCGAGTTCTCACCATCGCTCGCGCCCGCTTCATATTACCCGCTGTCATACAGGGTGGATACCTCTCTCACGCAATATGGCACAATCAATCCTACAACGACATGTAACATCAATAACCATCTATATAGCATGGTTGTGAACATGTAGGTGTGGCTTTGGCTTTGTTTTGTCATCTTCGTCGTTTTCTCCGTCAGCCATGTCAACTTCGACCAATTCTGACTTGGCCGAGAGCCATGAGGAGCATACCACAGTCGAAAAAAAGAGATGGTACAGATCAAGCATGTTCAATGCGTGCGTGATTGGTATGGTGGGATTCATGGTAAGTGATAAGGGTCTTGACAGCACGAGTCAACTTCCACCATGTGGTGACCACATCAGTACATTCTCTTCCACACAAGCAACATACTAACTGTATTTCAAACGTGAAAGGCGCCAGGGTTATGGAATGCGATGAACTCATTGGGAGCTGGAGGCGCTCAAAAACCTTTCTTGGTCAACGCGGCCAATGCCCTGGTCTTCGGCTTGATGGGCTTTTTTTGTCTGTTTGGTGGCCCCATTGCCAACCGCATCGGCCTCAAATGGACTCTGGTTCTCGGAGCTGTAGGCTATCCTGTCTACAGTGCTGGTCTCTATACCAACAATAGATATGTACGCTTGAACTCTACGTGTGACAAGCCACGTTAAACACTAAATGTGGTTACAGGGAAATGTCTGGTTCGTCCTCGTTGGTGCTGTAGCTTGTGGTATCAGTGCCGGACTGTTCTGGGCTTCAGAAGGAGCTGTTGCGCTGGGTTATCCTCCACCAGCCAAACGTGGACAATATATGAACATCTGGCTTGTGTTCAGGACTGGAGGCCCCATCTTGGGAGGTGCCATCCTTCTCGGCCTTAATCAGTGTGTTTGCTCGATGTCCGTATCTTTCTGAATTCGCTAACTTTTCTTCAGCTCTGCTAATCAGAAATCTAAAGGCAAAGTGGGTTACCGTGAGTACTATGCCTCCCTGCGTCCGTCCATACTGTTAGAGACTATCACAATTCGCTGTTGAACTCCTCCTCGCACCAATGAACAATGCCATCAAGAGCTGTCAAAATGCACAGTTGTATTTCGGACATGAATCTGGCCATAGAGATAGCCTTCCTCATGGTTCTCTCTGTGGAAACCACATTTTCTCCGCAAGTATTGTGCATCTCTACAGCTTTACTGTGACAGTCTTTAGCATACGAAGAGGCTACATACTCATCTGACTGACTTGGGCTTAGAGACCTATCTTGTTTTCATCGCCCTGCAATGCCTTGCTGTGCCTGTCGGGTTGTTGTTGTCACCGCCTGAGAAGGTAAGCTTGACTGCAATTTGTTCTTGATGGCACGACTGACCTTTGCACAGGTTCAACGAGCAGATGGCAGTGAAGTAAAGATCGTACAGGAAAAGTCATTCGCGGCCGAGCTTCGGGCTCTTGTTGCTGCTTCCAAGAGACGTGATATCCTTCTCTTGCTGCCTGTATTCTGGGCTGCTTACTTCAATCAATACTCCGGAAGTGAGTACTCATCGCTATCAACATAATCATGCATCTTTAACACCCATCAGACTTCCAAACTTACTATTTCGGCCTTCGCGCAAGATGTCTAATCGGCTTCCTAACAAACTTCAGTGGCATCCTCTCCTCCTTTCTCGTCAGCACCCTCCTAGACTATAAACCTTGGCCCGTCAAGAAGAGACTAAACGTCTGGTAAGCAACCCTAACCCTAGTCTCCACTTCCCCCTTCCAACCCACAGCGCTCTCTAACATCACTCAAAGTTTCTTCTACGTCCTCTTCTGGCATCTCCTAGCTTGGTCCTACGGCTGGGCCATCCAAGAAAAATACACAAAATCTCAACCAGTCTGGGATTGGACAGACCCCGGCTTTGTGGAAGGGTTTTTCGTCCTCGTGTTTTGGGATTTTGCTCAGCAATCCCTTCAGAACTTCTTATACTATTTCCTCTCGACGAAGACTGATAATATTTCAGAGTTGTGTAAGTCTCTCCTACCCATCCATCATCTCTCTCTCTCTCTTCTCTGCTTTGTTGCTCGGCGTACTGACTGGATGCAGCAAGGTTTTCTGGTATCCTAAGAGGTCAGGAGAGCTTTTCACAAGCGGTGAGTTTTGGTATTAATACTAGGGATTGGAAAGGCGGAAGGGTTCCTCTTGCTGTCAATACTGTGCTTTTGGGGCTTGCGGTGGTGCCTACGTGGATTGCATTGCAGGAACATGTTCCTGTTGAGGGAGCTAAAAAGTTTGAAGATGTGAGTGAATTGGCGGAGCAAGTCACTTCTGAGGAAGACAAGATGAAGTTTGCTGTTAGGCAGACGGCTACGGAAGTTTGAGGAACAATCACAGGAGATGATTAGTTAGCACTTTCTGAGAGGATGCGTTTGAACAGAAGTTCAATTCACTGAAAAGGTACTACTTGTTGGGTTAGCCTAAGAAACAGGGGTATCCTTGATACAGAAAGTCAATCAATCAAATCACGAAAAGACAGCTCTGCCACCATTAGGACTGCCCTTTCCCCTCTCATACAACCACTTGCTGTTCAACGACACCGTAGCCTTGCCAGTCGCCAACCCCGACGAACTACTTCCCAAACTACTGTCCAAAGGCGAAGCTGTTCTTGCTGCGGTAGCACCTCCCACTGCCTTTTGCATCAGAGGACTAACAGAAAAGGGACTGCCAGAAGGGCCTTTACTGACACCCAAACTGCTTTGGTCGAATGAGGATGGGCTAGCCTTGTGTGACATTGGCGAGCCTGAGGCGTGTTTCTGAGCACTGGAACGAGGTGTAGAAGAGCGCGAGTATCTGGGAGGGGTAACGTAGCCAGGGGAACCAGCAGGCAAAGGAACAGTTTGAGGTGTTAGGCCGAGGAGTTGGCGTTGTTCTCTGGTGAGAGGGATGTCTGTCATTTCGTCTTTGGGGCGGAAGAGTGGCATGAGGGCGAGTGAGATGTTGAGGACGGGGATGCAGCGGAGGACGAGGGTAGCCCAGGTTGCGTATGGATCCATGGACTTGAAGGAGGCAGTCAATGCCGTGGGAGTGCTGGTCGAGAGTAAGTATTAGACACTCAATCTAGCAAATGAATCTAGTCTTACTAGTCAGAGAGCATGCCGGGAGCAAGCAAGAGCACCAACAGAGCAACAGCATTGACAACAATAGCATGTGCATTGTCCGAAGTAAAAGTCGAGGCATTCTTGCGACGATTGATGTCGTCCATGTTGGGATGACGCCAGGTTCCAGGAGTTTCGACCTTTGTGGTTTCAACCTTTGTAGGTTGTTGCTGTGACTTTTGTGGTGTCGAGGGTGCTGACGAGGGTCGCAACGGAGTTGTAGGAGCGACGAAGCGCGATTGTGCCGGGCTCGGCTTCATGACTGCTGTCGAAGACATGGTGTGTTGTGTGTGAGAGAGATCAGAGGGTATAGAGTTGGCTGCTGTGTGTTGTCGAGTGCTGCAGGGGTTAGTAACGGGGATCCGGGTTAGCGCTTCTGTTAGACACGGCGCATGGCGTAACAACAGTCGAATCTTGCTGTAAGCAGGTTTGCTGCTGTCTCTATGGCTATTGGTAAAGTGACTGCGGTCGTTGTGTTTCCTGATCTTTGTTCGGCGCTGTGTTGATTCTCGAGCTTGGCACTGGTTTCCACGGTCGCCTTGTGGCTGTGCTCATGCAAGCCCCACCGGCCATCTGACTGCTGACATCCGACATGTCATTTAGAGGACGAGAAGACCAATCTTCTTCCTTCTTCTCAGATATCGGTCTTGCAGGACAAGTCCCTGAGATTCAACATGGCCAATATGATTGAGCAGCTGGATGCTCTCATCGCAGATACCCTCTCGGCCTGGAATATCTACACCACCCTGATTGCCTTGGCTCTGTTTACATTTGTAGCATATCCACTCATCTTCTGGGCTGAGCCCGATACTCATCCTCTGCTTCTTGCTCGTCAAGCTGCCGCATCTCCTGTCCGTCAGCCACGTGAGTCTGCTGTGTACCGCTCGACTGAAGTCCCTCATGGCTACGGCTTGAAGACTGGTCTTTCGGTTCGCGCTCCCGGTGCTCCCAAATGGACTGCTGGCAAGGATGGTGATCTCAGAGATATCTGGCGTGAGGCTGTCAACTCCTCAGCCTCTCCTGCCGCCAAAATCATGTCTGTTCACGGAGGCAATTCCATTGCCGAGTGTGACTTGAGCAAACTTTCGAAAACCATCAACATTATTGGCTCGCATTTGCAAAAGGCTGGTGTCCAAAAGGTCGCCATCTACACGCCAAACTCGGTCGAGTACCTTCTCACCATCTTTGGTAAGAAACACTGTGCTCTTTCTTGGTATTTTGTTGCTAACGGTTTTGAAAGCCTGTTCATTCTATGGTCTGACTCCTATCCTTGTGCCTTTCAACCAAGAACATGCTATTGTTTGCAAGCTTCTTGAGCAGACACAGGCACAAGCTGTAGTTGCTACTGCTGGCTCCCTGCCACTTGCTGGTCTTACTGAAAGTGTTTCTTCTCTGCGTCATGTCATTTGGGTTACAGATGCCGCCAACAAGCACATGGATTGGCAAGGTGCCCCAGAAAACGAGACCAAGGGCAAGCTTGCGGTAGATGTCTGGGACAATCTGGTGACAGAGGCTTCTTCAACAAGCAGTGAACTGCCCAAGAATGACGATAGTGTGGTCCCTGGCAATTTGATCTTCCTCTGGCAAACAAGCCCTAACTCCCCTGCGGAAGTGGTCGAGTTCACCCAGAAGGTAAGGAGCCAGGGTTCATATAACTACAAAGCGATCACTAACAACGTGTAGAACATGGTTGCAGCTATCGCTGCTCTGATCTCTGCCCTCCCCCAGCGCCAGCGTCTGGGACCTTCAGATCTTGTGCTGCCGGCTGATTCGTTCAGCCATTCCTACGTTTTGTCTTTGACCATGGCCGCACTTTTCAGTCACAGCTCTCTGATCATCAACTCTGTCGCAGGCACTGGCGTTGATCTGTCTCTTGCTATCCGTGGTTCGCCTACAATTGTCATTGCTTCGTCTGAATCTCTTGCAAACGTGCACCAGACTTATATGTCGGGAGCATCCTCTGGCCTCCACAAGATGGTACACTCAAGCCATGGTCGAGCTCTGGCCGCTGGTCGCATGCCTGGAGAGGACCTGCTGTACAGAATGGTTGCTCCAAAAGGAAACACTCTCGGCACATCGGCCGGTAAGCTGCGTCTTATTTTCGCATCCGAGAGAGCCGGAACCGGTGCTGCGACTTTGAGCAGTGCCGCCCTTCGTGATCTTCGCATAATCACACGCTCCAGAATCTGCTACGCCCTTACAGCTCCTTCGGTGGCAGGTGCTGTCGCGCAAACCAACATCTATGACTACAGACATGACGACCGCCCTGGACACAGCCACTTTGGTGCTCCTTTGAGCAGTGTCGAGATCAAGCTTGTGGACAAGGACGATAACAAGGTTGATGGCACCACGCCCTCGGGCGAGGTAAGTATTCCATGACTATTTGTCCTGATCAGTGATACGTGCATACTAACGTATTCCTATAGATTGTTGTGTCTGGTCCTGCTGTCGTTGGAGGTGAAAGCAAGCTTGGAGTGAAGGGTATCTTCCACGAAGACTGTACCTTAGGCTACGCGTGAGCGTGATTACTTATCTCAAAAGTATCGATGATATTCAACCTGCTTGTATGCATCTCATGGCAGTCGTAGAAATATTGCCTAGTTAGGTAAGTGTTTGGAAGCGCATACGCTAGGGCTCGCAGCGAATCGGAAGAAACTTGCGGCTCCATATTTGTGGGGGCGGGATCAGCGATGACCAGCGGTGACATCGCCAAGACTTTCAACATATGCCGTGTGGAAAAAAATAACGAAGCGACGCTGTGTGTGAGTCTCTACTACAGCACGCGCAGCCTACAACCTGTCATCTCATTGTTCCTGAGGCTTCTTGTCTCGCTCCTATACCAGTCCCGGTACTTCACCAGGGTATCCGGGCTCCATCGATCGTCAAAATTCCACGGCAAAAGTCCCCAGCAATTCCTCTGTCGGCCAGGCCTCCATAACGTCCCTTCAAAGGCATCCTACAACACCCGCTTGTTGCTGGCGTAAGCCAGCCTCCCCTGAAAAGAAGTCATGGTCAACATCGATATCCCTAATGACTACACTGTCTCGCCCTCGACGGCTACTCCTCACTTGACAATCAACCGCGACGTCACCATCGATCTCGACTCAACCAACGCCTTTGAAGGTCAGCTCGCGTGACGAACCTCTACCAAGTGCCTGTCTGATTGTAGTTGCAGGTCCCGAGAAGCTCCTGGAAGTATGGTTCAGCCCTTCTGCCACCTCCCTTCCTGAGGGAGCCAAGCCTTATGGTCTGAAGGCCGTTTCCTCAGACACATGGAAAGAGATGCTCGACCTGGTGAACTGCAAGGTTCTCTCAATCATTGGACATGGGCACATGGACGCCTACCTCCTCTCCGAGTCCAGCATGTTTGTTTTTCCCCACAAGCTCGTCCTCAAGACCTGCGGCACCACCACTCTGCTGTACGGTCTGCCAAGAATGCTCGAGATTGCTGCTCTCGAGGCAGGCTTCCCTGGTACCAAAGCCGACCTTTCCGCCGCCGTCCCTGCCGCCGCTACTCCTCACCGCGTCTTCTACAGCCGCAAGAACTTCCTGTACCCTGACCAGCAGCGTGGTCCCCACCGTAGCTGGCGCGATGAGGTCAAGTTCCTTGACCAGAGATTCTTGGGAGGCAGTGCCTACATGATTGGAAAGATGAACGGCGAGCACTGGTACCTTTACATCACTGGTCCCAACACTCAGCTCACTCCTCCTGCTACTCCTGAAAGAGAGACTCCTACCAAGATCCTTGACTACCCTGAGCAGCTTGCTGCCGAGAAGGTCAACGCACAAATCGATGAGTCTCAAGACGAGACACTGGAGGTCCTCATGACCGACCTCGACGAGCAGAACGCTCGCCAATTCTATCTTGAAGATGCCAGTGCTATCGCTGAGGGCAAGTATCTCAAGCAGTCTCAAGACGCCCGCAAGGATGCTATCGCTCACCTGGGTAACATCAACGGAGATGATGATGTCGACGTCTTTGCGCAGACCACCTCTGACCCTTCTGAGAAGCTAACCTTCCCTGAGGAGTTGACCACTGAAGGTCACACTCTGGGCTCCGTCGTCTCTGAAGCCTGCGGTTTGGCCGACGTCTACCCCGTGTCTAAGTACCCCGAGGCCAAGATCGACTCTTACCTCTTCACTCCCTGTGGATACTCTGCAAACGGTGTCGTCCCTTCAACTGGAGAGTCCGGTTCAGCCCACTACTTCACCGTCCACGTTACTCCTGAGCCTCAATGCTCCTACGCATCTTTCGAGACCAACGTTCCTGCCCGCCAGACCGGACGCGAGACTCACGACATCGTCGTTCAGGTGGTCAACATTTTCAAGCCCGGCCGCTTCAGTGTCACCGTCTTCGAAGCTAAGACCGACGAGGACGGCTACGGCAGAGCAAGAGTCAAGAAGGACAAGAACATGGACAACATTGCTGGTTACCGCCGCGTCGACCGTATCGTCCACGATCTCGAGGGCTACGAGTTGGTCTTCAGATACTTCGAGCGTCTGGACTGGAAGGGTGGTGCCCCTAGATTGGGCGAATACATGCTGTAAGCAAATTGGCACACCTTGCTTTGGGCGAAATGCCCTTCTGCGAACTGCCCTATTTACACATTGACATAGTAAAGGTCTTCCGGACTTGACCACCAGCCAGTCCACTCTTGGATGATGGCATTACATCGCACAGCGCCTCGGTTCCGTATATTCGATTGTATAGGTCTCGGCGTAAATGCATGTTCCAAGCAGATGAGAGAGTAGTAATAGAAGAGAAAGATTTTGTTTTTATCACGGCCGAAGAACGAAGCGAAAACAATTCCTGTCATTTCCTTATTTGGTTTATCGAGCGGCTCAGTTTGCTTTTTTGTTATCGTTAAGCAGTATCTAAGTCTTTTCCAATCGATAGAAACGCTGGATTGCGCACATGGTATACGATCGCTGATCAATACCTTCGATCATCAGGAACAAGTTCGGATTCACAGCAAGACGTTTTTGCTGGGCAAGCGCTCGTAAATCCTCAAATTATTCTGAATCAGGAGCTGCAAGCAGGGTCATGCCACCTCCTCGTGCTCTTGGTGTTCAGTTGCCACCAGGTATACACGGCTCGACTTTCAATACTCAATTCTGCGACCGGTAAGGTCTTAGATGTATCGATATTGACGAAGATCATCTTGTTCGCATAATGTTGCTGTAGATCCCATGTACAGTAGAGAAGTAAGCATGATCCAGCCGTACGACTTCAAGAACGTTAGTGATGCGACACTTATCCTCCCGCTGGCACCACGAGCCACCAGAATGTCTTGGAGCGTTATGTGGCAAAGCAAGTCATTTCTGAGACCTTGAATGTTTCTCTCTTCGACAACATGTCAACATCGCCGACGAGTCAACAATTTTTCTCAGACGCCTGACATCATGACCTTTGGTATCCCTAATCTCGCTACAGCGATATGTTTGCTGCTATTTTGGAGGTAGATGCAGCACTGTTTTGATAGGGGCGCTCTTGCGTATCGATGGCAACAGCGCAAAAGCCGTTTGTCTTGTCGATTGTAAGGAGATTGTCGGCAACGTTTGGTGAGGGGGCAGGGGCAGTGAAATCAGCAGGCTGGGATTCTAGGAAGACACGAAACGGTGCTTGTGACGATGTTCGAAAACCGCCTCTTCTCGAAAATGCATTTTGAGCAAAAAGAGCAAAAGCAGGAAGGTTAGCAAAAGAATGTCTAGAATGTGGATGGTGGGTGGGTTGCCCGCAGGTGTAAATAGTGGTTCACAATGTCTCGGCAGAGTAGCGCCATCGCATGCGGAGCCTTTTTTTGCATCTCTTCCAAATCTCACACTTTTTTCGAGAATCGAGTCAAGCCGTGTGATGCCGTGCATGACGCTTGACGGTTGCGTTTTTGTTGCTGCACTGACTGCATCGCTGACGTGAATAAGGGCTGAGCAACAAGTTCCCTCGGCAGGACCGAGTAGGCAGTGGCAGGAGGCCAAGCAGGAGCAAGGGAGAACACGACTAACCCACCAAACCGATCCAGAACCTTTTTTGGCAACAAGACATCACAATCGATTGTACGTATCATGACATGGCGTTGCTGAGCCGTTTGATAAGGCCACGCGCAATCCTCAGGAACAAGGATTCGAGTCCTCGTACAAGCACGGCAGAGAAGTTTTTTGCTCTCTACATGAGCACACGTACCCATTGATGAGGTGGAGTTGCAGTTCTTTGGGGACCTGAACAACCTTGCAAGCAGCGAGATAGACTCGAGGTTGGCGCGTAGAATTGCCTGCCGTTTGGCCAATCGGAATTGAAGTGTGCCTTTTCAACAACCAAATCTCTGGAACCATGCAGCGCGATGATCGACTCTCCCACGCAACTTCTTCGATTAAGCTCGGCAACCCGCTGAAACCGTTGGACAGGCACGGCTAGCACCAACGACTTTGTGCACTCTGTAGGAGGTTCCTACATGCTGATTGCTCGTCAAGGCTTGTGCCTGCCGCCCAAAATCGTAATGTAGGGGTGGAGCATTGGTGGACTGGGTACAGTAGCACGTACGTTTGTACCGTTTTCGACAAACGCATGATATCTTCAAAAAGCGTCGCGTTGCCGCATCCCACAAAGAGCAAACAAGGCCACTCATTCTCTTCGTGTGCACCGGTCGGACGCACCACCCACCCATCCCAAGCCATTCGTTATCCTCCAACTGCTAACCGTCTTTTGATTGCTATAACGTCTTCCCGACCTTGTCATTCTTTTCGGACAATCTGTTTCCGTAGTCTATTCATATTCACTTGCTCTTCCGCTACATTTCAGACCAACCACCCCCCAGCTTCACCCGATACTTTTGGACCCCTCCGAACAGACGAATATTCCGAGATCATCAACTATAAGCTACAAGCCAGTGGCCACTACCGCGAACACTGCGGGATCACTTGTTCACAACAAAGCCAATTAACGGTTCAGGACCCTTTGGCTGGGCATTGCTCCTCCGCCCACACTATTCAAAGTGTGCTTCCTTTCCTTCACCAACATTCGTACATCCCTTCGCTGTTGGTCAGCACCAGTCAGCGTGGTCACACCGCCAACATGGACATGTCAGCCGAGCCTGTGATTTCTACTGGTGACGTGGAGCGGCTGCTACACGCAACGTGCGTCAGGGGCGTCGATAAATCTGGACCCGCACCTGCACCCCTTCAGGAGAGGACGCTCGACTTCAAGATCCTCGTCGAGCCTCCTCTTATGTCAGCCACCATCACAGATCTCTGCAACGAACCTCTTTTCTTTTCAGGATATCTTTCAGAAGAAGAGCCAATGTCGTCCGACGATTCCAGTCTTTCATCAATGTCTATCAGCACCGTTGCCGACGAATTTATCGATGAACTCGAATCAAACTTTCCTGAACTCTTGGCCGAGGAATGCAGCTTTGTCGAACAAGTTCAATGTATTCAGGCTGAAGCTGTGACTCTGGTCTCGCCAGGCAAGGCCAAGATGGTTCGAGTCTCTAAAGTCAACATGAGTGCTTCATCGTCGTCAGCCATCAAAAGGCCAACAACCTCATCAAGTCTCAAGCCCAATGGCAACACATCACGTCTCAGCATCATATCAATCAGAGCACACAGCCACGATGGATCACTCGCATCCCCTAGGGTGGATTCCCCCACAATGCCTTCGACACCAGACCTCGAGACTGGCTCGTCTGGCTCTCAATCACCTACCTCCAGCCACACCCCTGCCACACCAGATTCTCCAGCCTCTGCCTACTTCGATGCTCTCACCAGCCCAGTATACGCTCCATGCCCACCCAAGCATCGCATGTCACGGAACGGGTATCACCTCAAGCTACCAGGCATGAGCAAACAGCGCCCTGGATCATCCCAGTCCATGATGTCAACTCCGCTATCTGCCCCCCTCACAGCACCATCTTCGTTCTTAAAGCCGAAGATGATCGCCAGGGGTGCTGCCGAGCGTATGGCTTCTCTTGATCTGCCACCCTACCCTCGCGACTCATTCCAACCACCTCCTCCGACCCGTTGGACCATCCGCAAGGACTCCGTCAGTTCCGTCTCTTCCAAGGAGACGCCCCGATTTCGACTCAAAAGAGCCGAGAGTGGAGTCTTGCCAACCTGGCGATGATCTTCTCTTATCACTGAATAATGTTACTACGACTTCTGCTTGCATATCATGAATTGGAAATGGGAAAATTTAGCGTTGTATTTAAGCTTTTTCGCTGTTCTTCTTTTTGGGTTTTATGTCCGTCTCTTGGGAGGGAGGATCGACTTCTCGATACTATCCATATACGTAGGATACGTTCGTCTGTTGAAACAATCTGAGGTCTTTTGTTTCTACTGTAGCTTCTTGCTACCATTTTCACATAACTTATCTTGTCGGTTGGGCAATTCTGGCTTTCCTTGATGGAAGAGGACCTGTTTTTTCCTATAGCTAGAAGAATTACATCTCGGAGAAAATGTATTCTTAGCCTTCGCATCCCTGCCACGTCCCTGCCTCTCTGAAGATCTTCAAACCTCCGAACAGAAACTCTGCTAGAGTACGGATATGTTCGTTCAAAATCTGTATTTAGGCTTCCCCGCTCCCCGTAGCCGAGGGATCTCGCAATGACGATTGAGGGGAGGAGCCGAGCCTCCAACCAACTCCAACTCGTTACGACTCTCTTGTCGCTAAGACACGCAGACACTTATTCATTTGTTGGCTCTTGTAAGTTTTTGGAATTGCCGTATGTGCCTGAGTGCATCTTTACGTGTCACGAATCTTGACTGAGGTGCAGCAGAGTTGACGTTCGCCTTATCATGGCTTCCCCATCCGTGATGCCCCGCAAGTTGTGGGAGCATCCGAATCCAGATGCTACCTACATGGCTCAATTCATTAGAGATGTTAACAAGAGGAGAGGGTTGAAGATGAAGGTGAGTTTTTTAAAAATCTATTAATACAATCAGAAATCGCATGTCGTGTATCGTGAAAGCTTACGATTGCAGACATTCCAAGACCTTCATCAATTCTCCATCAACCAACGCACCGACTTCTGGGCTGATCTGTTCGAACTCCATCCTCTAATTCATACTGGAAAGTACACTCAAGTCATAGATCCAAACGCCAGGATGGATTCAGTACCTTCTTGGTTTCCAGGCGTCAAGCTCAACTTTGCAGAAAACATCTTGTATACCGCAGACCCCAAGGACCCGTCTAAACGCACAACCACCGGCAAAGAAAGCGATAAAATCGCATTGACGGAGGTTCGTGAAGGCTGTACTGAAATTCAACACTATACCTGGAAGGACCTTCGTGCCAAGGTTGGATCACTCGCTCAAGCTATGAAAGCACATGGAGTTCGAAAGGGCGATCGAGTCGCTGTCGTTTCCTCTAACTCTACAGATACCTTGGCTGTATTCTTGGCTGTAACCACCCTTGGAGGTATTTTCAGTTCGAGCTCTACAGACATGGGCAGTCAAGGTGTTTTGCAACGACTTACGCAAATCGAGCCAAAGTGGATCTTTGTGGATGATTGGGCTGTGTATAATGGCAAGACTATTGATTTGATACCGAAGATGAAGGAGATTGTGGATGGAATGCTCAAGGCAAAGGCTAAAGACTTCCAAGGTCTTGTCAGTATGCCCAGGTTCCAGAGGAGACCGGCTGATGTGGGAGATGTGCCCAGGACTATGAGTTTGGCAGCGTATCTTGCAAAAGCTGGTGGCAATTCTGAGTTGCCGTTTGAGAAGGTCGATTTCAAGGATCCGTTCTTGATTGTTTATTCTTCGGGTACGTTTTATGCTCGATTTCCACTTGCAAGATCTGACAGGAATTCTAGGCACTACTGGTGTACCAAAATGCATCGTGCACGGCTGCGGACCAGTTCTGATCTCTTCAATGAAGGAAGGCAAACTTCACCTCGATTCTGGGCCCTCGATGGTCAACTTGCAATACACGACAACTGGCTGGATCATGTATTTGATGTCAACAATGGCACTCCAGCACGGCGCACGATCAGTCCTATACGATGGATCACCCTTCATACCCGATCTCACCACTTTCGTCCGTATGGTAGGAGAGCAAAAAGTCACCGATCTCGGCATCTCACCTCGATACCTACAAACTCTTGCTTCAGCATCTCCTCCCATCATCCCCAAGCAAGTCACCGATCTGTCCAACCTTCGTCGTGTATCAAGCACCGGCATGGTATTGCCAGAGTCTCTCTTCCACTGGTTCTACGATGAAGGTTTTCCTCCTTCTGTTCACCTCAATAATATCAGTGGAGGCACTGATGTGGCTTCTTCGTTTGCAATGGGTAATTTGTTGACTCCATTGTATGCTGGAGGTTGTCAAGGTCCTGGTTTAGGTATGAATCTGCAAGTCTACGATCAGACGATTGAAGGAGGTAAAGGTATCAAAGGAAAACCTTTGCCTGTCGGAGAAGCAGGCGAACTTGTTGTGACAGCTGCTTTCCCCAATCAACCTGTCAAGTTTTGGGGTGATGCGTCTGGACAGAAATACTTTGATGCTTATTACGCTCGCTTTGACAGTAAGTTTTTTCATCCTCTGATCTCAATATCAGCAGCTAACAAGTCGCAGACGTTTGGACCCACGGCGACTACATCTTCATCCATCCAAAGACCGGCGGCGTATACTTCCTCGGCCGTGCCGACGGCGTGCTAAACCCCTCAGGTGTACGTTTCGGCTCTGCAGAAATCTACAACGTGATAGAAACATTCTTTGGCGACGACATTCAAGACAGCATTTGCGTGGGCCAGCGACGCCCTACCGACAACGATGAAGCCGTCGTACTTTTCCTGCTCATGAAACCCGGCAAGAAGTTTTCGGAGTCGCTGGTTAAAGACGTCAAGCAAAGGATTGGTAAGGAGTGTAGTCCGAGACATATTCCCAAGTATGTGTTTGAGACGCCAGAGATACCTGTGAGTTTATCCCTACCCAGCTTTCAAGGCTACAAATTGCTAACGCTACGGCCAAAATAGACGACGGTCAACCTTAAGAAAGTAGAATTACCGGTCAAGAGAATTGTTTCTGGCGAAAAAGTCAAGCCGTCAGGGACTTTGCTGAATCCACAGAGTTTGGAGTATTACTACAAGTTTGCTAAGGTGGAGGAGTTGGTTGGTGGTGTCAAGAGTAAATTGTAGAAGATGTATGAGTACCTAGATGAGAGATAAAAGAATGAACAATTCGTTTCCAAGAGCAAATCGGATATCCGGATCGCAACTACAACGAGATGCGAGACGAGGTTGATTACCATTACTCGTGGAAGCTCTGAGCAAGACAAATAAAAGATGATTATATGAGCCCACGACGTTCTAGTCGCAAAAGAAATCAAGATTAAGAACGTTCTGCAAACATGAGCGACAACATGTTATCATATATGCTGGCCAATCAGAATTCACGTCGAGCTCTCACCAGCTTACAGAAAATTAGCCCACTTAAGCTGGATTTCTGAGCCGCAACAACGGCAATGACAAACCTTCGGGCCATAGAATAAATATATCATAATCAGCATCTGCCGTTGTCTTGTAAACATATATTCCTCTTCCAGACTTGGATTTCTGCATGTCGTCCCCATCGTCAGAAAACACACAACCTACTTCTTCGCCATCAAACTTCAAAACCTTCGCCTTTGTCTTCGGCATAGCAGCAATCACCGTGGCTCTCTTTACACCCCTACGAACCAACCTCCCAGCTTTATTCTCAAAGACATCAACTCCAGCACTTGCACGCACAATGTCTTCCACAAACAGTCCTTTGAAAATCGTCAAGCGTCCCTGGAATGCTCGTGGCCATGCTGACCACGGCTGGCTCTACACTTTCCACACCTTCTCCTTTGCATCCTACTACGACCCCAGCCACGAAAGTTTCGGACCCCTTCGTGTCATCAACGAAGACCGCGTGGAAAAAGGCACAGGATTTGGCACGCACTCCCACGCCGAATTTCTTATCTGGTCATACATTGTTAGCGGCGAACTCGAACACAAAGACAGCATGGGAAACCTCGAAAACCTCGTTCGTGGAGAAGTGCAATTTACCTCTGCAGGAACTGGAATCAGGCATTCAGAGTACAACCGCAAGCAAACCGAAGATGTGCATTTTTTGCAGATATGGGCTAAGCCCTACACCAGAGGATTGAAGCCTAGTTATGTGACTAGAAAGTTTACAGATGAGATGAAGGAAAACAAGTTGGTCAGGATTATGGAGGATCTGAAGAGACATGATGGAACAGACGCCAGCGATTCGCCTATCCCTTTGCATGCGGATCTGAGTATGGATGCTAGTATTTTGAGTCCTGGCAAGAGTGTTACTCATGACATTGTTGCCGAGGGCAAGAGAAATGTCTTTGTGCATCTTGTTATGGGTGGCCGTACACAGCCAAAGTCGGGAGGTGCAAAGATCAGAGTTGGTGGTGTTGAGTTGGGCGAGGGTGATGGTGCTTACATTACCAATGCTACCGGGCCCGGAAAGATCGAGGTTGAGAGTGTGGGCGACAAGCCTGCTGAATTCTTGCTATTCGATATGGGTCTGTAGTAGGTGAAGGAAGTTGTATCGTGGCATTTCGATGTCCGATCATATATCAATGGTAAAAACACATTTCATTTGCATTGGTGTGTTTATCTCCTTTGCTGTTGCAGTCGAGTCAAATCCATAAACAAGTAGGGCCGCTACTTATAGCATGCCTGACGCTTGTAGGTAGGTGGCACTTGCTCGTGTTGAGCTTCTGTCTTGATGCAATCAGCCAAGATTCATGCCATAATGACAAACTTGGTTTGACCAGGCGGAATATACATAGGAGCATCAGGCACGACTTGCCTGGACGTCATTCCAAAAGTCACCCACTTTGTCGTCGCCATGCGTAATTGCAGCAGAACGATCATTTAAGCAAGCGGTCTTTCTATAGCAGAATCAGACACGCTGCTCGGAGTCGTCCCTCCAAAATTTGGACAGCATCGAACGATTATTGTTCTCAATCTCAATCACGACAGCATGATGATTTAAGCGGGCGATATCATACACAAGCAACAGATAGACCGCTCCTGATCCTCCTTCCAAAAAACGGAGACGGACAAACAATTACTGTTTTTGAATCTCGATCCTAGCGGCATGATCTCCTGAGTAAGCGATGTTCTATAGCAGCAACAGACAGATCGTTCCTGATTCTTCTTCCAAAGAACGGACAGCATCGAACAGTCTCTGTTGCTGAATCTCGGTTCTAGCAGCATGACCGTCTAGTAAGCGGCATTCTGCAGCAGCAACAGACAGGCCGCTTCTGATCGTCTTCTTAAAAGATAAGACAACACGGATACATTTGTTGTTGCTAGTCATGATTGTAGCAGACTGATGGTCTGAGCAGGAGATATCCTGCAGGAGCAACAGACAACCCTCTCCTGATGGCCCTGCAGAGTATCGCCCACTTAGACTGATTCTATGACGATCATGGTAGCATGATGATTTGACCAGGCGATATTCCATATGAGCATCAGACAGACCGCTCCTGATCCTCGCACCAAAGATCTCTTGTTCATGCAGTCACTGTCATCAAATTCAATCGTGGCAGCATGATGGTTAAACGGAACGATATTCTGCAGGAGCAACACACAGGCTGCACCTGATCGTCATACGAAAGATCTCTTGTTCAAATGATCATTTTTACGAATTTCAATTGTGACAGCTTGCATGACTTGAGCACGCGATATCGTACGGCAACATCAGACAGGTTACACCTGATCTTTATACCAAAGATCGCTTGTTGAAATGATCATTGTTGCCGGATTCAATTGCGACAGTAAGATTCATTGGAGTAGGCGATTTTCTGTATGAGCGTCAGATAGACTACGCCTGTTCATTATACTAGAAATCTCCTATTCAACATATCATTAGCACTGTTTGCCAATTCCGATCACGACAGCAAGCATTGTTTAAGCAGGAGATTTTCCGTAGGAGCGTTAGATAGACCACGCCTGATCCTTATACCAAAGATCGCCTGCTTAAGACATCATTATCGCTATGCACCAGTCTCGATTACGATAGTTTTATATAAGCAGGCGATTTTCTGCATGAGCGCCAGACAAATCACCCCTAACCATTGTACTAGAGATCGCCTGTTTATACTATCATTATCACTATTTACTAATCTCGAGACCGATGGCATGCATCGTTTAAGTAGGCGATCTTATATAGCAGCATCAGACAAACCACTCTTAATCCTCGTTATTAAATACTTGGACAGGCTTAGAGAATGAATGAATAATTGTTGATCGGTGGAATTGATCGTTTCGTGATAATAGCCCTGACTTTCTTCAGTGTCAGAAAAAGCTATCAGACCTTAAAGTCAACAAGGTTATGAAGCGATGAGAAACAAGCAATATATTTGATCTCGTAAGTAGAAAAAAAGAAAAACGTCTAGTCAATAATTCTGACATCAAGAAGAAGAAGATAAAAAAAAAGGAAAAGAAAGAGAAAGTGTGTGTGGGAAAGACTCCCAAGAAACAGAAACATCCAAGGCCCAATCTCCTTTCGAGTGGCCTGAAGGAAACGCCTCGCCAGTATAGTAGTATATTCAGAAAAAAAGCCCATCCCATATTCACAAAAAGATCCTTCCGTGTTGATCATAAACATATCACTCAATTCTTCTTGCTCGTCTCTGCCTCTTCAGCATCTCTTTTCTCCAAAGCTTCTCGTTCCCAATCTTGGATCTGAAGGCCGTAATTCGATGGTTTGCGCTGTGCACCAGCTTCAGTCTCCTCATTTTTATTTTCCTCCTTTTCTTTTTCTTTGAGAAGTTGTTTGGCACGAATGCTCTTAGCACCATCGCTGATACTTCTCAAACTTGCTTTGTCCACATCGGCATTGACGACGCGTAGACGAGCTTTGGGAACTGTAAACATGACTTGGACATCACGGTTAGCGGCTGCCTCTTCAATGTCCCAGTCTTCGCGTTCGTCTTCCGGTGTTTGTTTTTCGGCTTCTGCTTTCGATGCTGGGTCTTCGGGAACATCGCCCCAGTCGCCTGTGTCTGGGTCGTCGCGGTAGGGTTGCCAGCGCGGATCGCTCTCGTTGCCTTCCCAGTCGCGTTTGCCGCGTCTGGTGCCGAGGAACTGGGAACTGTCGCTAGCGGCACGGCGGGGAGCTGATGTTGACATGGAAGAGCCAGTGCGAGCGTGACTCTTGACGGGGCTGTTACTGCGATCGCGGTATTGCTGAGTTGGGAGTGGAACCGCAGGGGCGTCAGCACGTCTTGAAGCATGCGAGGCACTCATGCTGCGGTCACCGCTGAATACTTGACGGATACTGCCCATCCAGCCACGACGGCGAGGTGGAAGAGGAGGCGTTTTGCCAACGGCAGCTGCGATAATCTCTGCCGAAGTGCGCCGCACCTTGTAATTGAGCGGCGCAGTGACCTGGGCTTCTGGAGCGGTTCCAAGGAGAGCTTCGCTTTGTGCAATCAATTGACCAAAGGTAGTGCATTGTGTCGAGGAAGAGTCAGGTGCTCTTTCCAATCCGGGACGCAAGCTAGGTGGGTGCAGGCTGTTTGTCTGTTTGGGTTTGTTTTCCCAGTATGCAGGAGACAGACTACGTGACACGATGGATGCGCTTGGGGCTTGGGAAGGTGTGATGGACGGATGACCTGACAAACCAAAGAAGAGACCTGAGCGAGTTGAAGATGTTCTAGCAACAGAGCGACCATTACTCGAGAGCCCAGAACGATCAGAGTTCTCGCTCAACCCAGACGAAGTTCTCTCATCGATCTTGTCGGGAGAGCTGGACCTGCTGGCAGGGTAGGGAGAGATTGTGCGTCTCAAAGATGCAGCATATGAGTTGGTCCAGTGATTGATCCAGCTGCTGACCTGGTCTGTATTATTTGTGGTGCTCGTCATTACGCTGGTGTTAGTGGTCTGTCTGCGAATAGGAGACTCCTGAGAACCTTCTGCTGTGGAACCGATCTCCGGAGTGACGGGATGACTACGGAGAGGATTAGGAAGAGGATCTTTGAATGGATCTTGCTCGCTGCTCTTCAAGCCGATCATATTTCCAAGACCTCTGAATGAACGATTGCTATGTCTCGATGACAATCTTTCCTCTTCTTCGTCTCTCTCCTGGATCGGATGGATGTGGCCGCTCGTTCTGCTGATTCTACCATCATCGTAGCGAGGAGCAGCGTGGTACTGGTACTGGCTGCGGGTCAGCCCGTTCTTTCGGAGACCTCTGGTTGGGCTCGGAGCATTGATCGACAATCCAGATCTCTCGACCTCGCGGTTGCCTTCTTTGATCTGTGCAGGGCTGTTCTCCACACCATGAGGTGTCCATGTTGTGAAGCCGTCATGCATGTCCTCATCCTTCTCTTGCCAGTTGCCACCAGAGGCATAATCACCATGGCAAGGCTCGTAGGAGGTGCTGCTTCGATAAGGTTCATAGTTGGTGTTGCCGAACCATGCTTGCTCATAGCCATTGCCTCCACTCTTGTACAGTCGCTCTCTATCGCTCTCACGGGCTTCGCGTCTTCGTTTCAGATGGCGTTTGTACCAGAAGTAGAAGACGATGAGGAGGATGACGACCACTCCACCGATTGCCAAACCGACACCAAGACCGGCTTTTTGAGATGTTGTAGTAAGTGCTCCTTTTCTTTGGTCTTCTGCTGATGCGCCACTGCCTGATGTGACTTCTGGGGGCGGGTCGTAAGATTGTATCCAGGATTTCGAAGTGACATTGTAGAAGAGAGTTTGCGAGTTTGACGTAGACGTTGAGCGACGTAGGAAACGGAAACGGAAACGCTTCGAAGATGTCGTAGGAATATTGTAACCGCCCATGATCATCATGACTCCACCAGGAAGCATCGCTGCGCCGTGTCCGTAGATACCTGCTCCAGCCAGGCCAGAAGATGCTTGAGAAGGTACTGACCACTCCCAATCTCCATCACCTCCGTAGCCCGAACCAAGTTCTAAAACCGCCAACTGAGGTGAAGCGGCATTTGTGACATCTCCAACCCATCCACCGAACACAACCAAGCTCTTTCCATCTTCGGTCAAAACTGCTGTATGGCCTGATCTTGGTTCAACAGAAGTGACGGTCCCTGCCGAGGGTTGATCCACGGGTTGGTAAGTCCAGGTCTCTTCGGGCAGGGAGAACAGTGCTACCGAGGACATGTTGATAAAGGCGGCTCCAGTATGACCTCCTACCAACACAAAGCTTTGTCGTGCGCTTTGAGTGCTGCTCGAATTATCAGAGAAAGCAGGGCTCAAAGGAGTCATACTGAAGCCAGCCTCAGCGACAGGTGGGCCTTTGCTCGATAAGAATGCTGAAGTATAGGCTACCTGCTTCGAGCTGTCTAGTTCTGGAGAAAATGTCATCATCTGGTTGGTGTAGTTTGCTGCAGACATCCAGGTATCATCGGTAGCGTTGGGTAGCGGACACATTCCTCCAAACACATATAAACTTGTTGTCGAAGCATTGCCTTTGGCGAGATCTGAGAAAGCAATGCCTGAGCTCAGAAAGTCGGGCCCGTGAACCTTGTTCTTTGCTGCCGCTGCAGGCGTACTTTGTAACCATGTTCCATTGCCGTTCTTGCCATGGGTAGCTGGAATAAAAGTCCAAACTTCGGGGGCATCACCATCTGTGGAGCAGTCGCCAGCGACGACAGTTATGTTCTGTTCGCTACCTTTTAGTGGTGTGTATGCACGATTCGATGTGGTCTCCAGGAACGGCAAAGAATCGTAGAGGGTTGTTAAGGAGAGTTTTGAAGCCTCGAGCGAATTGGTAAGATCGAGCGAAAGTAAGCTGGCCTGCCCATTGGCGTTAGGTTGTAGAATATATGCGTAGGACACTGTCTGATCATCCTCGTCGTTCTGTTCGGGTATGACGATATGTGTTGGATTGTATGGTTGGTCCAGTGCTGAAACCTGAGCAGTCGCAAGAGCCAGAAGTCCAACTACGGGTATGCGCCTCGAGAGGGCCGGTCTTGACATGTTTTCGACAAAGTATCACAGTCCAAGTCCCTCAATCCATATACATCGTTAGAGCTGTGATGGATGTCCGCTTGTCTCGGTAGATCTGTCGCGGGTGCAATGATTCACAGAAGGAGCGGACGCGGAAGTGCGAGATGGTAGTGTCGTAGTAGCGAGACAAAGAGTGGCTAGGTAGGTACCTTCGTAGTAAATAGATGGCGGGGAACGAGACAAGGGAAAGAGATCCAATCAATCGAGGGCCACAAGGCTCTTCTGCAGCTGAACAAGGGCCTTGCACATGCGACCGCCCGATCATTCCGGTCCTCAGAGTAAACAAAGCTCGTCACGCAACCTACTGTATCCACACCCACGTAGTAGACCAAGGCACCAGCCACCGTTCGATACCAACGTCTGGGCCCTGCTTATATTGGTCCGTCGCCCGGCAGCAGCGAAAAGGCATGCTTGGATAAATTGGTAGCCACAGCTCCTTCGACAAATTGTGGCACCTTTTCGCACCCTGGAGAAACTTTGTCAACCAAGTTGCCAGAGCAACCCCCCAAATCCGAACCCTTGTTTCGCTAGCTTCTGCCCCTCCAGCATGATTTTTGTTCGACCGTGTCTGCCCTTGACGCCATCCTGCCATTGCGATCGATGTCCCGACGAGCTGAGAACTCTAGGAAAAGGTTATGTCTGAGTACGAGGTTATCTACCTACCCTTGTCAATGACGATAAGGAAGTGGGCTTCGACGCTTGCTTGCGCAGCTGACCAGCCACCTCTCAAGCTGGTCGGTTGTGTCAACAGATATTTCTTGATTCTAGAGCAGCGCTATGTCGCATTGCAACTGTAGGCCCGAGATGTTGAATATCACAATCGGTTGCCATGTCTTGCCAAGTGCTCTCAAACGAAAAGACGGTCGCTCAACCACGAGGATAGAACGAACCGTTTTAAACATTTCTGGCAGACTGCAATCTCAGAGCTGTAGCAACCACCGTTGACACACCTATCTAAACGATCACGAGCAATTGAACGGTGTAATAGCAGCATAACGAGATGATTTTCTGTCTCAGAAATTTCTGTTCTGTGATAAAGCAACGCCTAGCAATTAGCGATGGCGATAATTCTCGTGTGCCCAGCGATCTCCCTTGTATAATACAGCTTGTGTCCTCCATTAAACGCCGATTTGAAGAGAGCCAGAATCAGTGCCTCCTCCAGCGAAAACTCCTTCCATGCTAGTTCATGCGCATTCGTTTCGTGCGTAAAATCAATGATCCGTCCCGTCCCAGATGACGCCTCGCTTCATATACATTCCCAGAAACTTAACTAGATGTCTGCCGCGGTGATGATTCTCTTCTTGATCTGCTCGAATGAAGAAAAGAAGATCATGTTAATCAACGCGGAGCGTCCGACACTGACTCCGAGACCTGATATACTGTTAGTCGGTGCAGTGGCAGAAGCATATCATTTTTGATTACCTCTGTATGAGCCGGGCTGAAAGAACTTAATATCAGGACGGGCGACCTGAGCAGAGCCTCCTTCAAGCTGGCGCTTTTGATATTGAGTCTTGACGACATCGAGAGGGTAGATCTGCATACTAGTCAGCATCAAGATCAGAACGACCAGTTGGAATGCACATACCATGACCCAACTGACGATGCCACAAGTTGCACCGGCAAGAGCAACTGCAGCTGGCTCTGCTGGGCCATTTCCACGAGCGTTCGAGAGGATCTGCTTAACGGTCTCGTAGGTGCCAAAGTAAATAGCGGTGCCCAGAGTGTCGCGGACTGAACCATTGTCTATTAGTAGTTGCTCAAAGTGCCAGATTGATGTGTTGCAGAGGACTTACCAAGGTGCAAGCGATAACCGCAGTAGAGGCCACGGATACCACGGTCACGAACAAGCTGTTGAGCTGTTCTGAATGCGCCAGTGCGAAGGTCACTGATGGGCTGAGGGCGGTCAGAAGGGTTGGCCTCTCTCTTCATCTTGCCGGCGAGTTGTGCATTGAGCTTGATGAGCTCGAAAGGACCTTTGCTTGAATTAGCAGTTGTTTGAAATGGTTACCGAGACAGACATACAAGAAACGCAAGTGATGACAGCACCAGCGATAGCTCCAGCACCGGTGAAACAGGCGATGGTTGACATGGTTGGACTTTGACCCCTCTTGTTGGCCAGCTCGAGAGGAGACCTTCCGGTCATCTGGGTTATGTAGTAATCGACCACGCGCTTAGAGCGGCTGTACAGACTGAAGGAAATGGTGCGGACCAACGTAACACTAGCCATTGGGGCGGCAACACCTGAGGATTGAGATGAGCAAACATGCAACCAATGCTTAGTAGACACCATGCGTACCTCTCCAGAAAGCGCGCAAACCTTCGACTTGGTAGGCATCCTTGACGGTTGGAAGGAATTTGGTGTCATAGCTTTAGTTCAGTCAGTGGGAGCACACAAAATACACATGACGCCTGCTCACGATTGCATGCGCACTTTGGCGAAGTCGAGTGGGAACTGCACAAGACTCGTCAGCGTCAAGGTTGACCGAAGATGTGTTGTGCGATGGAGCTTACCGCTATGAAAGTCGAGAGCACACTGGATGCTCCGGAAGCCAGCTCAGTCTTCCACTCGACAGCCAATCTCTTGACATCATCACTGGCCTGGTACTGCAGAATGCCGAGCCTGGGTGGCTGAGCAGAGGTCTGCTGCTTGTTGTGCGACTTGTCGGAGTTGGAGTCAGGATCTCTCATGCTGGGTAGTGTGCGGTGCAGGTAGTTCGCGGTAGAATTGTTGCTGAAGACAAGAGTGTCTTTCAGTTCGCGCGCTTGTGAACGAGCGGCGTGCGCTCCATTGGCTCTCGGCGGCTTCGACGACTAAGCAAGGCAGCGATATACGGGGTACGGGGTAGGAAGCTCTCGGCAGGTTTCAAAGACGTCGACGGGACCGTGGCAGCACGAACGATACCCCGTTCGCTCGTGAGCGAATCTACAGGGAGATATACGAGTTCCAAGAGCAGGACAGGCTTCAGACGACGAATTGGACGGGCACGCCGTCGCCTGTCGACTTCGGTATGAGTATGCAGCAGGACAAGAATTGATATTGGCTCGACAGAATCAGCGACGGCGACGTGGGCAAGAGTAGCTGGATAGAGGTCGACTTTTGTAACAGCAAAGAAGCAGAAGCGTGAATTATGGACTGACGTTTGATTGGCCTGTACCCCGCGCCGCACCTTCTCTGAAGCCAACCTACTTGAGGCTCGCTTGAGTGACCGACCTGCTGTAGCTCGATTAGATTGCTGTGAAAATCACGCGGCTGCTTTTGCTTTTCGGCAGAGACATGTGAATATGCGTGACACCAGCGTGGCCTGTGGTCGTCAATGCCAATTCCTGAACCGTATATTACATTTCTGCATGTCGAGTCATCATCGTCATCATTTTCCCCTCCACATTCACGCCTGACCTTTGGAGGGCTCGCTGATCTTGCTTTCTCGATTCGAGAACAACCCAAATTCTGTCCAATCGCATGCCGCATCTTGACATGTTATAGCAATATCATTCCAAGTCCTGAGAGTATGCTCAAGCTCAGGATGATCCATTTGCATGCTCTTGCATTTGCTGCCTCACTAGGCGCTCCCTTGCCAACATTACTCTGTCCGCTGGCCATAGCTGTACAGCTAGTCCCGCAACCATAGCCAGAAGGGCAACATCCTCCGCCTACGCTGGCTGCACAACTAAACCAGCCATTAGCACAATTTCCAGTCGGGGCTGCAGAGCTAGCGCCGCTGGGAGCAATCACGGTCAGTCCAGAATTGGTAGCTATCGTGGTGCTTGCAGAAGCAGGACAACTCGTCGTGTCACAATCTCTTCCGACTCGACAGCATCCACCCAGATAATACGCGCTGCACATATAAAAACCGGTCGGACAGCCAGAATAGCTAACAGTATTGGACGTTGAAGTGGTCCTGCGCGTTTCGGTAGTCGACGACAATGCTGAGGTCGAGACTGGTCCAGTTCCGCTTGTTGGCAAAACAGGTGGAGCAGCAGTGGATAGTGGTGGGCAAGTCAGAGAGCCACAAGCTCGATCAGTCGGACAGCAACCACCACCAAGGCTTGCTGGGCATGTCTGGAAACCAGGACTGCATGTTAGTGGGCCTTGGCCTGGAGACGAAGAGCTAGGCCGTGTCGAAGAAGTTAATGATGTTGTCGACGCGGCCGAAGATGGAAGGACGGTCGTCGTTTCAACGACTGTCGTTGTCATGGCGTTCCCAGAAGTTGTGACCACTAAGGTGGTCGTCGTGGTGCAGATCGAGCCTGGTTGCGATGCAGAAGTCGCTGGAATGACGAAGGTTTCAGTGGTCGTGCTATCAGATAATGTCGACCACGAAGCGCCAGTAGTCACAGTAACTATTGGCAGTGTAGTGGTAGTTGTAGCGGTCGATGCATATACGCCTATATAGTATATCAGTGAAAGAAGACTTGGCTTTGATGTTCTAGTCAGCTCACATCCAATACCCTGGCAGGTATAGCCAGGAATACAACAACCACCATTATCATTTTTGCAACTTGTGTATCCTGCAGCAGTATCACACAACCCAATCTGCCCTCCACAGCTCGCACCGTCAGGACAGCAGCCTATCGTTGCTCCATCGTTGGCTGGTAGAGAAATGCAAGTTTCGCCAGTCGCACAGCAGCTGTTTGGGTATCCAATCGATTCGCAGCTGTTAGTTTCAGACGGGCATTGGAACGCTCTTTCGGACAAGCTGCGATCAAAAAACCTGTGATTGGGGATAAACTGTTGAGATTTTTCATGCAAGAGCAGTGGTGGAAGCAACTCTTCAACGTTGGATATGTTCAACAACCGTGCTGCAGAGCTGACTGAACGTCGAGCGTGCAGAGGCTTATCCATCTCAATGGAGTCGAATGCCTGCTCGTTGAATTGCCAGTAGTCCAGAAAGAACTTTTCACCTTCATCGTCGCTCATCTTTCGCATGCCGCATGGTGAGGTCAGATTGAGTTTCTGCTGTATCTCGACATCTCTCCTGATACGGTGTTCGTGTTCAGGATAGTACTTCGCATCTGGAGGTAAGTTGTAAGGCCAGTCTTGACTGTACGCAGGCGTCGCAAAGATGGTAGTGATCAGAGCAACAGGTATGGCTAACAGCCCAGTCACGGTCTTAAACATTTGTGCCTCACGAAAGAAGTGTGTCGCAAGCTCGAGACTGGAGATTCACTTGAACGTAGGAATAACAATAGTGAATATGAAGGAACAGAACCTATCGTGGTGATGGCCTATGATCAAAAATATGGTCTAGGATCAGACTAAAAGGAAAACAGATTGCCATTGCAAGTGATACTTAGCGTTGCCAGAGCTACAGTGCAGCAAGCAGGATCTTCGTGCATGCAAGCCGACGAGTGAGAGCAGAGCACAGCCAAAACCTGGAGTTGGACGTGTTGGCTTTGCGCGGAAAGACAGAGCGACGGCTTCGAGCCAGCGCCAAGAAATATGGTCGCTTGCCGCACTTTCGGAAAACTCCGCCGCCGCACCTGAGAATTCGCGATTTGCTGGTGCCCTCTTTTGAATCTCTCGTTCGCGACCGCTCAGTGATATCGACATCCACCGACATCGACAACCGGTAGGTGCTATTCCATATCCTCCTCGAGCCCGTCAACACCACAATCGCCATCACACTCTTCGCCGTATCAACGACTCTTCTCCTCGAACCGCGCGCGCCCGCCACTTTCCAACTTCACACAACTCAAAACCTCTCGAACCCATCCACTAACACATCTCTCTTGCAGCAATCATGGGTAAAGGAAAGCCAAGAGGTCTCAACGCCGCCCGCAAGCTCCAGAACACCCGCCGTGAGGGTCGTTGGGCCGATCTGAACTACAAGAAGCGTCTTCTCGGTACCGCCTACAAGTCCTCGCCCTTCGGTGGTTCATCTCACGCCAAGGGTATCGTCCTCGAGAAGGTCGGTGTCGAGGCCAAGCAGCCCAACTCGGCCATTCGCAAGTGTGTCCGTGTCCAGCTCATCAAGAACGGCAAGAAGGTCACTGCTTTCGGTACGTGAAGGACTCGAGAGGAAGCGCACACAACACGAACAAAGTCATTCTAACATTTTTGACCTTACCAGTCCCCAACGATGGTTGCTTGAACTTCGTCGATGAGAACGACGAGGTCCTTCTCGCTGGTTTCGGTCGCAAGGGCAAGGCCAAGGGTGATATTCCCGGTGTCCGTTTCAAGGTCGTCAAGGTCTCCGGTGTCGGTCTCTCTGCTCTGTGGAAGGAGAAGAAGGAGAAGCCCAGATCGTAAACAACTCGTCACTTCACAGTTGTACGACTCTTACGCTTTCTTCTATTCGCGGGCGGAAACAAGCGCAACAACCAAAAGATTCTCTTTTTCACATCCACTCGGTGTCAACATCATCATGCTTGCGGGTTGATCGGCTTTTGGCGAAAATGGGACCTTTGCGAATCACAAAAATGAAAAACAAGTTTCCAAAAACACCCAAAACAACGTCCTGTCTCTTTCTTCCCGCTGCAAAAGAGTTATCTTTGTCTTTCCGCCTTGCTGCTGCTTGCATCAGATCATACACAGCGTCTTGTGACATAGCTTTACGGAATGCACATGTCCAGCTCTGGGCTGATGAACGAAAGATACCCGCATTCTGTCTACTCTTCTACTTGCCACTCTTGACTGACCATCATTGTGCATTTCTTTGACCAACAGCGTCTCCCCTTAGGCTTACACAGGTAACCATCACAACTGTCTTGTCTGTGGACTTCTCAACATTATGCTTCTCATCTCATCCTTTATTTCCTCCCTTCCCTACACATCCTACACTTTGCCACACTCTGGACTCTGCCCACTTCTCCTGTGGCCTTGTCCAATTTTCAGTGCAAAGAAGATTGACTTTTTGTGTCCTACTACTCACCGGCATGTCTCTTCTCTTTCGAGAGCGTGGGCATCTCGGTCCATGTTTAAGGTCAACAAACCTTACATACCATCTTCGTATTAATCAATGCAACAAATTACTACTTCCATACTCTCTTCACCTGTCCACAGTCAACACTTGTATACTTTCATCACAGCGCGACGTCTCTCTTACACAAATTCTCCAATTCAAGGTAAATAGCTCGCTGCCCAAAACTTCCAAGATATACAAACTGGCTAGTTGCTATCTATCTACTTCTTCCTATCCTTCAACCCATCAACACCCTGCCCCCAAGCACCTGCTTTCTTCCCCCACTTGACAGTACCCCAAACATGCGTCCAAGAAAACTTCGGCGGCGGCTCTTCAGACCTTCTAAAAGGACTTGCTCCATGTCTGAACATGATTTCGTCGTTTGCCTGATCCACAGTCCTCGAACTTCCCATCTTTGCATCATTACCTGCCTGCGCAAACCCTGAAGCAGCGGCAGAAGAGGTGGTGGTAGGGGAGCTAGGGACGGGATTTTCCCAGGAGCGAATAGAGGAAGGAAGAGGTTTATGCCAGCCTTCCTCAACCCTATCCCACCATTTCTTGCCGCACATCTCCCAAAGCCTGGATGTTGCTCTCCTGTAAGCAAATCTTTCATCTTCGCCTGTGAAGCTTTTTACGTTGCTAAAATCTGGGCTATTTCCTTGTCGCAGTCCACGCATTCTAAAGTCGTCGTCAGGGTCGATGGGACCACGCTCGTTTTGTTCCGACATCCTGCGAATACGGTTCGGAGGATCGTCTTCGAGGGAGTCTGCAGCGAGCAGGTTTTCAAAACGCGAGTGGGTGTAGTCTGGTTGTTGCTGTTCGGAGTAATCAGGGTTGGAAGACAAGATGTTAGGACGGAAAGGAGCGGTGGCATCTTGATATGCTTCTGCAAAGGTTTCTGCGTATACGGCGTCTTGATTTCCTTCTCCCGCCACACTCTCTGGGAAAAAGATTTCATCAGGGCCGGCGGAGGCGTTGGTGATGAGCAGTTTACAGCGAGCTTCGTAGAGGGCATCGAGGAGTGTGATAAACCGCCTAGCTTCGTTTTTTTGCAGCAGAGAGAGGACGGGGACGGAAGAGAGGATTATGGTGTGGTAGGTAGAGGCGAGGGTTATGTAGTCTGCGGGACCGAGGTTGGAAGCACACAGTTCGGAGAATGTCCAGGAGGAAATGCCGTTGTGGGAGCGTGGGACAGGGATTGTGCGGCCGTAGACGCGGATGCTGGAGGGTGTCCAGTCGATTGAAGAGGCTGCTGTGCCTAGAAGCGTTTGTTCGGCTTCTGAGACTTTGGCCTGGTAGGCTGCTTGTTCTTCTTCTGAAGCCCCAGGGCCGGGAGCAATCAAGAAGTAGGTTGGGGCTTTGATAGTATCGGTGTTTGTCGCTAGCTCTTGCTTCTCAGTCACCTCTGGGATATCAGAAACAGCAGAACCGCTTTCGAAGGCTTCCAGATCTGTAACATCCTCAAATCGATCTTCTTCAGCGATCGGAGGTGGTGCTTGGGTGTTGGCTTCGTATCTGCGATAGTCTTTGCCACTGCTCATCTCCCAGATCTCACAACGAGCCTTGAGTACCTCAAGAAAGCCGGCGAATTCACCTTGACCGGCAAACATGTTTTCACTCTTGCCTTTGGTGGCTCGTCCCATGCCCAATCTCTGAGTCAAGGACTGCAAACGTGATGGTGGTGGGAAGGCCATACCAGCGGCTTTGTGCAGTTCCTCGGGCATCCGGTTGCTTGTCGCGATGAGCACACCACCGAGTTGAAAGAATGAAGTCATCAAGTTTGTCATGATCTTGGAGGCGGCCCTATCCGGTAGTTGAAACTCATCGAGGAAGAGGATAGGAGAAGTGTTGATCATTTCACGAGCGAGCCAGAGTAACGAATGTTCTTCCACATCCGCACCAGCCGCTTGAGGCAATCTGGTCAAGCGGTTTCGCCTTAGCACTTCCAACTTGGCAAACGTATCCAGCATAAAAGTGTTAAAGTGCCAGCGAGCCTTCTTCCTGTTTGGTAAACAATCGGCAAACAGATCGATGAGCATACTTTTGCCAGTGCCTACTTCACCATGAAGCATGAGACCTCGAGGCGAATCCAGATTCATGGCGGCTTCATGGCTAGTCAGGACTTTGGTTAGAGCTAGACTGTCTCGTTTTTCTTTTTGAGCAAGGAGACTTTGCCAGACTCCTCGTTTCTGGGGATCTGGTTCTACATTTGTGTTCACTGAAGGGCCCACGGCGCGGGTTATCTGATCGAGTCTGTGCTTGTATTCGACAGTGGGCTCATAGTCTTTTAGTCGGTCATATAGTTTTTGTAGATGAATTGCTAGGAGATGTTGGTATACGAGTACCCAGAAGAAAGTAGTACAATAGACTCACCAAGTCTATGTTGAGCGGGATCCTGTGTTATACGATTGGTTGCAAGCAGAGCGCGGTATAGTACAAGCGGGTTGGTGATGGCAACACCAGTATTTGGTATAGAAGACAACGACATTGATAATAGATACTAAGACATACGAAAGAGAAAGAACCTAGCCTGTAAGAATATCAGAATAGAAAGAAAGACGTGGTTGTCGTCGTCTGCGGTTGCACGATCTCGGTCGTCAATCGAGTCTAAGCGCGAATCGACGTCACGCATTTGCAGCCGAGGACGAGCAGTCTAGAGCCTCAATGCCCGACACCTTGACGTCGCTAGCGGATACCATCTCGAGATGGATACTGAACAGTTCACGCCGGCGCAACTGTCCTTCTTTTCCATCTATAGCCCGCCGCTAGGACCGACCGACGAGACATTCGGCGACCAGGTTGTCTTTTACTATTCGCGATCAGCCAGGGATGGACGAACGAAAGCCAAAGCAACGGCCGACGAGGAGCGACTGAGTGAGAATGAGAAGCTACGACAGATTGGCCTTGCCCAAGGCATGGCCGGCTTTGCCAGGTACAGCCAGCTGCTTGCTTGACAAAAGACATTTGCATGTTAAACATGGTCAAGGAACTTTTCCGATGGTGAGCCCATCGAGGCCGTCGAGACCGAGAAGTCGCGTATCCTGATGCACGAGCTGGAGAAGGACTGGTGGGTCCTGGCCGTACGTCGTCCCTCTGCCTCGTTGTCTATGTCAATATACTCATTCATGGCGTATCCTGCAGTCCATCGACCTCACACGTCTCCCGTCTTCCAACAAAGACCGGGAATTCGAATACTCGTCACGCGAAGTCAGCCCGGCTCCACTCCTCCTACAACAAGTCTTGACTGCCTATCGCGTCTTCACACTACACCATGGCCCCTCGCTCAGCGACATGTACGTCAAGCTCCCAAGAGACAAATTTTCGGCCCTCCTTGATCGCTTCTGGACCCGCTTCTGTCGCAATTGGGACGTCTTGCTACATGGCAACCCCGCCATCGACATCTTTGGAGGCTTGAAGCTTGCAGCAGGAGGCGAACTGGGCTATGGTGTGGGTGAGGAAGATTGGGGCAGTGGAGACAGAGAAGTGCTTGAAGATCTGGTACATCGTACCGAAGGCCTGGTCGACTTACTTGTCCACCGTTTCGGTGAAGCTGCACCTCCTGAGGACGACTACGCCAACGATGATCCATCCCAGATCACTCTACACGATGCTCGACAGGGTCTTCCTTGGCTAGGTTGTGGCAATGAGCCCCAGGCTCCAGATGGCCTGATCTTCAGTGGTGTGGGTGCAATTACCCGCTCCTCTGTTCGTGACATTTCTACTTGGGTCCGCGACATCTATGCCTATGGAGAGCACGCTTATGGCGTCAAGGATAATCCACATCGACAACGTCGTAAGAGACGCAGACGTCAGCCCGTAGCCGATCCCGATCCAAGTACAGAGTCTGAGACACCTGCTGCTACCGACGAGGAGCTCAAGAACAAAGCCATAGACAAGTTGAAGGGCATCAATCTACCACCCGACCCTCGTCCACAGATGCACGACAGAGTCGCTTCTCACGACCACGCTACGGGTACGCCGGGCGCTCAAGTTGCTTCTCATCCAGGGATTCCACCTCCTATCGTCAGCGCTGTCGAAGCTTCGCTTGACCGAGCCAGCGCTTCCGCTGATTCTCGTGCTCCCAATCAACCCCAACCCTCGTCTGAACAGACTTCTTCCTGGAATCTCGGAAGCTCCGACAAATGGGTCAAATATCTCACTTTTGGTCTGGCATCAGGTGGGAAACGCTCAGATTCGCCAAAGCGACCAGATGGTCCTCGTCGTACCTCGACATCAAGCTCAAAAACTGTCAGAGGCGTTAGATCCAAAGACGACAAGGATGAACCACCAATGCAGCTCTTGGATCCCACTCCAGATGGCTATCAAGCAATGAACGCTCTACAACGTCAACGACAACGAGAAAACAACGGACACTTCCTCGTCGGCTACCACGGTGATCTCGACCGTAAACCAGCAGAAAACAACGACGACAACGACAGCGACACCACAATCAACGACTCTGAAATCCCCGAAGCAGAACGAAACACTTTACGCACCGTAAAAGTCGAACTCGCCGAAAAAAGCGAGTCTCAAAATGACGACATGGACTCTAGAGACAGCTTTGTCAACAGAGATGTTTCGTCGCGGTTAAGGGTTCTGGTGTATGTACATCGCCCTTTTGTGTATGTGTTTTTGTTTGAGCAGAGGACGCCTTCGCTCAGCATAACTGGCTTTTACCGCGAATTGCACAAACATCTGAGGCCACTCCACAAATCCCTGCTTAACAGTACTTCGACGCAAAAAGTGGCGCAGAGGATAGCAGCAGCACATACCTCCCCTCCCGAACCCTTATCCATAAACCCACTAAACCCTCCTTACGCACCACCCCGCAACAGTCCGGTTTTCGATCTCGTCTACGATCCTGTAAACCTCACTTGCCATACCTCCCTCCCGAATATTCCGGAACCGGGACAAGTTATGCCGTATGAGGGAAGTATAGGAACTACGAGTTCAGGACGAGACGCACCTCCCCAATGGACACGTTTGGAGGCGCTAAACGTACACAGTCATATTCTGTTTACGCTTGAACACTCCTCGCGCCACTCCAATGAAACAGAACGCACGTCTAAGACGTCGCGGCATTGGTGGGTTGTATGGCTGCGTATCCCTCAACCGGGTGAAAACGATGGAAAACACCCAAGGCCTGAACACTGCAGAACTGCTTTCCTAGTTCGCAAAGCTAGGGATCATGTTGTTGAAGTACAGCGGAGCAGAGGCTTAGGCGGTGCCAAGGGGATGGCGAGTAGGGTTAGTAGTGGCATGTATAATCTTGTGGGTGCTAGAGCTGGTGGCGTGGAAACTGAGGATGGGAACGAGGGTAAAGGATGGGGAAGTGCTGCGGCACTGGCGGGAGGCATTGGTATCGATGCGAGGAAGTATGTTGAGAATCTGTTGAGCTTGAATCGGTAAGAGGGAGAGGTAGAAGGTATGTATGTGATAGAAAAAGAAAGGCTGAATCACACTTCACGACAATCCGCTGGTCTTTTTTGGTTTCCTATCTGATGCGATGCTATGGATAGCTTTGTCTGGGTGATCACCTTCTCTTGTGCTTATTGCATATCTTTCAAAACATGTCGTGGTGCACCATACCCAGCCAAGTGCTCTTGCTTGTGTTTTTCACCCTCAAGTCAACCTGGTAGCTGGTATGACCCTGCTCCTTTCATCTTCAACTTCCGAACGTCCCACCACAGCACTACACATCTTGAATAAACATAATTTGAGCCCTATATCCTTCTCTTGTACCAGCACTGTAACTAGAATATCATCCTTCACGCTTGATCGTCGAGTATAGCGGTCGAGCGTCTCATAGTGCTTTGAAGGTTGAGGTCCGCATGAAACAGCACGCAACCAACACCATTCTCGGACGCAGTAACGACGATAATAAAACTTGCAATGAAAACGTGCACACAGAGGAGCGAGAGCAAAATGATTTATGAGCTCATGACAAGAGAAAAGTTCGGAACTAAACGTGCATGGGAATGATGCACAGCGGATCCCGACTCCAAAGAGTTCTGTATAGCAAATGCTGTGCTGTGCTCTGCTTGCCTTTTTCCTTGCTGTGCTTTTGGACAGCCATGCCCTCCCTATCCAAATACTATAGTCCAAGCAACGAGGAAAAGAGAATAGCAAACACCAGAACCGGAAAAATGATGCGAGAAAAGCACCAAGAGAAAAAAAAAGAATACAATCTTCTATCAAAATCCACAAGAAAAAAGCATCATCTACGCGTTTCCAGGCTTCTCATCCGTATCAATATGCCACACAATGTAATTCGGCAATCCATAAACACCGTAGCCCGCACGCTTGGCCATCTTTGCAAAGCCTTCTGTTTCGGCTTGGTTCTCAAATGCGTACGAAGGGAAGTTGATACCGGAGCGGTGCACATCGGCCTTGACGAGAATGTTGACGCCGCCGATGCCGTCCAGTGGGATCTCAACGTCCTTGTCCTCGCGCCAGTCGCCCATCTTGGCCATGTATGTGCGGCCGGTGTCGTACTCCTTGTAACCTATGAGGAGATGCTTGTTAGTCTCTGTGGAAGGAGGCTTGCAATCGAGATAGATGTACCTTCTGCCAGGACGGTGTCTTTGTCGAGCGAGGCGGCCAGCTTGAGACCCTTGTCGGATTCTTGCCATGAGTTGTAGTCGAATCTTCCTTCAATGTCACGGCCGTTCTCGTAGCGGTGGAACCAGACGTCTGTATCGTAATCAGTAAACATTCTCGAGATGGGCTCAGCGCATGATCATACTAGGAACAAGGACATCGCGATCGTGAGCGATAAAGTCTTCAATAATCTTGGAAGGGCTGTCCTTGATATCGACATCGCGCCAGTAAACCCAACTGTGTTCAGGCTTCAAAGCAGCGCTAAGAAGGTAATTTCTAGCCTTGCCCATTGCCTTTCTTCGAGGACCCTGAGCAGCGAAACCGTGTCTGTCCTCGACGTTTTGACTCAAATGAACACCGAAATCTTTCTGAACGACGGTAGCGCTGTGGAAGGGGATCGAGTCGGGGCGATTTTGGATGCGCTCGAGTTCCTTGGAGAGGACGGCGAGGGTGTCGTCAGTGCTGTCACCGACGAGGAAAGCGAGATCGATCAGGTCGTGGGGGTAGGTCAATTGCGAGATCAGATCGAAGTAGTCGTTGATGTAGGGGGCAGCGTCGCGGAGAGGAGTGAGCAGGAGTACGCGCTCCTTGTTGTCGAGGGCTTGTCTCGTGCTCTTTATGGGGTTAAGATCGATACTGCTGATGGTGGTGTGGTTGATCTCGACGGGAGCGTGGTGGTTGAAGATGACGGGGGTTTGTAGGCTTCCGGTCCATAGCATCTGCTCGTTCGGTGTCATTTGCATGGGCGACTTGGCCGGACCGAAGCAGTAGAACCTGTCGGGGTCAGCATAATGAATTGAGAGGCTGCTCGAGCTCCAGCGCATAGCAATTGTCGACGTCGTCCAAGTCGTCTGTCGCATAAGACAGCAGGAGCGAAAGGGTCAAGCTTACTTTTGCAGGTCTTCAGCAGTACCTGTGACACCCCTCCATAACAAGATAACGAGGCCGACTATGGCGACGACCAACAGGAAGCGGGTGCGTGTAAGAAAAGTCCAGATGGCTCTGGTGGGAGGCAGCCTGGCCTGAGCCGCCTTCCATGAGACGCCATTCTTGGGCAATAGCATGGCGATATGCAGTTTATGACCACTTCAAACCAGGCGGCCTGTCGCGGGAAAGTCGAAATGACAGCAACCTCGTCGGCGCTGGCTGGTGCTTCAGGGAACCCGGAGAGCGTTGGCTTGCGTATGTGGTACCTTGGCTTGCCAAGAGCGATACGTGCCAATGTCGACGGCAAGAGCGTATGAATGCTGAGTGTTTTCTGAATCTCAGCTTCCTTCCTGGGCTTGTCCAAAGGGGGATTGTGACTTCTGTGCAGTCGTTGCTTGTTGCTTCCTGTTGCGACGGGCTGGTCTTCGTCTCTGCCACTCGTTCTTTCCCAAAATGGCAACGATTTTCTACGGGACCCCAGCATCCTTCTGCTCAAAGCCACCTAATTATTGCGTACCTCTCCACCAGCCCCTGAGTCAGACATTCGCTTCTGAACAATGCCTTTGACAAGACTCCACCATTTGTTCATTAATTAACATACAATATATATGCTGTAAAAGTTGGGTAAGTATGCTACCGGAACATTTTCCTCTCCTTCCCGCCTTCTTGATAAGACAATTTTTGTTGTTCAACGCTGCCAGAACCTCATCCGAAGAACAAAGAGAAAACAGAACATAGGGTATTCGTTAGAATCATTAAGCCATCTCCAAGAAACAGTTTTCCTTTCCTTTTATTCTATCGTTCAAAACATTGATCGGCCTTCTTTGGGCTTGCAGAAGAACATCTGCTGTAGTGCGACTTTGCCGTAGTCGGTAGCGATGGGCATGAGCTTCTGCTCGATGATATGGAGGAGCTCGTCTTGGCTGCGTACGTTCTTTAGACCAAGAGGCAGATGTGCCTCTTCAATGACCTGGATTCTGGCTGCTTGGCACTTGAGATTGTATGTCCTGTCGTCATCACGCGGGTCTCTCACCACGTCTGCGGGCTGGACATCTTCTGGCTCAAACAAGTCAAGGACGCCGCCAAGCTGTTGCATGCCTATTCCGAAGAGCCCTTGCATGAGGACAATGGCGAGAGAGTTGAGTTGGGTACTGGCTTGCAGCAGGTCCTTCTCCTCGTACAGCATGCCACTGCTCTTAGCATTGACTACTGTCTGAAGCCTGTGACCTCTCCAGCCCAAAGAACTCACAAGGAGACGTTGAAGAACCATTCTTGAGCCCCCCTTCTCAGCTCGGAGATGAGTCTGTGCAACATTGTGCCTGGTGTTGGGGTCGCTGCTACCAGTCACTGATTTGGCACGTTTGGCTTCGCGAGGCACATGTGCGCGATCAAATCGGGGGAATGGTCGATGCCCGTTCGAGTTGCCGCCAGACATGAGATAGCTGTTGACGGGCGCTTGAACACCTTCCTTGTAAGGGCGTTGAGCCTCGTCGATTCGCCTGTTGTTTTCGAGCTCCTGCGCTCTGGCCATCTCCGAATAGTCCTTGCGTTTTGCGGACTTCGTCTTCTTCTCAACTCTGTAAGAGGGACTCGATTTTTTGGCTCGTCTAATAGGCAGAGCCATTTGGGGCATGGCTGGTGAAGCAGACCTGGACGGCGTAGGCGTAGGCGAAGGTGCAGTAACAGACTCAGGGGGTGAGGCATACGAAGACTCGTTCATGATGATAGGGACTGGGACATATTCACAGCCAAGCGAAGGAGCACGCATGTACTGCAGGTTCGACTGATCGGCGACCTCAGCCAAAATCCTGAAGGACGGAAGCGATACATGGGCAGTAGCAGGGCTATGGTCGGGGCTGGGCATCATCCTTGTAGGCAGATGATGATGATGCAAGCTTGAAGGTGTACTGGTAGATGGCTGCGTACGAGTTACAGCCATGTCCTCTCGAGCATATACAGGACGAGACAACAGATGGCCACTAACCTGCTCAACGCGGTTCACTGCTCTACGTCTGAAAGCCGTATGGTTGTGTCTAGATTGTATCAGCTTCAATAACTTATGTGCGATGCTCAAGTCGACAGACTCACGATTCATAAATCATGTCGATATGCTGAGCAAAGACACAGAAGCAAGCAGGTACTTTTGTTCCGGGTTCGAGGAGAAGTGGAGCAGTAGTTGAAGTCTGAAGATCTTGTGTGAAGGTGTACAGAGACTGATACTCTTTGTGTGTAACTCTTGTCGACGATCTGATGGGATGTGCACGTTCAAAACAAGCAAAAGCCAAACAAAAGAACCGACCCAAGAAAATGCAAAAGATGACAGGAACGATTAACAGTGAGCAACAGATCCGACCGATTGATTTAGCGATTGATTTAGTGTAATTGTGTGGGTGTGAGATGAAGGATTAAAGATGAAAAGGGAGGTGTCTATCGACTTGATATACTTACGAGATCTCAAGGTATGGTGAATATCACGTCTACTCCATGTCATTTTCCTTCCATATGCCAGGATAAGTCAACGGCATGGCGCTAACGCTGGTATCATAGCCACTGCCGCTCAGGGCAGTCACAAGCTGTGTCCACCAACTTACCGGCGCAAGTGGCAGACGCTTGAGCCCATCTGCAGGGACAAGCCTCGCAAACCTGGTCAGCTACCTTCCAGATCTTCCTCCAGTCACGCAACTGCCTAATAAACTTCCATTTGGGGCTTGCTGGTATGCGTCATGTTCCTTCACCGCTGCTTCTTGGACAATCTACTTACATCCAACATGCCTATGGACTCTGCAGAAAAGATATGAAGATCAATGTGAGGCACTATTCTGCATGCCAATTGCAGAGTGTCAAGGGGCATGTCGTGTTGAAAAACGCAACTAAGATCGGAACAAAACAAGCGGCATGAGGGGCGCCTATCGTAGTGGTACTGAATCCATGCCTAAGGAAGATGAGTCCTTGTGATTCGTCCATCTCGCGCCGTGCAGTGAAGGATCAAAGCAAAATAGCCGGGCACGAGCAGCTGAGACCCGAGAAAATCTGATATATCGATACTCAAGGATCGAAGAACGACCAAGGAAGTTGATTAGCTGACGGTCTGTCAGGAGAGCGAGCGCCATCCCGAGTAGTCGACCAGATCTATCGTGTTTCGTGCCGTAGTATGTTAGTGATAGGTGGCGGTTGATGCGAGGGTCCGGCATCCGGGTTTTGAATCCCTTGCCATCGCGGACCAGATCCGAAAGCGCTTTTATTGATGATAAGTGGGGAACCCGTGCCGCATCGATTGGAAAATCTTTCTGGAGTGCTTGACACCTTGGGGATACGCAGTAGTTTACATCTGTAACTTTAGTTGACATGCGAGTTGTCCCTTGTCTGCCTGTCGTAGCCAGCAGACAATGTATAACGTGCTTTTGAATACCATCATCATGCCGTTGTCAGACGGGCAGCTGCTTCGAACGTCAAACTCGCCATGCGAACAGCAAGCGGAAATGCACACCAGACTGCTTGTGGAACCAACGGGATCGCACACTTGTTCCAGAGCATCAGATGAACGTCTTCCAAGCCGATAGGCAAAAAGAGAGTATCCACAGGGCTTCCGTTGTTCATGGAACTGGATATAGAGAGGCTGAGATGAGTTGAGAGAGATGCAGCAGCTGACCGAGTTCTGGGGACGTGATGAATCTTGGCTGGTCAAATAGAACTCTAGGCGGTTGAAGACGACCAGCTTCGATACCCCCCGCTGTGAAATGCTTATCCTCGGGAAGGTGCAGGTAGAACTGGGCCAATCGTTGTTGTTGGGCATTGGCCAAGTCGACGTGAGATGAACCCAAGTGCCGAAAGTCAATGGTCGGTCTGCGAGAGCGGTTGTTGAGTGACGAGCAGAGAGAGTCGTACAAAAAAGCATCGACTGACTCTCGTACACAATCCCGAATGCCCCGGTTGGTTCGCGGCTCTTCCTTTGCAGAGAGGCGTCTTGCTCATGCATGAGGCCCCCACTTCAATTAGCAAGCTCATGCGCAGCAGATATCTTTGTTGATACGCCTGCTCTTTCCAGCAAGTACCATCGGTAGTACAACATTGTTGAAGACTCATGAAACAGGTCTCGCGCGGCATCTGATGCATGTTGTCATGAATGATGAGCCGCCATACATGCAGATGCAGCACTTCGCCGACCTCATGCTGAGAGGTCGCCGAGTTAAAGCACAGGTGATGGCATCGGCGGGGCTGGCACTCAGTGTTGAGTCGAGGGTGTGGGAAGATTCCCACAACGAGAACAGGTTCAGGTCAAGACCACAACTCGTTTATGACACCGAGTGACGTTCAGAGAAACGCAGAGCCTCAGAGTAGCGCTTCTCACTGTGGTCCAAAGTCAAAATGCCCCCTCGCATGCGACATCTCGTCGGCTAAATTGCGCGCTGGATGTCTCATGTTGAACGACTGCAATCAACACCAAGGAGCACATAATTTCTTCTAAAAAAGCCAAGCGCTTTGAGTAGAACAATTTCGTTTGAAATATAGACACGAAAAATCTCATCTGAGTTATTACAATAAACCCGTCCGCCAAACTCGTTAGAAGCCATTAAGAGAGAAAAAGGAAATAAACTTTGTGTGTAAAAGGACCATTCGATGCACACGCTATCCTGTATTTTAAAAGAATGCTTTCGCTCAAGTAAACCCCAGAGCCGGTATGTGAGTAGAACGAATCTTTGGGTCAATAAAATAGATTGAGGATGTCCCTTGGATTAGTCTACGCAGACAAAGAAAATGAAAATCGAAACGCCATGCAATTTGATCAACAAGTCAAGTTAAGACCCGTTTACAGAAGACCGAAGAGGGCGGCAACGACACCCATGACACCAGCGGCGGCAGTAGGGACGTACATGGCGTTGGCGGCACCAGTGGAGGTGGACTTGGTGGAGCTGCCAGAGCCGGTGACGGAGGGGTTAGAGCCAACACCGGAAGGCTTAGCGACGGTGCCGTTGCAGAAGTACTTGCCGCGAATCTCAGAGCCAGACTTCAGCTTCTGGTAGGCGTCACAGCCGCTGAGCTCAGCAGAGGACTGGATGTTGAAGGCACCGTCAACCTCGTTAAGAGCAGGAGTAGAAACGCTGCATGATGTTAGTCGATGCACTACAAAATCTTGTGAGCGAAGCACTTACTTGGTGAAGTCACCGTAGAGATCGAAAGCACCAGTGATAGTGGCAAGCTTAGGGAAACCGTCGATGACCATGAGGTCGGTGTTGTTCTGGATGGAGAAACCACCGCCAACCTTCTTCAGCTGAGGGAAGGAGACGTTGTTGAGGTTCTGGTTGGAGACGATGGTCAAGTCACCCTTGTTGGAACCGACAGTGGTAAGGTTGGCGCACTGCAGCGACGAGAACTCGTTGGAGTAAAAACCGAGAGATCCGTTGACGGAGACCAGAGAGTTGAGGGCAATCTGAGAGACGTTGCGGAAGGTCATGTTGTTGGCCCAGATCAGGTTGGGGAAGATGGCAGAGACGTTGCCACCGTTGGACTCGATGTTGAGCGAGTTAGTGATGTTACCAAGCTGCATGGAGATGTCGTTCAAGTAGTTGTTGTTGGTGATGAAGACAGTGTCGACAACAGCAAGGTTGATACCATCAAGGGTCTGGAGCTGGGTGTTCTGGATGTTGAGCTCGCTGGCCTGCTGGACACCGGTGGTGAAGGAGAGCTGCTGGAGACCAGCAAGGGCGTTCCATTGGATGGAGTCAACCTCGCTGAGCTGGGGGAAGGACAGAGTCGAGAGAATCTGGAGCTCGTTGAGGATGAAGGCACCACCGATGGTCTGGAGGCTGTCACCAGAGATGGAGGGGATCAAAGAGTTGTTGTTTGCGACAAGGTCACCCGTGATTCTTCTAACACCAGGGATGTTCATGCCCTGGGTGACACCAGTGGCAATGGCGATGGAGCCAGAGAAGGTTGTGCACGAAGAGAGGGCCGAGGCATCAGCGGGAGATTGGAGAGTGGTGGTACCAGAGACGCTGCAAGAGTTCTGGCTGCTCTGGGCGTAGGCACCGCCAACGGCAGCAAGTGCCGGAACAAGGTACTTCATCGACATTGTGAGGGGAAATTAACTGAGAGACCGCGCGTCAGCATGGATGGCTTGTTGGAGTGTTTACGAGAGGGGTTGGAGTGCGACCAGGACATGTGTGCAAGTCTTGCACATAGCCCAATGTTGGGTGCGCAAGACAGGCCATGTCAAGAGATGACAAAAGACGATCGGATCGGTGTTGAGCGGATGGAAAAGCAGGTCAAAACATACCTTGAAAGTGTATAAACTGTTGCAGGAGAGAAAGCGCTGGGATAAGTGTAGTGCAAGTGGAAAAGACCAGATGCAACAGTAATGGGAGAGCGAGTGTGAGAAAGGAGAAGCGGCCTTTTGCGATACAAAAGCACTCGTAATGGAGTCAACGAGAGGAAGGTGCGAAGGTGCGTGTGAAAAGGGAAGGGCCAGGGGGTTGTTTTGAAGAGGCCTGCCCTGTGTTGAGCTTCAGCCAACTGAGCCAAGTCCTTAGTGCCATTTTTTTAGTGGCAAACATCAGGTCGGGTCGTTGCGTTACGCGGCTATTTCCTGCACAAACACCACCACCACCACCAAACATCTCGTCTCTCCAGGCTCTGGCCGCCGTAGAGCGCCGCGGAATCCGCTTTCTTTGGCAACTAAACTGCGTGGCGAACGTGTCTCGGTCGCATGCCGCTCCACTGAAATCCAAGCATTCAACACAATTCTGCTTTGAAATCCATACCACTGTGTGCTGCCTTCAACCTCGTCCGCGCCACGGCATAAAATGCGATGGTCGATCTCTTGCTTTCGCTCTGTCGTTGGCCAGGCGCTTTGACACATCCCGGTGCTCGAACTGTTTCGGCTGGATGTCATCCCTGCAGCCACCGCAATCTCGCATCGTCCTTTTGGTCAATTACTTGTCCGTTATCAGCAACGATTTGATTGCTCCGCCCATGATTTCTTCTCGTATGCGTACTGCTGCCAATCTTGATAGCTACCTATCTATTATTTCGACATCAGGAGGAGATTCTATTGTTCTATCCAATTCCCCAGTCGTGGCTCAGATCAACGTCCGGGCTGCTTTCCCGTCCCCAAACAAACAAGATTTACCCTAAACTGCTTCCGTGCTTGGAAGTGGTGGCAAGTTCGCGATTGATGTGGAGCACACCAACCATTCCAGCTTGCTATCTGCTCAAAATACTGCCTTGCTTGTACAACTCGAGAGGCTGAGTCCCAGCCTCCATCCAAGTATATGTCGTGTCAAGGTTCCGGCAGCACAAATATCCTTTGCAAAAGCTTCAAAGCTCAGCGGGTCCCGTGATACCCGTTGTCAGAGCCTTTGAAAACACGCATGATCGTCACAAAATGTGGCTGCTTCCTCGGTCGCTCGATCGAGCCCTCCGACTTGGCACGCTTCGTCGAGAAAGGATCATCCCCGGGTTCCGTGGCAGGAAACTGTGATGCATCCTTCTGAAAAGTTAAACAGCAATTGCCCGGTGTGCCTGTCTGTTGAGGGTTGGCTATCAAAGACAGAAAGAAGTGTCTTTTGACCTTTCGTTGCTGCTGCAGAATTGGTTTGCATTCGCTGGTGATCAACATGACGCCGGCTTAATTGTCCGGTGTTTTCAGATGATTTGATGCATGAGTCCTTCTCGCGCAGAAACGTTAGCTGCTCATCACAATTCTTGCTGGAATATTGGCCAGTCGGAGCGTACGGTGTCCTTGCTTTCAACAAGCAACCCTCATGTGTTCCCCAGTCGACAACATGTTGTGTGACGTTTCTGAAAGCCAGCCTCTTTATACAAGTGTTCTCTCATTTTGCATCTTGCCAGCACCACTATGCACTCAAAAGTGCAGTGGTGTCTACTCCGCAGTGCCAGTGGTGCTTGTCAGCACCGGACTTGATACAAATATACATCAAGAAACTTTCGATACGACGATACAAGAACGCGATAAGAAGTCGCTTGAAGCCATGTTGTCACCAAATTCGGCTCTCCAGACGATCATCCGCAGCTTCAACTCCATGATCCACAAACATTTGTGGGCTTTTTCCCTTCTCACAGACCAACGACGATGTAATGGCATGCAAAGAACACTGGAACAAGATTTCAACATCGACAGCCAAGCAACGTGACAATTGACGAAAGCATTTTGCAGTGAGTCAAGTCTGCGGGATACTAATTCAATCAAGCCAAGATCATGACTTGGGGCTTGAGTCGTTTCACCTTGACACAATCAACGCTCTAGAGTGGTTTAAAAATACATCAAGCCGAAAAAAAAAAAAAGCAATATTAGCGCCCGTCTTCTCTAATTGCGACTTGTCGTCCTAAGAGAGTCAACGATATAAAGACGGGCAAGGCCATGGTGAAATTAGCCTCGAGATCATTGGCTCCCAATCTCCGCGAACAGACATGACTGACGCAGGGCTGGCCAACTCGTCGCTTTTGATAGAGACTCTTGCTCTGCTATGAGATGTGAACTTGTAGCATGGCTTCTTCCATACTACCGTGAGGAAGACTCGTGCTCATTAACGAGTTCGCAAGACCTTCCGCGTTTCTCGTAGCTCTACACACATGCGCATGATAGCATATGCGATGCTGATTCATCGACGAGCTCAAGCAATTGTTACAATCAGACGAACTGGCTCCGGAAAGCGTCGACCGTTATAGATGACTTTTGTAAGCTAGATTGATTCTGAAGTTGCAAAAGCTAAGTTAGTCCTGCATGACTGTTCTCACTAGTCATCGGAACAGCTATAGCTTCCACATGCCTCTTTGCACAAGCTTTTGCTTATCCAATGTCCTCCACCCCTTCTCTCCGTCTTCAAGCCCATTCTTTTTACCCTTTGGTACATCCCTCCAAGAGAACAGCTCTGTATATTCTGTCTTCCTGCCCTCAACAACATCAACCACATGTTTCCCCAATACTGGAAGAAACTTGAAGCCGTGTCCACTGCCTCCACTCGCAACTATCAAACCTCGCTGACCAGGAACATAAGACACAAGAAAAGAGTTATCAACACTATCAGTATACCAACACAATCTTCCACGCTGAAGTTCTAGATCCAGTAGATCAGGCATGTTCTCAGTGCAAAAGGCTTTGACGACATCGAATGCTCGTTCAGGTATCTCTTGGATATCGGTCTTCGGGTAGGAGATCTTGTTGCCGGAAGAAGATGTATGAGTATAGTTTGTCCATTTTGCACCGCGAAAGCCGAATTTCATAACTCCTTCGGGAGTACGTGGGAAGCCGTATAGACCACCTGCAGTTTCTGAGGAGGCATCAAAGCCACCCATATTCCAGCTCCAGACAGGGAAGTTGGCTGGTGCGTATTTGTCCCAGAGATCTTGACGGGATTTGGGAAGATTGATTGTGAGGATTGTACCTGCTGTCGTCTCGAGAAGGGGTTGAGCTGCTGGGAGCAGGGAAGGTGTCCACCCGCCTGTTGCCATGATGACCAAGGCTGCTTTGTGAGATTTGCCGTCTGCCGTCTTGATACCAGTGACGTTGGTGCCAGAGTAGAGGAATGACTCAAATTCGCCAACAGAGGGTCCAAGATGGAGGACTACACCTGCTTTCTGGCAAAGATAAAGAGCATATGTGCAAGCTTTAGAAGCTAGAGTATACCCAGCCGTCATGTCCAGAATCCCATCAGTGGGTAAACCACGCTTTACGCGCTCAAACGGGTCAAATTTCGAACTCGGAATACCTTTCTGTTCCGCATCCCTGATGCGTCGCTCATCAGTAACTCGATACTGCGTATCCCTAACCTCCTCGGGGAAATTCCTCTGCGTATCAACTTCATGCGTTCCAAACCCTTCTTCAACCCTCAAGAACCCACACCGATCCCACAACTTTTCAGTATTCTTGAGAACCTCAGGGGTATCCTGATCATTCGCCATATCCCTATTCCAACACTCCCATTCCTGCATTGCGGAAAATGCAAGCCGTTGATAGAGTTCTTGACCTCCATAAGATGCACGTAGGATTTTGTTTTCGTCGCAGGAGGCACCATCGCTTCCGGCTGCGAAAGAGTAGTGTGTGGAGAGGAAGGGTTGGAGGTCGAAGAGGTGGATGTTAGTGTAGTGAGCACGGGAGAGGTGGAGGGCGGTGCTTAAGCCGAAGACGCCGGCGCCGACGATGATGATGGAGTCGGTTTTGTTTGGAGGAGACATGATGTTTTTTCGTCAGAGTATGAGAATTTACATGGAGGCGATTTATTTAGGTATAGAGGTAGAGTATGCTTGGCCGATGGAGTTGATAGGCGTGGTGTTGGCCGATAAGCACATGACGTGGCACATAGCTCCGGGGCATATGCATACTATTAACATTTCCTCTATGGAATTCCTGAAATGATCTCTGCTGGTATCCACATGTTACAGTCTGTGGTATCGATCTTCTTTACATCATGATGAAAGGAAAATGCACGATTGTGTACAAGAGTAGAAATGTAGCCGACGAGAGCCGATGGAAGCTTGGTTCTTTGAGACCACCCTGTATCTCAATACCATGGTATATGTCTATACTCTTTAAGAGACATGGCTTGAGCACATAGGGAGAATTTGATCATGCAGCTGTCAGACCAAAGCTATATGAATAGCCGGAAGAGATGTATCAGCCGCTATGCTTGTTCAGGTCGTTCTGGCAATTGACTGCCACTACTGCCACAGCGTGGATCTTCTGGCAGCACTTTACCCTCCTGTTTACAACGAGTTGAGAGACGACCTTAAACCATGCACTTTCGATTTTGAAGAGTGCGATGCTGATATAATCAAGTCACATCGCCAATTTCTAAAGCTCCAACTCTACTACTACTGTCATGTGCTGCAAAACCTCTTAGCTAAGGTAACTGCCCTGCAACGTGATCGGCTTTGTGTTTCCTGATGATGGCGATTTTGATGTCCGGTGCATAATTGAGGAAGACTTCATGGTTGATACTGGTACATGGTCTTGAAAAGCAGATTTCATGTCGATCTTTCAACTCCCTTTCCTGCCTTGTATGCCCCTTGGCCCTTGTGTTCTTAAGGAATCCCGTAAGGTGCGGGATTACTTCTCGATGATGACGACTCCATTTCCTAGTTTTCCTCCAGGAGCAGCGCCTCCAATGCATTGTCGGCGGTCTGGAAGCGGGTGGCCATGAAAGCCTTGAACATTCTGGCAGCGCCTCTAGGGCAGAAAGTGGCACGAGCTGCACGCTGTTCGACGGTGCTGCACAATGGAGTGGCCACATGCTTGAACTTCTTCCTTGACCAATCTTGGTGGTTGTCTCTCTCGTTGTTGGCGATGTCGTTGCTCTGTAGAAAGTGAAATATTTCCTGGGCGAGATCTTCAATAGAAGTGTCTCCGTAGTAGCCCATCTGTAAGATTTTCTCAAACACGTAACCAACTGCAAAGTTGCAGGCAAACCCATCTGCAACCTCGCCAAAGCTGAGATCGGCGCTTGCTGTAACGCTGCTGAAATCCCGGAACTGGCCATAGGCATATGCCAGGTGAACCAACGCATAGAACGAAGGCTTGTGCTAGCCCACGATCGTAAGGTTTTTGGCACGTTGATTACGCAGCGACTGGAACAGGAACGGGTGACTGTGGACGAATGCGAGAACATTTTCGAGGTTCTCGCAAGTACGGCGGGAAGAGACGTCAATCTCGACCTTTGCTGGCACTTGCGGGACTATGCTGAACCAGTTAAAGATGTTGCGCAGGTGGACCTTGTTGGTAAGAGCGAGCGAGGGACCATCTGTGATAAGTGTGTCGTTGTCCTTGATGCGCACAGTGAAACAAGCAGGTCCTTCCTCTGCGATGGCATCTCTTGCGATCTGAAGCTGAATGGTCAGAGGCAGATCGTTGAATCTGAAGGCAGTATCCATGGTTGACTGCTATACCAATCAGTTTGTGATCAACTCCGTCATTTGATAGAGGAGGGTGAATATACTTACAGCTTCTGTGTCGGAGAACCGATCTTCCTCGACGGTGACGAAGGGCCGCATTGCAGCACACGTCTTGATGATTTGGTGCGTTTAGTATGGTTGTTGTCGTGGCGGAAGATGAAGTAAGCGAACAGAGAAATAGTTTTGTGGTCGTTGTGCGCAAGATGTGAGAAAAGATTAAAAGTTTCAATGTTGTGAGCACGAAACAAGTGAGCTAGAGGGTTGCCTCGAGTGAAAGAGCAAGAACAGCCAGGTTGTTGCTTGACATAAAGAAAGTGCGTGTATTCATCTTTGCTCCTTTCCCCCATCGTATCACTTCTGCCGTTCTCACATACCTAGGTAGGGTAAAGTCCATACCATGAGGAGGCTCACTCATTTATAAGTTTAGAAGCATGGCCAAAGAGAATCGTAAGACCGTCATGTCTCAGTAGGTAGTACTTGGATATCTGCACCTTCTCTGCTATTGCACATATAGTTGCATGTAGTCACAAAGAGGTATTAGGCATACTTGCATCTTTAGGTTTAATCCTACTTCCATCATAGTTGAAGCTGGAAATGCGCGATTGTCTGAGATTCGAGATGTAGCCAAAGCGAGCCAACAGAAGCTCACCTCTCAGCTGACTCTGCCCTGTTTCTCAATGTTATTGTGCACTACTCCATTTCAATGCGTCACGCAATTTGTTACACCGACAGAGAGTAGCAATCAAGTTGCTGTCAGGACTCAAGCGAAGGTCGTGTACCTAATAGCGCCATATCGGAAGAGCCGGAAGACCAGTTTTGAGTTACTGTCGCGTATGATCTCGCGCTATATCTAGAGTTTCGAAAGACACCTCGTACAACTAGACAAAGCTTGTCCGCGTGTCTTTCTTGAAGTCATCTAGAAGAACCTCATGTTGAGCTTAACCTGAGGCTCTGTTGAAAAGGTCGTGTTCGACTCAGGTCAAAAAGTCTACCAAGGCCGAGGTGAGCAGTTGACGCGGCATGGCTTGGCGAATGCCAACTTTTGTTCACCAAAGACGTCAAAGGGTCTAGACAGTGGGGAGTTGCAGATGCGTAACTGAAATCGCGGAAGCAGGAAAATAGCTACCAAGGCCGGTCGTCCGGTCATCCTCATCGTCGTCAATGGCTCAGGTAGCAATCAATTGCTTCTATACTCCTATTTCTCACTTCTTCCCTTGAGCAAGTCTCGGGAATTCGTTCTGCGCCATTTTCTTGTGTATATATATACTCGTCTTTAATCATACGCCTCAAGGGCTGGATCCCTCGCGCCTTGAAGGTCGCGCTCTGGCAATTCAATGACGGTAGACGATGATGACCTCGAACGGCGCCGATACCAGGCGCCGTACAGCACACACCGCCCTACACCAACCATCCAGAAGTACCAACAAGAGAAGGAGAAGCGTCAAGCAAACGCTGCCGGTGGGGTACCACCACCGAAAGGACAAGAAGATGAGCACGAAGATCGGGATAGCGCAAATCGATACCTGTACTCGAGAGAGCACAGCGATGCCGGTTCTGACAACTCAGATCTCGACAACCCAGCCCACGACAAGAAGGACCGCACCCAACAGCTGAAGAAGAAGCTGGTCGGCGGTGGTGTACATGACTCTGCGGACCTGATGCAGGATACGTCCGAGGCTCCTGCTCAAGATCAAGACCCCAAGACTCGACGCAAAGCTATAGGCAGGAGCAAACGCAAAGGCGAGCGTGCCTACCGAGAGGTCACCGACCCCGTCACCCATCTTCCTGTGCGCATCCACGACTTGCAGCCTGGAGACTTGAAGAGAGTCCCTGAAAATCTAGGGCCGCCTGGCACAGAGCACAGGTCGGCCACTGGTCTGGCCAACAAGAGGAAGAGCGAGGACATGCTGGCAGACGAGACACAAGAGATTGGAAGACATCATGCTGCGCTTGAGAATCTTTTCCCACCACCAGACTTTGACGAGATCAGGAAACGCATGAACAAGGTACAAAAGCTAGGGATAACAATAGGTGTGGTAGCTGTTCTTGTCGCATTTGGTCTGTACAAGACAATCTCTGTATTCTTCTTTGGTCGCAATGATGCACACGCTGGAGTCTCTTGGGGCTTCCTATGGCCATATCTCTCAAGTGGCTTCGCCTCCATCGCCCTAGTCGCCCTTACGGTTGCTGTCATATTCTGGATCCACAAATGGACAGACAAGCAAGTTCACAGGTTGTGGGAGGAAGAAATCTGGCATGCCGACAAGCATTCTGCGAAAAGTCAAGATGGCAAGGAGGAAACAACTCAGTGGCTTAATAACATCTTGACCTCGTTGTGGCCACTCGTCAACCCCGACCTTTTCATCTCTCTGGCCGATACACTTGAGGACGTTATGCAGGCCTCACTTCCGTCGGTTGTTCGCATGGTTAGTATCGAGGATCTTGGTCAGGGTAGCGAGTCAATGCGTATTCTTGGTGTTCGATGGCTTCCTACCGGTGCTGCAGCACGTTCGGTCGGCCCTGATGGCGAACTCGCCCAAGAAGCGCAACAAGGGCATAGCGACCGCAGTGTGCCTGGCCAGTGGCAGGCTGATGACAATGCGTCACCCGATCAGAGCCAGGACTTGGATCACTCCCAGGGCCCCAAAAAGACAAACAACCAGGAAGAAGCAGACGACAAGCAAATTGCCGAGGGCATGGAGGCTGAGGAAGGTGACTTTATCAACCTTGAAGTCGCCTTTGCTTACAGAACTCGATCTACGTCAAAGAAGTTCAAGGACAGAGCGAAGCACGCTCATCTGTATATTTCGTTCTACCTTCCTGGTAACATCAAGGTTCCGATATACGTCGATCTGAGAGGTTTTGTCGGCATCATGCGCTGCAGGTTGCAGCTCACTCCCGATCCTCCATTCTTTGCTTTATGCACCTTCACTCTTCTAGGACAACCCAATGTCGATGTGGCTTGCACTCCGTTGACAAGAAAGGGTCTGAACATCATGAATCTGCCAGTCATATCGCATTTTGTACAGACCGCTGTTGACGCCGCTGTGGCCGAGTATGTCGCACCAAAGAGCATGACCCTCAATCTTAAAGATATGATTGCTGGTGACGATTTCAAGAAGGACACTAGGGCGAAAGGTGTCATAATTGTTAAAATCAAGCGTGCCTTCGACTTCAAGGAAGGAGATCCTGCTGTTCCATTGATCAGAGAAGGATCGGCCGATCCATATGTGACGGTAGGCTGGGCCAAATTCGTCAAGCCACTGTGGTCAACACGCGTCATTCTATCAGAAATGAACCCTTCTTGGGAAGAGACTGCGTTCATCTTGGTCACGGCCGATGAGTTGAATGTAGACGAAAGACTTCGTGTGCAGCTCTGGGATTCTGATCGTTTCACGGCAGATGATGATCTTGGCCGCATAGAGATGGACCTCAAGGAGTTGATCCACAACGAAGAGACAAGAGGCAAAATGTCTGATCGTGTTGACGGTTTCAAGGCTCTGCATGCTGGCGAAGGTCTTCCCGGCAAGCTCGAATGGAGCGTTGGCTACTTCCCAAAGGCTCACATCATCGATGAGCAACTCAAAAGACAGACCGAAGACACGGAAATTCGCTCTAGAGATGCTTTAGAGAAGAAGGTCGAAGAGGCTGCCAACCGCAAGCTTCGTGAAGCCAAGAAAGACGAGAGCAGAGAAACCGAACAACTCAAACTTCAGCAGTATAAAGAGGTTGAAGACTCGATGATTATATCTGCACCACCTCTTCACGACTATCCTAGCGGTATTCTGGCCATTCAGATTCACGAAGCTACTGGCCTGGAAGTGCGTGCTCACCACAACGCTGCTCGTTATAACGATGAACCAGAGCCTAGCGGATTTGAAGAACAGGGCGATGAGCTACCATCATGCTACTGCAACATCATTCTTAACCATCAAAAGATCTATCGCACGCGTGTCAAGCCCAAGAACGCAAAGCCCTTCTTCAACGCAGGCACTGAGCGGTTCATCCGTGACTGGAGAACTGCCGAGGTCTACATCAGCGTGCGAGATGCTCGTGTGCATGAAGATGATCCTGTCATGGGCATTGTGCGTCTGCCGTTGATCGACGTTCTGAACGATCGCTCTCAAGTCAATGGCAGTTACCCTCTGTACGGCGGTGTAGGCTACGGTCGCATCAGAGTCAGCATGGTGTTCCGCTCTGTAGAGAGTCAAGTGCCCAAGGAGCTTTTGGGTTGGGACTGGGGCACCCTTATAGTCGAACCACGTATCACTTCTGCCCCGAACTTCCCTAGTGACCTTCAAAGCTGTCGCATCAAGATTCAAACCGCCATCAGCGTTGGTCACATGAAAGCGCACAAAGACGAGCATTCATGGACAAGTCGCCACAACAACGGCATCCATCTAGGCGTCCGCCGCCGCTATGCCAGCTGTCTGATAATCCAATTCCGCAAAGACACTTCCTTACGCGATAAGACCGCGGCCTTTACTGTTCTCTGGCTGTGCGACATCTCCGACAATGAAGACATCTCCCTATCCCTTCCGGTCTGGAAAGGCGACCTCAAACGCGCCACAACCTGCAAACTTGACTCGTACGGCGACAAAGTTGGTGAAATTCAGCTCAAGCTCAAATTCTGCAGAGGACTAAGCAGATACCACAAACGTCTCGCTAAACACGATAAACACCTCAGCGACGTCTTTGAAGTAGTCGAAACCGCAAGATTCCAAATGGCAAATAGCGAACAATACGACCCAGGCGCCGTCAAAAACAAAGACATTTCGGGAAAGAAACTTGAAGATGCTACAGGTGCGACCAACGGTACAGATCCCCACGCCGAAGGCGACAGCAGCAATGAAGAATCCGCCGACTCTTCTTCAGACTCGGACTCAAACTCAGATACCGACACCGATAAACCTTCCCACGCCCATCGCATCAAGAAAAAGCTCTCGCACACCCGCCACATGAGTCTCTCGAAACTCACCACCGGCACCGACGACGATAAAATGACACGCACCAGCGATGGCAGCAGAAATGTACTAGACTCATACCATGAGTACAGGGAACACAGCAAACAGATCAACAGACGCCATCGCGGAGTCATGCAGTTCAAGAGTGCGAGAACCATGTGGTGGATGAAGCATAAAGCCGAACACCTGCAAGATCGCATCAGTGGGATTTTTGAGCATCATGAGAGGAGTACGGGGATTGAGAGTGAGGCATAGGATGCAAAAAGGTGATTGTTTGTGTGAGTGTATAACTAGACGAGATAATCTTTGATGTGGATGCGAAAAAAAGTTTCTAATTTCTAATCACCTTTTACTTTCCCCCCTTCAGTCCGTAACTCATCAAGGGTTGAGCCAGTCTTAGATCGATCTATTGCGATAAAAAAAAAGAAAAAAAAAAAAAGGAAAGAGCTGAAACTTATCATCAATGTATCCAAACGATCATGAGTTAACAAAGACCAAGCGATTATGTGTAATGGCTGCAGATACGCGTTATAGACAAATATCGTTCATTAGAGTAAAATGACAATTCTCAAAATGATTGACTGAAATACACAAAAACTCCTAGTTATGAACCATCCTAAATAAAACAGTAGACTCCAAGGACCATGCAAATTCTTTCCTCTCTCTTTTACATATTCGCCAGCTCGAAATCAATCTGCTGGTCTAAGAAGGCTCTCTTCTCAGGGTTCAGCTGCACTTGCAGTCTTTGCTCTGTAAGCACCTTCAACTGCTTCTTGGTCACATTATCTAGATCAACTTCTCTCAAGCAATCTCTGACGGCATCGATAATTTGGCCATCAGTGACTCCCTGGGTTTGGAAGCCGGGAAGACCGAATGTGCTTGGAGGACGAGATGCAGTCTGAGAGAGTGGGCTGCGAGAGCGAGGTGGGTAGCCAGCGGAGGGAGGTGGCGAAAGCTTGGGTGAAAGAAGGTCAGGCTGGGAAGACAGGTATTGGCCGCTGTGGTTGCGGGGCAAGCCAGGTGAGGCATCGCTCATGTTGCCCATAGACATGAGACGTGTGTTCTCGTTGGCGCCAGGCGCGATGTCGGTCAAGCGCGAGTAGCTAGACAAGCGGTTGTATGCATTGTATGGGCCAGGTGATTGGGTAGGAGGGCGGTAGGGCATGTTGTTGTTGGGGAAGCCAGTGAGAATGGTAGAGGCAGGGTGGACAGATGAGTAGACAGAGTGAATCTCATCCATCTCGTATGCTCCATTGTCTTGGAATGGGGAGAAGCCCATGTCCTTCTCCTGGACAACCATACCACGACGCCCAGGAAGGTTGTTTTGGTAAGCATAGTCATCCCAGCGTTGCAGAGGAATGCTGCGAGGGTCGAACTCTTCGGCGTCCACGGCGATGACCTGCTTGGCACCAGTCTCTCCAATGACAACACGAGTGTTACCCCATGAGAAGTCGTCCTGCTTCCAGAAAGAGTAGACCGGCAAAACGAATGAGTAAAGAGGATAAGCCATCAAGTAGCAGATCATCCAACCGATATGCTGCCACTGTCTCTTGACAATGAAGATGATGGCTTGCAGACCATACACACCAGCCAACATGATGATTGAAATCAGAGGGAATTGTCCACCAGTCGCTGCGTTAACGATGAGGTAGACAAGGTAGACGACAGTAGCCGGAAGGATGACAGTACCGAATAGATCGATGAACACGACAAAGCGCATGGAGAAACAACAGAAACCACACATGTCCTTGATGAGCATAAGTTCAGCCAAGTTGTGGATAGTTGAGTTGATCCAGCGACGTCTTTGCGAAAGAAGAATGCTCCATGTCTCAGGGGCGGCGGTTTGAGCAAAAGCCTCAGGAATAAACTTGAAGGACATATGAGGGAAGTTCTTGGTCATCAGGGTTGTCAACCAACGATCTTCACCGAGCGACAACAAGTTCTTCTTGTGCAGAGTATCAACGTTGCAATCACTGTACTCTGTGATGATTGCATCAGAGATAATGAGAGGCTTTCCTTTGTCTGCTGTGCGAAGACGGTACATTGTGAAACTGTGAAAGTGTTAGTACTGCAAGGTTGAAAGAATCATGTGTATTCAACTCACCATCCGGGAAGACAGGTGACACTACCGAACAAACTCTCGAAAGCCTTCGCCAAGTGATGGGAAATGTAGTATTCGTAAACCTGAATCATAGTGGTCCAAGACTGTTCTTCGTTTTCAAGACTGGTTTCACCACAGACGGCGGCGATCTTAGAGTCGTTTGTGCAAGCAGCAACGAGACGAGTAAGAGAATCTTCCTTGACCAGAGTATCGGCATCGACCATAAGAAGGTACTCGTAGAGCTCAGGGTCCACACCAATGACATTGTTGATTTGATGGAACATCTCCAACTCAAGTGGTGACATGGGAGAGCGGTGGTGAACTCTGTTGAGGAAGCTCATGAGCAAAATCTGCGAATCACGCTTACCACGGTTACCAGGTTTGGCCTTGACTTGTTCGGACTCTTTGCCGCATTTGACAACGACAATGTAGGGAACCACGTTGCCTTCGAACTCGTAGAGACCAGAATAAACCTTTCCGTAGTTCAATTGTTCCGCACCGGCACCAATAGACTTGAATGGAAGGGCAGGAGGATCAATCTTGGGATCGACACCGAGAATATCCAGAACAATCTTAGGCGTTGGGCGGTCATTACCACCACCAACAATCATGCCATCACAGATGACACAAATCAGCTTTCTCTTGTTGTCGTATGCTAGCGATGTGAGCGAGTCGAGACCCTTTCTAAGATGGTCTTCACCCTCGGTGTAGGCAGGGACTTGACAGATGACGAATTTGTCTTGTGGGGCAGGACGAGGCTTGGAGCCGAATTGCAGAGCAGCCAGGAACTTGACCACGATAACAGTACAAAGAATGATGGTGAATGCCAGCAGAATGTAGTTGTTCACCTGGCAACGAGGAGTATCTCTAAAATCGACTTTGCCGGCATAGAACATATTGTCCAGACACTGTGTGATAGCGGAATGATTGGTCGGGTTGGTGATCGTCTGGTCAAACTCTGATTTGATGTCTAGACCAGGATTGCTCTGAACAATTGATGTGAACTCGGCCGGGAAGAATTCATAGGTGGCCAGATTGTTCATCAGATCTAGAGTGTGGAAATAATCGGTCATGTCGTAGAGCTTGTTGCCCAAAGTGAACCAGTAATGATTCTCGTTCTGCCCTTCGCTCTTGATCTTGCTCTTCTTGACTACCAAGTCGCCCTTGTAGAACTCTTTCATCTTGGGCAAAAATGTCTGGCCGTACCAGTTAATGTTGTTAAGCTTAGAGTTCTTGTCTGGAGCAGCTGTAGGACCCGAGCTATGCGTTGCCTGAGGATATTCCAAAGTTGTGTTTGACGTCAATGAGATAGTAGTGCTCGTGCCTACCAGACCGGGACAAGCAATAGAGAGAGGGGGAACGATATATTCACTGACATCGGTGCCGCCGAATGGTTCCATGTTGGTGATGGTTGTTTTTATGACACCATCGCTGTGTTGAGTCTTGTGGAACTTGGTAAGGTCGTACACATGTCCGCGGAAACTGACATAGTAGTCGTTAGATGCTGCGTGGTAGCTGACCTCCTTAGCGTTCCAGGCTTTGTTCATGTTGGGGCATAGCAAACGGCCAAATCCGACGATCCAGAAAACCACAGTAGCGTTGATGATAAAGATGATGATCATGAGAGCGACCTTTTCCCTCCATGCCTGACGAACATCGGGTCTCTTCATACGACCAATATAGCGCAGAGCGGGCGAAGGAATATAGAAAGTCAAGGCCCATGTGGCCCAGACCCAGGCTTTTCGAGTGAATGTGATGGGCACCTCGGTGATGACCTTCGCATCGCCATCTTCGACCTCTCCGTAATAGGTCACGTCACCATACTTGTTGTCACCTTTGGTACCCAGACCGTAGTCTCCGGGTCGGCCTTGCTGGGTCGGTGCTTTTGAGGGTGCAATGGACTTTGCTCCAAGTTGACTTCTACTGGCGAAGCTCTGGTTACGGCTGAGGAAGGGATTGCTAGGGTTATCGTGGTAGGGCTGTTGGTAGAAACCGTCGTCAACCATTGGGGTAGACACCTGGTATTGGCCACCGAAAGGTCCTGCGGCGTCGTCCATTGTTGGATCCATAGGCTTCAGGTCGAGCATACTCTCGGCTTCCCACCAAGGAGCCTCGCGAATCCAGATTCTCTCGTGGCCGATGACGACTTCTCCATTACTCCAGCCACGTTCCATGACCCAACTCTCGACGCCATCACGACCAAGCTGACAGCCCAGGCGTGCATAGCGCTCTTGAAACTCGTTGAGATCGAAATCAGCAGTGTAGTCGAGTTTCTTGTTGCGATGGTTGGCCCACTCAGGAAGTCTCCAGGAACGGATCTGGCTGGATACAGATCCTGCGGACCATGGGAAACTGTTTGGCGAGTGATTTGCCAAGGATGCTGGTGACTCGTCTGTGGGATGAAGGGCAAGCTGGAACCAGACACGACTGCTTCCCAAGAGGTTCATGAGACTGAAGCGACCATATTTGCCAAGCTGAACGCCCTCGCCATCCACCGGGTAAAGAAGACGTCTTAGGAAGCTGTCCGCTTCAGTCTCGACACCCACTTTCTCAAGAAGTGTCTCGCGACGATCAAGTACTTCTTCACGCTCCCTTGCAGCCACGGAGTCGGGAAGCTCGAGCTCTGCAGCATTGTCATTGACAGCGTCAGTCATCTCTCTGATGATCGAAGAACCGACGTGATAAGACGGCACTCCGTCTTCTTTCATTTCGAGATTGATGCCTGTTGAGTCGTCGAAAACAGTGCGCAGAGCCATCGCCTTGCCCAAAGTGACACTAGGCAGATCGAGAATTGTCAAGTTAACAGTATCTGCACCCTCGTCACCTGGAGGCGGTGTCAAAATGCCTCCAGAGTTCTCTGTGTCGCTTCCGTTGGAAGAGTGGGCAAGACCACCGTTGCGAAGCTCCATACGAATGGCTTCGTTGGCGCGAGCAATGACCCAGTCGACCAAGGCCTCGTAAATAGCGGCCATCAGAGTCTGACGCTCCATAGTATCGCACTTCTTGGTCAACACGGCAGTGTCCAGATCGAGCAAATCAGCCACCTCTTCACAAACATTCTCCAGTACATCCTCATCGACCAAGAAACCCATGGTCTCGCCAAGTTTGAGGATGGCAGCAATGACAGAGAGCATGTTTCTGAGAGCAGCTCCCTTGATACCAATCTCTTTCAACGAAGCGCGGAAGTCGTCCGCGGCAGCGGCATCATCAGCTGTAGGAAGATATAGCGGTGGAGTATAAGTGTCGGTCTTTTTCAGTAAAGCATAGGCTTTGGGTTCCTGCAGATTCAAGAAATCTCTCTCATTTGCCGAGGCGCTCGCGAGCAGGTAATAGAAAACATCGAAGGCGCGGTAACCAATCTCGGCGGGCACATCAGTCAGACCTTTGGCAACGTTGATACCAGAGGAAGAAAGGCTGAGCGAAGCGCCTGTCAGCTCGCCCTCGAGGTTGAGGTTGAGCACGGCCGCCAGACCATTATGCTGTGCCGTTGAAGGGTTGCGTGGTGTGACAGAGTACAGGAAGGGGCGAATGGCGTTCAAAGCAGTAAACAGAGTTGTGGGCACTGCAATGGGTAGCGAAGAGAGGAAAGGGACGAGAAGCGAAGGTGTAGACTCATGGAGGGAGCTGAGCTATGGATTAGCGGACTGCACAACTCAAGCATTTCATGACATGGACTCACCCCAGGACAACGCAGCCATCCTCAGCTCTTCTTCTGGCGTGCTCCCATGCACGTCTACCCAGTTCGGCATCTACGGTACCTCCTGTTCGGCCATCAGGACCGACAAGCATACTGGTGACCCATGTGTTGACGACAAGACTGGTGCTAGATTCAAGTGGGTATGGCTGGCCGTTGGTCCAGACAGAATGTAGTGCATTGAGCAGGGTTGTAGTAGAAAGTTGTGCGGATGGTTGGGCTGGGCGAGGGGCGCTCGAATGGTTCGAGTAGACCGACATGCGGCTGCCAGGTCCCGCCATATTGGAGTGTGGGCTGAGGCGTGGCCTCTGTGTTGGATATGGTGTAGCGAGTGGTGAACGGTGGCAACGAAGGAGTTATCTCGTAGGTAAGCAGGAAAACAGCGAACCTCTAACTTCGAGGATGGTGGAGAGATGAGTTGTAGCAACGATCGACTGTCGAGTTTTGTTTGTGTCGAGCAAGCGAATGTCGGGAAGATGGTAAGAGGCACGGAACACAACCACAATGACACCAGCACGATGGAAGAGCAGGAAAGACGTGAGGCACAAAAGTCGTATGCAACAGACACGACGAGGCTTCAAACACTTTAGGAGTGAGTGCAGCGGCAAGCGGGAGACGTGTCTGTGCTCATCAAGCTAGCACGAGCACGAAACGACCGGAAGAAGACCATCGCCACTTGCCTCGACATTAAGGATTCATCGCAATATCTCAGACTCGTGCTTCGACACAATCGCAGCCTCACCGACTTCCGAGTCTTCTTGTGCTCAATCAATGACCAATTCTGCTGGTCTAATTCTATGAATTTTGGGGTGGATATTGCTATTGTTGATGTTTACTTACGACACTAAAATCGGAACACTCTATTTTTGGGGGGTTGGGTCAGGGAAAGCAACGGCTGGTCACTGGTGATCGCGAAAATGATGATTTGGTGACCTTCATGCAAAATCTAGCCTCGCGCATTCAACTCTTCTTCTGTTGAGTCTCTGTGCATATGTCACCTGCTTCTGCAAGCATTGTGCACCATGTCACTGCGAGAACAACGATTGCCCTGGTGGGACGCTGGGCGATTGGACTAGGGAACATCTCACTGCACGAAACATGCGTTTCGATGTTTCACTCTCGGCGATATTCGATTCAGGAGATGGATTTGCCAAGGAGAGCCCCATGGGTGAAGTTCTTTGCATCAATTTGAAAGGCTCGTCTCGACTGTTGGTCCTCGCTCTTCAACAAAGCATCTCATACAGGCTCTCGTCGCTGGTGGATGATGCTATGCATGTTCAAGATGGCGAAGATGTTCGTTGTACACGCGTTTCTCGGCAGGAGACCGAATCCGCTCAGCGGAAGAAAACAAAAGCGCGCCGCTGAAGTGGTTGGCTTAAAGTTTCTGTGCCCCGCGCTGACCGTAGTTTCGTATTTTTGTATTTTGGCCGAATGTATACACACAAAGGCCCTCTCCGAGGTTTTGCGTGGATTCATACAAGACAAAAGTGAATGTCAGCAGCGTTGCATGAAGGTAGTTCCGAGCAAGGTGGAAACGGCACATCAAACAAGACGAAGGTCCGAAGGTACTTGAGCAGATTGTCCTTTGGAAAGTGGCAGGGCTGATGAAACGCGAGGAAGGCGACGGGTTGCGGATAGCGGTTTCCCAAAATACACCTGCACCAATTGGCGTTAGCTTTGTAGGAGTAGACCCGTGCCTTGAAGCCATCCATATTCTATTCTCCTCGAGCCGCCACAGTCTCGTGTGATTTTACACTATCTCGGTCGCAACAATATCCTTGTACTGGGCTTCTGTTGTTCTACCACAGCCCACTGCCAGTCGTTTTACACATTCGCTACTCTTTCGTTCAAGGGGTCGATTGTGATTTCAACGACCGCTCTGCTAGGACGACAGGAGAGTGAAGCAGCACCAGGCCAACATGGCTGTTCCTGCTCACGCTCAGGCTTCGCTGCCTGCGCTCCCTGCTCATCTTCAGGATGATACCCATTTGACAGCACACCTGGCCAGCAGATTCCACGTCTCGCTGCCCACTGCTCAGTTGTCATCACACGCCATCATCTCCCTCAACACATACACATCTTCGGCCAAGGGTCCGGATGGCTCAAAAGAAGGTAGCGCTATGGGCGCTGCTGAGGATCTCGCCTCAAGAGCCTATACTCGTCTAGGAGCCAGACAAGAGAACCAGGCCGTCGTCTTTCTGTATGTGTCCTTCCGTGCCTGTGACACCCATGCCCACGTTCTTCTCTAACGCAGTACACAGTGGTGAAACCGGCTCAGGCAAAACAACCCTTCGCTCGCACGTTCTGTCTGCCTTGTTGAACTACACGTCGACGCCACTGTCCAACAAGCTGTCCTACGCTGCTTTTGTCTTTGACACTCTGACAACCACAAAATCTGTCACCACCCCTACCGCCTCCAAAGCCGGTCTCTTCTTCGAACTGCAATACGACACATCCTCAAGCCTTCACCCAACACTCGTTGGTGGAAAACTCCTCGACCACCGTCTCGAGCGCAGCAGAGTCACCACTATCCCTCCTGGCGAGCGCAATTTCCACGTCCTCTACTACCTCCTGGCTGGTACCAGTCCACAAGAAAAGGAGCATCTTGGTCTCGACCAAGCAGGTCCTGCTACTCACAGACACTCGCTCGGTAATGGTGGTGCAAAGAGATGGAGATATTTGGGACACCCAAGTCAGCTGAAGGTTGGCATTAACGATGCCGAAGGATTCCAACATTTCAAGACCGCTCTTCGCAAACTTGAGTTTCCTCGCGATGAGATTGCTCACATGTGTGAGATGCTCGCCTGTATCCTGCACATTGGTCAGCTTGAGTTCGTCACAACCCAGTCGACCACACCTTCGGCCGATGACAGCGGTGGTTACTCGCACGAGGGAGGCGAAGATGTCACATCGGTCAAGAACAGAGAAACTCTGCACATCGTAGCGGCTTTCCTCGGTGTTTCCGAGAGACAACTGGAAGAGAGTCTGGGATACCGCACAAAGAAACTGCATCGCGAGCGTGTCACTGTCATGCTGGATCCTAAGGGTGCTCGAGAGAATGCTGATGAGCTTGCACGCACCTTGTACTCGCTCTTTGTCGCTTACATCATGGAGCGCATCAACCAGAAAATTTGCTCGGCCGAGGATGCCATCGCTAACACCATCTCAATTGTGGACTTTCCAGGCTTCGCACAATCCTCCTCAACAGGCTCTGTGCTCGACCAATTGCTGAACAATGCAGCATCCGAATCGCTTTACAACTTCTGTCTGCAGAGCTTCTTCGAGCGCAAGGCTGATCTCCTCGAGACTGAAGAGGTTAGCGTACCTGCAACTAGCTACTTCGACAACACCGATGCCGTCAAGGGTCTGCTTAAATCTGGCAATGGCCTTCTCAGTATTTTGGATGATCAGATGCGCCGTGGCAAGACGGATCAGCAGTTCCTCGAGAGCGTCAGAAGACGTTTCGAAGGAAAAAACCCTGCCATTGAGGCTGGAGCTGCTACTCAAACCCTTCCTGGCAACAACTTTGCTACCCGTAACGCCAACGCTGCATTCACTGTCAGACATTACGCAGGTGAGGTTGACTACCCTGTCGAGAACCTCCTTGAAGCCAATGGCGAGATTATCTCGGGTGATCTCATGAACCTGATCAACACGACTTCGAACCAATTCATCAGCGAACTTTTCGGTCAGGAAGCTCTGAGCAAGGTCGTCCATCCCAAAGATCGTTCGGCTGTCGTGCAAGCCTCGGTTGCCTCGAAGCCTTCGAGAATGCCTAGCATGGCTAAGCGCACTGGTGAGCGTCCCGCAAGACTTGGTGCAACGAGGCAAGACAGCGACAACGGCAAGAGAAGTCTTTCTCGCTCTGGCAAGGGTGAGCCTGAACAGCAGCAAGGCGCTGCTGCTCAATTCTTGTCTTCTCTGGACAACATTACCAAATCATTGTCTGACCCACGCACAAACCCCTACTTTGTATTCTGTTTGAAGCCCAACGATCGCAGAATTGCAAACCAATTCGACAGCAAATGTGTCCGTACTCAGATGCAGACTCTCGGTATCGCTGAGATTAGTCAACGTCTGCGTAATGCTGACTTCAGTGTCTTCATGCCATTTAGTGAATTCTTGGGTGTTGCTGAAGGCGATGTTTCTGTTGTGGGCACCGACAAGGAGAAGGCAGAGATGATCCTGGATGAGAAGATCTGGCCAGGCAACGAAGCAAGAGTCGGCAGCACTGGTGTCTTCCTTAGTGAACGTTGCTGGCGCCAGATCGCACGAGTCAGTGATGTTGATGCAGGTCCTATTGGGATGCACGACCACTCACCTTATGGAGAACAAGAGGGTATGTTGTCTCCAGACCACGCACGCAACGGCCGCAATGATTCGAACCTCAACCTCCTCGGTGGTGTCACTCCCTCGCCTGGAGCTTTTTACCACGACGACAAGGTAGCAGGTTACTTTGGAAGCCGCGACCTCGATGCCAAGTCGGAAGCTGGTGCTTCAGCCTTCCACGGAGGTGACATGTTCCAGAATCTTGAGACTCGCTCGCAGCTTGCAGAAAAGGGCAACGAGGCCAAGGTAGCAGCAATCGACGAGGTCCCTGTCACAGGTGCTCGCAAGAGATGGCTGTTCCTTGTCTACCTCTTCACTTGGTGGATCCCTGATGTGTTTGTTCGCATCATCGGTCGCATGCCTCGTCCTGACATCCGTATGGCCTGGAGAGAAAAGGTGGCCATCAACTTCATGATTTGGCTTGCTTGTGGCAGTTTCTTGTTCCTCATGATCGGTTTCCCTGCGCTCATTTGTCCTACTCAACACGTTTACTCGGCTGCTGAGCTGCAATCGCATAATGGTAAGAATGGCCACTCCTCCTACATTGCGATTCGTGGTGTTGTCTTCGACCTTGGAAACTTTGAGTCGATCCACTACCCTAACATTGTCCCTACATCGGCTCTGGAGAAGTACGCTGGCACTGATGCGACCAACCTCTTCCCTGTCCAAGTATCTGCTCTCTGCCCTGGTACGGATGAGAACGGTATCAACCCTGCTGTCCAGCTCAACTACAAGAGTACCAACTACTCTGGTCAAGCCTCAGCTGTCAGCGGTACTGATGCTAACGCTGTGTACCATGACTTCCGCTGGGCCACCAACGACTCTCGTCCAGACTGGTTCGCTCAGCAGATGAAGTTCTTGAATCAGAACTACAGAAAGGGCACTGTCGGCTATACCGCAGGTTACGTCAAGAAGCAGGGCAAGAAGCAACAGTCCATCGCTATCCTCAACGGAAAGATCTACGATTTCACTGATTACATTGTCGGTGGTCGTGCTCCCAAGTACCCTCCCGGATACGACATTCCTGATACCCCACCCAACTCAAACTTCATGGACCAGCGCGTGGTCAATCTCTGGCAGCAACATGCTGGTCAAGATGTGACTGATGAATGGAACAACCTTGGCATGACCCTCGACCTGAAGAATCGCATGCAAATCTGCCTCGACAACCTCTTCTACGTAGCCGATGTTGACACCAGAAACTCGACCAAGTGCCAGTTCGCCACCTACCTTCTGCTTGGAATTTCGATGTTCTTGATTGCGGTCATCGGTGTGAAATTCCTCGCTGCCCTTCAATTCGGCGGTAAGAATGTTCCGGAGAACCTTGACAAGTTCATCATTTGTACTGTGCCAGCATACACGGAAGACGAAGATTCGTTGCGACGTGCCATTGATTCAGCCGCCAGAATGAAGTACGACGACAAGCGCAAACTTCTGCTCATTGTCTGCGACGGTATGATCATTGGTCAAGGCAACGATCGTCCTACTCCTCGCATTGTCCTCGATATTCTTGGTGTTCCCGAAACTGTTGACCCAGAGCCATTGAGTTTCGAGAGTTTGGGCGAGGGTCAGAAGCAGCATAACATGGGCAAAATCTACTCTGGTCTTTACGAAGTACAAGGCCACATCGTCCCCTTCATGGTTGTCGTCAAGATTGGCAGACCTGCTGAAGTTGGAAGACCTGGTAACCGTGGTAAGCGTGATTCTCAGATGGTTTTGATGAGATTCTTGAACAGAATTCACTACAACCTGCCAATGGCACCCATGGAGCTCGAGATGTACCACCACATTCGAAACATTATCGGTGTCAACCCAACATTCTACGAGTTCTTGCTGCAAATCGATGCAGATACTGTCGTTGCTGCTGATTCGGCCACACGATTCGTCGCCTCGTTCCTCCACGATACACGCCTCATCGGTGTTTGTGGTGAGACCGCCCTGACTAATGCCAAATCCTCTATCGTTACTATGATGCAAGTGTACGAATACTACATCTCGCACAACTTGATCAAAGCATTCGAATCGCTCTTCGGCTCGGTCACTTGTTTGCCTGGTTGTTTCTCGATGTATCGCATTCGCGATGCGGCGTCTGGCAAGCCACTCTTCGTTTCGAAAGAAGTTGTTGAGATGTACGCCGAGATTCGTGTTGACACCCTTCATACCAAGAACTTGCTGCACCTGGGAGAAGACAGATACCTCACGACTCTCTTGATGAAGTGGCATCCCGCTTACAAGACCAAGTTCATAATGCGTGCTAAAGCCTGGACTATTGCTCCCGACAGCTGGACCGTCTTCATGTCGCAACGTCGTCGTTGGATCAACTCCACTGTACACAATCTTGTCGAGCTTACCTCATTGTCTCAGCTTTGCGGATTCTGCTGTTTCAGCATGCGTTTCATCGTCTTCCTCGACTTGCTCTCGACCATCATTCAACCTGTCTTGGTCGGATATTTGGTGTACATCTTCGTTCGCATTGGACAGGACCCTGGCGGTGTTTCGACCATTGCCATTATCATGTTGGTGGCTGTTTATGGTATGCAAGCACTGGTCTTCATTATCCGTCGCAAGTGGGAGATGGTTGGATGGATGATCATCTACCTGATTGCTACGCCGGTCTTCTCAATGGCGCTTCCTCTATACTCTTTCTGGCACATGGACGACTTCTCGTGGGGTAACACTCGTGTCGTCACTGGTGAAAAGGGCAAGCAAGTCGTTGTGTCGGACGAGGGCAAGTTTGACCCAGCCAGCATTCCGAAGAAGAGATGGGAGGACTACCAGGCCGAGCTTTGGGAAGCGCAGACTTCGCGTGACGATGATGCTCGTTCTGCAATTTCCGGCGTTACCGGCATATCGTATGCGACCAAGTCAGCCTACCCTGGCATGGGAGGCTCTGTCTACGACTACCCACCTTCGCGACCCATGTCAACTTTGGGTGTGCCACAGGGTCCCTTCGGCAACCAGTCACGTATCAGCCTTGCTCCAAGCGAGATGCCTCTCATGGCTGGTGGTTACAGTCCCAACTCTGTAGAGATGGCAGAGATGCCTCTTCCCAGCGACGACGCTATCCTTGCCGAGATTCGCGATATCCTGACCAAGACTGACCTCATGACTATCACGAAGAAGAGCGTGAAGTCAGAATTGGAGAGGCGTTTCGGTGTGCCGCTGGATGCCAAGAGAGCATACATTGGCTCCGCCACGGAAGCCATTCTTAGTGGACAGTTGTAAAATGAAGATTAGCAGCGGTAGCATTTGCATTCGGCGGCGTTCTGCATCTCATTGCATATTTGAGTCCGTTCTTTGTTTTGGGCCATGTTTTAGTTAGGTAGCTTGGGTATATGTGGGCGCTCTGCATACAAAATGCTCGATTGTCATTTTCTCAACATGTTGATACGCTTTCAGGCAAGTGACACATACTGCTCTCTTATTGATTCCGTCCAGTCTGGGCGCATGCCAAATCATCTGCCAATCGAGACGATACTGAAATGCAGGGAGGATGGTGAAATGCAGGGTTTTCGGCAGTCCAGAATCAACAGATATGATCAGATACCAAGAGCCATCACCAGGGTTATGAGATCCAGAAACGCCTTTATCTAGCACTGCCTACGAGATGATGACATTTCACATAACAACCAGAGAGAGAAATCATGCGACGCATCACCATTTTCTCGTCACTGGGTTGTCGTTGTCCGGGAGTGCTTTCAACGGTCAACGTCGACGAACAGCCAGCCAACGCAACGCTCCCTCAGACCCTTCCCTTGATTTATATCGACCATCACGCTCGCTCTCGTTAATCTTTTCTTTCTCACCACAATTCTTTTCTCAAGAAGAAAATTTCATCATAATCTTCATTGAAATCACATTTGCTTACACACGATGAAGAGCACAACCGCCGCACTCGTTGCGTTGACCGCTGGAAGTGCTTCTGCGCAGTTCTTCGTCCTCTATGGCAGAGATACTGTTGTCTCGCGCATTGATCCCATCGTTTCTCCTGGAGGCATTGGCATGCATGCGCATGAGTTCATGGGCGCCGGCAACGTCAACCAGAACTCAGACTACGATTCACTCCAAAAGTCAACCTGCTCGAGCGTCGGACGTGCCAATGGCAACCCGATCATTGAGGACAAGAGCGCCTACTGGCACCCTACCCTTTATGTCAAGGCCACCAATGGCTCCTACATCAGAGTACCTGTAAGATTTCTCGAAATGCAATCGAAAACACACGACTCACAAACTTTCTAGACCAATGGACACCAGATCTACTACATTAATGCCGGCACTGGCCAGATGCGCGAGCCCTTTGAGTTCCCCAAGGGCTTCCGCATGACTGCTGGAAACGCTTATATCCGTGCCGCGCAAGAACACACTCCTACCAACATGGATGGCATCACTCAATGGATCTGTCACGAAACTCCGTCGTGGAATGAGGGTACTCAAGGCGGCTTCCCTACAGGTGTTACTTCTTGCTCTCAATACCCATACTTCAACGGTGCCATCGAGTTCCCTCACTGCTGGAATGGCAAAGACTTCGACTTGAGCTCTCCTTATTCACACATGGCTTACCCCGTTGGTGACATCAGAAACGGAGCTTGCCCTGATTCTCATCCTATCAGACTTCCCCATCTCTTCATGGAGAACAACTACGACCTGTCAAGCATTGTGGGAGAGTTCGAGATTGACTCGTTCGTGCTTTCCAACGGAGATCCTACCGGCTTTGGTTTCCATGCCGATTTCGTAAGTCCATCAGCCAACATGGAATATGCGGCTGGGGCACTTGCTAACAAGTTTGTAGTTCAATGGCTGGCAAGAAGGCGTTCTGCCTAACCTGCTCACTGGCTCCAGTGCCTGTTCATCTCACGATGTCGGCGACTGCTCCGGCGTGACCTTTGATTCTAGTATGAACTGGGCTCAGTGCACCACCACTAACCAATATCCCGAGAATCTTGATGGTCCTCTCTCTGCTCTGCCCGGCTGCAACCCCATCACCACTGTCAACCCTGCTCCGCAATGCAAGCCTTGTGCTGCTGGCGTAGTGGGCGGACAGTGTAATGCTGCTGCCGGCTCATTGACTACTAGCACGAGTAACGCCCCCTCAACCCTGAAGACAACCACAAAGCCCGCCTCTTCAGCCATGCAGTCTTGGACGACAACAACCACGACCACCAAGACTGTGACAACCACCGAGCAGTCGACTACCACTGTGACCGGCAATACTCCCACAGGCACCGACTGTGACACTTGGTAGTTTGATGACCCGTTGACGCCGCTTCAAACACAACCCTGACCGCTGGACGGACAAGGTGAGTACACATACCTTTGTTTCGCTAATCTTCGCTTCTAGGCCTTTGAGACTGCGTTTCAAGTAAGAGCCCAATCACATTTTACCGAATACGATGCAAGACGTCCAATCCCCAAACCAAACCTCGAAAACAAATACAAGATCCGCGCTACCGTACCGATATCATTGCTCGAGACACGAACGAGTGCCGAAAACACGAAATCGCTATCCGTTATCCCGCAAACCCCCACGAAGAACGATCACGACTACGACCGAAAGGAAGAAGGGAAATATGCTTATTTAATGTCTCAAATGAAGTTGCTGAGCAACATTTGTTTTTCTCTTTCCATTATTTCACTATCTCAACGCCAATGAATATACGTTCGTGCAGATGCGATGCCAACCAAGTTTCGCTGTTCGCTGTCTGTGTATATTGCTTCTTTGCTTGCGTATGTCGCTGTCTTCTGTATTTGATTCTGATCATTACGCGTTTTGTTGTTCAAGTGTTCATGTCGTATACACAGTTCAAACGTGGCATCGCCGTGCTAGGCTTCGACGAATACAAAAGTGCGATTATCTTCCCTGCCACTTATCCAAATGCTTCAATATCCCAGAGTCAAATCGGAGATATATCAAAAAGTCGACGAACATGAGAACAGTTCAAGATCCTACGAAAATGAAGAGAATAGAGGTGAATTCATGCTGTCGAGGCTTGTATTGGGGGTGACCCTGTTTAGCGGGCGTGACCGATAGAGCAGTTGAAGGCCGACCCGACGATACGATCACATGCACATGATTCATCACGCAATCTGACACCCCTAATCTTCCCTCTACTTGTATACAAACTACCTTCAACATAAAGCATACTATACAACACAAAGTGCAAAATATGGAAACCATTCAACAGCAAGCAACTCCTCCGCCAGAGAAGTGCGAGAAGGCATCGCATCATCATCATGACCCCGCAACCTCCCAGCCACCGCGGGTAGCTGCAGGCAGCTACTCCGACTACCACCAACCACCTATGATATCAACAATTTCCCCTTTTGACCAACTCCCTTTGGAAATTCTCACGATCATCGCTCACGAGGTTGACGAACATGGTCGTAATGCTACGAAATCATTGCGATGTGTTTCGAAGAGATGTGCAGCCGTTTGTACCGGTCTGGTCTTCCGCAGCTCTACGCTGTTGCTGAGGCAGAAGAGTATCGATAATTTAAGCAGCCTGCTTGAGAAACCGGATTTATGTTCTGTCATGACGCAGCTTACGATCGATACAGCGGAGTATACGGATACTTGCATGGACACCTATGACTGGGAGTATCGTGACGAAGAGCTGCTGCTTTCCTTTCTGGCTGTTCTGAAGAAACTAGGACGGTTACGAAATTTACGGTCTGTGACGCTCAAATGCAGTAGCGAGTGTGTCGGTCCACAGCAACGACGGCACTGGTGGGCGAGAAATGTACCCGAGAGTATCAAGTTCAGGGCGGATGTGCTGCAAAGTCTTTTTGTTGGCTTGAATGCCAGTCATGCGACGCCGAAGCTGGAACACCTCTGCATCGAAAACCTACAAGGATGCGGGGATGAGATAATGGCTCGATCCAGAGACTTCCGCGCAGTCATGTCGCGTATTCGTAGGCTGGAGCTCCAAATCACCACTGAGGATGTTGATGGCGATGGCTCTTTGCCTGCAAACCTTGGTAAGAAAGAACTTCATTCGTTCTTTGGACAACGGCTTGTTCAAGAATGGCTTGAACCGGTGCGTAACAACTTGACACATTTGAAGCTCTACTCTCGAAACATGTATTTTGGATACCTTCCAAAATGTCATCTGCCCACCTTTTCAGCTCTGCGATCTCTGATGCTCGGAGGGATGAGTTTTAGCCACGATGAACAGTTGACTTGGATCTTGTCCCATGGCAATACTCTTGAAGAGCTTGTTCTTGACAATTGTCCTATTGTCATTGGCGTGCGAATACCGTCGACATTGGATGCGGACAATTACCCAATTGAACCATTGTTCAACTCGAGTGCCACAGGATCAATTCTTGCGCCATCAAGCTTCTTATATTCGGCACGATGGCATAATTACTTCTCTCGCTTTGCGACTGATTTGGTCAAGCTGCGATCCATACGCTGCGGCTTTGGTGATTGGTATGATAATACTTCATTTCCAAAATCCAAGGAACTTGGTATAGGACTCTGGGCGCAAAGATATCGAATCTTGGATGACGGAGAATGGAGGAAGCCGCGTTTTGGTGAAGATGGCTCCTACGATGGTAAATGGGATGATTCTCCAATGTATCCGGATTGTACAGACGAAGATTGGATCGCGTTGTGTGAGGTCAAGACCGCAATTGCATCAAGGCTTGGTGGCTAATATGATTTGTCCAAGTCTTGGCTTTGTGTTCAAGAGCTCGAGGTGTTCAATCACAAAAATCACGTACAAAAACTACTCCGAGTCGGTGTGGCCTCCACCTACCGCTCCGTAATCTAAGAAGCTAGTCGGAGCTGTGATCTTGGACCGTCACTTGTTGAGTGTTGTTCCGAGAGTTTTAATCACAATTGTCGGAGCTATGCCAGAGGCCATCGAAGCCCGATTCTGCTAACACTTTCACTCTCGTTCGGAGCGATACTTCCGATATTTTGTAAGGCCCAAACATTCCTTCGGGATACATTTGTTGATTCGACTACGTCTTTTTGACCCTAACCAAAGATCAATCTTCTCGACCCTTCCCTACTTGGCCTCGTTGCGTATATAAAGGAAGCCACCCTTATTGGAAGGAGCCAACAAAGCAACAAGCATAAATCAAACAATCTCGACATGACAGCTCTCCATTCACTAAAGTATAAGTAAACACTTTCACACCCGTCGAGTCGTTGCCCTGGTTGGCCTCGAGTTTTCACAACATCGCAATTTTCCGTAGGCCCATTGCTCTTCGCGCAGTTCATCCTCTATTAATAAGGTCAATCTTTGCGACAACTTCTCATCCATCGATCGACAACTCGAGCATCTCGATAAGCAAGCACACGGTCCAAGTCAGTACGCAGCATGGGTTCCTCCAAAGTCCCCACTCCCCTGGTCAACGATTGCGACATAGCCAGCAGTGAAGCCAAACCTGCCCAACCTTCAGATGACATGTTGCTCAGCATTGGACAGCAATTTGATGACATGCCTATGGATTTCGACTTCGGCCCAACTGCTCAAGAATTTGGAGCCTTGCAAGACTACTCCACTATCGAAGGTGTATCGACTGGATATGACTACAGCAGCAGCGACTTCATCATCAACAGCAACAACATAATCGGCAATGACATGGCCCATGGCAACCACTTCGATGGTAACTTCGAGGAAGTTGTCAACGCAAAAACGCCTGGATACTACAACATTGATGCTGAGACTGCAGGAAACCTCTCATCTGTCATCCACAACCCATCTCCAGCCCTCAGTGCCCACGACCACCAATCCTACGGCGCTCACACTCCTTTACAACCTGCTTTCGAAACTTATGATGCCAAGACCCCTTACGTCGCTCCTACTCCGTACACTTCCCCATATCACACATCCCCTGGCTACGCAGGCGGCGAGATTCCTGATCTCGACCTGGAGGACAATGGTACTCAGCCATCTGAGGACTTTGACCCTGGCCCGAGCCCTATGGAAGAAACGTTCCCCACTTCGAGACCTTCCACTCCTCCACCAACATCAGGTCCTACCAAGAAGACACCCACTCGTAAGGCCAAGAGCAAGGCAAAGGCAGCCATCGCCGGTAAGGAAGATGAAGACACTGATGAAGGACGCTCGATAATATCCACTCGTGCCAAGGGTAAGGGCAAGGCGAAGCAGCCAGTCATACTCGATGACGAAGAAGAGCTGGACGACAACGATGCAGAGACTCCTCATACATACTCTTCAACCAAGAGCAAGGGCCGCAAGAAAGCAGCTGCCCCCAAAACCCCCAAGACTCCCACCAGCACACCTTTTAGGAAGTCCAAGGCAGGCACCGCTACCAGAAAATCGACCAAGAAGACTCCAACTGTTGATATGAGCACTATGGGTCATCAGCGCATTCGCAAGGTAAATTCATCTATTGAATGAGATTGCAGAACATGTACTAAAACTAGTACCAAGGCACCCAAGGACGGTATTGCCCAAATCAAGCCCATCCCTCATTCTTTCGAAGAATGCGACGAAGCCGACCAAACCTTGATCACCATGCGTGATGTAAGTATCCATACTTCTATTCAGTCAACTTCCATCTCTAACGATTTGTAGGCTGGTCACACCTGGAACGAATGCAAAGCCCGCTACGCCGAACTCGAAGGCGTCACTCACGGCAACAGCACCATCCCCAACCGCTACGAACGCCTCAAAACCGCCTTCATCAACATGCGCGAAGAAGACAACCTGCGCCTCTTCAACATAAAAAAGAAACTTGAAGATGACTTTAACAGCAAGAAATGGGCTTTGATTGCTGCCGAAATCATCAAGGATGGTGGTGCAAAGTATGATCCTGATGACTTGAGACGTCGCTTCAAGCAGTTGATGGAGAAGAGTGGGTTTCCTGTTGAAGAAGGGTTGGCTAAAGAAGATGTTGATTTCAAAATTGATGGTGATGATGAGGGTGAGGAAGGGGAGTTTGGATCTCCTGTGCCTATGCGCAGACAACCAGAGATCACTTGGACAGGCGATGGAGATGAGGAAGAAGATGCTTTGGGAGGAGGTGAACAGGAAGATTATGAGGGTTCTTCATACCTTCAACACCACCGTCGGGATTCGCGCGAGTCTACTCACATGGATGTTGATGATGAGAACGATGAGGGTGGAGATGATCTTGCCTACTAGATCAAGAGGTCCACGCCATGTCTTCGATCGAATAGGTCTGCGAGTTAGTCAATTTGCCTATACATCTCGAGCAGGATAAGGCGTGCGAATCTAACGTTGCGCCTAGCAGCGCGGACGTTTTCTTACTGTAGTACAAGTTGATATCAATCGAAGAGGTCCGCGAATCGATTGTTCTGTCCTGCACATCTCTCACAGCATTCGTCAAGCAAATATAACATTGCGCCGAGCGGCGCGTCTCTATTTACTATAGTCCTCAAGCAAACCCTCATCGAAGAGGTCCCTGGACTGGTTTTTGTCACTCCAACCTACAGAAACAAGAATCAATAGCGCTATAGAAATGCACAATGTTGTTCGAAGTAGCGGTTTGATCCAGTGAGATCAAGCGTTCGTTTCTTGTTTCTCTAGACATTGTTGGATTTCCAAACTTCTTTGTGCATTTTTACCGGTGTGATTTTTGATGGTGGTTGTTTGGGGGAGCAGTCTAGTTCCCGTTTTCTCCTCTTGTCATTGTGTTCTTCATGTATGTCAGAATGCATAACTATTCAGAGATTTGAAGATATCCAGAGAGAACCGAGAATTGAGCTTGCTTCTGTAGACATGAGTGATTTTTATAAAAGTAATTGTGCACTCTTATAGTATTATTACAAGATGTACAGTGAGAGGAAATATCCCCCACCTAAGTGTGATGTTAAAGCAGACAATCATGATGGTTCGTCCATCCGATTTCGGCAAACAATTAATCTTTATTCCCATCTCCCTCCTTTTGCAAGCAAAGACCGAAAAAGTAAAATAGATGAAAGAGCCCTCTCAGATCCCGTACCCACCTTCCAATTTCAATCGCACCTCTTGTCGGTGTTGTCCATATTGATTTACTTTCAATCTATTTTACCTGGATGGGACAGGGAGTTGACATCTCCGCTTGTTTGTCCACGAGTCGTGCTTTTGAAGAATTTCGGCACTTGCCTTTTTTGCGCGTCTTTTGCTTTGTTTAGTGGTCACCGCCGCCCCGACGCCCCGCGGCAAAAGAAATGGGAAAGGGCTTGACCTGTCAGAAAACGTAGATGCTGCGGCAAGCGGGAAAAAGCGAAAAAGGAATGCAGAAGAATGTGCGAGGAAGGAAATCATGCAGGGTCAAAAGGAAGAAGACAGCGGGTTTCGCCGACGACATGTCCTCTCTGTACTGTACACAATCTACTTACCGTACCTTTGAAGATCGATTTTCCTTTAGATTGCTACTCCGAGTAGATACCGTACTCGTCTGCCGCATCCACATATTAAGCAACACACCTACTCGAGTGTAAAATCTCCTTATCTCACGTGGGCTGATTGAAATTTGGTCTCTGGCGAAGCTTCTTTTTTGACAACCACACAGCACGGGTGAGTGTGGATGAGTGTTGGCTGTAACATGAGTCGTCAGCCGCTTGACCACGCCTCTCTGTTGCCATGAATGCGACTCATGTTTGGCGGTCAATCACCAAGCGACATTTCAATAAACTTTTGGGCTGGAGAATGGCAAAACATTGGCGTGTGTCTTGTGTTTCGTGTGACTGGGTTGTGGAGAATGGCATGGACGACTGGTGGTAATTGAGATAATGATGGGGTTCGTAGCTGAAAGCTGAAGGTGTGGGTCGCGTCAGTCGATGACAAGATCGATGTGCTTTCGGGGTGAAGTCCGGGCCTGAGGAAGTCCTGTATATCATGGCTAAGAGAAAGGGAGAGAAGACTGCTTGCTGTGATCAAATTGTCAGCCATGGGGAGTAGGTGGAGGTAAAATGCATTGCATAGTCTCAGGCATGATTGCCTGCCGCGTGTCAGACTTGGTGGTGTACGTATAAACTCAATAGGCGAAGTTGAGCATTGTTGATGGTAACAGGCATGATCAAATCATCCATGCCAATCTATGCCTGAGTACTTGTAGCCAAATATCAAAGAAGAACAGCAAGTAACACGGACGTGAGAAAATGGTGGGTTGCAACTTGTGGATGGTCAGCAGCGGTCGTAAGAGAAACCGCGCAGGAAGAACGTCGGCAGAGCATCACCCCTGATCACCCCCAACTGCTTGCCTAGACCTATCTGACGCGCAACAGTGATGATGCTATCAAGTGGATATCACATCATGATCAAGTGAGACACTCGAACTTGCCAGATTGCAAATCCAAGGGCTGAACGAAGGATCAATGTACACGAAGGAGAGGCTGGTTTGTTTTTATTTGGAGGCCGGTTGGTCACCTGGTCAAGGTGTACAGGCGACGACTAGTCCAACGGCAGACTTGACTTGATATCCTGAGGCAGGGAGCTGAGAGACGCGAACAACAAATCTGACCAGCCTGCCGAGACACAAAAGTAAGTTAACCTTCTCCAGCATGTCTAGAACATGTTACTCAGATGCGACAACGTGAAAGTTGATAGATATCGTTGTTGGAGATGGAAGTGTTTCTAAGCGGGTAAGGATAGACAGATCTGAGCAGGGAGAAACATGCCTGACAGAGTTCATGTTCATGTGCGAGAGAAGACAAGACAGTCAGAGGGTTCTTCCCGAGTCTCAGAGACCGCGTGCGGACGAGCTGGCCGTGAGACCAAGACATACCTTCGCATCTAAGACAAATTAACCACTCGCTGTAACTGCTTGAGATTGTAGCCATTGGTGACTCAAGCTGGAAACGGACAGCGGAGTGAAGACCAGCCTCCTCGGGCGACTCTGCTTCGTGCGTACGAGTGGACTCTGTCGCGACTCGCGCTGTGTCCCCGCTCGACTGAGACAAAGCGTTGGATGATTCGCTGACTGGCTCACCGTAGCGAAGTGCGACCGTTAGCGAGCTCTTTGAGTATTCCTCGCGATGGTCACGAGAGAGTATTGGCTGTAACGGTCGCTCAAGAAAAGTATGGTAGATATCCGGGAGGCCTTCGGGGTCAACGGACGCGTAAACGGGGCGCGAAGAGGGGGTGAAAGAGAGATAGAGTTCTGGAAACAAAGAGAAGAAGCATGAGGCTCGCGATGGTACAAACTTTGAGTTGATCCGAAGTACCCATGACCTTTTTGCATAACTTACCCGAGTACGAGTATATGCACTGACTTACCTTTTGGCAGCAAGTTAATTGACTGCCTCTGCTGAGATGCGATATCCTTCTTACCAAGAAACACAACCGCTGCAATTGCTGATAACATTACTTTTGTCAGTATGCCGTTGAATCAGTAGCTAGCATTCAAATCCCTGAGACAGAAACTCCACAGGAAGGATCAAAAATCAGTCGATAGGCTGAATTGCTTGCGGCTCCTCCGAAGGATAGGTACATCGCCAAGGTCCTGGTGCAATTGGAGCTGCTATCCCGATCCGACAAAGTGTGTCCAGAATGAAAGTCGTTGTATGTATAGTGGAGCAATGACAGACTCCGTTGGCCAGAAGTCATTAGCCTAGATGGGTATACGCGTGACTGGCCAAAAGGCTCATCACGTTTTCTAGCAAAGTATGAGCAGAATTGCTATACACGTGCCGAAGTAGAGGCGCGGTTTTCAATAGAGCTGCTCATAATCCATAGTAGCAGTCAAATATTTGCGATATAGGTATTGGAGCAAACGTATGCAGTGGAAGATGTCGTGCAGGACGCCAATGAATCCCGACGGTAGGGCATCGGCACCGTTTTTATGTCAGACGTTGTTATAATGCAAAAACGGTGGTATCGATATTGGCTCTCGTGTAGAAGAATCAGAAGAAGCCGCAGAAGAACGGACGAACCTATCACCAATCAATATCGATAGGAAGGATTGCAACGGCCATTCTTAGGTGCTATCGAAGACCGTTTGGCGCATACAATGACAGTTGTAATTGCGAAACAAGTGCGCGATTCATGAAAGGATGGCTTCAATCCGGCGTTTGCATGGCGCTCTTGATAACTTGCAAGAGTCGATGCCTGTTTGCGATATCATGCAAGGTTGAAGACTGGGAAATGAGAAAGGAAATAAAAAAGGAGAAGGTCGTGTAAAGTTGCGATCGGCCAAGATGAGGTAGAAGCCCAGTGCGTGCATGTTGCTTACGTCGCAGGCAGATTTGGACACAGTCGACGGTTGAAATTTGGATTTGTGGAGATACCAGCTAGAAGAAACCGGTAGGACGAAGCGGTCGATCTCGTCCCGTTTGGGACGCTTTAGAGTAGATCGGCGCCGAAGCGGCAAAGCTACCGCCACACAGCCTCTGGCACCAAACCTCTTCCATCTTCAATTCTCCTTGCTGGCTCCTTGGCCAGTGTCAGAGGCAAGGGTCAAAGAAAAAAGCACTCAGGGTTCTTTGCGGCGGATGAACCGTGCAGATCGCTGTACTGTATGCAGGAACCAGCGCATCCACAGCATCTGTTTCCCACTTTTTGTCGTCGCCGCTGGACGAGGCGTGCAGATGCCGCTGCTGTGCGCTGCTCCAGAGTCCAGCGGCCGCGTCAAGCAAGGTCCGTCCACTCGAGTCGTCAATTGCAGACGCGTTGGCTTGTCAAGGTCAATGGCAGATGCTAGGTTCTTTGGCCAAGCGAAAAAGTCGCTTTCTTTTGGGCCGACCGACCAATCCCGTTTGTCCGCCAACGAACCACATCTGATATAGCTAATGACCAGAGCGCGCGGCCGTTGGCGCTCGCGCCCGAGAATGGCCGAGGGTTGTGTCAACAGCCAACGCCGTGGTCCTTTTCTGTATATTGCGAAAGCACTACTTGCAGCTTTTTGAAGTGGCCGTTGACAGGTCGAAACCGTCGTGATAAAGTTGCTTAAGGTTTCTGTTGGAATGCAAGGGCAGACCGGCGCACCGGCGCGCGCGCGCGCAAAAGCCCAGGACCCGGAATAGGCGGCGCCCACAGGAACCTGTGCTGCTACTCCTCTCCTGGCTCTAGCGTTCCATCTGTCACCGGTTAGAACGATTTGCGGGAGCTGCTCCAAGCTCCCGTCATCCACTCAGCGGTCGATGATGCGCTCCCAATGGCTTCCACAAAAATGCACTGATACCGTTCGGGGCCCTTCTTTTTAACATATCATTATCCCTCCTCTCCGCCTAACCCTCCTCTCTCTACCCGACTCGCTGCCCTCACCCCTCTTGTGTGCAGCTATCCCAGGACCTGGCAACGGGAGGCGCACTCCTACTAACCACAGCAGCAGCAACCTCTCTCTCCACATATCTCAAGAGAGTCACGCCCCACGCTGTCAACCAACCTTTTTCCAAATCGCACCTGCCTTTTGCGAGACCAGTTGAAACACCTTGACTCAGATTCGGATCACGGCTGCGTGCATAGCGACCCAATCATCCATACTTTCAGCTACTTCCTATTCGACCTTGCATATACTTGGATGGCCAACTTTTAGCCAATAATAATCTATCAACCCAGAGACATCAAACTAATACACACGCCCCCACATATCACTGTCTTCATCTTGTGCATACACTGTCGCACATAATACCAAAGGACCGGATCCATTCAGCCTCTACTTGAAATAATGTGAGTGCTATCCTGGATGTCGGGACATACTTCTTCACTCTCCTTGCATGCTTGCAACGGCGCCGACAGACTTGATCAATTGTGAAAAAAGCTAATCGCATGCAAGCCTAGACTTTAATATTCGTCGCGCCATCCGGTTCACTCCAGCTCGACCATTTCTTTGTCCACGCGAAACGATAGTGAGTATTTCCTTCTTCACTAGCTGGGTCACCTCTAGCTCCATCACATATGTTGTCTTGAAAACATTGCCCAACATCGTCAGAATCAGAACGGGAACTTACCTTAGCCGTGTATCCAGAACCTTGGGACCATCTTCGGAAGACACCTGCAATCTCCTGCGAACGCCCTCGCCGAGTATTATCATCGACAATCCTTCCAACTTCAGCTGGACTGTCTCTTTTAATAATTCTATAGCGAGACCTGGCTGGATCTACGGACTGCATCTAGTTTTTGGCTCGCATATCCATTAATCATCCAGCACTCAATTCTGCGCGTGCAAGCCATCGACGGGTTCTTGCTTTATCACTCCAGCAAAAGCGTTCGTCAGGTTTCTGATTCCGAGCCCACCTGACGCAAGTCGACCTTCGTCGCGGTGTGCATTCTTGAGGTCGCTCCGTGCCTCATTTTGACTCTCTTCTCCGCTGCTTTGCAAACCTGGCGGTCAGCACTCTTATGCGCCTGCAGGTTCGTCGACCATCTCTTCTTCCTCAATTATTCCTGCCGTAGCATTTTATCCTGACATTTCATTCCTTCCTTCGCAGACTCCTCCACAACTGAGAGCTGCGCCTGTCATTGTCGACGAAGAATCAGCCATTCCAGAGTCAGTCATTGTTGCCTGTCAGGAGGCCCAAAAGGGTGGTCTCCTGGCCTCTTCGAACTACGGTAACCTACTCGCATCAATGTCTGGTTACGAAAAACCTCCAGCCTATGGCTACGGTAAGTTTTTGATGTTATTGGTGCTCCCAAAAGAGACTCTCGGCCGCTTAACGGATCTACCCGAGGTCGCGAGGCTTTATCATGGCTCAGATGACTGACCAGTACCGAACTAGGCTACGGCATTGCCACACGACCTGATCAGGCACCTGGCTATCCTGCATACAACCAATCACAGTTCAATCTCTCCTACTCAAATTCCCACGCGCAGGTCCCATCTGGCCTCCCAGATGCTGCTCAAATTCCCCTGCTCACCGAAGAGTCATACCAATCTCATGACTCTTCTTATGCTCAACAAAATGCATCATCTTATCCTTCTTACATGGCTGCTGGATCCCGTACCTTGCCTGAAATCGTCTCGGCTACGCCACAACGAGGCCCTGCAGGCGGTAGATTTATTATCTACATGAACGCCACTGAGGACCTGGCAAGCAACGGAGTCTCGTTCATTGTATCTTTCGGTACCAAACGCTGCGAAGGTCGTCTTACCACCTTGCCCGGTTCAGGTCCGCAACCAAACTTTGCCGTTATTGTCGACGTTCCTCCATTCGAGGCTACTGCATCATCCAACACTGTAGTCACCATCTATCTTGAGATGGTAGACAGTGACAAGCAAGCCCTGAACGTGCCTGTCGAGGTTGGACAGTACACATATACCGACGCGACCCCTTACGCCATCTCGAGTCCATCGCAAGGCAGCACGCGCAAGAGGAAAATGTCAGAAGACGCTCAGTCGCCGAACAAGCGCCCTTCGTCGCAGAACCTCCGCGACTCTCCTCTTCACAATCCTGCCGAAGTCAAGTACTCGCCGCCCTCGTCCACCATGGTTGACCCGTACTCTTCTCGTCCTCCGACTTCTTCCAGCGCAATCTCGTACGCTCGTTCTTTCAACGCTCCTGCACCTACCCAGTATTCGCAGAACTTGCAACAGGCGCCTACGTACAGACTAGCTCCCACGCCCATCGGTATGCCTCAGCCCCAGCCCTTCAACTCATACCCTTCGACATACATGACCAGTGACCGAACAGCACCGACTGCTCAGGTCACCAACGTCTCGTCGAGCGGTGCCAATCCACCCCTCATCCGCACCACTGCTTTGCAGCCGTCGCCTACTGGCATGTCACCGAGTCAGCCTTTCAACCCATATGCCATGTACCCATCCAACATCAAGGCTGTCCTCAAGCTGGAGGGCGACCTGAATGGCATGGCAAATGATTGGAATGCAGACGAAGTTGCTGCAAGACGTCGTATTGTGCGCTTCCGTCGCAGTCAGAATGGTAGTGTCATTTCTGCTTCCTTCCAGCCCGTCACGCCTGAGGAACATGCGCAAGCGCCTGGCTGCATCTACGTCAACTGCATCTGGTGGGAAGAGGAGAACGGCTGCTATATTACCAGTGTTGATACTATTCAACTATTGGAGTCGCTGGTCGCTGTCCGCTTTACTGTCGAAGAGAAGAACCGTATCCGTCGCAACCTTGAAGGGTTCAGACCTCAAACAGTGTCGAAGACCAAGGCTAAATGCGAGGAGTTCTTCAAGATTATCATGGGTTTCCCAAGCCCCAAGCCACGCAATATCGAGAAGGATGTCAAGGTCTTCCCCTGGAGAATTCTTGCCGGTGCTCTCAAGAAGATCATTGGCAAATACGTAAGTTTTACAATTTTGTTATATCTGCATCTGTATCCTCTGAACTAACATGATGCCAGTCTGCAAGTTACTCCTCAACCGCTGGCGCCCTTCCTTCACCAAGTTCGGTCGCACCACCCAGACATCAGCTGCACAGCTCATCCCCTCCTTCGGTCACAAACAACACTTCCATGTCATTCCCTACTAGCATGACTGCAACGAGCATGCCCATGCATCAGTCAAACCTATCAGCAGGTATGGGGGCCATGTCAGCTGGACTTGGCGACTCACGCCTCATGATGCAGCAACAGCAGCAGCCGCATACACAGCAGCAGCAACAATCCCAACATCAATACCAGCCGCAACATCATTATCAGAACCAGCAGCCATCACTACAGCAAACTCATACTCAAGGTCCTCAGTCTGGAGTCGGATGGCATCAGCCATCAGCTCATTACACGACCGAGCCTGTCGTCGCGAACCGCACAGGTAGCATAGATTTTGCTACACTGTGGGAGACTACCAACCCACAGGCACCTCAGGGCCACCAGCAGCAGCGCATCCCATCCATCAGTCAGTCGTTGCCTCACCTATGGCCGCAGCAGGACTGGAAAGATTATCGCACGACGCAAGCATAGGCGTGATCGACTTTTGATTTGAGCAGCTTGTTTACCCATGCATCTTGCGGAGTTTCAAGTCTTGCATGCATGAGGGAGAGTCATGTGGCTCAACGGCGCTAACAACTTCGGATTCTTTTACACCCCATTTGCTATTTCCTGTTTTTCCTTGGCGTTCGGCGCCCTGGTGCTTGGTCACACTTGCAGGTGATCATGGGGGCTTGTGACTGCCCTTTCTGCGGACCACACGCCTTGAAGACATCATCCACCAACAATGCTTCTGTGTCGCCTTGCTCGTTATCACTGGACGCAAGCATCATTGACGGCGCATTTGAGGATTTTCTGGTTCGCTCGTCACAGCACATCACATCTTTCGGAGTCTTTTTAAAATTACACCTTTGCGACTAGATTTCAAAGGCATGTCTCTCACGAGACTGGCGGGCGTTTTGATACCACTCTGTTCAGTTTTCACCTGCCTGGCGTTTCCTTTCCATCCACCATCACAGCACACCTACAACAAACCATTATTAATCCACCACTACACTTTACACTTAATAAAAATCAATACGCAAAGACAAACAGGCTTGGCTGGGACGGTGCATCTGGGCGTTTTCTTTTCTTATTCTTCTTCTCTTTTTTCTACAAGGGTGTCATTTTTCGGCTTGCTTGAGATACCCCCTTTTACTCTGACTTCTTATACCATACCCTCGCTTTGCAATCACTTTTTCTTTTTTTCGTCTTGCTTTAGATAGGACCAATAACCAATACTAGGAGCCGCAAGTGGATCGGCTCGACTTTTCCTGATCTTTTATTCCCTTGTACTTCTTTGCCTCTATGTGACAATGTATGTAAGAAACGCCTTTTGCAAGATTTCCGAATCGCAAAATCACTTACCTATTTTCCTATCTTCCCAATCTTCTTTTTTAAAAAAGGCGAAAGATGTGGCATGTAGTCAACTTTGAGCCTTGTGGACACCACACGGCACGGGGAGGCTTGCAAAAAGAACCTCATCGTGCATGCATGTAAGACAAAAGCCAATCCAAGGCCCGAACCCAAAATATTTGCTGCTGAGTCGGCGGGTTTTTGCGTGGTTCGATGGATGCATCGAGGCTGGGAATGGGCGTGCGTGCGTGGATGGGTGGGAAACGCGGGCCGCTTCCCGTAACCTTCCCTATAAATGTGCGTGATAAGGAATTAGATCAACAATACCGTCGTCTTATACGTTGTATGAGGGGTGAAAGAGAGGAAGGGAGGGCATGGAAGCAAGATAGAGGAGGTGTAGAGAGGGAAAAGAGGAATGGGTGGATAAGGGGTAGAGTTGCGATAGTAGAGAAAGGATTGAGGGTTTTTTTTTACCTTGGAGGCTTTTCGCCACGAATTTGGCAAGTAAGCAAGAACGGAAAGAAGCGAATCTCAAGCATTCCATCGGGACAGATGCTCTCGGGTAAAAGAAAGACGAAGAGAGAGAGAAAAAAAAAGAGGGCTTGAAATATACAGAATAAGACAACACAGACCTCTCAACAACATAAGACAGAGCAGCAAAGTACTAGCTACAGTATCTCGCCTCAGAAGGATGTATATACATATACATATATATATATATATATATATATGCAAAGGGAAAATTATTATTACAGAAAAAGAGAAAACAAAGAGGGGGACTATACATATACACATATTCTTCAGACGGTTCAGATGGTGACATGCTCGTATGCAGTGAGCAATGCGCCATGTCTGTGCTTATTCATCTCTTGAGATCCGCCTTGTCGCTGCAGGACTTCAATCATACGACGCACTGCTTCTTTGCACTTTGTGAAGAGCTGGTCTTTCGAGTTGGTCTCGTTAGCTGGTAGGGTGGCCAGAAGATCAGTCATCGTTAGCTGCAATAGAATGTCAGTTCAAACCTTCGATCATGGTGATAGAGCAATAACTTACAGCTTCTTCGAAAGCTCGGTGTTGGAAAACCCACCAAACGCCAGCATCACCCTGGAAAAAGTCATCGAGCTTGAAGTAAGCCCAAATGGCTTCGTGGGCTGCTTCTAGTGCGCCGCGGAAGTTGAGCTCTACTCCCACCTCTGCATCTTCGAACGCTTGGATGATCATCAAACAGTGGTAGTAATTGCTTGTGAAAAACAAGTTTTGGCGAACCGCTCTACCGCTATGCTGAGCCATCTGCCGCAGAGTTTCATAGTCCGAAGTCGTAAGGAATGACGGAGCAGACTTCCAGATTTCGCGGAAAGAGTTGACCAATGTTGTTTTTGCGCGGGCGTTCTTGGCTATCGGAATGGACAGAGAAACTGGAGAGCAGAGGTTTTCCTGGACTTTGAGTGCCAGCCGCCACAGTGACTTTACGTATAGGACATCTGCTTTGTCGACGTCTTCGGTGATTCTTTGATGTGGCAGAATGGGTGGCTCGGGCTGTTTGGGTTGATCCTGTGGAGGTGCGATAACGCTTATGCTCATGAGATTCTCGATGCGAGCACTGCTGCCTGTGTATCTGGTCGAATCTTGAGCTTCAACCTCTGTCTCATTGGTCAAAGAGTCAATTGACACATCGCTATGAGTGGCTGTCGGCGGCAGCTTGAGAAGCACAGTAAGGAATGTGTCTTGATGGAGAATGGCCTGCCAAAACCTCCTTCGCGTGTGCTTCTCCACAGGTGAGATGTTTGGCAGGATGATATCAGGGTCGCGATGAAGTCTCAGTGCGTAGGCCTGTCGTACAATAATTCCTGACCAAGCGTATGCATCTGATGCATGGTTGTCATTCATTAAGAAATAGCACAACAGGATCTGAGCACCTAGAGCTCTCAGAGATGACCTATTGAGGTAAGAGTAGATGCGAAGTGCCTGATTGGCAGCGGAAGCTGTCTCTGAGTCAGGAAGTTGATCCGGTTCGTTGCTAGTAATCAGACTTACCCAGAAATTCGGCACTTGAACTCTTCGCGTCATAGCTTGCAAGATCTATAAACTGCGTACCCATAGCATAAAGAGCAAAGTGCAAAGCAATCAAATCGGCATCGGCGGTTTCGCGTTCCTTCTCCGGCAAGGCCCAGAACCGCTCGTATGCCACGTAAAAGGTTCGTCGATGTAGAAAAGGATACACAGGAGCCACGCATTCAAAGTACTTGGCGATTAAGATGTCGGCCTGCTGCTTGCTTGGTAGCACTGCAAGGACCTCAGGTAAACCGCCTTGACATGTCCAGTAGTTTGTGAATGGGTGAGATGATCCAATGCCAAAAATGTTAGATGGTGTTTGTTTCGAGAAGGGAACCTGTGATTGCAAAAAAGGCGAACCAAATCCAACAGAAGTTTCGCGCGGCGAGCGATGATGGAACTTGGAGAACAAATCAGTCCTCACTTGTTTTATGGCAGTACTGGCTGGGGAAGATGAGGAGCCATCGAAAGAGCCATTGAGTTTTCTCTTGGCTGGTGGTGGCTTGACCATATGTTTTTGCTTATCAGGTCCGTTGTCTTTCTGGCTTTGGCGGATGTCAGCATATACATCTTGCCTCCCCTTCTTGATGTATCTAGATACCTTGCATCAGCTATCAGATTAGCAACGTGAGTGTATCTACAAGTCGATTGCCGTTTGATGCAAGCCAAGCACCCCGGACGTCCTCGGTCACACTGTGAGTGGATAGTTAGCATATATTTAGCATATATTGCTGGTCATAGCCGATTTTCGCAGGAAATGCAAGATCGTTTTGATGTTCATAAGATGCATCGCCGTGATGAAAGCAAGAAAGATTGAGAGACAACCTACCTTAGTCTTGCGCTCGACACATTCTTCGCAGCTCAGCGTAGGCTTGTTACGCTTCTGCTTAGGTTTCGTGCGTTCACCATCAGGCGTGGATGTCTTTGCATCGCGAGCTGGTGACTCGCTAGCACTAGCTGGAGGCGGTAGACGTGATGGCGCAAAGGCGTTGACAGGCATCACCGGTACGGATCCGTAAGCTGCAGCATGGTATGGCGACTGTTGAGCAAACTGTTGCACTGGCGGGAGGTGAGGTGGTTGATGTGATGGAAAATCAGACGGCAACCCCGACATTCTTTCCTGCCGACTCGGGTTCCTGCAGTCTTCTTCCTTGAACCCCACGCCGATTATTGCGCGTTCGTGTGGGATAGAACGAGGAGGTGGAGCGATCTGCGTTTTTCGAGACTTGTTTCTTGGTGGAAATAATCTGGTAACAAGCTATGTGAACGAGCCTCCGGGAATAGAGGAAGAACGCGACTTGTCAAAGACATCCGGGGCGACCGAGGATGTCATGACTTCTGAGAGCGAAAAAAAGCCAAGCCCTTTTTCCCAACATCCTCGGACCCGTTTGCCATGTTGTTGAAACAAGCAAAACACTAACGAACCTAAAGATGGCCAGCCTCTACCCGATGATGCCGACAGGATGCATTTGGCGATAGACACAGGAAGCATTCAGAATCCCACGGAGACGGGATTCAGGGCTTGAAGGGGGCAGAGTTATTTTCGGGAGTTGCGACAAGCGCGGCACTTCGAGAAGCTGGGGAAATGCAGCAGCTGGAAGGAGTAAGATCCGAGGTCGGCGCCTCAAGAGATACTGTACTGTATGCATCATATTGAAACCATGACAAAAGCAGTTCTCGAACGTGATGAAAAAACTGGAACTGAATGGGATATTGGGGTATACATTTCTGGCAGACTGCCTTGCGCTTTTAAGCTAGATCATTCGGGTCTCGTAATTGACCATTTATTTCTGGAAGTTGGCCTCTCTCTCCTTCTTCATCTCTTGTGTAGCAGGACGGTTCGAGATTCTCTGCCACCAAGCCCAGTAGTGAGGCAGCTCCTTCTCAACCTCGGCGTGGAAAGCATCGCTCTGCTCTCCGAAAATGAAGGGCAAGAGCATCTGCCAAGGGATGAACGACAGATCGGCGTAGGTGTACTTGTCACCAACAAGGTATTCGGTGCCCTGTTGCTTGAGATGCTTGTCCAAGACTGTGAGCACACGCTTGATCTCCTTGCTGTATCTTTCAATTGCTGAGTCGATCTTAGTCTCGTGGTAGATGTTGAACCAGACGCGCTGGCCGAAGTAAGGGCCCTGTCCGGAAACTTGGAAGTGAAGCCTGAGCGTAGTGTTAGTCGGGATCTGTGGCAGATCAGGTTCATGCCAGCTTACCATTGCTTCAACAAGTACTTCTCGGGGCTGGAAGTGTATGTGAACTTGTTCTCCTTGTCGTACTGCTCGATGAGGTACTCGACAATGGCACCAGACTCCCACAGGGTGATGCCGGTGTTGGGGTCCTCAATGGTAGGTGTTCTTCCGTTGACACAGAGCTTCTCGTACTCGGGCTTCTTGAGGTCAGGGAAGTCCCAGAGCTTGTGCTCGTAAGGAAGGCCAAGCTCCTTCATAGCCAGAACGACCTTCCAGGGGTTGGGACCGCCAGCGTGGCCGTGGATAAGGATAGGCTTGAGAGACATGGTTGTGAGTGTAGTGACGATGAGGAGGTGTGAAAGGGAGAAAGTCGATTGGAATGGTCAAACTAGACGTGGCTACCCCAATTGACTTTATATATCCTCGAGACCTTTCCAGCTAGGGGCAACATTGCCTCTTGCCCCACCCATTGTTCATCGAAGCTTCCATGATGTCGCTGCGGGAAGCGGGAGAACAGCTTCGGGGTTCGGTGTTATTCGGCGTGCTGCTTAGAAACGCATACTCGTATTTACCCCTCGTGAGATTTCTATCGGCCTGTTGTCCAACGGCTCAGGCCACTGAAAGCGTCTGAATAGAAGCGGTGTGCGTTGTATGACAGGTTCAATGGCTCGGAGGCACAAATATCACAATGATGGTCGCATCTGATCCTTCAAGGTACACGATCTGAGTGGGGCTGGTGACAAAACAACACTGCGGGGTAGCTCGAGCTTTAGTAAGCCGAGAGATGACAGTAAATTAAGCATAATTAAGTGAAATTATTAGATGGTTCTCGAACTGGGTATCTCGCAACAACAAAGGAAGAAGGACAGGCAGTCAGAAGCACCGTCATGACCGTAATTCATAAATCATCATTTGGCGCCCATGGTCGCCATGTTGTTCCAGTAGTCCCAGAGACCGCGCGATTCAAGCTGCCCTCTGTCTTTGCGGCGACGAAGAGCCTCCACGTATGACAAGCTTCTTTGGTTTCTTTCTTGAGGGGCTTTCTGCGTCTCCGTTGACGTTGTTTGGTTCGACTCTTTCTCCCGTGGCCGGACTCTTGGCAATGGTTCTGCTGGTTCCGTTGAATCGTCGGACTCCGTATCCGTTTTCTCGTCGAGTTGAGTCTGGTGGTGTGGGTAACTCGGATTCTCGCTCTGAGGACTCTCCAGAAGTGCGTCTTCGTTCTCCATCGGTGAATCGCTCCGCGCCTGCGTCTGCAGAGAATGATCTTCGTCGTCTGGAAGGGATTGGCGTCAACTTGGATGCAGGACCTTGAACTCATTATTATCCGAGTTCTGTGGATTGAATGACAGAAGCAGGAGTTGAGAATTGGGCAAGAAAAGACTTGGGGCTAAGTACCTTTACCTTTGCCATTTTGACGTGGTGTAGAGTCCTCGTGGTATGCAGCCTGGTCGCCATCTGTTGGATCGTCAAACAGTATGCCCCCAGTGCCTTCCTTGATAGCGTTGACCATGTCGACTGCAAAATCAGGGTTGTCTTTGAAGCAGTTTCGATAGCTTTCAGCATTCTTCTCACTGTCTGGATCCATGATCTGTCGCGCGGCAATCTGGGCCATGAGTTTTCTGAAAGGCGAACCCACTGGAGAGCTGCGGTAAATCTCGTTGATCTCTTCGGCGTCGGGTACGAGTTGAGCTTCAAGCAAGCCTTGTCTGTAGCGATCGATGGACTCGTTCCTCAAGATTGGAAGATCGAACTTGTTGCAGAGCAGATACAGCTTGTGGCAGGCTACAGAGTAGTCGTATTTCTTCTCGTCCGTCATGTCGGACGTGTCGTCCAATGTTCCTTGATACAGCCATTTTACGAGCAGCTCGAAACCAGCGGGGTCTTGGTCGGGTAGTTCAAGCTCAGACCTCGAAGAGGGTTTAGACGTCTTGCTAGCGAGGAACTCGGATTCGAAGTATGGCGAATGGTGACATAGCAGGTTGCGATGCAGCGACCAATGCCGACGCTCTTCACCGACGTAAAAGTCGATGGTTGGACCAGAGAGGAGCCTTTTCCACAAAGTCTTAGCTTCGTCAGGCATTTGCGCCAACAGAAAACAAGTAGACAGCGGTTAAGCGCAAGCAGTGCAGTGTAGTGAAACGTACTCGGCAAAGGTCTTTGCAGTGATCTCGCTGACGTTAGCTCTGGCCATGCGAAGTACTACGGGCGCGTTGTTGGCATACGCAAAGTCGCGCGAGTAGATTGGCGGGAGGTATCGATAAACTTGCTGAAGCGCTTGTTCAGACCATGAACCCATGCAGTGGAGCGAGTTTTAAGTAGAGTTGATAGGAGGTAAGGAAGCGAATCATGGCATTCCACGGACGACACAAAGGATTGGAAAGGGGGGCACGAAGGAGTTGGAAGTTGCGAAAGGGAGGGCTCCGTCATCATTGAGGGGGTGACAAGCTTTCGGGACATCCTGCTCGACCTCCCGTTTCCCGCTGTCAATTTTGCGCCATCGCGATAGTCATCTCGGAAGTGGTTTTTGGCGATCATCGCCGAAACATGAAAGCGCATTGCTTGACACACACACTCTCTCCTGTCCGATAGAAATGATATCGGGCCGCTCGAAAGCACTGCCCCAAATGCAGGTTGTAAGTTGTTGGTGTTGGTTGCACGCCATCCAATCAAGTTGATATGACGCGTGATCTTGGCATTTACGCGCCCTCTCAAAGCCTGCTGCCTCGCGACGTCGAAACTTATAACCTCCCATCGACGAGCATGAGTTGGTGAGTTGTCCATTCGTTTCGCTTCTATCGCTTCTATAGCCTCTGACCGACACGCATTCTAGGTGAAATCCCCTTTCCTTCATCCTTCGAGTCAGGGCTGCTCTTCAAAAGCCCGGTCGGGTGGCTGGGGTAGGTTGAAGTCTGGTCCAAAGCTGCTTGCGCGTCGACCAGCAAGATAGTAGTGTTCGGAGGCAGGCCATCATTTCGAAGTCCAGTCGCACTCTCTCGGGTGCTTCTGGGGTCTGTAGGGTCCAGTAGCCGGTCGTTGACTGTGGCCACAAACCACATCTCAACGTGCAGGTCAGCTTTGATCTGTCAGGGACTGGATGCCGCCTGCGGAGCGATTACTCTTGCTGGGCCGCCTTGCTTGTATCTCTGGCGAGTCAGGGCTGCTCTTCAAAAGCCCGGTTGGGTGGTTGGGGTAGGTTGAGGTCTGCTTCAGAGCTGCTTGAGCGTTGACTAGCAAGATGGGGGAGTTTTCGAAGGCAGGCCATCATTTCGAAGTCCAGTTGCACTCTTTCGAACGCTTCTGGGGTCTGTAGGGTCCAGTCGCCGGTCATTGAGTGGGGTTACAAACCAAACTTCAATGAGCAGATCAGCCGGTGATCTGTAGGGGCTGGAAGCCGGCTTCGTTACGATCACTCTTGCTAGTCCGCCTTGCCTTTGTATCTCTGGCGAGTCAGGGCTGCTCTCAAAGCCCGGGTGGGAGGGTTCTGCGCTTTGTGCGTGGGGTTCTCATTCTTACTAACTTTCTTGATTGCGTTTTTGTACTTGCCCTGGCTGACAAGTGTTGTTACGTAGTCATTTCGTACCCAATGGAATCGAGTATCCTTCCCTTCAAAACGCTTGCTAAAGTTTATCATGTACATCCTCAAAATGATTCAGCGCTACACCAATTTACTCTGGATATGGTTCTCGAAGGAAGCTTGTTCCATTGTAAGCTCAGCACGCCTGCACGCTCAATCGATGCTGCCAACGAGATCAGAAAGACTGCCGTGTATCTCTTCCTTGATGCAAGCCATGTTCAAAGCCTAGAGATCTGCGACAATGAGGAAGAAGTCATTCCGTCTTGTGTCAGGAGCGCTTTCATCAAGCAAGGATCGAGTACAACGGCAGACGAACTTGTGAGCATTCGCTTTGTTCTCAAAGATCATGCAACCTTCGTCGCACCTGATTCACTGTTACAAAAGAGACCGTCTATGATCGAGGACATCGAGGCCTTGTGGCGAATATGTCGACTCGACACATTCAAGGTCTACGTGTCGTCCAAGGCTGTCAGCACAAGACATATATTGGCTCTCAGCAACTCATTAGCCAGAGGCATGAAGCCTACACCCGAGGACGTCATCAACAGCATATATCTTAAGCCGGTCAACAGCAAGATTGTCACGTCCCTCAATGACCTTTGGACACTGAATCGACCTGAAAATCCACCTCCCTATGACCTCTCAACGAGTCTAGGAGCCATCGACAGTGATCCGACAAGTCAATCGGACTCCAGAGTTATAAGCAGCTCTAGAAAACATGGCAAGAGACGGATAGCATCACCTGTATCACGTCAAACGCCTTCTAAGCGACAATTGTTGACGGAGAAAGCTGTGCCAGAACCTTGGGAACTGGCGTTCGCAGCTCTCAGTGCAGAATTTGCAATCCTACGTGAACAAGTACAGCAGCTCCAGCGGGCTCCTGTAGTTGATGCTGGAACACAGACCGACTCGTTCGTGGATCATGCACCTGAGTCTTGCTCAGTCCCTGACCCGCATTACTCATCACCAAGCCAGGCCAGCACGGTTGAGAACAGTATCGAGGACCGTCTTCTGATGGTCGAAGACAGCATTCTCGAGGAACAGTTACGGAGAGCGTTGTCAGATGAAAAGCTCGAGAACACCGAGAAGCAGCTGGCATTGCTAGATGAAAAGCTCGAGAACACCGACAAGCAGGTACGTATGCAAGAATACCATGAATCGACAACAACGAGATGGTGTCCCATCTCTCCCACTTTCTCGTTGCAGTAGGGTTTCAAAGAGCTGGAGGTGTGCACGAAGGATGTCTTTGGTCGAGTGGCACTAGAACCTATATCCACGCCTTCTCAATTCTTGATAGCACGCTGCAATGCGGCAGAGCCGACTGCTTTGGAGCTGCATATCACCTTTGAACCAGACAAACACTGACTTTACTACTTCAGATACGGCAGGAGCTTGACCTCGAGTGCTCTGGGTTGAAAACCGCCGTCGAGCTCCTCAATTCTCGCCATGACGAGCTTCAACAAGAGTTCAAAGAAGATATTGATACGCAAAAATTGGATCTACAGGTCAAGTTGGAAGAGTTTATTGATGATCGACTGGAAAATGTTGAGGAGGCTGTCAAGCACGATGTCAGGGTGGCGTTCGAGAATGCATCTTACAAAGTCGACGTAGATCTCGGGTGGTTGGAATAGTTGCATCATCTACAATAGTAAGGCCATGTGAAATCTTTCAGCTATCTTGACCATACCTTCTATAGTGAACAGTGTGCCGCTGCCCAAGCGTGCTTGCATTGGAAGGAGCAACGAGCAGCCGCTACAAAATTGGCTCAATCATCAGCTGTAACCATCACAACTACATACCATTCTAAATATCGAGTCCATCGGCGTCTTTACGAACAAGCAATTCGTCGAAGAATCTACAAACGCGTTCTGACGGCTTTCACTTCGAATCACGTCTCCGTCCTTTCGCCGACCTCCCGAGATTCATTCAAACCACAACACCACTTCACTTTTAACGTTCATCTCCATAGCCTTTGCGCGCACCTCCTCAAGATATCATTTGTTATCGCTGATCCAATTCCACAAGGTACGAGAGTCCTCCTCTGTTCTTAGTGAAGATCTAACATCGCCAGAAGTTCACAAGCATGGATCCTCCGACCTCATTTTCTTCCCTTCCACCTGAACTAGTCTCCAAGATCTGCCGCGACTCTGACCTTCAAAAGAATGATCTCGTCGCTCTCCGCCTTACTAGCAAGTCTCAAGGCATCCATCTCTCTGCTTCTAAGGAGTTTGCCGAATTCTATTTCAGAAACATCGATCTCGTCTACACACGTTACAGTCTGCAGGTTTTTGTGGAGATCTGCAAACACCCTATCCTCGGCTCTGCAGTCCGAGAGATCCAACTCTCTTATGCTCGATTCAAGCCGGACTGTTTTGAGAAAGAAAGCAAAGACCAGTTCGATCATATTGCGGCCGACGGACGGTCGGAAGGACGCCATGAGTACCTGGACAACATACGACGACTCGTCACTCGTTGCGACGAAGAGGAGAACCTCAAACGATCTAACAATGCCGAAGATCTGCTTGCCGCAGCCTTTACCGCACTTTCTCAATGGAATCATCCCCTTAAAATTGCTGTGTCATCAGTGGAAGATCGTGCACTGGGCAGAAGTCAGATTTATAGTCCGAGCAACCTAGGCGAAAATTCACACTGGGAATGTGATATACTCGGTACGGTGAACCTCCTCTGCCACTCCGCTACTCGGAGGCCATGTGCTGTGCAAGCGCTTCAGATCAAGGGTGCTGTCTGGGACAACTTGGTCGATAGTTCGTCTGACTCACTGAGCTCATTAGCTCAAATTTCCGAGCTCGAGCTCCATATCTGGCCTACGGAGTATGCGGACAGCTTACGAGTTGCAGGCCTTGACAGCATGGCGATCAAGCTGCTTGAGAGTACAGTTTACCTGAAAACCTTGGACCTTGAATCTGGCTGTTCAGATGATGACCCTCAATATCTTCGCAGCATCTTCACAACAATGTTGAAGATAAGGCTTGAAAATATCACGCTGGCCCGTATCGATCTTGATCAGTTCAGGCCTTTCGAGAACCGACTCGAGTCTCTGCGTCGTCTGGAGTTGTTTGAATGCGGAGCCGAGGGCAGCCTGGGGAACGTTCTACCCTCCATCCAGAAGAACTTCCCTCGACTTGAATATCTCTGGCTTTCGAGAGGCTGGGGGAGCAGAACATTCGAGTTTCACGGCGTTCGAGAGGTTAGCGATGGCATAGATGAACTGATACAGTCAAGGCTAGAATACCGCAACAATCTTGGAATGGCAGCACTTTGAAACGGCAATGAAGACTGAAGAGTTGAAACAAAGGGTTGTAGCTGAAGCTCTTTGCAAGGTTTGTGACTAGAGACGATGAAGATGACTTGCATCCAGAGTCCTGCGAATCTGGTTGGCTGGTATGGACAGAAGAAGCAAAGCATGTACAGTAGCAGAAGAAGCCTGCAAGCAGAAATTAAACCATACCTTTTCAGTTGACGAAAGATGATAAGGGGTGCATGAAACTTGTGCGAGATTGTGCAAGATTTATGAAAATCCAATCAAACGCGTGCCATCCACGTCGCGTCCGTCCGCTTCACGAGCCAGTGTTTGTCGAGAACAAAACGACAAGATATGAACATATGAACCTTATGAACAAATGAATGTTGCCGTTGAAGAGCCAACCTTTTCAGACGACATAGCAGCACTTTACGAACAAGAAGCAGAAACTCGGGCAGACAACAAGCGACGAGGAATCGTCATTCAGCACCGAAGCTGGCCTTTGGCAGACGTCTTTCGCAGCGAAGACGATCGTTCTACTTGTACGATCTAGCTGGTTATCCTTGAAGATTGATGTCTAAACAACATACAGACATACCTTCGAGCCAGATCCGGTACAGACAACATCAAGACCCTCCATCGAGTCCACCCGCTATGCCCTTCATGTCTTCGGCCGTCGCACCTCCACCAGTCACCATGTCGCAGAGTCTAGGGAAAGAGGTTACGAACAATGTCTTCATGGAAGACCCGGACAGCGATGATGAGATGCCGCTACCACAGCAACAAACAAACCCGGAACCAATCCAGACACAAGCCCCACCACTCTCAAATACGCAACAACCTCCTGCTCTCGATCCACCTACACAATCACAGACCAATCGGCAAGCGCACAGTCATAGTCAGACTCCGGACTTGGGTCTGTCACTTTTCGCCAAACAGACCATTCACAATCCTCTGATTTCATCCTCGAAAACTCCTACAACAGCAAAAGTCGCTATACACACTTCCTCAGGCAAGAACTTCTCGGTGCGAAAGAAGCAGAATGCAGAAGTTCTGTCGACAGAAAGGCTGGCTGCCTCACGATCCGAGGTCACAGAAGGAAGAGCTCAGCGAAGTTACTATGGCATCGACATCCACAACCTGGTCAAGGAGGCCAAAGCCCAGCAAGTCATCGACCAAGCGGAAGCAGAAAGAAAAGCCGCCATGCCCTCGATAGAGCCTGCTCTTGCTTCTGACGGCGTACAAAAGAGTCAACGGACATTGATGTGGACGGAAAAATACAGAGCACGCAAATTCACCGAGCTTGTGGGAGATGATCGTACGCATCGTTCTGTCATGCACTGGCTTAAACGCTGGGATGAAATCGTCTTTCCTGGTTCGAGTAGAAAACCTAAGCACCGCAAGAATGCCGACAATGCCGAACAGGAAAGACCACATCGCAAGGTCTTGCTTCTTACTGGTCCTCCTGGTCTTGGAAAAACAACCTTGGCTCATGTCTGCGCCAGACAAGCCGGTTACGAAGTCCAGGAGATCAACGCTAGTGACGAGAGAAGTAGAGATGTCGTCAAAGGTCGCATCAGAGATATGGTCGGCACTGAAAATGTCAGAGGTGTCGATCAAAAGACTGCCTCAGGCAAGATTCGCAAAGCTGGACGTCCTGTATGTGTCATCGTTGACGAGGTCGATGGTGTGGTGGGTGGTAGTGGAGGTGCCGGTGAAGGAGGGTTCATCAAGGCTCTACTCGACTTGGTTGCTCTCGATACAAGGAACTCGAACAAAACTCGCCCACAACAAACCTCTGGAAAGAGAAAAGCCGACAATTTCCGCTTGCTGCGACCACTTATCTTGATCTGTAACGATGTTTATCATCCTTCGCTCCGACCTCTTCGACAAAGCACAGCTGCTGAGGTCATTCATGTTCGCAAGCCTGCCATAAACTCTGTCGTCTCCAGGATGCAGTCCATCTTTGAGAAGGAGAACATTCCCCACGACAGCGATGGTGTGCGAAAGCTGTGCGAGGCATCTTGGGGCATGTCTAGTCGCAAAGAAGGTGGTTCAGGCAGCAGCACAGGCGAGGGCGACATTCGTGGTATCTTGGTTGTTGGCGAGTGGATTGCAGGCAGACTTCGAGCAACCCAAGACCCAGTCGCAAATTCGATGCAAAGGCTGACTCGCCGATGGATCGAGGACAACATCCTGGCAGACCTCTCTCATGGAGGAGGCTCAGCAAGAGGTGTAGGCCGTGGCGGGCCAAAAGAAGTGGTCGAGCGCGTCTTCAAAGAAGGTGCTGGATTCTCGAAACCCAGTATGCTAGCAGCCCCAACCACGACCGCCTCAATCACCGGCATGAAAGGCGTAGCAGAATCAGGGAAGCGGCAAGCCATGGACCGTCTCCGCGAAATGGTCAATACATCCGGCGATATCGACCGCATCATGACCGACTGCTTTTCTGCATACCCAGATCACCCATACCAAGACGACAACTATCTCAGTAAACCAGATGAAGCATACGAATGGCTGAACTTTCACGATCAACTCTCTTCTGCCGTCTTCAGCCACAGCGAATGGGAACTAGCCACGTATCTCGCTCAACCAATCCTTGCTTTCCACCACTTATTCGCGACACCTAATCGCCCCCAAAATGCCACTGCAAACAAATGGAACGAAGACACTACAGAAGACAATGAACCTCCTACCCCCTTTTCTGGCCCTCAAGCATCCTACCAAGCCCACGAAACGCAAAAATCCAACTTCGAGATTCTGCAAACGTTGCAGGCGTCATTGTCATTGCCGCTTCTACGCATGTTTCCCTCGCCAACAGCCATGTCGACGGAATTTGTGCCTTACCTTACCCGCATGCTGAATCCTAATATTTCGCCAGTAGTGGTGCAAAATTCTGGCATTTCTACTGCGAGCGTGAGGAAAGCGAGTGAGAAATTGCTTGTGCAGAGAGCTGTCAATGCAATGACTGCTTCAGGGATCCGGTTTGATCGTATACGGCTTGAAAGTGAGGGGGCCTCGCACTCGGGTCCACAGACTTATGTTTACCGCATGGAACCTGCCGTCGACTGTATCTCTGTCTTCGAAACACTGGATACTAAAGCAGCGGGTCTTGCTCCTGTCGACCGAACAAGATTTGCCGTGCGTCAAGTTCTGGACCAAGAATTTGGCGTTGCGGCAAAGAAATCGGCTGAAGCTGCTAGAGTTAACAGAGGGATTGGGGCAACTATTACATCGTTAGATGACGTTGTTGCTGGTGCTGCTGTTCCCTCTTTGGCGCGAGAAGATAGTAGAAAACTGAAGAGGGATTTCTTTGGGAGGGTCATTGTTGAGGAAGAAAAACGACAAGATGCAGAAGCGGAAGAGGGTGATAATGCGAATAAGAAGAAAGCGAAGATGGACGAGGGAGGTGATAAAGAAAGGGTGTGGGTTACTTTCCACGAAGGATATTCTAATGCGGTCAGAAAACCTGTGTCGCTTAGGGAGTTGTTGGGAGGTTTGTAGGTGGTATTTTGTAGTAGCTGTAACTTGAGTTATGGATCTGATCCTCATGGTTACCTCCTGTCTGATGTTTCTATACCAAGACTTGAAGTCTCAATGACGTACGCCACTGCTGCCTAGAAGTATCTAAGATTGTTCATCCCATATCCATCGCGCCTTTTCTCATCCCTATCTCGAAACTCACTGCACGTCATGGTAGAAGAATAACATCACCCAACAGCACTCATGGCTAAGTCGTCTCTACCCATCTCCACCCAGTAAAATTCGCCCCTACACCTTCTTCCAGAGCCAACACTAGATCACCAATCTCCTCAAGCTACCATCATCCAAACATTTCCAAGATCTTGTAAACCTCGAGAAGCAGCAGATCGGCCTAGCTAATACCATACTGTCGACGCCCAATATCAAAAACTCCTTACCTCAACATGTGGGTATGTTTTTTTTTTTCCCCCAAGCTGTGGAGGATTTTTGAGAGTATAGAGATTATTGCGTTACCAAGTATCAAGGTTAATGTAGGTTTACCGTATTTGACTTTGTTTAAAACTCACTGCAACGTGCAGTGACGGAAATGAAGAAAAGTTCTTGGGTGAGGATGTGAGTGATGGTCAAGTAAACCACAAGCAAATCTCACTGACGTAGCAATAGTGAGCTTGGAGCAAGACGGATGAACAGTCAAAGGGGACGGCAGATGAGTTGCACCAGAAAAGACAAAGAAGAACGCGAGGAACTGATGAAACTACCACCTCAGCATAGAGCTGATCATTATCCTCCGCTTCTTGTTCACCTAGACCTGACAAATAAACAACATGACTGATCTCTCGAAGTGAAGCCCACTACTGCCTAACCACCTCAGGCACCCACCACCCACCTCTGCTGCCTAAAATGACTCACTCCCCTCCCCATAAGATCCCTCTTCCCTCCCTTTCCAAACCTCTTCTTTTCTTCTCCATCCCAGTGCAAGGGCAATATCCGTGTCGGTGAAGAGATTCTCTGAGGCCGGATTTTTGCTAGTTGAAAACTATTACTTTTGACTGCTCCTTTTCTTAAAAGTCCTGTTTCCGCAGGTTGGAAAGGGAATCTTTGGAACACAATGTCTATGATGGTGTAGGCTTTTCGTTGATCTGCTTGGCTGAAAGGGCTGAGGGTTGAAGAAGAGTTTTGCGGAAGTGAGGAGTGTCGGTATCGGGTGGTTGTGTTGTGGGAAAGGATCAGATCAGCGTCTTGAATACTAGACTGTCGCTGTGTTGGAGATGATAGAACTGTGGATGGCCATGTAACTCGCGCATGCCTGAAATCATAGAGGGAAAAAGCTGTGAAGCAAAGCGTGGTGGTTGACGTATGAAAGAGCATCCCACGCATGTGAGCAACTGCCTTGGAAGCACCTACCCTGAATTTTGAGCATTTACTCAAGCCCGATGAAGCGTCAGCCATGCACTGTGCTGTTATCTCGATAGATCATGAATATCAGCCTTGCGCGGTTATTGTCCGCATACAAGAGCAGATGAGCACGCGACTGAACGCTGCTTGACATGGACGCCAGCAGGATAAGCTATTCACCAAGGTAGTACCTTGATGAGATGGCGTTGAGGCCCTAGTCATTGCAGCCTGAGGCTGAATGTTGTTCACAGTAGCTGATAGGTCCCAACGGCTCCCAACTTATGTTACAAGAGATTTCTTGGTATGTTTGTTTTGTTGAAGGAGGTCGAGGTGTCAAGCAGGGTCTCGGAAGTCGGGCGGAGGCAACGGTGCGTACGTCGATGATGGTCCTTGCACAGCGCGCGTGGTGATGGAGAGTGGAGCAGGTCGCGTCTCCTCCAATGGCTGGACTATCGCGACAATGTTGAATTGATCTTTTTGTTTCCCAGCTCTCGACAACCAGACTATTCTTCCACCAAGCCATGGAGACGCTAACAGCACCACCCAGGTCAGATCTGAGTATACCAGTGCCTGGAGCTGGTAAACATTTCGAAATGCATCCATCAGGCCCATCCGTAAACCCCGCGACGCGCATGCCACCGCCTCCATCCAACAACCAGGACAGTCAGGACCGGTCGCATATTCGAGAACAAGACCGGCAATCTACTCAGAGCGAAGACAGTAATTCGACTTCCAAGCTGGCCACTGTCGAGCGCTCTCACACGATTTTACCGACTGTTCCATACGAACATGACCAGAATGACGCGTCGCAATCGAGTAGTCGAGTCCGCACTCCAGAAGATGCGTCACAGTCCCAGACAGACTCAATATACAGCCCGACAAGACACAAGAGGACTGCCAGCGGCCTTTTCAAGGCTGTCGACACTCCAAATGAACAGAGACCACGCGCCGAGAGTGTGAGCTCGGCTGGCAGCAAGGCCGGCGAGGTGAGTCAATGTCGCGTCTCGCAGGCAACGTCTCCTAACTCGTCTTCCCAGGTTGCTGCTCAGCTTAAAACTCGACTCGCATACGCAATGGTCAAGGTCCAACACGGTTGGGAACATCGCAACATCAACGAGGTTGAGCGATTGGCTGCCGCCATGCACCCACGTATGGCTGCGTCACCAACAGCGTCCACTGCACCCATTGACATCCGGTCACCACCTTCGAAACGACGTTCCGGAGCGGGCGTGGTGACTTGGTCATTGCCAGACTCGAGTCCAGCCATGAACGGCCACTCACAGAACGCCCATATGTTCAGACGTCCTTCGGTATCTTCTCCTCCTGCACAAGTCCTCCAAGTGCCCTCAACACCTAAATCTCGTCCGCCGCCTGTACGCTCGACCATGCCAACTCAACAAGCCGAACAAGACGCCATGGATGCTTTGATGTTGATGGGTGGAAGTCCAGGTAATGGTGGCAAGTTCCCTGCTTCGCAGTCTTCTTCATCACAACAGACGTTACATTCTCAGTCCCAGCAGAACTGGCAATGTCAAGGCTCAGTGACGGCGCCGAGTCGTCATTATCCAGACTCTCCAACTGCAGCAGACAAATCACCCATGCGGCCCATAATCTTGAGCCGTAACAACAGCAGTACCTCAGAAGTCAGCATTGCTAATAGCGAAGTTCGTGAAGCAAGAGAGAGGGTGTTGGAGGAGGTTGAAGAAGCAGCATGAAAGCGGGTGTAATGTTTGGTAGAGGTTTGTTCTCTTTCTGGATCTGTATGGGTATTGAGGGCAAACAAGATACCCTTCTTTCTCTGGAGTTGAGGAGTCATTTCGAGCGACTTTCAAACCAGCATATAAGAGGCGTTTACTGTTTGTAACTGTAACATGGATGTATTGAACACTGGATTCACATGCTGTTCAGATGGTTTTTGACAGAGTGAGCATGGTCGTGAGAGCAAAGCAATCTTAGTGCACGACCAAGTAGAAAAGCGGGCAGACACGACAGGGGGCTAAGCGGAGGCAAGTACGATCCATCTTCAGCAAGATGGCTCCTGCCTAATCTCTCAAGCTTGTGGCTTCTAAAGCTCACAACACGGAGCCACGAAGGCGTCAGGTCCTGCCTCTTCTTCAGACATTTCGTCGCGCAGTCCTTCCTTCCCAACACCCCGAAAACACAACTTCTGCGCACCTCTCTGCGCACTCCTCTCGTTCGTCGTTCACTACAAGGTCCGCTAATCTTCTTCCTCACTGCGCCCCATTGCAGGCGCCCACCTCGACCACTTGTTTTGGTCATTTCGCGCACGCTTTCAAGCCGGTCCCACTTCCAATGGCTACCATCCCACCTGCGGCAGGCGCAACTGCACCTGCACCCGCCACTGCCCCCACTGTCACCGAGAGTGGCTCCCCTGTCAAGCAAAACAAGACTCGCACAAAGCAGATACGTCCGGGATTTGTGAGAAGGTCCAAGCAATGCTGCTTCAACGAACCAGGTGGCCCATGGCCCCAGTACGTCACGAGCCTCACCATCTACACCTTGATTATCTTTACTGACTTCTGTTCAGCAACGTCATGCTCCAGGCTGCCACCTGCGCCGACATGAAGGAGAGAATGATGACCCTCATCGTCGGCCAAGAGGAAGCTCACTTCACATGGTTCCATGAAGTCCTCTCGTTCCACTCATCCTTCTTTGCTGGCGCCATCAAATACTCTTGGTCCACCGAGTCGAAGGAAAAGATTGTACGCATGCCCGAGGACTCGCCTGACGTTGTTCGCGAGTAAGTGTCATGTAATCAGATCACGACCGCTGCGGCTAATTTTCTATAGATTCATCCGCTGGATCACTGACCACAAAGTCGGCGGCCATGGCGCTGGTTCCAACAATCCCTCCCTGTCGCCTTGGGACTACTGGGATCTGATGGTTGAGCTCTATATCTTCGGCAACAAATACAACATCCCTCGCCTGCAGAATGTTGCCATCAACGAGATCATTGATCTCTTTCGCGAACAGTTCGCCTTCCCTCGCGCTTCTACTATCTACAAGATTTACGAACGTACTCCGCTCGGCGTATCTCTTCGCAGACTTGTCACAGATATCGTCGTCCTCTCCCACGAGAATGTTGAAGCCCTTATCGATGGCCAGTCTCGCTTTGGTGAAGGTTTGCACTTTGAGTTCATCAACGACTTGATCAAGCGTCTGTACAGAGCCGCCACGCACCCTGATGGCTTCGAATCCCAGCGAAGACTCCGCAAGAATTGGGGACTCGTCAGCCGCTGTCTCTACCACGTCTCTGAAGTCGATGCCCGCTCGAACGGAAAGGAGGTTGGTGTGCATCCCTCCAGTCTCAAACCCTTGAGTGGCCGCTAATTAGTCATCAGATCATTGAACGTTCTCGCGCCGAAAGTCTGCCTTAAGCAAAAAAGACAAACCAGAGGCTCATAATGTTGTTATGAGCTATGTGTGAAACCAAGAATCATCGCCGTATTGGCAGAGCTGTCATGCTCTGCAAGTCATGTACTCTCAAGAAGGCTGAAGGCGTATGGCTGTGGAGTATAAGTAAAGAGGAGGAAGCTGTCGAAGCTGGAAGAACATTGCTAAGGCTTATTAAGCTGGCTCACATGAGTTGCTCGCAGATACCTTGTCAAGCTATGACTATAACAAAGTGGAATGCTCAAAGACGAATTGTGTCAACCCTAGCTGGTAACAGAAATCAAGAAACATTGTTGGCTGAATCCAGTTTGGAGTTTGTGCCAGTGAAACTATGCTACTGTAGTCGTACAAGCAATGTAAGTCTTGCCATCTTTCGCCTCTCTGTGATACTGCTACTGCTGCTACGTTCAATGATGGGAGTCGAGCCTTTGAACAAGACTGGCTCCTGGCATGTGATCCTTTGGATGCCCTTAATGCTATCAAGAAGAACGGCCGTTGGTGTGACATTGTAAGATCAAGATTTTGTCGATGTGATCATGAAATGTCAATTCCAAAACGAGGCAAAGATAGCAGCATAAAGTTTTTTGAAAGCAGCCGATCATGATCCGAACCAATCCCTACGAGAAAGCACAACCAGGCACAAGTCAACTGTCACATGCCATCTGACACGAAGCCACGGCCTACTGGATCGGTCCTCCCACAGGTGTTCCGATTCTTGCACTTGTTCGCCACAGTTCTACGGCCTGTTTTTCTGACCGGCCGCATCTCGAGCCCTTTATAACCCCACCTTATTCAACTTTGCTTTCTCCATCATCAGCCATCTCTCTGATACATTCTTACTCTACTATATACGGTCTGGAAGCTATCTCTACCCTTAGTCGCTGCCTCAAGCACCGAAAATCACATCCAAGCATTCATATATACACGCCAGACATCCCTCCTCAACTGGCGCAGCCTGCGCGCTCGAAACATCCGCTGCCTCAGCTTCATGATGTCAACAATGCATCTCTCAGGACCTGGATCGGGACAGGAGATCAATACAACAGCTCATCACGATCGATTATCCTTGTCTTGGTCGCTTCATATATACATATCTCTATGGGGTAAACTCAACAAGGTCAGAATCTTCGAGAATACCGACAAGTACGATCCGTCCGTCATGATAAGTCTCATGGCAATGCAATTGTAGGAGCATCGCTCTTGGTCTTCCGGCCCCAAGGGGTTCTCTTGCACATCTGGCAGCCCTTAGAGCCGGAAAACACCTTCTCGAAGAACGAAGACGTCTACGCGGCAGTTGAGTGGTAGCGAAAAGATTCTGTGTCAAGAAACTTGCAAATGCGCTGAGCTCACGACTTCCCTCAGCTTCGATATATCAGGGTGAACATGGAACAGAGGCAGCCTGACACCATCCATGCCCAGTCCCGCCTCGGTGCTGGGTGAATCTATATAAAAGTCCATGATGAGTCGGGATCAACAGTTGATACCATTGGCAACTGGCTGAGCTGTATTGGATATTTCAAAAGTTGTATGCCCCAATCCTTCATCGTCTCAATCTTTGGGCAACAACACCCCATCATCCAATTCAGCTGGCGGCAGACCATCCGTAGCCAGCTCCAAGGGTGTTGTGATTCACCATCACGGCTCTGGCGTCAGATATGGACCTCCAGAGCCTTCCTCTCGAGATATCGCCGAAATCATCTATTTCGCCCAAGAAAGGAACATTCACTCGAAGGACATACAGAAATGAACTCCCTCAGGCGAAGATTTGTTCTGCCGGCTTCCCCTCCAGAATACGATACCCAGTCTGTGATGTGTTGATACATCGTATCTCTTATCAATCTGGATTTCTTCACACCACCAAATACTTGAATGAATCTTTTCTAGCAACATTTTCAGCCCGGATAGCAACAAGCCTGCTGCCTCAGAGCAACGAAATAAAGGCAAACGCAAAAGTTCCGAACTTACGGCGAGTATCAACCTCATTCTGGTTACTTGCAAGGTGTCCATCTGCAGTCTCGGCTTCAATCTGCCAAACGGGATATCTATATATACGCTAGATGTCGATGGACCAAATTTTTGGCCTCGATATCTATATTGCCATCTTCTCCAATCTGAGGCACTCATATACATCAGAGCATTGCAATGCGATCGTCCGCGAAGGAAGAAGCAGCGCAACCAAAGCTGTCTCGGTCCCTGGCCCACACTGGATGTCAAATCATTCGGATCAGACCATTTGCAACAACAAAGACTTACCTATATATGCCAATCACGATGACGGAAGATATTTCGGATCTTACGCCGGCACATCAAATCGGACTTCAGCAATCGCAAGACATCTTGAATTATATATTCACGGCATCAGGAATTTCTCGGCCCTCCAGTTCGCCGACTTCTGCAACGTTATGTTCTGAGGTTTAGGTTCTGTTCTTCCTCTAGAAGGAGAAGAAGGAGCGAGCACAAGGGAGACAGCTTGTCGAAAAGAACATAGCTACTGCCATCTCGTGATTATATAAACTAGCTGCGTGTTGGTAGCAGATGGTCTCGAGCTGAGAAGTGGTTATCAATTGATTCCAAGTCTCTTGAAACCGTACGACCGTACTTGCCGCAATTCATATATATACATCCACAAACAGCAGGCGACATGGAGGGGAGAAAAATCGCTCTCCTCCACCGTATCATGGGTCTCAAAATCCAGACTGGCGACGATCGCTACAACACATTGGATGTGTTTGGTCACTGACTGCAAGGCAAGTCCTTTGGACTGTACCCGAGCCACAGACTCAAGGCTTGTTCGGCCCTGGGTCTCGTGGAGAAGCGTGTCGAGATGAATCCTCCCTTACTCTTGAACCTAGAGATGAACATGCTGCGTGGTTGGCACGATCAGAACCGTCCTTTCCAACCATCATCAGGGCTCTACAAAGACGATGACGCGGGGTGTTAGCCAGGATCCACTATGTCAATCGCCTCTGTCACCACTGCAACAGCCCATGTCACGGATAGCTGCCATGAGGCTTCCACTCATGCGAGGTAGTCCATGATCACGCTAGACTACATACTGTGTCTACGCAACCACAATCCCATCCAAAACTCGGATATCGCAGAATCCGTCAGAGATGACTCTTCTCATACGGACAATGTCAACGATACCTCTTGCTATATCCTCAGCTTGAATGATATGCTGTCAACATTCATGGCGGGGCTTCACTTTAATCACACCGCCCGGCAGAAACGCCGGCCAAATCTTCATGTAACCACACAAAATGCATGCTTTTCACGAAGGCGAGATGGCCGAGCGGTCTAAGGCGCCAGCTTAAGGTTCTTCCAATACGCTGGTCCGAAAGGGCGTGGGTTCAAATCCCACTCTCGTCAACATTGCTTTTGACTTTTGCTCACTGAGGATAGCAGAAACGAGAAGATAATGGAATGGTGCAAAAATGAAGATTTTTTGGGAGCTGGACATTTCATTTGCAAGTTTGTTTTTTGTGCGTGGAATTGGGATTTGTGAAAGCCGGGCGAGATTTTGTGCACGGGCTGTGCAAGTTGTGAAACCTGAATCGAGCAAGCATGTTTCTGCAACATAATCTCAAGTGTGCTTTCCAAGATGATGTGAACTGAGATGAGGTTTGATGTTCCTCTAAAGTACCAATGTAAGGCAGCCAATGTTGTCAAATCCTTTGAAGACGGGTCCATAAGAAAGGTTGCAATCACATACAAACATCCAGTTTGCACATAGCATTAGAAAAGTCCTTGACATATAACTCATAAACACATAAGATCTTTCTTTCTGGATCTTCTCTCTCTTTCATCCTTCAAAAAAAATCATCCCTCTCTTCCGCAAGTATCTCAAACAAGATACCTATACTCCGGATTCAAGTCTCCCAACTCCGTCTTTTCGTATTCCGTCAAGCCTACATCCGTCGCAGTCTTTTCCCTCTGTCTGTTTTGCGCAATACAAGCAATGTAATAAGCGATACAGCTGACCACACTCAAACAAGTAAATGCAATGCAAATACTGTAGCCTTTAGTGTAGAGCGGGGCGTCTTGCTTGAGGAAGCAGTATACAGCGATAATGCCCCCGATGTTGCCAAAGGCGACTTGCCAGGCTGAACCGACGCTGCGGCGGTGGTGGCCGCCGAGATTCATGTTGAACCAACAAACAATAATCGGCATGGCGGAGTAACAGCCCATGGCTACGAGGAAAAGCGCTGCGTATTCGAGGGGACGGTTGTGGTGCACAGAGAGCAAGATTGCGAAACCGGCGATTGCTATGCAGACGGCGAAGACGGCGTAGGCGAATCGATGGCGTGTTTTGTCGGAAATGTAGGCGAGGATCATGGCGAAGCCGAAGGCAGCAGCCCATGGAGGTACACTGTGGAGTTGACTTTGGATCTTGCTGTAGCCGTAGCCGTTGATGATGCTAGGCGAGAAATAGGCATAGCTACAAAGGAAATCAGTCAGCCGGTCATGTTTTTGAAAGGAAAGGGTAGTCCGTGGCGTACGAGTAGGCAGGCACGATCAAGCCAAAGTACATGAAGCCACCGAGGAAGATCTTGTAGTCCTTGAATACGTTTGCAACATCCTTAGCGCTCGTCTTGCGTTCTACTGCTGAGGCACCTTGTTCAGCGCGAAGACGATTGACAACGAATGCTCTCTCGTCCTCTGAGAGCCATTTGCTGTCCTCGGGAAAATCGGGAAGAACGAAGAAGAATGCGGCGCTGACGACACAAGTAAGAATTCCTTCGAGGATGAAGATCTGCAAATCAAGTCAATGACCGTCTGAGTCTTGATGTACCAGTCGACATACCCATCTCCAGCCTTCGTAACCAGCGATACCATCCATCTTGCTGATGGCTGCGGCGAGCAGACCAGCAAAAGCACCGGCAAGTGTTGTGCTCGAGAAGAAGAAACTGTATCTCCTTTGTGCCTCTGTTCTCAAGTACCACGAAGAAAGCAGATAGAAGCATCCTGGGAACATTCCTGACTCAAAAAGACCTGCGAACAGTGAGCTAATGGTCAACAGGTTCGCGAGAGGAGCCGAGCATACCTAGGAAGAAGCGAGTTGCCAACAAGCCAGAGTAGTTCTGGACAACTCCTTGCAGCGTTGTGGTAAGACCGAAGAGGAACATGCATCCTGACAACCACACATGCGGCTTGAATTTCTTGAGCAGAATATTGCTAGGAATCTCGAAGATGATATATGGCACGAAGAAGATGACGAGAGAGTTATTGTACTCATGATTCTCCAGCTTGAGATCGTCAGACAGACCCGCGACATTTGCGTTTGCTATGTTGACTCTGCAAAAGCATGTGGTCAGGTTGTGTTCTTTTGCTTTTTCTCGGACTTCGTCGCGCGACTCACCTGTCGAGGAAGGCAAGCAGGTAGAGGATACACAAAAATGGAACGACGTGAAAATCAATCTTGTTGACTAGCTTGCGCTCGGTAGTATGCGGTGGACAGACAAGAGTCTCATCGTATGGTGTTCCAGTTTCGACGCGGTCAAATGATGTTGGTGACCCTGCATCAAGGTCCTCTGATTTCCTCGAGTCAGCCATCTGGATGCTGCAATGTCCAAAGGTTCGTCTTACTTTCGCGAAACACCATGCTGGGCAGTTCAACTTATATTCTCAACTTTCTGCAGGCTAGAGTAGGTCCGAATGATCGTCTTGACCGTTAATGAATGAGGCAACTGCAGCACAGTGATAGCGATTCAGACTTGCGCGAAACAAAAAAAAAGATAGAAGGTGAGAAGAAGATCAACAAAGAAAGTGGAAAGATGACTGTACTTGACCATCTCACTCCCGACACCGCCGCAGGGAGATCATCCTATTCTACCATGCGAACTAATCGTTTCTGACCTCGCAAAACGACACATGTGAGCGATCAACTCGCATCGCTATTCGTTCCAATCTACCAGTTCCCCGCAAAGAGATCTGCAGGTGTGTATGGGGCTGCTCTTGGCGATATGACGACGGAATCCTTCCGAAAAGGTACAACGCATCAGATCTTTCACTGGCTTTGGCGACGCGCTTGAGCAGATCGACGTGATAATATCCCTGTCTTGTCCGTTGTTGAAAAGTCATTTTAGTCAGGTAGATATCGTTCAACACGAGGCAGCAGTCGTGTTTGGTTGTTGTCGATTTTCCGAAGGATTGAAAGTGGCTTGAAGAGCGGCGTTGTTGTCCGACCTGAATGTAGGTAGTGCCGATCTCGGAAGCTCATTCATCCAGCAACACCTTCCTCTTTTTACCTCGGAATCCTGCCTCCCTTGGTTGGTACAAGTAACGTTTTTACCCAGCCCCTCGGTCAGCTGGTGAATTTATGCGAGTCTTTGGGAACTATGGCGGCCATGTTCCGCAGGGCCTAATGATATCAAAAAACCAGGCATCTCTTTCGTGCTTGTATACCATGCTCAAGGATGTTAATCAATTGGTTCCGAAGTCGGCACTGCAACAGCGGGCACACCCTGATGGTGAGATTGCTCTGAGGGAGGCGAACAGGCAGATGAGTCACCTGTGATATGACTGTCCAGCTTCGAGGTCAATCACAATCAGTCACAGTGGTAGGCTGCTACATGATGCTGGAAGTCGGGTCCGGAATTGTACTGCGGGTATCATTGCCCAAGGAGACGAGAAATAGCAGCTTGAGAAATGGTTTGATACATGATCCCGATGAACGGCGATGTTGAACAAAGACGAGGAGCGGCTTCATAGACACCTTTATAGCACCTTCCATGACCGTGTCCGCTCTTACCTGAGGTCATTTGAAGCAATTCTGTTGGCGCATGATCTTGCTGACCAGCACACGGGTCGATCTCCCCACACGTGTTGCAAATCGTCTTGGAGGATCTCTTCTGCTGTAGGTACGAGATGCAAGACTATAGCTGATATGTAAACCTGTGGATCGATTGTAAGTTATTTTGTATAGCAGATGATGCGTTGACCAAAATATACACGGCTTATATAGACTGAATGCAAGCATGATGTGACTGCAGTCGAGTGACAAACATGATGTGCGTGACTGAGAGAAGGATACAACTGGATCAATGAGCAAGGCCACTTTTGACAACCTTGCCGGGCAGAATATCCTGAAGAAGTTCACACATGCGATACTCGTGTTGAACATGGATAAGGGATTCCATGGCGAAAGCGATGAGAGCCGTTTCAGAATGCAGGTACGCGCGAGTCTCGGTTTCGCGGCTTTCGTCCTTGCGCGGCGGAAGTTGCCAGCAGTCAAAAGGTACGACCTGCCAATCATAGGACACGCGTTGCAGCTTTACCGATGTCTCCATCAAAGTCTTTGTCAACAATAAAAAATTCGAATGGCAAACGCCGCTCATCATAGACATTTTCCTACATGTACCTCTGAGAATTAAGTCGAAACAACCAGCAACTGCTATGATTCCGGGCCTTGGCGTATATGCGACAGTAGGGCATTCTCGCGATGGGCATACCGGAATCCCGATATCCAGAGATAAGACCCCGAAGGTGGGTCTGGATGTTGCCGTCGGGAGTGCCTTATCGAATCAGGACGAAGACTTTGACAACTTTCTGTCAGCGACAGTGAACTCCGAGGTCCATGCGCTATCAGATCGTGGCCGTCCCATATATTATTGACAAGTCGCCGGGAAAGCTGCAGCTCCCTCCACTTTCCGCCATCTCTCTTCCTTTCTTTGTGATACCCTCAAGTGTGTTTGTCCTTTTCTTCTCTCCATCTTAATATCACTCGCACATACACAATGGCTTCCGCTGCCAGATCTTTCACCCGTGCTCTCCGCTCGCCCGCCACATCTTCCCTGAAGAGAAGCGCCACCTTTGTTCCTCGCACCACCTTCGCTCAGTCAAGCCGCCGTGGTTACGCTGATGCCGCTGGTGCTAAGAAGGGTGGCAATGGCGCCCTGATCGGTGGTCTCGTTGCTGCTCTTGCTGGTGGTGCTGGTTACTTCTACATGGGCGGTGCTGAGCAGGCTAAGGCTGCTGGTGTCTTCACTCCCAAGCAGGAGGATTACCAGAAGGTCTACAACAAGATTGCTCAGCTCCTCGTTGAGCACGACGACTACGATGACGGTTCTTACGGACCTGTCCTCGTCCGTCTCGCATGGCACGCCAGTGGCACCTACGACGCTGAGACCAAGACTGGTGGCAGCAACGGTGCTACCATGAGATTCCCCCCTGAGGGTGACCACGGTGCCAATGCCGGTCTTCACGCCGCCCGTGACTTCCTCGAGCCCGTCAAGAAGGAGTTCCCCTGGATTTCCTACTCTGACCTCTGGACTCTTGCTGGTGTCGCTGCCATCCAGGAGATGCAGGGCCCCAAGATTCCCTGGAGACCCGGCCGCAGCGACCGTGACGTCTCTTACTGCACTCCCGATGGCCGTCTTCCTGACGGTTCCAAGGAGCAGAAGCACCTCCGCGCCATCTTCAACCGCATGGGCTTCAACGACCAGGAGATTGTCGCTCTCTCCGGTGCCCACGCCCTCGGCCGCTGCCACACCGACCGTTCTGGTTTCTCCGGTCCCTGGACCTTCTCCCCCACTACCCTCACCAACGACTACTACAAGCTCTTGATGGAGGAGAAGTGGGCCTACAAGAAGTGGGACGGCCCCAAGCAGTTTGAGGATGTCTCCACCAAGTCCCTCATGATGCTTCCCACCGACATGGCCCTGATCAAGGACAAGAGCTTCAAGACCTATGTCGAGAAGTACGCCAAGGACAACGAAGCCTTCTTCCAGGACTTCTCCAACGTCGTCATGAAGCTTTTCGAGCTCGGTGTTCCCTTCCAGACCGAGGAGCGCATGACCTTCAAGGCTTCCGAGTAAACGATTTCTCTCGATACCCAATATACAAACCACACATACAAAAGAATAAAAGGAGGCAACTAGAAACAATACATGGCCCTGGCCAGAAATACACTGTAGACGCTTGTTCATGGTCCGAAGCGCATCTGCACGATTAGAGATATTTAGACCTCGCGCTGGATCAGCATCCCCTTTCTTCGATGATACCTCGACTTTTTCTCAGTTTTGTCAGTTGTTCATTTAGCGCTTCTTTTTCTTGTATCAATGCAAAAGAGAATACAAACAAGACTTTCATGAACCTCACTTTTCTCCTTCAATACTTCCAAGACTTGACGTCCAGTTTACCTTCTGAAGTGCCTAGCCCGATGGCTAAGGGCTATCCAATAACCTTAACTGTCTTCGGTCTTGTTCCGCGTGGAAAGGATCTTGGGTTGCATATGAGGCGCCGTGACCCCGCACCTGTGGTTGATGACTGGGAGACACCTCTCACGATCATGCGTGATGGTTCCCTCCAAAACACTGTGTTTCATGTAACTGATCACCGAAGCGGAATCGATCCGCTCTCCAAATCAGTTATGGTTCTTGACTGAGTCTTGGATACCAACATGGCTGGCAAGAATTCTGCTGTGGTGACCCTGGCACTGAGGCATATCACCTCTTCTTTTGTCTCCAGAGCATCTATCCAGGCCAATTATGGAAGGAAAGTTTTGTGTGTGACGCAGGTGTTGGACTGAGAGTGTTGAGTGAGGTAATTTACTCTGGTGTCGTCAAGTCGATGTGTTTTAGTCTAGATCAAGATCCTCCCCAAGCTCGTTATCTAGATCTGGTCAAGTTGGTCAACTCCATGATTCGAAATCGCGACAAGATCGCTGATAGATCTTGAACCGAGTTCAGTGGTCGCAATGTGTATCTGAGACCATACTGCATTCTACACAATCAGAATAAACTCGGATGTAAAGTGGCATCCGCATCGCGAGGCTTATCTCATGCACATGTGACTAGACCTCTTGAGTCACATTTCGAGCCTCCAACACTTCATCAAGACAGTACCAAACCACCACCAATTGTATCCATATGGACATATCACAATCTTGAATCTATCTATTCATCATCACCTTCCCAATTCTCAAACATCACCATTGAGGCTTTGTAACCAACCACTCAAACCGATCACCCCCACTTCCACCACCATGTCAAACCTCCAACCCACAATCTCACTCGCAGCCCACGAGCACCTCCCCGCAATAACCGAGCTTATAACTCAAGCCTATAAACCCTATACCCACCGTCTCAATGGCAAAAAGCCAGCTCCCATGACTGCAGACTACTCTGCTTTGATCGATTCATCTTGTCTTTATATTCTCTCTGCCTCTGCTCCCTCCTCAACCTCCGCCTCTATTTCCACCACATCCTCAACCCCTCCAACAGTGCTGGGTTGTATATCACTTGAAGTGGATGCGAAGAGCGAGGCATTAGAAATCAACAATCTGGCAATCTCCCCCTCCTCCCAAGGAAAAGGCTATGGAAAACTGCTCATGAAGTTTGCAGAAGACGTTGCTGCAGATAAAGGGCTGAAAAAGCTGGAATTGTATACTAATGTCAAGATGGTGGAGAATTTGGCATTGTATAAAAAGTTGGGGTATCGAGAGGTGGGAAGGTGGGAGCAGGATGGATTTGAGAGGGTGTTTTTTCTTAAGGAGGTGTAGAGATTTGCGAGGATGGAGGGTGAGATGGAGGAGGGAGGTTGGTAGGGTTGAGGGATAGCTTCATTGGACTTGGAGAGGCATGTGCAAGCGGATATGATGTAAACGTATGAAATTGCATGGTCATGACATCGCTATATCGCTACTAAATCGCTACTCAAAATCACAATAAACAAAAAAGAAAATAAAATGCTTTTCGTCGTAAATCTCATGCTCATGACATCCAATGCCAGAATTTGCCCCAAGCAGTCGTGGGCACAGCCTCCTCAAAGACTTGCTCATCGATCTCCTTTCTACCAGAGTCAATATCCGCCTCAGCGGGTCTGACAAATCTCGGCCTGACGATAGCCTTGTGGCCAATGTAAAGCACAACAAACAGAATCAAACTGATGTATGCGATGAAGAAGTTTGATGTATCCCAAGGAATGAAAGCGGTAAATCCTTGAGTGAAGATGATCAAGATCCAGAAGAACAGTCCGTAGTAGGTGAACCACGGTTGAAGCATGGCCTTGTATGGCAAAGTATCTCTCGAGATACCACGTGCAGCCAAAATCTTCATGAAAGCCAAGTGAGAAGCCAGGATACACGCCCAAGCGATGAATCCAGCCACACCAGAGATTTGGATGAGCCAGTTGAAGGCGACACTGCCTCCAGATGAGACATTCATGAAACCGAGAAGACCGAAGAGAGAAGTAAATCCGACAGCATACACAGGGACTTCGCCCTTGGTCTTCATAAACCACTTAGGAGCAAAGCCTTCGCCAGCAAGTCCAACAAGGATTCTAGATGCCGAGTAGACGTTGGAGTTGGCAGCACTCAACACAGTGCAGAGCAATACAGCGTTGATAATCCCAGGAAGTGTTTTCACACCTGCTAGCTTGGCAGCAATGACCAAAGGCGAAGCAGTGGCATCGCTACCACCAGCGCGCAATTGTTCGTTGTCGTAAGGGACCAGAAGACCAATGAAGAAAATGGTGAACACGAAGAAGAAAATGATGCGGAAGAAGGTCTTGCGAATAGCCGAAGGAATGGTCTTGCGAGGGTTGTATGTCTCGCCTGCAGCGACTGCGACCAGCTCGGTACCAGAGTACGAGAAACCAGCTTGAATCAAAACCGACCAGAAGCCGACGAACTTGGCCAGAGCGGTACTTCTGCCGCCGTCAACGAGGTATGGCGCAAAAGCACCCGGGTTTCCCCACGTGTGGAAGCCAAGATATCCATGCTGACCAGCTCCGGCATCGATACAGATGGCGAAAATCATGAAACCGAGGACGGTAATCACTTTGATCAGTGCGAAATAGAACTCGATTTCGCCGTAAAACTTGACCGGCATGAAGTTGACGGCGGTGATAACAACCCAGAAAGAGCCGATGAAGATGGCTTGACTCAAGTCGGGTCGCCAGTATTGGATAATGATACCACTCGCTGTGAGCTCGAGTGCGTAACACGAAGCCCAAGCCCACCAATAGATCCATCCCATTGAGAAACCGAGTGAAGGGTCGACGAAACGGCTGGCGTAGGCGGTGAAAGCTCCAGTGACAGGGAGGAACGCGCACATCTCTCCCAATGATACCATGACACTGTAGACTAGGGTGCCTACGAATGCATAGGCAATGAGAGCTCCGGCGGGACCTGCGTTGGCGAGAGCTGTTCCTGATCCGATGAACAATCCAGTACCGATAGTGCCACCTAGTTGGTCGTGGTCAGTGGAAGGTGGGGAGATATCAAAGTCAGGTAGAGGTACCAATGGCAATCATCTGCAAATGTCTAGACTTGAGCTGTCTAGAAAGCTGGTGAGTGGTTCCTCGCTCGACAGCATGGTCCAATGAGCCTGAACTCGAGTCCCAGGCATGCTTCTCGTTGACATCAAACTCCTTTGCTGGTTGTGTACCAGCAAGACCAGCGTTGTGTATACTGTTGTCCACCATGGCTGTGGTCGGCAATTGACTTCCTCAAATCGAAATGGTAGGTATGGGACGAAACAGTCACAGAGAAGGCAAGTGAAAAGCGACGAAATCATCGTGCAAGCTCGCTGACTTGGCCCAGTTCGGCCCGTAAAATTTGCCAGTGATGCTGTCAAAAATTTCGAGTACGTAAAATTTAACGTTGGGACCCAGAATTTTCAGTCATAGCATCGAGCTCGGTCTCTGCCAAGCGACGATCCAAAATGGCTGGACCAGCACGCGATTTTTGAATGAAGGCATCAGAAAAGAAAGCAGATGAGATGGAGGAGGAGCTTGGATGTGAAATGAGAGAAAGGACAAGGTCGACTGATTGCGACGTCGGAGAGAAGTTGAATCTCTAGTCAGAGCGAGCGACTTTTTTCTTACCTACATTGTGCGAGACATGAGAGATCAAGCATCTGCAGCAGTCTTTGTAAGGTACAGTCAAACGGAAGACGGCAACATGTCGCCAGCTCCTGCGGCGATGGCTCTCGTCGAGCACGAACAAATATTCAGTGGATATACGAATGTCTTGGTTGGATGACGAGGGTGGTTGCTGGCAGGGAGGAAGGAGCGCTCAAGAAGGCCCGCGCGCTTGCCCTCATCTCTTGGCATTTCGTCTCACGAGTCATGAACCATCACTCCGTCATCGTCAAGCAACAACGTCAAGGAGAATAGATTCATGCCTGCCATCTATCAAGCGATCTACAAACACATGCCACACTGATTTTGATCTTCCCTTCCGGAAAGCCACCTATGAATGCGAATTAAGTCTTCTTCACCTTCTTTCCAACAACCTTGTTCTTCTCCTTCTCAGCCATCTCCAAGAGCTTTGCATCCCTCCAAGCCTCGACCTGATCGACGGCCTCTCTGGGCTTTTTCCTGTACAGCAGTAGATATCCCTGCACATCAGAAGGAGCAAACTTTCCCTCTGGCAGCTTCTCAGCAAATCTCGTACTCAAAGCCTTCAGCTCATCCTGTGTAAGTAGTGCCTCTCCATCTTCATTGCTAGCGAGACTCTCTGTGTCTCTCTTGATACCCACCGTCGACAAGAAGGTTTTTGTAGTGTCAGTAGGGATGTTATCCCCAGTGTACATTCTCAAAAACAAACTCTTGATCTGCGGAGTAGTGGCGTACGAGAATTTAATTTGCATGTCAACTCTTCCTGCGCGTACCAGTGCTGGGTCAAGCTTTTCAGGATGGTTGGTCGTCATGATGAGGATGCGACCTTCATGTGTTGCTACACCGTCGATCACATTGAGCAGACCGGAGAGCGAGATCTTGGAGGTAGGCTCATCCTTGTTGTTAGACGAGGAGGACGATGTGGTTTTACGACTGCGGTGGCGTTTGCGAGGCGAAGGAGATGAAGATTCCGAGCGGGCCTGACGAGTGGCTGCAACGAGAGCGCGAGCGAGCGAGTCGAGGGTAATAGGGCTCTGCTCTTGGCGCTGAGAAGCCTGTGGTACAGATGATGTACACGTCAGGTGTGAAGAAGCTGCTTCAGAGCCATTTGTGATTGGAAAACGTGCGTCTGAGTCTCGCGAGATGCTTCTACCATTGGTGGTGACGAGGGCCTTGGCCAATTTGACGTCCTGTTTTGTGTCACCGTTGACATGATTCTCGACTGCCCCAGCGCCTGGACTAGCTGATTTTGCTGAACCGTCGGCAGTGACGTGCTTTCGAGACATGGCACGACCTCTGCTCCTGCCAGCCTTCGTCTTCACTGCATTTCTCTCAACATTCTCAGGCTCAGAGTCAGAGTCAGAGTCAGAATCAGAATCGGACTCGTCCTGTCGCTTCTTGATTCCAGCTGCATCAATATCCTCAAACAAGACAATACATCTCTTCGGCAGGTAGTTGAACAGTCTTGCCAGCATACTCTCAGTCATATTGGGATCCATGAGATTGACGATGTGAATATCTAGACCAAAGATACCAGCGAGCGAGAAGCTCAAACTCGTCTTACCAGTTCCAGGAGGACCGGAGAACAGGTAGCCGCGACGGTATGGTATGCCACGAGCAGCATACCACCTTGAGCTCAGAGGATGCAGGTACTCATTCATGTCTTGCAAGATGCGCAACTTTTGCTCTGGATCCAGGATTACAGTGTCGAGTGGGCGGGATGGACGCTCGGAGCCTTTCATCCATCCATTCCAGCGCTCCATTGCTGGTATACAGATGACGGTCTTTGATCCCTCTTTGCGTACAGTCCAAGCCTTGATGTCGGTGAGCAACAGTTTGATGGGGTTGGTATCGAGACCGACACAGGAGATATCGACACAAGACTCTGTGCGCTCAATGCCATCACTACCACGGAAGGTGTATTCAGTCTTCTTGAACTGGAAGGTGCCGCGTGGAGACGAGAACCAGAATTGGCCATGATCAGGTTCATAACGAGGTGGAATGCGTGCGGCAGTCTTCGAGAAGTTGAAGTAGCCATGTTCACCAATGGCGACTTTTGCAAGCAGGTCTGCATCCTCGTCTTCGTCTTCATCTTCACTGTCGGAGTCGTACATACATCCGTATTGTGTACGAGCAGTGAGCGAGCGTTTGGAAAGATCGGGCCTGGTTGCTGCGATCCACTTGAGGACTGTGGTGTACAGCTCGTCACTGCCATCGATATGCACAGAGCTCGTGAAGTGGTTGAGGAACGTGCCGTAAAAACGAAACCAGACGAAGTCAACAGCACGTTTGGCGATGAAGAAGAAGGCGATACAAGTCATGACCAAACTCACGTCGAAGCCAAGCCATTGCTGAGCAACATTTGCGAAGAGGCTGTAACCTGGAACGACCGCTTCGAGGAGTTTGATAGGTAGACCGCTGACATCGGTACCGTTTCCGGAAGGCAGGGTCGTGATGAGCTGACGACCGAGGTAGAACAAGTCCATCTCGGTGGACCGAAAGTCGAAGTGGTTGTGTGGTAGGTGAACAAGAAGATAAAGTGCTGTCGTCTTATAGCGGTGTCCGAAATGGGTTGTTGAAAATGTCAACACCGCAACCGAATCTGCAGCAAACGTGCTCACAGTACGGCTGTATTGGGACTGGATGCACGGCGAAGGAGAAAGGCAGAGAAGGCTTACCTTATATACGATCTTCCAACACCGTCGTAGGTGACTTATCACGTCTCAAACACTGGCGCTTCTGCAGTCATTTCTTTAGGCGGCAGTGTTGGTCGAGCGTTTGCTTGCATCTTGTCGAAGCACCGCACATGTACCAGGCTGTCTTGCATACTGGGCTGTGTTGTCTCATATGTTCTAGATGCTAGTGTTTAGGCACCAATCGTGTTGGTTGGTAGGTCGAACAAGGCAAGGTGGGTGAAAGTGCCCAATGCGGGGCGACAAAGGGAGACACCGCATACCACGTGCTTGTAGACCAAATGATAGGTTGATAGCCAGTCTTTACGCGGGATACTTGCATATACGCGATGCAGAAACTTTTTTTCTGACAGGTCTCACTGCTTAAGATAAGACAAGGCACACGGAGTTAACAGCACGTCTTGAATAATTCTAAAATCGTTGTAATTTCTCGCGATATTTATCCTCTATTGTAGGGAAAGACAGGGTATAAACAACTTGAAGCAGATGTAATGAACACGAATCGCCAAAATGCAAAGGCACCTTTATCCGAAGTGGAGAGGTAGAAAAGTACAGTCTAAACAGATTGAGGGGGATATCGTATCTGCTCTACTCCTTCTTGGCCTTCTTAGTCCTAGGCTTCTTGGGGACACGTGCGAGCCAGTAAATACCAACAGCAGCAACAGCGTTGAAGATGATGTAGGCCCACAGAATACCGAAGTTTCTCCAACGGTGATCGTAAGAAGAGCTGACTGAGGCAAGGAAAGAGTTTGTGCTGGAGATCTGGCAGAATTCGCATTCTGAGGTCGTGTTGCTTTGGAGGTAACCGCCGTTGCTCGCGATCCAAGGAGCCATGAATGTACCGCAGTTCTCGCCTGCAGGTGCGCTGAAGCGGAGGTATTCATTGCTAGCACAGACCACATTGGTATTGGCGACTGCAACAGACAGCATACCATCGACCAGGTAGGAGAAGGGTGACAAGCGGTACATGAAGATCCAGAAGCCAGGCATGACGGTAGGTCCGACAAGGACACCACAGAAAATCAAAGTCAAGGAGAACATCAAGTTGGCAATGTTACCACCAGTCTCGGCAAGGTCCATACCAGAAATGACCATGTCGGTGAAAGTCGAGGTGAAGAGGAGGAACTGCCAGACGAACAGGAAGAAGAGACCACCACGTTGAGTAACTTCGTGAGTGGGGACAGCGTTGCGGTACAGGCCGATAGGGTAGTAGAAGCAAAAGAAGATGATGACAGCTCCGAGAGAGTTCCAGGGCAGTTCGACGAGGATGTTGCTCAACATGAATGCCTTCCAGGAGTAAGTCTTGGAGGGGCGCTCGCGAACCTCGTACAGAGCACGCTGGGTGACGAAGTGAGGCATGATCTGCTGGACAAGCTGACCGAAGATGGTGAACAACATGAAGATACTATGAGATGTTAGCAACCATCGTTTGGAACGCGTTTGGAATTTTTTTCAACCTAAACATCTGGTCCTGAAGACCTTGCTGAGAGTTCTTGGCCTTAAAGAACACAAATCCAATGAAAAGAGCCGAGAAAGTGCACAAAGCGAGCTTTGAGAAAATGTAACTAGGAGTTCTCCAGTACTGGACAAAGACACGCTTGGTAACTTCGACGAATTGCACACCGAATGGAGCAGCAAATTCACGGTAGCTGGCCTGGTCGTTGGGGTCGGTCGAGGGCTGAGTTTCCTGAGGACGCTGGGTACGAAGTCTCTCGAGTTCAGCCTTGGTATCACGGTATTCCTGGCTGTCGCGCCAGGTCTGGTGCCAGTCGATATCTGTGTGAGATCCGGGAGCAGCACCAATGACTTCGAGCATCCACTCGGCAGGGTTGGCGTCAGGAGGACACTTGTGGGCACCATTGCGCTCAAAATAAGCAGTCAGGACGTTCGAGTTCTTGCCAACTTCACCAAAGTAGACGGTTCTGCCACCCTTGGCAAGGAAAAGAAGACGGTCGAAACGCTGGAACAACATGGCGGAGGGCTGGTGAATAGTACAGAGAATGGCCTGTCCAGACTTGGTAAGCTTCTCCATAAGGTCACAAATAGCCCAAGAAGTCTGTGAATCGAGACCGGAGGTAGGTTCATCAAGGAAGAGGACTTGGAAACGTGTTAGCACCAGCCAGAGATCCATCTAGAAAAGGATAGATACTTACGTAGTTCAGGCTTGGCGGCAAGCTCTACACCAATAGTCAGACGCTTACGTTGTTCGACGTTGAGACCTTCACCAGGAACACCGACGACAGCATCGGCGTATGGCTCCATATCAAGAAGCTTGATGACCTCATCGACATAGGCAAGCTTGTCCTGGCGAGAGATGTGTGCGGGTTGACGGAGGAGAGCGCTGAAGTTGAGAGCCTCGCGAACGGTAGAGGTTTGAAGGTGAAGATCTTGCTGTTGAACGTAACCGGTCTTTCTCTGGAAGGAGTCGTCACGCTGGCGTCCATCAACAAACATATCACCAGAGATGACACCCATAGTAACACGAGTAGCAAGGACATCCAGAAGAGTAGTCTTTCCTGCACCAGAAACACCCATGAGGGCGGTGAGCGTACCAGGCTTGACCCAACCATCGACGTGGTTCAGAATTCTACGGTCTTCCTTCTTGATCTTGATATCGTAGCAAACGTCCTCCCAGTGGAACACGGCGGTCTGCTTCTGAATAATATCGGCAGCATTGGCGTCGTTGTACTGCTTCTCAGCAACAGCTTTGCCTGCACCAGCGGCCTCAACGTCGTCCTCAGAAGTCTTGGTAAGAGCAGCAGGCGCGTGACCTCTACGGAAGACCAGAACCTCACCCTTAGACTTCTTGGCAGAGATCAACTCAGTAGCACCCAAGTAGGCGAACATGAGACCAACCATGAAGGCGATGACGATACCGAAGTCACGCCACTTGTGGCTGTGGTAGTATTGGAACGAAGAGTTGATGTAAGCATCTCCGCTGACGAAGTTCTGACCAGCGACGGCACCAACAACGTTGCAGACCTGAGTTCCTTGGTCGTAGGTTCCATAGGTGGGCACAGGTGCTGAGCAAGGGAAGTCTCTGTGGTGGAACTCGTTGATCATGAGAGCTTCGAACCCGTAAGCGACAGGATCGAGGTAGTTGATCCATCGACTCCAGCCGAGCATGTAACGGGTAGGAATTGTGAAACCGGTAAAGATGACAATGGCCAAAATCAGGATAGCTGCAGGAGCCATAGCCTGCGAAAGAGTACGAGAGACTGAAGCAATAGTTCTGAACAGCATACTCATGGTCAATGTCAGGAAGAAAGAGACGAGCAGGAAGAAGAAGAACGCTCCGGGTGTGCGACGCAGGTTGGTCATGAAGTAGAGGGTCAAGTTGAAGATGATGGCGTTCATGATCTTGTATGGCATGTCAGTAAGCATAGAGGCGAAAGCTTCGGCAGACGGATGGTATAGAGCATATCGAGAGTGTTTCTCGACGATGGGTCTCTGTGCGTAGAGGGTCAAAATTTCGAGAGCCGAACCGAAAGCGTTCATCAAGATAGCAAAGAAGAGAAGAGCACCTCTGCTGTAGAAAGAGTCGGTGCCGTCGTCAAGGTTGTAGAAGAGTGAGCCAATGACCAGAGCCATGATGAAGTTACCGATGAGTTGAGTGAAGGTTAAACTGGGGTCTCCTATCAGGCGGCGGAAACCACGCCAGAGACACAGCTTGACTTGCTGAGCGTAAGAGAGAGTGTATGGGGAGCCGACACGCTGACCCTTGGCCTTCTGAGCCTTACGCGAGGCGGCAAACGCTTCAGTCGATTCTCCTCCGAAGGGGTACTTTCTGTCGAACTCGTCGATCTCTTGCATTAGGCGTTGACGCTGAGGGCTAGCCTTCCAGCAAGCGGCGAACTCATCAGGGGTTCTGGGTGCTCTGCTCTCCCAGCCCTGGCGAACAACACGCTCTTGAGGCGAGGTCATGGAGGTAAGGAAATCGGCATCGGTCTGACGGTCGGGGCAGTGGAAACCAAGACCCTCGAAGTATGCTCTTGCTTCAGTGGTGTGACCGAAGAAGATCTGACGTCCCTCGTAGAGGACGATGACCTTGTCGAAGAGGTCGTAAGCAGCACCAGGTGCTTGGTAGATGGCAACCATGGGAGTGCTACCGAAGAACTCTGAAGAAAGACGAAGTGTCTTACAGAACTCAACAGCGTTGGCACTGTCAAGACCACGAGTCGAGTTGTCCCAAGCTTGGAGAGGAGCACCGCTCAAAGCAGCTTCAGCAATCGAAACACGCTTTCTCTCACCACCAGAAACACCACGAATGAAGTCGTTACCAACGCGAGTGTTGATGGTGTGCGAGATACCAAATGTAGCCATGATCACGTCTCTGTTTGCTTCAGCCCACTTGACCTTGGTCAGACCACCAGGAACAGTCTTGGGAGCGCGAGCGCGAGCTGCAAAGTACAGTGTGTCGCCTACTGTCATATTGGGGACTGAAAATCGTTAGCGAGGCTCGAAAAAAGAAGATTGTTGTGACTGACAATGTACATCGACCTCAGCAGTGTAGATGGCTTCACCACGATATTTGGTGTTCATATCCTTGGCTTCGATACCCTGGTAGTTGAGATATGACTTCTCGTCAACGTTGAAGCCGTGGGTCTCTCCAGTCAAGGTTTTAAGGAAAGTCGAGCATCCAGAACCAGGAGGACCAAGAACGACAAGCATCTCGCCAGGGTTGACGACACCCTCGAAGTCGCGAAGGATATCAATTCTCCTTGGCTTTGAAAGACCCATCAACTTTTTGATTCCGCTGACAGCCTCAAATGCAATGTTGGAAACAGTCTTCTGGTAGTCTGATTCGGCACCGAAACCGTGAACGTTCAGGTTCTTGAAAGCGATACCAGCAGTGCGTTGCTGTACACCCTCTCTCTGATTCATCTTGTACATGGATTTGACCCATTCTCTTGCGCTGAAGTTGGGACCGTTGGGGTTGAGTGGTGAATCTTCGTCGTAATGGAACGGGTCATCGGCGGCCTGTGACATGGTGCGACTGAGGACTCTTGCAATATCCTGGACCTTCTCGTTTCTCTCGTAGGCACCCTCGCTTCCGGATGTTGATTCCGCAGGCTCGAGCCCGTGCTTTTCGTTTGATGGAGGAATTCCATCAGGGTAATATGTGCCATCGTGGATTCCAGAGTGTGTGAAGTCTGGCTGCTCGGTGGTAGTCGTGAAAGTCTTTGAGGTCTTGCGAGAAGCAGGAATGTGAGAGTGCTCGGTGTTGGTGGCAGGGCTCAGTGTGTCCCGTGTCGACATGTCGGCCTGGTCGTGGTGTTCATCGTGCTGGAAAGCATTGCCTCCCAGAGCACTGACACCATTACGCTGGGCTTGGCCATCGTAGTTGTTGAAAGTGAAGTTACCCACGAGCGACATGTTGGCTATATTGTCAAATGTCGATATAGCTGATTAGGGTTAAACTCAAAGGGACAAGCCCTTGTTGCAAGCAAGTAATTGCTGCTGGTTGAGCGATGTGTCGTGGTATGCAACTAGAATTCAAAGAAACGGAAGGAGGTTCTGAGATGGCGAACGGCTTCCCTTAATACTTGCAGAGTTGCTGAGGCGTTAGGCCGAGCAGTGACAACAAATGTGTAGATGACGGCTGCTCTACGATGCGCTAGGGACAAAACCAAACCGACTCGGACAAACGTCCTCCTGTTAAAAGGCCTTCCGTGCGCGGGTAGACCCACTTTCCATTCCCCCAGCTCGGGAAGGCCAGCTTCCGGTTTGGAGAACGGACTTTTAACATATCGTCCCATTTTCATCCTCCGGGTCAAGAAATCAAAATTCAGACACTTCACGTTGTCAGATCTAGGGCTGACTGCATGGCGGTGGCCACAATCGTCCGTTACCAGGATTGGACTGTTCAATGTACTCCGTAGACGACTTGGCAGCCAGCTATCATGACGTGGGATTGTCCTACATATTGGCTTCGAACACTTCTGCCACAGACGAAAGCCCAGCTGCAGTATCTTGCGCACACCTTGCAGCCTTGCCGGGCCAGGGCCCTTCCGCCGGTGTTCGAAGAGGGGGTTTGGAACTTTGGATGCATCAAAACAGGCACCGCATCTCTGCCAATCTCTCAACACGATTAGAAATGCCCTCGGGAAGGGGCCATCCGTGCGGGATCGCCCTTAGCCACAGCGCGTAGTTGAGCTTCCCCGGCTCTTTGTTCTTCCACATGAATCGTGAACTCTCGCATGCTTTACGAGTACGAGATTTCCAAGCCCTAGAACGCGAAGGTTCGCAAGCAACGCGGCAGGAATCCGCGGATTCCACGGACGGATCCTGAATGTTTCATGTGAGTTTGTTTGTGCCCCGCCCAAAAGTTGCTGAGAAATTGCAGCACCATGTGTCCATTACTTTATCAGAGCATGGCACGAGAAACGGGGAGATTGCTTTGCGAAGTCTCGCCGTAATATTCGTCGCCTACAAATCTGGTTACAAATACAGTGACTGCACGTGGCAACAATCAAGAGGCGTGAGCAAAGAAGCGGCTCTTGAGACTTGAGCTGTACATGTACACTTGTACCTCACGAGTCACGAATCACGAGTCAAACTCTGTTGTTTTTGACAGCTTCGTACTCGTATAGAAGGACCCTTCTTTCTACAATCAGCCTATCTATCCTCCTTTTCAGCCTGGGCATCCGATTCCAAGACGAAACTGCATCTCATCCATCTAACGTTTTGCTCGCCTAATTTTGGTGACAGGGGTTCAAGGCAATATCGAACCACTGTTCCTTCTCGGACGCTATGATCAACATTCTCGAAAAGCAGATCCACAAACAAATCTAGTCTTGTCATCCGGAGCCGGACTGCTCTGAAAATCTTCTGCCTGCCAGGTTTCGTTGATGTTGTCGCCTTGTTTATTGAAACATAATCAGCTCCAGGATTGTTTAGCGGCATTTCGTATCGAAAAAGGGCAAAGCTGTCAAAACAAACTATCATTGTGGGGTGCGATATGCGACACAAGATGCAGCTTACAAAATTGATCCGGCATCCCTCTTTCCGATGGAACTTTCAAGATCCGTTTTCAGTCGACGGATGTTATCCCTATCCGTCGGTTGGTAGGGGATTGGCGGACCTGATTGCGTGCTTGTGCTACTTTGCTTTCTAAGCAGTGTCACCTCGTCGTACGATACTTCGTATACAGTTGTCGGATCCAGCAAGAAGCAAGTTGACTTCCTCCGCAGCCAGGAAAGCTTAGTAGGTCATCAAGATGTTGATCACCAATATTCACCCAAGTCAACGACAATCCGTTCGTCGTGAGGTTGGTACAATGCAGCTTCGTTATAGCACTGCCGCTACCATCAGAGCGTCAATCGAAGAAGATCCAACGACTCTGTCACCACTGAATCTTCTGACAGCCACCGTTTCACTAAGGGTATCGATATAGTGACCAAGGTAAGAACACCCCAGACCGAATATTGTATGACAAAGGACAGTGGCCGGGTTTATAGTTACCAACCATCTATACCACCTTCCTGTCTACCAATGACTACAGAAATCCATCTGACGCGTCAAGTCACATTGTTGATGCTCCTCCTAATCAGAGTTTGGAATTTGTCAAAAAGTCAAATCTGACGAAAAGAGACAAAGAAAGTATACAAAGCCAATCTCGAGAAAGAGCAACGGGGCGGTCCACCTGCGCTGAACAGACACACTTTTCAAGACTCCTGCATTCACAACGAAAGCATCAGCATTTTCCAATAGACAGTACAATCGCCGAGTTTTCAGACATCTCTACACACTCCCCATCCTCCCAGCCTCAACATCCCACCCTTCAGGCGGACTAACAAACGAATAATCAATCCACTCTCCCAATATCTCCCTGACCCCATCCACCAACCCTTGATCCCTTTTACGTCCTTCCTCATCAACTACCACTCCATCTCTCAGATCTCCGTATTTTCCCTGAACACTATGGTCTTTGACGCTATTGGCAGCAGCAGCACAGCTTTCTACTTCTGCTACACTGCCTGGTCCCATGATTAGTGCCATAGAGGGCAAGTCAGGGCTTTTGGAGGCGGTTTCGCGGACGGCGAAACGCAGGGCTAGGGAGGCCAGGGAGTCACCCCGGGAGGAGACGTAGGTTGCTGCGTTGGCGGCTGCGAGACGTAGACCTGGGGGTGCAGGATGCCAGTCTCCTAGATTGCTGTTTTTGTTGTTAGTATATGCATGTATAACGCAAGCGAAGATGCGACAAGAAAACAGAAATCAAAGACTCACCCAATAGGCACACCCTGCTTTCTAAGCAACCCAATATTCAGCGGCGAACTACTGCACACCACCTTAACTCCCACCTCCTTCAAAGCCTCCAACCCTTGCGTCCTCAACTTTGTATTCTGCAACGTCAATTGCCCCCAATTCTGCACCACATCCACACTTCTGCCCAGCTTCTCTCTACACAACCTAGCAACCCTAACCAACTTCTCGATCGGATACCCAGAAATGCCCACATATCGTATCTTGCCCTCATCCACAAACTGCCAAAGTGTGGATAAAGCAGCTAAGCAGGAGGCGTCGGAAACAAATTCTACATCGTGGCAAAACACCACGTCGAGATAGCCAGTTTGAAATCGGCGTAAACTCCTTTCTACAGATTCTTTGACCCACTCGGGTGAATAGTTGAATTCCTCAGCTGCCACCCTCCCCACTTTGGTCATTAGGAAATAGTCCTCTCGGGAATACTTTGAACTGATGGCAGGGTCGGCAAGTGCTGCTCCGAGGATCTTTTCAGAGGGCTCGTAGTAGGGTGAAGTGTCGATTGTGCGAATGCCTTTCTCGAAAGCTTTCAAGATGACGGGGATGATGGGACGGGTGTCGGCGTCCGGGTTCAGTTGGTGCGACCATGCTGCTCCGCCCATTACTATGGGTGTGATTTCAGAGGCGAGGTCGCCTCGTGGTCGAAGGGGTTTGTTGGACATTATTTCCAGTAAGATTGAGTTTGCAGGAGGTGAGTTTCAAAGCGATGGTTGTGGTAAATTATCCAGATCTCCTTGAGAAACAGGCTTTGGACTTTTATTCCTATAGATGCAGAGAGATCCAGAGATGAGATCGTCACTCCATAAAACAAGCACAGGAGAACGATATGGAAAACAAAGAAGGAGGGGAGTTCTGGAAGATGAGATAGAACGTTAATTAGACTTTGGCGGAGGTGCTCCTTTAGGAAAGCTGTTCCGATCACACATTTATCCGGAGAGACGTGGCCAATTAGAGGTGGTTCTAGCCGACGACAATGACTACTTGCAATTCATGTCGCTATGAAGTCTCAATGATGGATTGATGCGGATGAGATAAGAGCTGATGAGACTAAGATATTTTCCCGCTTATACACTTTCTTGCTCAGCAATGCAATCTGCTCGTAATGCTCGTTGATCTCCTCCAAAGCTAACACCGTCATCAAGACATAAGTATGGTTCTCCATAAGCAACTCAATGCTTCTGCAAAACACTCTTAACAGTAGCAGGCAACTCGACATGGCCCTTGACAGTGATCTCACCAATACCAGTGCTACCACCACTTCCAGTCTGCAGCCATCTCTTCAGCAAATCATTGCTTTCCTTGGGCTTAACATCCGGACTAACAGTGCCCACTGTGATGTGAGCGGTCTCGTTGACACTACGCCATTGCATACCGCTCTGGTCTTTCTCATCGGGTATCAAGCGGACAACAAAACACATCAGTCTGCCGTCCCAGACGAGACGCTCAAGCAACACTTTGCAGCTGCCGAGAACTGGTTCAGGTGCGGCATTAGGCTTGCTTGCGGCAGTTGTGTGGGCCTCGGTAAGCTGCTCCCAGTAATCCTTGTGCTGAGTAGCGGAAGCACGGTGCATCAATGTGACATGGAATTCGGATTGGACACGGTTCTGTGACTGTAACACGCGATATGTCTTTGTGGTGTCGAGATCGGCGTCACGGAAGACTGCATCAAGAATGCTCATCACACGCTTGGGATCCAGTGTTGCGCTGAAGTACTCAAGTTTTGGGGGCTTCTGCTTTGCTTGTCCGTTGGTTCCGTTTTGCTGAAGTGCCTTGTTCTTGTATTTGTTGCTTCCACCGATCTCGTGCTTGATGTCAGGCTTGTAGTCGTTGAGAGCTGCCTCGATCGCCTTGTCAAGATCCTCGCCAGAAGGCATCGTACCGAAGAGCTTGGGGAATTCTGCATTGAGTTGAGAAACAATAGTTTCCAGATTCTCGCGCGACGAGGCCGACACATCTAGATCGATGACATGCTCGAAAAAGCTATCAGGTTCACGGTCAACGTTGACTGGCTCGAAACGTTGCATGAAGCCGTCCATGATGCCGATAATCTCGTGCTGTCCCTTGGAACCAGCCTGAATGGTTTGATGGTTGTCTCCTCTGTTCAAAACGCGTTCTCGCGTAGCCTGCTTGATCTGATCGTAGTTGGCACGGTCGTGGACGTAGTGGAGAGCAACGAAGTGGGCTCTAGGAACAGTGCTTGACACATCGTCGATGATCTGCTTTCTTTCGCGACGCTGGTGGTTGTTTCTGTCAGCAATCATGACTGGGTAATCGAGAAGACCGTCACAGATTGCCTGTGCAAATCTCAGTGTCTTTGGCTTCTGAGTGATGTTGTCGTTCTGGATATGACCCCATCCGAAGAGCTTGCAGAGTGCGAGAGCGACAGTGGTCTTGCCACAACCGATGGTAGCAACAGGAACGAGCACAACATTTCGATCAATGCCCATGCCATGCTGATCGCCCATCTCCAACTCCTGACGGATTATGTCGGAGCCTTTCAGCCCACGTTCCGCCAAAAAGTCGTCTCTAAGCTTAATGATGCCATGGTTCTGGTTGTACTCCTTTCCAAGGTTTGGATCCTCCTTTAGTCGTTTGCGAGCATAGTGAAGATATTCTTCAGTGATTTCCTTGTGCTTCTTGTATTTAGGCTGCCTTTGGGCGATGATGGCTTTTGTGCACTCTCTCCACTGTCTGTACATGAGGTAAGGTTCCTCGAACTTGTACTTGAAGAACCAGTCCTCGTATGGTGTATCGGGGGTCTCCCGGGCCTGGCATCTGATGACGAAGCCCTCGGTCTCTCTGCCGTGATAGCTTCCAGTCTCTGCAACCTTGTCCAGGAAAGACTTGACCTTGGTGATTTCGTTCTCTGTGATGAACATTGTATGCTTAAATCCCCATTCGGATGCGAACCTGTCGACAAGGTGATGGGGATATGTGACGAACTCGGGAAGATTGAGATTGATTCCGTGAAGATAGAGACCAGCAGTTTCCGGGTTGTATGCCAGGACGTGCTCTTCGAACTCATCGTCACACAGCTCAGCAACAGCAGTTGCATTCATGGCACGTAGCTTGGCAGCCAGATCCTTTTTTGATTTTCCAACAGAAGCAAGGTGTCTATCGACCCACTTCTCACCGGCCTCTGCGTGACTGACATCTTGATCGCCTCGACCACCAGTCGAATGCTTACTGCAGACTAGAAGAGTACCATCCTCGAGACCAGAAAGAAAGATGATGCAACCGTTCTCCTTGACACTGAGCTCGTAGGGTCCTCGTGTGTTGTTCTCAACATTTCTCCACTCGGTCTTTCTGACCTCGCCGTGATTGAAGAACTTGTCGTAACCTCTGGTAACAATTTCAGGCTGACCTTTTGAGTTTGTGGTTGTGAAAAGACCTCTGGCATAAGTAGGAAGGTTCTGCTTCTTGTAGTCCCAGTCTTGCATTTTCCAAGAGTCGACTTTGATGTTTGAGTTGGCTACGTTGAAAGTAGCTTTCTTGCATGAGAAACCGCCTTTTCCACCGTTGCCTTTGATATGGCTGGTCAGGCCGCGGATCATCTCAGACACCTCGTGGGCATCCTGAGGACGGTAGGGAGCCTCTTCGCGGTGAGCCATGATTGATGAATTGATTCAAGGCTCGGACGAGAAGGAAAGTTGATGGGTTTTATGTGTGATGAAATGTTGATGGATAAGAAAGTGCTCGAGGCGCGACCGAAATTTCGAGTCATTAGCGTCGTCGAGGTGGGATGCACCTGCAATGCTCCTTCTTCTTTCTCTCACCACTTTTTAATCTCCCAGCTATCACTTTACTCCGCTTTTACAGGATCCTTGAATAAATGGCCTGAATGAGCCATTTGGAAATGAGAACTCGCTACGGTATCCACCTAGTCACTCAAAATATCATCAAGAATATTGACACCGAACACATGACTCACGCGGTGTCACGAAACAGGCAACTTTTCTCGAATGGAGGGGCATCAACCTGACATCAGAAAAATCGAAGCTCTAGACGCCTCTCATTTCATCCACCCACTCACTCTACAATACTCCACACCGCACTTCCACGAACCCAACATCAGTATCACACCATGGCGCAAACAATCGACAAACTCCTCAACCTCGCCGCCGACAAAGCCGACCAAGTCCTCCAACACCTCCAGTCCAACCCACACCTAGCCTCCCAACAAGACCATCACGGCTACTCTCTGCTGCACGCCGCCGCCTCCTACAACCATCCCGAACTCCTTCAAACGCTTCTCAGCACCTACTCCGTAAACCCAAACCTCGTGGACGAAGATGACGAAACCTGTTTATTCAGCGTCGAAACGCTAGACATGGCAAAATTCCTCGTCGAGCAATGTAACGTGGATACAACACATAAAAACGCAGAAGGGCAGACTGCAGCAGAGAAGTTCGAGCAAGAGGGTGATTATCCAGAGGTTGCGCAGTATTTGGCAGGTTTGGTCGAGGGAGGTGCTGCTGCTTCTATTCTGTCGCAGACGGGAAATCCGTCGTCGGAGCAGGCTGGTGCGGGCACTGTTGCTCCTGGCGAAGAGACAAATGGTGCGGTGCCCCCACCGCCGCTTCCTCATGGTGTCAAGATTGATCTGGGGACTATGGCAGAGGATGAGGTTGGTGAGGCGCCAGACCCGGAGTTTAGGAGGAGGATTGAAGAGTTGGCTGCGAGACCTGACTTCCAGAGTGAAGAAGTGCAACAGCAGCTCAGAGAGCTTGTCCAAGATGCTTTGGGTGGCATGAAAGGAGATGACAGAGAGGTGAGACAGAGACTCTCGTAGTGGCAGCAACGAATGACTGGATACTCTTACAAATACCCATACAAATCACAGTCTTGCACATACAAAAAGTTCAAAGGATACACATCCGCTTCCGATTGACTCTATGCGTTTAAGCCTATCGCTTGTCTTCTACCAATGCCTCACAACATACAGAACCCCCTCCAGCTCCAACTTCTGCAACAATCCCTGTACTTTACTTCTCTTCAACCCTTCTCTAGCCGCAATCTCTTCCATAGCCCTCTTCCCATCAAAATGCTTGACCAAAACGCCCCAATACTCCTTGACTTCCTCATCCATCAGATGCTGTCCAATATACTTCAACCATCTACTTTCTTCCGTACTAGCTTTATGCGGACTTAACACCAAAGTCTGTTCATAAGCGCCAGGGTCTGTAGAAGGCAGTGCTGCAGAATGAACAGTCGAGTTATCGTCTTCGTGGCCAGAAACACTGCTGTTGGATAAGATAGATGGCGGTGAAGGCGCTACTTCCCTGGTCGCGTGTAAATTTGGTGATGTCTCTGCGCGTTGAGGTCCAGCAGGAGGTGGAGGAATAGCAGTTCTGCCACTACCATTACTGCCTGCATCACTAGCTGATCTACTCAAAGTAGGAGACAGCAATTGTGCCGAGCTTGAGATGCTCAATCTGCTACTCGCGACCTCGTCAAAAGGATCTTCAGAAACGCGTCTGGATTCTGCGCTCGTGCTGCTGACTCGTGAGTTTGCAGCGGCTGAGGTCTTGCTAAACGCAGAAGGAGGTCGCTTGGCCAGTTTCTCTTCAAAGTCTTGCCGCATCTTGACAGCTACGGCAGCTTTGACTGTCGGTGATACTTTGACCCAAGCAAAGGTTCGGAGTTGGGTCACCCAGCCACCCCTGAGCAGCCAAGCCAAAATGTCCATGTAAGCAGGCTTGTGGTCCTTGCTAGGGATCAAGAAGCCATATTGAATAGGCTTCCCGCTCAAGTTTTGTAGCATTTTTGGTAATGATGGAAGGGCAGAGAACTGTTGAGCATATAGTGGCATGGCTTTTGTGAGTTGACGCATGTCGCAGTTGGGTGATACGATGTAAGTATCACGGATATGGAGTGGAGGGATTGCTCTAGCGCGGCGCCAGTAGATAAGATGGCGGGCAAGGAACTGCACATCAGAAAGTGGTAACGACAATGCAGCGGAAAGTTTGGTCAAAGATTTTGTGGGTGTGAGTTCGCGGATGAAGAAGGCGAGCGGGGATCCCAGTTCCTTGCCATCGCCCTCGATCTCCTTCAGCATGACGTCTTTGTCTTCGAGTAGGAGGAGAGCGGCGTGTGGACTTAGACTTTGCCCGTCATCAGATAGACTGTTTGCAGTTGTAAGCCATAGACCAGGTAGTTGAGGCTCCGTAGGCGTGGGAACATATGGCGTTGATATAGCTTGAGGGATCTGAATACTCGCCTCAAAGCCCTCACCAATACTGATGTGAGCGATTTTGTTGCTCGCAATACTGGTATACAAAATAGCAATCGCCTTTGCCAACAAGCAGCTAGAGATCAAGTTTGGCCACAGCACCGACATTGGTGTCTTGTTTTCCTTGGCTTGTGCTTTGAGAGACTGCATCTTTTTGGCATCTTGATAGACAGCATTTGAACGTGCTTGTTCGTAGCGGAAGGCTTTGGCAGTCTTCTTTACCACATTGTCATACATCTCTTGAAGACGAATATGGTATTCCAGCGCAGGAGGATTCATGACGAAGACGACGTGGAACATGGTCATCTCATCTTGATTACTGTTCGCACTACCAGTTTCTGAGGCAGCTTCGGACATTGCGGCTTCCGATTTATAGCTGCGAGGCAGCTCTCCGTTCTCAAGCGGTCGACGAGGTGTTAGAGGCGAGAGAGGTGGACTAAACATTTCGTTCCCTGCAGTGCCTTCTTCCCCGTCATCGTTTTCGTTGTCGCTGCCACTGTCGTTTGCCTCGTCATCTTCGGCTTCGTTGTCCCCCTGACTGCTTTTCCCGTCCTGTGTTGTAGCCCTCCTCTTAGTCTTCTTTTTCTTCCATGTACCGTCGTCACGCACAAATACGGGATATCCTAGAAAGACCAGATCGTCCAGCATGACCTCGAAACGCTTCTTGTGCATGCTTGAGGGAGGGGACAACATCATCTCTAGCCCTTCGACTGGGTATCCCAGTAGTTTCTCCCATTCAGGAGTATTACGCTTATCAGTCGTGGTGCTTTCATGTCGCGCGGCGCTGGTCGTTCGATCGTGAGGTGCATTGTTGGTCGTGGTAGCCGGAGCAGGCTTGTCGACAGGAGAAGAGTTCAAGTCCAATGGTGCGACGTCTAAGTTGTCGAGATCATCGTCGTCCTCATCGTTGTCTGGAGCATCCGAGTGCAATGTGCGAGTAGTCCTTCTCGAGGATATTGTTTCGGCAGCACGACTCTGCGATGCGATACTAGGTCTTGCAGTCTGTCGCGAAGAAGTGGTGCTCGTATCATCAGAGCCTACAGTCTGATCGTCGTCAGAAGAGCTAGCTCCATCCTCCGAGTCGCTATTGGCAGATCCAAAGTGCCATGAAGTGTTGCGCTGTATAGCCTCAGGAACACCAGGATAGTGAAAGACCAGTCGCGGACCAGATCGGGTTCGGATAATGAGTATGACAGCCACCAGCGATGGGTTTGGCGGGAGACTGAATGGTCTGATGGGCATTGCTGATACTTTTCAATTGTGCTGATGTGCAAAGCAGACGGTGCGTCTGTGATTCAAGTCCTGTCGCGTGCCATACTACAAAACTAGACCAGCCTGCTACCTACATCAATATGACTTGGCAGACAAGCTCAGCGTCGTTGTCTTTCAAGGCATCGCAGTTAGCTACTCCAGCTCTCTTGCTGTGTTCAAGCTGTATCCTTGTTTGACAAGCTGCTCGTCCCCACAGATCCCGACCTCGGCCAAACCGCCGACGACCGGCCAGAAACTACCTGCCCGAGCCCCCGTCAGACCAGATGTCTCCTTAAACAAATCGAGACCTGGAAAATAGTCACCACGTGCAAAGGTACCTATGTACCTATTACCACAATTATCTAACGAGTCAGGGACTGCATGATCTGTCATTAGACTACCGAATACCAGCACCGTGAAACCTACAGCTGTCTACCGGAGAGCCAGCTGCAGCTGAGCCTCTCTACAAGACCTGTCAAGCCTAGTTGAATTTCTTCTTTAAGGCGACTCTTGACTCGAGCCAGTGACATTTCTCGACGTCCAGACTTATAGCGTACTTCTTCAGCTCTCCAAGCCACTAAACACGCCTTGTCTTTCCATAGCATGTCCGGAGACGAATATGGCTCTGCTGATGGCCCGTCTCTTACGCCTCCTGCTTGCCAAACAGGTCTTCCCTGCGGTGCTGTGCCCGCGGAGAGCAACCCTTGACCCATGTATCCAGACTGACTCGAACATGTGTTTGCCCTGAAAGCACATTCCATGGTGGAGTACTGGCACAAGCACATTTGCCCGTCCTGCGTGCTAGACTTCTATTCTTCTTTTACCGTCGACTTCACCTACGTATTGACAAGCCTTCATAAGGTAAGTCAAGATCTCAGATTCAGAAATCGGCCAGACAAAAAGTCGTTCTTTTATTTTTCTGGTTCCTCATTGAAATGGTAAGGGAAGCGTTTCTTCGCACAGAGCCGGCCCGGTAGTTATATCTAAACCGTCGAGCCTTGGCTGATTCCTTTATTCTGGATCGCGTTGTTCAATGCTTTGGATATTTTTCCAACTTGAATCATCGAGGCAACGGGCTCTCCGATCTGAGGATTGTAGCCTATTAGGCTTCTTTCGAGTCATGTAAGAGCTGAAGAAGGACTGGTATCTTCAAGCTGCATCTTAGGGCTCAAAGGCGGCAGAAGATCAATAGTCTAGAATGGCTACAGCACGGCAAAGTGGAGATGACGATTCATTGAAGGGCAATAACATAAAGAGTCAGACACGGAGGGTATGAAGATCGAGATATGTTGATTGAGATGGTTAGGAAAGAATAGTGCTAATGATTTGGCTATGATGATGAAATGGGTATCTAATCTGTTCTGTCGATGCCAGTATGGAGAATGCAGAGGACGAAGAGGCTTTTTGGCTGTCGCTGAAATATTCAGAAAATGCAGGAATGTCGTCAGGGCTTGTTGTTTTGTGATTACACGCGCTCGTAAGCAAATGTTGTGTCGTCGGATGCATAGTCTTTACTGCTTTCAAGAGAGACACTTGATCTCGCTGCATGTCTCTCCTCCGTTGTAGTGACTTGCACACTCTTGCTGATACCATGATCCCAAGTCTTGAGGGGCATCATGTCTCTGTCATCTGCTCCTGCGAAGATGTTCTCTTGGCTTCCATTGTCGTGGGTACCAGAGATTGGCCTTGCACCTGTCACTGTAGTGACCATGGTGTGGTTTTTGCGTGTGCCATCTTCCATACTGCCCAGAGGATCGCCCTTTCTGTGTGTTCTTCTGCCATGTTTGGTGGACCATTTGAGGTTTGAATTTGCAGGTCCGCTGGGAGAATCGGGAAGGAGATTGGGGAAGATCTTTTGTACCAACGGGCGCAGTGTTGCCAGACTAGCCGCTGAAACGCCGATTCCGACCTCGACGGTACTCCAAAGAGCGATGTATGTAGAAGTATAAAGGAAGTCTGGTAAGATGAATTAGCGTTATGATCTCTAGTCAGCAGTCTGGATACACCTTACCTCCTTTGTATGTTCCAAGTTGTTTGACATAGGGAAGGCGGACCAGAGTAGAGAGAGATCCAATAGCAGCGAATCCAAGAATGCCAGCAACCACAATCTTGGTGTTTCTCTTCATGTTGAGATCCTTGACGATGAAGATGGGTAGGATGCCAAAGAAGAAATCGGCGCCACCATTGAGGACAGAGGCAACATAAGAAATGACGACCAGAACCATGGGACTGATGCAGTGTCCTTTGGCGTTTGGTGAGAAGTCCCAGTAGAATGAGATTGGAGTACATTGGAAGAGAGCGACCTGCTCGGATTAGCCTTGCTCTGGTCGAAAATTGAAATGTTGCAACATACGAAGAAGTAAATTGTGCCGATCAACATGGTAGCGGCCATCATGATTCGGATGATCAGGATGTGTACTTTGTTCTGAGTGATCCGCTCCAGGAAAAGGCCAACGGCGACCTTCAAAACAGATGCTGATGCGGTATAGAAAATCTCGGCGAACATCCAAGCAGCAAAGCCGATTGGCAAGTCTTTCTCAGGAATATCCTTGCGATGTCTTCCAATACCGTGCGTTACTGCTGCGGCCTGACATGATAGATATGCTGTGAATAGAAGGAGTGTGACAATCATAGCAACATCGTCCTTGCCGAAAGACTTGATCATGAAAGCGCTATTCAAGTCAGTGATCTATAATAGACTGAGTCATGATCAGACAAGTATAGACGCATACCGAACATAGACTCGAAGACTGACTATAACCCAACTCAAGATCCAGAAGGTAATCATGACGCCCATGACTTGCGGGCGCAAATCATCCTTGTTGGCCATGATGTTCGACGACTTGACACGCCGTTATATAGATGGAAATCGACGTTCTGTTGTGAGCACACCAGACAAAACACAAAGGCAAAACACTAAAGGTTGAATAAATCAAGAAAACTGTGTGAGAAACAAGATCCAACTCGAAGCAACTTGAATAAGAACCCCAAAGCAGAGGTCGACATCCAAATATATCAGAAACACGGGAGGCTTGGAATTGATATCAAAAAGAAGCGCAAGGACCTTTCGAGGTTCGGGCCAGTTAGGCTCATCATGTCTCTGCCAATGGCGGATCCTAAGTGCTTCGGTGCCTCTAGCTCTTGCAAAAGACTACGTTGGAGAAGATTCAACCGTCATGATGCTATCGGAGTAGAGTGCGCTTCGTTAGACGCTGTCTGCGGATCGGGGGGTACGTGAGCTGCGGCCACATTGAAGTCATGGTCCAGCGGGAGTGGTCAAAGTGCTCGAAGGCACGGTGCCTGAGGATCTTGACCACGTAAACGACCAGGCCATATTCGGGTAATTGCACCTGGAGAGGAATATGCCCCAGGGAAAAGGTGTCAAATCTCGAACGAGCTCTTGAGCATCGAAGGATTTGAGTACTCGGTAGCGGGTCGGGAATATCTGAAGCGAAAGTTTAATTGATGCTCGAGTCAAGGCCTGCATGCTCTTAGCAACGGCCGGCCAGCGCCATCAATCAAAGTCTTCTGAGTCAGGATTTGAGTGACAGTTGAGCAACAAGAGAAGGAATGCAGGTGCAAAGTTCCAATGGACGTTGAACCGTCGATGGTCCTTGAGTGGTTGTGTAGAGTCATGAAAACAGGTCTACATGTTTTTTCGTTCAAGGGTCCAGAAAGTTGATGTTAATGTCTGAGATCTGGCTGGAAGGTGCAAGCATTTGGGTTTGCTCGGCTAGAAGCGGCCTTGGGACCAAGGGCATAAAAAGCCCTGAGCTACACCAGAGCGCCTTCCCTTTCAGATTTGGTATTTGATTATCCCCTACCAAGGATATCTGGGGCGAGATGGAGAGTTGGGTGTAGGATAGACTTTGTAAGATATCCACGCGGATCTCGTATTACGTGTGCTGAATGATCAAAGACATGAACGACGTACAATTGTTGATCTGACCTTCCTGCTTCTTGCATTTGGCGTATCGAAAAACTTCACGCAAATACAAGCAATATGTACTGCAGGCAATGGCACGGCAAAGCTGATATGTGCCTAGCACTCTGGGGTTTGCCCGCCTGCCAGAGAAAGTAGACATGCCACGTCGTGTGTCAACCTGTCTTTTGAAACGAACGGCAGCAGGATTCCGCAACCTACACGTGAAAGTCTAGGTTATAAACTCGTTGTTGCCGCACGCGTGGACAGTCAATATAGACTCACGAGAGGCGTGAACTTTGTGCGCGGCGGATCAAACAATTTACAAATGGGGGGAAAAAGAAAAAGGAATGAGCTTCGAAAAGTATATCTTTAATACCGTCCGAGGGTCTTGTGGTCGAACATGTTCAGTAACATGGTGAAAGAGTCATAAATGCCTGGAGATTGGTGTTATTCGGAGATGATGTTGTCTATAACGATCGAGAAGGAAAGGCATCACTGAGGCCCTTCGAGCCTAATCGCAGTGATCAGCAATTGCGACTCAGAACACTCTGTAAATTGGCTTGGCTTGATTGTTCAAAAAGCTCCGAGCTGGGGTTTGTCGATGACAACAATAATGTCGGCTCGACTACGCCATGATCACGCCTTCTGAGCTAGACTCCGTGGGGCTTGGAAGCTGGGAAATCGCGCCAATCTTTCTCAATGTAAATGGTGCATAAGTCGTATGTTCATTGCTGATACAAAGGTGCTGTATAACCTGGCAATTAGAAGGCTTTTGTGAAGAAGTGCTCCTGGCGTTCTAGACCTCTGCCTTCATTTTTCTGAAGAAGTCCATCACACCAGTGAAGACGACAAGCAGAATACCACCTCCAGGACCCAGTCTCAAGACCTTGGGCAAGAAACCCTTGTACAGAGCACCGAATCCTTCCTCCTTGTACACCGTGCCAAGAGCAGGCCATGCCCAGTTGTACTTGGGCACACCTCCGGGTACTCTGGGAGAGTTTTGAATTCTGCTCTTGACGACGTCCATGGGTGTGTTGAGGATCGTACCAACAGTTCCACCAATAGCACCTGAAGCCAGATCATTCAAGATTTGAGACTTCTTGTTCTCAGCCTTGGGAAGGAGTTCGCGGACTTGGAAGATACAGCCAAAGTAACCAGCGTTCCACAGGATGTGTCTCCACATTGTGCTCTCCAGGCCTTGGTACAGTGTGAGAACACCCTCTTGCTGGATGACCTTACGTACACAGTCTACCAGACCATTGTACTTGTGTGATTGTGCCTTATCTTGCAGACGGATCTTGACCAACTCGAAAGGAACGACGACGAAAGCTTCGGTGGCACCAGCAGTAGCGCCAGTAAGGACGGAGAGACTTTGGGTCATCTTGGGGACGCCGAAGAGATTACGGTAGAACTTGCCCCACTCGTCATTTGCGGCGAACTTGGTTGCTCTGAGTGTGGTCAGCTGGTGAGCACTGGGCACATGCAAGCAGAATGGACCAACCTCTTGGGAGCTTCCATAAGGATGGGAGCCTCGATACCTCTGTAAAGCCTTGAGAAGCCCTCATTGCGAACAATCTTGCGGAAGCAGTCGATCATGCTGTTGTAGGCCTCTTCACCAGTAGCGGTTGAGCTCTGAAGCTGGATTCGTGTCTTGACAACATCCAATGGGTACCTGGGACGCGATTAGACAGGTGAATATTGGACTGTTCAAACGGCCTTATGTACATGACAAGAATCTAGGTATACGTCAGTCATGGTAGGGTGAAGTGGATGGTATCGATGGGTGTACCTCTGAGACACCAGCTACGGCACCAGCGATAAACTGGTAGACGAAGGGTAGGGGCTTGGGCTGATCCGACATGATGGGCAACTGGACTGGAGGGGAGAGAGAGCGAGTGGTATGGTATGGACAAGTCTACAATTCACACACAATGGAGAACAACGGACGCGGATGCGATGAGAGGTCGCAACACATGATGGATCGCCGACGTCGCTCAGCTCTTGCCGAAGGAGTGGAGCCCTCGGCTGAAATCGAGTCTTCGAGCATTTGAAGGTTCCGAGTATTGATTAGGAGGACTGTAGCTCATATTTATCCTCTGGTCACCATCCAGCATTACATGCTCGCGAGTATATAGTCTGGCATGTGGTGGTCAATTGTTCGAGACAATAATGACTATTGAATACGATTCGCACATGCTCGGTCCAGAAGCGGTGCCGGCGATTCGTGCAACTCATGCATCCAAATTTAGCTGATCAAACAAAGCTGGATGTTGGTTCGATGCAATATTCTGTAGCCATCATAGGAGCAAGTCACGGCCTTCGTCTTTGCCAAAGTTACTAAGATGAACAGCAAAGTGATGATGACAATGATATAGGTGTTGGTTGCACATGGGCCTTTCGGAGTCCGGCAGGAATGCAGCTCCGTCATGTTTTGGGCCCTGCGCCTGCTTGTTTCGTGTCGGTTTGCGGGGTCTTGGCTGGTTCAAATTAAAGCGACCGCCTGCTCTGGCCAGCACCTGGAAAGCATAAGACTATCGACTGCTCTGCCCTTCCGTCGCTCGGTGAACATGGCAGCTGCAGACGTAGCAGGTACCATCGCGCCGCTGTCTTCCCCGTCCACGCTCACGCAGCGCTGACCGAATGCCGACAGAGCGCTCCGCTCACAAGCGGCCCTTTGCTGCCTGGGTCAAGCGTCTGACCAACCTGCACCCGAGCAGCAAGAAGGCAAAGAAGGCCTCCCAGCTCAAGAACAATCCATACCCTCAGTCCGGTCGTCTTCAGCAGTGCCGCCATGATTCTCTCAGCTCCCAATCTGCCTCGGACAATGCCAGCCTGAACGTCCACCACACTCCCAACTCGACCGCCAGCAGAAACTCGTCGTGCTCGGCTCCTCCTGTCAACAGCAATCGCTCGCAAGCCAACACTGTCGCTACCATCCCAGAGACGATCGCATCAGATGGAGGTTATTTCAAGTCGTCCACCAACGGTCAAGGCGGTGCCCTGAGTTCAGTTGACGGTGCCGGCCCCAACAGCACCTTCTCCTCGCCGAACCAGTCTCAGCAGTCACTCACCACTACTCTGACCACCATTCAATCGACCAACGCGCACCTCACTCCCAACCCGGCTCATGCCCACTTGTCGCAGCATCCACCCTCAGCTATTCCTCCACACCTCGCATCAAACACCAACAACAACCCCCACAACGACAATGCCTCCATCTTGACTCTGGCCTCTTCCTCCAAGCGTCGTCGTCGTTCTATGGATACCGATGCCTCTGTTCGTGCCATTGCTCCCAAGAGCGTGTGGGGTGACAGTAGAGAATCTCTACCTTTGAGTGTCCTGAGCGCAAACATAGATCACTCATCCACTCGTCCTGCTGTTGGCGGTCTGGTTAGTGCCGAGCGCGCCAGCATCTACTCGTCGCGTGATGTGTCAGCTCCTGCCATTGCCTCCGATCGCAATAGCTATTACGCGGCAAGCCACAGACAAGTCAAAGACAGAGAGCGAGACAAGGAGGCTCATCGCGATCGTGATTTCCCAGCCGATGGCAGGAGCATCAACTACGATGCCAAATCACTCAACTTCGATGGCAGAAGTCTCGGTGGTGACGTTGCCAGTCTGAGAGGTTATGAAGGCAGCGTACGCAGTGGTGCTTTGGGTCACGGCCGCAACGATAGTATCCCTAGCGGTGCACCAAGCCCTATGGTGGGTGGCTCTCCTCTGCTCAGAAGACCTTCGGGTGCTTTGACCTTCAGCTCCGACGTTCGTGACAAGGAGGACCACGAGCCCATGGACCACAAGACTCATTCTTAACGGAAGATTTGTCAATTTTCCTTACCATTTTTAGTCACGACTGGGATGGGACATTTGGGGATGCTGCTTTTGTTTCCTTAGCGGAGTTCGAGGGTTTGGGTGTGGACTTTCTCTTATTATTTTGTTATATACCCCGTCTGTACTTACAGACTCTCAGATGGTCAACCCTTAATATTCAATATTGCCACAAGTTTGTTTTTTCTGCATCTTATGGGTCGAATTGCTGTCATGTTTCGCACAGAGTCAACGCTCGTTAAGTGTATGAGAAAGGTAAATCAAGACAGACTGACAGTGTTGTCGGGATGTTTCTGGTGCCACCCTGACCTTGAATATATTCTCCTCTCAGGAACTTTCTCGAGCACTAGAGAGAAGGATCTCTCGAGGAAGATGTGCCTATAAGGAATGAATCGGTTCCTTGGTAGTCTTGCAGAGAGGTCAGGCTTGTTTCGTTGGGATCATTATTCTAGGTCACTTTACGGCAGCGAATCATGAATGGGAGGAGATGCTCGAGAGTCACCATGATATTTTCGAGGATACACATCCATTGCTATCCTTTCGCACGGACTGGGTCCCTTCACAACAAACTTGTAGACATCACATGCATATCAAATCAGTGCCTTCCTTAGGCACCACTGCAACACATGGAAAGTGGCAGTTGCCCAGTCCGGACAAAGTAGGAACGAATGACCCCGATGTTTCGAGCGAGTCCCACAGTCGAGCATGTTTAGGGCTCGCGTGACCTTTGGGAGCCTGTTGTTGCCGGTCGCAGCTCCGGTAGGGCAAACTCTAAACTTGACTGGCATGTTTCTCCACGTCCTTGATCGATAACGGCTATACCATTTTTACCCCTGAATTTGATTAATATCGCCATTTTTCCACGCGTGCGATCAGAATAGTGCTGTACGAGTATACGAACAGTATATTGCTTCGAGTCGGTGTTGCGAGTTTCTGTTTGGTGTGCCAATGACGTGTAACCATATCAGAAAATAGAGAATTATACTTCACCGTGCGCAAGTTATCGGGAAACAAGATTCCACCTTTGGAGCGGCGAGTTTAGTAAGCAGTTAGTAAGCAAGAGCTGGCAAGATTCGATATAAAAGCTCCCGTTCCTTCTCGATTTCTCTTTTCTTCTTCATACACATCTCCATCACTCTTTCGCTGCCCGTCAAGCATGGTGAACAGAAGCCTTTCTTCGGGGCGTCTAATAAGACACACACTCTTGTTGTCCTCACTGCATCGCTCCAGCAAGACCGAGCACTTTTTAGAAGGCTTGTTACGAGCGTTTGCAGTTGGAGAGGGGACTGAATGCACTGTGGGACTAGAGGTAATATTCAACATACCCCCTGGAGCTTGATCCAACATTACAATCCGCCTTCAGTGTTCAGAAAGAGGATTACGCCGTGCTAATAATTAAATCCTCTCATTTGAGGCCCGACTTACTGGGTGTAGAGAGGCACGAGGGTATGATTCACCGCTGTGGCACATTGAGTGAGCCCTTTCATTCCGCTTTCACACTGCAGACACGTTTCTGAGTTCGTGCATAAGCACCCGGGTTTGTTGCAAACATCTCCATATGGTTTTGCCGTAAAGCTTGCCATAAAAACATTTTTTCTCAATGAGTTACTGGCATCGAACGCTGGTACTTGTAGAGGGAATTGCGACGACTTCGCTCAGCTCAGCTGATTAGTTCTCGCAGACGATGGTGGCCTGGGCGGAGTCTCGGAGTACTTTGGCTATCCTGTCGACTTATGCATAACACAAGCTGCAAGGCTCCGCAGATCCTGGATGTCTCTCGCATGGCGGGCCCGACTTCCGAAGTATTCTCAGAACGATCCAAGTGTAGCGCGGCCGATGCGAAAGGTTTTCTCATATCCAACACGTCGTCTTCTCAGATCCGATAAAGCCACAACTCGACAATCCATGTTCACTGCTGACATTGTAGATATTCTTCTCAAATGGTTCCCAAAGTAGATGCGAAGGGATATATACAGGTGACCTTTTGGCTTGACGTCCTGTAAGTGTGACTGGTGGAGGAATATCCAGTGGTGGTGTCCGAAGATCAGGTATTAGAGGACCGAGTTTAATGGAAGACAGATCAAGGTGTGGAGGTAGGGACGCTTTTGGACGTCTGTGTGCTAGCGAAAAAGAGTCTGCTTTGTGCTTCTGAGGAGACGTCGGCGGCGTAGGCATTTGAGGCCATACTCTCGGCTTGCTGTATTGAGGCGATGTTGCAGACCTGACGAGTTGAGGCCTGTAAGACTGTAGGTGACTGGATCTTGGTCCTTGAGCGAGGCTATCTGGGGCTGGCAGTAACGATTCTGTATGATCTCGAGGCAGCGAGCATCCAGACTTCGATGGCTGAGCCGGGGTCGATACAATGTGATACCTTGGTGACACTGAGACCGCCACCTTGTTCGGAGTATTCTTGAGCTGGGTCATCTGGCTAGCTGAGACCGAACGAGAAAGTGTCACAGAAAATGCCGTGGTGGTTAGAGACTGGTCGCCACTTGGACTCAGAAGTGATGCTGGTATAGGTTTTGATAGCAATCGGTTTGTGTCTGTCCTTCTCACACGTCGAGGCGGTACTGGTGGTGGCACAGACTCAGTGGTCAGTGCCTGCGACGTCCCTGGCTGCCTCTTAGACTGAACAATGGTCAATGGAGGAGGTAGCAGACCAACGCTTTCTGTAAGCCTTTCTCTTTCAATGGACTTCCACTCTTCGAGCCAAGCAGGCAACATATGGTCGACACATTCCCAACCATCAGGTCTTTCGAAGCGTGGTCTCCACCTCAACAAGGGGCAATCCCTGTAACCACCAGACATGAAGTCTGGCCGTCTTGTACTGGCAATCAGATCGGCATCCCCAGTTTTGAGAACCTCAAGCATGACCATCCGACTGATCTTCTCCCGCAGAAACACCATCCAACTGGTGTCCGGAGCGTGGAACGTATAAGTATACTTCAACATGCAACATGAGAATGTCTGCGCACCAATGCCGAAAGTCTTGAGTCCCGTATGCAGTGATCCAGAAGGACCAGAGTCTGGAAATACTTGAAACGTACAGCTCTCCAGCACAGAGTCTGGTTGACTGGGTGTACGTATCTTGTAGAGGTTGAGAGGAATAACCCATGTGGATGAGTCGCCGACTCTTCTGAAATTCTCACGGATACCAGCTTTGTTGCATCCTCTGGCCTGATCATAATCCACCCAATCTGACGTGCGCCATCCATGAGCCGAGTATTTGCTCAGTATCTGTCCCATAGCTTCGTCTGGGGTGTGCAAGAAGTACATTCGACGGTCCACGAACGTAACGTTTGGGAACATACAGTAGGCCTTGTTCCATGTGATAATATTGACGTGAGCAGTAGAAAAGGCACAGTCAGTCAAGATACTGTGCAATGGCGATGTTCGAGTCAGATGGAATCGTATCTGTGGTGACCCAGGAGGGACCATTCTGCGGAATATGAGAACCTGCTGATGGTAAGCCATGCAGGATATGGAACGGCAACGTCCAACTCACCTTGGTGAGTGTACGATTTTGGTCGTCATCTGACCAACCATAGCTGTGATCAAACTTGTAGTTTTTGTCGGCACCGATATATCGAATCAAGGCATCTGCTTTCGAACCTTGATGAACGTATATGTCCAGTCCAGAGTCCAACCAGTAGAGCTGGGCGAAGAATAGGAGTGCAAAAGTGCCAGAGATCAAGGCATCTGCTTCTCCCAGTCTCGATCTGAACTCTTTAGGATCGTTCACAAATCGTGCTAGTCTCCGATCAATGTTCCAGTGACAAGGCAGCATATTTCTGTAGAAGGGAGACAGTCTTTTGCATGTCCGACTGATGGAAATCACATCTTCAATGTCGAGACGCTGGTAGATATTGTCGAACACAAGATTGTATCGCTCATAGTGGGTGAAAAGGTTCAGGAGAGGTGAGTGTGATGCTTGCTGCGATGATCTCGTATGCCGTTCAGTACTATTACTGAGATTTGTGATGGTCGAGGAGTCTCGAATGAGGATCGTCTGCCTTCGCGGTTCTTCTTGACCACGCGGCTTGTTGGAAGGAAGGCGCTGGCTTCGCAGTAATTCCTTCTCGTCCTCCACTTCCATAAGAAGCTGTACAATGGACTCAGCCGAAGTCATTCTAGTGATCCGAATACACCAGACGCCAAGGTTTCGGCAATAAATATAGGGGAGAAAGTCAAAGGATACTAGGACTAAGGTGGTCAATCATGGAGACCAATGGGTTTTGGTAGCCGACCACCTAGCATAGTGGCTATTGGTTGCCCTGTCATCATGAAACTGTTGGCGAACAGATGTCCATTCATATGCAATGGATGCTTAGCTAATTTCTGGCTCCGAGGATCTCAAGTAGGGGATCACTAGCTTGTCTCCTCGATTTGCCAAGCCAGGGAGTTTGGTGGAATCGTTTGAACAACGACCGGTTGAGTTCCGCAAACACCTTGTTGTCAATGCTAATGCCATTAGAGAACCTTAAATTGTTTTAGAACTGTCAGGCGACAGAAGCTCCCTGCCGCGCATGGGATATCTAGAAACAAGTCATGAGAGTGAATATAGTAAGCGCTCGAAAGTGCGTATTCATGGTAAAACCATTTGTGCTGAGTTGACGTGTCAACCAAGTTCCGGTGTCAGCAAGTGGCTGATCGGACAGACCGAATTCTGGACTGCTCTACTCAAAGATGCAGCATGCCTTTTGGGACTAGCTGTATAAACAAGATGTGTTCCCCAAGCGTTAGATCGACCGAAGGAACGTTGTCAGGGTCGAGCTGAGAGGATCGGGCCTCGCAACCAACGGACGCAGCCGTACGGTTGATACGGACAAGTACGGACAAGCCTCCTGCAGCCCGGGGTTGAAAATATCCAGATATACAGACACAGTGTGTTGTAGAATGAAGACGATAGCAGATACTCGGAGTATATCCTCTTTGAAGAAGCCACGTTCAACATGCTGCGACATAGGTACCTGTCAAGTGTCACGCGAATTGCAAGAACAAGAATCATCACAGGAAGGGTCGAACTGTTTTTTCCTGATTTGTTGTGGTATTTTGAAGCAGCATGAGAAAAGTACTTTGCTTTTCTCGCCATATCGTGACTCCCATGGTTCATGGCCGTGAACCGATGCATCCCAGCTCAGTAAAAAATGTAAAACAGTTGTTCATTCCCATTCCGTGACCAGCGCCTTTTTTTTTTTTGAAAAACCAATCAAGTCAAGTCCAGCAACCCGTGGCGATACGCTTATGCGTCCTCAACAACGGTGGTCTGGAGACCCTTGGGGTCCTTGACGTTGACGGCCTGGACGTAGGAGTAGAGCTTCTCCTTGGCGCCCTCCTCGTCGTTACGCTTGCGCGAGATGCGGACGCGGAGGCGGAAAGGAACACCCTTAACACCACACTCCCAGACCTTCTTGTTCAACTGGGGGTCGAGGCGAACGTCGCGAGTGCCCTAGATGGAGGAAAGAACCAGTCAGCGCCTGAGATTTTGAAGAGGGTGTCGCGTGTGTCTTGCGCTGGCGAATTGCTTTCAGAGGCCCTCTGGGCATGCGCCAAACACACAAGCAGACAAGAAAAGTGTTCACTCACCATGGCGTTCTCAGCGAAGGCCTTGATCTCCTTGATGGCGCGGGGAGCGCGCTTCTTGAAGGTGACACCGTGAACCTATATTAGAGAAAAATCCGGAATCAGTCTTCCGCCCGATACCAGCTCATGTTGGAGAGCGGCCATTGATGGACTTCATCAAACTGAACGTACACGCTTGTGCAGGTGGATGGTGTACTCGCGAGCGACAACATCGGCAATGGCGGAACGGCCAGCCTTGGGCTTCTGGGTCTTCTGGGTGTTGGACATTTTTACGTCGTCGTTGGGCGAGAGGGCGGATGCTTGTCGAGATGCTCTTCGGTCGTCGCAAAGATGGAGTTTCGCAAGATTTTCCCACAGCCTTTGCGAAATCCCAAGCGAGCCTTGGCAAGATTTCTCTAGTCACGTGCGCCTTCCGAATCTGGACCGACCATTGCCATCGACCAGCAGGTTGCATTCAGTCGACCACTAATCCACGATCCAAGTGAAAATGGTGTTGCGGGCTGTAAGTCTCGCATCTCTGGTCGGTAGAAGCAGAGTCTTCACGAATCAGAGTTGCATTTCATCAAGGCGGTATCTGTCAAGCTCGCCTCAGCATGACCCTTTGCGTGTACTCTTCTGTGGCGCAGATGAGTTCAGCATATATTCACTCAAGGCTCTTAACAAAATCAGAAAAGAAAACCCTGAAAAAGTAGCTTCCATCGACGTGGTATGCAGGAAGGACAAGCGTGTTGGTCGAGGACTGAAGCAGATTCGTGAAGGTAATCATTTTCGCATCTCAGTCTAACGTTCTAGTCGCTGAGTCTCCATAGTTCCAATCAAAAGCGTGGCAGGTACTGAGCTGGACCTCAATGTACATCAGATTGACACATTCACTGGCTGGACTCCACCTCAGCCTTTCAACTTGGTGGTCGCTGTTTCCTTTGGCTTGCTTGTTCCGCCGCGTATTCTGAATGCAGCCAAGTATGGCGGTCTCAACGTGCACCCTTCAATGCTTCCTGAGTATTCTCCGATCAACCCATCGTGATTTGTTTCCCCAACTGACAGTGTTCGTTCAGCTTGCCTGGTCCGGCGCCTTTACATCATACATTATTGCGACGACTAAGTAAGACTGGTGTGACTCTACAAACATTGCATCCCAAACATTTCGATCAGGGCAGAATCATTGATCAGACCTCTGCTTCCGGACTCTCTGTCCCAGACGAAGCATCGGCCACTCTAGACTCACTACTGGCTTGGATTGGTCCACTTGGTGCTGACATGCTCTATACCAACATCATGAATGGCAGTTTTGCTACAGACACCGACAAGAAGCCTGCAGCTAGCCGAAGCCTCAAAAACACGAAGAACGATCTGTTCGGTCAGCTAGACGGATCAGCTGAGTATCCTCGCCACGCCAGAAAGATCATACCAGAAGACCGACACGTCAACTTCCGCTGGCCATCATCTGAGATTTTACTGAGAGATCGTGTCCTTGGTCGACTCTTCGCCCTAGATACAGGACTCGCACCCACTAAGCGAATAACTTTTTCTGGATTTGAGGACTCGACTGATGCTTGCTGGGACCAAGTTCAGGCTAAAGGTCCTATCCTCAGGATGGGCAATCATCCACTGGACCCTGGTGCAATCTCGATATTCAGACATGACAAAGAGAAGCGCATATACTTCCGTACGAAGGATGGCTGGGTCAGTCCGACAGAAGTCACGATTGAGGGCAGTCCCAAGCAGAAAGCGACAGTCATCTACGAGAAGCTAAGGCAAACGATGCCTGTGACTTGTTGCTAGTCGGATGAGTCAACTTCATCCTACTCCGACTACAGCAAAGAGTATTATCATACTATAGAAATGCACAATTGTTTTCAGAAGCAGAGGCATGTCCAATGAGAGCTGATACTATGACGCCTCTCAGTGGACACTATCCTGTTTTCTGAAAGTCTTGTGAATTTTTATAGCCACACACGTCAAATGCTTTTGGACACGGAAGTATAGAGATGTTCTTCAATGACCGGTACTACCAACGCTCTTCTGCCTGCACGACGTACTTGAAGATTTTGAGAACGATCTCGGGAGGCAGTGTTGGTAGATGGCCCTGATAGACCACTTGAGGGTTGTTGATCTGGTGGCTCATGGTTGCGAGTACGGGCTGTGTCCACTAACGTCGAGGACTTTGGTGCTGGCGTATGGAAGACCGGTGTCGAAATGGCAGTTTCGTTGTGTGTACCTCCGCGGCCAGTGCTCGCGCTCAGTGCTCAAGTTCGTGTCGAGACATGGTTCGAAGCAAGTAGCACGAAAACACGAGCATGATAGAGCAGGATGGTGAGCCCTGTGTACGAACAGAACGACAGCAGGCCATTAGCAGTCTCAGACCCCCCGTCTTAGCAGTAAGCACTGTTGGCTGTCAAGTTTCATGTGTGTATGTGAGAACTAAAGTTATATTTTGAAAGTATTGCTGGATTCCAACTGTACAGACCACTGTTATATGAACATGCAAGGTGAACAAGAAAGATATGTTCCACATTTCTGCTCCCTCAAGCAGAGTAGTAAGTAGCCCACTTGCTATTGCCATTCACTACATCAATGAATGCTCTGGCGAAGTTACGGTCGGCTTGTTCGCTAGGGTGCAGCGGATCATACCAAAGGTATGAGTCTGGGTTAGAAGCAGCAACACAGTCTGTGCCGTTTGTGGTGCAGTGGTTGACATAGCCAGTTACGGTAGGGTTGGTGCCGTTCAAGTATTCAGAGGGGTTGTTGTACATATCGGTGATCTGTGCAAGAATTAGCTTTGGGAAAGAGGAGAGATGAAAAGAAGGGCCGTGACTTACCAAACCATACATATCCATAAGAGCAAAATGAGCGCCAGGGAACTTCTTGGCAAGCAAAACCTCATAGGGAGTGCGATACTTGTAGACATCATTGACAGTCGTCACAGTCTCCAGCATCCTTCCCCAAACCTCTGTAATATTGGCAGGTTTCTCAGGCCAGTATTGCGTAGCATTGAGCCCACCTTTACTAGGCAACCCATACTGCGGAGTCAACTGCAAAGGCGAAACATTCTGCAGAACAAAATACCTAGCTCCCGAGTCGTACAGACGAGAAAATTGTTGGTACACACAGTCAATGTAGTCAGGAATGACTTTTCCAGCAACTTGACTGTCGTCGATGAAAGCGTAGTTGCCGAGATCGTTGGTGCCGATGAAGATGGAGTAGACGGTAGAGTCTACAGGGATATCTAGAGCTTTTGTGCCGTTTGGGTATATGTATTTGCTGTCTGCGAGATAGGCAGGGACTTCGTAGCCATCGACATCTGGAAAGTCGGCGTTGATGGTGGAGAAAGTACGAGGGGTGATGTTGTTGCTGCAGACTGCTCCAGAAACGGCATAGTTGTAGATATGAGCGCCAGAATATTGGGCTACGTATTGAGGCCATGGACGACCTCCATCTGCTGCATGGTAGTTTGCTGGATTGACCCAGCCGACTGGTGGAGCACTGCCATTGTGAGAGCCAAAGTAGGCGAGACGAGAGTCGTCGGTGTAGCTGTCTCCGAAAGCAACCAGACTGGTGAATTTCTTAAGGCCCCAGGAAGAGGGATTGGAGCCTGCAGGAGGTGGAGGTGGAGGAGTGGCAGAATGGAGGGGAGGACCAGGAGGACCAAAGTGTGGCCATGCTGATGCCACAGAGGACAAAGCAATCAATGCTGACAGTGAGAAGGTAGACATGACGATCAAATCTCAAGAAAGGCAAGTCAAAAGAAAAATGACAAGCAAAACAAAGAGCACAACTCTACCTTCTTATACTTTCCATCTCCTCAAACATAAGAGCCTATGGGAGGAACCATACAGCCTGTCTCGGTTACAGCAGCGGAACAAGAAACTGCAACCTTCCACTAGCCCTTCCAGCCCTTACATTCTCTACACGGCAGAGAATGCATGTCCTGCCATGTTGAACAAGCTTTCTCCGTCCAGAAAAAACGGGAATACATGTCAAGACGTCAAAGATCCCCGCGATTTCTCCACCTTTCGATCTGCATCATGATCGCACCACCGAAAATGAGGGTTGGAGATTAGGCTAAAGGCGATCATGATGGGGTTTCTAAGCAACAGAAAGCTATACTAACGCGCGATAAACCGATACCGGTGCTGGATGACGGGAACATGAAGTGAAGATGTATATGCAACTTTGCTGTGATGCTGTGCGAGCCGCAAAGATGGCAGGAGGAACAGCTCGTGTCAAGGTGGCTAGGTGGGGCATTACCAGCGATGCAGAATGCAACTTCCTTGCCCTGATCAATTTCACACACAAGCTCTAGTCTATCCGATAATAACCTGCTCTTCTATGATTTCCATTTCATCAATGTCAACAAAAGCCTCTGCATTTTGTTCGTTGATCAACCGCATATGTATTAGGTAGAAACAAGCGGGTGAGTCTTGGAAGAATTGTCACTTTATACATCTATATCCTGCCTCTTCCCTTCTACAAAGCAGATCTAATAGCCGACTTGAAAGGGAAAATCTGAATCTGTTCTAAGAGTTAGCACCATCACCCAACCCACCATTCCACTCTCTATCACCAAGGTCACTCACCTTATCCATATCCCAAACACCTTGGCCAGCATAAACATCCTTCTTGATCTTTTCGAGCACTTCTTCCTTGGAGCTTGCTACAGCCATCATGACCGATCCGTTGATCTTCAGGGGCGAGCCTTCTTTGGGGACGTCTTCGAGCATTGCTCCGCCTAGGACCCAGAAACCGCTTGCGGCGTCGGGTTTGATGTTGGAGAGGTGTTGTCTGTTGTTTTTTTGTGTTAGGAAGCTTGTCTGAGTGTGCTGGGAGGGGCTGGATGCACAGAGCCCGATTTATTCAAAGCGGATAGTCGTAGTATGTTTCGAATGTGTAATTCGAGTGTGTAGAAGTGAGGAAATACTTACTCTCTAACAGCCATTCTCTTGTCCAAAGCACCGACATTGTCGGGCAAGATGACCATCCACTCGTACTTCTGAGACATGATGCGAGATGTTGTAGAAAAGGTTCGTCGTGTAAATAGAGAAGAAGCTTGTCGAAGTGCAAACATCAGATTTGTTGTGAAGATCAGGTAGAAGACAGGATGAGCTTCTGGGATTCTGTGACGTTCCGAGGTTCGGCGCGTGTGGGGCAAGTTGTTGGTGCTTTGGAGGGGTTTGGTTTGGAGAGAAGTCCGGCCCGAAAGGACACCATCTCATTGCCGTGTTTGCTATCCAGACTTTCAATTCTCTGATTCAAGATGCATGTATTGATGTTATGATATCCTGTCAAGCATGATAATTGCGGTGAAGGACGGAATATGATCAAGCTTATCGTTGATACGAGACGAAATATTGGTTGTATAGACATCATATAATCTTTCTGTGCAGATCGTATTTCTCAAAACCAAAGCAGGCCTCAAACCAACGCCGACGCTATGCAAAGGAAAAGAGGAAAGAAACAGGTGTCTGAGTCAGGACATCCTATCTTCTGCCACCGCGGCCAGCTCCTCCCATACCACCCATGCCTCCCATGCCTCCCATGCCTTGCATCATTTTCATCATCGAGCTCATATCAGGCATACCACCGCCTCCAGCACCACCGCCCATTCCCATGCTGCGCATCATGGCACCAATATCCATACCGCCGAGGTTTGGCATGCCACCAGCACCACCGCCACCTCTGCCTCCCATCGATTGAAGACGCTTCTGCATAGCGGCCATCTGCTGCTGGTTGTTCTTGCCACCCATGGCGCCCTGTGCCTTTTGCATATTCTGCATGCCTCCCTTGAACTTCTTGGCCATGCCACCCATGACCTTTTGCTGGGACAAGAGTTCTTCAACCTCACGAACACTGGTGCCACTGCCCTTTGCAACGCGGGTCATACGGGATGGCTGGTCAACAAATATCTTGCCGTCAGAGTCGAGTTCCTTTGCTGTCATAGAGTCGCAGATGTAGATCATGCGCTTCAGCTTCATGCTGCCTTCTTCATCGTCCATTTGTCCCATGAGACCACTCAAGCCAGGTATCATACCAGCCATCTTGGAAAGAGGACCCATCTTCATGATGTTGTTGAACTGATCGCGCAAATCACGGATGGTGAATTGACCCTCAGCGATGTGCTTCATGGTGTCCTTCTGGTCAAGCTTCAAGCTTTGGACATGCTCAACCAGGCCAGCCATGTCACCCATGCCCAACAGCTTCGAGACGAAAGATTCGGGGTTGAACCTCTCAAGGTCGAGCAAGTGTTCACCAGTACCGATGAAGACGATGGGAGTATGTGTAGCAGCAACAGCAGAAATAGCACCACCACCAGCGGCAGCACCATCAGTCTTTGTGATGATGATGGCACCGTAGTCGGCAGTCTCCTTGAAAGCTCTGGACTGAGCTTCAGCAGCTTGACCAATGGAAGAGTCGAGAACCATGATGGTCTGGTGAGGGGTGACGGCCTTTTGAATCTGAACCATCTCATCGAATAGATCCTGTTCCTGTCTGTGACGACCCGAAGTATCGACAATGATGATCTCGAACTTCTCCTTCTTGAACTTGTCGACACCTTCTCTTGCGACGATGACGGGGTCGGTCTGGGTCAAGCTACCGTAGTAGGGGATCTTTGCTTTGGTGGCATTTTGCTTGAGCTGATCGAAGGCACCAGCACGGAAAGTATCGGCGCAAACCAGGGCAGTCTTGAAGCCTCTCGCCTGGTACCAGCGGGCGAGCTTGGTACAAGTCGTGGTCTTACCAGCACCCTGGAGACCGACGAACATGATGACGTTGGACTTGCCCTTCTTGGGCTGGTATGGGGTGTTGTGGGGATCGACAAGCTTGACCAATTCATCAAAGACGGCCTATGTGGAAGTTAGCGGTTGGTCTAGGTATAGCAGTACGCACTTTGCGGTACCTTCTGGATGATGCGCTTCTTGTTCACACCAGGAGCAAGTTCGTTGAAGTTGACAGTCTTCTTGATGGAGTTTCTCAGGCCAGCGACCAGCTTGATGTTGACATCTGCCTCGACGAGAGCGTTGCAAATTTCCTTGATCATGCCATCAAAAGCCTTTTCGTCCAGAGTCGCGGACCTGGTCAGGTCGTTGACGGCGGCATTGATGCGGCGGCCGAGATCTTGCAAAACCATCCTGGCTAGTTGACTGCGATGTGATCGAGCCTAGTTGCTATGGTTGCAGTGAGGAGAAGGAGGGTTTGAGGGAGAGAGAGGGCGCGTGTGGTCGTGTGTGCGATGTGTAAATTGGTGACAGACAAGCAGCGAGCAGCAGCAGCACAAGAGTCGATCGCATGGCGGGGCGGCGAGTCGGCCGAGCATTGACCACGACCGCGACTTCCCCAGATTTCAATTGTTCTTTTGCAGCACCAAAGTTCACAAAAAATCCCAGCCGCGCCTCTAACAATCCTATACACTACACCACACATCACACACCATGGGTAATCCAAGCGCAAAGAGAAAGAGACCCGAGGGCATGGGCTTCCGCAAGCCCAAAAAGACCATCAGCAAAAAGTTCAAAAAGCAAAAGGCATACCACAGTGACAGCGAGAGCGAAGACGATGTCCGATCCACAAACACCACCACCGATTTCAAGCCCGTCAACATGGAAGACTCGGACGAAGAGGTCGAGGACGCGCCTGTTGCTGTTCCTGCACCTGTTGTTGAGAAGAAGGTCACACCAAAGCCTGCCGCTCCTGTAAAGGCAGAACCTGCACCTGCTGCAGTACAACCAAAACTCAAGTCGGCATTGAAACAATCTAAGAAGGTCGACCCGCCGTCAGAGAGTGAAGAGGACGACGACGAAGACGATGACGAAGACGACAACCAAGTCGAGGATCTCGATGCGCTGGACGACGAGGACCTAGACGAATCCGATCTAGAAGACGACGACGAAATGGACCTAAGCGACGACGAGGATGGAGAAGGCAAACAGAGAAAGACACGCAAACGCAACGATCCCACCGCCTTCGCTACATCCATGTCCAAGATTCTGGGCACAAAACTCACCACCTCGAAACGACAAGATCCCGTTTTGTCAAGGAGTGCTGCTGCAACTGCCGCTTCCAAGGAGTTGGCCGATCAGAAGCTTGAATTGAAGGCAAAGAGAAAGTTGCATGCCGAGAAGAGAGAGGCGTTGGAAAAGGGTCGTGTCAAGGATGTTTTGGGTCTGAACACCCCTGAGGTCAGCACTGCTGAGATTCAGGAAACCGAGAGGAGGTTGCAAAAGACTGCTCAACGTGGTGTTGTCAAGCTCTTCAACGCTGTCAGAGCCGCTCAGGTACAGGGAGAGCAGGCTAGAAGCGAAGCAAAGAGGGAGGGTGTGGTCGGTATCTCGCAGAGAGAGGAGAGAGTCAGCGAGATGTCCAAGAAGGGCTTCCTCGACCTCATCGCCACGGGAGGAAAGAAGCCTGCTGCTGTTGAGGCTTAGATGTAGATTACGATACCCGCTCATATTCTTGAAACTTGTTTGCCGTCATGTATTGCTCGTTAGCGGTTATGTACATTGCATGCCTCTATTGACCCTTCTGGGAGCGACTGATAGCAACCATGCCCTCTACACCACCATTGTTGTCGCCCAAGACACCACCCTTCTTCAAGATACTGATAGTGTGCTCAACAACACTTGACTCGACGCCTCTGACATCGTCTGCGAACTTTACAGTCTTAAGCCAAGCGTTGGCATCTTCTTGCGAATACTCCATGGTGCCAGTGATGTGCTCGACTGACTCTTCTTGGTGTTCGCGGAAGTACTGGACTCCTTGGTTGAGCTTCTCGGCCATGACCTCCAACTTCTTGTCTTTGGCATCTCTTGCTACGATCATCCAGCTAGGCCAGGGTGTGTAGATCTCGCCAACTCGCTTCAGCTCGCCATTGTCGTAGAACTTTTTCGTCGTGAACTGTGATCGAGAAGGTTAGCACATCTCATGGGCTTCTGGATTCCAGGCATGACTTACGTGCTCCCACATGAAAAAGTCGGCCTTGTCACCTTCGTTCACACCATGTCTCAGAGCCTTGAAGTCTCCCAACGGAACAACTTCAAAAGGCTTCTTCGACTTTTCCAACCAGCCCTTCTGATCAGCAAGCACATACGACATGACATAAGACCCACTACCAATCCTTGAAACACCAACTCTCTTGCCATTCAGCTCATTCTCATTGTTGATAGAGCTCTTGTTTCCAACACTGATGGCCCAGCATAACGGACTCTCGACGTATGTGCCGACGAGTTTGTAGGCAGGTGTTTCGTTGCTTGCGTTCGTCTTTCCTAGGTCTGCGATGAAGCCTTCGGTCAGACCGATTGCGACATCGATGCTGTTGTCTTTGAGGGATGCTGTGAGGGCGCCGGTGCCAGTGGGGAAGGGTTTGATGTCGGCTTCGAGGCCAAAGTGCTTGATGGCGAAGTGTAGCGGTGTCGAGAAATGTTCTTGAGTACATTGTTAGCTTGACATGTGCGGTACAGAGCTGTTTGGGCATGCACATTGCTTACCGGGAATGTACCCGATGCGTAGTCTTTCTGCAGCCATCCTTGACGTTGTAGCGAACCCACGAGTTGCAATATTTCTGGTAGATACAAGTCTTTGTGAGAACATGTCGCGGAGGAAATGCTCAAAGGTGAATTGATCGTTCGTGTAATTACCAATCGCCCCGCACCGTCATTGACATCAGCTCCAAGCGACCCCACTGGCTTCTTTCCTTCTCGAAGCTCTCCCACAAAGGTACTGTACATACCAAACAAATGGCCATCCCCAGAAACTCTCTAGGAGCTTTTCTCAGACAAGCAAAATCCAGCTTGAAAAAAGCCATCGACCAGAAAGAGAAGGTCACTTTGGTAATTGGCAATGAATCTGCAGGTTTGTTGTCCCCGAACCCTTCACTACAAGATACTCAGAACTCATACATACACTTTCCAGATCTTGACTCTATCACGAGTTCAATCGTATATGCATATCTCAAGTCCATCACACACTCGACAAAGTCTCCTGCTACCTTACATATCCCTCTCTTGAACATTCCCGAAGTGGATATAAATCTGAGACCTGAACTTTTGGCTTTGCTACCACATGCAAACATCCACCAAGACCATCTCATCACTTTGGACGACCTTCCCAATCTCGGCACTATAAAAGAAACCTTGGTGCCAGAATCAACAAGATGGATCTTAGTCGACCACAACTCTTTACAAGGAACCCTCGGCTCTATCTATGCAGATCGCGTAGTAGGTGTAATCGACCACCACGCCGACGAGCAAAAAGTCCCAACCGATACTGGAGATGAACCTCGCATCATCACAACTGCTGGAAGCTGCACAAGTCTGATTATAAACCATTGCCGCGAAGCTTGGGATAGTTTGGCCTCAGGAACATCTTCTACAGGAGCTGCTCATGCACAGGGCGATACGCTTATGGAAGATGAAGCCGTGACGTCTCTCTGGGATGCACAGGTAGCGCAACTAGCTCTTGCTTCCGTGGTCATCGACACTATGAATCTTGAAGACGAACACAAGACCACTCAGCATGACATCGACGCTGTAAAATACCTCGAAGCCAAGATCAACCAATGTCCAAAGATTGGAGCTCAATTCGATAGAAGTGAATTCTTCAAAGAGATCAACGAGGCCAAGAAGGATCTCAATTCTCTTACTGTTGAGGAGATCTTGAGAAAAGATTACAAACAATGGACAGAAAATGGATTGAATCTTGGTACCAGCGCAGTGGTGCAACCCATCTCTTTCCTCAAAAACAAAATCAACGATGACAAAAACGACAACTCGTACCTGCCTCTCCTGCATACGGCCAAACAGTTTGCGCAAGAGAGAGATTTGTGCATCTTCTCCATCATGACAGCCTACGAAGCAGAAGATGGAAACTTTGCTAGAGAAGTCGCTGTGCTAGCAGTGGACGAGAGAGGCTTTGCTGCATGCAAAAAGTTTGCAGACTCGTCGAGTCAAAAGCTTCAATTATATGAGGAAGATGCTGATGAGAGTGGTGAACACTGGTTCCACATCTGGAAGCAAGGAAATCTTTCTGCTAGTAGGAAGCAGGTTGCTCCGTTGCTTAGGGAAGCCATGTCAGGATGATCTCAGTCCGTGCACATAGAAAAAGAGCATCACAGGTGGTCAAAATTTTGTATAGAGAATATGATGGGAAAGAAAGGCTGTGAGCGAAGAGCTTCTATGATATTGTGTCTTTGCGGGCTTAGCAGACTAGAGTCCAGGACCTAGATACTATGGTTCTTTGTCGTAGATCAGCTAACTACAAATTGGCAGTGTTTGTAGAGCTTTAAATTATAACACTCTCATATATACAAAGCCTTGAAGTTCTTTGTAACGAAAGACATCAAGTTCACATTACCCCTCACCCAGCTAGGGAGCTGCAAGCACTGTGAAGCCCAACCAGCATGGTAGATCTAACATCGGTCAATCCCGTAAGATTCCTCCCTTGTCTACCGTCTCTGCTAGCTCGTCGAGCGGTGGATTAGCCATAGCCGCAGCAGCCAAGTATCGCGCTGATACAGGGTAATCAACACGCAGCGACCTCACTCCCAAGTCTCCAACATTAACCATGACAGCAGACTGCGTGTCCTCAGAGCGCTCATCCAGCACGAGAAACCAGTCGCTCTCTAATCGATCAGATCCCGTGTGCTCGATCATCTCTTTGAGCACCTCTTGAATGCGAGCATACTCCATTTCGAAAAACGGCCCTCGAATTACAGTACTTGGATCTTCTCCTCGGAGTTCTGCGGTGGCGCCGCTATAGGTCATTTCAAGATCTAGAATCAAGGTCAGGGTGTGGGGGAGTCGTTCCTTGTCATCTTGGCGCTTCACTTGTTCGAGGAAGTTGTTTATAGCCTTGAGAGATATCTTGTCAGAAGGTGATCTAAACAATCAACTGTTGCACGGTTCGTACCTGGAGTGTGAGGTCGCTTGTGCAACAGACGGCGGTGATACCTCCATCCCCTCCAATTAACACATTCTCAATTGCCATGATGTGTTATCCGAGGTTCGCTTTGGATGCCGGACGCTGAGCGAACAGAATAGACGCGAGCAAAAGAAGTGACCCAGCGACAGGTGTGCAGTATGTCCTTATGCTCTCCTCCTTAAAACACGCTGTGCATACGGGCACGCGGATCCATCAATAGTCACATGAAGACAACCTATGCCGGTCTTTGGCTAAGAACAGGTTAGTAGTCAAGAAGCTCTGTGGAACTGGTAGCGTACCGGATTTGCCGTTGGGGCTGATCTGGGGGCTTAGACGAGAAGCATTTACAGGTAGTCAAAATGTTGTATAGAGATCATAATCGAGGAAAAAGACTGTGAGCGAAGAGCTTCTGTAATGTGGTTCTTTGACGCTGATCTTAGAGTGGTTTGTTCTTGATTTGTTCATCTGTTCTCTACTCGATTCTGTCTTTTCCCCTTTTCAACTTCTGTATCATTTCTCCCGCCTTGTCGAAAGAAGAACACAGGGCCCAGTGCTTGTTTGCACGCTCTTCTGACCTGCGCGACGAATGGCATATTTTGCACCCCGTTGAGCGAATGAAGACGCCTTCATACTCGTTTCAATGACATCCTCCCAGCTCAGATCGTAGACGACTCGACGATGATCTCGCATTCACTCTAGTCACCACTTTCTTCGCTTCCGACGGTGCCACCACTGGTCTCGTCACCTCCGCCATCTTCCATGCTGGCGTCTTCATTCTCACCAGAAACAATATAATCTTCGGGAGGAGAATCTTTGGAGATGCCAACAATGTCAGTGCGAACATAACCGATCCTTTCGATATCAGCAATCTTGTCGGTTTCCATCTGTGCCACTTCATCTGACAACGCCTTGAGTTGACCAGAGATGCTTGTTTGATTGGTCAAGATGATAGCCTCATTCGTATCCCCAGAGGGTGCCAAGATGAATTCGAAATCCCATGCAAGTTGGCCTTTGAGTTCGTAAAAGCCACTTGGAAGTTGGAACCACGCTATGAACCCACCAAAGTCATTGACCACATTTTGTCCTTCAGCGAAACGATAACGGCATTGCGACATTTCGAGGTGCCTCAGATTGATCCTACGTGCGAGTCGATCAAGAATAGTGCTCCAGAGGTTGGTGTCGAAATATCCTGTGTAGAAACTTACGTTGTGCAGCGTAAGTCTTCTGAGTGTCTGGCTGTAAAACCACGACAAGTCTGGTTTCTCGAACAAGCAATTTTTGAGCTTGACATGAGTTAATGAACAGGCCGAGAGACGAGAGAGCAAAGACTCCACGTCAGGACCTAGATCTTCTTGGTACGTGGCCGAATCGAGCTTGAACCCGGCCAAGTCAAGCTCGCCTGTATTGCGATCATAACTGAGATAGTATCGAGGTCTACATGAGTCACCCATTTCCAAGCTCAATTCGAAGCTCAACGCTCCAGGCAGACAACCAAGAACATGGTGCAAGAGGTTGTGGATCTCCGTTCCGTGATTCGTGTTATCTGTATATGGCATGCAGATGCTGAAGATGTCAAGCTTGATGCCACCAATGATACATCCAGACTTTTGAGCTGCTCGAAAAGTCTCTTTGAAAGTCTTGGTGAACTGGTTACACTCATCTCGTCCAGAGTTTTAAGTGCTTGGATGGTTGCGTTGATCAGACATCATGTAGCAGTCCGCGTGGTAGTATGTAGAGCCATAGCACTTGAATGCGGTATCGCAGACTCCGATGGACACCGATAATGAGTGATGTCTGATGTTGGAGAAAGTCTCTTCAAGTTTGACCCGAAGTTGCTTAAAGCTCATAGCGAGATGGTGAGGGGCAGGGTTTTTGCAAAGTAAGATGTGACCCGGACACTGGACGCACGATCGGGGAACGCCTTTCAAGGAAGGGTTCTCACGGACTTCTGGACGGGAACCGCTGATGACTACCGTTTTGACGAATTTACCAAAGAAAGGATGAGCTGTGATTTGGACTAGGGCTTCCATGCTATACGTAGAAGCAACATGCTTGCGCTCGGAGAAGTGCCTCTTTGCGAAGGGACCGCTGGAGATAGCGCAAAGGCGCTTGTTGGTGAGGCGCAAGGTTTTGAGAGATTGAGAGTCGACCAGGTTGACAATGAGTGAAAGGATCTCAGAAGGCATGCCGGGCAGCGAGCGGTCACGATCGTCTTTGTATGGCTCCTAGCAACGGTGTCAGTACGCGTCCAATTAACGGATCAGACATGCTACCCACCATCTTGATGACGGCAAAGTAGTTCGAATCTCTGCGATGCGCAATGAAAAGTATTGCTGTGATCGCTCGAGGGTAGAACTGGCAATGGTGTTTGAGAGTTGTGATGGTTCTTCGAAGCACGGTCTACGACGTAACCACAAGTGGAAGGTTGAGTCTTGTTTGTTGTCGTCGGGATTCTCGGTGTTGTGAAGTTGAGATATGGCTTGCCCACCGAAATCGGGTGTATCGTCTCAGGACGCTCTGCGCAAGAGGTCGGACTTCGCTTTGTGCGCGCGACTGCTTAGCACAAGGTGTCTGAGAGATCCTGGTTAGGATGTGCCAGCGAGTGCTTGTATCGGTTCGGCGTGTGGAAGTAGTGAACGTAGATGGAATGATGGTATGAAATTGGTTGAAAGCAGTTGCTTTGCAAGTCAGCGCCGAAGCAAGTTATGTTCTTCGCGCTGATTGTGTTGGCTTTCACTTGTCCGTCAGTGGGCGACTACGCCAAGTGAAAGAAACCACGATTGAGACGACATTGGAAAGGACGACACAGAGGTCAAGACTGCTTCGTTCTTACCATCTGTACCTACTTACTGTTCATGCAATGATCTTCGACTTAAGCCTCTGTCTCGCCTCCAAAGTCTTCAAGATCACCCTCCATCTCTCCGTCGTCTTCCATTCCATCCCCTTCAACGTCTTCATCTTCTGCACCACCTTGGGTGTTCTCATCACCATAAATCTCTCCTTCACCCCTGAATTTGTCTCTGACTCTTTGAGCAATGTCTGTCTTCACCAAGTTTCTTATCTCTCCAGACAATTGCATCACCTTCTCAGGGTGAGCACCTCTCTCAAAATAGGTCTGAGGGTAGGTCGTCTTGTCGATCTCATCAGGGATAGATGACACCGTCTGGTAGGATGCTGTGTCAGGAGCCTGCCCGTTGAGCATCATTCCGATCATGTCTCGCATTATGATACGTGCTTTGGCGACAGTTCCATTGAGATACCAGCCATAATTCACGGGCTGTCACTGTTAGAGAGGTGATTCAAAGGGAAAGGGAATGGCAACATACATCAAATTCAGATCGCAGGTTTTCAGTGGCTAGCAAACCTGCAAGGACAGGCTCTTTGATGTCACAGACCTGCCATGTCTTGCCGTTGGTAGTCATACTCTTGCCATCAAAAACATGTGAGGGCTCTTCGTCTTTCTTATAACGATCGCTTCTGATCCACTGATTCTTGCCGTCTCTCATCTTCTTGGCTGCAGCAATGACTTTGTCTTTGGAAATGAGCTGGAACGAGAAAGTCTGATAGCAGCGGTACTTCGGATCCGTACGAGGGTCGAGGCCGTACTTGACGAGTGTGTCTCTGAATGGACCGGACTTGAAACTGTATCCCACATACTGTGTCGCTTCCTTGAAGAGCGCCTCGTTTCCCCAATCGACGAGGTTACATGCCACACGTCGTGTGACGGCAGGTCTAGAATCAAGCAGCTCCAGCAGATTCTTGACACACTGCTGTAAGGCTTCGGACTGCTTCTCGATGGGAACAAGACCCTTGGGTGGCTCCGTCGGCACCTTCTCGACATCGTGAGCTACCGAGACGACTTGGCGTTTCTTGGGAGCTTGTGTGTTGACAGTCTTGACGCGACCCTTCTCATCTGTCACATGAGTAACACCAGGGTTTTGCTTGTAGAGGTAGTTCAAAGACTGCTCGAATGAAGTAAAGTTAGGAGGTGCAATGAGCTCTTCGTTGGCTGGTCGACCGGGAGTCATGTCGACCTTGAAGTTCTTGATGCTCGATACTGTTCTCATTAGACCATTTCAGCTCATAGAGAGAAAAGAAACTTACTCGTAGGGTTGATCAGACCCTTGCCAATCTGGTGCATAACTGGCTGAGATCCGGCTCGTAGCTGGAAGTCTGGTAGGGCGCGGAATCTGTGAGTTTGCTTGATTGTTGCGACAGGCTGTATGGTATAGGCGTCCTTGTTGTCAACGAGTCGGCGCCGTAGCTGTTCAGCTGTCACAGGAATTGAGTGGGCAGTGCCTTCGGCATCTCCATTCGAGCTCTCCGGGCCATCACCATGATGTTCGAAAGGATCATCAGAACCTCGCTTCCTCTTACGACCTGTTCGTCGTGGGACAGTCACACGAAGGAGCAGGTTCTGAACTGGCATCTCTTTCGAGACGAGTTTCTTGACGAGGGGATCATGTGGGCGCAAGGATAGACCAACAGATAGAGTCTGACCAGCAGGAGCAAGCAGCTATCATAGCAAGTCGATCAGATGACATGGCATGGTAGATTTGAGAAATAGTATTTGACCTACATGTTTGATGTGATGTTCTCCGCCAAGAGATTGCAGACCCTTGTCAATATCTTTGATGATGGACGGATGCTCTACAGTGACAACCCTATCAGAAGATACGGCTAACCAGTCAGCCAATTGATGGCGGTTAGAGGCCAGATCTGGCCGTTGGTCGGTCATGATAGAGTATTTTGTTGTTTGATGAAGAGGAAGAGCATGTGGTCGGCCTGACTCGTTGTTGAATGTGGGGAGTCGAGGTCGAGAGAGAGCACAGCGTGACAGCAACACGAGTATAGTCTGATATGCGGAGGATGCAGTCAATAGTGCATGAGGCTGATATTGCTGAAACGCTCTTGAGATTGTCAGTCGACACTTGGGGAGATTGAGATTTGGAAGCGGCTTGAGGGCCCCGCGGGAGGGGCTTGCGGGTGCCAAGACTGGTGGTGGACCTAACTGGCTGGTTGTAGCCAACTTGGGGAGCGTCAACAACCATCCGCCATAGCTACTCTAATTGTCCTGCTTCAAACAAGACAAGCCATTGTTCACCACCTTCCTAACAGCAATTCGATCCCAAGGCCATTGCTGCCCTAGCTCCTGGCGAAGCTCGGAACCCCATCCGACACTTGTGCCGTGTCCCTAGGACCCACGTCTAGCAATCCGACACGCTGCCGTATCATCATCCCCTGCACACCAACACCGCAACAACACTCTCAGCGAATACCCGGCCGAACATCCACATCTCCGACGCCGTGACGCAGCGGATTCTTTCCAGGCCGAGGGCCAATACTTTCTCATTCATCACTACCCATGATGAAGGGTTTCAGACAGCGCGTGGTAGGTGGCCCTCCAACTACATCAATCAACTCCCGCCAAGATTCACTATGGCTAACGACCTCAGCATGAGCAGCTCTCGCGAGCTAAGGACAGCAACAAGATCTCAAAGAAAGCGAGCAAGGAATCATCATCCGGCACCGCTTCCCCTCATGGCGGCGCTGCTCAGTCGCCCGCCGGCACCCCCTCGTCCTCGACCCAAAATCTTGCCGAAACCCGCAAACCATCAAATGATGCTCTGTCTTCAAACCAGCAGCAGCCCGCAATGTCACAACACCAATACATCCAGCAACACCAGGGTGCTAACGGCACTCAAAGCCCCAACCGCTACAATCAGCAAGGTGTAAACCCCAGTGTCGTCATCAGTCCCAGTGCTCCTGTAAGTGAAGGTCATTCGAGAAAACATACAGCTCTTCTTTTCTCACCAGACACAGCATGTCCCTCCTCCTGGCGCCGCCGAAACCATGCCTCACGACCTGGCCCCACCAAAGGCTGGCCAAAAGTCGCTGCTGTTCGACAGATTGCAGGCCACTCCCAAAGATACAGTGCCCGAGGGTGTGCGCACCCCCAAGCGCCAACACTCGTCAAGATTCGACATTTCAGATCAGCGACAGCGCGAACTGGAAAAGCTGCCCGGCTTCCACGAGGTTCCTCCCAACAGACGCCAGGAGCTCTTTATGCAGAAACTCGACCAGTGCAACATCATATTTGACTTCAACGATGCGAGCGCCGACATGAAATCAAAAGAGATCAAGCGCCTTGCGCTGCACGAACTACTCGATTACGTCGCTCAGAACCGCCAGGTCATCTCCGAGCCAATGTACCCCAGAGTCGTCGAGATGTTCAGCAAGAACTTGTTCCGCCCAATCCCTCCTCCCATGAACCCTCAAGGCGACGCATTCGACCCTGAAGAAGACGAGCCAGTCCTCGAGGTCGCCTGGCCCCATATTCAAGTGGTTTATGAATTCTTCCTCCGCTTCATCGAGAGTCCTGATTTCAACACAAACTATGCCAAGCAATATATCGACCACAGCTTTGTTCTGGCATTGCTCGACCTTTTCGATTCTGAAGATCCTCGCGAGCGTGATTTCCTCAAGACAACCCTTCACCGTATCTATGGCAAGTTCCTTAACTTGAGATCATTCATCAGACGTTCTATCAATAACGTCTTCTTCCAATTCATCTACGAGACTGAGCGCTTCAACGGAATTGCCGAACTTCTTGAAATTTTGGGGTCCATTATCAACGGTTTCGCTCTGCCTCTCAAGGAGGAACACAAGCTCTTCCTGACCCGCGTCCTCATCCCTCTGCACAAGGTGAAGAGTTTGAGCATGTACCACCCTCAACTTGCGTACTGTATTGTGCAATTCTTGGAGAAAGATGCCGCTTTGACCGAGGAGGTTGTGCTCGGTCTCCTGCGATACTGGCCCAAGGTCAACAGCACCAAAGAAGTCATGTTCTTGAACGAGGTCGAGGATATTTTCGAGGTCATGGATCCTGCCGAGTTTGCAAAGGTTCAAGAAGCTCTATTCAGTCAGCTCGCCAAGTCTGTGGCCAGTCCACACTTCCAGGTATGTTTATTCTTGCGATTCTTAGTTATAGCCGATTCTAACGAGTGTACAGGTTGCCGAACGCGCTCTATACTTCTGGAACAACGAGTATTTCTGCAATCTTGTCAGCGACAATGTTGATGTTATTCTACCGATAATGTTTGCTCCTCTCTACGAAAACTCCAAGGGTCATTGGAACAGGTACGTTTTTGCCATCTCTCATGTCTCAAAAATTTGGTAGCTGACCCACCACAGAACAATCCATGGAATGGTATACAACGCCATGAAACTGTTTATGGAAGTTAACCCTCAGCTGTTTGACGATTGTTCCCACGATTACACCGAGCAACAGAACAATGCACCTGAAGTAAAGAGAACCAGACAAGAGAAGTGGGACAGACTAGCTGCTCTTGCTCAGTCGATGAAGAGTGGTCTTCCTCCATCGGCCGCTGGCAACACAAGTACCACACAGAGCGCCACACCCGCACGCACGGACGATACAGATCCACTGCGTCTGGAACAACTCAGATTGCAGGATGACTCGGAGAGGAGACCGAAAGAGTTTGAGAGACAGACCAGCTCGGTACGTTGATCAAGTGCGAGTATCTTCTCTCCCTCTCGATCGTTGGGTCTATGAATGAGTATATGTTAGACATTCAAAACACACCGTCAACCTCTTCACATTCCCCTTATTACATCTTCTTTGTGTCACAACATTCTGCTTGTTTTCTGCTGTCGGGTTTCATCAGGGCGAATATATTCCCTAACGGCGCTGGGCGTTTTCTTTCTCACAATCTGTTGCCTTGAACTTCTGGAGATTTTCAAGCTCTCACAACTTTTTGTTCCTTTCTTGATTCCTGTATCCAATTCAAGCACTTTTTCTTTATCTTCATTTCCTGTCTGTCGTCTGGGCGATCAAAATTCCATCATCCTCGCTACAAACAAAAATGCTATGACAAGTTCAATCTAACATGCAAGTCTTTGGTGGATGTGCAGAAACGAGACCACCGTCACAATCGTCACAAACAATCATCGAGCGTTGGCAACACGAGCGGTTCGAGTTCAAGTCATAACCGAAAACGCAGCGGGAGCCGTACGTCGTCGAAGAGTGTCGGGTCCATCTCGCAAGTGTCAAGAAGCAATTCGAGGAGCAAGTCTCGAAGTAGCTCAACCAGTACGACGCACTCGGTAGGCACTTTGGATGATGTTGAAAGGATAAGACATAGGCAGGGGTGAGTGAGGGCTTTGAGGTTGTTTTGGTGATGCAGATGTGTGGGCTGGGAGATCGATCAAGAGGAGTGTATCAGATAGTGAATCCTTGCTTGGCGCAACTTTTATTCTCTTTTCTATACCGTTCTTTGTGCGCTGACTTGTAGTGATCTCGTATCTCATGACCACAGCTGGAAGGTTTTCGTGACTTGCGGCGATGTTTGTTGCGATGATTTGCAGGCTTGGAGATCTCTTTGCAGATGGGGAAGGTATAGGCTGCCATATTCGGGTCATCTTGAAAAAGCAGTACAGCAACATCATCGCTTGTGGGATCACAGAACATTATCTGGCGAAAAATCTAGGCCTACTTTGTTCCCAGAAGATGCTACTAGCACTGTATCTCATACCAGACATCGACAAGTATACAAATGTCCAACCGTTCCGCCTCTAGCAGACATCCAGGCTACCACAACTCATCAAGACATGCGGTGGTTTCAGTTAGTTTGGCTGACAAAGTGATTGATCCTGACTAACATCTTCAAGCACAATATTCTGATGCTCTTCGACATCTTCCTCTTCTCCCAATCTTCAGCATCAAGACTTCCGCATCGAGTGAGCTACTTGCGACTCTTCGTACGCAACACAGCCTCATATACATCCACACACCTCAACCTCTAAACCACAAGTCTCCATCAGAACCACTTTAATTACAGACTCAACCAACCAGTCTGCACCATGAACAAAGAAAAAAGCCAAATGAATGCTTTACTCTCCCTACTCGATCCACTGCTGCCAACCCTCAAACCCAACAACCGCGACAAGTTCTGGTCAAAAAACAGACGGGAACTTGATAGAATTGGTTGGAGTGGAAGGTTTATCGATTCGGATAGTGAAGATGAAGATGAACTAGAAAGAGAAGAGATGAGCCAAGGATCCAAAAGCAATGACGGCGAAGAAATCGCGAATGTTGTGGCTGAGAGCGAAGTTGAGGATGCCGAGTCTGAGAAGAAAGATGATAATGATGAGGATAGGGATGACATCTTATCTAGTGAAGAGAGATATGCAGAGGAAAGCATTGTGGAGGTGATTGTGGCATTGTTGTTTTTTATTGTGGTGCAGGGAGGAGTATTATGCATTGTGCGTTTGATTGTCTGAAGACAACTGAGAAAAAGGATTCGAACACTCGGATAAGAAGACATTGCATGGAAACTGCCACTAAAATAAAGTAGCGAGTCGACAGGTTAGAACTACTTCCTGTTTGAGATTCGTTATAAACTCCATAACTCCTTGTGGCTACTACCTAATACTACGCTATGCAAAAAGAAAAGGCTATATGCAAACAAACACCCAAAAACAAAGACAAAAGAACCAGACCGATAGACAGAAAAGACAACCCAAACATTCGACAAGCCATAAAACTCCAAGTATGACTGACCCTCCTCCTTCCTTTCTTCCAGCCGCCAAACTCCCACAGCATCAGTACAATCGATCTAAGCAACCTCAATAAGTGCAGGACCGAAAACAGCAGCATCAGCAACCTGCTCAACAGTCGCCAAAGGCTGTCCCTTTCTAACCACAGCACCAATAGTAAGTCCAAACAGCAGATCCGTCTGCTGCAAGAAGTCAGCATCAAAAGTGACTTTCTTTCCATCCTGCTTGACGTTCTTGAGTTCTTGGACAATAGGAACATTCTGTCCATTGATCAAGACAAACTCCAGATCTTCAGCTATGCCATGGTAATCGCTGATATCAAACGACAAACTAATAGTCTGATCGCCAAGCTCGACATTAGGAGTCTCCAAGGTCAAAACCTCGAATACTTTGAGGTCGATTCCAGAAATATCGCAGCTTCCAGGGATCACAAAGTTTTGATTCAAAGCTGAGAACGCAAAGTCTCTCGCAGAAGCAGTGAGGAAAGGCTGCGCAGAAGGGATTTTGTTTGCAAGGGAGCGGTAAAACCCATTTTGCTCGCCTTCTTGACCAATGACTGATGCAACAGCTTGGACGACTCCTGCCTTGCCATCGGCAGAGAAGATCATGGATACATCTTGCAAAGTGCCCAGCACAACATCGGTAAACGTTGCAGCAAGAGCAATAGCATCTCCGAAGTCCTCAGTTGGAAATTTGTACTGGCAGGTTTGGAGGGGAGTAGGGAGTTTGGTGTTTGCATTTATGGCGTGGAGTTCTTCCTGGGCTTGGACGGCGATCAAGGTATCGATTATGTAGAGAGAGTTGAGATGGGCTGGGATTTCGAAGCCAGGGACGCCGGTGGTGATGTTGGTGAGTAGAGAAGTGAAGAAAGCAACTTCGAAGAGTTCGTTGAAGGCGATGAGTTGGAAGTTTGTGAGCGAGTCGGCGGGGAAGGAGATGTTGCCTGCAGAGGCATTGGAGAGAGTGCCGTGGGCTGCATTGTTGACATCTGCGAGGGCAGAGGGAGAGAGATTGGGGAAGCCGTTGCTGAGGAGGAGGTTTTTGCTGGAAGCGACTTGGGTGGGGAAGCTCTGGTAGGAGGAAGAGGCAGAGTAGCCAGAAGATGAAGTCATTGCGCTGTAAGAACCATGACCGGAAACGGTAGAGCTGTAGGGGTGGATGGGTTTGGCGTTGCTCAAAGACGCAAGGCCAGAAAAGGCCAGGAGAGCTGTTGCACGGTATGCCATTGCTGAAAGGAAATCTTGCTGTGATATTGAAAGATACTTGGAGATAGAGCAATGTGGATAGAAGAGAATAAGGAAACTTGACTGAAGACTGATTGATGTGCTGGTTGATGATATTCCTACCTTCTGCAGCAGATCCATTCTCTTTATACCATCGCATCTCGAGTATACAAGGCACCTGCCATCACACACAAAGACATAGCCACGTACTCAGCTTCCAAAGACCTGGTATAACATCAGCTCAGACACTTCTAATCTTCAGCTCTCACAGTCGGTAAGACATGTCTGACAGAACATCGAGGAACAACCTAAGTTAAGCACCTCGAATAATGTTAGAAACAAGCTATGTAAGCTGTGCGTATGATTGCTTGACCTCCCAAGGCGCAGTGGAACTGTCTGAGTATAGAAAGAATCTGGTTGGATGGTCGGATGTCGGTTGATCACCCTAATCTTGTGCTTGTATCTTGTAAAGATACGAAAGTCTGTTGGTGCGCTGACATGGTGGTGGCTGACGATGCACACCCCACCTTCCACTTCAAGCCAGGCAGCGCAGTGCACATTTGGAGGTTGTCTGGATGTTGCATATCAAAAGTCTAGATTACAAATAATGTTATATCCGACAGCAAACAACAAAGTTGTGGTGGCTAGAGTCGCGTGAAGTGAATATCATTTAGCCAGACTTTCAGACAAAGTTTGAGGCTTCGTGCGGCAGAAAACGGAAAGAAAAACGGTAACCGGTCGCAGAAAAAGGCTATAAAAAAGAACAAAGTTATACTTTTCTCTTAGTTATGTTACAGATAGCGAGAAGTGCCAAAGAAGAGTTGTGGAAGATTTGTGGGTATCTTGAAACAGAAAACGGGATGCAAAGACAAAACGCGAAAAGGTTAAAAAGAGGGAGGTGGAAGGTCCAGGCGTACGCGACAGGCGGGTAGGGGACCGTGACAGCGAGATAGAGTGACGGGAGCAAAGTCCAGATGTGTTTGTCCCAACACTAATCAGTGCGAAAAAGCGCCATTCCTTGCGGCGTCGTCGTTGGCTCTGTTCTCGGCCTTCTCACGACTCTTGCTGGCGATATCGAGCTCGGCGAACTTGTCGCGTGCATTGGCAATGTTTATTCTAGCAGCATTGTACATGGCCTCGCCGCTGCCCATGACCACAGCCAAGTTTGTATTCTCACTAAGACGAGTGATCAAGAACATGAATTCACCAGTCTTGATCTGGAGCTCGGCAAAGTTGGCTGATCCGGCGGGCATACCCGTGTGTTTGGCGACAGAGTGCTTATGTGATTTGAGGATGGAGGATAAGCGTTCGAAGCGGTCTGGGTGTGGGTTGCCATCTGCTTCGTAAGGACGCGAGACGTGCGTGACCATGAGGCAGGTGGTGCGTTCGTATAGAATAAGCTCGTGGGCGTCAATGACCTCTGCCAATTGGCGCAGCAAATTCTCGATGGCGCCAGCGTTGGGTACGAGGTAGTAGATGACTTGTGTCCAGGCCTTGTACAGACTCTGGTCCCAGATGCTTGTGCCCCAAAAGTCGACATCCTTGCCTGCATCTTGTTGGTTTCCTCCAAAGCCATGTTCGATGCTGATGTGTCGGATTGCGTCGCTACGCTCGGCGAAGACGACATCGCGCATGTTGGACATGATCAGATCCATCTTGTGGATTAGAACAAAGATCTTGGCTTGTGGAGAGTTCTCGCGCAGAGCTTGGACGATCGAGGCATAGTTGATGAGGTCGGCATTGAATTCGCGTGATTCGACGTCAAAGACAAAGATCAAGACGGCGACAGATGCAAAGACGCTTGAGCGTTGATTGGTGAGGTACGATTCGGTGAAGCCATCCTGTCTGCGCCAACGAGTGTCAGTCTTGTCTTGTATGTAAGACTGGGTGTAAGCACATTACCCTCCACAATCCCAGAGATTGAGCATGAGATTGCCCATGAAGCGTATGTTACTGTGCTCGACATCGATGGTAGCTCCCAATCGTCGGACGTCCTTGGCCACGTAGTTGCTGAAGACGATGGAGCGCATCGACGACTTGCCCGCCCCCGACTTGCCCATCAACAGCACCTTGCGCTGCTTCTGCCTCCGTGCTGACCCCGAGCTCAACATCTTGTCCGCTGTCTTGTCTTTGTTGGTATGATCATGTCACGTCGGAAGTGCTACTTCCGGCCAAGACGTCCGATAAGCCCATGACCGCATACTGAGCTTGGACCCGGTACGACAGACATCATCAAAGACTCGAGAGTCAAGCGACACACCCAATCTCACTTTAAGCTTTTAGATCCATCTTACCTTGACCATGGTCTGCCGACACATGATATCGGATCGCCATCAACACAACTGAATCAGGGGCTGAGCTACTGATTCGGCCATGCAAGACGGCAGTCACAAAGTACACTTGAGTACTCTCGTACGTGAATCGTTGCCACCTGTGTCAGATTTGAAACCTGCCTTTTTGAATTCCATCGTTATCTACATGCAAACTATGAACGCTTTTGGGCCTTAGGGATCTCTTTTCTTGGCTTTCTTCCTCTTATTGATTGAGCTTCTCTCCGAGCTCAAGAGATTTCTAGGTAGGTAAAAAGCAGGCTATGCACAAAGTGCTGCTCTTTGGACACTGAACTGGGTATGGCGCATGATCAAAACAAGACACAGACAAGGAAAAAGCGAAAAGCTGAAATAGGAACAAAGGGAATCATTAGAAGTGAAGGTAGAGACAAGAAAAAAGAAAGATACAGTGTTCCCGCCGTGAGAATGGAAAATGTGCGGATGCTCAACAATCGGATCGAATAAAACAACCAGGCCTGCGGTATGGGGTATCATTAGAAGACGGTGCCGTCCGACACAATCATGATCGGTGGCTCCTTGGTGTTGGGTCTCGAGACCTCTGCGATTTCTCTGCCTGCCTGTTGTACTTGTTAGCCAGTGCTCCTATCGTCTCGCCATCTCTAAAGCCTGCTTACCTTCCAAGTGCCAGCCTCGAGAACTTGCGCCAAACTCAATTTCTTGTTGCCTACTAGTCCGAGCTGAGAATTGACTTCAAAGCACAGCTCGTCCAGGAAGCCGACGGTCAGCGCCCGCCATTCCACAATCACATCGTCGTCCACACTGAACATGGGAACAACCTCCATGTTAGGTTGTCCTTGTTTCATGGCATTGATCTGGTATTGCTCGAGACCACGTTTGGCGTCTGCGGGCTTGAGAGTGAGGAGTCCAGTGTCGATCAAAAGACCACCGTTGCGATATTCCGGCAATCCAGTAAGGAGCTCAGTACCAGCAAAGTGTACGTGCATGAGCTTGGTCATTGGCACCATCAATGAATAGCAAAGCCACTGAGTGAGCTTGTGGAATGGAACGATCTTCTCCCAGGGGGCATTCGTCGCTGAGGGCATTGCATTACAGTGCCAAGCGTCACCAATCGACACACCATCGATCGCAGTGCGTGTTGAGGGCCAGATTGGCGCAAGACCGTCCATGAGAGCATTCCAGAGTGTGGGTATCGGGACGACGGGGACTGAGGAGGCTTGGGTCGATGGGTGCGAGAGGAGATAATCTGTTAGACATATTGTTAGTGCTTGCGAGGATACTGAGATTGATGTCAACTCACCAAGTAAGTAGCCAGGTCTAGCCTCGATGCCGAAAATGTCCTGATTTTGCAGAGCATCTCCAAGCTTGACAAGGAGACTTGCTCTGCCTTCCAAACCAGCGAGAGAGTTGTTTTCTGTGACTTGCAGGCCCTTTGCAAGGTACTGTGCGTTGATCTTCTTCAGGCCGGCACTGTCGACCTGGCATGGCTCATTGGGGTTGCTGCTGAATGCACCAGCCTTGAACATCTCCAAACTGGCCACTGCGAGACCCTCGCTGCGCCTGTAAATCTTGCCAGACTCCTTGCTCTTGTATGTCCATTTCTGTCCTGCACCAGCATCCAGCAAAACTGACACGAGGAACAGGTCGATGAGTCTGCGAGTACGTTCTTGGTCATTGACCGTCTTTGGCCATGTTGCCATGAGCTGATCGACTCTGGGTCTGCCACCGACTTCAAAGTGCTGCCAACGGCCATGTGGGGGGATCGAAGCGTAGTCGGGAGCGTAATCTCTCTATCAGCCGAGCGTTAGATAAATGTTCCGCATGTTTTTTGCCTTTTTCTTTTGCCTGAGCATTAAAAGACTTACGTTAATGATAGAAACCACGAATCGTGCAGTGTCGGCGAATTTGGTCATGTCGACGTCGAAGTGCTTCGCTTTGTTGCGCTTAGCAAGCTCGAAGACATACTTGGACCTCTCGCGCACAGCGTGGATACTGCGCAGGTAGGCAGCGGGGTTGAGAGACGGGTCAGGAGCTCTAGGGAGTGGGACATGTGGCAGAGAGGCATTGGCCGAGGGATTGCCATTCATGGGCTTGCTGGCTGGCGACTTGTGGATGGAGCCAGCATCTGAACCAGGACCTTTGTCTGCATCTACTGCTGACGACTTCTTGTCCTTACGGCTGAAGAGACCCATTCCGTCGAGTGTCTTTCTGAAATGCTATTGTCAAGGCGAAAAAGTGCAGCTCGCGGCGCAAGTTGGCTTGTCAGGTCGGCTGCTAGAAAGAAAAGAAGAAAGCTGATTGAAGATGGTGAAATGTTTCAGAATCAAGAGTCGGGTCAAGCTCAATGTCAGATCTCAGGTTTCACGTCGAGTGCTTGGTATGATGACGGGCACCAGCAGGCGGAAAAAAGAAGACAAGAGAGGATGGGACGCTCGCGATAAAAGCAGAAAGTAGGGATCAAGAGAAATCAGTGGACTGTGGAGCTAGTTGGTAGACTACTGCCCAGTCGCGAGTGCCTCGCCCGCGGGGACTTTCCACTGGTGGCGTCTTTTAAGAGAGTAGACTGCGGCGCTCACGTTATTTGCTGCCCGTAACAATTTCAACGACCTGGCTCCCGGATCTGCGAGAGCACGAGCGAGCATACCTCACCCGTTCCAGAGCTAGCACATCCGCCAACGGCTTCCTCACGACCACGCTTCTTGTATCCAGCACGCAAACACGCAAGCTCAGTCACGAGAGTAATCGTCTGAGCAATGATGCTCATCGACACATTTCCACACCCGTTGATCGCTCCCGGCCCGGCTACACTACCACTCGGCAGGGGAGTGGCAGAGCTCAGAGGTTGCTCCTTGCGAGAAAGAATTGGCTTTTGGGGAACGGGCCCACGAGTGACTCGGCAGCAGCGGCCCGGATCTCTATTTAACGCGATGCGGCAAGACCGCTTCGTGCCCTCCCTGCATGTACCTGATGATCTCTGGCCATGCAGGTCACCCAAAGCCAGCAGACACTTGACCGCAAGCAGGCTGGAGTTGAAGACCAGATCTACAGTTGACAGCTGCAGGGATAGGGAAGACATCATTCTTTATCTGCCACTTCTCGATGCGACTGTTTCTCTCCCGTACGAGCTGCTTTAGCCAGAACCAAGCAAAGTAGACTTCTGAGACTGACTCAGTACCGAGACTAACGACCGAAACCCTTTGCTTTCTCTCCACGCTTGCGAGCCGTTGACGCTAACTAGGATGGCACCTCAATTGTGAAAGCCTCTCAATATATTCTCATGGATCGAATGGTGCACTACCGAAGGCCGGAAGAACACCTGTACAGAGTGGCGGGCTCGCTGTCATACTTGTGTCAACTAGGTGGATGGCGTCTTGAAGATATATTCGTCGTTTCACGGTATTGGGTGCCGATATAAATTGGATTTACGTGGTAAAGTGGAACTCTTGTATTTTGGCGAGGTCAAGTTAAGAAAAAGAGGCTCGAGCGTGATTGGAAATCGCATGACTTGTGGATGACCTTTGTCCCCAACCCGCCTAAATCTATTATGCTCTGCTGTTCCATCTTCGCGCTTGTGACCGAGATGAAGCTCGACCAAAGCAGCAAGGATCGCGATACACAGCGACCGACACGGAAATATGCAATCAACTGCAAGAGCAGGATCTGGCAACTAGCCAGGCAAGTCTGCAGTGGTTTTAAACACTTGTCCGCTCGTCCTGGCCTCGAGACGCCGTTTTGCTAGAGCAAAGAAGGAAATCTCTGACCTTGGTATCATCCTGCTGAGTGTCATGTTAGTCATTATAGCAGAAGATAGCCGTTCAAGGCGAGCAGACTCTGCTCCGTACATAGTACTGTACACGCACAAAAAGGTCACGTAAATTGACACTCACTACGTCCTCTCGGCGCATTTCAGCTCATCAACTCATGAGGAAATCCCGACGCTTTTGCTCCTTTTTGGCGCGTCGCTGCTCATTGAAGGCTTTGACTTGCTTCTTGCTCAACTTCTGGTTGGCGCGCTCAGCTTTGAGGGAGCGACCTTCATGAGCATTGGCAGCGCGATCTACATCAAAGAAGGCATTGAGTTGGCGCCTTGACTTGTTCTCATCATTGTGGTTTTCTGCACTCTTATCGGCGGCTTGGAAAGCTCCTGTGAAGCGATTGAATGTGCCGGCCTGCTCGTATGCTGCGGTAGGTTGTGCCAGGGTAACTTCTGAAGCAGCCCATTCTTCTGTCTGATTTTCCTGGTGCCATTTTGCGTAGTCTGCATTGGGATCAAAGTCGCCATGGATCTTAGGGTTGTAGCCTAAATACGGTTCTCTCGGAGGTGATGCAGGCGGTGCAGCAGATTCAGAGGTACCAGGAGCGTGGGATCTTGTACCAGGCGCATACTGCTGGCTCGAACCGGCGGTGGGCACTCGTGGGTTTTCCCATTGTGACAAGCCAGTGAAGCGATTGAGGAAATACCAACAGCCAGAAGCAGGGTCAAGCTGTGCAGACCAGCCATCATCCTCTTCGGCAGGCGCTGGCAGAGGCTCGTCAGGGAGAGGTGGAGCGTCCTCCGGTAAAGGCTCGTCAGGTAGTGGTGGCGCGTCGTCAGTCGCAGAAGCAGGCTCAGTATCTGCCATCTCGCCTTCCTCGGATCCTTCTTGTGACTGTGATCTTTCCGGCTGCGGGGTGGATGATGTAGCAGCAGGTGCTTCTTCTGAGGTGTTGTGCTCAGGCGCCGGCGCGGGCGCAGCTGGGGATGATCGGCCTTGAGATTCGGCCATGACTAGCTTTGAGTAGCTGTGCTATAGAGGCGTTAGTAAGAACAGATGCTAATTATGCTATGATATGGTGGCGTTCAACCAGCAAACAGCAGGTATGTGCGACTATTAGGTTCGCGATGTGTGATTATGAAAGTGGGATGATTGACTCCGGCTCGCGGCGAGAAGTTCCATGGCGTCGGTGGTCGGAGAACTTCCGCATCTGGCTGCGCCTTGTCAGTTGATTTCAATGCAAACGGACAGCCCTCCCGTCACTAATTTTTCGTCCACAAGCTGTTGCTTCCTAGCGACTAAGGTGACTTGATAGCTTCCGTCAAAGGGCTTAGGGCTACTTGTCATGGGCGGCATCTGGACGAAGATCCAACAGCCGCAAGGGATAGGTACTGAAGATTGCAAGGTTTCATGGTAAACTGTCGATATCAGCCGACGTGTCCTACTAGCATATGCATATCAAATCCATTGCTACTCAGGCTAGCAGAGCCGTCGTATTGAGTCTTCCACAAGTCCTTCGACCACTACTCTGGACTTCTAGCTCCATTCAAGATCGTGTTCGAAGCCTTGACCTCGACGAACTGCCAACGCTGCATCTCAGACATATGATCCGCCTTACCAGCATCGTGTGTCACACCTTCATCTTGCTGATTACCTTTTTCCAGAAATGTTCTGGTGTTGGGCTCTTGTCTCAGACTTTCAGTGCTAGAGATAAAATATGCCGTGTCCCGATGCAGCCTATAACGGTATTTATTCTGCCTATTATGAACGGCCAACTGTGATCCTCAACGGCATTGATATCAAGATAATGCAACTTCATCGATATAACGTTTGGACGCCCAGGTCTCATTGGAGGAATAAGAACTTCGGCTTGTAATTCGACGATATCCAAAAGCCTCTTCATATAAGGGCTAGAGTCTGTTATCGGTTTCAACAATGATCCGGATCTTAATCCCTGGCTTGGTGGGATTAACAGTCGTGGAACCTACGCGTGTCATGGGCTTTGCCGAATCAGGTCTATCCATTCGAAGGAATGCCGACGATGAAGAGCCCAACGACTAGCAACTACGTACGGAAGGTCGAACTCCTGTCAAAAGCCACCTCATGTCGTGGCTGTTTGTCTAAAAGCTTCTGAGGAGCGCGAAGGATCGAGAAACGTAAGAATTGGCGCCCCGAAGGCTGATCTAGTCGCGAACTGGGTTCTAGAGGACCAGGACATATCTGGGCAATATCACCGACGGACAGGCTACGAGAATGATCTTGATCTATGACTCTTTTTCTCGTTCTTTGATTACATGATTCTATCATACAGCGAGCATGACGCATTGACCTGTCTTTCTCTCTCTGTTCTTGTATCCTTTCTTACAATCATCATGTCGACCTGTACCGCCCAAATACTCCTTTTTGATGAAACCGGGGCCCTAAAGAAATTACAAAGAAGTAATAAAGCGAGCGTGTATTGCAGGGCAAAATGCTCAAGAAGCGGCCAAACACCCCAAAGGCCAAACTGGAGTCAGCAACGACAGTTTGGGAACAGCAGCCCCTGGCAATCGGGCTCTCCGTCAACAAACAACCATCTCTGGCTGTTTCTCATCAGCTGCTCGAGATGTCGTATATTCACCTACGCATCTCGAAAAGGCTGAACATCCTCAGCTTCAAAGAGCTTCGGAGCAGGCTTGCACTACTTGGTGCATTTATGCCTTGCGGCTTCTGGTGACGCGACCGTTGGGGGTGGAAGCGTCACGGCCAGTGAAGTGAGCCTCACCACCGCTGAAGCGTCTTCTAGCCTCACCAACGGTGGGAACCTTCTCGTCCTTCATCTCAACCAGAGCGCTGGTGGCACGGTTGCGGCCCTTCTTGGCGGGCTTCTTGTAGGTTGCGGCGTAGAAGGAAAGGAAGAGCAGGAGGTAGGAGCTGAGAATGGCCATACCAGCGAAGGCGGCGAACTCCTCGCCGGCACAGATACCCATGTTGGGCATGTTGGGGAAGTATCTGAAGGTGAAGTAGGTGTACGAGGCGAAGTAGACGAAGCCAAGGTCGATGACAAACTGGATGATTTGCATGACGGTGATGTACTTCTTCCACCAGATGCGGATGCCACGTGCGGCCTGGAAGTAGTACCAGTACATGACAACGTGGACGGTCAGGTTCAGGGTGATGGGAACCCATGAGACTGCGGTGTGGCCGAGAAGCTGGGTAAAGCAGAGGAGGGCAGTGGCACCGTGGTGGTAGGTGTGGAGGAAAGCTAATAGATCAATCAGCTAGAGCATTGATGGTGGAGATATTGCGCGCTTACTCAGAGGCTTCTTCTTGAGGAAAAGGAAGCAGGTGTCAATCAGCTCGAGGTACTTGGTGAGGTAGTTGAGCTGCCAGCTGTCAGTAAGCGCGTTCTGGCGCAGAATTAGAAAAACGTACGTAGTAAAGAACAACGAGCTTGTCAGTCCAGCCGCCCTCGTAGGCGCAGACAGCGTGGAAAATGCCGTTTCTGACAATCTCGGGCAGGAGCTGCTCGACGAAGAGAACCAAGAGAAGACCGCTGATGACGGTCAAGTAGAAGTTGTGGACCTTGAAGAAGAAGTTGAGCTTGAAAGGCTCGCGACCACGCATGAGCTCTCTGCCACCAAAGATGATGATGTAGTAGGCGATGAGCATGGTGGCCGTCTCCTTGAAGGTAGCCATGGGGGTCTTTCCAGGGACGAAGCGGAAGTCCTGGGGCTTGTAGCCCTTGAGCGAGGTGAAAGCCTTCTCGAAGATGGGCCACAGCTCAAGACCGAAAGGACGGTCAAGAGTGGGCACGCCGTAGCGAATCCATTCGGGGGTAGACATTGTTGTTGACGGGACTCGGCGGTACGAGAAGCGTTGATGGGTTCTGGTCTACAGAGGCAGCTACAAGGCCAGCAACCAGCAAAGGAGTGACGAATTTGGTAATGACAGAATTACCAGAGGGAAGAGAAGAAGAATTGGACCTGGAGACAGGGTGGAAGATGTTGGGAGAGAGCAAGTCTAGTTAATAAAGGAGGTCGGGAAATTATTCTTTCAACACAACTGGGGAAACCGAGGCTGTCTTGGCAGGGTTGGGTCATCTCTGGAGAGCCTATAAACGTCTTGGTATTTTCGCAAGCAGTTCCCTTTCTGGAGATTGCTAGTTTGCACAATTGGTGTCCTGTGGGAGGAATGAAACTGTGATAGCTTTCGCTGTATATTGTTTTGTGCATGCTAGGAAACCTGTTTGATGGTACTACAAATGCAGGAACCAAGCACAGGGTCAACAACAAAAACACCGCCCTCCCATAAACAAACGGTGTTTGATCGTTGTCTGTGGTTGTTGTGCAGCAGAGCCCGGCTACATACATATAGAACATTGAGAGATTGGACTCAAAGACTAAAAGAGAAGGTGTAGAATAAATTGACGGGTCAAGTCGTGTAATATGGAAGAAGAATCCGGCTGGTAGGGCATTCTCAGGTGATGGTCAGGGTGATGGGCCAGGATTTCGCTGAAGGCTCGGCCTTGGCGTAAGGAATCCGAGCGACTGCCATTTGGTCATCAGAAGCAGCTTCAACCGCAACATCGTCGACTCTATCCACCCTCCTCGATCCGCGCATTCATACCACAATGTCTTTCCTCCGCATCGCCGCTCGCGCCGTCCGCGCTCCCGCACAGCCCCGTATCCAGGTCGCATCGCGCGTCCAGCGTCTCAACCAGGCCAGAACTTTCAGCGTCGCCAGCGTCAAGCGTGCCGACGTCGACGCACACGACCCTCACCACGAGGAGAGCTTCGAGGAGTTCACCGCCAGGTGAGTCTATTCAGATTTCCAGCACCAACCGCAGCGTCACTTCTCTGCCGTTCAGAGACATTCAGACACCACCAATCGCTTCCGGACCTCCGCTCCCACCCATCTCTGCTTCCTTGCACCTGTACACGCACACAGCCCAATTCATGTCAATTGCTGACGTACATCTTCAATTCAGATACGAGAAGGAATTCGAGGGTGTCCAGGATGTTTTCGAGCTCCAGGTACTTCCACCCAGCTAGCCTCGGTTGGTCGCAATAGTCTGACCAAATTGTGCAACAGCGTAACCTGAACAACGCCTTCGCCTACGATCTCGTTCCCGCTCCTTCGGTCATCGTTGCCGCCCTCAAGGCCGCTCGCAGAGTCAACGACTTCCCCACTGCCGTCAGAATCTTCGAGGGTGCGTCTTACATCAACTTTCGGCGACACGGACGACATGCTGACATATTGTTCTTATCCAGGCATCAAGGCCAAGGTCGAGAACCAGAGCCAGTACGACGAGTACCTTACCGAGCTCGAGGGCCTCAGGAAAGAGCTTGGTGTCGAGCTCAGAGAGGCCATGTACCCCGAGTCCTCGTAAATTAATCAAGTCTCAACCTGTCGATAGAGGAGAAATCATCAACGCCATTCCATTAAAAACGGTCCGAAACTCTACAGAAGACGAGAGATATAGTGTATTATTTCCCTGGTTTCGACGGCCGCCAAAAAAAAAAAAAAAAAAAGCAACGAGAGAAGCTCCTCGTTGGATCTTGTTTAATTCACCTTCAGCAAATGTACATTGTGTCAACCTTATGTTTCGTTCCATTCCGCCTACAATCTCACCATGATTCAAGCATCACAAGACTAACTATCGAGCTTGCTGACCGAGCACTAATACCGGCAGATATTCAGGGGATTCGATCAACGCAGTGTATACACCCATGTCATATTTCACTCAGGTGTCACAGACCTTGCTACGCTACGCGTTTCGCGTTTCCATAAAGTCTGGTATCTGGTCGATACAAAAATCCGTAGAAAATGTGTCGCAAGTCACTCAGACTGATAGACCGCTCAAAGACTCGCTGCAAGTCTTGCTGTATCCAGCCTGCACCCGAAATCTCGAAGACGGCCTCCATTGCACGGTCGAGGATACGCTCTCCGGTAGTTATCTGCAATATGATTGACGTTCAGATGGCTCGAATCCGCGCTCTTTCGCTTTCCATACGGTGTAAACAAAATAGCCGAGCGAACTGCAGACCAGCTCCCCTTGGACCTCCCTTAGACCTCGACTATACCAGAGACCACTACATATCGTCATACTAAAAACAATGCTGCTGTTTCAAAAGACAGTATGGCTATCAAGAGCAAAAAAACTGATACACAGAAAAACCGATTCCAGCGCTTTCATACGTCGTGTTTGGTTCGCGTATTACTAAGGCGTAGCACGTGGAACCGTGTTATTTTTTGGTGAGCTTCCCAACCACTACACTAGAGGCGTCCCTTTAGTGACCAAACAGTGGAGAGTTGCCGGCTAGAAGGGTCCCAAATTTACTTGTTTATAAAGATTGGCTTGATTTTAGCTTGCGCAAGGTTTCACTCCCAGCCCCTGACCGATATCATCGATGCAGCAACTATGATTCATCCAGTCTAGGCATCATCGGTCGGTCTCAAATGTCTCTCACTACAAGAATACATTGCATTTCTTCCCAACTCACCCTCACACCAGTCCCTCGTCCAGCCAAGATCTTCATCATCAGGATAACCACAACTCGGGCTTATAGAGGCTTCTCGTCCCGAAGCAGCCGCAGAATGCGTATGTACAATGATCCTACAACCTCAGACGTAATTATCCACTTCCTCGGCAGATCTATCTATGCTCACAAAGCCATCCTCGCAGAACACTCAGAAGCCTTCTATCGCACGTTCTATGGTCCTTTTGCTAAAACATCTTATACCATCCCATGCGAGGAATACGACACCCAAGCCATAGTAACCCTACTAAAACACATCTACTCTTTCCCCTACGAGGAACCTATCAATGTCGAAGTGGATCCAAATTGGTACTTTCAGCTCTACCTTATTGCAGTTGAGTACTGGGCCGACAGCTTCGAGACTAAAGTCTTGGATTTAATAGAAGCGGAAGTGTTTCTTAGTGTCAAAATCATCTACGACAGGCAAAAGCTCAAGGATTGTTGTCGAGCAAGCGATAAGTACGAAATCGACAAGCAAGAAATCACTGAGGAAAAGAAGAGGAGGATAACACAAAGACTGGTTGCTGAAAATCGCATTTGTAGGGACAGATTTACGTGTGTGGAGAGTGAAGAGGGTGGAGAAACAAACGAGGCTGATCGTGTAATGATGGGTCTTGAGGAGGTACTGGCGAGATTGAGTATGGCGGATAAGAAGCAGCAAGGACACGAGAAGAAGATGCGGAGACTTGCTCATCCTGGACGCCTAAGATTTCGAACGTATCGAGGGAACGGAAAGAATCCCTGCGTGTTGTTCGTGTGAGTACCTATGGGTAGGTATAACTTGAACTATAAGGGCAGAACATAAGAGTAAGACCAGTGTGACTAGTGGTATGAATAAGTTGGGTATTTCGTGTTAGCATCTATTTACATCTCGAGCCACAGCTCCCATGTAGTCAGGAGAGAGCAGTCTTTCGCAAATGCCACTTTGGATATGCAAAGTTTTACTAGATCTCTGCCAATCACAGGCATATGTAGACCGACACCATCTTTTCCAGATAGTCCCGGCGGCAGTATTTGATGGCAGAGTAGGCGGGCGGGATGCTGGCTATCCTGCAACACGCCTCCTTGCTGCAGCATGGAAGGGCTGCTTTTCATGGATCCATCTTGACATGCTTTTATCAAGCGCAAGAGGCTGTTCACTTCTCCAGGCTTGACTCGCCCATCTGACTGGTCACACCCTCGACGTCAGCCTTGTCTTCCTCGGTAGCTTCACCCTCTTGTGCTCTTGACTTTTCCTCGTCTTCCTTTCCTCCGGCAATCAACAATGTTGCAACAACCTCGTCCTTCTCTGCGCGCTCGGCCTCGAAGACTGGAAGGTGTCCAGCAGCGTTCTTGACCCAGACGTCTACACCACTGTCGATGAGGACCTTGACGGCCTCAACGTGACCATTTACGGATGCCCAGTGCAATGCTGTGTTGCCGGCCTCGTTCTTGCGGCTCAAAACTTCGGTTTTTGTCGAGGGCTCGAGTTGTGATGCCAGTGTTTTGAGAAGGTCTGTTGTATATGTTTAGTAAAGCCCTCTTTTTCTGTCTTCTTCAAGTATATGCCTACCAGCATAGCCGTTTGCAGCGCAGTAATGGAAAGGTGTGTTGCCGTTGTCTTCGTCGACACTGCTCTCGAGCAGAGCAGCAATGCTGCAGCTGTGTTGTTGTGACAATTGACCAAGGTACTCTTGAAGCTCGGCGCTCTCGTTTGTGCGGGCCAGGTAGAGGATGTCGTCGACCTCGTCGTCGCTGAGCTGGACTCTGGCTGCTTTTCCGGATGCCATGTTGTGTTGGTGTAATTATAGGAAGACGTTGATTTTGTGATCGAGTACAAAGGCTTGCGAGAATCGTAAGGAGATGTTGTCGCAGACAGTTGCTTGTATATCATACAATGGAATATAAAAAATGAAGATCAAGGTGAGATGAACTTTTGGAAAGAGTTCGACATCTGAAAATGCGGGGAGGGAGTAAAAAAGGATAACAAAGGAGAATAATGCTACATCCCATGGCACCTGCCTTGCCAACTTATCTCAGACCACATCCTACTTTGTTTCATGTTATAGCAACTTGCTTGCCAGCATTCAATATTTGAGATAGCTTGTATCTTTAAACCACGCACATGGACGAGCCGATATCGATTTCTTGCTCAAACTGTTTCGAAACCATGCATAAACCGTTGTGTGACTTGTGCAAGCAGCGTCATTTTTATGTATGACTCAGGCCAGCCACAGGAAAGAGAATTCCCGTCCCCACGACCAAACCACGAGTCTGGACTTTATATATCTCGTCAAAGACCACCACTTCCGATTGCTAACAGTAAAGCACACGCTTTGCTGATTTGCTTCTTTCAATCCTATCTGAGCATCCAAGTATCGCCGCAACCATGTTCCCGCCGTCGGCAGGGTACAACCTCGATATCGAGGCCATCAGTGGCATTATGGGTTCTATCTCAATTGGTGAGTGTTGCCAAATATGGCCATTGCTCTCTTCACTGGAACAGTCGCTGATTCATTCATAGCCTGCTGGGTGGTCGTCTTTTCGCCTCAGATCATCGAAAACTTCAGACGCAGCAGCGCCGAGGGTCTGAGTATAGAGTTTGTTATCATATGGCTTCTCGGAGATTTTGCCAATATCATCGGTGCGGTTATGCAAAGAGTCCTTCCTACAATGGTGAGTTTGCGACCCGTCAATCATCTGGGAATGCAGTCAAAGCTCATGAACTCATCTAGATTATCTTGGCCATCTACTACACATTTGCGGATATTGTCTTGCTGGCTCAATGCTTTTACTATCGTGGATTCCACTTCAGAGATCCCAAGCCTGTCAAGCCTTCGGATAGTGAAGAGAATACCCCCACTGAGCGCTCTGCTCTTTTGTCCGCCAATGGCAATGGCAACAGCGAGCTTCCTCGCACACGCTCAGCATCATCTTTCGGCGAGCGCTTTGTGAATGAGGGTGTCCACATGTCGCCTGCAAACCCCATGCACCCAACTCCCAAGGTGCAAAGACCCAGAACCGCCAAGCGTTCTATTTTGCAGAAACTGCTCTTCAATCTGACTTGCATTGTTCTCGTCGTCGCAGCCGGTGTCGCAGGCTACTACCTCAGTCCTTCATCCAACAGCGGCAATGAGACCGAAGAACAGCAAAACGACAGCCTGCACTTCAACGTTGTCGGCCAAGTATTCGGTTACCTGTGTGCTGCCCTCTACCTCGGCAGTCGCGTACCTCAATTGCTCCTCAACTACCGCCGCAAGAGCACCGAAGGTCTCAATGCTCTTTTCTTCCTCTTCGCCTGCATTGGAAACTTGACCTATGTGCTCAGCATCTTCGCCTTCAACCCCATATGCCACCATGGCAAGCACGGCCAGAAATGCAGACCTGGAGAGGCCAGTGCTATTTACGGCAGATATATTTTGGTCAATCTGAGCTGGTTGCTCGGCAGTTTGGGCACGCTTTTTTTGGACTTTGGAGTTTTTGCGCAGTTCTTCATCTATAGAACTCAGGATGAGGATGAGCAAAGTTTTGAGGATGGTATCGAAGAGGAGAGCAGAGGAAGATCTGTACAATAGTGTACGTTAAGATTTTGGATCGGGATGTGCAACGGGATCAAAAAGGGAAAATGGGCTACGATGTTTTTGGAATCTGTAGAATATGTGTATAGAACAAGCAGGAACTGGAACTCCAGGTGCTTTCTTCCAGACGTGCGAACAATCGTCCATGACCTTTATGAATATGGGGAGAGCGAGTCGACTCATCTCCCTGAAGACATACACGAACAGGATAGCGTCACTCTTGTCCATTGGCAACGAGGACACGGCCTCCATCAATACAAACGGACACGCCATCGACATAGGCCTGCAAGATGGTTAGTCAGATACAGTGACAAGGGAAAAGAAGAAGCTAATCGCAGCTTGAATTCAAGACTTACACCGGCTCGACTGATGAGATAGATGACAGCTCCAGCAATATCTTCCTGATTTCCAGCGCGCTTGGCTGGAACGCGGTCGAAAAGAGAGCTGAACATGTTTCCAGCCTCGCCGACTGGATTCATGTTGCTTGGAACAACTGTCAAACGAGTTAGTCTGATGCACTATGAGATGATAACATTGCTCACATCCAGGGTTGATGCCGACCACTCGAACGTAAAATCGACTGAACTTGGCTGCCAGAAGCTTAACGAGATGATCCGTCGCAGCTTTGCTTGTGGCATAGCTGGTCAGATCTACATTCGTCGCATTATGCATACTGGCACAGGAACTCGTCATAACAATAGCACCACGGCCGACATCTCTGCCCAGAAGTCCATCTCCTAATTCAATTTGTGAAGCTGCGGCCAAAAGTGGTAGTAATGCCACAGACAGGAAATAGTGAGCGGTCGTGTTCACACAGAACGTATCTGTCCAATCTGCATGCCGTGATGACCACATTGATGCCTGCAGTTCGGACAATGACGCCGTGAGGACATCGCAAGGAACCAGAGGATCCCGCCTTATGCCAGCATTGGATATCAACACATCGAGATGCGTCTCTCGGCCATTGATTTCTTGTGCTAGCTTTGCAATGGCATCCTTGTCACTGACATCGCAGGCTAATCTGATCATAGTGTGTCAGATGTCAACCTTGTACCACGGAGTGATAGCTGAATCCCTACTCACCCGTATGCTGAGCCACCAGTATACAGACCGATTTGGTTAAGCTCCGCTACCTTTTCCTCAATTGGCTCCATCGGTAAAGCGACGACGTAGACTTTGGCTCCGTTGGCAACCAATCCCTAAAACTAATCCGTTAGTGTTTCGCTCGTTGGTCAATGATGCAGAGATGTAACATCTTCTGGTAAAGATCTAGCCATACCTTACAGATCATGAAGCCTAACCCACTGCTTCCACCAGTTACGAGAGCTACATAGCCTTTGACGCCGAACAAATTCTCGATGTTAAGTGTTGACATGGTGTGGACCTATGACTTGAGTGTCAATCAGTAAACATAAACACACTGCTAAGTAGAGACCCTTGCCAGCTGTGCCAAAGGAAAGATAACAAGGTAAAACAACCTTGAAGTCTATCGTCTTAGTTATCTGCAGTAAGGGCTTGAATTTCAAGCGAGATAAGCGCTTTCTTCAGGATCTACTTTCCTCAAACGATGGCTGTACGAAGCGTCGGACAGTCCGACGCACAGCAACGCAGGATTGCCTCGACCTCTATCAGTATACCTACCTCTTTCTGAATGATAACCATCAACCTTGTCGCGGCCAAGGATCATGTATACAATGCATTCAGCTGTTATCAGACATCTCGGGTCGGCTATTGATCTGACTAGTAATGCTCATGATATGTAAGGTGCACATTCTTCCTGAGCTTTTGTGCTCTCGACTCTTGTTACTGTATCCTAGCCCGATCCATCAATATATACGTACATCCACCAAAGATGGATGAGCTCAAGCAAGGACCATCGCTAGAGCTTCATCAGATCACTCAGAAGGACGAAGATGTCGTCGAGGGATCAATCACAGAGATAGCTCCCAATACTCAATCGTTGCACCGAAGTCTTCGAGGCAAAGAAGTCCAACTCTTCGCAATCGGTGGAGCGATTGGTACTTGTATGTTGGCATTGATCGACCCAGACTCAGCATGTCTACAATATGGCTGACTGTACCCCAAGCTCTATACGTACAGATGGGCTCTGCTCTGCCCAAAGGTGGTCCCGCAGGCCTTTTCATCGCTTTTGTCATCTGGGCAGGCGTAATGTGGGCAGTCAACGAATGCTTCGCTGAGATGGTGTGCTACCTCCCGGTACCGTCGCCCTTCATCCGCCTCGGCGGCGCATGGGTAGATGATGCCCTTGGGTTTGCGATGTCGTGGAACTTTTTTTTGAATATGGCAATCCTGGTTCCTTTCGAGATCGTGGCCATGAACATAATGATAACATTCTGGACCAACAAAGTGCCTGTCGAGGCTATCATAGTGGCTATGGTCGTTCTCTACGCCTTCCTGAACACGATCACCGTGCGATACTTTGGCATCTCGGAGTTTTACATGTCCATCTTCAAGGTGTTGCTGATGATCGGACTGTTCTTCTTTACCTTCGTCACCATGGTTGGTGGCAATCCTCTGCATGATGCTTACGGCTTTAGATACTGGAAAGATCCTGGAAGTTTCGTTGCGCATCTGGAGCCAGGTGGCACAGGCAAGTTCCTGGGCGTACTCTCTTGCTTGTACCAAGCGAGTTTCTCGTAAGTGTTTCCGGAGTAGTTTCATGTATCGAGCCCGCCCACTGACAGTGCGAAGCATTACTGGGCCAGAGTATATATCGATAGTAGCAGCGGAGACCGAGCACCCGCGCAAGATCTTGCCTCCTGCTTTCAGGTCGTTCGTCTGGAGGCTGCTCGTGTTCTTTGTCGGTTCTGCTTTATGCATGGGGATAGTCATCCCTTACAATGATCCGACACTTTTGGCTATACTTGGTGGTGATATCGGAGGAAGCGGCACTGGTGCTGCATCGTAAGTCCACTTTGCGGCCGAATGTTCAAAAGGTTGCTAATCACGACTGCAGCCCATATGTCATCGCGATGCAGAGGCTCAAGATCTCAGGCCTTCCTAGTCTGGTCAATGCTTTAATCATGACATCCATTCTAAGCGCAGGCAACGGTCTTCTGTACTCGGCTGCTCGCACGCTACACGGCATGGCACTGGAAGGTCATGCTCCGAAGATCTTCTCTCGCTGTACCAAGAAAGGCGTTCCACTGTGGGCTCTGTGTTTCTCATTATGCTTCTGCCTTCTTGCCTTCCTGCAAGTCAAGAGTTCTTCGGCAGTCGTCTTGACCTATCTCGTCGACCTCATCACCTGTTGTCAGATGCTCAACTATGGATTCACAGCACTGACATACCGACATTTCTTCGCGTCGCTCCAGAAACAAGGCATCTCGAGAGACACACTTCCATACAAGGGCAAATTCCAACCATACACATCCTACCTTGCCATGGGAGGCACTCTTTTCATGCTTCTTGCGGGAGGCTATGACATCTTCCTCAAGGGCCGTTGGAGTGTGATGTGGTTCTTCTTGGACTACGCGATGATAGGATTTTTCATTGCAGCATTCGTCTTCTGGAAAGTAATTTTCAAGAGCACCTACATCCGGCCTGGTACTGCTGATCTAAGTCTTGGTGGTTTGAGAGAGGAGATTGACGCATACGAGGCTACGTTCGTTCCACGAGAGTCCGGTAGGGTCGGACGGGTGCTCAACAAGATTTTTGAGTAGATGAGCTCAGTGAACGTGGGACGGGATCAGACCGTAGAGTTGTTGGTGATTCTAGTGACAGGCGTACAGGAGTGTGACAACGATTTGAATTTTGCTGACTCAGCCACGCCTGAACTTGCCAATCCTATCCTTGCTCATTTCTGACGAAGACTGCAATGATTGAACCACAAATTCGGAAGATGGCTACCTGTCTTTGTGGTTCGATAGCATATCATTCCGGCACTATCGCTACACCCTTGACTTCCACCACAAATCGTGGGTCTGGCAAGTCCTTCACGCCAATGGTCGCTCTTGCAGGCGCTACCGTCCGACTCTCAAAGACCTTATTCCACTCCTCATTCATGCCTGCATAATCTCTTTCCATCTCGGTCAAGTATACCACGGCATCGATCAAGTTGTGTATACCGCCTTTTCCATCAGAAGCTCCTCGGATGATATCGTCGATTGTGCTGAGGACTGTCTTGGTTTGCTTTCGTACATCAGGTATTTGACCTTCTTCAGCGCCGGCAATAGTGCCATCTGGAAGTATGCTTGCGATGCCAGAGACGTAGATTGTGCGACTGCTGCTTGGAACTGATCGTGCTTGCGAAAAGCGTGTAGGTCCTTCTGGAGCGCTTGGATTTAGAAGAAAAGCATGTCCGTTAGGTGACCCTGTCATATTCTCGCGCGGTCTGAAGATGAGCAAGCAGAGAAAGAGGACACCAATAATTGACACGAGAGGTGATTTGAATCCAACATGGCCATTGTCGCAGTACGAAAGTTGTTGATATACGGTTGACAGCATTTATCGTGACCCCCAGATACAGCGTCGGCATGTCCGACAGGTCACAGATAAGGCAAGCTGTAGTGTGACCACACAGTACAGCTTCGCCATAAACAGTAAAACACGCTCTCGCAGTATTGCAGCTTGTAATCTGTCTCTTCGGACACTCCGTCAATCTGTGTTCGCCGTGATCTCCAAGCACGAGCCGACCCTGGATGCTCTCCTATCCTAGGTTTCACCATATATTGAAAGACGTTCTCTTCTCTACAGCTTGTACAAGGACGCTCGTGATCAACCAACATGGCGTCGCTTGAGCACTTCGCAGACGTCCTCCTTACGAATTCTGTCTACATCGCTGGAGCAGCATTTGTCTGCTTAGTGATTCTATTGGTATCAGTAAGCGGCCACAGCACATGCTGAAAGCAGACTGCAACTGACATGATCACAGTGGGCATATAGCACAGATATAAAGCACATCAAGGGTATACCAGAAATCCCAGGTGCACTTCCCGTCTTCGGCCATCTCTTGAAACTCGGAGAAGATCACGCTTCTTCCTGCGAAAAGTGGTGGCGCCAGTACAACCAGCCTGTCTTCCAAATCAAGCTGGGAAACACTCGAGCTGTGGTTTTCAATTCTTTTGATGCTTGCCGTGATATCTTGGTCAAGCATCACAACGCTGTGATAGATCGACCTAAGCTTTATACATTCCATGGAGTCATCAGCAGTACTCAGGGCTTTACGATTGGTAGCAGTCCCTGGGATTCGAGTTGCAAGAACAAGCGCAAGGCAGCTGGAACCGCTCTTTCAAGACCAGCAATGCGCAACTACCATCCGATGTTTGATCTGGAGAGTTTTTGCATTATTCGCGACATGCACAAGGACAGCAATTTCTCTGATCCCAACAAGGAGATAAGCATCAGGCCTTACATACAGCGATATGCTCTTAACACGACTCTGACCCTGTGCTACGGAATCCGCATGGATGACACATATGACGAGCTTCTTCGTGAGATCTTGCATGTTGGTTCCGCCATATCCCTTCTGCGCAGTGCGTCAGAGAACATGCAAGATTATGTCCCGGCACTTCGTTACTTGCCGAACAACGAGAAGAATGCTCGCTCCCAAGATCTGCGATCTCGTCGAGATGCTTATCTCAATCTCTTGCTGGACAAAGTACGAGAGATGATCAAGAATGGCACCGACAAGCCATGCATCAGTGCCGCAATTCTGAAAGACGAAGAGACCAAACTCACTGGAGTCGAAGTCTCGTCAATCTGTCTGTCGTTGGTCAGTGGCGGATTCGAAACTATTCCCGGAACCTTGACCTCATGTCTTGGATCACTTTGCACGCCAGAAGGACAAATCTTCCAAGAGCGAGCCTATGCCGACATAAAGCGTTACTATCCAGATATTCGCGATGCCTGGCAGAACAGTTTCCAAGAAGAAAAGGTCCCATACTTGAAAGCGATTATCCAGGAAGCTGGTCGTTATTACACTGTAAGCTCGATGAGTTTACCTCGCCGTACAGTGACCGAGGTCAACTGGAATGGCGCCATCATCCCTCCTAAGACCATGATTCTCGTGAACGCACAAGCTGGCAATCACGATACTGACCATTTTGGATCTGATGCAGCAGTCTTCAATCCTGAGCGCTGGCTTGAGCCCATCACCAAAGAAAATGATATGGGTCCTTTCGAGGAACGTGTTCTTACGTCGCAAGCTCACCTGTCTTTTGGTGCTGGCACTCGAGCTTGCAGTGGGCAATTGATTGCCACACGTTTGCTGTATTCAGCTCTCATTCGCATTTTGTCTTCGTACAAGATCGTTGCTTCTGAGTCTGAGCCTCCTAACACAGATTATGTGGACTACAACCAATTCAAGACTGCATTGGTTGCAATCCCGCGTGATTTCAAGGTTAGGCTCATCCCTCGTGATAGACCGACCATGGAAGAATGTATGCAGTCGGCGTATGAGCGGACAAAAGAGCATTACAAGGAAAACATCAAGTCTGTGTAGTCAGATGTTATCTCTGTTCGCCTGCCTATCAGGTGCGGGGCGGTATAGATAAGGTAGACTCTAAGCGTACCTTAGTATTGAGGCGGGGCTAGACAAGAATATATTCTCGTGGCGTACCGACACTTAAAGTCGTAATTCAATTGCTCCATCACTGAAATGCCTTGTGCACCTCGCGTCCCGGTGACGGCGCGTGCCAAAATCTCTTGCTCACGGTGTCATCGACGAAAGAAGAAGTGTGATCGTGTTCTTCCACAGTGTGGGAATTGTGCGTCCGTGCAACATTCGTGCAGCTTGGCCGAGCAAGACCACGACAGTGCGACATATCCAGTTGCGTGAGTCTTGACAGATGATATGTCGTCCAGTGTGAGGGCCTAGATTGATAGTGTGTAGGTTTGTTCGTAGTCTCGAAGAGCGCGTGCGCGAACTAGAACAACAGCAAGCCTTCTTAACCTCACACGATACGCTTCAGCCTCAAGTAGAAGGAGCAACCCAACTCGGATTGAGCACGACCTCAAATCTTTGTGAGAATACGAATGAGGTGTCAGTGGAAGACACTGGCCTGACCTTCTCGGACCAGCACATATCGGATCATGGCAACCATATAACCCATACTGGACAGTCGCCTATGATGGACTCAAATCATGGCCCTGCTCCTCGTGCTCAGGAGACCCTTGAACAGAACTTGAGAGATGTTTCTCTCGCAGCAGTAGCAGAACCCTACTTGGGTACAATGTCTGGATTGACCTTCGCAAAACTAACACAAGCCGTGCTTCGAAGGCTCTCACCAGACGGTCGAGACTTTGTGTTCAGCCCTCGCGTGGATGGTAACATGGTACCTCTGGAAGGAGCCACAAATCTGCATCTCGAACTCATAAACAGTGTGTACTTCGATTTTGACCAAGCCATCGACTTTTCTCTGCTCGCAGGAGAACCATCATTGCCCCTGATTGATGCTTCAATGCAAAACGAGACAACTCAACTGCCAGATAGGGCAGAGGTACTACATCTGGCAAGATTTTATTTCGACCATTCCCACACTCTGTATCCCATAGTCCATCAGCAAGAGGTCATGGCTGACATACATTCAATTTTATTGGATCCTGATCACCATCTAACACTATCTCCACCATGCATGTTTCGAATATGGATGGTACTGGCCATAGGCTCGACCACGTATTCCTCAATAACGCTAGCCGAGGAGTTTGTGTCCAGATTATACTACGAGAAGGCCATGACATATTTCGATGCTTCGATGGACTATGGCGATGTTGTGAGTCTTGCTCGCGACCGAAGCTGACTATCATGCATATACTAACAAGTGCAAGGTTGCACTCGAGGCTATCATGCTCCAAGTTTCATTCTCCTTCTTCAATCAAATAGGTCCAAGTAAGATTCTCATGCTGAACAGCTCAGATGCATCTTTTCTTGCTTGCTGACAAGTCACTTTTCTAGATACGTGGTTTCTCGTAGGTACCGCTGCACGTTTAGCACTAGGCATGGGTCTCCATTGCGACTCGACATATTCATCGCTACCTATCATTCAAGCCATTAGACGCAAACGACTGTTCCTCTCGATTTACATGATGGATCGACTAGTGTCCATCACATTAGGCAGACCATTTGCTATTCACGAAGACGACATCGATATCTCATCATTCGCCATCGAAACATGCGAGGAGTTAGACAACAACCTCTCTGCTTCACAAAGCAACTTTTGCAAATCCCCAATGGCAATCACCGAGCATATTCTGCGTCTACGGAAGATCGCCACCGACATCGCCACCAAAGTATACTGCAAACGTGTAGTTGCCGGCTACTCTGCTGCCCAACGTGAACAAGTCGTTTCCGGTCTACATCAAGACTTGGTGAACTGGCGACAGAGTGTGCCATTCCCACTACCACACTTGCACGGCAGTGTTCCGCATGGATGCACCACTTGGTTCGACTTGAACTTCTACACGCATATGATGACACTCTACCGACCTTCGCCTTTATTTCCTACTCTTCCTGTATCTCATGTTAACACTCTCGCCGAAGCGGCCGCATGTGCACTACGCCAGGCAAACAGTATGCGTCTGCAAAAGCGACTGGCGTTCAACTGGCTGAACCTATTGATGCTCTACAATGCAGTGATTGCTTTGGTGTACTCTGTGACAGTGCAGCCAGAAAAGCTTGCAGAGTCACTCGAACGCTTGCATGCAGTTGAAGACTTGCAGCTCGCCATGGAGATGTTTGAAGTGTTGGGTGACAAGTTTGCAGCAGCGAAGACTATTGGTGCCATGGTCGCTCAAGTTGTTGATAGGTATCAGGTTCATGGACGAGAGGTATGAACTCGAGCCAAGCTTTGATCTCACTTGTTCTTGAGGAGAGAGCATAACAGTGGAAGTGGCCGATCATGCGACTCCTATAAACGGGCCGTCAATCGGATGTCTTGAAGCCGTCTTTATGTACTGATCAGGCCACTGGGGCCAGAAAGCCGTTGTCACAAGCAAAATATTCGAGCGGTACGAGACGCGTTGCCGGAGAGCCTAGAGAGCACCTTCAAAGCTTTTGCCCCGGTTCCCCCGGATGTAATTCGCGCCTTCCTCCACACAACGATAGTATGGGGCCGTCAGGACTAGATAGCGAACGATGGAGCTGAGCTTTCAGAACGTACGGGGGCCACCAGCTAGAAGCAGGGACAGAAGGAGGCCAGCAATACTGATCCTCCTGTCTTGCAGTGCGCATATTCTCCTCAGGGTGTCTGATCACAGTTGAATCCCTTCACCCAAGATAGTACAATGGCAGGAAAGGCGAGGTCCGGCCTCAGACTGCGGCTGTCAAAGACGTCAGCGTTCTGTAGTCAGATGTTGTATGTTGCCCCAGAAAATGTAACCGTGCGGTAACCTCGGCACCGAGGCAGGGAGAAAGGGTCCGTGTCTATTGGAACAACCGATGGCACATTGATAAGTACAATGCAGCGATCGTCAGCTTGATTGTTTCCTCACACTCCTAAATCTTCCATATCATCACAAAATGGCACCCGCCGTACCCACTCCTCAATGGGTCAAGGACCTCAAGCCTGCGGGCATCCAGGGCACTGAGCTCTTGTCGCAAGAGCGAGCACAGTCCAATGTCAATGTCGAGGCTTTGACAGACTTCTTGTTCACCAAAGAGGCACTGGCCAGGAAGCACAAGATCCTCAAGATTCTGCAGCAGGAGAAGGTCTTTGACAAGTCACAAAACTACTTTGCTGGCCGTGTTGATCGTTTCGAGACGGCCTTGGCCAGGGCCAAGAGACTTCGACAGCTGCAGGTCAAGCACAACTGGACCGACCAGGACAAGACCACCGCCAACGAGCTCATCAGTGAGCCTGGCCCGTACGGTCTGCACGAGAGCATGTTTTTGGTATGTGCCAACTTGAGAAGGGACGCTTCAGCCAGCTGCTAACCAATGACACAGATCACCCTCCGTGACCAAGGCACTCCCGAGCAACACGAGAAGTTCCTCAAGCCAGCAAGAAACTACGAATACATCGGTTGTTACGCCCAGACAGAGCTCGGTCACGGCTCAAACGTACGAGGACTCGAGACAACGGCAACATGGAATCAAGAGGACAAGACCTTCATCATTCATTCGCCCACCCTCACTGCAAGCAAGTGGTGGATCGGCTCGCTCGGCCGCACTGCTAACCACGCCGTCGTCATGGCTCAGTTGTACATCAACAACAAGTCCTACGGCCCCCACCCCTTCGTCGTCCAGATCCGTGATCTCAAGACACACCAGCCACTCAAGGACATTCACATTGGTGACATTGGTCCCAAGTTTGGTTACAACACAATGGACAACGGTTTCTTGCTCTTCAACAAGGTCAAGGTCCCACACATCAGCATGCTTGGCCGCTTCTCCAGCGTTGACCCCAACACTGGCAAGTACCTGCGTCCTGCTTCTCCTTCGCTCATCTACGGAACCCTCACCTGGGTTCGTAGCACCATTGTCTTGCAGTCTGGCAGCGTCCTGGCTCGTGGTGTCACCATTGCCACCCGCTACGCTGCTGTCCGTCGCCAGTTCCAGGACCGTGATGCTCAAGATCCCAAGTCGGACGAGAACCAGGTTCTCAACTACACAACTGTTCAGATCAGACTTTTGACTCTGCTGGCTACTTGCTACGCTCTGCACTTCACTGGCCGTGGTATGATGCAGCTCTACGAGGCCAACCAGAAGAAGATGAGCCAAGGTGCAGGCTCGTCCGAGGGCAAGCGTGGTGCTGGTCCCGAGGAGACTACTCCTGGCAGCGATCTGCTCGCCGACCTTCACGCCACTTCTTGCGGTCTCAAGTCGCTGGCTTCATCCACTGCTGTTGATGGTCTCGAGGTGTGTCGTCGTGCTTGCGGTGGCCACGGTTACAGCAACTTCTCAGGTATCGGTCCCTGGTATGCCGACTACCTGCCCACTGCCACCTGGGAGGGTGACAACTACATGTTGACCCAACAAGTCGCCCGCTACCTTCTCAAGTCCGCCCGCAGCGTGCTCAAGGGCAACGAGCCCACAAACGACACCACTGCCATTCTCGCCAACTTCCTCAAGAAGTCCGACACCGGTGCCGCCTTCAACATTATGGACAAGGACGAAGACCTTGTTGCAGCCTTCGCCTGGAGATCTGCCTTCCTCACTTTCGAGGCTCTCAAGCACAGAGACGAGAACAAGAAGGCATGGAACGACTTGCTCGTTGACTTCTACCGTCTCTCACGCGCACACTCGCAATACATGGTTGTCAAGAACTTCTACGAAGCCCTCAACTCATCATCCATCAACTCCGAGCTTGACCCTCCCACCATCGAGCTCATGCACAAGTTGTTCCGTCTCTACGCCCTGCACACCCTCGAGTCCGAGGCTTCTGAATTCTACACTTCTGCCGCCGTCACCGTTCGTCAAATCCAACTCGCCCGCACAAACGCAGTCATGAAGCTTTTGGCAGAGATCAGACCTCATGCCGTGCGTTTGGTCGATGCTTGGGACTTCCCTGACTGGCAGATGGATTCGTCATTGGGTCGTTACGATGGTAAGGTGTATGAGGACATGTTCTACCGCGCTAGCGAGTTGAATCCTCTCAACGCCATCACCGTGGATCCTTACCCCAACAGTGAGGTTCTGTTCAAGGCAAATGACAGCAGCAAGTTCAAGAGCAAGCTGTAAATTGATACTGAGACAAGAAAAATTACTTCAAGAAAGTTCATCATCATATAGATACGGAGCTTGGGTAGTCCCCTTTTTTTGTGCAATGCCAGTTATGAAGTTTTTCCTTTTTTCTGCTTTCTTTTTCGCTGGTGTATACTATTTTCTTTTTCGACAATCTCTATAGCTTCACTTCGCGCAAGCACTAGATAAGAAAAAAAGAATGTAAAAGATGCAAATCCGAACAAATCTGAGGGTCGATCATCTAGTGCTGGATTTTCTTGTGACCGAAGACAATCTTTGAGCGATTTCCTCCGATCACCGGGTCTGTGTCATTTGCCATGAATGGATTGGATCTGAGAACACGGATCTGTTCTTTTTTTTCTTTTTTTTTCGCTTTGAGAAGCCACTTCGATCTCTCGCTCCTTATCCCCCAAGCTGTTCCACATGTGCGCTTTCTTCCAGGTTGTATCAAGTCTCTGATATGACCTTGTCATCGTCTTGGAGAGCTGAAAGATCCACGTCGCTGAGTCGCCACATGTACCACATGAACAGACTCCTATACGGTGAGAACCTCTCTGCGGCCTCGAGCATAGCCTTTTCCGACCCCATGTACTTCCACTTTCCTCCTCCTTTGGCTTTGAGTTTGTTGACGTCTTTGCCTAGGTATACTGCTAACCCACGTCTGTTTTGCTCATAGTCAGTCACCGTCTCTCTGCTGGAAGGAAAGGGACAAGGAGGGAGGCTCGGCTTTGGAAGCACTTACTGTACGCCCAGGTCTCCTGTAGAAAACACATCGAGCCTTTTCAGATCGAAACATGCAAACATCTCTACACTCCACTTTCCCAACCCCCTAACTGCAACAAGTTTTTCCATGACTTCTTCGTCGGAAGCTGTTGCCAACATCTCTGCACTCAGCTTTCCTGAGGTAAAGTGTTGAGCTAGTCCTTGGATGTATTCTGCTTTTCTTTGACTCAAGCCTGCAGTTCTGAGTGTCGGAATAGGCATTTCGGCTACCAAAGCCGGGGGAGGAAAGGTAGGAGGACCTGTATAGTTGTGTTGTTGGGAAGGAGGGAATAAAGCTATGAATTTAGCTTTTATGCTACTAGCAGCAGCACCAGAGACTTGTTGAGCAATGATTCCAGAAGCCAAAGAGCGAAAAGGGTCGATTGGTTGTGCTAACCCTTCTGCGTCAAAGACTTTACAGTGGAATTTGGAGAGGTAGGGTGTCAAGCGGCCGGTATAGTCATGGTGTTTGAGGTGTGCTAGAGCGGTGTCTAGGAGTGTGTTTGTGGTGCTGGTGGGAGTGGGGCCTGAAGTGTCGTTGTCCCAGGTTGAGTAGGCTGTTACTACTTTATCTGTCTCTGGAGATTTCAGAGGTGCGTTTGTGATGTGGGGTTCTGCGGGCCTGGGAGAGATGTGTCCATCTGTCGTCGCAGTATCACTGGACGATGTGGCCGGAGTTGGTAGACTATCAGCTGGAAGTGTTGATGCTGGTGGCGAAGCACCATTGATCTTTTGGCGTTTGCGAGGAGCCTCTTGCTTGGAAGAACCATTTATTGTGGTTTCTTGCTCGCTTTTTGATATCAAGATTGGTTTCAAGGCAGCTTTTGATGCTTTTGAATTCGTAGCAGATGTCTTGCGCTTGGTGACTTTGAGCTGAGAAGTAAGCGTGGCTGTTGTGTTAGGCAGCGCCTGAACACGAGCAGAGCGTCTTAGTGACATTCTGATAGTATTTGTTGTAAGTAAGGAGGAGAGAGCCAGTATGCAGACACTATCAAACACGATGGAAAGTTGATGGTTAAGTTATTGATGGTCGAGGACGAGGCATGCCAAAAGAGGTAATGGAGGAATTCAAGGCTGACGCAATGACGCATGCGAGTCTTGGGAGTTCACCAGCAATCTACGAATGCAGAGCTCAACAAGGCCCCTGAGAGCTGTCTTACAAGAATTGATTATAACTCACGAACAAAGAATCAAACATTCGCAGCTGTATCACGTTCAAGGACAAGTGAAAGTCAAGTCAAGCAGTATAAGAAGCACAGACCATGGACGGAAACGCATGAGGCAAAATGGTAGGTCGCAGAGTCGATTGAAACAGCATGTTTATGGCTTGATTTTGCAGAATCAGCCAGTCTAGCTTCAATCAAAAAGAGCCATGCATTATCCATTGGTAATGATGCGTCCGCGTATGTTACAATCAGCCAGAATTGCATTGTAGAAGCGTGTCAATGAAGAGAGACATTCGTGCATGAATTGAGACTGGGTCTGAGGATGTATAGTTGTCGAGTCAATGAAAAATGCGGTTTTGGACATTCTAAAGGTATAGAGTACATGAAAGCGGGCGGCGACTCGGGGGAACAGCGAGCATTGAGGTTTAGGGCGATTATTTCTTGATGACCATGGCGTCGAGGTCCATTCTCTCTCTTCTCTCGGCCTCGATCTCCTTGATGATGGGGCTCAAGTATGGGATGTCCTGGGGTATGTGTAAGCAATTGAATGGTGGAGGGACAGGTGGATTGTAGGAGACGCACATCCTCGGGCTTGGTCTGCTCGTTCTTGGGGAGGAGCTGGTGTGAGAGAGAGCACTGTAAGGGCGTATTAGCGGTTGATGGCGGGCATTGGACGATGTGTCGAATGTAGCGGACCTGGAAAGCGCGGCGCATGCGGAAGACGCGGTCGTAGGCCTCCTTGGGCGGGAGACGCTTGAGGGCGAGAAGGACGGTCTCGGACTCCTCAGGGATAAGGTCGTCGGCTCTACAGGGTGGAGGCGACGTCAGTAGCTGTCGAGAGATGCAGGTGCAGGGGCGACGGACCTCAGACCCAACTTTCTGTAGCCGGCGGCGTCGGTGTACCAGTTGGCGAGAGGAGTCATCCAGCGCTTCAACCAGGGGCGCTTGACAATGAAGTTGGTCATGGAAGGCTGCGACATGATGGCGGTGTGTTGTGCGGGTTCAATGTCCGGTCAGTGGTCTTCGACTCTGCTGCTTTAACTCTTGTCGTTCAAGTCTCGAGAGCCCAGGCTGAGCCAACGCCAGACGCGCGCTGATTGGCTGCTTACCTGCCCTCTCGCAGTCCAATCAGCGTCGGCTATCCATCCCCCGCTTTGGGCCGACCAAACTCCGATGTCCGACCACCGGCTGTTCCCTTTGATGGACCATGGCGGACCCCAAGGTTGACGAGTGCGCGAGTGCGACTCCATCACTGTTGTTGACACACGACTCAAGATACCAGACGCTTCCACTACTTTCAGCACCCGCCTCCTGCAACAGCACACACTCCCGGCCATTGTGTGCAGATTCATGGAGACGCACAATCGCTAACCAAAGCTGCTTTAAAGCGGTGCCGGGCCGCGTGCGCATACTACTACTCCCGTATCTATCCAATTACCAATCTACGTCCACCATCTCGAACCCTCGCCAGACACCTATCCTCAACCCACCCTGTTTCCTACCACCGAATTCTCCCATCTGCCTCTGGCTTGAACATGCGCAGCTATTGAGGCACTTTCCTCCGATACAATGTCAGCCCCGGCATCCAGATCCCACGATCTAACCCCACCATCTACCGCACATCTCCTGGCTCAAAAGCTACCCAAGCCATACATCAACAGCTTTTGCGGTGCCGCTGCCGGCGTTGCTTCGGGCATTGTTACTTGCCCACTCGATGTTATCAAAACCAAGCTGCAGGCTCAAGGCTCCTTCCGTTTCCAGCAGCATTCACAGAACGCGCCTTCAACATCCCAGGTCTACCGAGGTCTTGTTGGAACTGCAAAAACAATCGTGCGCCAAGATGGTCTCAAGGGCATGTATAGAGGTCTTGGACCAATGGTACTTGGTTATCTGCCCACATGGGCTGTCTACATGAGCGTCTATGATATCGCAAAGAGCAATTACTCCGAACGCATTGGTGAGTTGATTCAGTCATGTTTCATCAACACATACTAACCTGCATAAAGAACCCCAGTGGTTCTCTCATGTGTGCTCCTCCGTCACAGCCGGCGCTTGCTCAACCCTTGCAACAAACCCCATATGGGTTATCAAGACTCGTCTCATGTCTCAAATATCCTCAAAAGCTGCCGAAGGACACCGTACCCCTTGGCACTACAACAACACTTGGGATGCCGCTCGTCAGATGTACAGAAGTGAGGGCGTCAAGGCCTTCTACTCTGGTTTGGCTCCCGCATTATTGGGTCTCACCCACGTCGCCATTCAATTCCCTCTCTACGAGTACTTGAAGCTCAAATTTACTGGTGTTGAGATGGGCGCAGCTCCTCCAAGCCAAGGCTCAAACTCGGTCGGTGTGCTCGCTGCTACCTGCATCAGCAAGATCTGCGCTACCACAGCCACATATCCTCACGAAGTCCTGCGCACTCGTCTACAAACACAACAAAGGGGCATTCCCAGCTCTGATGGCATGATTAATAAGCCTCGCTATCAGGGTGTTGTCAAGACCTGCAGAACCATTCTCTACGAAGAGGGCTGGACTGCCTTCTACAGCGGCATGGGAACAAATCTCATTCGAGCCGTTCCTGCCGCCATGACTACCATGCTCACCTTCGAGACACTCAAAAGCATGATTGTTCGTCTGCAAGATGAAGACGAGCACGTTCCGGGAACCGTCTAGAACAACGCGCAACAAAGCTTTTCATCCACCATTGCTTCTCACCATTTCACGAGCTACGCCCCAACAATGTATAGAAGATTCTTTACGTCCCAGTTTCCGCTACAACTCGATCCACACACACACACACACATAACACACACTTCTCCGAGGGGCTGACTTAACTACATTCACCGTCACGGCATCGCTCTGCATTTAAAACCCCGGCTAGGGTGTTCTCACAGCAAGGCGTTCAGGGGGAGGCTTTTCTTCTGACATGCAACTATCTGGCTTGCATGATCTTTGTTTCATTTTCCTCAGTAGTTGAAAAACAAAATCACGTTCAAATCTTCACTCCGCTTCTGTAAACTCTTCTCAGCGTCGAATGACACTGTGCCTTTTGACAATTCTCTTGATTTCGGACGTGTCGGTGTGAGAGAGAGATGCAATGTTAAGGACCTGAGACGTGGGCTGTCTCTTCGTCTTTGTACATCAATCCAAATAGGTGAGCGTAGAAGCAGAAGACATACTAAGACCCAAGTAAAACACCAAAATGAGTCAGATCATCCAAAACCAAAGACATTAACAACCAGAAAAGCTAGCAGCAAGACCAACAGAGACAACAAGGATAACTGTGGAAAGTAGGCAGTCAAAATAGTCAAAAGCGAGATCCAAAAGCATCATTATATCAAAGAGCACATGGCACAGGGATAGAAACATAATGATGGAAAGATTCTTTTATACAATACTGCAGGAACCTGCCCGCAATGATAGTAAGTCTCTGATAATTGATTGATGGTGGGGAGCAGCGCGATCGTGAGTTGATCATAAACTTAGGCCTGTAAGACCTGCAGCATTTGTATATCGAAAAAAGCGGCAAAAACAAACAAAAGCAAACAACAACAAAAGGTGAATAGTAGAAGCAAAAGAAGCAAAACAACCAACGAAGAATGGATATAACAAAATCAAAAAACTCTCCATTGCCCAATATAAAACACGAGAGGGGTCATCAGAAAAGGTATAAAAAGTGAGCAAGTTTTTGGCTACACATCCAGAGTGAGAGAAACACACAACAAGGTCCTGCCCAATACCCAGTATCGGTATGCTTAGCGGCGGGGGTGGCCACGGACACGGCGGTGCTCCTTGCCAACGTGACGGCGAGCGTGGGCGTTGGCGGTCTCGACGGCAGTGGCGGTGACGGTAACGTCGACCTCCTCGATCATCATCTCCATGACTTGGTTGCCTTGGGTGTACCAAGAGGTGGCGACGATGTTGCCAGCAGCATCGGTCTCAGCGTTAGCGAGCGATGCAGGGGCGGTAACGGTCGAGGCGGACTCCTGGACGTATGTTGAAGAGGCCTTGGCGCGGAGGATGCCACCGCCGTACTTGTCGGTGACGGAAGAGGTACCGGGAGTGTAGCTCAGAGTGGGGACAACAGCGGAGGAAGAAGCAGCCGAGGTGACCGAGGCGGAAGCCTTGGTTGAGGTGGCAGCGGCAGACTGGGTCTCATCACCAGCAAGGACGACAGGGTAGACACTGGCGTAAGCAGGGCCAGACTGGATAGGGACAGCAATAGGAAGACCATCTTCACGGGGGCCGAGAGGGTTGTCATCCTTGATGGCGTCAACGGGGTTGAAAGTGCACTGCTGCGACTGGGCATCGCTCTGGATGTCGAAGAGAGGGCAGTCCTGGATCTGACCAGAAGCGTTGGTGCAAGTGTCAACGGCAGACTGGAGGAAGTCGCTGCTGTCCCAACCCATCTGGAAGTCACCGTGGTATCCGTAACCAGTGGGGTCACCCATAGAGAGGACGAACTGACCATCCATACCCTTGAAGGCATAGGTGTTGAAGATGGTCTCGAAGAAGAGAGAGGGGAGCTTGGTGCCGAAGCCCTCGGGGCAGGAACCGCTCATGACCAAGTCGGGGAAGGCGACGTGGGATCTGTGGTCATCGGAGTCGAGGTCCTTGCCGTTCCAGCATGAAGGGAACATGAGCTCGAGACGAATACCGTCAAGGCAGTTGGCGTCGAGGTAATCCTTGTCAGGCAAGAAGTGACGGTAGAGGGATGCCTCAGGGGCGGCGGCATAGTTCAAGCAGTTGAAACCAAGAGCCTTCTGTGAGAGAGCGCTCTGGGTCTTCTGCTCAGCAGTCCAAGACGACTTGTCGTTGTCAGGGATGGGGTAGGGGAAGCTACGAAGACGCTTGTCACCAGAGATCATCTGGAAGCCCTCAGGGAAGGCAGTGATCTTGCCGTTGGGGTTGGCAGCGTCATTGTAGAGAAGGTAGTAAGCAAGCATACCACCGACCTGCTCGACCATCTCGGCAGTGCCGTTGGAGTGGAGGAAGTAGAGAGGAGGGGTCCAGTAGGCAGACTTGTCCTGAGTAACGGAACATGAAGTGCAGTCAGAGTTGACGAGGTCCTGAGGGGTGTTGTCAATGCCAAAGTCTGAGGGAAAGTTAGCATTTGAAAGGTCATCACATCAATATCAAAAACATACTGCTACCACCGTGGATAACGTGGACGTGGTCAGAGACCTTGCCGGGGTCCATGATAGGGTCAAGACGACCGACACCAGAACGACCACGGCAAGGAAGACGCCAGAAAGCATCGGCGCTGCCGGCAAGCGACAGAGCGCTGACTGCCAGAGACAGCGCAGAGGCCTTGTTGTTCACCATATTGAAGGTGATGTGTTTATCGATTGGATGAAGTAGGGTTGATCAGACTTGACAAGACTGACTGCTTGGCCGGTCAATTGTCAGGTGAAGATGGAAGAGAATACGCAAGCCACGAACGACTCGGAATGTTTTGCTGCTGCGACTAAGGAATGTGGGAGTGAGTGTGGGAAAATGAGTGTGAAGATGGTGCCAAGATTTGGGCTGCAGCGGATGCAGGTAGATAATGAATGATTTTTTGACCGAAGGGAGGCCAGATGAAAAGAGTGACTGTAGATTGAAGCAGCAACAGAAACAACAGACGAAAGTGAGGTGACCAAGGCGTGCAGGGGAGACCGAGGGGGATGGGTGTTTAAGGAAATGAAGCTGTTTCTAAAAGGGGCACGGTGCTCTAACACGCGCCGCCACAATTTAGAGCGTTTCATCTTGGAGTACCCCCGATGCGCTCTGCGGCATCTGCGTTCAGAACCGTGTTATTGCGCCTTGCCTTGAGTCGGGTCCTATCGATTGCACGCTGTTCTGATTGTCATGATGCCTCACATCAACACTGTGACTTGCTGGGGCCGTATATCCGCCTGTCGGGAACGCAGATTGTGCTCTGCAACCTGCGTCGACATTACGCAAATCGAGAACTCCTTCGAGCGACTATGATCCCCGTGTCTTCTTGGGATGGATACCGATCTGCATGTCGGAAATGAGCCTTGTCAAACAGTCAAGCCAGTGGTTGTTGACGCTGCGAGGAAAGAGGTCACAACAGGTCTCAACTTTTTTGGTTTCGCGGCAAGCCTCAAAGCTTAGCTTCACAACGGCCGGTCGGCGGCAGAAGGGGAGCAACAAAGCAGCCTCAGACTCGCACAATAATGCGTGTCATCCTGCATCCTTTTTCTTGTTGATGTGGGATATGATTGCAACGATTGAAACGTCTGCTAAACACAACGATCAACTCCTTCTTCCACAGCAACAGTATCCGTAACAAAGTCTTTTATGATTGCGGCGCCCCTTACTTTGCTCACATTCTTTGACAAGCGCACATGACACTGCCGCGCATGAATCGACCATGCTGTGCCATGCATTGAAGCGCAATTTTGAAGTGACGAAGCCGTGGTTATTATTGCCAATGCGTGGCAGCCACTGGGCGCCTTCCAGTCAATTGACATTGCGGCACAGCGCGGCCCGCATCTATATCTTATAATTGTACTCTCACGCGTCGCAATAACAATCGATATGATTGCGCACCGTTCTTCCAGAATCTCTACCGGTCTAGGACTGCCGCTGCATCCAGGTGCAACCCCTTATGCAACAGTCGAGCCAAGTCTGGATGTCGGGACCATTGTACGGGGATAGGTGGCGATCCCCATACAATCACAGAGGCAATGGCCTGCTTATGGTCACCCCTCGAGCAGCCTGCCATTTTTATCCCTTGGATACGTCGATCGTTTCGTGTCAAAGCACTGAAAAAAGACCCATCGCCAGAAGATCTCTTGGTAGATGCTCTACCATGACGTTTTTGTTTTCAAATCGAGGCTCCCCTTCGATGCAATCGATTTCCCATCTTCCGTCCTGCTTTTAACTGGTAACGGGCGGTTCCCCTGGCGTTCACCTTGCACTGCCCCTACTAACAAACAACCCCGCTCATGAGTCGGTCGGAGTTTGAATCGTAACAAATGGTTTCACAGTGACATGGCATCGGCACTTCAGTATAGGGATGCATACGATTCAAGCCACAGGGTTTGACGTTTTGTTACATGTATTGCGCACTGCGACGAACCAAAACTAGCTTTCCTCCTCATCCTCGGACGCTGTACTTGACGTAAATCTTCTGTTTTGGCTTGGCTGCCGAGTGACTGTTCATGTCGCCTCGGGGTTGTTCTGCAATCTGCTTGCCATGTTCGTCCACCAGCTTATCAAAGTCAAAATAAGCGAGGAAGAAGGCGAGGATGATATTTTGCTCAAGTTTGGCAAAACGTATGCCGAGGCACGGATGTCTACCTGCACCCCAGCCGAGATATGCAAATTTCGTCTTTTGGTCCTCTGCTCTGTCTGGTAGGTAGCGTGATGGATCCCATTTCTCGGGCTCGGCATAAATCTCAGGGTTGAGATGTACGTTGGCAATTGCATATGCTGCAAAAGCTCCTGCTGGGATCTCTTCACTATCTGATACCTTGACAGGGCTCTTTGACAGGTTCTGACGGAACATGGATCCAACCAAGTTCAAACGGATACTGTCTCGTAAGCAGAGGTCGATTGAGGGCAACTCGGTCTCCCAAGCCTCGAGAGGCGCAGATGCTAGTCTTTCCGGAAGCGACTTTGAGGTGTCGCTGTCGTACCTCTCGGCCATTGCCTTGACTTCCTCGAAAACTTTTCCACGCCAGTAAGGGTCGTTCGCAAGGTAGATGATGACCCAAGCAGCATTGATGCCAGAGTTCAATTGACCCGCGTATAAAGCGCCTGGCACGGAGTTGTTGTTAGCATAAGCTCACGGGCTGGAATGGTGAGGAAACCAAGGCTTCATTGCTTGACTGCCTGTCTCTGCTCGGTGGAGTTCAAGGCAATATTCCACTGAGAAACACCCCGTACGAACTTCCTAGCCTGGCAGAAGACAAGGCACCAGCACTAGCCGTAGTCTCTTCGGCTTTCAGTTCAACTCACCGAGAATAAATGTCAAGATCTCCTTGACACTGTCGCCCTTTTCAATCATAAATTGCAGTGGGTCATTTTCTCTGCGTCCGTTTTTGGCTCGATCCTCGATGATGTTCTTGAAGATCATGTAGAGTCTGGCTCCATACCAGAGACGCTTGAGTTTTCCAGGAAAGGGGAACCAAGGGAGAATAATAAGTTTTGCAGAAGATGAAGCCTCAATCTTCTCAAACATGTCCAGTGTCTTGTCCAAGAGATCACGATCGTTGGCGATCTCATTGCACGCGACCGTTCGCATGGTAAGTTGGTACACGACACCATAGATGCTCTCGAAAGGATCGGTCATGCCTGAGGGGTCTTTAACAAGGTCTTCCAAGCGCGATCGTGTGTCTGCGATCAGAGAGTCCAGGTCTAAGCTGTTGTGAGCGTTGGTGCAAGGTCATTTGGAGGTTCTCAATCTCACTTTGGACAAAATTCTCTTTCTTCAGCATGGCAAGGAGACGCCTGAAAAAGTGTTGGTCGTCGACATCGTCTTGGTCCGAATCAATGGCCTTTGGCACTGTTGGAGAACCGGCAAACAAAGTAGAGTATCTAGATGTGAAATGAAATCTCAGCAACCGCAAACAATTTGAGCAGTCTTTCTACCACATACCCTGTAGTGGCATCCAGATGTTTGTTATCGATAAAAGACCGTCTGCCTTCATCTCCAGATACTCCTACAACTACATGGTTGCCGACATGGAAAGAGAAGTTGCCATTCGCTGAAATTTTCGCTGCTTCCTTGAAGAAATCCCATCGTCTGGTCCAGAACTTTATAGGTCCGATTAGAGGCCAGTCTCCTTTGATCAATGGCGGTGCACCTTCAGGAAGAGCTCGATTGAAATAGAGGTAGGCGGCGAGAATGCCCAATGCAAGGGAAACAACAGTCAACAACGTCTGCGAGGTCCCGAGACCCTGTAACACTTCGGACAACGCCATGATGTCGTCCTTCCAGAGGCGGAGATTGAGAAGGATCAGGAGTCGGGGTGAGAAGGGCTCTTTCAAGGCATATATAGGGAGTGGCCCCGCTGATACGCGCCATTGATAAACACGCTATTATACGAACTACTGTACATCTTAGCGATAGTGGAGCGTCTTGAAGTCGTGGTCATCGGTCTCCAATGAGATGGTCGGGACGTGACGGAGAGAAGCACAAGCGAGCTGCAGGTCAAAACGCTAACCAAAACCATGGATAAGGTAACCCTTCGTGCCTGCTCCAGTAGCTCTCTTGAACTTCACTATGTGTTAGTTTCTGCGAAATGTGAGCAGGCATGTCAACAGATCATATCCAAGAGTACTTGACTAACCAGTCCTACAAAGCTATATCAAGATTCAGTGTTGCTGTGTCAAGATGAAGTGCTTTTCGTGTTTGTGAGGATCTAGAAAGTTGGCTAGCGCCTTGCCGGCTCTAACGCATGCGGCGCAGATCCCGTCTATTCCTTCAAAAGTCTAAATGTGTAGTAGCATCACTAGTTACGATATACGATATGTGTAAGAACCTGACTCTACTGTCAGCAGTAGTACCTCGGCTCTTGGTTCTCGTGTTCTGTCATCTCATGAATGAATTGACTGTACGAGATTGGCTGGCGGTAGCCAAATTGATTCAGATCGTGGGGTCATAAATGAAGCATTCTCTCGGCTCTTGCTTGCACTCTGGTCATGTGTTGCTAAAGTAGCTATTGAATGCCTAGGGCTGTTTTGGCTTCTGACTACCGGCATTATCAAGGACAAATAAGGTAAGTTTCTAGCATTTCGGCATGGCTCTTGATCTTCCGAGTGTTGCTATTGTTCGCCAAGGTATATTGACCTTGATGGTCTGTTCACAGAATCTCTCGTCCAAAAATCAAGATGTAAGATTTCTAACGCACGCCAGCCGATAACCAACATTGGTATTGATACGTGATAGATTGGATGCTGAGATATCTCCTGGTCAATAATATCACAAGTATACACCCTTTGTCGCGTCCTCGCGGCTCGATTTCGAGTTTCGCTGGTGGTTGAGGGTACGACCCTGTTCTCGCGCTGTGTGGATCTGGTGGAGCACTATAACGTCGAAATAACAGTAGTCTCATGCAGCCACCTCAACATATTGTCTAGACTGCCGACATACCATTGTCATCGAAACTCGAAATGGAACTTCAAGCGAAAGCCGTTATCTTGATTCAAACCAACCTTAAGAACTGCGGTTAGTTTTTATTCCGGATCCGATAGCACGCGAGCAGGTCGTGTATTGCTTAGCGCGTCGAGAGCATATGTCAAGAAAGTGCGACACGAGATTTGTGCAGTGACAGGGCTGTTCAATACTTGATATATATACACAGACTCATGCGAGTAGTCTTGTAAGGATCATTGCGATCTCTTATTCTTTTCCGTGAACGTCGTCAACATCATGTCTGGACTGCTTCCTTCATAGCAGGGTGTAAATGTCCAGACTCCTACTGCTTGTCATCCCTGGCTCCGAGGCCCTCCTTTCCACCCTTGACCTCTTTAACTTCCTGGAACCCGGTACTTCTATCGCTGGCCTTCTGAGGGTCGGGCTGCTTTGCTGGGTGGTCGTCGCCAGACTTGTTCGGGGCAGAGCCTTTAGTTGAGGCAGATGATTTTGTGTCGTGAGCCGGAGACTGAGTACGACCCTTCTGCTGTCCGCCAGGAGGGATGTTTGGTGGTGGGGGTGTGTCCTTCTGTAGGCGAGAGGTGGTGCTCAAAGGACGCGTGGAGACAATGCGGGTTGTTCGCAGCAAGGAGGTGCGTAGAGACATCATGGTGGCTGTATTCTTGTGGTATGGTTCAGAGAATTGTTGAAAAGACTGCAAGTTATTGGAAGTGAGGTCGACTTAAGAGTAGACTCGAGCAATCAAATCGAGCCTCTCATGATATCATCATGATGGAGATCAATCCGGCGGAAGAATGGTTAGTATCAAAGATCATATCAGATCTCGGCCAAGCTTCTTCATGACGAGTTCGAGTAAAGGTCACTATGTGTGAAAACAGTCCTACACGTATCGGATGTTACAGCGCTGGCTTCAGCTCAAGCAATGAAGTTTCCATGATGCACGCCGCTCGATGCTACTTCAAATGATGTAGACAAGGGACATTTTGTAAATGGCAAAAGCCAGGATGAAAACGGGAGATGTAGTTGGGAACTCGAGCACGCAAACCATGGAAATGCCATTAACCATGTGAACGACCGGAGCGTGATTGCTGCCCGTCGCGTTCGGACAACAAGACTGGTATTGGTCGAGCAGCGGAAACAGCCGCGATGGGTTCCAAAATCTTGGCATCGCCGAGCCGACTGCGAAGTTGAGAGTTGAACATTTACTGGCTGGGTATTGACATTTGACATCACATACAGTCGCCATGGCTTCCTCAAGGACCTGCTTGTCGCAATTGACACGAACAATTCTATTACGACCAAACCTCTACGTCCCTTCAATCTCGATACAACAGCGTGGTGCAGCACAGAGTGCCAACGCTCAAAAGTACAAGCGCAAGGAATTGCCCACATCGCAGCGCAAGAAGAAGAGCAGGACTACTTTCATCAACCATGACTTGAAAGACGCAATTCAGTTCCCTCTGGTCGATGCCATGAGGTACGAGTCCCAACACTACATCCAGCTCCTCCTTCGAATCAGACTGTGAGAGAGGCGCAAGCTGACAGCATCATCCAGATACCTTCGCGCAACAGAAGTTGGTCGCGCACCAACATCTTCCAAGTACGAACTTCACCTCCGCCTCAAATCCCTCAAGAACGGTCCTGTAGTCCGCAACCGTATCCGCCTCCCACATCCCGTAAAGACCGACCTCCGCATCGCTGTCATTTGTGATCCCAACTCATCGGCCGCCGCTGCCGCAAAAAAAGCTGGTGCAACCTTGGTCGGAGAGGAAGCCATTTTCGACGCTGTAAAGGAGGGCCGCATTGAGTTCGACCGCTGTCTCTGCCACCAGGACTCGCTTGCAAAGATGAACAAGGCAGCTTTGGGAAGAATTCTTGGTCCTAGAGGCTTGATGCCCAGCGCAAAGACCGGAACAGTCGTCAAGGATGTTGCAGCAAGTGTGCAGGACATGGTTGGTGCAAGCGAGTACAGAGAACGTCTGGGTGTCATCAGAATGGCTATTGGACAGTTGGGTATGACGCCCGAGGAGTTGTCGAGCAATATCAGAAGCTTCATCGAGAACGTCAAGAAGGACATGGCCGGTATGAGCGACAGAATCGCAAAGGATATTCATGAGGTGGTAAGTGAAGATACTTTCGGACTTCTTTCCTAGCGGAAGGAATTGTACATCGCAAGAATGGTGGCTAACAAATCACAGGTCCTCTCATCAACCAACGGACCTGGTCTCAGTCTGAACGGCGACCTCAGAGGTCCTGACTCGATACCCACAAAGGACCTCGCAACTGCCATGTAACAAAAGCAAGCAGGTAAAGCATTGTACATATACCCGACTTCTCATGCGCCCCTTCTCGTTCTGTACCATTTTGTATCACTATTCAAATATTCATGACCCCGTAAAAAATGCCATCCCAAAGAGATTGAGCTTTGTTTCGAAAAACAATTGCCCCCTGGTCACATGTGAAGCTCACATGCTAGCTGTGTTTACTACCGTGCCTGCGAACCCGCCGAGAGCCTCTCTTCTTCCTCACATACTGCAGCACACTACCCTCTCACTTCAGTCTTGTTGACCAGGTCGTCACCCATCTCCACTCAGGTGGGCGATTAGGATAGAGTGTGCATTTCTGCACTTCTTCTTCACCTCACAGTTGCACCTTCTACCAATCAATCAAGCCGACCAGAATCGCAGGTTCTGCAAGCTCCGCTAACCACCTTTTGCTGTTCACTGCTAGCGGCCTGAGATTCATCACAACGCACGACTGGAAGGCATCGCCGCATCCCCACTGCTGTTTGAACCACGTTTCTCCCAGAGCCAATTTCGCTCTAAGCAATTTCACTTTCACATCCATCGCGTCAACAAGAAAGACCTACCAATACCAAGCCTTTCACTCGCGCCTCGGGTTGTTGTCTCGTCAGCCATAATGTCCAAACCTCAAAGGGTAAGTTCTTCACTTGGTCAGATCCATCCTCGGTCGAGAATAACACGAGTACAGCAGCCACTCACACCAGAAATATTCTACAGTTGGCCCCAGTCAAGGCGGAGCCTTTTCATTTAAAACGTGATGAGTCAAAAGCGTGATCGTCAAGATGCGCTTGACTCCGAGTCCGAAGCATCCAACTCCTCACTGAAACGCGTAAAGACTGCTAAACGCAATCAAGACGATGTTCCAGGCTCTGCTACGCTCTCTATAGCTGCTCCAACAAACAACAATTGGCCCACCGTTCGCTACGATGATGGTCTGATGACAAAGAACCAGAAAAGGTTTCTCCTATCCATAACGCGGAGCATGAAAACGACAAAAGCTGGTCGTCTGTTTCTTAAAGATCAAGAACCATTGTCTGTCTTGCTGAATGATCCTGAGTATCAGAAGGTGGTCAAACGCCATGTTGATCTCGACATCATTGAGAAGGGTATCTCGAACGGCGACTATCTCGCAGTGGACTATGTCGTGGACGAATTTGAGCTTATGATCACAAACGCATTTTCCTACTATGGCGTTGGACACGAAAACTTCGAACTAGTCATGCTATTCCGACAGAGATTCTTCGAGAGGATGAAATCATGTCCTAAGCCACTCTCAGACGAGTCAGAAGATGCCGAAAGCGACCCTGTTTCCTGTCGATGGGACAACCGCCGCACATTTGTTGTTTGTGGTGTTCCGCGGCAAACTCTCGAAAAATATGAAGCCGAGGATCGAGCAAAGGGGTTAGTCAAACCTCAAAGTCACGGTCGCCGCATTCGTAGAGGCAGACACAAGAAGAACAAGGCTGTGCTGCAAGGTACCTCCACCTCTTCAGAAGGTCTTGACGAGAACGACAACAGAAAGCAACCCGATAATGTGCAAAACAATACTGATAAGTTCGATGAGGCTGAAGCCGCAAGATTGGAAAACATAATGGAAACCGCCAAAACACTGCTCGCTGTGGAGCGAAGCAAGAGAAAGCAGCCGGGCGACGAAGGATCAAATGAAGTTGTTGTCGAAGCAGACGGTCTCGACGAAGAAAGCCAAATGCTTGAAAAGGAAATCGCAGAGCGTCAGGCGAAGGTTGCTAACATCAAGGAAAAGAAGAAGCTGCTGGCAGAGATCAAAAACCTGGACGACGAAGATGCACGCCTCAACTCCAAGATCATCGAGATGGAAAAGCAGTGTGTACTGCTGAATTCGAAGGTGGAAGAATGCTGCAAAGAACTTGACACACTCGACGATCAGCGCGAGAAACTCAAACTCGTCAGGGAACGTCACAAGAGAGAAGAAGCCAGGATTCATCAAGAGCAACAAAGACTTCAGCAAGAAGTAAAGAGAATCGAGAAACAGAAGGAACGATACCTCCAAGAAAGCGAAAAGACGAAATCGGACATCGCCGTGCACAACGGAAGAGGTATAAGGCTTACGCAAGAACACGAGAAGCTCAAAAAAGATCACCTGCAGGTCTTCGAGGATCGCGAGGAACTCAAGAAGAGACGCGGACAGCTTGAAACGCAGCGAAAGGTTGCAAAGAAGAAAATCGATGAGCTGAACAAGACCACCAAATGATGTGGCATCCAAGGTGATCACAACACAAGCAAAACTCAGCGAAGGACGTCGATGAAGAAGTCAAGAGAAGGATCAGAAAACACAGAATAAGCAAGAAGAAGGCAAGCATACACCGGAAGAGTCAAGTGTAATCCAGGGAAAGAGGGGTGAAAGAATACAAAGAGCAGAAAGAATTATGATGTAGAGAAAAATGCTCTTTCTTCATACGTTTCTTGCTTCTCCTTTTCAGCTCTCTAAAGCACTGCTACAATAGTATATGAATAGGTGTTACTGTTCGACTATGCGATAGCAAGTAGCATCCAAACAAGAAACACATGTTGTATCTCAGGTCTCGCGCAATCCAGGCGCTGGAAATCGTTGATTGTGGGCTAGATATAGGGTGCCCCTCCGATCAAGATAGGGAACTCCCCTCATGGAGCTTGGAGGTCCTGTAGACTGGTGTGCAAAGTTGGCCATTCGTGAGGCGGTTTGCATCTTCTCTCATTCCTTCACTAGTTCGGTTTATTTGTCACTCCGCGGAGCTCGATCGATACTCGTGTCATGCTGCTCAAACTCCCTTCAGAGCTCCAACACCCTCTTCCGTCTCTCCTAGCTCCCTGTATATGACCAAGAAGTCGAGTAATTGTTTCCCTCCTACACCAGCCGCTTGTGCCTGTTTGAGAGCCGTCCTCAGATCCAGTAACAGTGTGTTCCTCACGCGCATAAGTCGAGATTGTTGCGCTACCACAAAAGGATGATCGAGAACTTTTTGCGTAAGATGTGTAAGCAAGAGATATGCTTGCGCATGTCTCCTCAACCGAGAAAGCGTAGTCGAAGTAGTCGTATCCCCATCTTCGTCTTCGTCATCCTCGTCATCCGAGTCTAGATCGTTTGCAGAAGGGTTGTTTGCAGATAGCGAGTTGTTTGGTTCGACCATCAAACGAGCTTCCAGATCTTCTAGTCTTTCTTCAATCTCGAGTAGGCGTCTGCCCACCATGACATCCTTTTTGATTTTCTTTTTCTCTTCTAGCAGGTTTCCGACTTCTTGGGTTCGTGAGGCGACGAGATCGCGTACGCTGCTTACTTCTCTGCCGAAACCTAGGACGCCGACTCTAACTTCTTCGATCTTTTCCTCTCCGCCTTTTAATCTCAGTCCTAGAGACAGAAATTCCTCATAGTTTGCGTTTACGAGATCGAGGAGTTCTGTAGAGATGGATTGAGAGCGTTGGCGTAGGTCGCTGCGTAAGTCTTCGAGGGTTTGATGTCTGTTGTGGAGAGTAGAGAGGTAGGCTTCTGGTGTAAAGTTTGGGGTGAGGAAATCGGAGCGAGGGAGAGCTTGTGGGAAGGGTAAGGGTGTTTTATCGTCGTCGTCTGAGTCGGAGTAGGTGTCATATCGCTGTCGTCTGGTTTCTAAGGGATTGGCTCTCGGAGATGGCGGGGAGGTGAGGGGGGAAGGTGTTGCTGTTGTTGCTGTCGAGGAGGGGAGCTGTAGTGGACGTGGTCAGCAAGTTGATTTTGGTGTATGCATGGTGGAGAGATGTACGTAGAAGCCGCTCATGATTACGGTATTGGACTGAAGATGCGACAGCAAGGTGCAATGCGATTGTCGCAAATGACGAGCTGGTGGTTAATGAAAGGTGTAAGTATACAGATGGATAAGATTAGATTGACTTCACTATCTCCGCGACATGGATTACCAATAGCCGAGGCCTTGTGACGACATGTCGACCTATCCAAAACTAAACACGGAAGAGGTAAGGAAGTCTTTTGCTATTCTTCTTTCGTCTTGATAGAATCCAAGTCGAGACTGCCCAGCAATAAGATGCCTACACCTGCTCTCCCTCAACCTGCACACCCTGAGCTCGATTCAATGCTGACGAGGAAGTTTGGCAGGGAAGTTGCCAATTACTTCTCTGGTAATCGACTGCTTCTGTTCCTGCTCGTTACAAGGAAAGAGTGCTGATAGAATTTACTCAGGCTCACCGTTGAACCGATTTGGCTTCCTCCGCAGCGACAATGTCTTCCTGTCTGGAGCTCTCAAGCACCCTTCGACCAAGTTCCTCCCTTGCAACAATCTGCAGCCATTGACAAAGGACAAGGCCAACCTCGCCTACATTCAATACAAAGATGTCCAGTCCATCATCGGCGAAGATCCCTATTCCATCCCCGAGGACAAGATGATCGAGACGTTCAACTCCAAGACCTACATTCCTCAGATGATCTTCCTCGGTCTGGACGAGTCTGTCAAGGACAACTCTTTCAGCTACGAAGCAAAGAATGCCGTTCACAAGGGTGCTCCATACTTTGCCATCGATGTCACTCCCAAGGATCCTCTGACACAGCAATGTAACGACCTAATCAAGGCCTGCGAAGACAAAGGCCTTACCTTCCAACAAGGCCGCGCAATGGACCTGGTAGCAGGCGACGCAGCAATCTACGCCGAAGCCCGCCAACTGCTCGACTGGAACATGCGTAACCCTTTCTGTGCTCAATGCGGCCACCCTACCTTGTCCGTCAATGGAGGTTTCAAGCGTACCTGCCCACCAACAGACTCCGCCTCGCTCTCCGCAACCGCAATCTCCACCTCCAACACCCCCGCCTCTAGTATCGACCGCCCCGCCTGCGCAACCAGAAAAGGCGTTTCCAACCTCAGTTTCCCACGCACAGACCCCACCATCATCGTCGCCGTCGTCAACCACGCAGGCGACAAACTCCTCCTCGGCCGCAGCAAGCGTTTCCCAAAATACTGGTACTCCACCCTTGCCGGATTTTGCGAACCCGCAGAGTCAATTGAAGAAGCCACTCGCCGCGAAGTCTGGGAAGAAGCTGGAATCCATCTGGGACGCGTGATTATCCACTCTACACAACCCTGGCCTTATCCTGCAAACCTCATGATTGGCGCCATTGGACAGAGTGTTCCTGAGGGCGAGACTATTGACCTTGGAAATGACCCAGAGTTGGAGGATGCCAAGTGGTTCACTTTTGATGAGGTGAGGAAGGCATTGAAAGTGGGGACTAGTGGGTTGGATGAAGGTCCACAGGCAGAGTATAAAGAAGGTGATTTGAGATTGCCGCCGGGCACTGCTATTGCGAATCAGCTTATTAGTGCGGTGGTTGAGAAGGGTTTCTTGGCTGCTGAGGCAAAGATGTAAGAGTCGGAATTGGATGCTTTAGTCTTGGTTCGGACATTTCGATAGAGAAGCGATATCTTGGGCGTCTGAAGATATAAGGTATATACATATTGAACTTTTGTCTTTATGTCTCCTCGAAGAATGATTACTGATCATTGCAATGACCAAGACGGAGTCGAATAGCGATCTCCCAGACTCCGAGTACACACCATCATATCCGACAATCGTGTGACCTACTGCACGAGACAACAACGATAGAAGCACGCTCATGGTGAGACGAAAGGATATCGTAGCTTTATCTCTATCATACCCTCGTCTCATTCTCCAATTCTTCATGCCAGAGCCAAAATCCACTCTATAGCAATCCCTGCTTCTGCAAATCGTAGTACACCTTTTCAGGCATGACATTGCCTTCTCCATCCTCCATCTGCACAACCTGATCGCTAGCCGTAGATTCTTGTTTCTTATCCATCTGTAGCTTTTTCCACAACTCTGTTGCTTCTTCAATCCCTGTGACATCTCTGAACATGCTGGAGTTGGTGATGCCAAGTCTCTTCAAACCGTACAGATGGCGGGCTTCACCAAAATGCTTGTCGAATGCTCTTCTACCCATGTACACGTAGTTGCCACAGATTTCGCAGGGGAATTCGACACCCAGACCGTGCAGTTTGTACAGCCAGAAGGGGATGGGCTTGTCGTCCCAGCCCAGAGGCAGTTTTAAGGGGTTGTAGACCTTGCCTTCTTCGTCTTGGTCATCGGCATCGTTGGCGGCTGGGTCGGCGGTTTGTTCGAGGGTCTCGGCGTATAGCGCGGCAAGTTCTTGCTGACGTTCCTTGTCTGTCATGCCTGCCTTGCGTTCGACGTTGGCGCGTGTGTCGGAGCGTTCGGTCTGCATCGCGGCGGCAAGTTTGCGGATACGGTGTTCGCGCTCGGCCACCGCCTTCTCTTTTAGGCGGTGCACCGAAGTTGCTGCATTATAACTGCCATCTGTGGATGTTGCTCCGTCTGCAGAGCGTTGTTTTCTTGCTTCTGCATTTTTGATGTGTTTCTTTCCTGTCAGGTGGGCCTTGTAGACGTTGTCGTTCTTGAACTCCTTTTCGCAATCCGGGCACCATATGCCTTCGCCTGTGCCTTCTGTTGCGGGTCCGTCTGTTGTTGATTTTGTGTTCAGCTGCCAGCCTGCCACCTCGTCCTTCTCCCACGCTTTTTGAAACTCCTCGTCGAAGCTGATGAACAGTCTATCCAGATCCTCCAAAGGCTTGATTCGTCGCATGAAGCTTTCAAGGTAGGTGGCCAGATTGCCTAGGTATTGGAAATACTGATCCTTCAGCTTGTCTGGCCTAGGCATGCCCTCAAATTCGTCGAATGTGTCCAAATATTGTAAATATGTGATGCGCCTCTTCGAACCAGGCAGGTTGATATAGTCTTCATGCAGAGCGTTCATGTCAAAGTAGCGACCAAAAGCTTCTTCTCCAGTGAACATAGTATCAATCTCCGAGGGGAAAGGAGCATCTTCGCCGACAGCTCTGCGCTTGTATGCGCGCTCCAGGTTCTCGACAGGCTCATTGGGGTAGCGCTTGTGGAAGTCTTTGATGTTATTCAGTTGCTTGTAGAACTCGTCGAATGTGTCGCCAGTAGAGATTGATTGGACTTCGCGTAGACGGCTGCCGTCATTGTCTTTGTACAGGTTGACTGCGCGAGTTGATTGCGACTTTATGCGATCGAGAAAGGCAGCGATCTGATGGTCTCTTGATAGGCGGTCTCGAATCTGTGATGTCGTCAGCGCTTGGTCTTTGATTGATACTATCCAGGGATTTTGTTCTTCTTCTCCGAGTTTTATGCTGGTGGTCAATAGAAGAACTTGAAGGACAAAAGCACAGCGAAAGGGAATTGTTGGATCGCAGAGGATGGAAGCTTACATGTTTCGGTTCTTCGAGTGAGCGCTCGGCTATAGCCTGCTCAAGACGCTCAAGGTCTTCTCTTGTATTGCGCAAGTCTTCTAACAGCATTGCGGTGGATATGTGTGAATGGGAATGAAAGAAAGATGATGGCTGGTATAGTTTGAATGCGCGCGGCGAGCGATGGAGGAGGTCTGTGCATGCTTGGTCGTTCTTGCCCTTCGAGCTTTATTCCTCTTTACATTTGAACGTCACTGCCACTTTTTACCATTACGACTTGTACTTTCCGGATCCTCTCTCCCACCGCGCCTGCCATTTGAACCATCCCCGTAAACCGATCAGACACATCATCCACCATGGCGGAAGGAGGAATCGACCGCAAGATGGAGGAGCGCATGGAGTTTTCGACATCCAAGGAAGTCCGTGTCGCGCCTACTTTTGAGGCCATGCACTTGAAGGAGAACCTGCTCCGTGGAATTTACGCATATGGTTACGAGTCTCCCTCTGCCGTCCAGTCGCGCGCCATCGTTCAGATCTGCAAAGGTCGCGACACTATCGCCCAAGCCCAGTCCGGTACTGGTAAAACTGCCACCTTCTCTATCTCTATTCTCCAGGTCATCGATACCGCCGTACGCGAGACTCAAGGTATGTTGAATACTCTTGCGCTTTTCTCGCGATCTTCTCTGACGTTTCAGCCCTCGTCCTGTCTCCCACTCGCGAATTGGCAACCCAGATCCAGTCCGTCGTTATGGCCCTCGGCGATTACATGAACGTTCAGTGTCATGCCTGTATCGGTGGTACCAACGTTGGCGAAGATATCCGCAAGCTCGACCACGGTCAACATGTCGTCTCTGGTACTCCTGGACGTGTCGCTGACATGATCCGTCGCCGCAACCTTCGCACACGCAATATCAAGATGCTCGTTCTGGATGAAGCCGACGAGCTGCTCAACCGTGGTTTCCGTGAGCAAATCTACGACGTCTACCGCTACCTCCCTCCTGCCACCCAGGTCGTTGTCGTATCAGCCACTCTCCCCTACGATGTGCTCGACATGACCACCAAGTTCATGACCGACCCCGTCCGTATCCTTGTCAAGCGTGATGAATTGACTCTCGAAGGTCTCAAGCAATACTTCATCGCTGTCGAGAAGGAGGAATGGAAGTTCGATACCCTTTGCGATCTCTACGACACCCTTACCATCACACAAGCCGTCATCTTCTGCAACACCCGCCGCAAGGTCGACTGGCTTACCGACAAGATGCGTGAGGCTAACTTCACTGTCTCCTCTATGCACGGCGAGATGCCTCAAAAGGAGCGTGACAGCATTATGCAAGACTTCAGACAGGGCAACTCGAGAGTCCTCATCTCTACCGATGTCTGGGCTCGTGGTATTGACGTTCAGCAAGTCTCGCTTGTCATCAACTACGACTTGCCTAGCAACCGTGAAAACTACATCCACAGAATCGGCCGTAGCGGAAGATTTGGTCGCAAGGGTGTTGCCATCAATTTTGTCACCAGTGAGGATGTGAGAATCCTTCGTGACATCGAGCTTTACTACTCTACTCAGATTGATGAGATGCCCATGAACGGTAAGTTGGCAGAACTTGAGCTGGTGGGTGATGTATCACTAACGTGTTGTAGTCGCCGATCTTCTTACCTGAGCAACCATTTGGTGCATCACGTCGTTTTTCATACGTTTTTCTGGGCTTCCCAAGTCGATTGAAGTTGAAAAGGTGCCATACAGAGCATAAAGTCGGAGGAAATGGGCCATGTAGCCAACAAGGTCAGTGTTGTTTCTAGTTTCATCCTACATCGAGTCAAGGCTGACAAGACGTGCATCTAGCCAATACCAAATCTGTCACCACTCACGAGTTTGAAGATCATGGTGACCTGAATATTCTCGAGCTTATCGAGCCTACTAACATTCTGGGTCTGCTGGCGTTCTCAACCGTACCCGCTATCACCCGCCACCTCTGCTAGCTGGACTTACAAACAGAGATATGTGCTTCACCCAGGGAGAGCCCTCAAATCGCCTAGTGAGCGGAGATGCATAGAAGACACGCAAGGGCTGGCCACCCAGAAAGAAGCATTCATGAAGCCACCTGGCCACTTCGGTTGGGATAGGAAATGCACGAGGCTCGATGCTGGAAAGGACCTACATAGACGCAGACTTGAAGCAGTAGGTAGAAATCTCTCCTCACGAGCTCAGCTCACTAAGACCTTGACCAATAAGAGCCACTAAGTCGGAACAATTCACTTCACAGCATTCATCCCTTCGAAGGCCTGAAAATTAACTGAACACTCAGCGAGTTACGTTGACGATGGTAGTTTCTGTTTTCACCACAAACGACGCGTCACTTTGCTCGCTTCCCACTGCGATATCTTCCCTCCATCAACAACACTCTGACCAGATCATCAACGTCACTCGCTCCAATACAACCCATCTCTCGAACACCTGAACAGGGGCCGACTGCCTTGCCTGCGCTTTGAGCTGCACATCATCTCGTCGGTCCAGCAAAACTACCTGAACTCTCCGCAGAGTCACTTCTATCTTGTTCAAGCGCGCGTCTTATACATGCGCACACATCCTCGCAAATGTAAGTCAAGCCACCAACTGTAATCATACCCGCCTCTGCTTTCTGCGCACGGTATCTCGGTGTTTGCTTTCGGTTGCCATCGCTGACAGCTCCAACAGATGGATGACCCAACGTCTTCCCCCGACACAATCCCCATGGCCGGCTCAGCTTTCAGAAGACTTACACTAGCAACTCTGCCCACCGAGATGCTGGGCAGGATCTTCTGGCTCGTTGATAGTGCAGATCTGATCAACCTGCGCTTGGTCTGCAAACTCATCTGTGCCACTGCAAACAAGCCATTCGCCGTACGAAACTTCGAGACTAGGCGCCATAACGTCACTGAAGACAGCTTCAAAGTCCTCCTCGCGATCAGTGCCCATGAAACCTTCGGCGCTTACTTGAAGAACATTGTTCTCTGTCCTGCCCGCACTCTTCGTGCTGTCCTCGAATCTGATGTTGGCGAGAACGACGGCATCGTGGTAGATAACTCCTTTATCAGATCTGGTAGGTTCAGCGAGCTGATGCAACAAGCCTTGTCCAACATCAAGCAGCATTCTGACTCGATTGCCATCGGTGTGCACGAGGACTATTATCTGGAACGATATTGTCGCCATGACTGCCCGATGATTCCAAAACGAAAACTGTTCTATGGTGAGAAAGACTTCTATGAGACTGCCAAATTCGGAACTGTCCTCGAAATGCCCGAAGCACTCGAGCTTCTCTTTGCAGAGATGCGCGCGGCTTCAATCAGCATTAACGGTCTTGGAGTCGACTTGGCCCGTCACTCTTGCTATGACGCGGAAGGCGAGACACAAAAGGCGATCGGGAAGCTTCTCAAATCACGGGACTTGTCCATGGACCTTCGAATCCGATGGTACAACACCGGTACACTGGAGTATAAGCACTTGCAAAACTGTCTACGCTTCTCGGCGTCAAACTCGCTCTGGTGCCGCTCATACCCTCGTGCCGACCTTCTCTTTCTGGATGACATCCTCCAACACCTTACAAGTAAGTCTCTCTCGGAGCTCTGCCTCCAAGAGATTGACGTCAGTCGTCTTGTGTCCCTTGACATGTATTTGGCACAATCTCTCCGGACCGTCACGCTTGCACACATAGTTTTTGACCCAATGTTCTTTGCGGAGGATCTTTACAGCAACATGTTTGAGCGTTTATCAAAAATGCCAAATTTGAATTACTGCAAAGTTCACCACCTTCACTACAATCTAGAACAAGACAACGACTGGAACAATCCTGTTATGCGAACCAAATCTGGAACATATCGGTCTCAATGGCAAAGGTTGCTTCTTATCTTTCCTAACGGTAAGTTCGAGTTTGAGATTCAAGGTGCCGATATCTCCGAGGAACTGAAGGATCTGGCGGCCTACACAGCTGCCGCAGAGAGGAAGAAGGTTGAAGAGATCGAAACGACCCGTGAGGTCACTGACTACAGGGTTGTATGCGCCGGTGTACCATTACCTAAAACCAAGGGATTCGAGTTGTTTTACAGAAGAAGGGATAACTAGATCGAGGAATAAGAAGACATTCAGGGGAAAGGGCAAGGCACATAGAGGAACACAGAAAGTAGCTGAAAGAAGAGAAGTTGCTTTGCACCCATAAATGGTAGGCTCAAAAACTGCACACGTAGAATGAACCGCGGACGACCAACACTGAGCACTTGCTGGTGATGGCTGCCGCAGTACATAGTGCGTGCTTGAGAACTTCGAGAGCTGTTTGTGTAAAGTTCCCTTTTTGACACCTGCCTTGGCGGTTGTGTTTATCCATAACTATCAACAAACGGTGAGGATCAGCGTCTTGAGACTCTCACTTCCACCCTCGCCCTCGTCTTCACTCAACCAGACTCGCTGTCTGCGAGCACTCACAACACAACGATCAGCGCGTCAACAACTCCTTACATTCACAAAACACCATCTCAACAGACACAGCGCAGTCGCACTCGTTGCGGGCCACGCGCACTGCACACGCCTTGCATACCTTATTGCATCAGTCGGATCACTCATCTGGACCCATCACACAACACAACAAGAACATCAAGCATGGTAAGCCAGTCTAAAATTCTGCCCTGAGATCCAGCGCTTACACAAATCAGGCGACTTCAATCCGCAACCAGTCTCTAGAACTGGTTGATCTACCAACCGAAGTCCTCGTCGAGATCTTCAATCATCTTCCCGAAAAAGACATATCGACTGTCCGTCTCGTCTGCAAGAAACTCTGTGATGCCGCTACTCCACGATTCGCCAAGGTTAACTTCACTGAGAGGACCCATGTTGTTTCTCCTTACAGTATCGATAAACTAGTGAGCATCGCAGAACATCCCATATACGGACAGTGCGTGAAGGTCGTTTCCATCGCTAGCGCCAGACGCATCAAGACGACCGAAGACCCTGATTGGTTATGGGCTTTCACCACCAACGAAAAGAACCGTGGCTTGTATTTCAATGCTTACGTGAAGACGGGACGCTTCTCACGGCGTATGGAGCGTGTCTCCCGAAACCTGAGATCTCGCTCTGGCCCCATAGCCATTAGCATTTGTGACAATCCAGGCATAGGTGACAGTGCCGAAGTTGGACTCTTCGGACACGAAGTGCCAAAGAGATGCTGCGGATGGATGCAACTTTACCAATCACCATCCACTTATATTGGCTATCAGACAGTGGAAACACTTGAGCAGACCATCTATGCAGCTCGGCGCGCAAGATGTCCCGTCAACTCTCTTACGATTGATCTCTTCACAACTCATACATATGACACCCGAGCAAGACTCGATGCGGCTATGCACAAAGTCCTTGAGTCAAGCCTCACACCTCTCAGCATCTACCTAGGTGGCGGTCGATCACACCGATCGTCATATGATAGCGAGTCGCAATGTTTGGAGCTCGAAAATGCTGACTTCGGAGCTCGTTCCAAAAAGATGACCAACGTGCCTGTGCAAGGATCATACACCTGGCTGAGAACCCAGATTATTACTCGATTCAAGATTGCCAAGAGCTCCGATTTTGTAATTGACCACTTACGGCCGTTCTTCACACCTTACCTCAAACATCTCTTCACACCTCACCTAAAACACCTCGAACTCAGCATGGTGTCTGTCTGGACCAAGCACTTCAATCAAAATTTCTGGAGCGAGCATATCGAAATGATGTCCGAGCTGTCTAGCCTTCAGCACTTCAAGTTGAGCTGCCTCGAATACTCTTTTGAGACGACATGGGATGATGATGATGACGATCAGGAACGATACATCGATCTCCCTGGCCATGGCCGGGTCTTTTGTCCAGGCAATGCGTTCTACCTTACATTTCGCGATGGATGTCGTTCGGTCGAGATCAACGCTGATCATGTGTGTGACAAACTCAAGGATTTAGCATGTTACGCGGCTGCAGCAGAGGCACGTAAGCTGGAAGATATGATCAGCGACCGCCGTGTGTATAATTTCACGGTCGGTCTCATCGATGGAGCTGAGCCTATGATCCTCGACCACCAGTAACGGAGACACCGGCTATCTTGTTACACGAACGTTAGTTGGATTCTGAGAGTCAGGGAGAAGTCAGATATTCGGAATTCACCGTGGTTCATGCTGGAGCCTTGAGGAGAGCAGGAGACTGAGGAAGAGAGAAATCACTTGTACCTATAAGAGCAGTGACAGACAAAAGGAGAGAAAATCAGGCGGACTAAGAGGCAGAGCAAGAACGACTCGATCCACAGATAGAAAACAATCGAGAATGAAATTACAAACACAACACGATGTTTCGATATTCTGTTGGATGACCTCGAACATCCGGAGCTGTCTCCGTGACATCCCGCTGATGTCATTGATATAGCTCGGAACCGCAACTGTCACACCACCTCATCTCTCCAATCACAATCGGTCCCATCTTCTATCATCATTTCTTCACAATAATATCAATACAATAATGGAGCAGCAACAGAGTGTCGTCGAAGATGTCATGGGTATAGCAGATAGAAGGAAAGGCTGTTGGCGCAATCAAGACTGCAACAGCTGTCTCAGAAGCAAGTATAGTTGTGGATGGTGCCCGAGTGTAAGAAGAGATCCGTTTGTCGAAATTCTAAGATCTGATCCCAATTGACACATAACATCCACAGAGTTCCACCTGCGTCCCCTCACCAAAAAACCTCCTCTCACCACTCAACCACCCCGTTTGTCCTCTCGCCTCTGAACGCTACGAACTACGAACCGCAGCACTTGGATGCAAATGCAGTACATACACCTTACTCAGCATTATCATCACGGTATTTTGTACTCTTGGGGCGGTGCTATTTGTGTCGTTAGTGTTGTGGTTGCTTAAGTGGTGGGGAAGGACGATGAGATCGGGTGGTTGGGAGATTGTGGTTGAGGAGGATGGGACGGTGAGGGAAGGGACGTGGAGGAGAGGGAGTTGGTGGCCCAGGTGGATGGTTGCAAGGAGGTGATTAATGGGTTGTTTTGAGGTCAATTAAGTTTGTGATTAATTTGGTGAAGGTCACACTATAATTATTTGTGTGGATGTCCATATAAAGGTGGTCTCATTTTCCCTCGACAATGTCTACAATCTTGCCTTGATCTCTACACCTTGGTCTGCATCTCTCTTTGCCCACTCACGCAGCACAACTCTTTGGATCTTACCACTCGGGCTCTTGGGTACCTCATCGATGAACTTGACGCCTCCAGATAGTCTCTTGTGCTTTGCAACCTTCGTCGCAATCCACTCAACCACATCCTTCTCCTTTACCTTGCCTTTGGCCGTTGCTTTCAATACCACATATGCTCTCGGAAGATCTTCATGGTCTTTGTTCAGAGCGCAAACAGCAGCATCGGCAATATCGTCGTTTTCGAGCAATACTGCTTCGAGTTCAGCCGGAGCAACTTGGAAGCCGTTGACTTTGAAGATTTCTTTGGCGCGGTCGACAATCCAGAACCAGCCTTTTTCATCGTAGATGGCTACGTCGCCAGTCTTCAGGAAGCCTTCGCTGTCGAAGGATGCTTTTGTGGCGCTTTCGTTTCTCCAGTAGCCAAGGTGGGTGATCTGTAACAAGGTTAATAGACATCCTCGTCTAAGAACGGAATTACCTGGCTCTTCTGCACTTACATTGGGACCACGCACAAAGATCTCTCCACGCTGGCCTGGTTTGGTGACTTCATTTCCGCTTTCGTCGATGAGTTTAATCTCCGAGTTGGGGTCAACTTGTCCAACACTTCCGCTTCGGTCATCCATTCCGCCAGGAACGTGCAAACAGCTACATGTAACCTCTGTCATGCCCCAAGTCTGTACGACTTTGAGGTTGAATTTGGTGCTGACTTCGTTCTGTAGTTCCTTACTAAGCGGTGCAGCACCACAGAGAATATTGACCAGAGATGACAGATCGTACTTCTTGGTCTCTGGTCGTTTGGCCAGCATGACAAGAACCGGGGGTGCTGTTTGAATGTGTGTGATCCGATGACGTTGAATGTGTGATAAGAAAGGTTCGAAGTTGAAGGCTCTCATATAGTAGCAGGGTGTCCTTGTGACCGCGGCAGCAGTAATTGACCATAGCTGTCCATAGGCATGGTATCTTTTCTCGGTATCAGCATCATTACTGCAGTACTTTGGTGCGTTGACAACAACTCACAATGGCAAGAATCCTAAAAATCTTTCTGGTGGTTTCTGACCTGCGGGATAGGATTGCGACAGTTCTCTCATGTACAGAGACTGGCAGACGTTGGCAATGATATTCTGATGAGCAACCTTGACACCTTTGGGGAGACCAGTAGTCCTGGAAATTGTCAGTCAACGCTTGACTATCACAATGATGTGTCGAGCATCATGATCTCCACATATTTCTTACCCTGATGAATAATTCAACACAGCTGTATTGGCGGCTGATTCTTTGGCCGACATTCGGTGCCATTGCCAACTCTCTGCTGCCTTCTGTGATGGAAGGAAGGAGCTCCAGTCTTTGATCCCCTTTTGCGGTTTACAGGGTTCATCCAAGAATAGGTATATCTTGTCACGAGGGAATTGAACTTGATCCGCAGCCTTCAGAAGGTTGTCTAATAGACTCGGATCGACCAGGATGAGCTTGGCGCCTGTATTGGTAATCTGGTAGGCAATCTCTTTGACAGTGTAGGCTGGATTGGTACCACTGAACACACGACCAGACCCGGCAACTCCAAGATAAGCGACTGGACAGAATATATGGTTGGTAGAAAACATCATGACCACTTCGTTCTTGGCGATTCGGAGATTGTCGAGTCCCATGCCGAGTCTTTTGATCCAACCTAAGGCTTGTTTAGGCGACAGCGACCTTGTAGTGTCGTCGGCATCAGTCCATATTGGCTGGTCATAGGGTTCCTTTCCTTCTGGATAGACATAGGATAGAATGTCGGTGGCTGGGATATCAATCTGGTAGGGCGACTGCTGAGGCATTGTGACGATGTTGACGGTGTAGATGGAACACGGTCCAACTTGCGACGACTGCCATTTTGTATGCCATTATACAATGAGGGGTACATGTCGTCGATGACCGAGGAAGACGACTGGGTGAAGATCCCCACGCGGGTGACGTCCCCGGACATGCGGCCCGCAAGAGCCGCAGCTAGCCTCGATCGAACACTTGACCGATTTTTCGGGATTGGGGACTTTCCCATCACAGCTTCCATATGCAGCATCATGTCTATTCGGCATTTTGCTACAATGGCTCCTTCCATGTTGAGACGCCATCACGGGTCCGAAAGCGATAGGGCCAAGTGATAGTCGCGTGTCAGACGGGTGAGCGACCAGCTAGCTCATATACTGAACAAGAGCTGAGAAGATCCTCTGTTCTGAGGCAAGTAGTGTTTGGTACTTGAATTCACAACATGTATCAAGATACGACCGCGAAGGCAAAAACTCTTCTCAACGATATCGTTCTTCTCTCTCCCACACATGATCGAAACAGTTAGGCGAACAAGCCATCGTGGTGAAACGCAGCTCCGACAGTAGCGTTGGCCCTATCCGTCTAAATCCGTCTGTTCACTCACCAAAAGAGGTCACCATCATTTTTTTCTCGCCGAAACATGGAATTAGTTTGATACCTAGCATTCCAAACTTGGACATCATCGAACCTGATGCTTTAGGCCTTCTTTCAAAAAGCAAGCACGCGTCGCGTGCCTTGAGGAATTCAAGCTGCAGCTTCCTTCACTTCTCCCTTTCCTATGCCCGCCACTTTGTAGAACAGGGTGGTACTTTGAAGAACAATGACATGTCCTGGATGATATTTTTCTTACTATATTCTCAATAATCTCGATACCTTCCACAAGTGTCGGTATGGAGACAACAACATTAAACAACTCCAAGCAACACTCTTTCACGAATCTACTCATCACGATCTCTCTTCAACTTCTACTCTGGTCCAGTCTATTTACTCTCCCAGTCCAGATCTCTCTTTTCGCCCTTTCCAAGGTTGACAAATCCTTGTTTTTGACAGATGTTATCTGCATCACAGCAGTAAGTCGTCTAAGCATTAGTATGTAGACGTATGAGGCATATACTAACATGATGTATAGGCTGGAACATCACTTCTTGTTATATCTTTACACACTCTCATTACACGTCTCCAGGAGAGCGTATTCAGCAAATGGGCCAAAGTAGGCGCAACATTCTTCAAAGTCATAATTCTCTTCTTGTCATGTACGGCAGTGCTGTTGTGGATCACGACAGTTGGACTGGGAATCATTTTTACTCTTGCAAGACAACCGACATGCCGACCAGCAAACTTTGACACTCCTGACCTATGGAGGAAGGGCCGAATTTGTTATGTTCAAAGGACGGCTTTGGTGGTCAGCATGCTGGCATTGTAGGTGGTTGCTTGTATCATGTGTTTATGCGTGTGACTAACTTGCTTCGGATAGTATCGTTTCCTTCGTCTTATGTTTCACGTATAATGTTTCGCGTGATCCCTTCGCAGCAGGTCTGCTTGGATCAAGGCGAGCAGAAGTCTGCTTGTCGCCATCAGATCTCGAGAGAAGAACTCCACAGATGGTTACCCGGCACTCGACTCTCTCTTTCAAATGCCGTTCAATGCTATCACCAATCATCGCCTCGTCACCTCTACGGATATCGTCACCCCTTCGAGCGACAATCGATGCCAATGATGAGAAGTCGAATGGTCTCGGTATTTCATCACCCCGTCAATCAATCGAGAAGTCGCCTCTGCTGGCAAAGACTCCTAGTCTTTCACGTTCAATTGCCTCGACTAGTAGCGTGGAGAGCGCTGATCAACCTTCAACGGCATATGTACAATCGTCCCGAACATATCATCCCTCGCGCGTTCCCACGGCATATGTTCCTTCGCCTCATGGTACGCATTTGTACTCGCCCAAGCATCTACCAAAGGCAGTCGTGTCTGCCATAGCAGATGAAGCATCAAAGCAGCCAGCAGCAGCTTTGCGCTTACCAAAACGAACCTCTTCAATATCACACCAGACTCCTATTGTACCAAAGCGAGCTCCTCCTGTTGTACCGCAACGCACCCCCTCTGTGTCGCAATACATTCCTATCGAGCTCCAACGGCCTCTTTCTGTATCGCGACGAATCCCTGTTGTACCACAACGAGCTCCCACTTTGCCACAAATAGCACCAACTGCACTCCAGCGACCTCCTGCTGTCGAGATCACGCCCATACAGACGACAAGCCTATACACATCACGGCGGGTATCGTCAACATTCCTCACACCCACCTCCCACATGGGCCCTCCTCTAATAACAAACCCGCCCTCTCCCGAAAGAGAGCTTGACACCTTCCCAAGCTCCCCGCCAGTACACATGCCCTTGACCCGACCTACAAATCTTTACCAATCAAGACGGGCACCAACGCCATACAACCATGCAGCACAAAACACTGGCCCGCTCGCTCCCAGCCCTCTCGCTCCCAGAAGAGTTCCGGTAGCATATACACCTGCGAGTCAATCGCGTGTGCCATCCTCAATGCTGGCGCCTCCGCCTTCGGTCAGACGACTTAATTCTGCTCGTAACAGAGGCCACAGTTTTGCTTCCAACACGAGCAGTGTGTACAGCCGACTTGTAACCGATCCGAAGTGATGTGGAGGAAGAGCACAGTACCATTGAATGATTCAGGGATGTCAGCCATGTCTTTCTTTTTTACTATACACAACACGACAAGTATATATCTCGTGTAGACCCCCACCAAAAACTCTATTTATACTGCAACTTTGTGCTTGTTCAGGATCATTGTGTCGTAGCCTATGGCCCCGAGGACCGTTACCTCCTTTGTCGGACTGTCCGACATCAGTATCGGTCGGAACCATGCCTCTGTGGGGTAAAAGCATCCCCTCCGAACAGAGCTATCCGAAGTATGATAGCGGAATCAGTAAAGTAAAGAGACAAAAAAAGACACTTGGCCACTCATTGTACCATATGCCCGTCGATTAGGACTTATATGTCGACATATGTACTGAACGACAGCTTTGATATACCAATTACCATATTGTGAAATGCTGGCCCTCATCGTCCTGTTCGCTGCTCTTGTGGCGGCAGTATACTACAATGTCGTCGAGCCCCTGTTCCTAGATCCCAAAAGCAAGATCCCTGGACCGAAGTTGTTCGCTCTAACCAAATGGCGTTTGGCCCTGGAGGACTTCAAAGGCACTAGAACGAGAACAATTCATGCGCTACATCAAGAATACGGTCCAATCGTGCGCATCGGTCCCAACGAAGTTCATTGCAACAGCCTCAATGCTCTTCGTACCATCTACGGAGCCGGAAGTGGTTTCGAAAGAACATGGTTCTATCGCATGTTCGATGTGTATGGGAAACAGAACTTGTTTACCTTTGAGTCCGTCAAAGACCACAGTGAACGCAAGAAACTGGTCGCCAACGCGTACTCGAAATCTCTGATGCTCAAAGGGCCTGCAGCTCGAATGGTGCAGGAGAAGGTCACCCAATACTTGTCACTACTCAAGACGCAAGGAGAGCGGCCACAGGAGATCTTCAGCACTCTCCATTACTTCTCCCTCGATGCTATCACTCATTTCCTTTATGGCCCTTCTCATGGTGGCACTTCTGCGCTCAAAGGCAATGCTCAACATCGCGCTCTGCTCAACGATATCGTGGATCCGACCCGCCGCTACTTGAGTTGGTTTGCTGTTCATCTGCCTAGATTGACCAAATGGATGTACTCGCGTGAAGGTCTGCTAGAACGCCTGCTTAGACCAATATTGCCCATGCAGAAACCAACCACCTATACTGGAATTCGCAAGCACGCGCTCGAAGCTTTCCACGGCTTCAAAGATGCAGCAGAGACCAAGTTGGATATCTCAGCCTCAGAATCGAGTATTGTATCACGATTATGGACTTCGCACGAGAGTGTCAAGGGATCAGGTCCCCGCTCTTTGGATTCTCTTGACATCGCATCAGAGTGTGCAGATCACTTACTCGCCGGCATCGACACGACAGCAGACACACTAATGTTCCTGATTTGGGCGTTATCTCAACCGCAAAACTCGCATATTCAGAAACGATTGGTTGAAGAAGTGCGCTCGATACCAGAAAACGGCTTCGAAGATGGCATGCCTAGACTCGATGTCATCGACAAATTGCCATATCTGGATGCCGTGATAAAAGAAACATTGCGCCTTTACGCCCCACTACCGGCCTCAGAGCCTCGCTCGCTACCTACCAACTGCGTTATCGATGGCTATAAGATTCCTGCGCGCACTATAGTCAATATGTCGCCATACTCTCTGCATCGCAATGCTGATGTCTTCGACTCGCCACTGACATTTGACCCCGAGCGATGGCTCGGACCAGCGGATAAAGTGAGCTTGATGAATAGATGGTTCTGGGCTTTCTCAAGCGGTGGCAGGATGTGTATAGGAGTACAGTAAGTGACTCTTCACAACCAAAAAATAATCATCTATACATGCTGACAATGCTATCACAAAATAGCTTGGCCATGGCAGAAATGACGGCTTTGACTGTAGGCATCTATCGCGAGTACACTACATCCATTGCTCCAGGTTTCGAAAACAAGACTCCGGGAATCACTTCTCGATTTGAGGTCTTCTACGATGAGACCTTCCCGGAGATAGCAGTAAGTCAAGCTGATGTTTTTGCGTTTGGAGTTGTGATGATTGAAAATGGCATATAGGAACATACGTGCATGATTCAATTTACGAAGACAGCATCTTGAACACCCAGGATGTCGCAATCTGCATCTAGACAGCTTCGAATGGGCGATTCGAATGATTAGGCTTATCGCTTGCGTCTTCGTGCATAAACACAACACACGGTAAAGTTTGTGGAAATTTGTCTCAATTTTGCTATCCTATATACGATGTGCATAGAATCAGCAATTAGCTTGTATCCATTCATGAACGACACCAGCAATCTGAGGACTGTTTTTCTCGAGATAGCCAAAGTGGCCGTTGCCAGTTATACCCTTATCGGCAAGCTTGATCCATTCAGCGGCAACACCAGCTTGTTGCAGGAAATCAATGACACAGTGCTCATATGTGATGTGAGGGCTAGCACTGCCAGTAAGAGCAATATACTTGACTTTGGCAATTTCGGGAAGCTTATGGATCGTTCCGGTTTGCATGTAGCAGCTGCGTTTGGCAGGTGTGTCTTCTCCGACGAGTTTGTAGGCGAGTTCAGAGGAGTTGTTGATGGCAGGTTCGTAAGAGACTCTGGTGTTTGTCATGCCCCAAGGACGAGCGGACGTGCGGCCAACAGAGGAGGTGGCATTTCCGACGTATGATTGGAAAGGTATGTTTCCAGGCTCCAGATTGATGTTGCCAGCAACCAAGGAAGGGCAATCGTTGGAGAGAAGTAGAGGATGCAAAGCTCCGATTGAGTGAGAGATAAGGAACGATGGACCGATGAGAGAAAGCAATTGACAACCAGAAGCTCTCATGGAGAGTTCTTGGACAGTCATATTGCTAGTCAGTGGGATGAATGTCGACTCGAAAGCGTCGAAGATGGGATCGCCCTTGACTCCTGAGCCAGGCCATTGAGTATGCTGTTGAGATTGCGGATAGGCATCGGTAAGTTCAGGAGCAGTGAATCCCTTCTCACTGATCTCAGCGGTGGAACCAATGCGCATGACATAGTCACTGAGGTCCTCTGCGCTCCCTCTACCAACGCTGGTCTGATCAACGATATAGACTTGGTAGCCATAATCCAGAAAGTGAGATGCGAAGCCCTTACGGTTGTCGGGTGTATTGAGCCATGTCTTTGCAATCAGCCACGAATGCCACAAGGAAAATCTTTGTAAACTCTACTCACCACTCCAGACGTACCACCACCGTGGAAGAGCACAATGGGCTTGCTCTGCTTTACGCCAGTTGCAGGGGTCAACTTCTCCACATAAAGCTGGTCGTACGTGAGATTGCCAGCAGCTCCAGCGACGTAACGCCCTCCAATATAGAAAAAGTCACGAGTATGCAAGGTTTCTCGTGAAGCGCAGCCAGGAGCAATAGCATTGATACCAATGCAGTCAGCCGCAGCGAGAGCAGCGCTCGCAAAAGAGGCGAGACTGAACAAGGTTGAGGAGATCATTTGGTGCGGAAAAAAATACAAGTCGTAATACTTGAAACAAGCCAAGGAGGAGGGATTGTCGGCAGGGTTGCGAGAGTGGTCGCTTTTGTACTCATCACCTTCTTCTCCACTTCAGGATCTGTTCATTGATGTGGTGCAGGGCATGCGCCTCATCTCGCGAAGATCCACCTTGGAGATCATTGCGAGCTCGACCCTGAGATGAGATCAAATTCGGTAGCATCGGGTGGTACCTACGGCATGAAGTACCTGATGTTCAGCGATAGATGTGTTACGAGAGTTTAATCTGTAGTCTTATGTTGCCGTCCACAGTACGTCTTGGCTCCTGAACAATTCAACATGTCCAGCGGTGGAAAGGTTGGAACGTTGGCACACTGCAAGCACCTTCTTTTTTTAGCCGACGCGTGAAGAACGCCAGGCTTGGCAAGACGCCTTCGAGACTCCCTCACATCCTCATCTCTTACCTCCCTTCAAAGCCTATCTATGAATAAGCGCCTTCTCGTTTGGCACACCTTGAGTTGGAATGACCCAAAGATTCAAACATTAAGTTTGTGGTCATCATCCGGGAGACAGACAAAATCGTGAACTTGTGTCAACGCGACGCCATCCTTGTCAATGAACGGGCCATCGTTTGACAGTCTTCGCTTCCAGCCGAAGCCCCATGGGTCGCTCGAAGGCTTTGGCACATGCTCTGGACCACATTAATATTGCGCTATGAGTTTATGTTGACAAGAACTCGCGAGATACTACACCCTCGAAACATCCCATATCAGGCGATGCGTTGCTATTGGAGGATCGGTCTGCCTTGATGGCTGCTATCTTGATCCGGTCGCAAACTCAATGCCCTGATTGCAATCCTACTTTTGAACGAGGATCCATTATACGAAGCTTTTTGGCTTCAGGCAAATGGTAGGATGTCTCCTTCGATGTTTCAAGCGTACAAGCTCGACCCTTCTGCAACAGTCAAGATTGCCCGATCATCTTCGGCGTCGTATGGCTGGAGTCTTCTTATGTTGGCAAGGCATTCCTGTCTCTGGACTTTCCTACATTCTGCTTGAGCATGCTAATGCGTGTTGGACCTGAGCGAAGATGTCACACTCGGCCTTTCTGGGCCAACCTCCAGCGACTCAGGACGACTTCTATATCATCAAGGGCATGTACAGAGCAGCCTACGCTTTCAACAAAGATCCAAGCAATGGTTACCTCTTTGTTCCGAGGAAGCCTGCAGACTACGAGTACAATGACAAGCAGGCCAGCATCATTGTTGGCATGGTAATGGCGATATTCATCATGTTGTCTACCACGGTCTTAAGACTCGTCCTTCGACAGTTCAAGACTGGTGTGAGATGGGGAGCAGACGACTGGATTCTCATAACAGGGGCGGTATGAGACAATGCTCTACTACCTTAACAAGTCACCCAATCACTAACCTACAGCGCAGATCATGGCGGTTTTGTACCCGATACTGCAGATAGCAATGGTCGTGCGTGGAGGAGGTGGAAAACACACATGGGACGTCACCTATTCCGAGTACTATACATTCAACAAGGTGCGAAGCTCTTCTTGCCCAACACCATGACATTCTGCTGAGCCACTTTGACGCAGCTTGCAATCGTCTGCAAGATCCTCTTTTTCACGACCGTCGGCATCATCAAGATATCTATCTGTCTCTTCCTCCGCCGCATATCCGAAGCCACATCAAAGTATCCTCGCATCGCCAACGACGTCTTCCTTTTCCTGCTCGCAAGCTACACTTTACTCGCACTATTCTGGTCATGCTTTCAGTGTTCGCCTGCTCCAGCCATGTGGGACAAGATGTACTCTGGCAAACTTGCGCAACCCGCGAAGTGTTGGTCGACACTGGTGGTTGCGAATACACTAAGTGTCATCCACGTTATCATGGACTTTGTCTTGCTGCTTACGCCGATCATCGTGCTCTGGAAAGTGAAGTTGAACAAGAAAACAAAGATCAGATTGTTCATTGTCTTCTCGATGGGCTCGCTATCCTGTGTAGCCAGTGTGTTTCGAGAGCTTGCACAAAAGAGTATAAGCAAGGACATTACCTGTAAGTTTTGTCTACCCCTGCTCGAGAATCCAAGTAAACTGACTCTCTATAGATGGCTACACAAGTCTGCTGGCATGGACCGTAGTCGACTTGACGCTCGCAGTAGTCGTAGCATCACTACCCGTGATTAGTGTACTGATCCCCAAGGCTTGGGACGACATTACACACTCATCGCGCGTCCGTAGAACTACGCAGAAACAACCAACATCCAAAGGCACACAGGGTCAGTCTGTCGTTGGAAGAGCACGGCGCAACACCATTGACTCGGAAGAAGATGGGATCTTACGCGAGGATCGGATCGAGCTGTCTTATGCTCGCAACTCGAAGCAGATATACTCGCGAGAGGCGTCGCATATCTCCTTATACGAAGATCCTTGCACGAAGCATGCATCTCGAACAATGCCCGAATAAAACAAACAGATCTCTAAAAGAATGGTTCGTTGTGTATCTATTATATGTATGTACCTTTACAAAGACATTTGTTCCTGTAAGTAAATAGATCATCATCCTTCTAACTGTCTAGAACTTGATCCATCCATTCTCCCTACTGACCAACGACTTCAACACTCCCTGTGCATCTCTATACCAAAGAATGCCCACCTTTGCATGACCCCAGAATCCATCAACGCCAAACAGCTTGGTGTTGATCTGGAAGCCCCATCCAGTGGCTTGCTGATAGTAAATCCTATCCCACACACTCTGCGTCTTGATCTGCTGGGTTCCCCAAACAATACCAACAATGTTGATGGTAGAGCCATCGACGGGTGCAATGGCAGGGGTTCTTGCAGAAGAAGGGATGGATGAGGAAGTGATAGTGTAGGATCCTGTTTGCTCTGCGCAGGAAAAGATGTAGGTATTGTTGGAGGCGTCGGCGTAGAGGATTGAGATTGTTTTGACGACACCATACCAAGGATCTGAGACGGAAAGTGCAGAAGCCAGGGTATAAGTATTAACCACCAGATTGCCGTTTTGTATAAAGGCGGTTTGGGCAGCGGTGGTGACATCCTTATCTGCAAAGTAGGCGCCAAGGATGCTTATACCGGACGAAGCGGCTGCAGTGGATGTAGCTGCTTTAGACGGGGCAGATGTCGTAGAGGAAGAGGTCTGCACGGACGACGCGGCAGAAGTTTTGCTGCTGGACGTCAACGAGCTAATCGGTGCACTCGTAGTCCTTGAAGATGTGTAAGTCGATGAAGTCGTAACAATTGCAGATGAAGACGACAAGACAGAAGACGGCACAGCCATCGTTACAGAGGAGGAAGAAGAAGACAGCACAGCTGTCGTAGAAGAGGGAGAAGCAGAAGAAGACGATGCGGAACTCACCTCAGGGTAAGAGTTGTACATGGAACCAAGATCGCTCATGCCGCTGCCATCAGAGTTCATCAAAGCACCAGTGGTATCCATGAAGTAGGCGTAACGCTGAACGTAATCGGTCGAGTCCATCCACTCAATCACTTCCTCGAGGAAAGATGTGAGTTCAGCCTGAGTGTAGCTTACACTGTTGTCAAGACCGAACTCGGTGATCCAGACGGGGCGACCACCAGACATGGCATGGGCGGCTTCGACCTGCTGCTTGAAGTAGTTGGCGCCAGCATACTTGTTCGAGTACCAGTGGATGTTGATGAAGTCGATGTGGCAGCCTGTGCAGTTGCCCATGAAGTTGGAAAGCCAGGTAAGACCCATGGGCGAACCACCGTTGGTAACAGCGGGAGAACCGAGAAGGGCCTTGCCTGCAAAAGGCTCCATGTACTGCTTCCAGGCCTTGACAGCGGACTGCATCTCGATACAAGAAGAACCAGCACCAGCGAGACAGAGATCAGGCTCGTTGAAACCGAGGAGATGGGTGCTGCCAGCGTTGATAGCAGCTTGTGCATTGGCGGTCCAGCTTGAAGTAAGGTCGGAAGCGTTACTCCAAAGCATGGGAACATACTCAAGTGCAGGGTTGAAGCCGCTGCCGGCTGCCTGGTACCAGTTGTATGCCCAAGAGACTTGAGAGTTCTGGCCAGACAAGGAGAAAGGCATGGTGTAGGCGGCATTGTTGTAGGAAAGACCACGCTTGCCAGTGTTCTTGACAGGGGTGGCAGTAGAGCGTTCTTCGATAGCGCGTTCTTCAATGGCTAAAACAAGATTAGACTTTTAAGAGTTTGAACATGGAAGAGAATAAGGCATACCACGACCAGCTACATCTTGTAGCAAGAAGGCAGATGCCAGAATAGTAGAAATTGCAAACTTCATGATTAAGAATTAAAATAAGGATGATGTGATGATGATCAGAAAACGATTGACGATAACAGCTACGCACCAGGCGAAGTGTTGGTATGGATTGTTAGCGAATGGACAACCTGAAGAAACAAAAATGCACCGGTAGGAGGCTTCATGTTTATATACCAACCACAACAGATAAAGTAAAAGGAAATGATACGAGACATGTTCAGTGTCCAGGAGCTTCTCGCCGGCAGACGTTTGCATTCAGCTGGATCAAAGCAGCCCAGTACCGTTTTTCGCCTCATACAAGATTGGAGATCCAGGGTCGTATTGTTGTCCAGATGGCAATTGACCAGTAAAAATCTCCATTTGAGCGCGGCCGTTGTAGGCGTTGCTCTTAACCGTTGTGTATCGAAACGGCCATATCAAAAGTCCACGCAAGTAAGCGCGGGCAAATTGGAACGGTTAGCTCTTGGCAAGATAAAAGCGCCGGCTGTTGAATGTCTATACCAGCCCGGCAGCCAAACACGTGCAGGGCTTGCATGTGAAGTCCACCAATGCCCTATCTTGACTTCCTGGAGTGGGAAAGTTTACCTATAACAAAACGTTATGACTCGTCACAGTATCTTGTTCTGGATGACAAGTTGTGGAGCAGTCGTTGGGATCCCCTAAGCATTCGTAGGTCCTGCGGTGATCTGGCGACATAGCTGGTAGGAAAATTACGATCAATCGTCGAGGGCATGTTGCGACCCTGATTGATGGGACGCATTTGGCTTAGAAGTCGCTCCACCATGAGATTGAGAAAATTGGAAGCAAGAGATACGGATCAAAGCAATAGACAAGAAAAGGTTGAGGAATGGATATGAAAATAACAAGCAACGATGTTGTACCTACGCCAATAACCCATTGATAACGCCATTTTTCTGCTAGAGATGAGATGCAAGTCGTAAAGCGTCAGACAGAGATATTCATGACGAGTCTTGCTGAGGTCGGCGAGTAGGCTCAGGGATGACAGGTGGACTTGTCAAAGGGGATATGACGGCAGGACTGTGAGGTGTAGGTGGTTGATGATGAGTAGGCGATGAATCAGGATGTGCAAGTTGACGCTCTAGAATGCTAGGTCAGTACTTGATCGGGGAGGTCTTGACATAGCAAGAAAACTACGACTTACCGAGTTCACGGATGCGAGCCTTGAGCATCTGATTCTCGCGGGTCAACATCTGGGTCTCGGCCTGGTAGAAAGCACTTTCGTCACGGTTTGCGCCGAGCAGCCAATCTTCACGTTGAGGGTCGTATGGAGAAGCAACGGGACGAAGAGCGGGAGATCTGCTACTGCTTCGGGGAGCGCTGGTGACAGAGACGGCCTGAGATGAATGTCGCGATAAGGATACTGGACGTTGGGGCAGTGGTTGCTGCCTGCTCGAGCTCGATAGTGTGCGTGGCCTGGTGTCGGAGTCGTTTGCATTTGCAGAAGCAGTATTGGGATGATCTGCGTGCAGCTCATCGATTTGGTCTTGCTGCTGGCGGATCATGTGCAGCAGTCTATTGACTTGATGTTCTTGCTCGTTCTCCAGCTCTTGATGTATCTGGCCCAAGCTGGGGGCACGATGATGGTGGCTCGGATCTTGCATCTCTCCAGGACCAGGCATTTGGGCATCATTCAAATGCAAATTTGTCATGAGACTGGACCGTCTGCGTTGGGTGGCGCTGGCGCGTGGAGAGTTGGAGTTGCGCATGCCGGCATTGATGGCTGCAGCGGCTTGCAGCGACGACAGCGAGGGTGAGTGCGGTGATGGGTGGTTCTCGGTAGTGGCTGTTGTCATATTGTCTGATGTGTGTCTTAGGGTTGGTGATGGAGGGAGTGAATTCAGGTCTGGAGGCATTGTTGCATGTTTTGTACAGTCAATCAAAGTGCTGCTGATGATTGACCGCTTGCTTGGTGCCAATTGCCAACCTGTGCCCCGCTACGTCGGCTCACCAGATGTCAAGACAAAGTCACTCCACCAACCTACTGTGCATGCATCCTGTGACTACCAAGTCGACTGATGCCCGTTGAATTCATTCTCTAGCCACATGTATAAGCCGCTCGTTATACGTGTATTGTTTCGTTAGAACATGTCCAGCCTGTGTCATCTGCCTCCTCCGATTGTCAGGCTCACAAAGCCTCGGACAAAGCTTCGGACTTTTGCGGGCCTCGTCAGTCTCCTGTCAGGGCTATTGTTTTGAAGACCTACCATGTTGACGACTGAAGCCTCCATCTCCTCCAGCGGCCTTGGTTCCGACTGCTCATGAGACATTTGCCTGTGTCTTCAACCAGATTTGTTTGTCCAAAAGGGTCTGACGCTGACGCCTCTCCCGATCTGAGCTCGTGCATCTTCTACTAGCACCTGTCGCCAACGACAACCGACCCTGTCCTGGAGTGCTCGCCCGCAATCGCGCCGTCTGATTGCTACTCTTTGACCAACTCGACAAGCCTCAAGAATCCTTCGCTTGTCCATCTCGCTCTGCCATCTCGTAAAGTAATCCACTAGACCCTTCCCATGTGATTTTGCTCGTCTGTAAACACCATCTTTGACAGCAAGGTTGGAGCCAGACTCATGTAGCTGGCCATGTCTACAAACGCTTCTCTGCATGCGACCATGCTTTGACCCTCTTTTGAGCAGCCCACTTTCCGCCTTTCCCCCCAAGTGCCCATCTTTGGTACGCTCCCGATAACCTACAACCTCGACTCTTTTCTACAGTCCATGCTCACTAAGTTGCTCGAATCGTACGCGGGAGATCTGGCGCGCCTTCCGTTCCATGCTATTGACCCGCCCCGGCGCTGGCGTCTGGGCGTTGGGTTCCGGTCATGCAATTTACCTTCGTTTCAGCATGCCCGATTGCCCCTCGTCCACGCTTTGTCCCCTTCCTTCCAGCCTTCAGCCGAGTTTCATCTCGAATCCACTGCCCCGGCGTTGGTTCCATCATCCCAACTGCAAACATCCATCGCCCGTCACAGTTCTACGTACAGATTCAGAATTCACATCCTCTTTCGTGCTTCAATGCGTTTCCGATGACTCCTTGTTTGCATGCTTCGGGCAAACCTCGACTCGATATTTATTGCTTGCTTGCACGCCACATACAGCACCATCTCCTAATGAGTCCAACTAAATCCGCTTGCGTGTGCGGTCCGCATGGTCCGCCTCCACTGTCTCGTTTGCTTCAGATAGAACTCTGGGCCGACTAAGCCCTCCATGTCCCAATACAACATGGTTAATCTAATTGCCTAGTCCCTTCATTTTCTTTCTTTCTATCCCACGCTCTCCCTCGTCATACCCAAATGCCGCAAATACGGCTCTTCTGCTTCTTTTCTTAGCCATTCGCCGATCCTTCTTTTTTCCTTCCATTGTTCTTCCTCGATCTTGTCCACCTCGAATCATAATTCTCGAGTCTTTGGATGTGTTGAATGCTCAATGGCCGTCGATCAGAATGACGCTTTTGACGCCATCAACAAGAGCAAGTTCAAGGATTTGCCTCCAATCCAGACCACCTTCAAAGACAAACCTCTGCCGGCTATAAAAGAGCCTCTTCAGGATAGTGGACGAAACACTCCAAATTCGAACCGAACAGGACGTACATACCGACGACTGAACCCAAAGTCTAGTTTGTTCAATTTGTTCAGTAGACCGAGAGTTGAGAAGCAAAGAGGATTCAACGAGTCTGGATATGCTGTTACTCCCATTATTGAGCCTGGAAGAGCTACACCGAGTCCGGACCCGATCGTGCGTGTGCCCCAGAATACCTCCAACAATGGGTTCCAAGCGCCACATCCTCGACCCAGCACTTCATTGTCAATTCACGACGATCGTCGAAACTTAGCCCGAAGCCGTACGACGACTTCTTCTGACGAAGTCAGAGAGGAGGAAGATGCTCCAATCTTGCCATCGCTATTTGACATATATTCAGACTCGAGCAAGGTTACCATCGCACAGGCCATTGATGAATCTGGTCAATCCCGTCTTACCAGGCCTCGAAAGTCGAACGCATCGCATATCATACCAGCACACATCCACGAAGAGAGAAGAGGTAGCGTCGACAGCATCAAAACCGAGCACAAAGCACAAAGTAGAAGCGGCAGGAACTCGCTCAGTCAGGGTCCGTTCCAAAGAAAGATCTTCGCGCTTTCCAACGATGGCATCATCCTCCAATATCCCGAGAAGGGCGGTGGTGAAAGACTGCCGGAAAGAGCTCTTCATCTAGGTCCGGAGTCGGTCGCTTTCGCCTGTGATCTGGTTCCTGGAAGACCTTATGTTCTACAAGTCGATCAAAGACCAACTGCCATTTCGGACCTTTACACGGGTCCGTCTCAAACATCACTGCTTACGAAGATTGGACTAAAAGACAACCTACCACGTGTGGGTGACCACAGTATACTGATAATCCTGGACACGGCCGAAGAACTCACTTCTTGGATGACTGCGGTCAGGAAGCAGATTCAGCTTCTAGGTGCTGTCATGGGTGATGGAATCAAGCCAGAAGGACTTGAGAAACTGAGAACCACGGCTCCTAAGCTACGTGTCAAACAACGCACATCAATCAACCAACAAGACCTGCCGTCCTTTACAAACTTCTCATTTCCAACTAGCAGCCCTGAAATGGCAAGCATCAGCAGACCAAGACGTGACTCGAGTGCTGCGGTCACGACGACCACTCAGCCTGAAGTAGCTGAACTACACTCATACACAAGGAGGAACTCGAACGCCGCGATCTCTCGTAAGCCTCTGCCAGACCGCGACAACGTTGACCGACTCAGGAAGATGGCTTCCTTTGACACCAACGACTCCCCTCTCTCCGTCACTACTCACGACTCAGCTGTCAGCTTTGGCATGAGTGCTGGGAAGCGTATGATGCGTGACAAGAACGCATCGCAAAAGTCCTCAATAGGATCTTTGCATGATGAATTCAATACCGATAGTCCAGTTCTCCCAAGGTCGGCAACGACTGGTCAACTTCAGCGGCCAAAGCCCAGCCCTATCATCGGAAGACCTCGTCCAGACTCCTTCGTTGCAGATCTTCCTTTACTTTGGCCGGCGCGCAAACCTTCTGAGGGAGCCATATCATCGACAAATGAGCAAACGCCCTCACCTCCAATGAAACGTTTACCACTAAAGATCAATCCTCACTCCGACAGCATGTCTCTACCCAGACAAAGACCTTCACACTCACCACAGAAGCCGGCTCCCCCGCCTACGAGAGCTTTACCAGCGCTACCAACAATGCCTTCTAGGCCAGTTGAGAACTTCTCTCGCAAGCCTCAGCGCACACCTTCAATTAAGCTGTCGCTTTTCCCTAGTGCTGACCTTTTGGTTGATCCAATATCTGTCGCTTCGCCTGCCAAATTACTTCCACCATCTCCTGCCATGACGCTTCCGCCATCACCAGCTGATGATATGAAAATATCTCAAGATCGGCCTCTTCGTCGACCAGCTAGTATTCAAATCCGCGCCAATCACGCTCCATTCCTTTCTTCAGTGCGCCCGAAGACTGCTGGTAACCGTCCTCAGCTCTCAAAAGCCGGGTCCGTACCATGTCTCCGGGAGATCAGTAGTCTGCCCAGAGCCCCAATGGTTGAAAAACCATCTTCATCACCGCTACCACCACTTGATCTGGGCATGCCAATTGTTGGTCTAGCACCACCCGCACCGCCTCCATTACTTCCACTTCCAAAACTGCCGCCTGGTGCGAGGGCATTAGCAGTCTGATACTACTCTTCCATTCTTGTCAAACACAAATAACGACTATAGGATTTGGGTAATGTCTGTTTCTGCACAATAAACATTATTTCTTGGCGCTGAAGAATTGCTGGCATTTCTTATCAAAGCATATTTTTATGAAGGGTTATGAATTGAAGGGTCAACAAAATCTGTTCTTACTGCTGTTTCTTCTTTTTGTCATTCTTGACCGAGATCTAGCGTCTGTAGATAGTCCTTACAGACATATGATTCTTTCTCAGCAATAACACATATCCAATTACTATCGGTAGTCGAATAGATCAGACCACCACGTGACTTGAGTCAGAGTTGCCGACAGCCCAGACCCTGGCTCTCGCTCGGTTGAATCGGCCGAAGAAACCCTCAGGCTTCCTTCCTCGAAACCGTCCAATGAACTGAATTTGATTGCCACTACCATTCGTAATTTGCTCCTGTGATTACTGTTTTCCATCTTTGCATACATTTTTCCATGCTAAACATCATCACTCCACAATTCCCGAATATCGATTGAACTAGTCGAAATCATGAGTACAGAGACACAAACGCGTCAAAAGACTACCACTGGCATCCGGAAAAAGCCGTTCGCTGTGCCTCCGGTCAAGGTAGCATGTCTATCATGGTGTGTATGAATCATTGGTACTGGTGTGATATTGCTTGCTGATGGTCCGTCACAAGTCGCTCCTCACGTATTCGCTGTGATGGGAAAGAGCCATGTTCGGGCGTAAGTGCAAATACTCTGTTTCTGACTCAATTGACTCAATTGACATCGTGATCTAACTTTTGCAAAGTGCAATCATCGAGGCAAAGAATGTGTATATGTTCAGAGTCGGCGAGGCGGTGCCCGAGTGGCGCGTAGTAAGAAGCAGGAACATGAGAAAGCTGATTTCGTAAAGATTGCACAAGAGTGTAAGTTCATTGAAGCTTCAGTTGTGTCGTGCTGACCATTGACTAACAAAATACTCAGGTTTCGATGAATCAGTACCGACGATGATCAAGCCCGGTGCTGGATTAACACAATTGGATCTGAATCTTGATAATACGGATACTTTGTTTGACAGCATATTCACGGCAGCGCCGATACCTCAGACCATTGAACTGGATAATGCCATACCACGACGAACTGGCTCGGTGCGGAGGTATCAAACAGATAGCGACATGTAAGTATGTTCTCTCTGGATACTCGCATATCAAGCTTATGAATTGTGCGTAGACTGGATGCTTATTATATTTGGATGCATCCATATTTTCCAATTCTTCCACCATCAAAAACTTCTCAACCTCAGGACAATCCGCAACTCTGGTTCCCAGGATCTTCAGAATCGGTATTTGCATCTCTTTCGCCAGCTGCCCTTGCTATCTCGGCGATCCTGGCTCTAATCCCACATCCGGAAGAATATGCACCTTTTGAGGAAGAAAGCATCAAAGCACGCAGAGAAGCCGCTCATTCGTTTGCCAAACGCACATTAGAGAGCATAGAAAGCGACTCTGAGATACCCAATTCCTCAATCTCACCAGCACAAGCACTTTTGGATGAAAAAGTGTATTACTCACGGCCTGCTTTCCATCCAAGAGTGCCGATTGAGGCGGAAAGTGTGATTGCGTTGAGTATACTGAGTGTGTATGAATATGCTCAGCGTGGCAATATCACGAAGATGAGGGATCGAGCTGGTCAGGCGATGATGATGGCAATGAATCTTTCACTGCATGATCGTGGCACTGAGCTTGATGCTTTTGCCGAAGCAAGGAGTAGGATTTGGTGGATGAGCGTGAGTCTTCCTTCAAATTTTGATTCGTTCCCAAAATGCTGAATTTTTGTTGCAGTATATCTGTGCTTGCCAGGCTTCAATCGTCAGCTCTGCGCCACCGGCAATACCGCTGTTTGACCCTCGCTTCACCACCACTTTCCCGCAGTCGCCAGATCCAGAAGCATGGCCTTTCTTTATCAAATCACAGCAGACCATCCTTCTCGCAACACAATTTGTTTCCGCAGTGGGTCGTGCTGTAGATGGTCGAGAAGACTGGACAGAGATCTCCACCCGCATGCAAGAACTGCACAACACGATTGAACCTTTGATTGCTCAATCGCATAATTGGACAGATGTCAAACCGGATATCCATAACCCGGAAGCTATCGTTGCATACTCGTTAAAGCAAATGTCCAAGATCAAATTAAACAGGTGAGAAACCACAGTCTATACATACGAGAACACGACAGCATGCTAACAGCCCAACAGCGCAAGAATAAAATTGCACCGCCAGAGCGCCTTCTTCGACATCCCTGTTTTCTCTGAAAAGCACTGCGACCTCAAAAAATCCGAACCCTTGCCACCTCCTGCCACCACCACTTCCGACCCACTCGACCAAATCCCCCTAACCTCATCTCCAAACTCGTGCGGTTGCTCTTCCACCTCTCTACCTACACAAGTCCCTGGCCTCACCAACTCGGTCTCACCTCCCAACTCCACTTCCTCGGCCTCAAGTGCAGAATACATGCACCCCTTCCCCTTCAGCAACCACTTCTCCTCGCGACTATGTTTGAACTCCGCCCTGGCTATTGCTTCCGCCTTTGAAACCATGCCATTGCCAGCGTCCTCGTCGCCACTTGCTCCTCGCACAATGCCCAGTTTTGCTTGTTGTGCCATGCAATCCGCATACGCGTTGTTAATGGTCTATCACCGTACTTGGGTGCTTGCACAGCAGAACACAGATGCAGAGGCACAGAGTAAAGCAGCACAACTATTGGGAAGGTGTGAAGAAGGACTCAGAAGAGTTTTACAAGCGTTGGATAACTATGCTATCGCGTTTGAGGCGTTAGGTGGGATGAGGGATCAGATTCAAGCTGCCGTCGATTGTTTGAGTTTGGCTGATTAGAAGAAATTTGGTTCGATTCTTCTTGAAGTGATAGTTTTAAGGCGTTTGTTGCTTTTCTCTGCTTTCTTGGTATCTTGTAACAGTATAGCGATCTTTTTTTTTTTTTTTTTTTCTCTGCTTTTGCTTTTCATCTTCTGTTTCTACAATATAGACTTTTTCATTCAGCTTACAATGTACGCACACTATGCCACCTACCCCATCTAGCCGATTCCCACATTCAGTCGTATTCATAAAGTGTTCTTGGAGTGTACGAGCATGTTACCTATATCTTCTGAACCAGCTCTTCAAGAGAAAACAGTATTCTCAAAGCTTTCCCCTGCTTTTTCTTTTCTATGAACTCTATCATGTCTCTCGACTTTTAGATAGCCCCTGACAGACCGAGACGGTGCGAAAGAAGCTTCATGAAGGCGCCCGTGGGTCGGGCTTGGATGTGATATACCTAAGCTAGGCAGGCGCTGAACAGCCGCACCTAAAAAGCTGCTACCCACAACTCCTCACTAGCAAGAAACCAAACGAAATTGAAGAGATGGAAATAAAGATATGAGGTTTCTGCAAACTGTAGCTAGCCTTTGTGGGGATATTCAAGAAAACAATAAAAAGGTTGTTTTGAAGAAGAAGCAAGCAGAAAACAGATTGCTAAGATGAAAACAAAAATGAGAAATCAGATACCTCAAAGAGAAACGCCCCCAGACCCCCAGGCATCAGCGTGAACACTATGCCAGCAAAGCGTGTTGATGAAGTACTAAACACATCCACAAAAACCAGGTTTGATACTTCCAGGTCGTCGTCAAGGCAGAAGGAAATTCAAGATCCAGGCATCGAGGAATTGAAGCCTCTCATCGCCATAGGTCCTGTCGACTGCCAGCGCGCTTGTGGCCTCCGTTACCCTCGGCACCAGGAATCTTTGGTGGAGGTTTGAGCCAACTGCCACGACTTCCAAAGCCACCAGCACTGCTGCCAACACTGGTACCCATGGTAGCCAGAGCGGCGAGCGCACCGCCTCCGTTTCCAGGACTGCTGCTACCCCAGCTGCGAGACTCATGGCCGGCTGATGATCTTGGTCGTGCTGCTTCTTCTTGCGGGACTGCTAGGAAGCCACCATAGCCATTACCGACAATAACACTTTTGCGTGCGTCGCCGCCGAAGCCGCCTTGCGCCCATTGAGGGCCGAGACCGCGAGCAGCACTGTATGCGCTCTGTGGGCGCCCACTACTACCTGATCCATGACGACCGTGAGATGGAGCTGGTGGTTGGTACGCTGTGAAAGCCCATTCCACTTCATCTAGACCCTTAGAAAAGACTTCCAGAGGCTGGTGCAATCCACGGGGCGGATTCATGGCTCCTACAACACTCTGGCGCTGATTGCCGCCGCCGTCCATAAAGGGTGTTGGAGGTGCGGGGAGCAGCATAATCTCAGCAAAGTCGGGGTCACGAACGTAAAGCTGCGAAAGAGCAGGCAGACCGTTTGCATGTAGTGACTGAGCCAGATATGCGTAGTATGAAGCAGCGGGTTTTTGTAGGCCATGGGCATCTTCTGAGTCGGTGAGTTCGTAGTGGAGGACCTTGAGAGAGATGGACTCGAGAGGTGGGAGATCGTTGAGTGAGAGAGCGAGAGAGTTTGAGACGGTTTCGACGATGGATAGGAAGTGTAGAGCCGAAGCATCGAACAGGAAGTGGTGTAGGTGGATAGGGTCGATACCGGTGCCGTTGAGTGAGAGGTCATTGAGGGTGTTGCGGTTGAGGGGTTTCTCGAAATAAACGCCCATACCCTCGGCGGTGATTCTAGGCGTGTTTTCGAAAGCTAGAGTGCGCAGAGCGGGGAAGTCTGGAAGCATGGGGGATTGGTAGAAGATGGTGTCGTCCAGCCAGGGCAAGTCAGTCATTGTGAGCTCACGCAGAGCTGGCAGCGAACCAAGGACGATACGCAGCGTGCTGGGCTCAACTTGAATACCCGAAATCTCGATAATCTCGAGCGCTTGCCAGTTGCGACGAGCAAGTTGTTCGAACGAGCCTTCGGAACCTGATCTGTAGCTCATCTTGCGGATATCGGGACAGCGTGCTTGCAGCTCGTGGACAAGGGGCATACAGGCCGGGTCGCCATTGAAAGCTCCGTCAGGTAGATCGACGTATTTCAAGTTTGGCAAAACAGATATGGTGCGGGCAAGGTCGGCCTTTGCGGTTTCTCGGGTCATGTACGGTAGCTTGAGCATAGTCACGCCATGTGCCAGGTTGGGATTTTCTCGTACGGTGCGGCAGAAGAGGGCCAATCTGATGGTGGGAACGTCGCCAGACTCAATGGGAGCTTTGAGGAATGTCTTTTTCTGTCTCTTCTCGGCCAGGATCTCCTCGAGTTCGCAGTAGTGGACGGCATCGATGCGGACGCTGCTGTATCTGGCCAGGGGTAAGTCGAGTGCATTGCTGGTGGAAGGAGAACTCACAAGACAGTGGCAGCAGCGTTGTACCATCGTCGACAGACTTGACCAGCCTTTGCTAGATCTCTCAAGTCGCATAACATGCATCCCTCGCCGGCTGTCGACCTCTCGCTAGGCTCGTATGTCTCATCCTGGGTATGCGGTGCGACCTGCACCATGATCTTTGTGAGTATGTCATTGGGAAGTTTGGCAGCAAAGTCACGTCCAGGACGAATAGCAAGGGGAGAAGAACGTTTTGGACTGTTGGTGGTGCTGCTGCTTTCCTTGTTATGTGATTTGGCGCGGAGATGCTTAAAGAAGCCCATGTTTGCGGCTCTCAGTTCGCGTTGCCTGGAGTTGATTGAGGTTTAGGAAAGATCGCGTTCCTCAGAAAGCCATCTTCCTCAGATACAACAAAAGGCAGTCACGGGCCACGAGGTGGTTGCACCTCTAGGAAATGCCGATACGCGCCGGACACCCCTGAAATCCGTCTGCTTTGAATTCCTCGCAACCCCGCGCCTGCCTGTTCCTGGCTTGGTGCGAGCAAGGTGTCAGTCTGAGACACGCTCGCACGGGCCTCGAAACCTTGACAAGCCCATCCTCTGACACGTATGAAACACGAACAAACAAAATCCGTAGAAACCTAAAGGTATATTATTATGACATCGCTACTCGTGCCACGACTCTCTACCGAGCTGCCAACTAGGTTGCTATCCTCCTTTGCGTAGCTTCCTTGCTCTGGCGATAGCCTGATCGTCTGACGCGCTGCTTGCTCCTTCTCCGCCTGAGCCTGATCCTGACCCTACGAGTTCTTCGTCGTCTTCATCACTTCCTTTCTGCTTTGGAGCCTTGCCATTGCCATCGCTGTCACTGTCTGGCTTGTCTTGTGTGCGTTGGAAGCTTCCGTCAATCTCGTCTGGCTCAACTGAAGGCCCGTTGTCCTCGTCACTGTCATCGTCATCCTCATCATCCCCCTCGAGCGTGTTATGTACCTCAGACTTTCTGCGGCGTTCAAAGTCTAGTGCATGTGATGCGCGCATCAGTGTACCAACTCTGTGAATCGCTCTGACCATTGGTGATGCTTGAGAAGATCCGGGTTTCTTGCGTTGGCGGATGTTGGGCGATGATAGATCAGTGTTGGATTCTCTGCGTGCTGGATCGACCCCAGTAGCTGTCGAAGGCGTAAGTGTAACGTTGTCTTGTGCTTCGAGGTCGTCCGAGTGTCTGCCTTCAATGCCTTCTGTGGGTTCTGCTTCTGCTTCCGTCTTGCTCAATTCGTACGGCAGTGGCACATCACGCGATGCGCGGTAACGGGTCACGCTGTGAACGTGTTAGCATAAAATTCACCATTTTGACATATTTGCGCAACATACTTGGTGCAATGTTCGTTCTCAACTCTGAACAATTGCCACATGCCACGTCGAAGGACTTCTGTAAAGGCAACCAGGAAGGATATCAGCGACGAATGTTGCACATTATGCCCGTAGATGGCGTAAAAGATCCAGTTGAAGCGAAGAATAGGATCAAGCACGATCGCCACGTAGTACCACCAGGCGTATTTGAAGCCCAGTGTGTTTCGCAGGAATGGATGTTTTGCGTACGGGTCCATCAAACTCCAGTCCATGACAATATCCCAGACGCTGCAGTAGACGCCATTGATGGTTGCCCAGAAGATGAACAAGACTCGCAATCTTTCGACCTTGTTGATACGCCACAGACTCAAGCTCATGTAGTAGAGAATCGTGCACATGTACTTGCCAAAGTTGGCCATGTGGGGGAACAGACTCCTTGTATCGGCATATCTGCGAAGACATTGGAGAGCACGCCAGATACCTGGAAGAGTCGCAAAGAATCCAAGCAGTCGAGAGTGTGACGAATTGCACTGTGCAGGATTATTCCAGTCGTTGGCATAGAGACAAAAGAATAGTTCAATGTTCTGACAAGGGTCAGCGGCTTGTCACCCAATTCTGCTCAAGAGCACTTACACCAAGAGCGTAGGTCTGGGAGCAAAACATGTCACCCAGGAAAAAGTCTCTAAACTCGACAGGAAAGACACCAGCGAGGCACAATCGCCACTGCATATGTCAGCTTGTATAGCACAGTTCTCGAGGGAGCGACTTACAGTCGAGTAGGCGAACCACAGACGACTACGATGGTATAATATAGGGAACGGGTTGAAAAGAATGAGACCTGAAACGCAAACGAGAACGACTGGCCACCAGACATAGAATGAGTCGTCAGTAAAGCGCTTGAAGTTGAGCCATATCGTCAGGCCAAAAACGAAGCCGAGAAGAGCAGGAATCTAGAACGACGTTAGGAGCATTCATAAAGGGGAACAGAGGCAATTACTTCTGTAAGCTGTCGCCAGTCGACATGATGCCGGGTGTCGAATTCGAAGATGAACGAGTAATTGACTTTGGCTCGGGACCATACTCGACATGCAACGCAGAATAGGAGCGAAAGGAACCACATCAAAAAGTAGCCGCCATAGATCTGTAGGGTTAGTTAGCATACAATCGAGCGAAACGGCAAGCACAATACTGCATACCTGAAGTAGGTAAGAGGTGTGAGAGACGATTGTCGGATCTTCATGCCATAAAAGCTGGGTACCATAGACAAGTCCTTCGATACCGAAGACGGTACCTGTAGCCAGAAGCACACCGTTGCGGAATACGCTTCCGGTATAATCACCCAATCTTGCAACTTTGGCCCGCAGCTTGCCCACTGCGATCTTGTGGTTACCACGTTCGAAGTAGCGAGCGTACATGTCTTCGACAGCTTGAATATGACCGTCCACGATTGTACTGTTGACAAAGTATGCAGTGTTGACCTTCTCAGACATGTATCGGCCAGATGGTCGCGCATTGACTGTCTTGTCGTATTTCTTGTTGATTTTGCGGAAGGCGGTCCTGTTGAGTAGAGCGTACGACTTGAGTAATTCCAAACCTCTGTAGTACTCGGCCAGAGCGATCTTTAGCTTGCGCTTAGCAGTTCTATACGGTACTTCCGGATGGCCACCTCTACGGATGTAGTCCCTGCTGTCGTCCATTGCGCGTGGGCCACTAGGGGTACCCAGCTGCTTCATGGCTTCGAATGTCTTGCCTGTTTGTGGGACTCTCTTTCTGCCAGGAATACCATTAATTGCCTTGGCCCAGCCATTCTGCATGTGGCCATTCTTCTTGATGAGCTGAGACTCTTCACCTCCAGCGGTGCTATTTCTGGATAACATGCCGTTTGACAAAAGATCTGTACTTTGTGATGGGCGCTTGGTCCTGGAGGTCGCGTAGAGAATCTCCTCCATGCGCTGGTCACGCATCATGTGTAGTTGTTCTCGCAGAACTTTGAGTCTTTCAGTAGCCTCATCCTCTTTCTTCTTGTAAAATTCTTCGATCTTTTCCAACTCTTTATCCAGGAACATGAAAAATTGAGATTGGCGGACGTCGATTTCTCGGTAAGCATCGAGAGCAATGTCATCTGGGGTAGAGTCGGAGCCACGCAAGCCGCTGAACATTCTTCTAGTGGGAGGTCGGGTAGGTTGAGCGTCCTGAACGCCAGGCATGGAGTTGACTCGTCTCGGTTGAAAAACACTCTTGTACCTAGAAGGGAGTTTGAAGGTAGGGTGTTTCGGAGTAGTCTCGCCAACCTGGTAGGCACTACCGGAAGACTCTTGACGCATGGCACTGCGACGGGCTGGAGTGCCCAGAGCAGGACCAGGCAGTTTCAGCGACCTGTTCGAGTCCTCACTTGGACGCGAAGCCCTGGGAGGACTTGTAATGTTGGGTGGAGAGCCAATGATACTCCCATAGCGTGTCATATGTCTTCCATCACCGTGTATTTGAAGAGGAGTGGTCTCTGCATCGTGCGCGCCTGGGATAGGCACGGCGGCGGTTGACGAGCCATGTTGGTCGCCGTCGTCTTCGGCGGCAGGGCGAACAGCACCCAGGTCTCCACTGCTGGCTCTTCTGTCACTCGTCCTGGTCGCGGGTCTGTTTAGGAATGCGTAGAAGGGGGCTCTTCCGAAAGTTGCAAGCGGCGACGAGTCGCGACGGCCATCGGACGGGCTTGTACGCTCGACTTTCTGCAGGGCGCGGCCAACAGCCTTGAGTTTCTTCTTTCCTTGCTACTCGACTGTCAGCCTTTGTGCTCGATCGCTGTCTGCGGGTGTCGTATCGAAGCGCAAACCTTGTAATCCAGATATTTAGCCCGCCATTCAGGTACCAGGTCGGACTCCAACTCTCTATCGCCGATTCGTCAGTGGCTGTTGACAGCATTGAGTGCTCGATGACTGTCTTACTTTGCGAACTTCATGACTGCTCGCGTGCTTTCATCCACCTCATATTAACACCATGTCTTTGTGGCACAGGATCAGGTTAAGAATGCCTTATCTTTGTATTTTTCTTGACGAGAACTAAACTCAAGTTTGTTGGCTCGAACCACTGACGCAAACGTGGGGATCTCTCGGCTTCTGATTGGGCCAACGAACCAATCACACAACGCTTCCATGTCTCCAGCGGTTTCACATGTTTTGTTTATTCACAGCAGGCATAAAATGGGACAAATGTGAAGTAGTGGATATAACTGTTTTCATTCGGATTGCTTACTTGCAATCATTGGTATTTCATGCTTTAATCATCATGCATTCGTTCTTGACCTCTTCAAGAGACAAGATGGAGTGGTTTAGTAGTTGTAACCACCGAACCGCTGCTGGAGCTGGTCGGGGGGACCCATCTGGTTGGGGTCGTACTGGTCGTACTGGCCGTACTGTCATGATTGTTAGCTTGTGTTCTGATGAAATGGAGGCCGGATAACAAGTACCTGCTGCTCGTAGAGGTGCTCAGCGTTCTTCTTGGCCTGGTGCTTGGCCTTCTCTCTGTCGACGTAGTCAAGACCCTTGGTCTCGCAGAGCTTGTCGACCTCAGCGCCGGCGAACGAAGCGAGAAGCTCCTTGGCGAACTCGTGGTTGACGGGCTTGCCCTCCTTGCGCTGTCTCTCCTCGAAGGCGTGCATGGCAGCGAACGAGGCACCACCAGCAAGGAGCTCGTGAGAGATGGAGCTCTGGTGGTCGTCGTTGTAGACCTGTTGGTAGGCGTCGTTGGATTCACCTGGAAGCTGTTAGTCTTGCTGATGGGCCAGAAAGACATTCGAGTGTGCTCACCCCAGCCGAACATTGTGAATGATTTGATGTGAAAAGGTTTGGTTTGAGAAGTTGTAAGTGGTGCAATGAAGCGTGTGTTGATGAAGGAAAGAGAGCAAGGCAAGAGAGGGGTAGTCGAGGAGCTTTATATGTGCTGTGTTGTCCCCAAGAAGGAAGCTGCCTTGCACAGCAGCTGCCCGCAGCCCCACCTATTAGCTCACTGCTCTCCAAGCCACGGTGAGCTTCCATGATCTGTCTTCACTTTCTACGAAGCACGATGACGCGGCGGTCCCTGAGCTCCTTCGTGAAACGAGTAGTCTAGATTCCCGAACTTCACAAGCCAATGACGAAGCGGGGCTAACCTGCTACTAAGAATACTCTAACCAATCCCAGAGCTGACCCTGCTGGCCCTGCGTTGCTGGTGGAAGATGAAACAAGAAATTGCATTCTAACGACAACAGACAGCGTCACTTGCATCAGCGTTTACTTGAAGCTCGATCATCGTCATCTCAATCTTCTTGTCTGCCGTCAGAAACGAGGGTCATGTTTCCCCACAGCTGCCAAGTTGGATTGGCGTAAACACACCGAACAAGCATCAGGCCAAGCCCCTTCCCGAGTGAACAAGCATGACTTCAGCGATCGGCCTTTTTGTGGCTTTTCCAGGCACAGCCACGAATGAGCCACACATCAGGGTTCGGGAAATGGAAGCGACGAGAAGCAGGAGGGGAAAGCATCGCTCAAGCAAAAGTCCGCATCAACAAATAACGCAGCCACACAATCAACATGTCGACCAGCAAGAGACTTCCCACAACTTCCGATTTCCCGTCCTCATGGACTCTGACCGTATCTCCTGGTAAGTTTGCACTTTGCCTATCTGGCGTGACCTTCATATCCACTGCCTCAAAACGTTCATTCACCGCATTCACCGCCTCCACCAGCAAGCGCCACGGACCACGTCCGACATCATATCTTGTTCACTGACCAGTCACCCAGCTCCGAGCTCGCAACGGCCAACAAACATCCTGATTCTCCTTCATGGCCTTGGTGATGCTCATCTTCCGTTTGCCCAGCTTGGCACCCAGATGAATCTCCCTGAGACAGCATGCGTCTCTATCAAAGCTCCTGAACCTCTTCCCTTTGAAGCATCTTCTTTTCACTGGGGTGACGATGTCATTTTTGACAATACAGTCGGCACCATTGATCCTGACGGTGGCTTCAAAAGAGTAGTGCCTAGACTGGTCAAGGAAGTCATTGAGGACACTTTGATCAAGAAATGTGGTTATCAATCTCGTGAGCTGATGCTCTTTGGATTCGGTCAAGGCGGTATGGTAGCTCTCAACATCGCAGGTAGGTCTCTTGTTTCACGAATTGTTCGGACAGCCTTGACACGTCTCCCAGTAAGTATGGAGAAAGAGCTAGGCGGAGTCATCAGTGTCGGTGGCCCTCTACCTAGCGAAGCTCCTGCATCTCTTTCCCCTAAGCGCAAGACTCCAATTCTGGTCTGTTCTGGTAATGACAGCCCTTGGGTCACTTCATCAGCTGAAGACAAGCTCAAAGCTGTCTTCGAGTCTGTTCAGCTTAATCGCTACAAGAGGTCTGGAGACACGATGCCGAGGAGTCGTGATGAGACGTACCCCATCATGCAGTTCTTTGCTAGGCGCCTTAAAAGCTCAGCAGGTGTTCCAGAGGGCAGTGTTGAGTTGACAGCTTGATGTTGCATCACTCAAACAAGCGGCGCTTCGGTAGAATGATGGCCCGAAGATCAGGGTCATATATACAACCACTTCAACATGACAACACGTGTACCAGCAATTGAAGTGCTTGTCCTCTTCGTGTCCCATTATGCTCATGAAATAAGCCACCTTCATCAGCTGCAATTGGACCTGTCATTTGCACGGTTCAGTCGTTCTATGACCACAATTCGAATTGGCATGAGGACTCCCAGACTTCCAGCAGACCTAATAGCAGGACCCAAGCACTGTTCATGGTCTATAGATAAACTCGAAAAAAACTCTAACCTAATCTCAGTTGACAGCAATCCTTCGATTTCAGTAAATGTAGAACATTGCACTGGCTAAGTGTTCTCGAGAATGGGAGTTGTTAATGTTCCTGATATCATGGTGTTGCCAACGTCGCGTCATCCATCCCTCGATGTCGTGATCAGCCATCTCTAGCTTTGGAACATCCTCGGAACCACAACATAACCAATGACAGTCGTTCTTGACTGCAAGAATGTGTAGGAGGCTCATCAATTGCTTGTTACAGACCTGATGTTTGATGGCGGCTAAGTACAAAGGACCCGCATGTCCAATTCAACGTGCCAGCCAAGAAGTAAGTACCGATGCACGAGTTTGATGCAAAAAGAGATGTAGGTCCATGAGTTTAGCCTTCGTGGTTTCCTCGTTACTTTGTTCACTCGTTCTTCGTTTTGAGATCGTCAATACTGCTCTTTTGAGTATCTTCTTCAACCATGTCCGAACCCGACAAGAAACACCAACCAGACCCCTACACCGAAGAACAAATCTCTCCAGCGTCCACCACCGACCTCGATACCAGCTACTCAAGCTACAAAAGCCATGAAGGCTCACCAATCGATCCAGCCGAAGCCAAAAGAGTGCTACGCAAGATCGACATGCGTATCGTTCCCATCCTCTTTGTTGTCTACCTCCTCCAATACCTCGACAAGAACTCTTTAAACTTTGCCGCTGCATATGGATTTCAAAAAGGCACACATTTGCACAAACAAGAGTACTCTTGGTTGGGATCGATTTTTTACTTTGGATATCTTGGTGCGCAGTTTCCGAGTGGTTGGTTGTTGCAGAAATTGCCTATTGCTAAGTTTCTTGGGACGACGACTGTTAGTGAGTGGTTATACCTTGGGTCTCGATGTTGGTTTTCGCGTGTACTGATGTGACTAATATTAGTTTGGGGTATTATTCTCATCACTACACCAGCATGCACCAACTTCGCTGGCGTAGCGACCAATCGCTTCCTCCTAGGTACCTTTGAAGCTGTTGTGAATCCTGGCTTCGTTCTCATTATGGGTAAGAAACAACCACTCATATCGCGCTCTGTCTCATTCTGATCATCTTATCAGGCATGTGGTGGACCGCCGCCGAACAGCCCCTCCGCCTCGAAGCATACTACTGCACCAACGGCATAGCAACCATGGTGGGTGGTCTCCTGGGCTACGCAATCGGACACATAACCACCGGCAGCCTCGCTCGCTGGCAATACGTCTTTCTCATCTTTGGCAGTGTCAGTATCGTCTGGGGTATTGTGGTCCTCCTCTTTTTACCCGACCTACCTTCGACTGCAAAGTTCTTGACTGAGAGGGAAAGATATGTTGCTGTAGAAAGAGTGGCTAGGAATAGGCAAGGAGTTAAAAACAGCAGGTTCAAGAGGTATCAGTTGGTGCAGACGATCAGGGATCCGAAGACTTGGATTCTTTTTGTTATGGCTGTGGGGGCGCAGGTGCCTAATTCTGCTTTGACGAGTGTCAGTATACCCTTCCGAAAAGAGATGGAGAGAGTGAAAGTTGACAACAGACAACACAGTTCACCTCCATCATCGTTTCTTCCTTCGGCTTCGACACCCTCGGCACCCAGTATCTCCAAATCCCTGGCGGATTCATTCAATTTGCTGCTCTGCTGGGTGGCGGATTCATCTGTTCACGCTTCCCGAACTCCCGTTGTATCGTTATGATCATCGCAAATTGTATCTGCATCATTGGAGCTGCTATGCTAGTCGCCCTCCCTTCCAGCAACAAATGGGGAAGGCTGGTAGCATTATGGCTATGCTATTTCCAGGGCCTCGGGTTTAGTATGAGTCTGACGATGGTGAGTAGTAATGTTGCGGGTTGGACGAAGAAACAGTGTACCGGAACGATATTGTTTGTGGGTTATTGTGTTGGAAACATTATCGGTAAGAGTTCTTCCTATCATTACCTTCACTCTGCTCCTAGTCTTGGAATGTTGAGAAGTGGATGTTGGCTAACTCAAACATAGGACCCCAAACCTTCAGAGATAGCGAGAAACCTGGTTATCACAGTGCTTACATAGCCATGTTGGTAGGCTATGTGGTTAAATTGGGTATGGTTGTTGTGCTGTACGTTTACATGTACACGGCAAACAAGAAACGAGATCGCGAGGCTGGAAACATGTCTGCTGAGGAAGAAAGACTGGCTATTGAGCAGGGTATGCAAGATGAGACTGAACTTGACAACAAGGGATTTAGATATACTCTGTAGCAATAGCCCACATACGGTATCAGTCATTCAATATGGCGTTGTAAGAAGGGGAAGTCGAGGAACGCTGAGCTTTCCTCGAACAAGCGTATCTACATGACATGGTGAGCAACAACTATTCTAATTACTCCGTTGTTTTTGGAAGGTCTGATTTGAGCATACAAAGGGCCAAGACATGCCAATCACAGTTTTCTAATTATGGTCTGAGCAAAGTCAGAACTCAGACGGACCGGGCCGTGTATAAAATGAAGGATTGCACATCCAGACCTTAATCACCTCTGCTCCTACGAGATCCTACCTTTCATCACTAAATTATCCTGACTAGCAGATGCCAACCAGCTCTTTCGCCTTTCCTTGGGGTTGGACCATTTATCGGACAATCTACACGCCAGAGTCCGACCAACTATGGCCGCGAGCAATGGACACTATCAATACCTACCTCGCTTGCAGCCTTCAAAAAACTCTAATCGAGAGCGGACTCGAGGAAGACTATGAGACGATGATAGCAGAGCTCGAGAATTACTGGATGGATGACGCTTCGCTATTCGATCAGGCCACCTTTGAGAATCTCCGTACACACTTTACTTCTTGGCTCCAAACTCAGGACACCGAAGACGAAGAAGGCGATAAAATGTTGCCTTGCGTCCGCTTCTGGACCTTTCTTGTTATCGATGAAACGAACCTCAAGATGATAGCAGATGCACCGGATCCCAACGGCAACCTAGTCAAGGCGAGCGCTAAACGGGCGCCCGTGATCAAGGTAGTCTCCGCTCAGCGCGACGAAGGCAGGTTGCCAGGCAGGACCAGACGAGGACCTCACAATGGGGAAGATGGCAAGATATTTCCTGGCTGGCTGAACTGCCGCATCTTGTATCTGCGAGAGCTGTGGGAGAAGGTGGATGAGTATATGGCGCTATATGAGATTTGTCCAAATGACTTTGAGGGGGAACCTCTTTGGGAACCATAAGTTGTGAGCTATCGTGGTGTATCAGGATGAGGAGCTGGTGACTTTTCACTTTGAGATATAAGATCAGACGAGCAGGGGACAATATAACAGAATGGAGGAAGAAGAACAAGGCCAACAAATGCAACAACTCAAGACATCAATAAAACCCATTCATAACTCATTACAAATTATCGACACCTTCTCACGCCCTAGCATACCTATACCTAAACTTCTGACTCCTCTCACCATCCCCATCTACACCATCAAACCCATCCTCACCCCCAAACTCTTCTCTGCCCCAAAACCCCATCAAAGCCTTCACCATCCCCTTCCTCTCATCCTCCAGCACTTCAATCCTCTGCTTCTGCGCCGCAATCTCCTCTTTCAAAGCTTTGACTTTGTTACGCCATGAATCTTCCCTCTTCTTAAGTGTAGATGATAGCTTAGTGTCAAAGTCGAGATTCAAGGCGTGTAAATCTGCTAATTCTGATTTTGTGGTTTCAAGTTCTGTGGTTGTGTCTTCGAGGGTTTGTGCAGTGGTGGCAGAGGCTGCGGTGAGGGTTTGCAGTTCAGCGGTTTTGGCGGCGAGGTCTGCTTCAGCGAGAGTGAGCGAGTTGGCCGTGGTTTGCAACTCGGATTGGGTTGTTGAGAGTGTGGTTTCGAGGTCGGTGACGCGAAGGGAGAGGGTATCGCGGGAAGTGCGCAGGCTGGTCATGCCTTCTTCGATCAGATCGATTGTGCGGCGGTGTTCTGCTCGTAAAGTTTTTAGAGCTGCAGAATCAGAGTCGGATGGAAGTGCTGGCAAAGTCCAGGACTCGCGGAGTCTTTCTATCTCCTCATGATGTTCTTTTTGCTGTGATTCGAGTTGAGTCTTCAGCGCTTGGAGATCCTTGTGGAGAGACTCTGCAAGATTTTGTGTTGAATCACGAGATGAAGAGGATGCTTTGTCTTCCATACGGTCAAAGTGTCGAAGCATATCCAGCTCTTCTCGCAAAGAAGATACTTCTTCACTTGCTTTTCTATAGCGCTCTTGTTCCTTCTTCAGTTGATCATACACATAGGTCTGAGACTGCTGAGCGTCACTGTCTGCTCTTGCCCAAGCATTCCTATCAGATGCATGCTGTTGCAAAGCAGAGTTCAATTCGTCTCGCGCTTTCTGCAGCTGTGCCTCGAGTTGTTCCAAGGTTGTATTTGACTTAGCATGGTCCTTTTCGGTGTCGTAAGCAGCAAGCCGCTGGTTTGCTTGTTGCAGTTGCTGGGCAAGTCCTCTAGTCATCTCTGCTGCCTTGGTATCGGCATCCTCATGAGCGACTTGCACGGCCTTCTCCTTGGCCGCGAGCGCATCTTGAGCTTGTTGTAATTGTTTCCTGAGATTGTCGCTTGTCAGGTCATCCTTGATCTGGGACTTGAGATCTGCAATAAGTTTGTCTTTAGTCTCGATTGCTTTACTCATCTCTTCCAACTGAGTCTGCAGGCCTGCGATCTGGCGTTCGAGTTCTTCTTGCTTTCCAGACGTCGAAGGCTCATCATCCATATCAACCTTGGTACGGTTGACGGCGACATCCTCTTCTTGATCATCTTTCGCTTGCTGTATTTCTCTTTGTGCATCAGACAATTGTTGTTGTGTACGTTCAAGCTCATCACTCTTTGCTTTGTGCTGACCCTCATTCCAGGTCTTCAAGTCTTGCATGTCATTCTCGGTCTCCCGAAGATTGTCTTGCGATTGCTTCAACTGACTTCGGATGTCTGCAAGCAGGTTGTCTTTCGCTTTCAGCTCATCCTTGACCTTGTCAAGCGAATTGTGAGTTTGACGTTCAGCCTCACGAGCCTGACTGAGTTGAATCTGCAAGTTGTGTATCTCAGCATCCTCACTGTCGTGCATCTGATCCAACTCTTTCGCGCGGTCGTCTGCAAGCTTGACAGCATCCTTCTCGTTGGCTTTTGATTCTTCAAGATCTGCTTGAAGGTCTTGCATTCGATTCTGATAGTTTCGAGACTCATCGCGCATGCGAGCCAGTTCATTTCGCAGTGTCTCCAGCTCATTCGCATCCTCAGAACGACCTCTACTTTGCGATCGATCGGATGTTCGGAACTGGCGAGAGGCGCGTTCCGTGTCGAGTTGAGTTTGTAAAGATTCGTTCAACGCGCGCAACTTTTGTAATTCTTGATACAGACTGTGGGGTTTCTGGTTGGGAGTACTGTCAAAGTGCGGCATGGGCGATCGCATAGATGAAATTGTGGGAGGACTCGAAGGTCGCTGGTTCTGGGACTCGCGCAATCGTGAGGTCGAGTATGATCGTCGTTGAGCGGAATCAGGCGTGGGATGGATAGAGACAGGACGGCCAGGAGTAAGCTCGGAGTAATAGTCCTCGACAGTAGGTTGCAGCATGTTCTTCTTTGCTTGTTCAAAATCGCCTTGATCAGGGCGAGGCGTTGTATCGTCGGCACCAGGTTCGCTCTGGGTACTGCGATTGAGTATAGGCGATTGATTGGGCGAAGAATTCGTCAAGAAGTCGGGTGTTGTCTCGTCGAAAAGATCTTGCTGTTCTTCCCATGCTGGTAGTGGTTGTTTGCGCGGTGTGCCTCTGAAGTATTTGGCTAGATTGACAGTAAAGTCTGTCGGGCCATCAATGTCATCACTGTGGATCTTGTCAACAACGCGATGGACGCTGGGCGAGTCCAAAGCGCTTAGTTCATCATCGAGGTTCAGAGCATCCAGATCCAGAGAATATTGTGTTTGATCGCGTTCATCGTCGCGAGCGGTGCGGTGAGGAGGCGGCACTGGCGGCGGCGGTGAAGACAACATTATCAGGCCGGCGGAACTCTAGCAATTAAGATGCTGATTATGAATATCTTGTCGAGTCGTGTTGATCTAAAAAAGTGCCTGTCGCGATGACTTGGACTGTTTGTTGTTGTCTGTGCACCCCATGCACCTTGACAAAAACGCGGGGTCGGCCTTTGGGCCTAAACTCCGCTCGCGCATGTGATTGTGATTCATACACATCTCGACCACAAGGACGAAAGGTTGACATGTTGGGTTGATGAAGACATTAATCATGTTTCTGATCTCTATCGGGCTGTATCATGTTTATGAGCTCCCAATTCGCTTCCAGGAACTTATCAGCCTCAGAGTATGAACGCCTTATATTTAAAACCATCACCATCAGAATCTCAATGCTTCGAATTCTTGGGCACATATGCACCATATGCGGGGTCAGAACATGCTATAGTCTCAGGTAGTGGTAGCATTGTTGAACTTCATTGTGTCTCTTGTGGACGGGTTGGTCTAGTCAAAATTCTTCATAAGGTCGTCAACAGCCCGAGCAGCATATCTCTTCCGCTCATTCTCTGACATGCCAGCAGTATGCTCTGTTGTATTGTCAGCTTGATTCAAATCACAGCACACTTCGTTCATACCTCTGATGGCCATCAATTGACTCATCATCTGCTCCATACCCTCAATCTGTAAAGCACTTCCCTCGTCCTCTTCATCGTCGTTGTCTGGGTCTAGCAGAGAAGCTTTCATGCCCCAAAGCTCTGCATTCATTTGTGCCTGCTCATCATCCATGTCTCCTATGTTCTCTTCGTCGTCGTCTTCGGCAGGCTGAGCAGACCATTCGTTTGCTTCAAGTATCTCTTTTGCTCTTTCCAAGCCTAGCTTTTCTCCATAGTCATTCTTTCCCTCAGCATCAATGTGCACATAGTCAAATCCAAGATCCAGACATATTTCGTCGGCCGCATCGGCGCGTTTGCCCTTGTTGCTGGGTGTGAGGTCCATGGCGAGTTTCGTGCCATCCCACATGCTACCACAAGCCTTCTTGACCACCTCATCCACAGCCTTCATCGTTTGTTCCACTTGCTCGGATATTGTGACTTCCTCTGCTGCATCTTCTGACTCTTTCTTTCCGCTGTCGAAGCAGTAGATCCATGCGCCCAGCGCCTCTACCACTTCCTTGGCTTCGGGTTTTAGAAATTCGGCTTTCCAGGCTTCAAGATCGGTAATTTCATCGATCCAGATGGGGATGTTGGCCGTGTAGTATGCGGTCTTGATGTTCCATTCGTGCGTAACGCCGGCGAGGGAGCCTGTGGATGGATCGGGAGTGGGCGCGGAACCTGTCAGAGCTGTCGCATTGGTAAGTCTATGCTGCTATCGAGATGTTGGTGCTCGGAAGAGGTAAGAGGGTCTACCTTTGACGACGCGGGAAATGTCGCAATCTGGTCTGCCTAGCACAAGGATGCGACGTGGATTCTTGATTTCCATGACTTTTTCTGGAAGATGCATGTTCACGGAAAGATTGAGCGAGAGAGTAAAGATGGAGAAGAGGTTTGAGATTGTTTGTTTCATTCGCCAACCATGTCACGTGTATCTAATTGTGAATCGTCCTTCCCTATTCTGCGTCTATCGGCAGAAGGCTGTGGAAGCGACTCAAGAGTGTCGACTCTGTGCGAGTCCCTTTGCGCTACGTCTGGATGCGTGGTTTAAAGCCCAACTTTTGGCTGGCTACATCGCCTGAAGCGACATTTGTAAAGCCCAAGCGCTCTGTTGACATGAAACTTTTATCCTTCTCTTCTTCTTGCATTCATCATCAAGACAAGCTTTTTGTCGCTTGCGTTTATCCACGGGGTCCACCTCTTTGACCTCTGGCTCTAATGACGGTAGCGCGACCTCTGGCCAGACCGACACCTCTTCCACGCACGTTTCTTGCTCTGAACATGGGCGCATTTCTGTCATTCCCAGTCAGCATGTCTCCTGTTTCAATCGATTGTATTCCACCAACCTCAACATGTCCGGAACGATAAAGTATCGGACGTGCGATCCTCTAATGTAGACCTGGTCCAGATGTGATACGCGACCATCTCTTGCTGTGACGGTGATGTCTCTGAGTTGGCAGTTCATGTTGTCCTCGGCTGTCATGTCGTCAGCGCGCTGTTCTCTCTTCTTGCCTGGTTGTTGTTGTGAGTCGCACCTTCGAGTAGCTTGCCACGGTAGACATTGCCAGATGTGATTTCGACGGTAACAATGTGACCCTGTGAGATTGCGCATCAGCATACGCTGTTTCCAATGCGACACAAGATAAAGATGCGCGTACGGTTGCTTCGTTGAGCAGCTTGATCGGGATTCCAATGGTAGAAGTCATGGCGAATGTGTGTAATTGGTGTCGTTCGACGTGAGAGTTGTTTTGGATATCGTAAAGGACGTGAGATAGATGCGCCGAGAGAATTAAGTCGTAGAGGAATGGGTCAGAAGCAGTCGAAGTTGTCGCCAGCGAGGACTGCGATGCGCGCGAATCTCTAGAGCTTCTGGCGGAGCAGCCTTGGCGCTGCTTCGTCTTGGCGGGAAACTTGAGACGACAACGCAGTCAATTGCTCTTTCTCGATAGTCAAACAGTCACAATGAATGTGTCAGGAACTTTGAGCTTCTTTAGGCTCTTCAGAGATCCATCTCTATGTCTGCCCCACCACACCGTGTCTACCTTCAACCATTTACCAATCCCTCTTTCTCGTGCCTTTGCCAAAGCAGATGGTGAAAAGAAGGTAGACATCCGGGCTGTTGTGCTTGACAAGGATAATTGTTTTGCTGTGCCAAAGGAGAATGAGGTTTATAAGCCATACACAGTGCGTTTTGAATTCACACATCTTCTTGAGCCCTATCTTCAGAAGGGTTCAATCATGTCTAATCATCTTCTAGGAACGATTCGAAGAACTCCGCAAAGCATATCCTGGATCCCGTCTATTGATTGTATCAAATTCTGCCGGCACTCTATCAGATCCTACTGGAGCAGAAGCAGATCTTTTGGAGAAGAATACTGGTGTCGAAGTCCTTAGACATAACACAAAGGTGTGCTTGTTAGTATTCACATTGACTCGATTCATCTGATCCAATAATAGAAACCTGGTTGCCATCCTGATGTGCTATCATATCTTCGGAATGCCCCGGATACAGGAGTCACCCATCCATCTCAAGTTGCCATTGTAGGAGACAGACTCTTCACTGATGTCATGATGGCAAACATGATGGGCTCATATGGTTTCTGGATCAGAGACGGTGTTGTGGAAGAGAAAGGGATTGTAAGTTGAAGTCATGAATTCGTGATAACATTGCTGATAATGTACAGTTCGTGAGACTCGAGAGAAGTCTTGCAAGCTTTCTCACTCGTCGCGGCTACGTTCCGCCATCCCCTCAAAGCCAGTTCGAGTAGACTCTTCAGTGCCACATCTTGTTTCGCAGCGACCTTGCCCCGATGCTGCTGAATTGGCAAGGTCCTGAAGTAAGCTTTTCGTGAGCAGGTAACATGCCGCCAGGGAACGGAACGGTCAAGACTGATGTGTACTGATCGGACGGATAGTCTGTGATGTGACCATCTCCAGTCGTATCAGCCGCGACAAGCAGACCCTGGTTTCCGCCAATGAACCACTCTTCATCTTTGGACGAGGGCAACGAGATATGTGCCAGACCGGATGTATACACAACCAGCTATCCTCGTCAGCAAGCGGAACGACATCAAATCATCGAGTGAGAGCCATACCTGAGGAGTCGGGGCATTGTGTCTGCTACCATTGAATCTTGGTGGAATGATGGTGTACGAAGCACTGCTAGCATTGAAGTTGAACGTCAAACTGCCAGCGATACCAGGCTGTGACGAATCGATCAATGGTGTCGAGAATCGCCAACACTCGAGCGCTGATTCGTTTGCAGCATTAGTGACCAAGGCAGTAGCCGTAAGATAGTCATCTGCTCGGACGCCTGCGCAGAGCAAAGCAAGAACAGTGGTTGCCAGATAGAAATGCATGTTGGAGATATGTTCGTAGAAGAAGGAATATGGTATGAATGGATGTCAAGACAAAACTTGAAGTGAGAAGAAGTTTATAAGACTGAAGTGCTGCGGAGCAAATGAAGTCATACCGCATATGACTTGATTTAGTACCAGTTTGTGTAACCTCTCATGTGGTATTAAAGCTTGCCGTAATGCTACTGCAGCATCACCGTTACTATTCACATGGTGGATACTGCTCTTTCACTTGTGCTCAACTCGAAGCCGAAGTATCCGCAGCACAACTTCTGATGTCATTGTCAGATCCATCACTCCGCCGCGGAATCAACTGCTCCAACACGAAAAAAAAGGGGTTACAAATACGTGATCAACGCGACGTTCTCGTGAGCATCAATGACGCTCTTTGATGCGCGTAGACAAATTCCCCTCCCGCCCTAGCCTTCTGCAAGCCGTGGCTCGGCCCGTCTCCACAAGTTTCACTGCCGGCTTGTCTTTCCTTGCTCGCATCACTTTCCACCGAAACACATCCCAGCATCCAAAACATAAACTATCACAGACAACTACAACAACAATGGCGGGAAAGGGCCATTCGACGACAGAAATTCCGTTTCGTGCTGCCGATGGCGTGTCGAGATTCTTTCTTTTCGAGGCTTTGCGTACGGGCTGTGAGGAAATTGGTTCTGCGTCTGAGCAACTCGAGTCTGCGCGTGATAAAGCCGAGAAGATGCTCATCAAGGACTCATCTATTGAGTTTGAATCTCTGCTTCAGGAAGTATGTCGTGGTCTTCATTATTTTCAATGATGCAAATATGGTTTGCTGACAAGAAAAATTGCAGATTCTAGAATCCTGTGTGAAGAGTTTGCAGACACATGCTACTATTGTTGAAGCTGTTGCTGAGACAATGAATGGTAATGTTGAGCAGTCTGATGGAACCGACAGAAAGGAATCGATCAAGTATAGATTGCTTGTTGATCAGATCAAGGATGCTGCAGCTGGAGTGGAGCAATTGAGGAGTGTGAACGTAAGTTTTCTGCTTCTCGTTTCTAAGAGACTTAGTCACTGTATCATCCCTCTATATCATTCAACACTGACACATTTCCGCAGCTCAAGAAAGAAGAGTCACCTCCATTACCAACCGAAAGTGACTTTGACTCGGAGCCGGAAGTGCAATCATCCAAAAAGCCAAAGAGTGGCAATTCAGAGCAGACCACTCTTCCCGACAATAATAAGTCCGAGTCTGAGTACACCTCCAACACTCCAGCATCAGTCACTGGAACTCCATCATCTGAGCTTCAAGACGAAAAGCCAATGCAGGGCAAGGGCAAGAAGCTCGGCAAGCCGCCCAAGCCATCAAATATCTACAGTGCTTCTTCAAAAGCCTCCAATGGCACTAGCGAGGCCATCCCTAAGCTCAGGACGGACAACGATACCCCTATGACCAACAACGACCATCCACCTACAACCCCCAAGCCCGGCCCAACAAACCAAAGCTTCATCGACTCAGAAGACATCAACGCAGAAGTAGAAGCCCGTCTCGCCGCCAAAGAACAAAAACGTCTAAAGAAGAAACAAGCAAAAAAGCGCAAGCGCGACTCCGTGGCCTCAGATATCTTTTCTCCAGATCCCAAAGCCGAGGCTGAGCATGGAGAAATCTTGCCAGCAAAGAAGAAAGCACGTGTTGAGAAGATTGATGTTGATGATGGAAAAGGAAAACGTCAGAACGTTGATGATGCGAATGGTGGTAAAGTAAAGGCCAAGAAGCAGAAAATCGAACCAAGTACGGAGAAGGAGGAAGCGAATAAAGCGAAGCGCAGACGTTCTTCTAACATGTCTGGTACGGAGACGGTTGCTGCTCCTGAAGTCAACAATCGCAAGAGCAAGAAGCGCCGCGTGGATTCTTGATCCAGGGGGACAGAGAGAACATTTGGCCCCATGAGCAATCGATGACGAGATCTGCTATTGCTGCATCAACATTTATCCATGTTATCATGAGATGGCTATCAAGGAACGAGGAAATGAGAGCCGGAGAAAGTGATTGGCAATGGCCACCAACACGACATTGCTCTGTACATAGGCATCCAAGACTTGCTGTCTGCACGATAGCCCGAGAAACATTACTCTAGACAAAGAACATAATTACACACATTGCTCATCAAATCAAAAGACAACAAACTCCATTCCTACATTGGACTACCTAGTCTCGACACTAGATCTTACTTCCACCATCCTTCTTGACCCAAGCCCTTTCCACAAACGCCTCCACATCACCCCAAAGGTCTGCAGGTTTCTCCATAGCAGCAAAATGGCCTCCTCGCTCATGACTAGCGGTATGGACAAAGTTGCCACCCTCCTTGACCCAAGACACTGGTGTAGGATAGAGCTCCTGAGGGAAGTAGGAATAACCTTGGGGCTTGTTGGAGGCCTTTGCAAAGCGTGGTGTAGACTTAGGTCCAGATTGGGATGCGAACATCTGTAGATGAGCAAAAAGTGTTAGCAAAGTGCAGAAACGAGAACGAAGGGGGTTTAGAGAGGACAAGGCTTACCGATCTATAGGGATAGATGCATCTGGCATAAGTCTCCGTCAACCAATACAACGACACCGAATCCAATATCTCATCAACACTCGGATCCTCATCCGTCCATTCCAAAAACTTCTCTCCAATCCAAGACAACAGAGCCAAAGGTGAGGAACTCAGCGTCAACCCGATAGTAGCAGTTCTAGTGCCGTGCTCTCTAGCATAAGCACTTCCAGAATCTCTAAATGCTTTTCCTCTTTCCAGACCTTTTTTCTCGATTTCAGAGATGGGCAGGGAGTCTGCGTTAGCTGGGGGAGGTAGGTTGTAGAGGTTTTGATGGAAGGCTTTGCAAGAGGCGGATTCCACGCCTAATTGCCGAGAAATGAAACTGCCGAGGTCGCCGCCTTGAGCGATATATCCGTCTCCAAAACCCAGAGCTTGCATGACTGCATCCATGACTGGTGCGATATGTTCGCATTTGAAATCTCTGTCTGTTGGAGGAGCAGAGGAAAACGCATAGCCAGGAAGCGAGGGCACGATGATGTGGTAAGGCAAGCTCGAAGGATCTGGATATTGTTTCTTGATCAAGTCAAGCATAGACAAGAATTCTAGGACACTGCCTGGCCAGCCGTGGAAAAAGGCGATAGGGATAGCATTGGGAGACGTAGAGAACAGAGCCAGGAAGTGGATGGAGAAGTCCGAGCCATCGGGATCAGTAACCGGGATTGTAAAGTTTGGGAATGAGTTGATGTGGTTTTCGCATCTTCTCCTGTTTTGTTTGTTTGTATCAGTCTTTGGTATTTCTTATTCGAAGGATGGTTTGGAAGAAGGGAGCTTACCAGTCATGAGTGGTTTCCCAGTGTTTCTTGGCTTTGATGAGCCAGTCTCTGTTCATACCGAAGCGACGGTCTGTTTGCTGATTCTCATATGTTGCGGGACCAATCTTTGAATGGGTGATCAGATGTTTCATGGATTGAATGTCATTGGCATCGATTTCCACCTTGAAAGGTTTAGGCTGAACCTTTGCAGTAGAGGGCACTTGAGCATAGTTGGCCATGATGCAAGAATGAAGCTTGAGATATTGACCGAGAGTAGCGAAAAGAGATAGGAACCTAACTTCTGGGCCTTCTAGAAAGAAATATATATGTATGTATACTCACACTGGTGACGATCGCTCGCATTTGTAATTGCATGGACGATGATGTAGTTCCCCGAGTCCCCGCGTGGAAGATCTACCCTAGCAAACCTCGGATATCTGTCTACTTCGGTCCCGGCAGCAATGTTGAAATTCTGTCCGAAATCCGATATCAGGTGAGGGAACAGACAAAAAACTGCTCGAGCGCTGGAGATCATCATCAGGATACGAAGAGAGTGTTAAGAGCTAAATTGATGCAAGCGGTGTGATTGACGGTACTGTTGGAAAGCTATAAGGTTTAGGGTATGTTGTTGTTGATGCTCGGATGGGGACGGATGTCAACGGCGGAGCTGGGTCGCGCCTTCTTAAGACAGGGTGCCTGCCAAAGTAAAGAACAAGCTTATATAATTGCCAAAGGAACTTGATTTTTTAGACTACTAGCGCATAGCACAGTTATATACTAAATCCGCCAAGCAATAGCTTACTCTAGCTTTATAATAACATCCTCCCCTACTTAGACTAAAGCACCTACTTTAGTATTATTACTAGTATTAATAGAAATTAACAATATAAAGGAAATAATTAGTTAGGCTTTAGAGAAGCCTTAGTAGCATAGCTTATTATAGCTAGAGGCAGCTTTTCCTCTTATAACTTTAGTTATAGCTAGGAAATTTATCTCTACTAACTCTAACTAGCTATTATAGTCTTCTAATTACCTATAACTACTATTATAGTAACATACATCTCTCTTAGTTCCTTAATTATTTCTTATTATAGCTAAAGCAGCTAATTTTACTTAGTTAGGTAGCAACTTTAATGCCTACTCTTCTACTATTCTATAATAATCTAAGATTACTTTCTTATATACTCCTTCTTCTATAACGATAGCACGCTCCGTGTTTTTAGTCGCTAGCATTATAAGAAGTATGCTCTAACTTTCTTACTTCTTAATTTTATACTTAGTTACCTATAACTACCTATTATAGTTACTAGCTTATAAAATCTTAGGTATAAAACTATACCTTCTAGCTAGTTTAAACCTTTTCTATAACATTAATATCTAACTTAGCTAAGTATCTTATACTTACTTAAGTACTTCTACTTCCTCTTTCTTCTTTAATAGTTATATATTACATTACCTCTTATATACTATTCTTTCCTTCCTTATTAGTTATAGTAACTTCCTATTACTTATATACTAATCTCCTTTTCTTATTACTTATAATTTGCTTCTACTACGCACGCGCTCTATAATAACTTTCCTAGATCTTTCTTACTACTCTAGTTCCCTTCTATAATAATGTTAGTAGTAGTTATATGTCCTTCTATAAGTTCTTTTACTAAAACTAGTAAGCGTAGTAGTAATAGTAGTAGTAAGCCTCTACGTAAGCCTACTAGTAAAGAAGGACCCTCTAGTTACTATATAGCTAAGTAGATTGCTAATATTCGTAAGTTATAGCTAGTTCTAAGCTTGTTTTACTTTTCTAACTTTATAATAGGCGTAATTATTTAGAAACTAGACCTAGACTTCGTTCGTTAGATCTATAAGTCTACTATAGCCCTTATAGATACTAATAAATAAATTAGACTTAGTGTCGAAATAGCTACTTTTATAGATCGTAATAACTGTTAAAGTCTAGTTCCTATATATAAAATTACCTTTAAGAAGACCGATAGTAAGTTAAAGACTAATATACCTTACGCCCTTACTATAACTATAGCCTATGCTTTATATAACTATACTATTTATACTAGCTATTATGCTTATAAGCGTTATAGAGATAGAAATAGCAATTTTAGTAATTATGTTACTATAACTTCTATAACTAGTCCTCTTTTTAGTAGAGCCTATACTAACTATGTCTTTAATAATAGGTATAAGATATGTTCTTTTTAAAACGGAAATCTTATAAGTCTAGTTACTAATCGTTGCCCGGCCCCTTCTATAACTTAGATTACTTCTCTAACTTATATTATACCTAGTTCTAGTCGTGTTATAGTAGTTATAGTTAGTCCTCCTTTTATAACTATAAGAGCCTATGCTTATCTTATCTTAGATCTTTATAAAGAACGCTAGATCCTTATTACCGACATAGATATCCTAGCTAGGAACCTAGACTTTACTAACTTTACTATCCCTTATCCTAATAGTTGCTACTAGTTACGCATTAACTTAAATATCTTTATTAATAGTAGTATTTCTAAGGCTAACATTACCTTTAAGGACATATTTAACCTAGTTACTACTATATAGCTTAGTCTAGATAGTAATAAGTTAGTCCTTAACTATACTAGATATAGAAATACTAGCTAGTAGGTTATTTCTACTTAGATTCTTACTACTATTTAGTAGTAGTATATCGTTAAGCGCGCTAAAAGGGTTAGAAGATAGAGGAAGTTAATTATAGGACTTAGAGGTATAGTTATAAGGGTGTAACTATAATTTTAGTTAACTTTAGGTTTTCCTTTATTATAGGGAAGTTTTTATAATTTTTTAAGGTAGTAGAATATTACTAATCTTCTTTTCCTTTTAATTTATACTAATAGTTAGGCCTTTTACCTTATTATAGATAACTAGTAGCTAAAAGTAGCTTATAAATAACATTTCCTTACCTAATTTATATTCTAAACTTCTTTATAGGAGTTCTTCTTATATATAAGGAATACTAGTTCTTCTTAGTAGCCTTAAAGGCCTGTAAGATATTTATTATAGCTATTACTTCTACTTTAGATAATTTCTCTAGTTAAGATATCTCTATTATAGTAGTTATAATTAGTACCGAGTCTTTTTCTATGTTTATAGACTCTATTATAGTAGCTTTTTACTACTAGTAGCAGCTAAATTTATCTCTTAGCTTATTACTATCTTCGATTTTCTTTTATAACACCTCTTCTTAGTATTACTTATACTACTTATCTACTCTTATAAGGGCTTCCTAGATAGTAAGCTTTACTAGAGCCATCTAAGCGTCCTCTTAGCTTCTAGACTTCCTAGTAGCTTTTAGTCTTCTTAACTTATAGACGCTATAAAAGATCTTAAGGTCCTTAACCTTAGTTATAGTTTTTATAACCTTTTCTCTCTCTTTTACTAGGAATCTTCGTATACCTAGACGATAATTAGATTCTAGGGCAAAGTTCTATAGTCTTCTCTACTTAGCTTCTAATAGAGTAGACTAAGTCTTAATATTAGGGACTACTAATTCTTCGCCGTCTAGTACGTTAAGCACTAATAAACTAGTCGGTTTAACTTATAACTTCTTTACTAATAGATTTAGACGGTTCTAAAAGCTTATTATACTTATGTAATTAGCTTTTGTAAGCCGATTACTATAAGTTAGATGCTATAACACTCTTCCTTTAGGTATTTATAAAGCATATATGCCTAACTAATATGCCTTTAGGATTTTATAAGGCCTAGTCTATTTTAGAACGAGTTTAGTTAGTTTTAGGTTCTATAATAAAACTTACTTGTTCTCCTTAAAAGTAGGTCTAGTATACTTCTTAAGTATCTAAGAATTTATAAGTTTTATATAGATCGCTTGTTATAAGAGCTTCTTATTTATAAGGTGCCTTATATATTTAATAACTATAAGTCTCTTCTTATAATCTATAATAGTAATATCTAGCGGTCGAGGCTAATTCTTGTCCTTAGGGATACGTAGATAACGGCTATATAATAGGTAATATAGGCTAAAACCTATGCTAGAATGCATTTAAGTTCTATAATAGAAGACTACTTCTAGTAGGAAGTCTTCCTATATTATAACTTTATTTCTAACATACATTCTAGTTAAAATAGACCTAAGAATACTATTAAGGTTCTTATTTTTACTATTTATACGTAGATAGTAAGGGGTAGATAGCTAATGCCTTATTTTAAGCTTATTATAAAGATGTTATACTACTCTAGATATAAAGTTTGTACTATTATCTAATAGTATCTCCCTTAGTAATCTATATGCGTAATAGATTTCCTTATATATAAATTTAGTAGTAGTTTTATTATCTATAGATATAACTACTTTTATAATAGGCTAGTTTATTATATAATCGATTATAGTAATAACATACTATTTCCTACTAAGAGAAGGAGGCATAGAGCTAATAACGTCTAATGCCTAGCGTTCGAATAGTTATAACTCTATATTAACTTAATAGAAGCGTGTCTTATTCTCCTTACTACTCTTTTTCTAAGTAATCTAATAAATAGAATAGTACCTACTAAAGTACTAAATGTCCTTTTTAATAGAAGGCTACTATACTCTAGACTCTATATGTCTAAGTAAGCTAGGAGAGCTAAAATGGCCGTAGTTATAATGCATATAATCTAGGAAATCTGCCCTAAATTCTAGTATAAGATATAGTATAACTCCCTTATTATCTAGTAGAATATATTATAACTCTAGTGTTCTATTATTATTAATAACTACGTAGTTAATTGCTTTCTCTTATACTAGCTTTTATAAGCGTTCTTTATATAGAAGAGTACTAGATAGTTAAAAGGTAATTATTACTTCTATAAAGTTAGTTTCTTTATCTACTTAGAAACGTATAGCGTTAATACGTTCTATAATATTTATAGGAGTATTTCCTATAAAATTAGGGCGCTACAATATAGCGTTAGAGATAATGGCTTCTAATCCTTTCCTATATCGAATCTTAATATTATACTTAAAAAACTCCTTAAACTACCTTATAACTCGCTTACTAGGGGTTTTTATAGTTTATAAGTACTTTAGACTTTTATAATTAGTTAGAATAACTATCTTATGTCTATTTTAAATATATATAGTCTATATGCGTAAAGCTTCCTTAATTATAAGACCTTCTTTCTTATAGATAGGATAATTTAATTCTATAGCTTTTAACTTACGACTACTAAATATAATAGGATGCAACTTATTATCTTCGCTATTTTAGTAGAGAACTAATCTAATTACCTATTTAGAGGCATTAGTCTCGATCTAAAAAGGCTTTAACATATCTAGTATAACTAGTATAGGACTAGTTATAAGGTTTTCCTTTAACTTATTAAAAGAATAGGTGCACTATAAGTTCTACTATATTAGACGTTTCTTAATAGCGCGAAGATTAGTATCTTCTTCCTTTAATAAGTTAGAAAGGAGAGCTATAAGCTTTATAAAGCTATAGATATAGTGGCGGTAATAACTTATAAGTCCTAGAAATTAACGGACTTATTACGTAGTTTAAGGTGTAGGCTAGTTATAAATAACCTTAACCTTATCTTATATAGGTTATATATAGTTTAGCGTTATAAGATAACTATAGAACTTAACTTCTTACACTCCTACTATATACTTCTTAGTAAAGGTAAAGAGTTATTCTTGTTATAATACTTAGAAGACTTTATATAAGTGCTTTATATATTCTTCCTTAGTTTTTAAGTAAATTAGAATGTTATTAAGATATATAATAACTAACTTGCCTAAAAGAGGATATAAAACTTTATTTATTAAGGTTTAGAAAGTTATAGGAGCGTTATAGAGGCTAAAAGGCATAATAAGAAACTTATACTTTCCTTACTAGGTATTAAATATAGTCTTTATAATAGAGTCTAGGTCTATTAATAGTTACTAGAAACTAGAGATAAGATTAAGCTTAGTAAACTAAGCTACTCTAGCAAGTATATTAAGGTAATCTTATATAAGAGGTAGAAGGTATCTATTTTTCCTAGTAAGTTTATTAAGAGCGTAAAAATTAATGCATATTCTCTACTTATTACTAGGTTTAGGTATAAATAGTATAAGACTTCTTTATAGTAAAGAGGATTCCTAGATAAGGCCTCGTTATAATAGCATATCGATCTATTTCTACTATTTTTATAACTATATTAGATTTAGTAAATAAGCCTAAATGTTTGTTAGCTTCGCTTCTCCTATATTAATTAAGTAGATAATATCTTTCCTCTTTAGTAGTCTATTTAGTAATTCTTCTTTAAATACTAATTAGTACTATTATAGAACTATAATAAAGTTAAAAAGTGTTATAATAGTAGGTTTACTATTCTACTTAGGCTTAGAAAAGGCACGTAATACTATAAGTAGTAAAGAGGCTCTTCTTATATTAAGTTATCTATTTATTATAAGGTTAGTAAGTACATATAATAGCTCTTACTTATTCTTAACCTTTAAGTCTTACTATATAAAGATCTTAGATTATAATTTAAGAACATAAGTAGTAAGAGTGTCTTTATAGACTAGTTATACTATTCTAACCTACTAATTAATAGTAGGGTTATATCTTATAAACTAAAATAATCTTAAGATAATATCGTATCTTTTAAAATCTATAAGTCGAGCTTTAAGGATTCTAGACTAATCTTTTAAGGAATAAGGTAACTTAAGTCCTTCTTATATTTAAATTGTCTATCTATTAGGTAGAATAATTAATTTAGTTATAATAAGGATAATAAAGCTCCTCTAAAAGGTTCTAGCTTTTAAAGTAAATATATAGATTCCTAATACTATAGTATTAAGAGTAAAGGTAATCTTATAGACATTATTATAAGGTCTAATAGTTCTATATAGCGTAAGAAGACCGCTATCTAGGGTAGTAAAGTATTTAGTATTCTTATTTATTAAAGATCTAGTAGTTACGTTTATATCTATACTAGCAACTAGGTACTCTTTATTATCTAAGGCTTTAGAAGGTAAGGTAGTTACCTTAGTTATAACCTTACCTACTTATTTTTTAAAGGGCATTTATTTATATAGTAGCTAAGCTTATTATAAGCATAGTAAGTAACTTTTAAAGGGTCTTTTTTACCTTTTCCTTTACCTTTACCTTTACTACTACCTTTACCTTTCTTCTTCTTATTTATTATAGCGAGAGATTTAATAGTTATATTTAGATTTTTATTATAGTTCTAGTAGTGCTACTAAAATTAAACCTTATTAAAAGTAATAGCTCTTATAACATACTTATTAAAAGAGGTATTTATAGGCATATAAAGCTAAATGTCTAGAGCATCTTATATATCTTCTTATAGGCTATCCTTAAACCTATAGATAATAATCTCTAGAGATAAGACAAAGTTAAGTTTATATAAAAGGGTTTATAACTTCCTTATAAACGCCTATACTAAAGTAGTTTATCGCATTCTTTTAAAGCGTCGTTTCTTAGTTTCTATCTAGTTAAGATTAGTATAGCGATTTCTAATTACTATAATTTAGCCTTTAAACGTGCTAGTTATAAGTTCTTCTTACTAGTAATTAAAAGAATTGCCTTTAAGGTAAGAAGAAATAAGATAGTTCTTCTTAATATTAGTAAGAGCATATCTAAAATTAAATTGCTTTTATAAGCTAATTTAATTTTTAATTTAAATAATCTAGTTATTAATCTTCTTATTCTTTATTTTCTTCTTAAGTATAAGAGAGTTATAAATAGGGACCTTAGCTTATCTTATAATAGAAGTTAGTTAAGGGATAGGTTACGAATCCTATTATATCTTCTTAGTTAAGGCCTATATAGGGGTAACGTAAGAGTAAGTTATAGCCTAAGCTTATAACTAAGCCTTAAGATAGCAGATATAACTAAGTAACTAGTCTTAGTTTACGCTAGTAAGGTTAAAGGCTAGATAAGTAGCTCTTAGGCCTTAAGTTATAGACTCTCTTACTTATTACTATATAAAGATAATTATAGGGTCTTATTACTAGTATAGATCTATTAGATAGTAAGAAAGTTATATAAATAGGGGATTTAAAAAAGATTTAAAGAAGCTAAAGTACTATATTAGTAATACTATGCTATCTAGTCTTTTTATAAGAAGGGATATTCTTCTTATGTTAAGTAAAGCTCCTCCTAGCGGAAGAATTACTTAGATCTATTATATAACCTTTAGTAAACGCATTTTCTTATATAGTTATATAAGAATGTAACTATAGCGTATAGAGAAATAAGTTGTTACTCTTTATTTTTGCTATTATAAGGATGTTAAGTAGTTATGAGTTACGCGCTATACCTAAGGTAATAGCTGCTACGCCTTTTTCTATAACTATATAGTATTAGTTATCTCTTATAGTAGCTAGATAATAGGTGCATAACGACATTAGCGTTGTTAAAGATAACGATTATTATAATTCCTCTTTTTAAGGGCTATAGAGGGCGCCTCTAGCTAAGGAGGCCTTCTAGAGCTTAGCTACTAGATGTAATTGCTAAAGGAACTTGATTTTTTAGACTACTGGCGCACAGCACAGTTATATACCAAATCCGCCAAGCAATGGCTTACTCCGGCTTCGCAATAACACTTGGCGCTGTCTTCTCCGCAAAGTCCGCGAGCTTCTTTTTAATTTATGAAGAGGCTCTTTTTCTACACGCATTCCATTCAATCATAGCCTAAATTTTCGCTCCTGGCAACTCTCAGATCAATCTTGGATTTCCTGGGTCGCCTCGTTCAACTGCCAAATCCATCGATTCAGTAGTAGAACAGGGCATAATTTCACCAAGATGCCGCCCAAAACGGCTACAGGCAGAGCCCGCGGGACAGGCACAAGAGGAAGAGGTGGTAGAGGAGGACGAGGAGGTGCTGCCGCCGCTACAGCAGCCGAGTTCACGCCAACAGATCAACCCATGCCCGATGCAGCACTAGCAGAAACATCCACACCGGCACCTGTTGCTCAAATGACGGCAACAGCACCAGTCGCAGACATGGCTCCCGAGACCACTGCACCTGCTTCAACTGCAGAAGCAGCATCCACTCCCGCACCCACACCAGCACCAATCAAACGTGTAGCTTCTGTCCGCCGTGGCGGCGCATCAGCTTCACCAGCACCATCGTCCTCGCGCGGCAAGAAACCAATCGTGCCTGCACCCAAGGCAGTAAGAAGAAGCAAGGAAGACAGAGAGGCTCTGCAAAAAGAAGCAAATGCAAAGAAGGCCGAAGAGGCAAGAGCAGCACTCAGAGATGCAAAGAGAGCTGGAAGAGGCAGAGGCGACAGAGGAAGGGGAAGAGGCGGTGGTAAAGCAAGAGGTGGATTCATGGGTGACAGCGAGAGAACTATCCGAGATGTGGTTGCCAGTGGTCCATTCTCGGCTGGCCAGGTGGCTGCTGATGCTGGCTTCCGCGGACAAAGGAGAGGTGTAGGCGGTGGCTTCAGTGGTGGAGGTGGAGGTGGTTATTCTGGCGGATCTGGAGGTGGTGGAAGCAGTAGTACTGGAGGTCCTCGCATAAAGAGCGAAGGAGGCCCCTCATACGGCAACGTCAACATCGAAGACGGCGGTTACATTTCCTCGGATCTGGACGAAGGAGACGAAGGACCACGCAAGGATATCGACTTTATCAATCTCCTCAGCGACGATGAGCAAGACACGACAGCCACCAATGCCAACATGGCTCCCATCCGCGTCAACCGCGTCAAACATCGCGAACGAGAAAAGCCAGTAGCCGCAGACGCCTCGAAATCAAAAGCAGCTATCGCCGAATCTGCACATGTTGCTGCAGTAGGAGAAGCAACAGCAACCACAAAAGAACGCACCGCATCTCCAGAACTCTCTCGCAAACAACCACGCGCAAAAGAAGTCCAAGTAGTCCGCACAGAAAGAAGATGGAAGGGAGCCTGGGAAGACAGCTCCGACGATGATCTAGCCATCAAGCCCGAACCCACAGACGAAGGATCCTCCATCACAGCAGCACCTCTCTCAGAAAACATCGCTCTCAAAGAATCCGCCTCTCCTGAAAGCCGTCGCAAATCAAAAGGAAAAGCCGCCGCAACAAGAAAACACGCTCTACCCACCGAAGCACCAGCAATGCAAACTGCAGAAGAGCGTCGTGAATGGGAACAGCACCAAATGGATCTCGAAATCATCCGTCAAGAACTGGGAGAGATTTCTTTGCCTGTTACCAAACCTGCAACCACCAACAAAGACGCAGAAGGAGATACCGCCATGGCAGAAGGCGAACAAGCAGATCTAGCAGAAGGTGCAGATGCAGCTACTTCCCTCCCAACAGAACAAACCTCATCAACACAACCACCACCAGACCGCCGCACCGACCGCGTCTACCTCTTCCAATTCCCTCCCATCCTACCTTCTCTCGTCCCCGCAACCGTAAAACCCGAACCCTCATCTCCAACCCTGTCCAAGAAAACCCCCGCAACCTCCACAGCATCAGCATCAGCAATCGATGTAGACGCCTCCTCAACAACCGCAAAACCAACCCCGAAATCAAAACAAGCAGTTCCAGAATCTGCAGGACAGATGCACTCACCCTTCCCCTCTGGTCTAGTCGGAAAACTACGCGTTCACGCCAGCGGCAGAACAACTTTAGATTGGGGAGGCACTTCCTTGCAAGTTGGTATGGGCACAGACGTGCAATTCTTGCAAGATGCAGTGGTTGCAAAGTTCAACGATAAGAGTGATGTAGCAGGGGCAAAGGGTAAAGAAGAGGAGCAAGAAGAAGGTGCGTTTGGTGGAGAGGTTATGGGATTAGGTCAGGTGAGGGGTAAGTTTGTTGTTACGCCGGATTGGGAGGAGATTGTTGGTGTGAGGATTTAGATGGAGAGAGAGAGAAGAAGCAAGGCTTTTTGATGGCTAAAAGATAAAACGTGATAATTCATTGATAACGTTGCGAGAGCTACTTTTCGTTTCGATGCCTCACTTGAAGGTTTGCATCTTCATGTTGCAGAGTGATCTCCGTGCTTCCCGAAAAAAGGGCAAACCACTCATCATGCCGAATAATCCTTCCTCTCATGTTACACATCTACTTCCCTCCTCTCTGTCTCTCCTGGACGAAATCCCCAAGACGCATAAATTGCCTCGAACTCACTCGACAATGAACTGTCGTCCGAGCTATCCATCTGCTAAACAGCTTCATCAGAAGGTTTCTCTTCGGAATCAAGGCTCGGCTCCTAGCGATCCTTTTCCTTGAGTTCATCCTCTGCAGCCTTGACAACGGTAGCCATGTCCTTTCTCGCCCACTCCCAGTAGTCATTCCAAGCACGTGCATGTTCGGCGGTAGTCTCGGCGGGGAAAGTCTTGTTGATGATAACACTGACCTTGGCGATGGCCTTGTTGTGCTCGCCCAACTTCTCCAACTCCTGCTTGACGGCGGTGTCTTTGGGTTTGAAGGCAAGAACTGCTCTGAAGGCTGTGGCCAGTCCTTCAAGACGACGGACAGTTTCTTCAGGCGCGAGAGTGACGAGCTTAGTCAACATCAAGCAGCACAGAATCTTGATTTCGTGCTCGTCGCCAACACCTGCTTGGATACGATCGTAGAATGCAGAGATGGGGATACGGGCAAAGGCAGTCTCCATTAGTGCGTACAAGGTCTCGTATGCAGACTTGCGAAGTTCGAGACCGTCGTCAACCTTGTGCTTGAAAGGACCCATAGACACTTCGCGGATGAGATCTGCGTTAATGACAGTCTCCTTGAGAGCAAGTGGCAGCAAGGTGTCGAGGTGAGGCAAAATCAGATCAGGCTTGTTATGGGCGGCAGAGTTGAATGTCGTCAAGGCAAGACGGCGGTTGTTCAAGTCGTCTTCGTTGAGCATGGTTGTGAGCATGGGCACGATGCTAGGTTGCAGGTAGACATCGTAAGAAGGATCAGTGTCCGAGAAGGTGTAGCGAAGAGCTGAGATGACCATGCCACGGACAGTGGGTGAAGGATCGCTCAAATATGCTTGCAGTTGAGGCAAGTATGCAGCGGGATCGATTGTTGCCAATCTACCAATGCACTCAGCACCAACAACCTTGTTGTCTTCGACTTGCGAGGCAGTGATGATGTTATTCCAAAGCTGTTTCGAGTACTTGATGACCTCTGTTTCGGCTGCGGTGTGCTGCAGCAGTTCCTTGATTGTGTGGAGAAGCAGGTACTGCTTACCCTGATTCATGCTGGATTGGATCTGAGGTAAGTAGCTAGAAACATTGCCGGCAGCAGCACGACCCAAAGCGACGGCTGCAGCAAGAGAGACTTTCTCAGAGTTCGAGAAGTAAGAAGTAAACATGTCAGGTCCATATGGGAATGAGGGTCCCATGCGCAAACCAGCCTCACCGAGGATATAGAGAGCAAGGCATCTACGCTTCTCATCGGTCGTTGACTTCAATTCAGCCTCGAAGTCGGCAAGAGTGACACCAACCGAGTCTCCTCCAGCGACAAGAAGGATACCAATCACTTGGCCGACAAGCTCAGGGTTGCCATTAACACCAACTTCGGAGAGCAGTGATCTCATCAAATTCTTGCCAGCACCCTTCTTGCCAATGATCTCGAGTGAACCAAGCAATGCGTCAAGTGCAGCACCGCTCAGATCCATCTTGGCTACGAAGCAGTAGGCGTTGATGACCTCGTCGCTCAGCACCAATTGTGGTCTCTCGTTGGCGAAGGAACCGATGATGACCAGGGCAGGGCCAATGAGGTGAAGATCCTGGTCCAGCAAAATCAAGGGCAACAGAAGCTGAACGGTCTTTTGCACAGTCTCGTCATCCATATTCTCGCGACAGGCCGGGTTGACAGCCATACGCTTCAGAGCAGCAAGACTGGCTCCGCGCAGGGTTCTGCTGGATTTGCGGAGCTGAGCACCCAATTCGAGTGACACTTCACGAACCCACTCAGGTGTAAACTCTTTGGAGCTCTGAGCAAGGACGGCAATGGTCTCAATGGCTCTGACAGAAGCCAGACGAGTGAGCTCATTTCGGAGTCTGTCGTTAATAAGCTGCAGACCAGCCAGTCTGCTTTGTTGGTCAAGCAGGGCTGATCCTTGAGCACCAGGTGTACGACCGATCAACAGACCAAGAGATTGGACTGCCTTCTGGCGGACCTCAGTATCAGTGTCGGGCGCTGAAATGCGTTGGGTGACAGTTTCATAGATTTGCTGCAAGTAAGTAGCGTTCTGCTGCTTGGATCCGGCAGAACGAGGGGGAGTCAGAGCCTTTATGTAGACTTGAATTGTGTCGAATGCTTCGCTTGAGACCTTGCTGAATTTCTCCTTTGAGACAGAAGTCAAAGCAGGCATAATCTTCGCAAGATATGGCTCAATGACCTTGGAGGAGTGCGTGTCAGCAACAACACGCAGCAAGCGCAAAGACTCAATGCGAAGAGCATTATTTGTGACAGAAGCGCCTCCCGATGTGCCACCGGTTGACTTCATGGCATCAAGAACAGGGTCGATAACTTGGTCAATGCGCTTCGAAAGACCACCGTGTTGAGCAGTAACCAAATCTGTGAGCAGAGAGATGACAGCATGCTTGGTCGGGACAGTACTGGACTTGAGCAACTTGGCAGAACCCTGCACGATCTGAGGGTTGATAGCTGACAAGCTGACTTGAGGACCGCCTTGAGGTGGGGGCGTTGAAGGAGAGGCGTATCCATTGGACAAGGAGAACTGTGGGCGTTCGCTCGAGAAACTGCTGTCCCGACGGCGCTTGCGGCTGATCGGTGGTCCAGTAGCTGAGGACATTCTGCGAAGACTGGGCGTAGAGCTGATTTCGCCTGTCTTCTTGACGAGGAAAGCAAGAGTAGACAGGACTTCAAGACGCACACTCTCTTCACGTTCCTGGAAGCGTGACAAAAGAGCCGGTGCAATCTTTTCGTAAAGAACACCACTTTCAAGTAAGTCGCCGCTTCCTCGTGTGGCTATCAAGGTGTGGATGAGTTTTGCAGCACCACGACGAACCTTCCAGCTGACATCGTCCTCGTCGTCGAAGCCAGTCTCTTCCTCAAAGTCCTCGTCAAGGTCGAAATCATCCTCCTGATCACTTTCTGCTCCCTCCATGTCATCATCCTCGTCAGCGGCATAGTTTGGGTCGTACTTGGCGAAGCGAAGGCATGAGTCAATGACCTCGGGGATGTATGGTGTCATGTCTTGACTACATGATGCCAGGAAAGATTCCAGAGCGAGCAGAGCAGCCTCACGCACTTCCTCAACCTGAGGATCACGGCCTTCATCTGATTCGGCAGCCTCCTCGTTCTGTTGATCCAACTCTTGCTCACTCAGGGGTGACAGAACAAATGGTGCCAGAGTCCTGAGGTATGGACCAAATTTGCGAGGAATAGATCTTGCCATAGAGGCGAAGATTGTGAGATACAGCCTACGCTGAGCTGGTGTGAGATGAGCCTGGCGCAAACTCTCAATCGAATGTGACACAACCGAGCTCAGAAGCGCATCCGAAAAATAAGGGGCCAGGACGGAAAGGGCAGTGACAGCCTTCTTCTTCATGACGGTACTGCATCGAGGGTTCTCCAGAACCTCTGCTGTAACCTTTTGTAGAGCTTCCACCTCGGCTTCTTGCAGCATTGGGCCAAAGCAACGGGCAACCTCGACCAGTACGTCCAGAGCGTTGCTGTCAATTCCAGTCTCGACTTCAACCTGGATCATGCCTTTGGGAGGTGCAGGGAGGTTCTTGCCAGTAGGAATGACAGTGTATCCAACTAAACGAGGAATCAAGGCACGACTGACTGCTGAGTATGCCTCTTGAACTTTTTGTGAACGGGGAACGGCCGGAGCAGGACGAGGTAGGGCAACGACCATGGCTCTGACAGCAAGTGCGGGCACTGAGCTGTCAACAGCATTGTCGGTGCGGAGGTTTGAGATCTTGTCGAAGGTCGGGCAGAGGATGCTCTCGGGAGCCTTGTTGACGAAAGGACCGAGGCATTTGATGGCCATGTTTTGCACATCGCCATTTTGATCGTTGAGCGTATGTAGGAGGCCTTCGACAACGCGTGCGCAGCAGCTGTAGTCGTGAGAGATGAAGGTGGGGTGGCCAATGGTGAGCATTTGGTTCAAGTCGTTCAACGACATGTAACGAATATCCGGATCGACATCCTGCAGCTTGGGTAGCAGAGAGGCGACATGGTGTGCAGTGGGGTTAGCAGGAATAGCGGGTGCCGTCGTTGCGGCCATTATGGTGGTTGATGGAGAGGACTGCGCACGAGGTGGCTAAGCTGGAGTACTGAAGTGGGGGAGAAAGACTAATAAAGCTCTCTCATGCAGAGGTTCGGTGAAGAGTGATGTAGAAAGACAGAGTGATGAAAGTCCGGACAAGAGATTTGAATAGACAATGCAGAAATGATTTGTTTATGATTCACTCGTCAGTCTTGAGCAACTGCGTGTTTGTCTCGTGCTAGATGGTGTCTCTGCCTGGGCTAGGCGACAGCACGTATGTCCGTGCACAATTGAAGAGCTTCCGAATTTGGGATGACGGATGGAAAGGCACAATTATGACGCGGAAGGTCGAAGAAGAGCTCAGTCTTGGCGACCTGACATCCGGTTCGCGCTCGTAACTGCCCATCACGCTCTGTCAATTGCTACCATCCACCACCTCGATATTCTCGATAACACACACAATGGTTCTCCCCCGATCTGCCATCCGCGGCTTCTCAGCTGCCCGTCTCTTCCGCTCTTCTGCCCGCCCTGCCGCTCGTGCTGTTGCCAGAAGAGGTTACGCCAGCGGTCACGGTCACTCGGCTCCCAGCAGCGATGTGCCATGGTAACGCTCCACCATGTCACTACGAAACCAATTGGACGCCAATTGACTTTTCTATTCCTACAGGATCCTCGGTGCTGCCGCTGTCACCATTCCTGGCGCTTGGTACCTCTGGCCCGATTCATCTCACGGTGACGTTCACGGTCCCGGCTCTGCCCACGCCAAGCACGTCGAGGAGCACCCCGAGGTTGAGCAGCCTGAGGAGGAATCCCAGGAGCAGCCTGAGGACGAGTCCAAGGATGATGGCGAGACCAAGGACGAGGGTGGTGCTCTGAAGGACGGTGAGGGTGAGAAGACCCAGGACCAGCCTCAGGCCAACAACGAGCCCGCTGCTGGGGAATCAAAGTCCAAGCCCAATACCGAGGGCAAGAACATGCCCGAGAGCAAGGGCAATGTTGAGGGTGTCCAATTCAAGGGCAAGACCAACGAGGGCGACGAGGACAACGAGATGCCCGATGAGCGCAAGCGCGAGCCTGACTCCAAGGGCGCATTCAAGAAGCGCATCGACTCCGGCTACGGCAAGAACCTCGGCGAGGGTCCTGCTCACAGAGACGACGGCTCTACCAGCGTGCGTCACAACACTACATCATCACTTCAAGCCAGCCGAGACTGACATCTTATAGGCTGCCACCGCAAAGACTACTGGCTCTGACGAACAGGGAGACATTCAAAAGAAGCAGCAGGGATTGTCGACCACCCCTACAAGACACTCCACAAGAATTGACGAGGACCCTGAGAAATCGAAGAAGGGTAACGCGCCTCTTATCCTGTCGGTCTCTGACACGAATGCTAACGATCGCACAGGCGAGGGTGCCCCTGAGACCGCTAAGTCGCAAGGAACCGTCTCCGTGAACAGACCCACGTAAGTACATCCCGTCCGCGTTCCACGCGAGCAAACTAACATCATTCTAGTCCTGAGTCTAGAATTGGACAGGAGAAGGGTGAGAAGGAAGGCGATGAGCCCCGCGCCGACAAGAAGGAGCAGGAGTGAAAAGCATGATAATAGCTTCTAGAATTGCTTGTTTGCTTCTCCCTGGATCATCTTTTGGACCAAATTACCAACGAAGGTAACGAGAGCACGATTCCTGCGCAATTTTGTACATATCAGCGAATGTAACATTACTGCGAATGGATATGAGTCTTCATTACATTGTTTTAAAATTGAATACGGACAAATATAATGTGGTGAATGAATCTTGTTCCAGCAGCCGAGGTTCATTTATGAAGCCTCAAAAGAAACGCTGTGACGACCAAGTCGAAATGCTGGGCGTACGACCCTGGGCATTACTTCCACCTTCCTTGAACCACCATCATGTACTCTGCAGGCCTACGGCACAAGTCTCTTCCAGGTTTCACATACTTTTGTTCTCTAGCGGTCATCCCTGAAAATAATAATAAAAAGGATTAGTTGTTCTGAGATTTCCAAGATGTCAACGAAGCTCAAATTCTCAAGTCTCAATCTGGAAACCATTGCAGCAACATCATCACCGAGTCAACCGACTTGTCAAAACTCCAAAAGTTCAGAAATCAAATCCAAAAGGCAAAGATGATGAAGCGATGCTTGCATATCACCACTCCACGGACCCCAACCCGACAATCCTGCCCGCAACAAAATCCTCCAAAGTCCACCACTCCTCCGTTCCCTCCTTTGTCGTTACAACCCACGCCCAAGCACTTATTTCATGCCTTTTCCCCTGCGCATCTTCAACTTCTGTCTTGACTCTCCTCATCTGGCTTTTCGTAGTATGCGTACCAGCCAGAAACTAATCAATCTCTGTAACGGCATCAAGACTTGAAGGAAAATAAAGCAACCCATTGACATGACGATATATCGAAAACGTCGTTGCAGGGAGCAGAGAAGGAAGAAGTGTATCAGGCGAGACAGAGGTAGTGTAATCAAGCAGGATTGAAGGTGTTAGCCGACAGAGAACATCTGAGGTGCGTAAAGAGAGGATTTGGGAAAGGGTGTTGGGGAGTTGAAGAATGCTGTGGAGGAAGATTGGGATGTGCTGGGTTTGGTAGTGACAGAGAGTTGAGGGGGCAAAGTGAGTGGTTAGGGCTAGATGAGAGGAGAAGGGGAGGTAGGTTGATGTTAGAGTGTTCGGGGAAGGTAGGGGGATGGAAGGGGTTGTGAAGGTTGATGCTGGGGTTGGGGATGTGAGCCAGAGGTTGTTGGACCATGATGAGGTGTCTTGGTCTTGTGATCTGTATTTTGACGTGCTTGAGGGCCATATATTGTTGTCTTCTTCGTCATCTTCTTTGATCATGAGTTGACTCGCGTCTTGGAAAATGTTCTCGATATCCTCTCCAAATACCTCACCATATGTTGGATGAGAGGCCTCTTGATCGTAGAAATCGTCCGAATATTCAACATTCTCAACAGTGCTGGGATTCTCATGAGAAGAGGTCGAATACAAACGTCCGCATGCAGATCTTGAACTATTGATCGAAGTGATAGTATGTTCTCTTGCTTGCTCGAAAGCTTCCGCATCATACCTCGGATTCTGTCGATCGTTGATGTCTCCAAGTGATTTGCTTCTGTATGGTCATGATGTTATGAAAGAATTTGCCTCGAGCACGAGAGATGCCTACCTTAGTCTTGACGTTTGCAATCTCTTGGGTAGCATATCTTCCAAGTCTGAAATAGACGAGGCTATACTTTGCGGATTTGAAAAATCTCTCTATAGGTAAGGTAAGCAATGAACACACATTATGCAGTATTTAAAAATGGGACGTCAATAGTGTAAAGGAGAGGATACATAGTATCTTTTAAGTCGAATGTCTCTAGAGAATAAACAGAACAAGACCTACCATAGAACAATGAGTCTTTCGAATGCACAGATGTCAATGCAGAAAGAGCAATATGAGAGAGATACGAATTATATCTTGTTGAAGCACATTCAAGCATGTAGAGATCTGTACTGGCTAATGTCGTCGCGAAGAAGAATCACAGCCGGCTTGAACTCGCGTGCTCTCTAGTACTGATGGAAACCGAAAAGATGAGAGAGCAGACCTACCGTCCAGACGCCTACTAGAAATAGGATCTTCCATGTTTGCCGCGGAAATGTGAAAGTAGAGACTCAAAGGCTCGAGTAGCTCGACGATGTCGTAGGGATACAACATAGATTGCGCTTGTTGTCACTTTGGCTTTTCCATTTCAGCCAAAGAAGGCGTTGTGAGTACTTGCCAAATTGGTCGGCGTACAGCATGCAGCCACAAAGCTCTCTGTCAGCGAAGGAAAGTGATTCATAGAGCACATGAATGCTGGTATTCCATTTGTAAAGAGTTGTAGTGAGAATAACAGTGTTGTCTCAGCACATTCTTGATGCGGCTTGCAAACGGTTGTTACAGGTGGCAAGCAAATTCCTGAAAGAGACTGTTTCGGAACATGTGTTTACCGTAGGCAGCAGTGAGAGTGCTTTGTACAACCAGGGCGTAGGCTTGGTGCCGGTAAAGATAGAGAACAGTCCATTAGATTCCATCGAATTCTTTTTCGGTGGCGTACTGTGAATGAATAATCCATCAGTCTTGTCGTCCGAGAGTGAGAGCACAGCTGGCGTTTGAAGAGTCGGGGATTTGAGTCGGAGGCCCGAGCTCCGTCGCGGCGTCATTGCTTCAGTGCACCATTGCCTTCGATTCACCTCAGACAACACTCTCGCCATCTTCTCCAATCATCACATAACACTTTGTCCCATCACCTCCACCCTTTTACCTCTGTTCAGATCTTGAACTTCTCCTTCTCCTAATCAACACATACTTCGCAACAAGATCTACCGCCATCATGTCTGGGGAGCCGGATCACGTCGAGACCAAGAACAAGGTCAAGCTTGAACAGTACGACCATCACACGCCCCATCTCGCATGTCACGCGCATACTGACACACATCTGTAGTGACCCCTCTGGCGCTGAGCAGAAGAACGTAAGTCACCGACACAATAGCTACCATCACGAGCATCACAACTAACTTGCCCCTCAGGTCGAGAACGACGTATCAACGGCTATCCTCAAGAAGAAGAAGAAGCCCAACTCATTGATGTTCGCCGCCTCCATCGTTCCAGCTTGCCACACTCATACTGACATGCTCTCAGTGTTACTGACGCCACCAACGATGACAACTCCATCATCGCCCTTTCTAACAACACCATGGAGACCCTCCAGCTTTTCCGTGGCGACACCGTCCTGGTTAAGGGAAAGAAGCGCAAGGATACCGTCTTGATTGTTCTTGCCGATGACGATCTCGAGGATGGTCAAGCTCGCATCAACCGTGTTGTCCGCCACAACCTCCGTGTCAAGCACGGCGACATCATCACCGTCCACCCTTGCCCGGACATCAAATACGTGAGTTGACCGCACTCTTCTTCATTCCATCTCAGCACTAACACCCACGACAGGCCAAGCGTATCGCAGTCCTCCCCATTGCCGACACAATCGAAGGCATCACTGGTTCCCTCTTCGATGTTTACCTCGCTCCCTACTTCCGCGAGGCATACAGACCCGTCCGTCAAGGCGACCTCTTCACATGCAGAGGTGGTATGAGACAAGTCGAGTTCAAGGTTGTCGAGGTGGATCCCCCAGAGTTCGGCATTGTCGCACAAGACACTGTCATTCACTGCGAAGGCGAGCCCATCCAGCGCGAGGATGAGGAGGGTAACCTCAACGAGGTTGGCTACGACGACATTGGTGGTGTTCGCAAGCAAATGGCTCAAGTCCGTGAGCTTGTCGAGCTGCCCTTGAGACATCCCCAACTCTTCAAGTCGATCGGTATTAAGCCTCCTCGTGGTATCCTCATGTACGGTCCTCCCGGTACTGGTAAGACTCTGATGGCCAGAGCTGTTGCCAACGAGACTGGCGCTTTCTTCTTCCTCATCAACGGTCCCGAAATCATGTCAAAGATGGCTGGTGAATCTGAATCCAACCTGCGCAAGGCCTTCGAGGAGGCCGAGAAGAACTCACCCGCAATCATCTTCATTGATGAGATCGACTCCATCGCTCCCAAGCGTGAGAAGACTAACGGTGAAGTCGAACGTCGTGTTGTTTCGCAACTCCTTACCCTCATGGACGGCATGAAGGCTCGTTCCAACATCGTTGTCATGGCCGCCACTAACCGCCCCAACTCGATCGACCCTGCCCTTCGTCGTTTCGGCCGCTTCGACCGTGAAGTCGACATTGGCATTCCCGACCCTACTGGCCGTCTCGAGATTCTTCAGATTCACACCAAGAACATGAAGCTCGGTGATGATGTTGACCTTGAGAGCATCGCCGCTGAGACTCACGGTTACGTCGGTTCGGATATTGCAGCTCTCTGCTCAGAGGCTGCCATGCAGCAGATTCGTGAAAAGATGGACCTGATCGACTTGGACGAGGACACAATCGACGCCGAGGTTCTCGACTCACTGGGTGTCACCATGGAGAACTTCAGATTCGCTCTTGGTGTCTCCAACCCTTCGGCACTCCGCGAGGTTGCCGTTGTCGAAGTGCCCAACGTCCGCTGGGAAGATATCGGTGGTCTCGAGGAGGTCAAGCGCGAACTCATCGAGTCCGTCCAGTACCCCGTCGACCACCCCGAAAAGTTCCTCAAGTTCGGTCTTTCACCATCAAAGGGTGTCCTCTTCTACGGACCTCCTGGTACTGGTAAGACTCTTCTCGCCAAGGCCGTCGCCAACGAGTGTGCTGCCAACTTCATTTCCGTCAAGGGTCCCGAACTCCTTTCTATGTGGTTCGGTGAGTCTGAGAGCAACATCCGTGACATCTTCGACAAGGCTCGTGCTGCTGCACCTTGCGTTGTTTTCCTCGATGAATTGGATTCCATTGCCAAGTCTCGTGGTGGTTCAGGCGCTGGCGGTGATGCTGGCGGTGCTTCCGACCGTGTCGTCAACCAGCTTCTCACTGAGATGGATGGTATGACCTCGAAGAAGAACGTCTTCGTCATTGGTGCTACCAACCGTCCCGAGCAGCTCGACAACGCTCTCTGCCGTCCTGGACGTCTTGACACTCTCGTCTACGTTCCTCTTCCCGATGAGAAGTCTCGTGAGGGTATTCTCAGAGCTCAGCTCCGCAAGACCCCTGTCTCCCCCGATGTCGACATTGCATACATCGCTTCCAAGACCAACGGCTTCTCCGGTGCCGATCTTGGTTTCATCACCCAGCGTGCCGTCAAGCTCGCCATCAAGGAGGCCATCTCCACCGACATTGAGCGTACCAAGGCTCGTGAGGCTGCTGGTGAGGATGCTATGGAGGAGGATGCTGAGGACCCCGTTCCCGAGCTCACCCGTGCTCACTTCGAGGAGGCCATGCAGAGCGCTCGTAGATCCGTTACCGATGTTGAGATCAGAAGATACGAGAGCTTCGCTCAACAGATGAAGCAGTCAAGCGGTAGCAACTTCTTCCGCTTCCCTGACGCCACCACTGGCGGCGAGAACGGTGGTCAGGACAACTTCGGCGAGGCTGGTGGCGATGACGACCTCTACAACTAAGGGGAGTTGAGAGAAGGATATATCATGGCAAAGGCACTCTGATAGAAGCGAGGGAATGCCTGGAGTTTTTCTTAATGGAAGCCGCGATGGCGCCTTTTAGTGATGAATCAACGGCGTGCAATGGCTTGTCTTTTTTCTAGCTATTTACGTAGTTCACGCAGAAATGTACTTCTGAACAACAAGATTTTGGTAATTGAATTGAATTGTGATGTGATGTATAAGAATATGTGGCTCTGAAGTGTAAGAGAACATAACAAAAAGTGGTATCATTGATGGTGACCTCCAAACGCTGTCCGAACGCGGCGTCAGTCGATTGCTTTGTTGTTGAACTTATATAGAATCAGCTTACCCATTGTGCATGCAAGAGTAGAATAGAGGAGAAAAGTAGACAGAGGTTGGAGTCATCAAGCAGTGTCGACTTGACAGATCTTGTCCAACTCCTTCTTGACAACCTTGACAGCCTGAGTAATGGCCTCATCGGGAATAGCCAAAGAAGGAGAGTTCGAGTCTTTCGCAGTGTTGGGATCTGCCAAAGCTTCTTCGAGAATGCGTTCCATCAAGTCATCGTACTTGGTACACTCGCCAGAACGCATGAGTTGAGTGACGTGGTTTTTGAGATTTGTTGACCAGCCTGAAGCCTGAAGTTCATGGAGGAGAGCGTTCTGGATGATGGGAATACTTCCACCGTCGACAAGGGCCGTAGTGAGTTGAGTTTGAGTTGCGGGTTGGGTCGAGAAGCTTGTTGACTCGTTGACGGAGAGTTTTTGTGACATTGTGATGAATTTTGTGGTGATGAACTTGTGATGTCCTAGTTGAGTTTGATATGTCGACGGGGAAGTTCTTGGGCCGTGTGGAGTTGTAGGGCAGGAGGTCGGGGTGATTCAGGCTTGGCGTCTGCTTCCAGGCTAATCGACTGACGACGACAGGCACAAGAGGGGAAACACAGTACCAGCACCAGTTTGCTATACCTGCACACTCACACTCGCTCAAGCCCGAGACAGACGTCTACACCACACACAAGTCTCTCTGCCAGACCTTCCTTACTCAGCCGCCACGTTTTATCACCAACGGTTCTGCCCCGGTTAGCGCCGCCTCCACGCCAGGGCGCGCGCAGTGGAATGTCAATGGCCGCCTACAAGACGTCCACATACCACCATGATTCAGACCCCGAAGACGAATATCTGCACCCGACATATCACTCGCCAACTCTCCCGCGCTCCACCCTGCACGACGACGATCTTGACGACGACGACATGACGACCAGTGCTGAGCACACGCCCACCACCTTCAGCCACTCGCTATCGCATTCTCTCAACCCAAGCCCGACAGGCCTCATCACTCAATGGACTGCTGAGCAGGTCGCCGACTGGGTCGCTTCTCTGGGTCTTACACAGTATGCCGACGCCTTTGTTGACGAGGCCATTACCGGTCTGGCCCTTGTCGAGATGCAACACCACGACTTTAAAGAGATGGGCATTATGAGTGTGGGTCATCGTTTGTCTCTGCTCAGAGGCGTATACGATATCAAAATCAAGCAAAACATTCCTCTGGACCCGGATCATTACGTTCCCTTGTGTCAGTCGCAGTCCACCTTCATTCCTCCATAACTTGACTAACAACCATCTGCAGCCGCTGGAGATAATGCTTTGGATATGACAGCTACACAGGACGACATCGCCCGTATCATTGAGTCAATCCGTCTACGCGACTCACGCATTCTATCAGCCGAGATTGAGCTTCGGACTCTGCGTGACCAGTTCGACCGCATCTCCGAAGAGAACAGAAAGTTGCGTGAAGATACTCTGCCTGTCATTCGCATGGTCAAGGACCGTTCTCAACTACCTCCTACTCCGGCAGACGGACTCGGCACCCCTCCAGCAGACATCAAACCTGAAAAGATCACCAGTGGCTTGTCTCGCAAGTTCTCGACCAAGAAGCTCTTCCTTGGAGGCGCCCCCAAGAACCCCTCACCGACTATCCACGAGTCGTCCACTCTCGATCCATCTGCTGCTGCAATGGCTGCCACATCTCACCTGAACCCTTCGCATCCTCAAAACTCGCCCAACCAACTTTCACAACCATCCCCTACATCTCCCGCATATGCTTCTTCGGCACAGGCCATGTCCGCCGGCAATCGTTCTTTCCCACGCGATGTTCCTCCATCAGCTCGCCCTTCATACATCGAGGACCCACGTCAATCGCATGTATCTCACGCACCATCTACAACAGCTCTCCCAAGCCGAAGAACAGCAGCAACGCCTGTGCCTCCACAAGAAGACCCGCCAAACAGTGCTCCACTACCACGTTCCACCAGGGAGAAGGACAATCCACAAGTAGAGATCTTCAAGTCTTTCCGTGTGAGCATCGAAGATCCATGCCACAAAGTCTTGCCTGTAGCTCTGCAAAGATACAACATCAACGACGACTGGCGCCAATACTCTCTATACATCGTCTACGGCGATCAAGAACGCTGCCTAGGCTTGGAAGAGAAACCACTCATGCTGTTCAAGCAACTTGAACGTGAAGGTGGTAAACCAATGTTCATGCTTCGCAAACACGCAGCTCCTCTTGGTGAAGGTTGGTCCGCCAATCGCACCGTTCCTGCGTCAGAGATGCAAAATGCAGGTTCCAGCAGAGAAAGCTTGAGGAGAGAGAATGCAGATAGCGGTCGAGCATTACCTGGGGGTGTTCTCTAGGCGAGTACACCTCTTTCTAGGTTGATGCAGGATCTAGTCACTTTTCATCATGGCGGTGCCAAAGTTACAGGCAGGAAACTGTGGTATTACCCGGCGGAGAAGATTTCGGAAAATGCATTGAAGCATGGCGTTGAGATTGATCTAGATCATCTTACTGGTACTGAGAAAAGACAAGAAAGAAGGACAAGCTTATGTGAGCGGAGAGGAGTCCTTGGATTGAAAGTCAGGGTCTCGAGATGAGCATCAAGTTTTGAGACAGACTTAGAAAGTCATCTCTCAGACGACATCGAGCATGAACTTTGGACATGAAAGACTCGATCGTGCACCCGTGTCTAGAGTGAATTTATGACCATTCTCCAATCTTACATTTTCTATCTGTGATGAACTTATCTCTCCTTCGGCTCTCTGTGATGCGGTAACATCTGGAATTGGAAACAGATGTTCATTCTATCAGTCCTCGGTAAGAATACACACAACAAAATCATCAAGACGTCTGAGACCCTCACTGCTATGTCTTGTCGTATATTTGACTTCGAACAGAGTAGAAGCTGATATGCATTTCTCACTCTTTTGCCTCGAAACGATCAAGAGATATGTATATCGCTATGCATCAAGCCCTCAGCCCGTTTTGAGACAAATAAGTGAGAAAGCTTATTATCCGATAAGCAACACACGCGGAAGTAGACCGCACAAGGCCTTGGGTTTACGTGGAGCATTTGCGTTTGCAATTGAGTGCCCTGACATCGGCCAAATTACAGTCATAGAATACGACAAACAGTGACAAGGAGCCCGCGGGCACCCGTCGAGCCCTTGTCTTTGCCGCGTGATGGCCCCGCTCTGGCAGCGGTCGCGTCTCAACTTGGCGACTCCATGCGACTCTATCTTATCGCACTTTGGGCTTTCGCATAGACATGCTGAATTGGGTATAGTCTACTTTCTGACCTGTATCACTGCTGGCTGTCCTTTATGGGATATAAGTAGAGCTCTTCTTCGCTGAAGGAGATTCTGTTCTTTCTTTTGTTCATAGCATTCATCTCTTTTTACTCTTTGCCGCCTATGGCTCCCTCTCATCCACTTTCCATCCTCTCTATTGCAGAGACCAATCTCGCGAGAGAGATTGTGCTTGCCCATCACGACAAGGAAGTCATTGATTTTCGCGAAATCTTCCTTCAGGAACCTACGAAGAAGGAGTTGATCGAGTACCTGAAACTTGAACATGAAGGTCGTTTAAGTCCTTCTTCTCCCAGGCCTGCGAGGCTTGCTAAGTGCCAGTACGATGTCATTGGCAAGGATAGAATTCCTTCTTATCATGAGAGTGTGGTGGATATTGGATCTAGACAGAGAATCAAGCATGAGATCATTGGCAAGGAACATCAAGCCGCTTTGACTCTGTAAGTGTTCGAGTACTATCCCATAATCTTACACCGAGATTGCTAACACCCCAGCAGCAAAGAATTCGACGTCCTGGTCAATGTCTGCAAAGCCGATCCCAACTTCCAACAAGCAATCAAGGACCTCAATATCCCGGACCACTATGAAATCATCATCGAACCCTGGCCTTACGGTGGTCTTGATGAAGAAGATGAAAGTCGTCGCTACTTCCAAGGTCTTATCTTTGCTCAAGACACTCGCAACGGAAACCCCGACTCTAACTTTTACGCCTTCCCTCTTCCTCTCATCCCCGTCTTGGATATCCACAAAAAGCAAATTTGTAGGATTGATAAACTGGCTACTGGAGGTAAAAACGATGGGCTTAAGGATAAAACTCATGGAGAAAGGATTCTGGATCATTGCACCAATGCGGAATATGTTCCTGAACTGCTACCCCAGGGACTCAGACAAGATCTCAAGACTTTGAATGTGTTGCAGCCTGATGGACCTTCATTCAAAGTTACTGACGAATCTCTTGTCGAGTGGCAGAAATGGCGTTTCAGAGTTTCGTTCAACCCGCGCGAAGGAGCCGTTATCCACGATATCCACTACGATGGTCGCAGCGTCTTCCACAGACTTTCAGTCTCTGAAATGACTGTTCCTTACGCAGATGCCCGACCTCCTTTCCAACGCAAACAAGCCTTTGACTTTGGCGATGGCGGCGCAGGAAACTGTGCTAATAACCTTTCCTTGGGGTGTGACTGTCTAGGCGTCATCAAATACTTTGACGCTGTGATTGTGGATGATGAAGGAAAAGGCAAAATCCACCCTAATGTTATTTGTCTGCATGAGCAAGACGAAGGCATTGGTTGGAAACACACCAACTGGAGGACGAACCGTGCAGTGGTTACTCGCAGCCGTGTGTTGGTGGTGCAATTCATCATCACCCTCGCAAACTACGAATACGTCTTTGCGTATAAGTTCGACCAGAGCGGAGGTATCGATATCGAAACCCGCGCTACGGGAATCGTCTCCTGTGTCAACATCGACCCTGGCAAAACTTCTAACTATGGAAATGTGGTTAACCCTGGCGTGCTGGCTCAAAACCACCAGCATATTTTCGCTTTCCGCATTGACCCTGCAATCGACGGCCACTCCAACACAGTCGTAACTGAAGAATCCCACGCTGTACCTATGAACCCCACCACAAACCCTCGAGGCAACTACTACGAAGTCCGCAAAACGCCCATCGAGAAAGCAACATGGCAAGATGCCGAACCCCGTTTAAACCGCGTCTTCAAAATCGTAAACGAAAACATCAAAAACCCCATCTCGGGAAATAGCGTAGGGTACAAGTTGGTTCCTCCGGCTACGCAATTGTTACTTGCAGATCCAAACAGCGTTCAAGCCCAACGCGCCCAATTCGCTCAACATCACCTTTGGGTCACCAAACACAGAGACGACGAACTCTACGCTGGAGGAAGGTTTACTATGCAATCGCGCAAAGAAGTGGATGGAGTTGCTGATGCAGTCGCCCGCGGCGACAAGACTAGAGATACTGATGTGGTGGTCTGGAGTGTCTTTAGTTTGACTCACAACCCTCGTGTTGAGGATTGGCCCGTTATGCCCTGTGAGATCCATCAGGTGCATTTGAGGCCTGCGGACTTCTTTACTGCTAACCCCAGTATTGACGTGCCGCCGTCGAGCAACAAAGCTTCTGTGGAGGTGCCGAAGAGCTGTTGTCAGCCTGCACAGGGAAAGCTGTAAGATTGCTTCTCTCTCTGTGATAAGTGCTAGAGAGCAAAGAACGGGTGGTGGAAGAGGATGACTGGAGGAGCAAGAGCGAGGTGCAAAGTCCTTCGGACGAACAGCAACGACTTTCAGGACACAAAAAAAGGGTTGCAAGTCTCCCGGCCACGTCAAGAAAACTTAACGACTTTAGAATTTATGGATGCAAGTCTCCTTCGCAACGACTTTAGATACCTTTTGCCTTTTCGCTTGTTTGTAGCAGCTCATATATCAAAAATTGTTCAGTCGCATTTGCATGTATCTTGAGCGTTTGTTTGTGCAAAGAGCAGTAGGTTTGATTGTCAAAGACTACATATTGTGAGAAATCCAAAAGCCAAGATTATTCGTAGACACCCTCTTCGAACTTGTCGGCATTGAAGAAAGTGCTTTGAACGATGCGTCCATTGTCCAAAAAGTCTGTGCCGTCACTTGCCTTGATAGCCTATGTTCCTGTCAGCAAGGTCGTTTCCTCTCAAATAGCAATACAAGACTTACGTTGAAAGCACTCAACGCGCTAGTGAACTTGACAAACACTCTTCCAGTAGCGCGGTCGATAAATACACGCTCAGAGCGACCGTATTGCTCCAATTTCTCGCCAATCCTTTGCATGAGATTGTCCTCTTCGATGGCCTTGTCGATATCCATGTCTTTGAGCATACCTTCGAATCTGGCAACCAGACTGAAGGCTTTGCTCTCGTCGACAGGTGCATCGGTCTTTGTCTTTTTGCCTCCCACAATACGACCCATGGCAGCGGGTTGTGCCCAACCACCGCCCTCTGAGTCGGCCTTGCGTTTTCGTTTCGTGGCTTCGTGACGCAAGATTGTCGTGATACCAGTTGATTCTTTGCCGAGACCTTCGCCCTTTTTCCAACCCATTTTCTCCATGTAGCGTTGCGCGAAACCTTTTTGTCCTGGAGCAGAAGTCCGTACCTCGGGCTCGGGTTCTTGGGATGGCTCTGCATTGTCAAGGTCTACAGCCGTGTCTTGTAGTGTTTGAGCAGCTTGTTCGTAGCGCACAGGCTCGCGTGAAATGGTTCCTGATGGTTGTGATGGAGCAGGCTGAGCTGCGACAGGCGCAGGCGCAGCTTGATATGTCTGTGCAGGTGGTGGAGGCGGAACAAAGTGGGGTGGAGGGGGTGGATAGTATTGCAGACCAGGCAAAGCAGGAGCTCCTGGAAATTGTGGAGGAGGTGGAGGTGGTGGATATTGGTCGAATGAAGGTGGAGGAGGATAGGCAACGGGAGCAGCAGCGGGAGGCGGCGGCGGCGGCGGCGGCGGAGAGAATGCAGGCTGGGACGTGGCTTGAGGATTGGCAGGTTCAGTAAGTTCTTGCGGCGGCGGCATATTCTTGTACGAGACATCGGTTGCAAGTCTAGGTTCGTCTCTTGTTGGTGGAGGGGTTCCGGGACGTCTGAAGGAATGCAGCATCTCCTTCCACTGATAGCGAGCATTGAACTTTGAGTCGGAGTGCTTCCAAGCATCTAGTCGTAGTTTGGTGCGAGTCTTGGTAAAGGCGTCCTGGACGTTGTAGGGGGCAGACCAGTCGATGTCTTCAATGTGCAACGAGGCCCTCTTTTTATTCTTGCTCTTGCGTTCCTCCTTTAGACGGGCCTTCTGCTCTTCCTGAAACTTGTGGTACTCGTTGACGACATCAAAGTCTTGTTGTTGAGACTCGTTCCATTTCTGGACGATGGGGCCGGATGCTTGAGGAGCTTGAGGTATGGCAGGAGGCTTGGTGGCTGTTGTGGGATTCGAGTTCGGCCTTTTATTCTGTTTTTGAACAGGCTGAGGGCGCTTGATGGCAGGCTGGAAACGGAGAGAGGCTGCGTCGAGTTGAGGATCAGCGAGCCTTTATGAAATCGAGCTGCTTCAGGTACCATCGGGTGTTTTCTTTTCCACTGGAGCTGGAGCTTCGTCTTCTTTCTTGAACGAGTATTTGACGGGCGCGCCAGAGATTGTGGCAGCGGCTGGAGCGGCCGCTGGGTCCAGCAAGTTTGCATATAGTGACGGCGGCATGTCGGTGTTGACTGATTGTAAGAACAACAACGAGACTCGACAGGCCCAAGTTCAAGTCACAACTGACTTGACTTGACGTGCCAAGCCAGGGACTGCGCTTGCTCTTGACTCTCTTTGCGGGAGCGGGGGAAGCTCGGATCTGTTGATGTCACCATCGTCAACTCCACCTTCCTCCGATTACGCCGCAACTGCCATCTCCGTACTTTCAGGTTATTCGGCATTTGATATCTGCTTATCGCTCCTTCCTTTTTCTGTTTGCCCTTTCTATATACCTACCAATTTCTTCTTGCATTTCCAATTGATTCAGAACACAAGAGAAACTACCAAAATGACGACCCTCACAAACGCCTTCTCACATTCGTCTCATGACACTGCCATCATTGTGCCTGGCAAGCAGCCCTTGACTGTGTCGTACGAGCAACTCACTGCAGACATTCTCTCCTTCCAAGAGAAGCTCGCAAAGTTGGGCATTACTCCTGGCTCAGCAGTCTCGATCGCTCTTCCCAACACATACCCTTTCATCGTCGCTTTCCTCGCAACCGCCTGGCAGCGTGCTATTGCCGCCCCTCTCAACCCAGCATACAAGCAATCAGAGTTCGAGTTTTACATCGATGACTTAAAGTCTGCTCTCGTCCTGGTCCCCCAAGGTCTGGCAGACGGTCCTGCTGTCAAGGCTGCAACCAAGTACAATGCTGCCGTCGCTGAATGTTACTGGAATGGAAAAGAGGTTGTTTTGGACATCAAGGACGAGGGAAAGCTCAAGGGCAAGGGCAACAAGTCAATCGAGTACGCTCAGCCTGATGATGTCGCTCTTGTTTTGCACACTAGTGGTACTACTGGCCGTCCCAAGGCCGTCCCTCTTTCACACAAGAACTTGACACGCACAATGTCAAACATCAAGGCAACTTACGAGTTGACCAAGAATGATCGCACCATGTTGGTCATGCCGCTCTTCCACGTTCACGGTCTCCTCGCTGGTTTCCTTGCTCCTCTACTCTCTGGCGGTTCTGTTGTTGTGCCCCCCAAATTCTCGGCTTCCGACTTCTGGCGTGACTTCCAAACCCACAAGGCAAACTGGTACACTGCTGTACCTACCATCCACCAGATCTTGCTCAAGAGTCCCATTCCTTCTCCTCTACCAGACATCCGCTTTATCAGATCTTGCTCTTCACCTCTGTCTCCCAAGGTCTTCCATGAGCTCGAGAAGACATTCAAGGCCCCCGTTCTTGAAGCCTACGCCATGACCGAGGCTGCTCACCAAATGACTTCCAACCCTCTGCCTCACAAGGGCAAGCGTCAACCAGGCTCTGTCGGTGTTGGTCAGGGTGTTGAGATCAAGATTTTGGATCAGTCAGGCAAGGAAGTTGCTCAAGGCTCTGAAGCCGAAATCTGCATTCGTGGTGAGAACGTCACTGCTGGCTACCTCAACAACCCGGAAGCAAACAAATCTTCATTCACTGCCGATGGCTTCTTCCGTACTGGTGACCAGGGTAAAAAGGATCCTGATGGCTACGTGATCATCACTGGCAGAATCAAGGAGCTTATCAACAAGGGTGGTGAGAAGATCAGTCCCATCGAACTCGACAACGTCATGGCACAACACCCTGCAGTATCCGAAGCCGTCAGTTTCGCCATCGCTGATGACATGTACGGTCAAGACGTCGGTGTCGCCATCGTCCTCAAGGACAGCCAAAAGCTCGAGCCTGCAGACCTAAAATCCTGGATGGCCGAACGTGTTGCAAAGTTCAAGTTGCCCAAGAAGATCTTCTTTACTGATGTCATGCCCAAGACTGCTACTGGTAAGATCCAGAGACGTATGGTTGCTGAAGCTATGCTCAAGCAAGAGGGTCCCAAGGCCAAGCTGTAAAAGCTCACGAAAGTACTGATGTTTTCTGTATATACTCGCATATGTATGTATATCATTGTCATGAACTCAAAGACAAAATCTTCCATTCTATCCCCTGCGTGATTTCCGACAACTTATGCAATATCTCTGTAGAATACAAGACGAGATATAATGAGTGATGATGAATCGCACTATCGCCGAGCTCCCTAGTTGGCATGAGTCTTCATCCACTATAGGCCTAACTGAGGAAGTCAAGCCTAGCCAGCTCAAGAATAACTTTCATCTCTAGAACGCAATGGTTGTCTTGCGGACGGCTGGACTAAAGCTCAGACGATTACTACTCGCGGCTGTTTCAAAAACGACAGTAGACTCACGATTGAGCGGAATCTTTCCAAACTACAAAAACTTGCTTGTGGCGCGAACGCTCGATTTGAACAGCTCCAGTGCAGCAACATTCTGCTTCTATCCAAGGGTAGGGCAGACCATCGAGTCTGGTGTGTCTATACCATTCTTGTTTATGGAAATGTGGGTTTGAGTGTTTTTCTAGAAGATTTCGGAGTTGTCTCTGGATGAGTAGTATTCGGATACAATGCTGTACGCTCAAATTTTATCGCCACCGGCTCGTCGAAATATATGGATACTGCTGTGCTGGAGAATTGGGCTGATAATACTGTAGTGGGTGCACTGATCGAGAGTGTAGGACAAGGAGCTGGGGCTACCACTGTAGAGGAATAGGAAATCTGAAGGCGGGAAATATCTAAGCGGATGCCAACAAGACACCCAGAGAACATCGCCTGACGTGCCTTTTCAATTCTCTCGCGTGAACCCCTTGGTATTTCTTCCTGTCTCGATAACGGCCTCGGTAAAGCAAGCAGGATACTGTTCATTAGGAAACAAAGACCCCAACCTCCCTTGATAACGCAACTCATCGCGTGTTTGCACTGGTCAAGTTGCGAGTCAAGAAGATTGTCGCATGGCAGGACGCCAGAAATCTGAAACGGGCCTGATCATGTAACGAGGAAGTGACTTCTCACCAACCATCCAACATATTCTCGGAAACGTCTAGTTTATCACAAGAGAGCCATCTCTGAGTTCTCCTAGGAAAAACTGTAGTGATTTGGACTGGAATAGAAAGGAACAGATATTGATGGTAATCAAGCAATAGAGCGATATCTACATCATCTTGGCAAAGTCTGTAGAATTATTGTAAAGATTTGATTGGATTAGTATTAAATGAGTGTCTATGAAATGATTAGATGCCGAGTAACGGCTACTGAGGATTGTGAAGAGAGACAAGTGAACCAAGTTATCGCAAACGGTGTTGTTCGAACAGCTGAAGTGGGCGTCCGATGCTAAGCTTCCAAAGAGCCTTTCCTTGTAAAAGAGGGCGGATCTGGCAAAGTTTTCAAAATGCAAATGATCAAGCAGTGTCTTCGACCCTCGAGGCTCCTACATGTACCCGAAGATCACAGCAAGGGTGGCAAAGAAACCACTGATACATAGAGACCTGGCACTATTGTTGTTTGCAGCGGCAGTGTATTTAGCAGGACTTGATCCTATGGGCGAGCTTCCGGAATATGATGTGGTGAAACTCGAAGGTCCTGCTGATGACTTGGTGATATCAGATGGCCTCGAGATGCTAGGTGTGCTGGCAGTCTTGGAAACAAGAGCGGTGGCGACGTGAGTGAGAGATGTAGCACGGGCAGAACCAGCAGAGTTGATAGGGATGGCAGAGCTGACAGGGGTGGTGGAGCCAGTAGAGCTAGCGGAGGCAGCAGAGGCAGATGAAGTAGAGGAGGCCGCCGAGGTACAGGTGTCACTGGACTGAGCGGACCCACTCACTCGACTAGAGCTGACCAACGGAGCACTGTATATATCAGAGTTGACAGAATTGGTCGAAAGAGCGGGGATAACGGAGCTAGCAATAGTGTTGATCGTGCTCGACAGTGTTTCATGGGCAGGGGATCCAGAAGCGGAAACTGATGAGACTGAAGCTGGAGAACCCGATTTCGAGCCGGCAGAGGTAGGTGGTACAGGCATGAAGGAAGTAGTCGAGCTCATCTGGACCTCAGACATAGTTGCGCTGTGGGCAAAGGCAGGGGTCATCGAGGCGGTGTTGCCGGTTATCCCAATGGCCCCGACGACAACAGCAGAGCTGAAGGGTTCAGAAGATCCACCAGATCCAGGTAGAATGGATGATTGAGCAACAGCAAGACCAGCACACAGCTCGATGTATAGGCAGTCGATCACTGCGGTGCCTGGTGCGCCAGTTGCCCCTAAGCACTTCAGAGCACACTCATCCAGATCCACCGATGGGAATGAGATCTCGAGACCAGACTTGCAAGCGCTGGCTTGCTGACTACTGACCGTCGAAGATCCTGCCATTTCGGTACAAACACCTGCCATTGTCAAGTCACAGATATCAGCTGCGCTGATTGCCGGAACGGTGCTCGATGTCGTGGCGGAGCTTGCAGGGGTGACTGTGGTGGTTGCAGTCACTAGAGATGCGGGGGCAGATGATAGAGATGCGCTAGGAGATTTGGACAAGTGACAGGATTGAGTCATGTCAGAGCACAGCTCTATTTGCAAACAGTCCACGATGGCGATACCGATAGTTCCAGCTATGTCGAAACACTTCATAGCACACACAAACCCGCTCAGATCGCTCAAGGTTGACGAATCTGTGAGGGCAGATCTGCAAGCATCAGCTTGTTGACCGCTGACTGCCGACGACTCGGTCATATCGGTACAAGTCGATGGTAACATCAGACCGCAGATGTTTGCTGTGCTGTGAATAGAAACAGTACTGTGAGGTCGTGAAGGAGCTGTTGGGCTAGAAGGAACAGACAGAAGATCAATGTCTACGAAAGAGCATAGCTCGATGTCCAAACAGTCGAGTATTTGAGTGCTATCAGGCTCTGCCATGGCGAGACACTTTTGTGCTGACTTGTATGCGATGGACTCTCCAGGAGACGACCAGGTAGCAGAAGACGAGGCCTCGAGAGCAGACCAGCAGGACTGGACTTGCTCAGCAACAACTGTCGAGGTGAAAGCCATGCTAGTACAAGCCGCTGGTACGACCATGCTACAAGTGCTTGAAGGAGAAATGCTAGTGGTTGATGCTTGCAAGGAGCTTGTGGCACTGGAGAAGCGACATGCGTAAGGTGAACCCATGGAACCAGATGATGCGGAGCATAATTCGGTCTCTAGACATTTGATCAGAGCCATGCAACTCGTTCCAGCCATCTCGAAGCACTGTTCTGCACACCCATAGACATCTGATCCTCCTGATGCAGGAAGTGTGAGAGAAGAGCTTGCGAGGGCAGATTTGCAAGATGAAATCTGTTGGGCGCTGGGCATAGTCTGTGATGATGTAACCATTTCGGCGCAAGGCGTGGGGAGAGTCATAGTGCAGGTGCTCATGACAGGTACAGAGCTGGCTGTAGTGGTTTGGAGTGAGCCGATCGAGGCAGATGAGTTGCCAAATTGGCAAGATTGAGATGAGCTATCCGAGCACATTTCTGCTTGCAAACATGCTACCAAGATCGCACCGTTCGAGCCTGTTTGGCTGAAACATCTCTCAGCACACTGGAGGTTTACTTCTTTCGAAGGAGAAGATTGCGTCTCAAGTGCAGACCTGCAAGATTGCACTTGCTGGACGTTGGGGGCATGTGTTGCAGCCGCTAGACTCATACAAACCGCTGGCAATGTCACACTACAAGCGCTGGTCATGGTGGTTGATGGACTCAATGAGCTAATAGGAGTCGATCCGCTACATGCACCAGAGGAGTGGGGGTAGCATTCCTGCAAACATCCGACGATGGCGGTACTATCAGATCCCATAGACTCGAGGCATTGTTTAGTGCAGTTGTAGCTCATTGTTGAGGACGAAGACTCCAGAGCGGATCTGCACGATTGGATCTCTTGAGCGCTAGCAGTCGGAGCCACTGTCATCTGAGTACATATCGCGGGAAGAGTGGCAGAACAGATGACCGAGATTGGGGGAGTAGCCGATGCGCTGGCCGTGGTGCTCGATATCACCGAGCTAGATATCAAGTGACTGGATCTCAATGACGCTGATACGGACATGGTGGCAACGGTGCTTGGTGTTTTCGAGGTGGACATCATAGAACCAGTGCTTGACAGCTTTGAGCTAGCCATCAATGACTCAGTACTCGATAACTTCGAGGTGTCCACGGCGCTGCTTGATGGCCTGGATGACGATCCAACGTTGACCGTAGTAGTAGTGGTCAAATTCGAAAATGTCGGCATCGACCCTGTGCTACCGCCAAACACGACGCTGAAGGTGTTATCGGAGACATAGGAATTGGATGGACCAGACAGACTTGTAAATTTGATAATCCTTGTGGCGGTAGTCGTATCAGTGACACTGCTTGACGGATACGAGGCAGAGGTGACAGAGGTGAATTTGAAGCTAGAGGAGGATGACGAGCTAGAGCGACTCGGTGAAGAGCTCGACATGACGCTTGAGGAGGCTAACGAGGAGGTAGGGCTCGACATGAATGACGAGATGACCGATTTAGATGTCGCTGTCGGAGACGAAGGAGCGCTGGTATGCGAGGAAATTGAATCCTTGGTTGATGATGCTAGTGTGGTGGTATTACCAAATGAAGAAACCGGGACATTGCTCATAGATGATGCAAGATTAGATGAGGAGCTCAAGCTTGATGGCGATGAGCTCGAAGTTGATGGAAGAGAAACCGAGCTCAACGACAGGGAGCTAGAGAATGAAGATAGAGCTGAAGGGCTCGCACTCGAGAGACTCAAAAACGAGGAGCTTGACCTCGAAGATGAGAGACTCGGGCTGGAATATGGTGAAGCTGTAGAGTTGGAGAACACCGAAAAAGACGATTGAGCTGTAGTAGTGCTCGAGGTAGTGTTCAATGTGGTAGGAGTGGGATATATCGGAGATGAATATGCAGAGGATAACAACGAAGACGACGGCTTCACAGTAGTGCTCGAAGCAGAACTTGAGGTGGTAGAGCTAGGAGAGATCGAAGTCGAAGAGGTGAAACTATTACTCATCGACGATAATGAGGCGGCGGAGCTGGAAAACATCGAAGATGAAGAAGTCGAGACCTTGTTTATCAATGACAGCGTTGTAGCAGAGCTAGAAAGCATCGAGGATAAAAGAGTTCCAGAGGCGCTCGAAGAAGTAATCAAAATGGTAGAGTTCGAAGACATCGATGACGGAACAATTGCAGTAGTCCTTGAGATAGTGGTTGAGATAGTAGGGCTCGGCGAAGATAGAGAGGTTTTACTAGTGTTCATTGCGGTACTTGTAGACCCGCTGCTGCTGCCGCTAGTCTCCATCAGACTGGTGGTGAAAATGCCGCCCAAAGACGAGTATTTCTCCTCGGGGCAACCGAACGCTTGCTGGACACATCTTTGTATAAGGGTTCCGCTAAGAACTTCTGTTGCATTCAGTGCCAGACATGCCAAGGCTGGTAAGGCCCCCTCTACATTGTCCACGATGTTAAGTATCTCGAGCTTGGGCTCACAGATTGCAATCTGGACAGGGATTTGGGAAGATGGTAGGAGGTCAAACCCAAGGCATCCCTGAGGAATCTCCTTGCAACTGATGAAATTGGCAGAAGTTTGCAGGGTTCCAGCTGCGAGCCATAGAAGGCTCAAGGCAGTGGGATACCTCATTGTGTTTCAGGTTCGATATGTATGTTTGGGTGAATGTTGTATATAAGAAAGTGTCTGAAATGCTGAATGGGACAGGGGAGGCAAGTCCAATTTATCTTGACATTCATGACCTTAGTCCACAGCAAACACCGGGGCCTGGTGTACAGACAACTCGCATGATTCCCATCAATGGTTCCAAGATATGTGTGCTATTGAAACTTATCTGGCCCTTGTGTCAGGTCATCGATGGATGGGCAAGAAGTAAAATCTTGAGTACAGTGACTACAAGCCCTCCGCTTGATTATTGAACTCTATATCAGAGCCATCTTGTCATTTTGCAGTCATCCCGGAGGAATGGGTCTTTGTGTTGCCACATTATATGATCGCTGTGCTTTCATTGAGAAAATGATCCCACATGGTCTCAAAGTGTATCCATTTTGGTCTATAGGCTGTGGCTTGGATCCATAAATAATGGAACCCCGCAGAACCTACCTGATACACGTGTTCGCCACAAGGAGTTATTCGTGATCATATCAACCTTGATCTCGTGTCCGGATTACGTGTCGACAACATTATCATGACCTTTACCATTGAATGCCTCAACCTCGGGTTCGTATTGAACGCACGTCTTGAAGGTATCATCGTGAAATCAACTATTAATCGTCTCCAAGCAGATGTACTTTGAGCATGACTGAAGACGGCATGTGGTTATGATTCAAGGACTAACTATGACTCAAAGAGCGACAAACTCAAGCATGATGTGACAAACTAAGAGATGAACACTGCACAGAAAGGACACCAGTTACGATATCGGGCAATCTCACAAAGAAGGGATCTCGAGGGCGCGCAAAGCACTAAAGCCAATGCTAGTAAGAAGAGCGGTCAAGTTTGCGGTCAGGTCGTATTCGGGTGGAATCACAGTCTCGAGAAGTTCCTACCCAGAACTCGTGAGCAGAAAATTGCTTCCGTGGAAGAAAATGCACATACCGATGGGGTGTCAATAATGACTCTGGCAGCGTCAGGAAGCAAGTTGGGATCCGCTGCCAACGACAATATAGCTGCGGCGCTCACGGTTGCAACATTGGTGGCTTCGACGAATGGTCGCCAGCCTTCGTCCCAGGGCAACCTCTCCTCTTCGAAGAAGGTACGCACATACTTCAGTGGTGCAACTGCGGAGGGACCACCCATTGCAGTGAGAACAAAGCCGGCCTCTATGGCTCCAAAACCTGCTGCTCTTGGGCCATATGAATCCTCAGGGTTTTGGGCAAGTTCACTGGTTATCCTGGCAGACTTGCCACGTCCGAGGTCCAGAGCACCAACCATAGGGCCTTCACCGATGGCATCGAGCGCCGTCTGCCACAGAGTCATATTGAAGTCGTTGCAGTCGCCGATACGGCAGTCCTGGCGTGAAAAGCTATCATCATGTCCAATGAAGAACAGATGACGCGAAAGATCGTGAAGATCAAAGGTCAGACTGAGTGGATGAGTGGAAGACAGAGCTCCGAGGAGACCAATGACACCAGATATCTCTGGCGACACACCCAGGCCTTCGAACAGTGCCAGGACAAGTTGAGCCACGTTGAGGTTCTTACCATCATGAGGAAGGAAGCCGTGATTGGCAAGGGAGTTCAAAGCTGGACAAGGGCCTCGCGCTAGATGATCGTCAACTTTCACGTCTGTCGCCAGAAAGGGTCTTGGAAGCTTACAGTCGCCGGGACCCGCAGGAACCCAGTTCAGGAATCGAGGATCGTGAGGATCAAGAGAGGGTTCACTTTGACCCGCAGCCATAGATGGAAGGCTTGTGGGCAACGATGTCGGGTTTCCAGTGGATTTCGCCGATGGAAAGAAAGACGAAAGCTCGCCAGGAGGCCTAAGAGAGGAGAGACAAGGTGAAACTCCAGGCTTGGGCATAGCAGCCGCGAGTTGAGGCAACGTAAGAGAGAGAATGACAGGAGTCCACATGTTTGAGCAAGCTTGGAGTTTCAACGATGCAAGTCACAATACTGTAAGTGACAGGGGATTTGCGAAGTCTAGTGGAGTATTATATCCTACGGCGTGAGACATTATTCCTTGGATTGCACTGTGGTCAGCAAGACACTATCGATTTACCTTCGATCTTAGCAGCACAATAGCTGAAAGTCAACTGAGATGTCAACCATAAGGGCATATACATACCTTACATGTTTCTGTATGGACGGTATGTCATCAATTTAAACTCCCAGCCCGATGAACCACATTCCGGCACGAGGGACGGTTAAAGATACGTCAAAAAAGCCAGTCCGGCGGTTAAAATTCCCTGCTTTGTGGGGCGAGAAACTGTCTTCGAGAGCTTGCCGTCAGCCGTTTTGACTTCGCGCCTGCTAGCCTGAGGGCAATGTTCATGGTAGCTCTGGGATCGTGTAGCTCTTCACGCTCAGGTTTAAACCGCGTCAAGGCGCCATCTCATTGAAATAAAATTCTCAGTGTTTCCCCGGCTCTCTAGATGATCTGCAACCACACGCAAATTTACCGTTTTTTCGAACGAGAATCAAGATCCGTTGCTTGAGTGGAACGGATTCTGCCACGCTGTCGAGGTCACAAATAAACTCCACGGTGGTTGGCTATTGCACTTTCATAGCCTTGCGTGTATGTAACAGCCGTACCCGTATCATCAAGGGGAGCATGTGCAACAAGCGATACAATGTACGAGGAGGAGGACGTATAGCAATGATCCAGGGCATCAGTAGGTCTGCATCCAATTCCTCACAACAGAGCCTCAAGCTGAATAGGCATGTATCTTGACCTCTTCCTCCCACTGGAATTCGGCGGATGCCATCAGATCAGAAAGAGAGGATGGAGGCAGCATACTTCATTGAATTCGATTCCGCGAGTGGACAATCCCATCGACACTATCATTCCCGTGAGCTCTGACAGAAGTTTGTGAAGCGTGAAGCGACTAACACCTCGTAGTCAACGTCTTCTAACCTGCATCGCGCCATGACAGAACTAGCGCAGTCAAGTACCGAGTTGCTGTGATTTACCATTCTGTGTTACGACTGTGGAAATATCTTAGCTTGGGAGTCTGGAGAGGAAATCGACTGATCTCTTGAGCAAGCTGTTCAGAAGCTTCACTGATACGCGTCCTGCGATGCATGGAGAGCGACCAACGATCAAAGACATTTCCCGACTTAGCATCATTGGATCGAGTCTACAAGCACTTGTTTCCTGTTCGATCGATGTAGAGTTATTCTTGATCTTTGAGACATGCGACGCGGCCTGTGACCATGGTCTCTATGGCTGCCACCTGCGCAGCCTTCTAGGAAGGGTTCTATGCAAGACCTGGAGATGGCGTCAGAATAAACTTTGTACCTATGTATGAAGCAAAAGTCTCGGCTCAAGACAAACGTTGCCGTTGGGGTACATCTCTGCCGAAACAGAACAGTTGTTCAAACAGTTTTCCGCCATAGATCTCTCGATGTACGCTCTCTGTAGGTATGGAAATCACTTAGTAGTCCAACGCCTATAAAGTTTGTCATACAGGACATCTGAGCTCGTAGTCAGCTCTAGCTCCTGACGCAAGACAGCTCGATCCGGATTTGACTTCGACCGCGGCTTCTGAAAGTGCGCTCTTTGACTGAAAGCAACAGAGTCCTCTGAATCTAGGAACGAACATGTCAAAGAATTGGCTTTTAGATGTCTCAGCCACTCGCTTCGGCTTAACACACCATCAAAGGCATTTGTTGATTGTCAAGCCAGTACGTTGTCTACACGAGGCGTAACAATGGACCGCCAGTATGTCGGTGTCGAGACCTGCCTATCGGAGAACAATCCGCTTAAAGCATACCTTTGTTGTGGCCTTGGAGCAGATCTCTCGTTCATGCTGGAGCAAGATCGCCATGTCATCTGACGTTTACTCGTCCATTGGATGCAGGCAGTCAGAAAAGACTGGAAGCTAAGACTGTAGCTTGGGATTTCAGATCGTATGCAATCCAGCCTCCTGCTCCACATGGATCTATTCGGTTCAATCACGTAGGAACGCGTGCATCTCCGCCATCGAGCTGTCACATATGCTTTTCAGAGAACCACGCGCCTGAGGAAACTCGTGGCGGCAACCTTATTTCTCGCCCGTACACGTCCGGATATGCCCATTAGGGTCTATCCACATCCTCCCGAACAGAACACCATGGTACACAGAGTCATATATCAAACTAGGATGAGCCTTAGCGGACAACCTCAACAAAGTGACTCCGTATGCTCGGAAGAAGACAGTAAAGATCTCGTATCTCAACATCTTACGCATGTCGGCATCCTCGACCCAAATCCCAGAGCTGAGTGCCTATGACATTCTCAGAATATGACTACAGTCATGGGGTCTGCGAGCATTCCTATACTGACCCATCGGATTTGCTCCAAGACACTTATCATCCACCCTTCGATCGATGAGGCCTCCGGATATTGAGTTCGAGGTGTTCTATGTATGGAGAGGCGCAACGCTTGAAGTCTGTAAGTTGTGGTTACAACGACAACTGTGCATGTTTGATCGAGTTCTTGCAACCATTGTATATGGCGTGCGTTCAAGTCTTCGACAGAGCGAAGACGGTATGCAAAGACTCTGCCGAGCGGAGATCGTGCCAATGACTATGTATAAGCTCGCGTAGATAAAGCTGTGCCAGCAACAGGTCTCAACCACTTCGACGCGGCCAATAACGCAACTGATCCAGAGCTTTTCATCAATCTGTCACCGACATAGACATGGTCTGGAGTCTCTCGCACGCACGCCTCTCGCTGTATCAACGCTGCGTCATCTAAGCAGGTTCGTCGAGGGTCTGCTTTGAGACCGTTGCAAAGCTTATTCCTCGGGTGCCCCGGCAGCTTATTTGACTGTTGAAGTCGATGTTCGTTGATGCCAACGTACCAGCACGACGGCGACTGCGGTGGCTGAGCTGACTTCACTCCGCTGATAACCTAGATCTTGACAGGGCTTTCTTGCAAACGCAGCAAAGGGTTCGAACCAACCATACTCGAGCTTTGAGGCTTGTTCGACACTGCACGTTCACGCGTCGCGTTGCAGAAATAGTCTGACTTTCTAAGGTTCTTTAGGTGTCAAAACGACTCGACCTTGATCAGTCCAGAAAGACCGAGGGACGGGGCTAGCAAGGCGAAAATCACGTACTTATCAAGCAAGAGATAACGAAAATACGAGTATCACGCTGTCAGGTTTCTAAGAAGAGAAAGATCTCGGATCGCGTCTGTTTCGACACCAGAAGTCAACGCCGAGACTAGATACGCCGTCGGCTGAGTCTCGGCACGATGCAGGATGAACTTCAGCTCTCGATTGATGTTTTATGTTAGACGGATAGCAAGACAGCCAAGCTCATAGAACTCTCATATCGTCGTTTCGTTGGTTTCTTTGCGCGTGAATGAGATGTCAGACAAAGGGAGACTGGGACCTGTGGTATTGAACGACGTGTTGTTCCAGCTAGAGCCTCCGTCCGCAGCGATCTTTGCAAACTTGATCCATGACCTGCCAACTCTCATGTGGTATTCTTCGCAAGTGCCAAATGCTGCCGACCCGCCAAATTTTCGAGTCGATTCCGTGTTGCCTGAAGGTGTGTCAGTGTACTGAGAAAGCCCTTTGAGAAGAGCGACTTACACTGATTCACGATTGCGTCGATCGCCACACGGCAGACTGACTCTCGAGCATATAGCGTAGGTCTCCTGCAGCCCGCGTTCTGAACCCAGACTTCGACCCAAGTATTGCCAGGGCCGCTCATCTTGTAGGGATAAGACATCCCCAGACCGCTTTCCATGTCGTGTGATTTGGAGATATCTGTCTGATTCTTGCCTGCAACATATTTACAAAAGTTGTCTCGAATGCCACGAGCGGTATCAGTGTCGAACCAATAATCGTCAGATAGATCTGCCGTGTCGGCGCAATCGATTGTTTGTGGAATGACCTTGCCATCTTGGTATTCGTTGGCGCGAGAGCAGGTCGATGGCAGAACTTCAGCTACCATCGGTCGCGTAGCTTTGTCCAATATCTTTGCTCTTTCTATTCCCATGTGATAGAACACGAGATTTGCAATCATACTATGACCTATCAGAGTAGGATGGAACACTCGATAGGTCTTGGCCTTCCAGCCGAGGCCTCGCTCTTCCAAACTAGTACTTTGTTCCGCGGCCTCAGGATCCTCTTCGTCGTCGTTGATGTCGCGGACCGTAAAAGTGGGATCGGAGGCTTGAACTTCCTCGATTGCGGACGTAATTTGACTGATAATCGTGTTGTTGCCATAATCCCGTGGGGCAAGTTCTGCCATAATCTTAGAATCTTCCCAGATATCGACCGAACCCCGCTGATAGAATACAGCATCTGCATTTTTCTTGTTTGGCTCTTTGATCCCATCCTCACAGAATCGACCACCGGCTTGTCCAACCCAGCTGGAGTAATCGACAAAGATGACTCTATCATCTGCTGCATTGATTATCTCCCCGAGCACACCGTTCATCTGGGAAACCGAGACATTCAATCGTGTGCGAAGATCAGTCGTGAGTTTTGTGGGAATCATCTGTCCACCAAGGAAATCCCAGCTAACATCGTTGCACTGTGTCGATTGTGCGTCGAAAAAGGGAGCGTACCCTACGTAGTATATTCTTCCATTGTCATCTAGTTTGGGCAGGGTCGCCGAAATTAGTGCGTTGATGTTTTTCCTGAATTCTTCAGATTGTATAAGGTTTCCAGCATCTGCAAGCCGGTCCTCACAAGTCGGATGTAGTGGCCGGAGACCGTATATACAGTCGACGAGGATTCCACTGAAGTCTGCGTCGTTGCCTCCAGCTGTGACGGTGACAACTTGGACACCGTCAGCGATTTGAGGTACTTGTATCTCCAAGATTTGTGATGATACAGCTCCAGAACATGCAAGAAATTGAAACTCTCGGGAGGTGTCGCCCATTCGTTCGTCAACGTTGATCAGACTAGGGAATGAAAAGTTGTATCTTTGACAATCAGAATCGAGGAGATAGCCACAGCCAATGCCCGCAGAGTAGGAATCGCCAATGGCAGCCCATTTTGTAATCCAGGATTGATCGTTAGGGTCCTCTCCATCCTCATCTCGTTTGTCATGGATTAAAGAGAGTCCAGAAGATTGCGGCTGCTCGTGTCCAAGATAGCGGCGATCAGGTAGGGGGAGGGTCAACGCGGTCGTTGGCTGAAGCCATGTTTGGAAAGACCAGGAAGACAGCAAAAGAAGGGAATTGAGCTTGATCGTCATTTTACAGCGTGGAAAAGATAGAGAATGTCGCCACTCGCCATTTAGAGGAAGGCTTCAGAAGACTAAGTAGCTGTTCTGAGGTTTGAATGACTCCGACCAGGCCGTAGTTCCAGTCAGCCAGTGTTAGGCAGTCTAAGGAGACATGATCTTGCCAATCCTCTCAATTACGATACGGTCTGTGCCAACAATCAACTTGCAGTGCATATTGTTCCACGATTCGCGCCACATGAAAAGAGGGTTTCAAGATGTTGCTCCGAGTCGTTGGTAAAGCTGCTCTACAAAACAGACACGCTGTTGAGGTGCCAAGACTACATTGGGTAGTGGTGGGCCTAAGATTGCCAACCCGTCCTGAAATTTCAATCCCAATGCACATTCATTGTGGAGTTGTTCTTGGGAACCTATCTTGAAGATGATCTGAAACTCTTAGGGCTTGGCTTTGGTGAATTTGGGCAGCCCTTCAGAAATTTTGCAATGTGAACAACCCACAAATGTCGAAGATTGCACCGAATCCTACGACTTCGTTCACGACACTAGTGAAACATGTCCTGATCGTGACGAGACTTGTGATCCTTCAGGGATCACAGAAGCATGCTGAGACCAGATGAATAGACACATACGCGGTCTGTCTGGTGATTTCGGAAATCGAGGCTTCCACTGGAGAGGGGTCCTGAATCCTTCCCAATCTTGCTTGAGTTCAGGCACGTAGCATCGGTAACCATATCCCTATCCCATGTGTCAGGTTGACTATAGACAGAGGAAGACCTGGGTAGTCAAATACAGGCTCTGCCTCCGGACTAGTGTGCTCAGGTTCTGTTTACTTCTCAGGAGAAGTATTGGCTCCAGAAGACGTCAGGATTTGCACAATCTTGATATGCGGGTCATGTACAGTATGTGGTTATCGCAGTAGCAGGATTACCTGGACATGCGGACTGACTTTTGGACCAGACATCGCAGCTTATCTCAGAGGATGTTTGGGCCTAGCCTTGCTGTTTCTCTATCTTGGTCCAGTGCAGGGTCAGTTGCACTCCACTGGGGTCAATTTCGATCAAGATGCCATGGACAATCGCTTCGTAGTATACACCTCTAGGGTCGTACTACAGGACAAGACAGCGACACTATATCCCACCGGTGGTCATCTGCTGGCATTAGCAAACCAAGCTTACGACGACATGATCAAGAGTTGCAGGATCAACAATTTGAAAAAGGACTGTCCTGGAGCCATCACTGTATTCGCCTATGAGAAGGAAATCCACTTCGGTAGCTCCGTCAAAGACTTCCGGGGTATAGAAAAGACTACTGACCCTCAACCATTTTACCATGCTTTCATCTACGACAAGAATGTGCAAGGTTTCGACAGATCTCGGCGAGGCACAGTAGCTCGTGTCCGGCAGGCTATGATACAGTGTCAAACGCAGCAAAGTCAGACTGTCATAGACTATAAACAGCACGGTCGCAAAGCGAGATGCGGCGAGTTTAATGCAGTCCTCACATATCTCCTCACCAGAGATGACCCAGAAAGCGTTGACTTTGGCGGCGATCCAGGCAATCCCGCGAGGATCTTGACGGTTGGAAGGCTTGGAGACGATCTGGATGTGGCGCAGAAATTTTTCGCGCCTTGTTCCAGACAACAGACAGGACCATCGACATATGGATGCAAGAATTGGGTCAATCGCCTAGGCATCCAACACCCAACCCCAGGAAGTCCAATTAGCATCCCTGATCCAGGTTCACAAGTGCAAAATATCAAATTGTGCGAGCTGAGCATAGATGAGAGTATGAGAGTCGCCGGCAATGGAGGCGGGCTTGACGCGGACAGCCAAAGTTCTTCGGAATTCGGAAACGGGATCGAAGATGACGATCTGATGGATGTGGGTATGGACAATCCCGGCTCTTCAGAATTCGGAGATGGGATCGATGATGATGATCTGATGAACGTGGATAACGACAATTCTTCTGATTTTGGAGGCGGGATAGATGATGATGATCTGATGAACATGGATCCCACCAAGAGAGGACTGATATAGACATGGCTACATATCGTCGGTATCAGCATGTGATGATCAATTGTCAACTTCAGGCCATCTGCTTTCCCGGATAGCATCGAGTGTGAAATATGGCGGATCTTGACCCGTGTGCACTGACTTTCCGTCACAGACACACGGCCGTTCATGCACCTTGTTGACCGAGACTTGAATTCCAGTCGATTCACCAACCGGCACCAAGGTAGCCCCAATAAGCGCAGTATCTCGTTCTGGCCAGCAGGGCCACTTGACAGAGTAGAAGATCAACCGGAGAGTCCTTAGATCCGGTACTCGCGCCCGCCAATTCATCAGGAATTCGTATGTTACATCTATGATTTCCTGATCGGTGTGTATTGGATGCCATGAGGGGTCGCAGACAGGGTTCACGTTGGTTTCAATGTGGTAGCCTTTGATCGGAGCCCAGAACGAGTGGTGATTGAGCCAGAGCTGGGCACCATCATCGTTCAGCCAGAGATGTTTTAAAGACGGAGGAAGTGATATTGCCAGTGTTGGCGACAATGCTTTATCGATCAAGAGCTCGAACGGTACGTGTAGCGTGGTTAACACACCAAATGATGAAAGATCAAGTCTCTGCAAATATTGATTGAACCAGTCATAAGGCGGAACTATGTGAAGGTGAAAAGTTTCCAGTGTATTCTGAACCAGACCAAGGGACTTCCTAAGGATTTGAGTGTTCACCAATCTCTCACTAGAACGATCAGGTGTGTAGTTAGCAGCTCCGTTGACATAAGGGTCGCGCGTCGGTGCTGTCGTCCAATAGTCATATTTTAGACTGCGCAAATGAGGACAGGCTTGGAGTAAGCAGGCAAGATTGTGCTCATCCAAGAACGTAAATGCCAATTCTAAGGCCTCTACACTGGTCGTTAACTGACCAGGAAGAATCTCCGACCAGAAATAAGGAGTCAGAGGTCGAGGTAAGTTGAGAGAAAGAGATTGGATCTGCGGAAGCCGTAACAGCAATAGTTGGAAAAAAGCGTCAGCTTGGGCGTATGGAGCTCTGCCGCTGCCCATCCGAACCGTCTCTCCAAAGATGCCAACAGAGGCTTGCAAGACATGTGGAAACTTCTGTTGGAGCAGAGGGACACCGATAATCGGCAGTGCATCTTGAAAACCAGGACCAAGCTCGAATGTCTGGAGTTCGGGCAGACAAATCAGAACAAGCGCAGCAAAAGCGCTGGGGCAGCCGTGATCGAGCCGCTGAAGCCATCCACTAGTGGACATTTGCGGATTGCACTGTAAAATTGGTATGATATGGTAAAGATCGTCGTGCGATAAAGCCGTTTGATGCGGATCTGTCCAGATGGAGCGAGGAACAGGACCAGCAAGTCGAAAGCGACGTACCGATCGAGCGATAGAAGGCGAAGATACAATTGTCCTTGCTAGCAACAATAACGACGGCCACGACTCCTCCGCACAGGGCATCTTTCTAAGGCAATTGTATAGAATACTTCGGTGCCTCCTGGTTGCGTGATTCGCTTCTCGGTGAGGCCTGCAAACCCCAGTTTGTTCACATGGGCAAGTGTCGAGCTGCATGTTGTCCCAGCTTTGCTCGCATATGATTATGGGACGCCGCCATGTCAGATCGATATGCTCGTATAAGAGCGACGTGGCATGCTCGCACCAGGTCTTGCACACACGGGCACAGCATGCGAGCTGGTCGCGGGCGACAAGCGAAAAGATCTGACGGAATATCTCTGGAGGCAGAGTTGAAGATGCGGTCATGTCGAATGTTGAACGGTCAACAAGAGGTTGAGATGAGAAATGCTTCGAGAGGTGAAGCTCATCCATGTAACTTGTTGCGAGATTAGGCCTGCGAGTCATAGCAGGCACGACCATGTGGTCCGGCCGAAGGATGAAACGCGCCTACCATAATCACGAGACAATGTGCACAAGACTCTGAGTCGTGATGCAGCTCCACTATGAAACACGCAAGACTTGACAGTATTGCAAGTGAAGCTGAACGCGTGAGCTCTGAAGTGAAAGCAAACGAAAAAGTCAACGCACGGGCCATCGTTCGGGCTTGCAGGGAGACCAAGGAGAGAAGACCTTGATGCACCTCAGGAATATTCACAGACTGTCTGTCTGATAGGACGTATCGAAGTGTTGTGTCAAAGTGTACAATGTTTCAAGCTCAAAGCTTACTAGCTACCCATCTAGGCTTCCTCTTCTCGACAAAGGCCTTGACTCCCTCGTGAATGTTCTCCCCCTGCAGAAGCTTCGGATATGTCTCTGCAATCAACTTCTCAGTCGCTGCATCTGCTCCCAAGCCGTCCCATGCTAGGTTGACGCCCTCGCGACTGACAATGACAGCGTCAGGACTGTTTCCTGCAATCTCCTTGGCCACGGCCACGCACTCATCCAGCACGTCTCCCTCGACCACACGATTGACCAACCCCCATTCCCGAGCCTCTTCAGCCTTCAACACACGTCCAGTCAGAGTCATCTCCATGGCACGCTGCTTGCCCACTACACGCGCAATACGAGGAAGAGCTCCTGCGATGGCCACAACACCTCGTTTGACCTCGGGGAGAGCAAAGGTGGCCGACGAGGAAGCAAATACCATGTCGCTGTTGATGGCCATCTCACAGCCGCCGCCGAAACAGATGCCGTTGACTGCAGCTATCACTGGCTTGCGTCCGCGGCGGCGTGACAATCCGCCAAAGCCTGAAGATGGCATCTTGGTCTCTTTACCTGACGCATTGGATTGATTCCACTCTGGTATTTCGTGTCAGCTATGGCGTTATACGCTTCAGAATAGTCCATACCTTTGAGGTCAGCGCCCGCGCAAAAGGCCCGACCAGTGCCTGTGAGAATGCCCACACACAACTTTGGCTCAGCGTCCAACCACTTCCACACAGCATCTAATTCTTGGTTGCCTTCTGCACTGATACAGTTGAGTTGCTTCGGTCGGTTCAACGTCACGACCAATATTTCTGGCGTGGGGTATGACAAGATGCAGTGTTTGGTTGACGGCGGAGAAATGCTGAATGCTGGGACTTTGGGTACGGGCGCCATTTTAAGCAACAAGTGGACAAGGTCAACGACTAAATGTTTTAGTTGAGTTGAAGGTAAAGGAAATCAATTGCAGATGGTCGCAGAGTTGTGTTTTCATATGCTCATAAGTTGAGAGTCGCCGAGGTGGCTCTGTCTTGGAGCTGCGGGGTGAGCGACGATCACAGCCGAGGACCACCTCCAGCAAATTTGAGCTTTGTCAAACACAAAACTCGTGCGCCATCAAGGTAAAAAAGATTATTCTTGAGCATCTGCTTCCAGGACTTCTGCACTACATTGCCGCTTGCTTCCATCGCTAAACGACACTCTACTGTTCACTCACACTCATCCCTTTCAGCAACACAAGCAAGCCATAAGCACCAGGATCCGGCACTCCTTTGGTTGCACTCTCGTCCAGATAGGTACTTCGCCCAAGCTTGGCCTCGAGGTTCTTTGTACTTTCCACTCCCTTTTCTGCTTCCACAAGAGCTTTATCGACATCTCCACTCGACTTGAGTGTCTCGACAAAGGGAATGAGACAATCCAACATTGTTCTGTCGCCCAGTCTTGCTCGTGTATAGTTTAGCAACTGATCCAAAGCGACCGACAACGCCGCCGCCACAGATTCCGTCGAAGCCAATGCCGAAGATAGCGAGGTCAAAAAGATACAATACAATGCTCCAGACGTGCCTCCCATGTTGACTTCGAGGTCACGTACAAGCTCGCTCAGGGTTTGAGGCAACTCCGAGAGATCCTTGTTCGCAATGAACTTAAGGACTTGTTTTGCGCCGTCACGAAGAGTGTAGCCACAATCACCGTCGCCGACGATTTCATCGTATCGGGTGATGGTCGGTTCCTCCTTGATTACTGCATCACAACCATTTTCGATGCGGCTACGGACTGCGTTGTCGTTGAACTTCATGTATCGCGAATCGACTTTGGTCAGATTGCTGCCTTCCGTAGCTTCGTCGGCCAGTGGATTTGTTGGTTCAGGTTGAGCTTCCAGATTATGCGTGGGAACCGGACAGGCCGAGATTGAAAATCCTCTGGCGAGATCTTTGTGTTGCAAAAGTGTTGAAGTGGACAAGCGGTAAGACAACCCTGCGTTTCCTACTGACAATTAGTATATGGACTCTATCAAGGTCAAGTAATACTCACTGAGGTAGGTGGCGATCTCCAGCCCAAGGATATAGTTCTCCAAGCGTGACAAGCCATTGATGTCTGAGTAGTGAATAGAATGTGTGATGCCGTCTTTTTGATTGAGGTGTGGGCGCAAGACACTGTCTAGTGCCTTTGCGATAGCATGTCTTGCTTCTTCGTAACCATCAGCCTCTCCGTCGGCATGCGATACAGCCGGTCGACCATCTTCCTTTCCAGTCTGGAAGGTCGACGTAACCGTCGTAGAGGATTCGAGAAACTTTTGCAGGACTTCGCGCGTCTTTTCGATTGATGATCTGTGAACAGTTCAGCATAGGTCTCTCGAGTTTTGGCTCGATCGCTTGCTTACCTCGTCGGCTCTGTCGCAGCACCTAAGAGGTGAATCAGATGATCCACCTCCAAGTCCTCCTTGAGCTCGACCTCTACCAACTCATTTTCAAGTGTTGTCAACTTCTTCTGCTTTCCGGATCTGAGGATGACTATGCCAGCGTGTTGGCGGTGTCCAGCTTCGTTGACCGCATGAGCAAGGTCCTTGCTCGAAGGTTCGCTGCCGCTTGCACTGTCGGTAACAACAGCGGTGATGTGCTTGTCCGAGAGCAGTCTGCTTGAGAAGTTGCCAGCTTTTCCAACCACTACAACTCTGACAAATTTGTCGTTGGCGAGTGTCTGGTCTACCAGCACTGTCTGACCTCCGGCGGTCTTGACAGCCTTGATGGAAGGCCGGATCAACGGGTATAGTGTGTTCCATCTTGCAGTGTTCTCGACATCAAGTTGCTCTCTTGCGAAAGGGATTGTTTGTTCCACGACGACCGCCATGTTGATCTGCGGGGTAGAATGCGGGGATGGTATGGAATACTTCGAGGCTTGAGATACCACGACAGCGAGAAAAAGTCGTGTCAGTAAGGACAGAGGAGAGAGCAAGAATCCCTTTCCAAAAACTGGGATCTACTTTGCTTTTCTTTCTCAGCTCTACTGTCCCGACAGCAAGTCTTCCGAGAACCGTTCTCTCTCACGACAGAGACGGCATGCCCCCCACGATGGAGCAAGCCACAATCTTTCCCAATCGGGTAATCCGAGAACTGGACCCCGCACCGAACATTCGGCGATCAGACCGACTGATGTCGTTCTTCTCGGCGGGGCTGCAAATTGTCCACCGAAAACTGCATTCGTTCGGGATGGATGCGTCAATTTGGCAACTCCGAGATCATGGCGTGGTGGTCTCGAGCTGTCTACATGATCAGCTAGTCTCGCAGCTTTTTCCTAGCAGCTCGACCTTCCTCCCTTGACCAAGCTCTGCTAGATACTCCACTGCTCACGATCACAATTTGACGCTTGCAGATACTAGATTGCATTATGGCAGCAGCAACAGAGCAAGCTCCTGCAGCTGTCAAAGAGACATTTCACTTTATCAACAAGCCTGAAGGTTTGAACCGAGCTCCGCTGCTATCAATATGTTCATGCTAACAACATGTAGATGCCATCAATGAAGCACTAGCAGGCCTAACTCACATCCACCCAAACCTCTCATACAACCCGCCCTACAAGATTCTCTACCGTTCAGACCTAGGCACTTTCCGCAACAATCATGTAACAACAATTGGCTTCAGCGGAGGCGGCCATGAACCAATGTTCGGCGGCTTCGTAGGACCCAATTACCTTTCTGCATATGTTAGCGGTAACATCTTTGCTTCACCGACCGCTGCTCAGATCTACGAAGCCATCAGAATGTGTCAACCGACCGATGGATCAGAGAGCAAAGGCACGTTGGTCGTCTGCGGCAACTATACTGGTGATATCCTCAATGCTGGACTTGCTATCACGCGAGCACAGGCAAGTGGATACAAAGTCAGATTTGTTCCTGTAGGCGATGATGTTGCGGTCGGCAGAAAGAAGGGTGGCAAGGTCGGTCGCAGAGGATTAAGTGGTCATCTCATGGCTTTGAAGAGTGCTTGTGCACTGGCTGCCAAAGGAGAAAGCTTGGATCGTGTGACCGAAGTCATGGAATATGTTGCTGCCAACGTCGGCACTGTAGGAGTTGCTTTCGACCGGTGAGTATCGTCCACAACATGCATGAAGGATCAAAACTGATTGAGATTAGTGTTGCGTTGCCGAATGCCACACTGACCGACTTGCAAACTCTACCACCGGCGACTATCGAACTCGGCATGGGAGCTCACGGCGAACCGGGTTTGCGACAACTGAACCCTATTCCTTCACCTGAGTCTCTCACAACCCAGATGCTTGACTTACTCCTCGATGTCTCCGATTCAGACAGAGCATTCATCCCCTTCTCCTCATCCTCATTTACAGACTCTTCATCCGCGGCTTCCGACAAAGACAATGAAGTTGTGATCCTACTCAATTCACTTGGCAGCACAAGCGACGAGGTGCTTGCACGCTTCGCCGAGATAGCGATTGCAGATCTGACCAAGCGCGGCTTTGTGGTTAGAAGGGTTACTCTGGGTCCTTTGGTGACGAGTCTGAAGATGAGTGGTTTCGGCATCACCGTCTGGCGATTGCCGCCTGCTAGTGAAGAAGCAATGACGAGGGATGAGGCTCTGGAGCTTTGGGATACCAAGGTTGATGTCGCTGCTTGGAGACAGTAGTGGGCTGTTGCCTTCTTGCTTAATCATGTTGCGATTTTGCACATTATGGAAACGATGCTTCTGTGTACAACTCAGGCAAAAATGTTTTGAAATTCTAGCCAATGTTGTGATTTGGTTTATACTCAGCGTGTTATGTTTTCTTGACCATGCAGGTTGGTCATTCGACAAAATGACGTCTGACAAACTTGCGTCCACGCTTGCTTTGCTATCGGACATGGTGCTTTCTGTTGCACCGAAGCATGCACTTTTGGGTTTGAAATCACGAATCAGAGGTTGGAAATACTTTGCTCCGAGCTTGTGTAAGCAGCCAGCGAATATGCTTGGTCATCGCAAACACATTCCTGAATCCTTCCGCGTCGGTACATTTCACATGCGTCGCTGGTCTGGTACCTGTATATGAACAGCCATGACAGCCCAAGTTCTTGAGTTTGAACTCGTTATCACGATTCTAGTTTGCTGATTTAGCTTTATCCGAACATTTACTTTTACATTTCTACATTTGCTCTCGCGAAAACACCATGCCATACACCGTCCTCATCTCCGGCGCTAACAAAGGTCTCGGACTCGGCTTGTTGGAGAAATACCTCAGTCGCCCAGACACCACCGCTATAGCCACTGTGCGCGACCCTTCCAGCAAAGAAGCCCAAGCCCTCCGCTCCATCCCCAAAGCCTCCGGCACCAACCTCCTCATCGTCAAGGTAGAAAGCACCTCCGACACTGACTGCGCTACCGCCATCTCCACCATCAAAGACCAAGGAGTCTCTCACCTAGATCTCGTGATCGCAAATGCTGGGTACTATTCCGTCCCGCCCGAACCCCAGGTCGCGAAAATTAGTACGAAGTTGCTGATGGAGCATGTGAATGTCAATGCTGCGGGTTCAATCAGGCTTTTTCAGGCTACTTTGCCTTTGCTCCAAAAGGCCAAGAAACCGGTGTTTATGTACATGTCGACGTTGGCGGGATCCATCACGGCTACTGGAGATGTCCCGTTCCCTGTCGGCGTTTATGGTGCTTCCAAAGCGGCGGGAAACTTCTTGACTCGCAGGGCGCATCAGGAACATCCTGAGTTGATTATTTTTGCCATGCATCCTGGGTTTGTGTTTACCTTATTTTACTTTGGGAAGAGTTTGCTGATTGTTGTTCGGTGACTAGTGCTGTCAAGACACCGGGAGCAATGCCTGTCATTGATAGCTTGGACATGGACAAGAACTTCCCGGATATGTTTGTTGAAATTGACAAGAGTATTGATGGGATGGTGAACAGAGTAAGTCGCACAACTTCTGAAGAAAGAACCTTCTACTAACTTGTACCCAGATTGACGGCGCGACCAAAGAGGACACCTCGGGCAAGTTCTGGTCATTCGATGGTTCTATCTTGCCTTGGTAGATTTGGCACGCTATGTCTGGATGCGATGGTGAGCGAGCTGATCCGCTCTATCACGGGGTTTGAAAGTCGCGCAGGTCTGAAAGTTGGTCCGCTCCGCTCGAGATTGGCAAGAGAAACAAAGACGGCTGACTAATCACGCTTCATTGTAGTTGGTGGAGCGACCCTGTCACAAAAATTGATCTTTCGTTGATTCAACATTGAGTCAGGAATCTAGACACTCCTTTGATTTTTTATATAGAATGCAAAATTATACGTCTTCATCTGGTCCTGATGTGGAAAAAGCTGTTGAGCATCTCAAACACTGTGTATCGTCCGATCCGTTCGGTGGCTTGCTGGATGTAAAGCCATTAGAACATGGTACGACACCCTCTGATAGACGAAAACAGATCATTACATATGTATATATGCTTTGAGAAACACAAATATGTGGTTCGTGAACCGTCCTATATTCCTGCACGAAGCTCAAGCCGTGCGATATCAATCTTGCGATGACTGGCGAACACAAATGACGACCATTCCTTGCAGCTTTCGTGACCCTTTGCTTCCAGAACATCTAGAATGCCACACCACTTTTACTGGCACCAGGGTACTTGCCAAGCAGACCAGAAAGTAGATCAGTCCCATCCAAAGTCATATCCTTGAACGCAGGGCAATTGAGACTCAACGATGGGTCCACAACAGCGTCAGTGACAAACTTCAGCGGAACCTCAAGTGTCTTGAACAGCGAGGACAGCGAGTTAGGCGCGAATGTCTTGACAATTTCAAGCACAAAGCAAACAAGATTGTTCTCTTCAAGCAGTGATGTCGCGTTCAGAACACCTCCAGTGATGTCTTCGAGATCTAGGCCGGCGAAACTGTCGACAGTACCTAGGTTTCCTCCGATGCTGGCTAGGATGGGGTATTTGAGGAACCACGCTACCAGATCTACGTTGAGTTCGACGAGACCGTAGTCGATGGGTCGTCTGTACCAATTCGCGGGGATCTGCTCGTGACCTTTTCTGTACACGAGTTGACCATTCTCTTCGTAGACAGCATAAAAGCTGGCAAAAACATCCTTTGCTGAAAGTGTGTCAGTTGTGATGTTCAGAAATTGTCTCGAGCGTGAAATGACTTACTCAAGTGACCACCCATGGGGTTCTCTTCAGTGTGATTGCTCAGTATACGTCCAGTGAAGGCATACCCTGCGTTGCGAGCAATCATGCCGGTGTACGGGCCATAGTAGAAGTTGGGGTTGCTCGATACACTCTCTTGAAACCGCTTCGCTGCACGTGCACCAATATCGTCCATGGTGAGAAACTCATTGTCTGAGGAGTCATAGGCTTCCAAGAAGAGGGTCATGTTCATGGTGGATGCGTCGCCAGTAACATACAAATCGTCGCGCGTGTTAGAAGAGTCTGACTCGATCCAGTTGTGAGCACCATCGAGGCCTCTAGGCGTGCCGAGTAGTCCCAAAAGGTTGCCGAGTATGTTGTTGGACTTCTGACTCTTGCCACCTATAGAGAATCCAGGTTTCAGGGACAGCGGATTGCCGACGCCCACGGTACCCATGACTGCAAGGACGGTTATCAATTCGATACCCATGCCGTACACTATAGACCGTCAGCGGTTCGCTCGATGGAGCACTTGTAACTGCACATATGCTCCTACCTTGATTGACGGCAGCAATAACTTCGAAGAACTGTTCGTGAAACGCTCATATCAGTTATCGAACTCCGATCAGGCACCATAACAACGTACTCCAGCAATACCATCACGAGATATATAACCATGATTGGCAAGCGCATTGAGTCCAGGACAGGGGCCTCTTTGGTCGCCATTCTCGAAGTCCGGTGGCTGGAAAGCATGTTTGCCAGTCACTATCTGATATCAGCGAGGATATCCTCATGGCAAAAGCCGACAAGACACGAACCATCGATGGGTGTAGTCATGGGGTCGAAGAACAGACGCTTCTCCTTCAGATGTAGGAGGGTCTCACGCAACCCTTCTGGGGAGACCGTAGATTCACTCAAGGCATTGTATTGGACAAGCTTTGCAAGGTTCTCAGGAGTCGGGAATGAGTGTACGAGGCTGCAAGAAAGCAAAGTCAGGGCGCAAGACCCGATTGAAAGAATGGACGCCTTCATGAAGGAGGCACGCAGGTTGTGACCTGCAAGTGTGGGTTGAAGAACAACTGTGGAAGAGTTGTGTCAAGAGAAGAAAATGGAGGATGATCTGTATTAGGGTACTCTCACAGGACTCAGACAGAATCCAGAGAATGACTTCAATGTCACATCTCAGGTACGGCACGGCACGCGCCCTGGGTGATGTCTCTGGGAGGGCGACTTCTGGCATAATGCCATTCTGATAGATCGACGACTAAGGTCATTTCCGAACGTGCCGAACGCTTACACGATTGAGATCGTCCGAAGTCGATGGTCATAGCATATCGAGAAACTCCGGATCAGAGAGCCAGGGTCTGCAAAGGGTGCTACTGCATAAGGAAGGCTAGCGGGATTGCGGTATTCCGAAAGCGCTCAATGTATCGTCACGTAAATCACTGCAGGGGTGTGAATGAGAAGCAATGAAGACAAACGAGTCTGGAAGAGCGCGAGCAGTTCACAGAGCGGTCGACCCGATTACCAGGCTCATAGCTCATGGGTGTGATGCTTGATGAAGCTCGAGCATTCTGCAGAGTCGCCAGTTTGAGTCGCAGTCAAAGAGATGGGAGTGCACGGTGCACACTGCGCCAAACCACCGCTTAGTCATGCGACCCCAGACGCAAGAGGTCGTCCGTCGCTCGCTCAACCAGACACAGTCAATCTTTCTGCTACCAACCCCTGTGGCTAGGAGATGTTCGCTCGAATTACAGCGCCGACTGACTCGCGTAAGGTCAATTTCACCCGAGATCTCAACATTTACTGCTAGCATCTGTCAGAAACCCTGACGTCTGTCATGCACCTGAACTGGAACGGGTTCAAGGATCCGACCCGGCACCATGTATAGGATCGTAACCATGCGCTAGGTGCGCCATTGTTCGTCGACTCGATCTTGTGTAACAAACAGCGACCTATCATTGCGACCTCATGTGACATTACACTTGAGAAACTTACCAAGAATCCATGATACGCAAGGCGCCCAGTCTCAAACAACCAATCATGCTAAAGGTCCCATCATATAGCCTTTGATGTGCCTGTGCACTGCTCTTCTCGATTCACCAAGAACGAAGAGGGATCATCGTCAGATGGATTCAGTAGGTCTAGTGCATAGGGTTACGTTGTTAACATCTAACACGTTGTCTTACATATACCGAGATAAATCCTTGGCCCATCACGGGTCTGTCGGTATGATATGCCAGGTTATTGTACCAACCGAATCCATCAGCCAACTTTTCAGGAAAGCCAAAAGCCTTCCACAGCTTTTAATATGCGGTTCCAAACTAGAGCCACCGCCCACGTTTCTCATGCTCCCTGACTCTCACCATGTAGATCAATCCACAACGAAGACCTTGCATTGGAGCTTGAGCAGTTGGACTTCCTGAGCCCTTTCATGTGTTTACTTGAATGGAACTAAAACGAGTCCATTCTCTTCCTCTAGACCACTGGTGGTATTCCAGCTTCGCTTTTCGTCCTGTCACCATTTCGCTCGTTCATCTGTGGTTCTGTACCACTGCTATCATCCGGGGGCAGGACAAAGGTTCAGCCAACATGAAGATCTTCTCTGCCCTGTTGGCAGCTCTGACTGTCGTGATGGCGACGGCACGCGCTGCATCCGATGCCGAATCCGCTTTGGATATGGCGCAGGCGTCCTACCCAAAGTGCACAGTGAGTTCGATGTTTCTTGTGGCAGTTTCCGGACACTAACAGCAGACTGCTTCCAGCTGGGCTGTCTCGCGAAACTTATTCCTCAATCATCCTGTTCACTGACGGACGTCAATTGCCTATGCACCAATGTTCCACTCAACGGCAACTTGACGTTATGTGTAGTGGAGTCATGCACTACCTATGAAGGCTTGAGTGTGTGATTAAATGATGAACATCGAATTCAGTTGCTGAACGATCTTTCGCAGTAACAAAGAACGTCTCGTCGACAATGTGTGGTGCACCAGTACGGAACCAGACACTGAAGCCGCTTCTTATCGGAGTAACTGGTGGTGCCATTGCTCTGATGATATTCATACTTCGAATGTGTTCTGCACTACCGGTGGCAGGGCGCCCTATGGGCTGGGATGATTATGCTATCTGTGTTGCAGTGGCTCTTGGAGTACCCCCTACGGTGTTTTCTGTTCTTCGTACGTTCGGAGCTCTGCTTGGCTTGTAGTGCTAAATTAGCTGACACGAACCTCGTAGTATCCAAAAATGGCCTGGGAAAAGACATGTGGACTCTTCCGCTGTCGAACATCGAGAACGTTCTTTTCGTATGCATCTCGGTGCTTGATGTCATGATAAACTTGCTGACGCATCACAGTACTATTATCTTGGAGAGATCTTTTACTTCGCTGCCCTTACAGCAACTAAGATATCCCTTCTCGCTTTCTTCCTGCGCGTCTTTCCTCAAGAGCGTTTTCGGCAGATTGTCTACGTTGTCATTGGAATATGTGTGGTTTATGGTCTTTCATTCGTTCTGGCCACTACGTTCCAGTGCAATCCAGTCCCATACTCATGGAAACAACTCGACGACAGTTATAAGGGCTCATGCAACAATATCCACATTCAGGGGTGGTTGAGTGCAATCTTCAATATCGTCATCGATATCATCATCCTTGTGCTGCCTCTGAAGGAGCTCTACGAGCTCAATGCCAGCCTGAAGAAGAAACTTTTGGTCATGGTTATGTTCTCTCTCGGTATCTTGTGAGTCACTTTGACTAACAATCACTCCGATTTGGCTGACGTTTCACTGTGACAGTGTTACATTTGTGAGTGTTGTTCGGCTGCACTCTTTGATTGTTTTCGCAAACTCCCAAAACATCACGTGTAGGTTGCTTCTGCGTTTCACCCCTTCAAGGATATTCTGACAACTTCCCCAGGGGACTACAACGATGCAGCTTGGTGGAGTACCGTTGAAATTCACGTCGGTATTATTTGTGCATGCCTGCCATCAGTACGAGCTCTCTTTGTATCTCTCGGCGCTTCAGCTCTAGGGACCACCAGAGCAAATTCCAGAGCGACCGGTCATCAAGCTTCAAGTCACTCGGGGCTCGCTGGAAGTTCTCTCGGGGGCAGTAAACTCGGGCCTTTGGTCAAGGAAAAACCAGTCTCTGTGCCCAAACATGGCGACGAGGAGGACTTTATTCCACTGGTCGATATCGGCAATACCAAACCATGATACCGAGTTCGTTTCTGGAGCACAAAGACCCAACCTAGAGGAAAGCAGACATGGTCTGGCGACTCATCACTATCGATCGAGCAAGGCATTGGCGTCGGCCCTTGGAATGAGATAGTACACTGGAAGATTTGGACATTTGAGTCGCTTGGTCGAACGAGCTATAGACCACTCCTTTCCTTTGTTATTGAAGAACGATTTGGGAATGACCAGATCACTTGGATCACACTTTGACCAGAATCCGAACCATAAACTAGAGACTGGTCACTCAGAAGGTGTCTGTGGCGACTCTGGCGAGACAGTGAATGATGAGCTCAGTCATAATCGAGTTCGTACAAAGTGATCGGCTTGCTTGCTTGCAAGTGCTTCTTCCACATAGGTTTGTGTCCATGAGCACAAGGGTAATACTTTATTTTCTCGTGTTTGTCCCAACGTGCTTTCGAGTATAACTCGAACTGCAATGTCTCATTTCGACATGAGATTCCCTCTAGTCGAGTCTTGACCATCACAATGGTCATGAGCATGACCAGATCCAGATGACTGCCGCTCCCGTAGGTAGAGCTAATGTTCACGGGGATGGTCCGCGCTCAAATCATGATGCAGTGTGGCTGCAATTGCCAAATGGCATGGTTCGATGGTTCGTCTATGCACGGACTTAGCATGGATATTGAACCAGGAACTTTGATAAAGTGTGATCCCCAGCGCAGACCCTCATCGCTCTGATGCAGGACACAGACGTGGCTTGCTCATCCGGTGGCCAAAAGGCACTTGTAGAAGCATCAGAGTTGCATATTAATTCAGAGCGCCCGACGTTGAGTTCGGGAGATGATCGGCACAGAGCACGAAGGCAACCCCACTCGATCCATCACCCACATCATCAATTTCTCTTTCCTCAATAATACCTAATCGATATTTTCCATCCAAGAGCCCAATCAATTCGCGTTTTTGAGTGTATACACTCTCGCCTATGATCAATTAAGATCATCCGCATACCTGGTCGACAATTCACCCCGTAGAATGATGGGTAGACCAGGCGTGCCGTATGCCGCGGGCACGTTCTGAGCACAATCTCGGGCGCTCCTTGAGTCGAGTATCGGATGCTCTTTGTAGGCTTATATCATGCTCAGGCTTCCTTTCCGCAGTCTCATCTCTGTTTCTCATCCACGAGGGTCAACCACAGTCATTCATTCATCTCCATCCCACTGGTTTTTCCCGCAACCCATTTTTCTCTTCTTGAATAGTTATTCGAGACCTTCTTCAGCGTCGCGCTTGATCTTGTTCTCTAGTCGTCCACTATGAAGGTCCTTAGCACTATTGCGGTGTGCGCTGCAGGTGCTCAAGCGTAAGTCAAGATCCAAGCACTCCGTGACCCAGACAACTGCTTTGTCGATGATCAGTTGCTAGGTGCTCGTACTGACAAGTGTCAGGTTCGAATGGACGTGGCCAAAGTTCTCCAACGACCCGCAGTTTCCTCCTAATGGTTACAATTATCCTACCGAAGGACCAGTAGCCAACTCTACTTACGAGTACATTGTCGTCGGATCTGGTCCCGGTGGTTCTCCTCTTGCAGCTCGTCTTGCTCTTGCTGGCTACAGCGTCTTGCTCATCGATGCTGGCGAGGATCACGGTACTGACAGACAAGTTCAGGTTCCAGCTCTGCACCCCTATGCCAGCACTTATCACCCTATCCAATGGGACTTCTTCGTCGACCACTATGCCGATGAAGAGCAAGCCAAGCGTGACTCCAAAATGACCTATCTCACTCCATCGGGCGAGTACTACTCCGGCCTGGACCCTCCTGAAGGTTCTGTGAGAAAGGGCATTCTTTATCCCAGAACTGGTGCTCTCGGTGGTTGCGCTCAGCACAACGCTTTGGTCACCATCCTTCCTACCGAGAAGGACTGGAATGATATCGCCACTTTGACTGGAGACAACTCGTGGATGGCTAGCAACATGCGCAAGTACTTTGAGAAGCTCGAGCGCAACCGCTACTTGCCCAGTAGCATCGTTGGACATGGCTACAGTGGCTGGTTGGAGACTCGCGTTACTCCTGTTCTTCTCATTGCCGAAGACTTGAAGGTTCTGTCCCTTGTCGTCGCTGCAGCCACCGCCATGGGCAGGGGTCTGATCGGTGGCCTTGTGCACACAGTCACTGGTCTTGCTGAGGTACTTTTCAACACCATTTGACCACGTTTGAGATGATGCTAAGCCACATGCTCAGATTTTGACTCTTGACATCAACAATCCCACCCCGTCCCGCGACAGCGATGAGCTCATCTACCAGATCCCCCTGTCAATGGATGGAGATTATGTTCGCAGCTCTCCTCGTGACTTTGTTCTCCAGGTTGCAGGAGCCACCAACAAGGACGGCTCTAAAAAGTACAAGCTTGACATCGCTCTCAATACTCTGGTCACCAAGGTAAACTTTGATACTTCTAACACTAAGCCCAAAGCAACTGGTGTTGACTACCTCTTTGGTCAAAGCCTTTACCGCGCCGACCCTCGTGCCGGTACTGAAGACAGCGGCATTTCTGGAACCGTTCACGCCAGTCGTGAGGTCATTGTCTCTGGAGGAGCATTCAACACACCACAGATCTTGAAGCTCAGTGGTGTTGGCCCCGCTCAAGAACTCCAATCTCATGGCATAAAGGTTATCAAGGATCTTCCTGGTGTTGGTGGTAACATGCAAGACAGATACGAGGTCGGCGTCGTCGGCAAGGCACCTTCAGAGTTCTCTCTACTCAAGAAGTGCACTTTCCTCGAGGGTAATGACCCATGCTACGACAATTGGAAGAATAACGTCGGAGCTCTGAAGGGCGGCTACACCACTAATGGTATCGCTTTTGGTTTTCTCCATCACTCTTCTGTCGCTGAGAGCGACCCTGATCTCTTCCTTGGTGGTGTGCCAGCATACTTCAACGGCTACTTCCCTGGTTACTCTACCCACGCCACTCAAGACTTAAGTATCTGGACTTGGCTTACTCTCAAGGCTCACTCTCGCAACAACGCTGGTACCATCAACCTGACTTCTGCAAATCCTCGCGACACTCCCAAGATCGTTTTCCACTCACTCGAGGAGGGCATTGGCGGCGACAAAGATCTCCAGGCTGTCTACGAGGGTGTTCAGCACGGAATCAAGGCTTTCAATGATCTCATTCCCCTTGATGGCAAGTTTGATCGTGTCTGGCCCCCACCTGAAATCGAATCCGAGGAGGATCTGAAGCAATTCATCAAAGATGAGGCTTGGGGTCATCACGCTTCTTGCACTGCTCCCATCGGTGCTGATAATGACCCGATGGCTGTTCTTGACAGCGAGTTCCGTGTTCGCGGTGTTGATGGCCTGCGTGTTGTTGATGCTTCCATCTTCCCCAAGATTCCTGGCATGTATATCGCTCTGCCAATATATATGGTCAGTGAGAAGGCTGCTGATGTTATAATTTCATCTGCTTCTGCACCAGCTGCTTCGTAGAGTCATTTTCGATCTAGAAGTGGTTCTCTTGATCATCATACAAATTTCTCACCACGTCGCTTCTCATCCTCAGAGCATAAGTCTTATTCGCTTCTGCAGACCTAATATCATGTGTCTCATATCTTACTCAAACCTCTGCTTCCTCGCTCTCCAGATCGCATGTGACTTGGTATACTTGTTGTCGAATTCTGTTTATCATCACTGATGCCCTGAACTTTCTTGTTATCGCATCTTGGTTCGGTTCTTGAAGATTCTACGGTAGATGAGTTGCGCAAGGGGTTCAGATCGGGTCGCTTAACAGATCCTATTCGGACGAAGGATTGGCAAGGGAACAAGTTCCACCGTTGCTCTTGATTTGTCCTTCCTTGAGTGAGACAACCTGTTTCACAGTGCACACTGATAATCCTCACCTGCATGTAGACGACTCATGAAGCGATACCTTTCTATCAAACTGCCGAGTCAGACAAGGGTCAGGCATACTCCAGCGAGTCAGTGACAGGGACTCATATATTTACGGATGAGAACGGTCGAGTTGTACTCTATATGGCGTTTCCTGAGTAGATCACCCTTAGCCACCACTGCCGATCGTGAACCACGTTTTCTGTCATATATGAACCCTAATATTGAATGAGCCGAGTACGAGGGGTTGTCTCGGTCAGCTCCGAAGGCATGAATCAAGACCATCGCTTTGACCTTCCACACCCAACCATCGAGGCAATATCAAAAGGATTCGATAGCTCTCCTCAAGTATATGACTGATACAAACAATACCCCGACGAGATCGACATAGACGAAGAGGTAAGACAAGGTCATGTGCCATGGTTTGACATATAGGAAGTGTCAAAGAGACGAAGCTCGGACACAGTCTATGTAGGATAGTAGATGCTCGATATACTCAAGAGGTCCCTTTGTTTCTTAGTCTACACTCCATCGGTTCGAAGCTGATTACATATCGCAATCATGATATACAACAAAGGCAATGTGACTGATATACCCAACCTGGACCTTCTGACTTTTTTGTTTGGTAAGACTCATGCTTCGAAGTCTCGATCACGCGCAGAGCTAATTCCACTTTCTCAGACTCTGAACACTGCACCGCCAAAGAAGATACGACTCTGTACGCAGAAGCAAGCGACCCCACCAAAGTCATCACAAAGTCACGAGCAAGAGTCCTCACTCGCCAGATTGCACACTTCTTGCGCCACGAATATGGCATTGGTCGATCTGGCCCTGGCAAGGGTGTAGTGGCTGTGGTATCAACTGGACAGCATGCACTCCCTTGTGTCTTCTTTGGTGTTATTGCTGCTGAGGGCGTTTACTCGGCTGCAAGTCCAACCGCTACTGTTGAGGAACTCGTCCGGCAGGTGCGAGATGGAGCTGCAAAAGTGGTTGTTTGTAGTGCAGATGTCGCACCTCTTGCAAAAGCTGCTGCAGAGATCGTTGGTTTGCCAGAGCGGAATGTGCTTATCTTTGAGTCTGTGCCAGAGATCAAGTTAGAGAGCACTGATGGAAGTGTACGTTGCGACTTTGATCAGCAGCTGGACTGGAAACGCATCGCTTCGCCTCAAGAGTTGGACACAAGCAAGATTTGCATGCTTTACTCATCTGGAACGACTGGCTTGCCCAAAGGCGTCTTGATCTCGCACACAAACATGGTAGCAGAGGCTTTCCTGCCAGCCTACATCAATAGACCCATCTGGCAAGACTGGGCAGCAGCAAGAAGGCCATTTGAGTTGCGCACACTAGCACACCTTCCCACCGCGCACATCTCTGGCGTGCAAGGCTACTTCGTGAACGCCTTTTACGATGGTGGGATTGTGTATTGGATGCCCTCCTTTGACTTTGCAGCTTTTCTGAAGTATAATGTGCAGCACCAGATCACGACGTTTTTCAGTCTGCCGAAAATCTACTTAGGTTTGGCTAGACATCCTGCTGTCACCAATCAATTGAAGTCGCTAAGGATCGCTTATTCTGGGGCTACGCCACTGAACAGAGAGGTCTATCATTTTACAAAGTTTGGTGGTGAGGGAGATGATAGAACATTGCTTAGCCAGACTTGGGGTGCAAGTGAAACTACTGGTGCAGTCACTCATGTTTCTCCTGCAATGAGGGAGATATCAGGTAGTGTGGGAGCACTGCTTCCTAACATGCTGATGCGGTGAGTACTGAGAAGCTTGAGTGTAGACTTATTCTGACTGTAGGTGACAGACTAGTCGACGAGAACGACAATGACGTCCCAGCTGGTCAACCCGGTGAGGCATTACTCAAAGGTCCGCTTGTCACCCAAGGCTACCACAACAACCCAGAGGCAAACGCGACCGGTTTTAACAAGGATGGTTGGTATCGCACTGGCGATGTGATGCAATTCGGAAAAAACAACGACCTTTTATACGTCGTAGGACGCACGAAGGTTAGTCATCGCATACTGCCAACCTCGACCCTCCTTACTCAATCACTTTTTAGGATATTATCAACTACAACGGTCTCAAGATCGCCCCTGCAGAGCTGGAAGAACTCTTATGCGAACACCCATACGTTGCCGATGCAGCTGTAGCTGGTATCCAGGCTCAAGATACAGAAGTCCCACGCGCTTTTGTCGTGCTTCGACCAGGTGTCAATGCAGATGAGCAGACTGTAGAAGAAATACAAGGTCATGTCAAGCAGCGTGTTTCGGATCACAAACAGCTACGTGGTGGTCTGGTTTTCGTGGAAAATGTGCCTCGTTTGTTGTCAGGCAAGATCTGGCGAGCCAAGCTAAAGGAGATGGTAGCGAGCAAATGAATAGAATCGCGCACGCTTCATATGTAATGTGGATCTTAATTCTGCTCGCCTGGCGTGGCTGCGAATGTTTACATCTCCAAAGCCAAGTCACACAACGAAGGCGTGGTCTTCATTTGAGCTCGTCGATGTAAGAAACCAAAACGGTGTAGCATAGACAATCTATCTATCGAAAGACAAACAAAAAGAAAAGCAGTATAAATCACCAAAATCACTAAACTCCACCTGTACTAAACCCCGTCCAAAATCGCCTCCGAGACCCCCAGCCAAGATCCCCTGATATCTTTTCCTATCCTTCCTGATGCGCCTCCCATATTCCAAAACTTCTCTGGTATTCTTATCTCACGCCACTTAAAGGGCAGCAACGTTGCCAGAATCCTGAGTGGTCAAGGTCCAGCCGTAGCTCTGACCGACAGTGTAGCGGTCAGAACCTCTGTACTGGCCGTAGTTGGTGGAGAGACTCTTGCCCCAGGTGGAGGTGTACATGCTGCAGTAAGTACCCTGAGGAGCTCCGTTCTTGCTCAAGACATAGGAGTTGAAGAAGTTGCAGGGGTCGTAGGTTCCATCACTGCGAGGGTGCTTGTGAGAGTATTGGTTGGTAGCGATGCAAGCACTAGCGCACTGGCTAGGGTCGTAGGCACCGGGGTAGTATCTAGATCCCATGTAACCACTGGGAGCCTGGATAGCACCTGCGAGCTCGGTAGGAGCGTTGAAAGAGGCGCAAGCTGGGGGATCGGCAAGCTTGTTGAAACCCATGGAGCCGGCGATGACGACCTGGAAGTTGTCGCGCCACTGTCCGTTGTTGGTGGCAGTGGTGGCATCAATTTGAGATCCCCACAGAGAACACTGCGTGCCGTTAGTCTCATGTCAATCGAAAACAAAGTGTTATTCATATTTACCTTGATGTTGACTGTCGAAGCGGGGTTGGGGCAGTTGACGGCGTTAGGGTCCTTGGAAGGGTCACGCTCGTAATAGATGTTGAAAGCATAGCAGTTAGTAGCTTGGTCGCAGTACTCCTGGCACTTGTAAGGGTCGTAGGAGGTCAGGGTGTAGTAGCCGAGATAGACACTGGCAGATGTGGCTCCCTGGTTGGGACCAAACGCGACGCTGTATCCGGGAGGAGTGCCAGCAGCGAGTGCGGTAGACTTGTGGTGCGAAAGTCAGTATTTAGAAGGTAGATATGTGCGTCAGAAGGCTCACGTTGTAAATAGTGTTGGCGGAAAATGCAGCAGCGGTGTCGGGGGTCGTCTTAGGACCAGAGCCAGAAGGCTGAGAGGCGCAGGTACCATCACGCTTGTCGAGAGAAGAGCCAGTCTCGGCTGCCGAGTCTGCGACAGTAGAAGTGGCAGCAGCGGAGTCATCAGCGACGGTAGAGGTGGCAGCAGCAGCAGAAGTAAGGCCGGTGGTGGTCACAGGGTTAGCCAAGGCTTCAGAGTAGGCCGAAGAAGCAGCGCTGGTAGCAGCAGCGTTGATAGCAGTAATGTCGAGGCTAGAGGTTGAAGACACAACACCCATGGGGGCGCCGGTGGGAGAAGGCTCAACAGCTGCATCGATGATGTCCCAGTCGAAAGAGTCCTGAGGCATGGCAGCAGGAGCAGCAACGGCGAGGCCGGCGAGGGAAGCGAGGACGAAAGAGCGCATATTGAAATTGATGGTGAGGATTGTAGTGATCGTGTAGAAGCTGCTGTTTGTTACTTTGCTCTGTTGGATGATGGAGATGGAGTTGTTGGAGGACAGATCAGGTCATACTTATACCACAGACCTCGAACAATCATCCACGAAGAGAAAGAGAAGGCTTTCAGGTGCCCAGGAAGAAGTTGCTCGCTCACTCAGCCCGATAGAGCGAAAGGTCGAACACGAACGCACGGGACGGACCAAGCGCAATCGGCGACACCGCCAAACCTCTGGAGAGCATAGCAGCTGATCAGAAACCGAGAATGCGCGGCTCGGAAAGAGTGGTCAGGGCAGGACTTGGTAAGAAAAGAGCAGAGTATGGGTGCAATCGAAGGAGCAAGTGCTCAGTAGTCGGCATCGGCGAAGCCACGGACCAGCGAATCTGACAGCTCGTCGCGGGATCGCTCAAGGGGTGAGGGGAAGCCTAACCCCTTAGCCAAAACCCAAATCCGCTCAGAGCCGTCTCGTCATCTCACCTTGTGCCTTGTTCCTGCAGGATACAAACGACATGTCAACAATGACGCTGGAAATTTTGTCTACGACATTGCTATTATTGTTGTTACGGTCGCTCAAGGTAGAACATGAAGCGTTCTTCGTTGGCGTCCCTCGAACGGCCACGTTGAAAGAGTCTCAGTTTGCGACGGCTGCTGGCCATCTTCTGTGGCGCTCGCGCGAACCGGCAAAAGACCCTTCGCAGCCCGCGTTCAACTAAGACATGGCTGCACCCAGACTACAGCTCCACGTCTCGTGAACAACAACACGGCAAAACCTTCTGGTACAGGCAGCAGCGTAAGTGGTCTTGACTGTTTTGAGAAGATCCTATCGAGGATTATCCTTGGAAAATTGAATCCTTCGCTCGGAGGCTCCGCGTCGCTTGCAGATATTTGTGGTTCCTGGCAGCATTTGCGCAGCGAGGTCAGTCTTGTTAGGCCAGCTTCAACCTTCAACCAAGCAATGGTTGAGTCAAAGAAGACTCGATCTGGGTAGACGAACGAGTTCATCAGCATCTTGAAGGCGACGTTGTGACCGCAACGATCGTCTCCAAACTTTGTCTTGACAGATCTGATCGGCAAGCACGTTTCGCGCACCGTGGCGCGTGCAAGCAGCAGCAGTTTTCCCCGGATCAACAGAGCCAAACCCGGGGAGAAAATTCGGCAGGGCTGATGTCTGGAAGATGGAACTTGGAAGAAGGGCCCACGGAGCTGAGCGAGATGTCTTTCATTACTCAGCTGGGGTTCGGATCAAGCTCCCGCGACGCGGGAATTTTAGCCGCGCTCTTCAATCAGCTTTGTTCGTGATTTTCTCCGAAGATCGACCAAAATAGTCAACAAGCTCAGCTGATCTTGTTTTGATTTGGATCGATTCCTGAAGAAGTAGCGTAGTGCTTCCCATCTGGTGTCTACCAAGGAGATGTACTCGATAGGGCGATGCGACTAAATCGCATGCGGTACGAGAAATTCCCCATTGGGAACATTCGCGGTCCAAAATCTCGAGGATTTTGCTGGCCTTCACAAGCACGGACATCCTTGATCATGGGACACTCGTGCTGAAATCGTTCCTTCGCAGGCATCTTCTCCGACCACGGCCGCTTGATTCTTGGCTTGACCGCTCTTATCGTGTGGTTCTCGAAGCACCATATTCCGTATGGAGTTGTCCTCATACAGTTATAGCGCTCGGGCATCCCCGAGATATGTGCCGGGATCCGTGGTCCAGGACAGGGAAGCCCTAGTCAGGTGTTTCCACGTGCATGGTCTTGGGCAGTACCAAGCTTTGGGGAAGGGCGGTTTGGCTGTCAGTCTGCTATAAACTTTGTGTAACTGCCAAATCTTCCACTGTGTTTTGTACAAGACGCAGCTGAAAGACACATACATACGATCTGGATCTCGTCAATGCGCCACAACAAAGATTTGAGAACAAGACAGACACGGGTCGATTCTTTGAAGAGCTCACTCTCAGCTCTTTACATCGAATGGGGCCGAGGACTGGCAGTCTCTGAGACCAACGGACCGTGAGAAATAGACAAATCGAAGCGCTGAAGGGCATATTGGTCCTGAAGTTGCGGTCTGCAGGTGCAAAGCCACAAACTCACAGTGGTCTAGACAGGATTCAACATGGCGTTATGGTGGCATGTCTGCTTGAACGATACGGCGTTTTATGGCGTTCGAAAAGCCTCGATCCACGTAATCTCGTCTCTACGGCCCACCTACCACCGATTCTTCACCCGAGCACTACGATGAAGTGGCAAACGTCGAAACTTCAGCTGATGTAGCAATGCGAAGACAAGAAATTTCGGCATGATTCGGCATCGATAGATGTGAGTTGAGCAAGCGAAGTACGCAAGCGAGCTGAGAATTTTGAGACATCTCTTGGCGAAGATAGTCTTCCCACTGTCATTGACAGACATACTGATAACTTCGGTCTTTCTCAATATCTTGCCGATCATACTTGCAAACGTTCTCTGCTTATATACCAAATGCCATCTTGCTCTACTCGGGAAGTCCCTTTAAACGAGGTCTATCAAAACCTTGATGCTCCAGTATGAAGATGTGGATCATCTCCGGAGTACACTCCTACTTCACGCCATCTTGGAGCCTTATGCAGCCTCCTCGTATCAGGTGTAGTCCTCTCGACGCCATGGACAGACTGTCAAGATCTTGCGATCCTCTTGGTCAGCCACGGCTTGAATGTCAAAAGGATTATGCATAAACGAGAAGAGCCGCCAAATATCTAGAGAACGATCTGACATGAGTCAGATATACTGCCCTAGCTCTTCTGCCAAGCAGTGATGGGTGGGTCTTCCAACCATAGGCTATAAGGAGATAGACTATCTGCTCGGATAGGGGCGACGCCCATTAGGATGGCTAGATGGTAGAACACTCAAGGTTCCCAAATCATATTGGAACATCTCCAAATCATCAAGAAGTATAACAGGAGATCTTGTGGTTATAGGCTCATCATCGAGCAACCATCGCAGCCATAATGGAGAATTTGTCTGATTCCATATTCTTGTTCCCAGCCTAGACAGCACGCTTTGAGATTACATTCTTCCTGGCATACATTCTTCCTGGTGGATGAAATGTGTTCTATTGTAAACTTTCTTGATGGAGTTTCTGCGATCGTCGGTGTAGTTCAAGTTCTGGTCGGAACTCCGGTATGACTGCTTTTGACCGGACGTCCGCCGTAAGACTTGGCATTGCAGCAAGCGCACTTTATCCTTCGCACAAAGACAATTACTTTTTCGTCGACCGTCCGCATTGCTTCGAAGACTGTAGCATTCTTTGCTCGCCTAGTGTATCACGGCCAAAACTGCTAAGAGCACCACCCCTTGCTTTGCTGTGCTCTCGACCTTCGCTTACATCACTCAATCTTCCTCATCAAGAGTAGCCATACCATCCCATACTCCGGCTTGATATACCTTAGACTCTCGTCTTCCATCATGAGTCCCAACTACAAGTTCGAAATTACGCCCGAGGACGAGGCCAGCACACGCCAATACCTCTATCGCCAATTTTCTATTACACCTCCTCTGGTCTCACCACAGGAGGTTGACTTGACTGGCAAGACCGCTGTCGTCACCGGATCGAACGTAGGACTTGGTTTGGAATGTGCCCGTCAATTACTTGACCTCAAACTGAGCAGACTCATTCTTGCGGTCCGGTCAAAAGCTAAGGGGGAGAAGGCTCGTTCGGATCTGCTTGCGAGCTGTGGACTTGCGCCGAGTGCTATTGAAGTCTGGAACTTGGATCTTTCTGAGTATAACTCGATCATCAAGTTTGCTCAGCGTGCTCAGGAGTTGGATCATCTTGATATCGTCGTCATGAATGCTGGTCTTTACAAGGTAGAACAGACTTTCAACTCCTCTACTGGATTCGAGGAGGACATCCAAGTCAACTACATCTCTACAGCCTTGTTGACCATTCTCTTGCTGCCGATCCTGAGGAGCAAGCGGTCTGGCCCAAACCCTGGCCGCCTGACTATCGTTTCGTCTGATACAGCAGGTTGGGCCAGGTTCGAGGAGAGAGACTCCGATCCTATCTTCTCCGCGTTCAAACATTTACCTAGAGCATCAAATACATGGAACATGCAAGAACGATACTCCACTTCCAAACTGCTCGGACAGCTTTTTCTCTGCGAGTTGTCCGACCACCTCGATCCGTCAGAGGTCATCGTCACCGCATGTAACCCTGGTTTCTGTTACGGCTCTGACCTCCAACGAGAGGGCAATGGTACCATCTTTGGCCTTCTAGTGCGAGTCTTCACGCGAATAATTGGTCGAACAACTTCCATTGGTGCTCGATCGATCACAGCTGCTGCTACGAGATTTGGGCAAGAAGTACATGGACAATACGTCGAGGACTGTGAGATACATCCGTGAGTTCCGCCAGATATCTCATTGCAAGACGTCACAGTGACTGACCACTTTCGGCAGAATGGCACCCCTCATATATCAGCCGAATGGCAAACGCATAGCCAAGCAGCTGTGGGAAGAATTGCTAAAAGAACTTTCCTTTGCAGGTGTGCGGGATATCATGTTGGAATTGGGAGAGTGAGGTTTATTTGGTGGTGCTTGTGATCGTGCTAGAGAAGATTCTTACTCGGCATCGAGATTGCGGTTGAGATCTCTATCGAATACTCCGCGATAGATTCGCAGAAGCCATGTCAGGGCGATTATTTAAGATCGTCTACAAAGTGCTTTAGATAGGTATAGGAGCGAGTGACCTGCACATTTTGAAGTTTACTGTTGTAATTGCTAAAGGAACTTAATTTTTTTAGACTACTAGCGCATAGCACGGTTATATACTAAATCTGCTAAGTAATGGCTTACTCTGGCTTTATAATAATATCCTTTTCTACTTAGACTAAAGTACCTGCTTTAGTATTGTTACTAGTATTAATAGAAATTAACAATATAAAGGAAATAATTAGTTAGACTTTAAAAAAGCCTTAGTTACATAGCTTATTATAGCTATAGGCAACTTCTTCCTTTATAACTTTTTAGTTATAGCTATAGAAAACTTCCTCTATCTACAATTCTTAGTTATACTCCTAGAAAACTTCCTTTATCTATAACTTTTAGTTATACTTTTAGAAAACTTCCTTTATCTATAACTTTAGTTATAGTTATAAGAAACTTCTCTATCTATAATCTTAATTATAGTTAGGAAATTTACTTTTATTACTTATAACCTACTATTAGAATCTTCTTTCTTACTATAATAGCTATTATATCTTTCTATATCTTTTCTTATTTCTTAATCCTCCTTTATTACATTTATTATATCTAATTTTACTTAGCTAGGTAGTAGCCTTAGTGCTAGTAACTCCTATAATGATCTTAGATTACTTTTTATATACTCCTTCCCTTATAATAATAGTATACTTTAACTTCTTACCTACTAGCATTATAAGAAATATACTCTAAGTTTCTTACTTCTTAATTTTATATCTTAGTTACCTATAACTCTAAGTTATAGTTACTAGCTTATAAAATTCTAGGTATAAAACCATCCTTTCTATCTAGCTTAAACCTTCTTTATAATATTAATATCTAACTTAATTAAGCTTTTTAAACTTACTTAAGTACTTCTACTTTTTCTTTCTTCTTTAATAGTTATATATTATACTACCTCTTATATATTATTCTTCTTCTTTTTTATTAGTTATAGTAACTTCTTATTACTTATATACTAATCTTCTATTTCCTATTACTTATAACTTACTTCTACTATATATATGCTTTATAATAGCTTCTCTATACTCTTTATATTACTTTCTTTATATTCTATAATAATATTAGTATCTATTATACGCCTTACTACTAGTTCTCTTACTAGAACTAGTAAGCATAGTAGTAATAGTAGTAGTAAGCCTCCTTATAAGCCTTTAGGTAAAAGTAGTCCTAAAAGATACTATACTATAAAGAAGGACTTAGATAATACTTATAAGTAAATCTTCTAACTTTTATAACCTTATTATAGCCTTTTCTAACTTTTATAATAGGCAAAAAGTTATATAAAGTAGATCTCTACTTTACTATTTAGGCTCTTTTATCTACTCTAGCCCTAGCTAATATAGGTAAATACTATAACCTTAGAGTTATAGCTAAAAACTTCCTAGATTATAATAACTATTAACTTCTAGAGCCTATTTATAAGCTAGTCTTTAGACCTAAGAAGTTAGATATATATAAAACTACTAGTACCTATACCTTAATATCCCTTTTTAGTTATCTTTCTTATAGTAAAACTATTAACTCTAAAAACGATGCTTACTATAACTATAAGAAAGGTTCTAGTTACTTTACTAACTATATTACTATTAATAGTCCTAATAGAGAACTCTTTTTTAGAGCTTATACTAACTATACCTTCTTTAACTACTATAAGAACTACTCTTACTATAGTAGTAAAGTACTTAGTTCTTTAAGAGCCCTTATTATAACTTCTTTTATAATTTCTAAGCCTAGACGTTATTAAGAGGTTTAGGTTATTACTTTGCCTATTTCTTATTAAGTTATAACTAACTATTATTATATTATAAGCTTAAGTATAATTCCTTCTTTAGTTATAGAATTAATAGGTAGTCTAGATCTAGGTTCTTCTATTTATATAAGTTTATCTTTAGCTACTCTTAGACCTATAATACTAAGCTATACTCGTAGTAGCTTAGCTCCTATTATTAGTTCTCCTTTTATACCTATAAGTCCTAAGTATATAACTATAGCTTAGTTTAAAGCTACTACCTCTTTATACTAAGCTAACTATATTATTAATAGTATTAGTAGTTAGTATAAAAGTTTTAATACTACTTTTACTTAGTTCTTTAGAAACATTAGAATTTAATTTAAGATATTAGTTAACCTAACCTATAGACTAACTACTACTTATTACCTTTAGATCTATAATACTATCTATAAGTAAGACTATAAGTTCTTTAATAAGGGTTTTATAGGTCCTTATAACTTTCTTACTCTAACTCTTTATAGATAGGTAGCTCTAGGCATAAACTCTATATATGCTTATACTCTATACTATCTCTAGATAGAGTATATTACTCTTTAAAAGGCTTACTATAGCTATAGCTCTAGTAGTTTTTTAGAGTAATTATTATAGAAGGGTTTTAGATTAAGGATATAGTTATAGAGATATAACTATAATTTTAGTTAACTTTTAGGTTTTTCCTTTATTATAGAGAGGTTTTTATAATCTTTTTAAGGTAGTAGAATATTACTAACCTTCTTTTCTTTTTAATTTATACTAATAGTTAGGCCTTCTACCTTATTATAGATAACTAG